TGAAATTTGGCGAATTTTGATACCCATATTGATATAGTTTGCTCAATTTTAAAGTTTTGCCACGTGGCACTTACGATTTGAGAGTTCTAGCTATCCTGATGATATGAGGATGTGAAATTTGAATTTTTCATGAAATTTGGCGAATTTTGATACCCATGTTGATATAGTTTGCTCAATTTTAAAGTTTTGCCACGTGGCATTCACGATTTGAGAGTTCTAGCTATCCTGATGATATGAGATTGTGAAATTTGGATTTTTCATGAAATTTGGCGAATTTTGATACCCATATTGATATAGTTTGCTCAATTTTAAAGTTTTGCCACGTGGCATTCACGATTTGAGAGTTCTAGCTATCCTGATGATATGGGATGGTGAAATTTGGATTTTTCATGAAAGTTGGCGAATTTTGATACCCATATTGATATAGTTTGCTCAATTTTAAAGTTTTGCCACGTGGCACTTACGATTTGAGAGTTCTAGCTATCCTGATGATATGAGGATGTGAAATTTGAATTTTTCATGAAATTTGGCGAATTTTGATACCCATGTTGATATAGTTTGCTCAATTTTAAAGTTTTGCCACGTGGCATTCACGATTTGAGAGTTCTAGCTATCCTGATGATATGAGGATGTGAAATTTGAATTTTTCATGAAATTTGGCGAATTTTGATACCCATGTTGATATAGTTTGCTCAATTTTAAAGTTTTGCCACGTGGCATTCACGATTTGAGAGTTCTAGCTATCCTGATGATATGAGGATGTGAAATTTGAATTTTTCATGAAATTTGGCGAATTTTGATACCCATGTTGATATAGTTTGCTCAATTTTAAAGTTTTGCCACGTGGCACTTACGATTTGAGAGTTCTAGCTATCCTGATGATATGGGATGGTGAAATTTGAATTTTTCACGAAATTTGGCGAATTTTGATACCCATATTGATATAGTTTGCTCAATTTTAAAGTTTTGCCACGTGGCACTTACGATTTGAGAGTTCTAGCTATCCTGATGATATGAGGATGTGAAATTTGAATTTTTCATGAAATTTGGCGAATTTTGATACCCATGTTGATATAGTTTGCTCAATTTTAAAGTTTTGCCACGTGGCATTCACGATTTGAGAGTTCTAGCTATCCTGATGATATGAGATAGTGAAATTTGAATTTTTCATGAAATTTGGCGAATTTTGATACCCATGTTGATATAGTTTGCTCAATTTTAAAGTTTTGCCACGTGGAATTCACGATTTGAGAGTTCTAGCTATCCTGATGATATGAGATTGTGAAATTTGGATTTTTCATGAAATTTGGCGAATTTTGATACCCATATTGATATAGTTTGCTCAATTTTAAAGTTTTGCCACGTGGCATTCACGATTTGAGAGTTCTAGCTATCCTGATGATATGAGATTGTGAAATTTGGATTTTTCATGAAATTTGGCGAATTTTGATACCCATATTGATATAGTTTGCTCAATTTTAAAGTTTTGCCACGTGGCATTCACGATTTGAGAGTTCTAGCTATCCTGATGATATGAGATTGTGAAATTTGGATTTTTCATGAAATTTGGCGAATTTTGATACCCATATTGATATAGTTTGCTCGATTTTAAAGTTTTGCCACGTGGCACTTACGATTTGAGAGTTCTAGCTATCCTGATGATATGAGATTGTGAAATTTGGATTTTTCATGAAATTTGGCGAATTTTGATACCCAGATTGATATAGTTTGCTCAATTTTAAAGTTTTGCCACGTGGCATTCACGATTTGAGAGTTCTAGCTATCCTGATGATATGAGATTGTGAAATTTGGATTTTTCATGAAATTTGGCGAATTTTGATACCCATATTGATATAGTTTGCTCGATTTTAAAGTTTTGCCACGTGGCACTTACGATTTGAGAGTTCTAGCTATCCTGATGATATGAGATTGTGAAATTTGGATTTTTCATGAAATTTGGCGAATTTTGATACCCATATTGATATAGTTTGCTCAATTTTAAAGTTTTGCCACGTGGCATTCACGATTTGAGAGTTCTAGCTATCCTGATGATATGAGATTGTGAAATTTGGATTTTTCATGAAATTTGGCGAATTTTGATACCCATATTGATATAGTTTGCTCAATTTTAAAGTTTTGCCACGTGGCATTCACGATTTGAGAGTTCTAGCTATCCTGATGATATGGGATGGTGAAATTTGGATTTTTCATGAAATTTGGCGAATTTTGATACCCATATTGATATAGTTTGCTCAATTTTAAAGTTTTGCCACGTGGCATTCACGATTTGAGAGTTCTAGCTATCCTGATGATATTTCTAAACTTTTCTAAACTTTTTCTAAACTTTTCTAAACTTTTCTAAACTTTTCTAAACTTTTCCAAACTTTTCCAAACTTTTTCTAAACTTTTCTAAACTTTTCTAAACTTTTCTAAACTTTTCTAAACTTTTTCTAAACTTTTCTAAACTTTTTCTAAACTTTTCTAAACTTTTTCTAAACTTTTCTAAACTTTTTTCTAAACTTTCCTAAACTTTTTCTAAACTTTTCTAAACTTTTTCTAAACTTTTCTAAACTTTTCTAAACTTTTCTAAACTTTTCCAAACTTTTCCAAACTTTTTCTAAACTTTTCTAAACTTTTCTAAACTTTTCTAAACTTTTCTAAACTTTTTCTAAACTTTTCTAAACTTTTTCTAAACTTTTCTAAACTTTTCTAAACTTTTCTAAACTTTTTCTAAACTTTCCTAAACTTTTTCTAAACTTTTCTAAACACTTTTCTAAACTTTTCTAAACTTTTTCTAAACTTTTCTAAACTTTTCTAAACTTTTCTAAACTTTTCCAAACTTTTTCTAAACTTTTCTAAACTTTTCTAAACTTTTCTAAACTTTTCTAAACTTTTTCTAAACTTTTCTAAACTTTTCTGAACTTTTCCAAACTTTTTCTAAACTTTCCTAAACTTTTTCTAAACTTTCCTAAACTTTTTCTAAACTTTTCTAAACTTTTCTAAACTTTTTCTAAACTTTTCTAAACTTTTTCTAAACTTTTTTTTCAAAACTTTTTCCAAACTTTTTCTAAACTTTTTTTTCAAAACTTTTTCCAAACTTTTTCTAAACTTTTTTTTCAAAACTTTTTCCAAACTTTTTTCTAAACTTTTTCGAAACTTTTTCCAAACTTTTTTCTAACCTTTTTTTTCAAAACTTTTTCCAAACTTTTTCTAAACTTTTTTTCAAAACTTTTTCCAAACTTTTTCTAAACTTTTTTTCAAAACTTTTTCCAAACTTTTTCTAAACTTTTTCGAAACTTTTTCCAAACTTTTTCTAAACTTTTTTTTCAAAACTTTTTCCAAACTTTTTCTAAACTTTTTTTTCAAAACTTTTTCCAAACTTTTTCTAAACTTTTTCGAAACTTTTTCCAAACTTTTTCTAAACTTTTTTTCAAAACTTTTTCCAAACTTTTTCTAAACTTTTTCGAAACTTTTTCCAAACTTTTTCTAAACTTTTTTTTCAAAACTTTTTCCAAACTTTTTCTAAACTTGCAAAGGGAACGTGTTGATTAGTCGCATTGTAGATGTTAAGTTAATAAGGTTTTGAATTGGAGCCAAATTATCAATTACGACAAGTTCGAAAATATCGGTAAATGTAACACAAAAGGTGTTATTTATCAAATTGCTTGTAAATGTGGAGAATTTTACGTTGGGGAGACTGGAAGAACATTTGAAAGTAGATTTGCGGAACACCGTCGAGCATGTGAAAAACCGCTCACAAAATCATACAGTAATTCAGTTTGGGCAAAACATTCGATGGAAAAGCATAAAGGGGAAGCTCTGGTCATGGATGTTGACATTTTGGATGTTGAGAACAACACTTCCCGAAGGAAAATACTCGAAGGTATTCTGATCAAACACCTCAGTCCGACTTTGAATTGCAAGGAAGAACTTTCGGAGATGATATCCAAGATTGGAACATTAACATTACCACAAATATCTCCAAAAAATATCCCAAAAAAACCAACTTTAAATAATCAAAAAACACATCTAAAAAATTGACATAAACAACACTCCTCACCGCCCTGTTCAGCGTAAATAGGCGTGTGATCAAGGGGTCATAGGCGTGTCCAAAAACACGTGAAAATTATTCTTTTAATTTTTAGAAGTTCACGGAGCTACCTAGATCGAGAAACACATGATCAGGAGGTCACAGGCGTGTCCAAAAACACGTGAAAATTATTCTTTTAATTTTTAGAAGTTCACGGAGCTACCTAGATCGAGAAACACATGATCAGGAGGTCATAGGCGTGTCTAAAAACACGTGAAAATTATTCTTTTAATTTTTAGAAGTTCACGGAGACATATAGATCGATCCACCTTTTTCGAAATTTTTTCCAAACTTTTTCTAATGGGGTGAGTCAATTTTATTTTTTGACGACTAATTGACAGAAAATGTGAGTCTTTTTTGTGCGATTTTTACAAGTTTCTCGATTAATTCCATCTTTTTCTGCAATTAATCGCATACAGAAAAGAGAATTTCAATATAAAATTCAATTTATTCGACCTCTTTTTTTAAACGTGTCCCAAATTCACTGCTTATTTTTTGAATTCATTTCGAAATGAAAGAAAATTGAGGGAAGATGATTTTTTTTGATAATTCCAACGCATATAGGTCACGTTTTGATATATAGGTCAAATAAATTATATTTTTTATGCAATTAATCGCATTTTTCACCAAGAAATGAAAGCGATGAATTGACAAAAACATGAAATTAATCGCCCTAAAAGACTCACTTTTTTTGTCAATTAATCGCAAAAAACACGTCGATTAATTCGATTGACTCACCCCATAAACATGTAATTTCATATCTTTTGTATTTTGTTATAAAATGTTTTTGTTCTGTTGGTGAAACCAAAATAAATCAATTTTATTTGCAACAAAAAGAAGAGAGATCCCAAAAAACTGCAAATCCAAAAAACACCGAAAATAACCCGGAAATCCAAAAAGAATACATTGATTAGTCAAGTAAAAACAACTCACGATCACGGTCTTTCGAACTGCGATTTTCATTTGTCGAATTTAAATTCAAACTTGAGTTTGAATTTCTTTTTCGACAACAAAAACAGGTTAAAAATGACGTCAGCAGTGAGAAAAATTGGATAATTATCGCGGCAGATGTTAAAACAAAGATGAATTTTAAATTGTGATGTATTTCTTCTTGCAAGTATCCCAAACATCCCTGAAGAAAAAAATATACTTTTTCTCTGACTACTCATATACTTACTCTATAATAAATATTGCTTGGGTTATCGGAAATCCCACAATTTTTTGAAAAACTTCGACAGCAAGAATCTGGAATGTATTGGACACGGACTCTTGGGTATTCCTGAACAAATGTTGTATCTATAGTAACTTTTGGTTTTCATCATTTTCTAAAAAAAACAAACCTCATAATATTCATTGGCTTTTTTTTTCTTCACTGGATAATCATTGAACGCATTTGCTCCACAACACTTTCCCTAAACACAGAATTTATCAATTTTTGCTTAGTTTCAGCTCACTTTTTGCTGCAACTCATCAATTGCGGGTGTGATTCCAACATCCACCGAATATTTTTCAGATACATCAATTTTCAATGATTCCAACAACTCATTTGCGAACATAAATTTGTAGTTTTGATGAGTGTAAATTAAAGTAACTTCCAAGCTCAGCGACATCAATATGAGCAGTATATACTGTTGAAAATATAGTTCTTCATCGGCTTGTAAAATTAATTTTAAAAAACTTACAAAAAATAGAGAGCATCTGCTGTGAAACATCGGATTTATGAGAAAAATCGTTATAAAATTCAAAACCCCAATTGATACAATAATATAGATCATGTAAAAATAATTGGGATTTTTATGCAAAAGTGGTATAAAATATCCGTTGAATAATAAGAGCCACGTGGCAAGTGAGAAGAAGATTAATCCGGTAATCTATAGGAAACTAGAGTCTAGTTAAACTAGAATTTAGCTTTGAAACAAACTCACCACAACCATGAAAGACAAAGACTTGAGAATTGTAATACAACAACTTGTGAACTTCATTTTTTCTGAAAAAAATACACATGAAATTTTGGAGAAAGAAGAACAAAAAATATAACAAAGACACATGTTTTGGGCCTATTCATAACTCTTTTTGTCTTTTTTTTTGACAGATGGGCTCCTATTTTTCATGAAAAATTGAAGAGGTTTTGATGGGACAAAACGAAATGTTATTAAAGGCTAATAATTTTCAGGGTGCATAGAGAGAGATAGGCTTTTGGGGCTTTTCAGGACTTTCTTAAACTTTGAAGGATTTCGGAAGGCCTCTGGAGTCTTTGGAAAGCTTCCGAAGGCTTACTAAAACGTTGAGGGTTCTCAGAGCTTTTGAAGGTTTAACAAAACTTTTGAAGGCTTTCTAGGTCTTCCCAACACTTAGCGAGGCTTTTTTGAGCTCAAAAAGTGCAAAAAATGTTTCTTTAAACATTTTTTCCCACTCAGCTCATTTAAAAAAGTGTAAAAAATGAGTCAGAATTGTTATTCCCTCAAATTAATTGATTGAAGAAAGTGATAAAATTGGATTAAAAGCTAATATAATCATATGATAATATATACATAGTTAGTTTTAATAAAAAAAAAAAGAAGAAAAGGTGAGAGAAGAGACGAAGAATTATCGATATTTTATCAAAGCCGACCGAAAAAAAGAGAAAAATAGGCTAGTTTATTATTATTATTATAAATTTTCTCAATTTATTTTATATAGCAAAAAAAAGAAGAAAATCTATTGCGTTTTGAAAATGAAAAATAAGAAATATGCAAATTTTCTCAATAGGAACTCGAAATTGTTTTATTTTATTTTCAACAAAAAAAATTTTTATTTCAAAAAAAAATCAAACATAAATGATAAAAATATTTCACAAAACAAAACAAATAAAAATAATGAGTAAATAAAAAATGGATGAAATTATTTTGGGAAATTATTTTTTAACTGGGAAATATTCTGGTTACGTTGAATTCGATTATTTTTATTAGATTTTTTCTAATAAAAAATATTTTTTTTGAGGGAAATCAAAAACATGCCTTGAGAATACTGAGACTTTCAGGTTTCTAAGATTTCTGAGACTTCTCAGGCTTGAAAATGATGCAAAAGGCTTTAAAAGGATTCGTAAGACTTCATAAGACTTCAAAAAGAGTCAAAAGGGATCAAAAGACATGACAGGACTTCAGAAGACTTAAGAAGGTTTTAAATGACTTCAAAATGCTCTTGAAGGCCTTTTGAAGGCTTTAAAATGATTAAGAAAATTTCGAAGGCTCACGAAGGCTTCAGAAGAACTCAGAAGGCTTGAAAGGGCTTCAGAAGTCTTTGGAAGGCTTCAGAAGGCTTGAAAGGGCTTCAGAAGGCTTAAGAATTCTTCAGAAAGCTTCAGAAGGCTTCAGAAAGCTTTAGAAAACTTTAGAAGGCTTATCAGGTTCCCAAATTTGCTTAAAAATCAATCAATAATTTATTGTCTCGTTTGATTAACCAAAAAACATCCCATCAAAAGATAATTATGCATAATAGTACAAAAGTTGATCAAAACTGGTTTCGATTTCGTTTCGAATCCGTTTCATTTCACGCTCTTTCTGATTTCTTGTGTTTTCAACCGGCTGTTTTTCAGTCCCCCTTTATAATTAAGACTTTATTAATTAGAAAATAAATTAATAAATTAATTTATAAAGTCTTGTCATTTTCTATCTTCAAATCTTATCAAGGTCGTTGAGAAAAAAGATTTCTTAACAACAAGAAAATGATGAAGATAATAATTAACCTAGAATTTTGTCACCACATTTTTATTTCCCATTCAAAATTTATTACAATTTTCCCGTTTTCATCGCTTTTTTTTCGAAAAAGATGAAGAAGAAGAAGAAAAACAGTCTTTTGTCAATGAGCACTTCAAAACATTTTCCTGTTTATTTTCTGACAGAGCAAAAAAAAGTTTTGTATTACATTGGACATGTCTTTAGTGTTTTTTAGCGAAGTTCTCAAATTTGTTTTGCCTTCTAGCAAAGCCTTATATTGCCTTGTGAAGCCTCCTGTAGCCTTCCGAAGCCTTTTAAAGCCGTCTGAAGTCTTCTGAAGTGTCCAAAATACTCCAAAAACCTTCTGAAGCCTTCTGCGATTTTTGCAAGCCTTTTGAATCCTTCTAAGACCTTCTAAAGCCGGCTGTAGCCTTCTTCAGTCATTTTAACCCTTTTGAAGGTTCCTGAAGCCTTCTAGAGCCTTATAAGTATTCTGAAGTCTTCAAAAGCTTCCAAAATCTTTTGAATTATTGATAACTAATTTTCCAACAAGAACATTTCATCTTTGTTTTATTTAGTTTTCAGAGTCCTATCTCAGATTAAATGAAAATGTGAAACTAGTGCTCTAAACAAATAATAATAACCAGAAGGGCTCCGCCGGCTATCGCCGGCTTCTCCTTCTGGGTTGTCGCGGCTTCGCGCTCAGTATTCTTTCTATAAACAGTTCGTTTCCTTGAAGTACTTTTAGGAATGGAACTAAAATTTTTTCATTGAGATTTTGAACAATTTATACAATGGTATTTGAGATATTTTTCTGATCACACAGACGCCGCCCTAGCTTTTCTCAACAGTTGGCAAAAAATCACTAAGCGAATGCTAAACCAAACCCTAAGCCTAACATTTTATAACTTCTATAAGATCTCTCGGCTAATTAAGGAATATTTGAGAACCCCATAGAATTGCAGTTTTTCAAGATTTGGCAACAGCCGCTGAAAAAAAAACCAATTTTAAAAATTGCATAAGAATTCAAAAAACATTTTCGTGTGTACTTTTTATAATATTGCGGTTTTCAGCACCTGCTTTTTTTGAAAAATGTAAAACTTATTAGGTTTCCAACAAACACTATGCAAGTGTTATTTTCACTCGGGAAAGTAGTGACCCGTTAACTGAAAGCGTGGCTCTGGTTTGACACGGCTTTTGCCCATCAGAGACTGGTTTTTTGACACGGATTTCCAAAATGGGACTGTCAGTTTTAAGAAAAAAGGTGGTTTTTGTTTTTTTTCAAAATGAATATCCAATAATTTTTCAAATCATGGTTCTTCAAAACGATAGAGATTCCCAAATTTCAACCTATTGAGCGGACCCTCGTGATTTAGAAATCTGTCAATTTGGAATTTCGCGCCGAATTCGTTTTAAAATACGAAAAATTGGGCTGTGGAAAGATTTCGCCCTCGAATTCCTCTCCATTTCGAATGTTTGTAGACCCTTTTTTATTTCACCGCGGTGCTCCGTACACATTTGGTATCTCACTCGTTTTTAGAACCCAATTCATAGATTTTAGATTTCAAATAAAGATTCGACCTTATTTTGGGATCACCCTAAACAGTTATGTATGTTTGTATGATTCCCTTTCTCCTTAAAGAAAAGGTAAGGGTGAAGATGGAGTTGTTTTTAAACGAAAGAAAGATGATGTCTTTTCATCCATATTTTCCTTTAACACCATCATATCTCTATCTTAAAATCCGTTTAGTAAAAATTGATGAGAAGTTGAGCACTCGAAGACATGGAATTTAAGGAACCTCAGCGGATTTCTCTTACTTTCAATGGAGGAAATCCGAATTTAGGTTTTTAGAATTACATTTTTTCATAATTGTTCTGTTCAAGTTCTCGAACGGTTTTCGAGTACTCAAATTTTCTTTTTTTTTAAGTAAAGAGATTTTAAGAGAAAAAATGATGAAAAGACCTCTTCTTAAGACACCAACTTCGTCTCTTCCCCTACTCCTCCTTTCACAAAGAGTCCTTCAGATAAATCCTTTATCCGATATTTTGACTCTTTCAGACTTCCTACCCCGACCTCTTTCAGTTTTACTTTTTGTTTGTTTGGCGCCGAACCGGCTCTTGATCAGCCTAACCTCATCAAAAAACCTAGTAAAAACTAATAACCAAGAAGCATGAAGTATTTTCTTTGTCTTCTATGGATATCATCATGCTTATTCAATTACTGTACATAGCAGGAAGTAGATTTTTTCTCGTACTCCTTCTCTGTTATCCCCTAAGAAAAAACTGATTCACTTCACAGCTAGCCTAGACCTAAACCAAAACTCACGAACTCACGATAGAATACGATTCAGTTCGTCCTCTTCAATTCATTGGAAACCGCTTTCATCTGAAGTTTCAAATAACTAATGAAAATACAGTAGTACAACTCACTTTGTTTTCTATTAATTTAGCCAACCGATTAGGAATGAGCTAACATCGAGAAATGCCAAAAAATTGATGGCTTTTTCAGAAAATAGAAAGATCAGATAAGAACGTGTCCTTTAATTTTTTTTAGAATAAAAACGTGATCATTCTTTTTTTCATGAAAAAAGTTTTGAATTTTCACGTGAAAACTTGCGCACTTTTTGAAAAATCGAATATTAGCGCATCGATGGGAAAGAATTTGGGATAGAATGGTGAAAGTATCATGAAAAACGGCCTTCTGGGAGTTGAGAAAAGTCGAGCGACACATTTTGAAACCCAAAAATACATTGAAAATTTTGGATTTTTTCAAACTTTGAATTTTTTCGCGCACTTATCAAAAAAGTGGAAAATGATACATGGCTTCCCCATCAAGTAGAAGTAATTTCCTAACTTCTAGTTCAGGAATTTTCAATTTTCATGCTCTGGGAATGAAATGCGGGCTCTGGACACACATTTTTTATTTTTGTCAATTAGTATATAGTAAGATAATAATAATAATAATAATAATAATAATTCGCCTTATGATAAAATAACATTTAATTATCACTGCACTCTTTTTTGTGCCCCTAAATTTTTCGCAATTATTTGCTCTCAAAATCTGCTGCTCATCTTTAGCTAAAGCTGATTCTTCAAGTGGATTAACACTTGTCTTTTTTGCGGTTTTCTCTTTTTTTCGTTCATAATTTTTTGTACTGTTTTTGTACAGGTTTGAAATCATAATGGTAATAGTTTACTAAAAACAATAACAATTTTTGTTTTCACCTTGAAATCCTATTAGGTCTTCTTCTTCTTCTTTTTCTTTGTTTTTCTTTTTGGAAGAAGAAAATGAGGAAAATAATGTACATATATAAATTTTGAAGTTTTTATATGTTTATTCTTTTCCAGTGCGCAAATAAAATTGATCCGTTTATTATATAAAACAAAATAGAACATGATACACTATTATTTATTTTGAATATCATTTTGTTACTTTTCTGCTCTTTTTTCTATTAAAAACATGCTCATTACAGACCGGATGAATGTCGGGACGTAAATTATTGCGACGATTTTCTTCTTCGATTTCTGATCTTCTTAGTTTGCAAAGAAAGGAAGAGGAAATTCCAGAAGAGTTGGTTTTGCTTGAAATTCAAATTTTAAAGCACAAAATCTCAAAAATATCACTCCAGATCTCTACCTCTTCACAATGCTGTTCAAATGGGAAATCTTATAATGGTGACCAGATTTGTTGAATCAAAAACGTGTTGGATTGATGAAGAAGATTCTCAAAAAGGAAAAACAGCTCTACATTATTCTATGGAGCAGTGTAATTCTGAAATTGCGTCGGTGCTGCTGAAAAATGGAGCAAATGCGGATTGTGTAGATTTTGAGGGATCGACTGCGGCACATATTGCGTGTAGAGAGGGAATGATTGATCATGTGCGTTTGTTTTTTACATGATATATTTTAAAAGCAACAGAAAACTTCAATAGTCTTCAAAAGACTTCAGGAAGCTTTTGAAGGTTGTGGGAAGCTGTAAAAGCCTTCAGTAAAATGGGGTTCAAGCTTCAAAAGACTTCAGAGGGCTTCTTCGCCTCAAAAAATCTCAAATTTTGTTCCAGTTCAATTTGCTCTTCTACTACCATGCTGATTTATGCGCGGTTGATAAATGTGGCCGGACTCCATTTGATCTCGCTTGCGAATTCGGCCAAGAAAAAATGATGGAAAGATTGTTAACGTGTGGAATTCGTCGAGATTGTCTTCTAAATGCTTCAGAATGCCACGTGGCATCATCTCTTCATTTAGCGGCACAAAATGGACATGTTCAAATTGTCTCTCGATTGTTGGAAAATGGTTGGGATATGAATAAGGTGACGTGGCAAGGTAGTGCACTTCATATGGCTTCTGCTTCCGGCAAAACTCAAGTTGTACGATTTCTACTTCGAGCTGGGATCTCAACTGATCTTGTGAATTCTAGTGGATTGACTGCGCTTGAATGGACCAAAAAGAATTCCTCGAAAAATCCGATTACTTATAAGGAGATACGTTTTCTATTGAAAAGTGAGTGTTGTTTTGGAGGGGAGAGGAGGGGGGTTTTGATGTGATGGAATTTGACATAACTTGTTTTTTTGGTTACTTTTGTTACGTATCATTTAATTTTTCAGAATTCAAAAGGTTTTAGAAGGCTTTAGAGGGCTTCGAAAGGATTCAGAAGATCTCCAAAGGCTTCAGAAAGCTTCAGAAGGCTTTAGAAAAATTTAGAAGATCTCAAAAGTCTTTGAAAAGCTTTAGAAGGCTTCAGAAGACTTCAGAAGGCTTCAAAAGGGTTTTTGATGTGATAGAATGTGACATAACTCGTTTTTTTGGTTGCTTTTGTTACGTATCATTTAATTTTTTCTCACAAAAAAAATGGTGTGAAATGTTTTAAAATTAAATCAATAAATATTCGAAAATGTGTCAATATTTACCAAATCTTCCAATTTTCCATATTATTATTATTAAATATGTGTACTGTATTCATTTTTATTAGAAAAAAAGGGAAAAGATATGTATAATATGCACTATATATTTATTATTTTTCACGGTCACTTACCTTTTTTTATTGATTAGTCATCGCCGTTCGCTATTAATACATTTTTTCGTTTTTTTTTATTCTCAATTAGTTTTGCCTACACCTGTTGAGAATGGGACAGATTTATGTTATTTATCACCTTCTTTTTAACTGGGAGTATTTCCTGGATTTAGTAAATGTATCCTTCTGAATAATTAGCCTAAGTAAAGTCAAATCCTCTCTAATTATAATTATTAAAAATAACAAAAACAAAACAAGCGGCGTAGATCAAAAAGAGATCAAAAATTTTGCGGTTTTCTTTTCTGGCCCGCCACAAATTTCTAGGATGACAATTGGTGTGTTCCACCCTAGAAAAAAGTGTAATTTAGCAGGTGATTTTTTTTATCAGAATTTCCGGTTTGCGCGTATTTTACGCGTCAAAAACTTTTGTTTGCTCATCAGTTCCGTCAGATAACTATTATTCAATCGATAATTTTTTTGTGTATGAATAAAAAAATCTGGCGTACCAAAAGTACATTAGCACCATTTTTTCTCACACATAATTATTCTACCACGCTATTTTTTGGGTAGAAACAAAAAAAAACAAAAGAGCAAACATATGGGCAGCACTTCAAGGTCCTCACTCAATCATAAAATAAAATAAATTATCAATTTTTACAACCCTCTGGGACCACCCATTCTAATTTAGGGCCACCCAGAAATCGTTTCCTATAAGTTTTGTCTCCTCCTCCTCTCTTTCTATATAGTTCTTTCTTACCTACCTGTTTGTTTCTCTGCGCTCTCTTATTATTGCGCACTCTTTGAGTACATATTACATAATTGTTGTCTGGCGTGTGTTTTTTGCATTTTTTTCGATGAGTAACATTTTTTCTGTATTTTTTCTATGTCAAAAGCTTTTTGGTCTTTTTTTTTGTCCATTCTTTGTAAATGAAAATGGAAAATAAAAATAAAAATGCTAATCAAATTACATCCCTCCAAAAAATTAACATATTTTATTTGGAAATCAATAAGCTTCTTTTTTCCCATTTTTTTCGTAGGCGTCAAAAAAACAGTTTTGTTTACATTCAGCTTTCCCATTTTTTCAAATATAAAATTTGCTTTTTTTATTGGCTCAATCTATTTTTTTTTTTTATTTTCAGATTCGAAAACCTTCAAAAACGCAACAGCTATCAGCGAATATTGTGGAATTAAGGCTGACGAGTTGAGTTTTTCGGAAGGCGATCGGATTTGGGTGAGTTTTGGAGTTCTTCTGGTTTTGTCGCCAAAGGTTGGCTTTTTTAGAATTACCGGAAAGGGTCTCTGTTTTTGGCTAACCCAGAATTTTGTTTCCTAGAAAATACTTTATTCTTTGTAAATCCCTTTATTTTCTCCAAAACCACTTTTCACGAAAAAAAACTTAGAAAACCAAAAAAGGAAGAAGAAAAGGGGAAAAATGCCATAAATCCAAATTTTTTCGCTTGTCAGGTCATTGAACGTAACGAGACGGCCACAAATTGGAAAGGAATCGTTTTCGGGCAAAAAGGCAATTCGAGAAGTGGTTATTTTCAAGCAAAAACTGTTGTGATTCAGGACAATAAAGAAGGTTAGTTTTGAAGGTTTTGGGCCCCTTTTCCACTTTTGTAAAAGAAAATGGATTTAATATTTATTTATTTTTAACTAAATTATACATGAATAAAAAATTTATGAAAACATCAATTTTCGGAAAAACGGGCAGGCAGCTGACAGAAAATTGATGAATACAATGTCCTTGGACCTTTTTTCTCTCGGACTACATCAACAAAATATTTTTCAATGTTTCAAAAAATATGAGAAATCGGATATTTTCAGGATTTTTTATAAGCTCTTTTTTCCCAAAGAAGAAAATCTCTTATTTTTTTTAGTTCAATTCATAGACACTTATGATTACTGTACTCTTTTTTTTATACAAAGCGACAGCTGACCTTGTGAAAGACTGTGCAGATGTTTTGTTTTTTAGTTACATTCTTCTTCTCTCTTTTTCAATGTTTCACATATCCACATGGTTACTAGTATATTTTTTGAATACAAATTTTTTCTAGATTTTTGACCATTCATTATGACACTATTTTTTTTGAAAACGCTCCCTATAGAAGCAATTTTTCAAATGAAAAAAATTGAAATATTTTCAAGCTTCAGAAAATTTTGAATTTTGAATTTTCCTATATTTATCTGAAAAATCTTAACTTTATGAAGAATTATTCGATAAAAAAAGATTTCTGAAAACTTCAATTTTATTCTTGAGAAAAGAGGAATCTTCAAACTAACCCATTTTTTTACTCTGAGTTTGAATGGTCTGCAATTAACTGTCTGTAACCAACGGTCTGCAAATTGTGTTGTTGCTTTTTTCTTATAAATTCTGTAAAATACATTTTGTTCCAACTCAAAAGTTTCACATTTTTCTGAAGAAAACCAACAAAAACCTCTCTTGTTTCTTTTCTCAATTTCAAATTACCCCTTCTCGATTCAACATATGTAACAATAAAAAATGTACATACATTACAAAATACTATGCATCTGGTTGGTTCCCAAAAATTTTCTCGAAAAGATTTCAAAATTTTATTGAAAAATGTATATGTAGTAAATAGTTTTTGTTTCCCCATTTTGTGTTTTTTTCTGTCAGTCATAAGAAAATCGTATTAATCATCGTTTTGACCTTTTTTCACTCTTTCGCCGTTCAAACAAAAAACCGCATTTTTGTTCTGTTTTGCTAGACAAACAGTGTTTTTTTGTGTTTTAGCTAAGAAAAACAACCAAAAATTGTGTTTCCTTTTTTCTTATCATTTTTTAAAACATTTTCTAAAGCCGTTCTTATCAGGTTTCAAAGTATATTTTTCGCTTATTTTTTAAGAGTTTTTTTCATAAATAAAAAAATCGCATTTTTTTCTGAATCACATTTTTTTGTTTGAGCTTCAAAGCTTACACACCTTTTTGAGCAAAACAAACATTTTTTATCTTTCTTTTTCTGCTCGTCAAAAAGTGCATTTTTTTGCAAAAAAAACATATTTTTCCGGCCATGGACTCAATTTCTGGCAATAAGAAGAAAAAAATTGGAAATTCTTCAAGTTTTGTGGATTTTTATCGATCGGCTACACTTCGACCAAGAACACATCGATATAGTTTAGACAATCGATTGAGTGGTAAATAAAATATATTTCATTTTTTATTAATAAAAAATGATGACTCAGATTCATTTTCTTTCACACAAAAAAAGTGAAAAAATTATATTTTCATACAAAAATATCCTGTTAACTCTTTCTTTTTGCAGTAACATCAATGAGCTCCAAACTTTTGACAACAACGACACCAAGAAATTCAAATTTGGCGAAACCGGTTCCAAGACCATCAATTCCATCGTTTCACCATAGACCAGGTAATTTTATTTAGAAAAATTTTTGGAGTCAAAATATTTTTTTTTCCAGATTTGAATCAGAGCATGTCGATGTCTTCATTCGGACGAACGAACTCTTCAATGAGTAATTATAGTAATGAAAGTAGTAATAATGGAAATCGGTCAGTTTTTTCGGTCAACTGATGCTCGTTTTTTTTCAATTCAAAATTTTTTATATTTTCTTTTAGAAATAAAAAAAACCAAATTCTAAAAAATCCCTCCAAGAAGAAATAATTTTTAAAATTGAAAAAAAGGCATTTTCCCTTTTTCCTCCCCAAAAATATGAATATTTAGTTCCAGTCGAAATGATTCAATGAGTCAATCAACATTTTCGACATATGGCATGGATACAGCTTCAATGTTGGGTGTCAATCGCAAAAATTGTGAGTTTTCTATTTTTCTTTTTTTTCCAAGTGTGAAAAAAACCATAAAAAGAAATGAGCATGAGAAATGAAGAATGTGGTACCAATTATTCAAAGAGCTGTTAGCACATTTTTTTTTCAAAAATGAATAAATTCGCGCGTTGCGCGCAAAATAAGAGAAAAAGTGTGTGTGTGTATGTGTGTGTGTGCTCTATGTTATTCTCTTGCTCCTTCTGCTTTTTCTCCTTTCTTTCCTTTTTTCACGAACATTAAATACATACGAGATTATTCGCTTGAAGACTCATACGAATATTTCATTTTATTTTGAAATTTTGCGCGACACTAGGATTAGGTTTGGGTTGTTTTATATAGGAATTAGGAAAATTTAGAATATTTAAAATTAATAGATTTTTGAAGAATTTCATATTTTCTTAGAATATCTTAAGACGGCGAATCTAGCAAATCTCTGTATGCAGACCGTTAGGCGCAGACCGTTGATTGCAGACCGCGCTTTTTTCTACTTCTTATCGCAGACCGCTAAGATTCATCAAAATATATGTCATCTCTAACTCTCTCACACTATAGTAATTTTCTTCTTTTTTTTTGGAACATCCAAATAACAAAAACAACCAGAAGTAATATTCATATAAAATTCGAAAATAATAAGTAGTATTATTTTTTTCTAGTGATCAAAAATATTCTTTGAGACGAAACAGATGTACACTTTTTATTTCATTTCCTTCGAAATTTTTCTCGTCTTCTTTTTTTTTCAAGATTTTTCAGTAATGTAAGGACTCAAGTTTCAATTTGTTGGAATTTGATATTTTTTTCGTTTTTTTTTTCGAAAGAGAGAGCAAATTGATTCACAAGATTTTTTGGCTTGGCTCTACAAATTTCGAAACAAAAGAATTATTCATGATTTTTTCCACCTCAAAGCCTCCCCCGATTTTTCGTATAATTTTCATATATTTTTAGCTCATAAAGCGGTTTTTTATGAAGAATATAAAAAAGTGAAATGAAAAGTTGATTGAGTTTGTTGTGTAAGAAAAAAGCGGAAGAGGCGAAGAAATTGAGTTGTTGTACATACAACACAACTCAAATGCTCCTTTATTCTCCATTTTTTCTCCGTATAAAAATTGTTCCCTTTTTGTCGAAAATCGAATTTTTCAGCTCAAATGTTCCCATCAACTTCGGGTTTATCACCGTGTTCAGCTGCTGATGGGCAACATCGAATTTCAACCGGTTCGAATTCGAGTTATGGAAGTTCTGGGTTTGAAAGTATGAAGGTAATCAGAATCAAATTTTAAACAATTCAATTTTGAATTTTATTTTTTTTTTCAGTGTTCAGCTTCAACATCTTCTTCCTCATTCCTACCGAATAATCTTATCATAAATGACACAAATTCTGAAGCGACGCCTAGTCAATCAAGCTTAAATTCAACTGAATCTGGAGAAAGTGGAAATTCATCAATTGCATCAAGTAGTGTTCAAACTCTTCATGATTCATTTCATTCTGCATCAACTGCTGCTCAAACACCAACACTTATCAATGTCACCCAATTGGTGCAAAATGGTGTGCCACCAGCTGAAATTTTAGCAAATTGGTTGGATTCGATTAATATGACCGATTATTTGTCGTTGTTCTTAAAACAAGGTTATGATATTTTTTCGATTGGTGAGTTCACGGAAAAATTCATAAAAACATATCTTGAGTCAAAAAGTCATTAAAAAAATGAAAATTTGACTATTTTCAGCTCGCTGCACTCCAGAAGATCTTCTCAGTCTGGGCATCAAAAATCCAGAGCATCGAAAAAAACTGATCGCTGAAATTCACGAATGGAATTTCCAAGACAACTGGCCAGCACAAATTCCAATCGGTGGAATGCGAGATTGGCTGCATTCAATAGCTCTTGCTGAATACGTGCAAGTTTTCGAAAGTCAAGGCTATTGTACAGTTCACGAGATTCTTAATTTGACTTGGGAAGATTTTGAGGATATTGGAATTAAAAGATTGGGTCATTTGAAAAGGCTGGGTTTAGCGATTAAAAAAATAAAAGAGCATCGGAGAGCAAGCCAACTTGTGAATCAAACAAGTCAGCAGAGCTTGTCAAATTATCATCCAAGGCCTTATGATCCACCACCACCAGCACCTGGACATTATATGATTCGAAATATGGATCAAAATGATCGTATTGATTATATAAGTTACACTAGATCAGCCACAAAAAAACCGCAACCACCAATTCGAAGTAGTTATGATGCATTGTTCACTGAAGATGAGCCAATTCGCTTAAATTTAGTATCAACTGGAAAAATATTGAGTGATATTAGTCGAATGAAAGAGCAAGAAGGATATGAATCTGGCTCAAGTTCGGAATGTCCCCCACCACCGGCTCCACTATTTTGCGATAGTCGAAGATTTTTGAGAAATTCGAATACTAGTATGAGTTCTTCGGAACATATGCCATTTGCGAACGAAAATTGTGGAACTATCAAATCGACTGGGATTATGAAGAAATCTTTTGATTTTCCAACAAGTCTTCCTCCTTTGATTGCAGTTGATAATAGGTTTGTTGGTTTTTTTGTGAGGGAAACGCAGTCCGTTAGATGCACACAGTTGAACGCAAGTCGTTGATCGCAGACCGTTCTTCGCAGACCGTTGTTTGCAGACCGTTGATCGCAGACCGCTGTTTGCAGACCGTTGATCGCAGACCACTGTTTGCAAACCGTTGATCGCAGACCGTTCTTCGCAGATCATTCTTCGCAGACCGCTCTTCGCAGACCGTTGATCGTTGAACCGTTGAACGCAGTCCGATTACACGGCCGCTCACACTTTTTAGCCTAATAACATCTTGAGATAACTCAAATGATATTTTTCAAAACCAACAAAAACACAATTTTTCGCAGCCTTCCCAAAAGAAAATCGGACGCCGCCTCAACATATCAAGAAATCGATGAAATGATGAAAAATCTTGTTGGAGAACTTGATACAATGATGTCTACATCAACAATAGCTAAAAAATAATTTCATAAAAAATATTTCTATTTTTGCCCTGATCCATGACTTTTTTCTTCATTTTTTTACTGAATTTAAATACGTAGTTTATATAGGGTCAAACTATCGATTTTTTGTCCCACATTCAACCTGAAACCGGTCACTTTTTGTGTGCTGAATGAACATTTTTACTGTCATTATATATACATACCATTTTTCTCTCCCTTATCATCATATTTTTATTTTTTCTATCTTTTGGTTCATTTTTCCCTGATAAATATGATACTTTTAGTTTAGTAATTTTTTTTTAATGTATTTTTTCACAGAAATGGTTAAACTTATGGATGGATCAATGTGGTCAGCTTTGGAGCATTTTGGATTCAATTTAGAGCATCATTGGACTTTTGGAGCAAATCGAGATTTGGAATTGTTGAAAAAAGTTTATGAAAAAAATCTGGAAATTGGAGTCGACTATATAACTACAAATACTTATCATTTTGGAAGTACTTTAGAGGAAATTTCTGAACGGGATAAATATGAGCAATATTTTGAGGTAGACAATTTTTTCAAAATTATTGTAACGAAAAAAATCCTGTTGTTCATAGAATGCTTGCCATGTTTTGGAGCAACTTGCTAAGCCCTCAAAAATTTTGGGATCTGTTGGCACATTTGCCACATATTTTCACGATTGCTCAGAATATACTGGAGCATTCGCAGATCTTCCCAATATCCAACCAAAATGCAATCAATATTTTCGAACAATTTTTGAGAAATTTCAAAATCTCTCGAAAATTCGACATTTGATTATTGAAACTATTTCAACTCGAATGGAAGTTTTAGAGATTCTCAAAGTTCTCAAAGATTTTCCAGAGTTCAAAATAATTTTTAGCTTTACTTTAGGAAAAGCTGGAAATTTGCGACATGGAGAGAATTTAGCTGAGGTTTTGGAAGATTTCAAAAACTGTGAGCAGGTTATAGGAGTTGGGATAAATTGCACAGATCCGAGCAATATTCTAGAAGGTTTACAAAAAATTGGATGTTTCCAAGGAGAAATCTTCGTCTACCCAAACATTGGAGATAATTCATTCTTAGCATCAGACAAGTGAGTTTTCCCCATTCCTTCAAAAGAACTACACAGTTTTGTATCTAGAAACCACGCGGAATTTGTCTACGATCGAGATTTGGTGCAGAGTTGGATTTTGGCTGGAGCCACAGTGATTGGTGGATGTTGTGGTGTGAAATTCAAACATCTTGAGCAACTCAAAAATCTTATTTGAACAGAGCGCTATTTTTTTTGAGATAAAAAACTTCAATTTTAAAATCCAATTCGTTTTTGGCTGGCTCGACCAATTGTTGTTGTTTCAGCTTTGAAGCAACCAATTGAGGTTTTGCAGCTTCTTTCTTTTTGTTGAAGCATTTTCGCCCAAATTCAAAATAAATTGATGAATATTTTTTTGCCATAAAATTTTTTCAGCTGATGCAACAGTGGATGTTGTAGTGTACAATTGTAGTATTTCGATAAACTGAAAACATTTGTTAATAACAAATAAATCTTTATTTTCATATAAATTTCATAATCAAAAAGAATGAGCGGAATGAAAGCTATAAAATAAAACGAGATCAAGTGTTGTGTGTGTGTTTTTTACATATAAAAAATTGAAAAATAAAATCATCAACTATACCATGTTTTGACCCTATATGTTTTTTATTATTTTTTCAATTTTGTGAAAAAATTGGAGAATGACGTTGACTACCCGCAAATCCACAATAAAACGAACACCAAAAATAATGCTAGAAACGAAGAGAAGAAGAAGAAATTTGGTTGGCGAACGCTGGAAATCGGACAAAATAATGTTATTAGAGTTGGGGATTCAGTCGTTATTTTATTTATAGTGGATTAGAGATTTACTATTTGTTTATGGTTTTTTGGAAAAAGGTGGTCCGAAATCTTGGTTGCAGACCGCTAAACGCAGACCGTTAAACGCAGACCGTTAAATGCAGACCGTTGTTCGCAGACCGCTAAACGCAGACCGTTAAATGCAGACCGTTGGTTGCAGACCGCTATTTGCAGACTGCGCTTTGTACATCTTTTTCTGCAGACCACTTCTTACAGAAAGTATTTGCAGACCACTATATTTCTACAACTAAAAGTCTTCTGAAGCAATGCAAATTTCAAGCGGAAAATTGAAAATAATAGGCTTTGTTGTTCTGCGGATTTTCATGAATTCTAGTCTCAAAATATTTTTTTTTCAAAACTGTACCTATTCATAGCAACACTTGGATAATTATTACAAAGTTGTCCAATACACCAACATAATTCAACAGTTCGATTACTACTTCTTGCCGCCAATCGTGGTGGTAGCAATTTATGGGCAGGCATTCGCATACAAGATGTATCTGGAAAAAAACATTTTTTGAATCAAGTCAGTTGCTTTCTCTGTAATCCCGAGTCAAATGATTCTCAAAAAATAAGATAAATGTGCATGTCGTTAACAGAATTGTGATTTATGCACATTTATCTCAATTTTGTTCCCTATCCTATTCTAAAGAAAAAAGACAGGAACCGCTTTTTTTCGCCTAAACGATGAGCACATAAACACGCAATGCACAAAAACTTGTCAATTATTCATCAAATTGACATACACAAAAACGATTTTCTCTGTAATTTGCCTCTAATTTTCAGTTGCTTTTCACATTGAAATAGCAACAAAAAATGCACTTTTCACAAAAGTTTTTTGTTGCGGAAAAACTAACCATATGTTTGACCAGTTCTGGGAGTTGAGCCAAATTTGAAAACACTTTCAAAACATCCACGAATGATATTATTCCCAATATGTTGTCCTGAAACAAAAATTTTGATCCTTTTCTATCTTTGAATAAAAGTCTGAAAAATTGCACTTCTTTTTTTTCTACAAATTGAATTTATCCCCTTTTTCTTATAAGGGACATATATAAAAAAGCCTTCGAAATTTTTTTGCGGAAGAAAAATGAAAATGAAAAATAATAATAATAATAATCGACTGAAGGACCCTTGTCTTTTGTAAGTAGTAAAAAGGGTTTTTGTTGGGGTGTGTGTGTACTTCAAAGGAAAGGATATACATATTTTTTGTCAGTCAGCACAAAAAATCCCACTTTTTTCAATCATAATAAAAAAGCGAAGAGCTATTAAGTTAGTAGTAGTTGTAGTACTAGAAAAACACCCTTTATTTTTTTTCGAATATTTTTTGTGGTCTTTTCCTTTGTAATAAAAATATGCCTAATAATAATAACCACAAAAAAAAGGCGCGCCAAAAATTGTTAAACTATGTGCAGGTAATTCATCATTTTCATTTGACAATTTCGCGATTTTTCCCGCAATGATATTTTTATACCTGCTAATATCCTCGGTTCAATAACTGTTACACATGTTGATTGAGTACATTCCCTTTTTCCAATATTTGCAGATGTCGGAACTTGAAAACATTTGTCGGTGAAGTTCATTGGTCGATGGTACACCTGGAAAGAAAAACACATTTTTTAGTCAAGGGGTTTTTTTTAAACAAAAAAAAAACATATCGACAACATATGTCACTTTTATGTTCCAGATTTATAGGCTTTTGAAAAGAAACTTTGTATTTTTAGATGAACTAGCTTTTTTTGTGAAAAATTGTAGCAAATAAATATATGAAAAATATTAGTATAGTGGAAATTTTTTTAAAATATGCAGACAGTTTTTTTGCATTCGCAGACCGTTGTTCGCAGACCGTCGTTTGCAGACCGTTGAACGCAGTCCGTTAAACACAGACTGTTGTTTGATGACCATTATTCGCAGACCAGATTTTTCCACATAAACTTCTACTTTTTTCAATTCTCGAAATGTGCTTTTTTGAACATTAGCAAAATTGCAACATTTCTAGGTTCTCCAAGGAACCATCAAAATCTCTGATACTTTGTTTCGACCAAATTTGTTGGTGCTCAACACGAATATGAAAGACCCTGCCGAAAATTGTCTCATTTTTCCACATTTTTCTCGCTCAAGCTCCAACCAGGCCTTCTTTCCCTGATATATCGGCGCGCCGAATCTCGAAGGAATTGAAACGGATGAGCAGCCCCTTTTTAGTTTTGACGTATTTTTTTTCTGTTGTGCTTGGGGTGTTTGCGGCTATGGTTCAACAAATAAACGAAACGAGAAGAGAGATGAGGAAGAAAAAAAAGGTCCCTCAACTACAACCAAATTTTTTTCGTGTCACAATATCTTCATCATGAGAGCGGGAAAAATATGGAAAATGTGACATTTTGATTTGTGTCGTTAGCATGTTTTTTTTCTGTAGCATATTTTTTTTTCCAAAAAAATCCCTCTTCCATGTGTTAATCGAAAATCAAGTTGAAAAAGAAGTAGAAGGAAAAAACATTATGCAAATTTTTTTTCGCACGCACAGAAATTTTCAATAACTTTTCCTCTGTTGTTCAAAAAAGAACAAGGGAAGAAAGAAGGGAATTTTTGTTGGTTTGGCAGGTGTCCGCAGCACTAATTTGATTCCTTTTTCTTCGTGCTTCTTTCTTTTTTGATTGAAACAACGGGAAATGTGATTTTTGGCCAGAGTGTGTTAGATACTCCCTTTTTTATAGAAGAGAAATGTTTGGCGAGAAAATCTGATTAGCATAACATTTATTGATTTTTTCTCATAAAGTTCAACAATTTTCAAAACGGTCGGAAGAAAAATTCGTCAATTTCACACTTCTCATTAAAAATCTTTGCTGCTGCTAATTTCGCTTTTTCAAGAGCCAAAAAAGAATTGCGTGCGTGTTCAAGTTTTTCCCATTCTTTCCAAATTCCAACAAAAAACACTCAAGATTCACCCAAAAACAACGTATTTTTTGAATTATTATTCTCTGGTGAATGGTGTCTTTTGTTTCTTATTCTTTTTTTTCGCACACACAAATTGGTGTCATTTTCTCTCAATTTTTTTGGAGTAGAAAACACAACATGGCTACAAAAAAATTCCGTGGATTTTAGGGGATATGAATACAAACACAAAAATATTGGTTTTTTTTCGGGTAATCCCTCTTCTCTCCGGAAGAAAAGAATACGTTTTTCGGCAAAAACGAAAAAATAGTAATTCAACACCTGAGACAGTTGTGTTAAACTCATTCTCAAGATTATTTTCAGGGTATTTAGAATCAAAAATATATTTTCAAATTTTAATTACCTCCTCTAAATATGGCCAATGTAATGAAAAATCTTCAGACATACAACTATAACAATATTTTGTAGTGGAACTGTAAACGAAAAAAAATTTAAAATTGAATTAAAAAAAAATATTCAACTCACCCGTAATGCGAAAAGACGAGATCAAAAATATTTGCGAAAATCAGTATGGCGAAAAACATTCAAAAAACTAATTGATAATACTGCCAGATCATTTGAACAGTACAGTAGAATATTTTTCTCCGTATTATCACAGTTACCTTCAAAATTGTCTAGTTAGGTTAGAAATAAATTCTGACTGAAAAAAACGAAAAAAGACACACAAAAAACAGAAGTGAAGAAAAATGGGCGGGGCAAATAAGTTGCCTAAGCCCCGCCCTTTGGATTTTTGAGAGCGGGGAGCACGGATTTTTTTGAAAATGAAAATAATTTGAAATTCAAAATATTTCAAAGTTCAAAAAAAATTACCCAAAAAATAAATTAATCATGCGGAAAAATTTTTGTTTCATTTTTTTTTGGAAAAAAAGAGATAGAAAAAATGGGAGATGAGTGAGTATTATTGACGAGCTATCTATATACATAGGTGAGATAAAATTGAGAAAAGAGTTTATTTTATCCCTGCCTTTTGTTTTTCGAAACATCGTGTATATTTCTTTGTGTGTGAGTGTGTGGAGTTGAATGATGAGCTCAAAATGAGTATGATAAATCTTATTAATGTGAAAAGTGATATGGAAAAAATGTTGTTTGGGATGTGACAGTTGAGAGTGGAAATTTAATGGAACAAGAGAATTATGGGAATCTTTCTAAATGGGTTTATGGGGTTACCACAGTATTTTCAGTGCAGACCCTTGAATGCAAACCCTCAAATGCAGACCGTTAGATGCAGACAGCTGAGCGCAGACCGTTGATTGCAGACCGGTAAATGCAGACCGTTAAATGCAGAGAGCTGTTTGCAGACCGTTTATCGCAGTCCGCTTTTTCCAGACAGCTTATTACAGACCGCTATTTGTGAGCTTTAGATTTTGTACATTCAGTACTAATTTTTTTTCTAAAGAAATAATGTGAAAACTAAACATTGCATGACAACAAATTGGTTTTTTTGCTTGCTTAGCTTAAAAAAATACAATTTCTGCTGTTTTTTCTAACAAAAAATGAAAAAAAATTCGCAATAAAATAATAACAATAATAAAAAATTCGGTGCATGTGGCACGAACGAAAACGAAGTTATGAAAAATAGGCCGAATATACATATTTTTGAAAAAAAAAGTGTATATAGAATATCCGTACAAATTAATAGAATTTTGTCTTATTTTTCACGCTTCCTTAAACTTGTTTACGGGCGCCTCAAAACAATAGTGTAATTTGACGTTTTATGAAAAAATAATATGAGCAAAAATTTCCGGATATCTTAAAGAGCCCTATAAAAATGTAGATAAGTACATAGGTAAAAATTTATGGACTAGATGAAAAAATATACCAAAAAATGACAAAAATCTCGAGAATATGTGGAATGAAAGTATGCAATAAATAAACATATTTACAAAAAATGGAATATTTAAAATCTAATCTTCTGAGGTGCAAACTGAAATTTGAAGTTGGTATTCTTCTAAATTAGATTCATCTTCTTGAAAACCTTCACCACTGCATTCAGTTGACATTTCAGATGAGCTGCTGCTCCCCGTTGATTCTGAAAATCATTTTTTAAAAGGTTCTCTGGAAAAATGGTTAAAGGGATATGACACATTTTCAAAATGACAAAACTACATAGGGAAAATGACACCGGGTATTTTATATACCAGTTTTTATAAATGTCTGATTCGCGTAAAAATGCACCCTCAAACCATTTTCGAGCTAAACATATTATTTTTCAAAAACATACAGAAAAAAATTAAAATTTTTTTTGAAACTCACTTCCACTGTGAAGTTCTTGATGTGTCGCTGATGGTGCATCTTTTTGTAATTCCTCTATCAATTTTGCATGATTCAATTTTTCCACTTGAATCATACTATGTTTGATCTACAAAAAAAACATTTGGTAGATCAAGAAAAATTTGAAATTTATTTTTGACTCACATAAAAAGGGCACGTTGAAGTGTTATTCAAATATGATTTTTCAGCTTTTGGATGATTTTTAATATATGGATGATTTAGTGCTTCATCAATAGTGAGTCGATCATTTGCATCGACTTCGAAAAGTTGACGTATAAAACTGACAGCTTCACAATTTTCAAAAATGTTTTGCTGGAAAAAAAATGTTGTTGAGATTTCTTTAAAAAATCTTTTACATTTTCACTCCGATTTTTATTGAACAAAAATTCTTCCCATGTAAGTTCCACAAAGTTATCAGCATCTTCGATCAATTTTCGAGTTCTGTCACATCGAACTTCATTTATAATCTGGAAAAATTTTAAAGTTCACTCTAATTTGATAAAAACTCATTTCTTTGAAATAGTAACGGAACACTTTTTTGACATCTGTCACAATAATCCGATAAGAAAATTGAGAATTTTTTTTTATCTACCCAAGAAAAACGTACATGTTGTGGTGGTCGACCAAAGACAGCGAGCAACATTCTGATTTGATTTTGAACATTTCTTCCCGGGAAAACTTCACTTTTCAACACCATTTCACCAAAAATACACCCAACAGCCCACATATCAACTGCAGTTGAGTGTTCCGGAAGAACATATAAAAGTTCAGGAGCTCTGAAAATTGTCGATTTGTTTTTTCCGCATGTTTTCTGAATCAAAAACCTGTAAGGAAGTGTTGCCACGTGTTGTGTCATATAAAAACAGTGCTCATCTGGATCATCAGCTCTTAATGCCTCTTTATGATAACATTTCGCCATTCCGAAATCGGCAATTTGTAGGTTCAAATTCTCATCGACTAGTAGATTTGATGGTTTTAAGTCTCGGTGAGCAATCGAAGCTTTGTGCAAGTACTAAAAAAAGAGTATTAGAAAAAAAGGGGTTTAGGTAAATGCAGCCCGTTAAACGTAGACCTCGGCCAAAAAACGACATAGCTCGGGGCGACTCGCTGCACATTTTTCGAGACTCGTTTTGCAGCGAGTTGCCCCAAGCGCGCCTCAAAAGTGGCGAGTGCCGGGCAACTCGCTACAATTCTTGCCCGTTTTTAAAATCATGGTTTTTATGCCTTTTTTTCGGGATTTCACAGTGATCCATTGATTAAATGGCCCATATAAATGTAGGGTAATAAAGCTATAAGTAGATCTACTTTTGCTCCATAGATACAGTTTTTGAAAAATGCTTCTGGACACCCTCCGAGAGAGTGGATCGGGGCGAGAACGGGGCAAGTTGCTCCACGCTCGGGCGAGTCGCCCCAAGCTCGCCCAAAGAGCCTCGGGCCAGTCGCCCGAAACGTGTAGCGACTCCGCCCCGATTGGTAGCGACCTCGCCGTTTTCTGACCGAGACCGTTAATTGCAGACCGCTGTTCGCAGACCGTTAAACGCAGACCATTAAGTGCAGACCGCTGTTCGAAGACTGTTAAATGCAGCCCGTCAAACGCAGCCCGTTAAATGCAGACCGCCAATCACAGACTATTTTTTATTACTTTTTTCTTTGTTCACGAAACTTTTTAGTAAACAATTACTTTTTATCAGGAAAAATTGAAATCTATGAACTGTATTCTTTTTCTCAGATAAGCATAATTTGCTTTTTGTTGCCAAATTTGAAATTCACGAACCTGTAGCCCATTCAATAACTGCATAAGAAATGATAAAATATCTTCTTCCTTCAAACATTCCCAACTATAAATCACTTGATGTAAATTGATCGACATTAAGTCCATGACTGTAAAACATGATTTTTTTAATGCAAGGGTAAAAATAGGGGAATCTATGAAATACCTAGAAAAACATCGATTCCGAGAGGGCCGTTGGTCCGGAAAATATCACGAAGTCTGACAATATTATTATGTTTAATGTGACGTAAAACACGAATTTCACGTAAAGTTCGTCTAGCTAATGTTGGAGTCGCAGAAGCGTGTGCAATTTTTTTGATAGCAACACGAGTTCTGCTCGAAGTTTCTTCAGCTTCACAAACAATTCCAAATGCTCCAGATCCAATATTTTGAATTGGATTATAAACATCAGCAGCTCGTTCCAAACGAAAATCGTGTAAAAGTTGTCGTTTTTTCAAGCCATCTAAAACACGATTAAATCCCGCTTGTTTTGGCATGTTTATGAAGGCTGGAAAAATTTTGATTTTTTTTTTTGAAAAAAAAGTAGATATAAAATGATAAAAAGTGAGGACAAAGGGAAAAATGAGCAAACAATAACAAAGAAAAAAACAGAGGGGGAAAATGAAATTTTGAAGGAAACCTGGATTCTTAGAAGATGGTAATTCCAAAGGTTCTGGTTTCATCAAAGAGATTTGTGTATAATTTGAATTAGTGTCATAATATTTAGTAGGTGGTGAATATCTGTTAAGTGGTGAATTTCGCAAAGTTGGCCCTTCTTGAGGTGGAGCCATCACGTTTTCTTCTTCTTCTTCTTTAGATTTCCTGGAGGTAAACTGTAAAAAGTTTTTTTAAACAATAACTACAAAAAGAATTGAAAATGGGCATCAATGGTTTGGTTTAATCATAATAATAATAGTAGTCTGATAAGAATGACAAAAGAAAAAGACGACTCTTCGAACAAACATACACAAATAGTATACTATCAAAAATTGTTTGAAAAATATTGAAAATTATATGACGCCAGTGTGCATTTGAAACTAATAATTTAATATTGTTTCTTATCTTTTTAATTTTGAAAAAAAGTGGAAAATAAAATAATACGGAAAAAATTAGTTTTGCCGGAAATGAGAAAAACGTTGTGAATCATACAGTGGGAGTGAAATTAATCCTGATAATTTAGAAACAAATTTGATAGAGTTTTTTTGGGCTGGAAAAGACTAGATTCTGTTAATTCTTTGAAAATTAGTCATATCTAAATCCGATTTCAGGTAATTGCTTGGCTAGGTCAATCTTGTTGTGAAATTCAATTTACAGACCGTTAATCGCAGACCGTTCAACGCAGATCGTTCAACGCATATAGCTGTTCGCAGACCGTTTCTTGCAAACCGTTAGAAAAACAAGAAGAAAATAATGAGAAAATATCACGTGTTAAGCTAAGAAGAACAAAATCATATATTCTAGGTTTTGTTACAAAAAAAAAAGATAAGCAACGTTCAACAACGAAAGCACAATTACGCACTTTACGACCTTAAGTTTAACGTTTTCTTGCAAAAACCTTATCAACTAATACTTTTCCAAGAAAAAAATGCTTTTGTTATTTTCTACGTCTTGTTTTCCTACATTTTTTTCTGGAAAAAAAAGAAAAAGACAATCTGAAATACAAATACGAAACTTATTTTTTTTCTTTAAATTCATCGAAAAATAAATTTCCTGTTTTTTCTCTCACGTTCAGAAGAAAAAAGAAAGACTCTCCGGAAGGTTAAAAAAAATGAGGATTAGAAAAAAATGTGAACTCTTCGCCCACTTTGTTTAATTATCAGATTACCTTCGAAATTTTTTTTTGAGAAAAATTTTGGAAAAAGAAAAAAACTTACGGATTTGATATAATTTATGAGAAACATTCTAGCTGTTTTAAAAAATAAAATAAATATTTCAGAAAGCTAAAAATATAAAATTCAATAAAACGTTCTTGCCCTTTCCAACTCATTCACTGATAACATTTTTTGTGATTTCGCAACAATTTTTTTATTGAAAATAACTACAAGAGAATTTCAGACTTCAAAAAAATTAAATAAAAGTTACAAGCAGAAAATAGTATAGAACCAGTTACAAAAGAAAAATCAACGAAAAAAATTGGAAAAAAATGATGAGCAACATTTCTCCGTTTTATTTGATCAAAAAGAAAACTGTATTTACATTATATTTTCTTTTTCTTTTTCACGCTAGTATTTACACTTGTAAGAAGCCAGTATCTTTTCTATAAGCTTAAAGGTGTAAAAATATAAATTCTCCGAAAAAAATCATATACTTTTTGGGATTCTCCGCATGAAAAATTACAACTACGCAAAAAAAACTGGTTGATCTACCAATCTGACCTTTTTGATCTACATAAATCCCCAATTTCCAAAAAATAAAATAAAATGATAGGGTGGGACGACCTTCGAAATAAAGGGTGTAACCAGGAAGACACACCCTGAACTTTTTCAAATGAAATATGTAGAATCGAAACAAAAAAGAAAACTTTTTTGAGAAGTATACGAAAATAATTGATTGAATGATAAATCTCCATATACCTCCGCAAGGTCATATCTTCTCTCATTTCTCAATATATTATAACAATAACGAGGGAGATATAGATTCCCTACATAATCTTCGGCGACTCAAAAAAATAGGTTAAAACTTATCACAAAACTTGGGGAAGATTTCTGATCAGATAAGGTAATAAAATGAAAGCATCATCGTTTTTAAAGAACTGGACGATTTTTATGGGTGAGAAAATAGGAAGTAACACACTTTTCTTAATGAGGTTCAATATTTCAAGGTCAGAATGGCCTTACTCGGGAAAAATACGGCACCTTTTTAGCACCGAGGCGACAAAAATTGTCGAGGAATTTTGGCCGCCCCGGTGCTAAAAAGGTGCCGAAATTACGGCACCTTTTTAGCGCCAAGGCGACATTTTCATGAAAAATCCATTATTTTACCATACAAATGACTCTTGTTCTCTTTTCATCGAAATTTTCCGCACTAAAAATGTAGCAAGCGTGTCCTAGTGGATAAGAGGATGGGTTGTCATTGTTTTGACCCAAGTTCGATGCCCCTTTCCCGCATCTTTTTTTATTTTTTTCGTCTCACTGGCGCACCATTTTAGCGCCGGTGCGTCACTTCGCGCGCCGTTTTAGCGCCGGTGCGTTCTCTCTGCGCACCTTTTTAGCGCCGAGGCGAGAGCACTTCCCGCCTTGGCGCCCCAGAATGTCGCCTTAGCGCCCCAGGATGTCGCCTTGGCGCCGTATTTTTCCCGAGCGCAGACCGCTAGATTTACAAAAAAAAGGAATAACTAATTTCTGATAAGTGAGAAAAAGGGCAAGAAGAAAGAAAGAAAAAAAGTCGAAGCACAATACAATACACACCTTTCAAATCGAATGTAAACATGCATTACGTACGTATTTACACGCATTTAATGGCTACAACTGGTCTTGCTTCCTGGACGCTTTTTTTAGGCTTACAGACAAATCAATCTCAAAAACACGAAAAAAAAATAAAGTTCTTCTTTTTTTTGGTAGTTTCATTTTTGAGCTGTCTGGTTTTTCGTCAACTTGTATGTAAGCAGATTATTATATTTTATACAGAAAAATGCCGCGCGTTTTATGTATAATATGGCAGGTTCAAAAAACATCATATATTTTGTGAAAAAAACTACTGTAATTAAATGCAACTGAAACAGTGACACAACACAATAAGAAAAAATACAACACGAAACAAAAAAAAACACTGTGAATAATGTAAGAGAGGAAATAATGAAAAGTGAAAGTTGTAGAATTCGAAAGTCGCTTCGCTTGCATATAATTTGTGTCTGTTCTGAAGAGAGGAAAGGGCGAGGACAAAGGGTTATTTATATGATTATTTATGATTTTTGTTAATAATCATTTTTTGGGTTTTTCCTTTATTTAAGAAATGAAAATTTTTCTCAATGATTATTTCGAAAACAAAAGGGTTATCAAAACAATGAGTCATTTTTCATGTCCTTTGATGAAAAATAGAAAAAAAAAACTGTAGAACAAAAATAGCTTGATTGAAGACATGGGTGTGGGCCTGATGAAATTCAAAGATTGGAAAAAAACAGGAAGTAATTTTCTTGTGGAAAAAAATACAGTTTACAGACCGTTTATTGCAGATCGTTTAACGCAGACCGTTGAATGCAGACCGTTGAATGCAGACCGTTGTTTGGTAACCGTTAATTGCAGACCGTCAATCACAGACTGTTAGATGCAGACCGTTGTGTGCAGACCTTTGTTTGCAGACTGTTCCCATTTATAGCAAAGAATCTCTCACGACACAAATAATTTATACTCGGTAAAATAGACAGAAAATTATTGATACTACATGTAAAAATCAAGTTGACAAAGCGCACACATTTTTGGACTAATTGAAATGAAAATCGGTTTTTGGATGGGAGAAACATAGCATCACAGGGGTTTTTTCAAATAGATAAACAAAGAAAAAATTGAAGAAAAATAAATAAACGGAAAAAAATAAATAGGAATGGCTGGAGAAAAAATCTTTGGTACAAAAAATACAGAAAAAAGTTTTTGGTATTTTTTTTTCAAACAAAAAAAAATAATCATCTAGATTGTCTAGCCGCTTTTTTGCTGGCCTTTTCTTGTTTACGACGTGCCGCTTTTTCTTCACGCATCATTTCTTTGCGCGACTTTTTTTTGCCATAAATACTATTGAAGGTTCCATCACGCATCGCAATCTCATAGGTTTTCTGAATTTCAGCTTCATAGCGATTTTTCATGAGTTGAATTGCGTGACACCATTCTAAAGCTCGACGATTTTCATCAAACAAATAATAAACACGATTCGGCTGAAAATATTATAATTTTTATGTTATTGCTTTTTTTGGTTGGTAAAAACCAAAAAAACCTACTGTATGAATGAAAAATGTTCCAAAATTTTTAATTTCTGTCTGCATACAAGGAGACCATGGAATTTCTCCCTTGAGAACCATATTCGAATGATCAACATAAAGAAGATGTGGACCTTCAGTCAAAATAAACATTCTTTTTCTCGCAAATAGCCCTCGTTTTTTCTCCAAAAATCCTTGTTTCAAAATAAGTCGACCTCCAGCAAATAGATGATATGGATTCTCACTTCTTTGAATCTCCAATTTCTCGTCTCGAAGTCTTGGCGACATTCTTGTCTCAATATTTTTATTATGAATATCCAGCTCAGCGTCGGTGAAAGCTAATTCCTTGTTAGCCTTCAAAACTTCTTCTCTAGACACTTTTGGAAGAACTTCAGGTTCTGGCTCCGGTTCAGGCTCCGCAGGTCTTCTAGTCACCTCTACTCTGGCTCCAGGAAACATGAAATTTGGAGTGACAAATGGCTCGGGCTCCACATCCGGCTCTACCAATTGCTTGAAAAGCTCTTCAAAATCTTCAGCATTTTTTGAAGATCCAGCAACAACTTTTGAATTCATATTTTCGTTCATCAATCTAAACAATACTTTTTCATCTAATCCAGGTTCGACAATTGTGGAATGAAATTCTGGTTCTCCATTATTTGCAGGAATATAGGCATGAAGAGTTGGAACTTCTTGAGATGTTATATTATCCCAATCAACGTCACGGAAAAATGGATGATCTTTGATGTCTTCGCTGTCAATTCGATAATCAATATCAACGGTCTACAAACCAAGAAATTTTTGATTGATTTTTATAGCTGAAGGAAAATCTTTAACTCACCAAAATTTTGTTCACCAGGTCGGCAGCAATTTCCGGAAAACCATCTGGAAACTCAAATTCATTAGTCTGCACTTTTTTCATCATTCGATATTGATTATCGCCTCTGAAAGGAGCTTGTCCACTCAAACATTGAAACAAAATACATCCGAGCGCCCAATGATCAGAATGTGGTCCAACATCTCCATCTGTCAACATTTCTGGGCTAACATATTGTGCAGTTCCAACAAAAGTTGTCCTTCTTCCAGTGTCATTTACAGTACCAGAAGCGCTTCCACTCAATAAATCCCATTCATCAGAGTCCTTTTCATTTTCAGTTTTTTGTCGGGTTAGAGGTGGCGGTGAACTTGATTCAGACGAGCTGAATTCTTCATCATCATTCAAATCACCGTGAAATCGTTCCATAGGTAAATTCAAATCCTGATATGCTTGTGCACTTCCAAAGTCAGTTATCATTATATGGCCGTCTTGTTTTATCAGAATATTTTCCGGTTTGATATCTCGATGTATAATGTTGTTGCGGTGGAGGTAATCAAGACCGGTTAGGATTTCGGAGCAAAAGAATATTGTTGTTGGAACATCGAAACATCCGAAATGTGAGAGTGCTTCACTCATATCACCACGTTCAGCTAACATTTGAACGAAATCTGAAAAATGACAGATTAGAGAGCTAATTAAGACATCAGGGAACTTTTTAAGTCCCAAGGAACTTTTTTTTGAAATTCAGAAAACTTTTAAAATTTTGAAGGAATTTTTAAGGACCCTACGGTATTTGTTAAAATATTAGGAAGGTAATTGAGGCGTTAGCAAACTTTTTGAAATTTCGGGAAAATTTCTATAGAACTTTTTTGACAAAAACCTATTAACAGATCCCTATTTTTTCAAAACTTACAAAGCCTTGTTCGATCTTGAAAACTTGTATACAATTGTGAGACGAAAGGATGAGTTCCGCACATTTGTGTTAAATAATTCATCACATTTTTCTCGCGAATAATCCATTCCATTTTTCCATGTCGATAAATGTGAGACTTTTGTATAACTTTTACCGCAAATTCAGCGCCAGATGCAATTTCTCGAGCACGATAAACCGATGAATATGCGCCATCTCCAAGTGATTTCAAAAATACAAAATCATGTGCTGTTCTTTCGGGACATCCGTCGACAATTGTTTGCTCAATGAGTCGCTCAACTTTTTGGTTATTACTTTCAGCTTCTTCATTTTCAGCTGACATGTTTCAGCTAGAAGAAAAGCCTTGCTCTCAACAACACTGAAATAAGAATGAATTGAGATATAATAAATAATATGGGCGGCTGAAATTTTTCGAAAGGGGGGGGGGCGGAGTTTTTGATATAATCCTTCTTCTTCTTCTTCTTCTCGCCTTCTTGAATAAAAAGTAGGAAAAGAAGAAGAAGAAGAAGTAGAAAACATAGTGACGTGAAGGAAGAAAAGGAGCCGGAGCCGGGGCGGGCGAGCTCCGAGAGAAGAAAAGTGCATACAAGAATTGCGGGGCCGAGGCAGAAACATATGAAAAATACGAAGGAAAAAAATAGGATTTGATTTCTTGAAACATGAAACTTGCACAAACAAGGTGACGTTTTGTCGTTTTGGTTTCTTGAAACATTCGGTGTTCATTAGTAATTGACATTTAGCAAATTAGGTAGACAAGAAGTACGGTAGTGGAAATGTGAGCTAATTTTAGACTAGACTTTCTGAGTCAGCGCTGAAAAGAGCGTAGAAGAGAGATGAATGCAAAACTTCAAATGCAGACCGCTGTTTGCAGACCGTTAGATGCAGACCGTTAAACGCAGACCGTTAAACGCAGACCGTTAAAAGCAGACCGTTAAATGCAGACCGTTAATTTCAAACTGATAGAAGCATAATTTTTAAAGATTGGCTCAACGATTATTGACTTTTAAAAAATCGGAGAAAAAATTTAGTCAAAACTTGTGTTTCAATAAGAAAAAAAGAGTATTCATAAGTATGGAAAAACATATTTCACACACAAGTTCATTCAAAACAGTGTTTTCACTAGGTGTTTCCATTGAAAACCATTCTCAAAACTATATTGTACTCAGAAAATAAAGAAAAGTTGAAAAAAAGCAACAAAATAGCGTTTTTTGCTGTTTGTGGAACAACTGATAAGAAACTTTCGCAACTTTTCCTATTATCAACCCCTGATTATTTTTCTCGAAAGAAAAAACTGTTTTTCAAAAAAATATTTGCATCATTCTCTCCCGAGACTTTTCTTAATTATTATTATTTAAATGAATAATTCTCCCACGAGTTTTGGAGCAATTTTCAGAGCATAAAAAGCAGAGAATAACAAGCAAGCAAAAAATGAAACAAAAAGAAGACAAAATGAAAAAAAAAAAGAATGATAAACAAATAAAAAATAAAGGGCGAAGACGCAGAGGGTTCCCTGTTGAATATGTCAACAACAAAAAAAAAGAGAGCGCAGAGAAAAAAATCGATAAATGTGTGTGTTTGTTTGTGGCTGTTGAAACATATTTATTATTATACGCGTTTTCAGATAAAAAACCGTTTGGAAAATATATTAATTACATATGGAAGATTAATTGCATAATTAATTAATTAAATAAATTAACATGTAAGTGTGCAATATCTGAAAAATGGTCCTTCACATTGAGCTGGATCTTTTGCGATACATTCACGAGACTCAAAACCAATCATATTTCCATTGTTACATGGTTGAGATGATGCAAAGTGCTGAAAAATGTTTTTTTGCAAATTTCATATTTTTTATAGTATCCAAGGACTATGAATACAAAAAATTGTGTTTTTATTAGCATACTGTAGTGTTTTTTCCCCAGGCATGTTCATTTTGCCGGCTACGCCGCCGTTTTGCCGTTTCAAAAACGGCGACAGCAGCCGCTGCCGTTTTGAAAAGAATCAACAAAACAGCATGCCGCAGCTGCCGTGCCGAAACGCCGGCATTGCCGCTCCCATTTTGAAGAAATGTCTCGAAATCATCAAAAAATTTCTCCAAAAACACTATGAAATAATGAAAAAGATAGCTAGATTTACGCGCACGCGAGACTACTTAAATAAATTGTGTGTGCGACGGTTTTCGGGTTGCGCGCTGTTGTGTCTGTTGTGTGCAGGGGGCGGAGCGACGACCTTCTCCTTCCCATTTTGAAAAACGGCAGCCGGCCGGCATGCCGCGGCTGCTGTTTCTCTGCTGTTTCTTCTTTGCTGCTCGGCCAGCGAAACGGCGAAGCCACGCCCACACGGCTGCCGTGCCGTCCGGCCGGCGGATGAGATGCACATGCCTGTTTTTCCCCATGAAACTCAAAAAAAATTGCATTCTTCAAACCTAATTTTTTTGAGAAAATTTTTTTATCACATACCTGACAAGTTCCTTGCCATGGTCCCCAGACTTGTTCATTGAGAAGTTGTGGAATTGGTTCAGAAACAATTGGAATTGATGTGTCATCATAATCTTCACCATTTACATTAACAACAGATCGGATGGATTCGATGTTGGATGGAGCTAGAAATATCGAGTTTTTCTTGATTTTATATCAAAATTTCCCAGAAAAACCTACTAGAAGTGGTTGGAATAATCGATGGACAATTTTGAACCTGCATCAAAGCGCCCAAACATTTTCTCAAATTCAAACAACGTCTTCGTCGAATTTGACGTTCTTGGCTTTTTGTGCATGGTGTCCAATCGGACCATTCTGAGAAATAATTCTCCTCTTTTTCTTCTACTTCTTCTTGAGCTTCTTCAACTTTTTGAATATTCAATTTCTTTTCAGTTTTTTCACTCTTTAAAGCTTTGTATGTTTTTGATGCAAAGTTCTTTGGATTCTTCTTGATTTTTTTGATTGGTTTTTGAACTGGTTTTGGAGTTGTTGTTGTTGTAACTTCTTCTTCTTCCTCTTCCTCTTCCTCATATTCAGCTTCTTCTCCTCCCTCTTCAGCACCTTCTTCCTCTTCAGCAGCTTCAGTTTCTTCTTCTTCCACAGGAGCTTCTTCAGTGGTGGTTGTTGTTTTTTCAGTGGTGGTAGTTGTTGAAACAGTTGTAGCTTCTTCCTCTTCTTCTACAATTTCTTCTGAGTTTCCAGAAGCTTCTACAACTTCAGATGGATCGCATCCATTTTGGAAATATACAACTTTGTCATTTTCTTCTTTTGAAAAAGCCGCTGGTTTTGTCAAAGCACTTTCCTTGTTTGTGATACATTCTCCATCTTCGTAGAAGTACATGGCAGACTGGAAAAAACAATTTTATCGGTTTGCATTTAACGGTCTGCGTTCAACGGTCTGCAAACAGCGGTCTGCGTTTAACGGTCTGCGATCAACGGTCTGCATTTAACGGTCTGCAATGAACGGTCTGCATTTAACGGACTGCGATTTGCTGTCTGCATCTAGCGGTCTGCTATAAGCGGTGTGCACCTAGAAACTGCTACCCCTCCCTTCCTCCAATATTTTTCCACTTACTAAACATCCTTGCTCTTGAATACATTGTGCAATGCAAAGTTCAATTGAATCAACAAGAGTCAAATTAGCAGCATACCCAACCAAAACACTTTGATCAACTCGAATAAATTGAGAAGCAGAGCATTGTGGGAGATTTTTTGGAAGGCAAACTTTCTCAAAATAACGTTTTCCCGCTGAAGGTGAAATCTCTGACTCTCCCAATGGAACTGATTTTTCTTTGTAAATTGTGCAGCTAAATGTGGAATGATCATAACTGAAAGATGAGCAATCGATTGGTCGCTCAAATTCATCACGATTTTGATGGCAAATTCTCAAACATTCATCTTCTGATGTATCTTTGTATACAATTGCATCTTGTGATTTCAAAACAGTGTTATCGCTGACAAAAAATCCGGAATTTTCGCAACCTCCTGGAAAAATGTTTTCTAGGTCAATCGCAACATTTTATCATGTTCAAATAAACGAGCGGGGGGTTTTCACTTTTTTTCTCACAGAATTCCCCTTTCAAAAAGGAATGGTTTTTATATATAAAGAAAAGGGCTGTTAACTTTTACGATTTCCTTTCTAAAAGCTTTTTTCGAAAAAGGAAAAAGATCCCTTAAATTTTTTATTATATATATATATATATATATGTGTGTTGTGTTTATTAGTTTTTGAACGAGAATTTTTTGAGACGCAAAAACTAATAAACTTTTAAGACAATAAACAATTTGAAACGCATTTCCGAAAAAAATGGAAGAACAAACCTTTGAGTGGCAAATTTTTAGCACTAACAGAATAAAGAAATAAAAGAGCTAGTTGGAATTTCATGCTAATAGAATCGAAATCCAAATAAAATCAAAGCCACCTAAATCCACGGTTTTATGAATGTGTCTATGCCTAAAAAGAGGTCAAATTATCGCGTTTCGCGCGCGCTACAGTCAACAACGACAACAATCTGCCCCGCCCATTTTATATCTTCATCTTTCTCTTTTTTGGGAAGGGATGTTTTCGATTAAGTTCGTTCGTTTCGTTTATAATTTTCATTTTCATCCGGGGTGTTCCGGTTTGACGATGTTTTAACAAGATAACCGTTTTTTTGTTGGTTCGTTTTGTTCTCGCTAAAAACTTGATAAAACTGGATATTCGAGAATTTATTGGAGCATCAATTTTATTTACAACAAGAAGAAAAAAAATAGCAGAGATAAATTAAAATAGCGTGCTTCCTTTAGTTTGCTTGTGAAGTTCAATTATCTGCAAAAAAATTTATTTTTAATATAACTACGGTAGTTTTTTTCTCAATAATAATTATCCCACGTATTTTTAATTGGGGGTTTGCATGTTTGAACTTCAGAAACGAAGTACGGTAATCTAACATTCAAAAATAAACAATCTTACGTCTTGCTCTTTGTTGCAATAATTTGGCACGATCTTGTCCTTCATTCATACTTCCATTATCTGGACAAGTTCTTTCAACAATACATAAATATTCCTGAAGTTGTTCGGCTGAATATGTCGAATAATTCAGGTTTATTGGTACTATTTGAATGATTTTCCAGCCGTCGCTCATTGCTGAAACCACTGATGCCAACTCATCTTCGTGGCATTGTAAAACACGATAGACGAATTTTACGACCGGCTGAAATTGGGGATTTTTTTGTTGGGTCTTTGCTATGTTGTGAAAGCATGCGGCGGCAAAAAAAATTCAGTCTGCGTTCAACGGTCTGCAAAAGCCCCTCCCTTCTCCAAAAAAAAACAACAAACCGAATTGTCTTTGCCATTTTCTCTTTCCTGGATTCGATCCATCAAAAGCTGACTTAAAGCTGGCAGATTATAAAAATCGGCCTCAGCAAGAATACCTTCTTCAGAAACGCCAGGATTTAGGATAAGCTTGCCATGTCGTAAATAATTCAAGATTGGCGAAAAAAAATCGGAATCTCTATCGATCAAATATGCGCCAGTTTCGTCCTAGAATTATTTATTAATTTTATATATCCATAATTTTTCATTTTTCTCGGAGAGGATTTAGTAAGAAATAAAAAAGAAACCTTATCTGTTGAGAGTCCTAATTCGTCTTGACAAATTCTATATAGAAATGAGCCAGGTTCTCGCATCAAAGTTGAGCGAGTTGTTTGAAAAATCCTTCCACCAACATTTAATCGAACCCAACTTGAACTTCGGGAAGTATTTGAAGAACTTGTTGCATTTGGCATTTCCACATCCACAAATTTTTCCGATGACGAAGAAGACGCTGAAACATTGAATTCCAAAAAAATAAATAAAATTCCCAAAACTCACAAGTCTCGTTCGTAAAATCCATTCAAAAATTGAAGAGCTCCAACTAAATAGAAATAAGACAAGGAAAAAAATAGATTTATGAAAAGGAAAAAAAATGCAAAGAGGGGAGGAGCTTTGGCAAAACAAGCAACACACAAAGGGACGCGGTGTAAGACCCGATGTTCGCTAAAATGCAGGCAGGCGGAGTGTTGTTTGAGTCCCTGTGAGATATATGAACCATTGTCTCTGTATTTAACTGTGCAAAACACTTCTGCAAGCAACGGTCTGCAAAGAACAGTCTGCGATTAACGATCTGCGATTAACGGTCTGCGATTAACGGTCTGCAATTAACGCTTTGCAAAAAGCGGACTGCAAAAACGGTCTGAGAATAGCGGTCGGAAAATTGCAATTAATTTTCTGAAAATCCTTAACATCCCAAAAAACTGCAATTTCAAACAAATCAAAAATCATATACTTTATTAAAATGACACGTTTGAACATATATGTAAATAAAAATTAATTGAAATATCCAAAAATGCAATTTTATTCAATGACAGTGTTTGGTGGTTGATCCCACATTTGTGTAACTGATATAAGTTGAGTGAAAACCAATGACAAAGGTGTTTTGAAAGCTGTTCGAACTTTGCGTTGACGTTGGCAAGTCAGAATTTGTTTGAACGCTCGTCGAAAATCTCGAGAGAATCGTGAATAGATAAATGGATTAAGCATCGAATTCAAATGTCCAGCCCAAGTCACAAATGTGAAAATTGCCTCTCGATTCAGGAAATACTACAAAACACACATTTATCTTCTTCATATTTTTTTTCTAAGACAAAGAGAACCCACAAATTTGTCATAGAAAATTCAATTTCCGCCAAAAATGTATGTATATGTAAATTTCCCCCCTCTTTTTTTGGACCCAAAGTACAAGTACATACCGCTTGTCCGCAAAATGCAGACAATGGCGAAAAAACGAAGAATGGTGTCCAACATAAAATAAATGCACCGACAACAATTGAAAGGGTTCGAGCGGCTCGTTGTTCGTGCACGTAACGCATCATTTGACGCGATTTTTCACGCACATTTAATTTTCGACGGGTGCCTGGGGAAACCACAGAGGATGAATCCTAAAAAAAATAGAATGAGATTTTTTATTGGTTTATATAGCATTTTGTGCTTTAAGGGAGCTTTATGAAATTTTAGGAGATCAGAGGATTTTATAAGGCTTCAATAAACTTCAGAAGGATTCAGAGAGCTTTAAGGGACTTTAAGAGGCTCCAAAAGGCTTCAGGAGGCTTTTTAAACTTCCTTACCGTTTCAATAGTCAAAGTAGCTGCAGATCTAGTCGTATTACTAGTAGCTGATCGAACTCTAAACATTCCCCCAGGTAAACTATCAGAATTTGCAGTGTCATTTCTCAGCAAAGGTTGACGAGATTCGGCTGCACCATTTCGATCATTCAACGATTTACAAGACACCTGAATTAATTTACTAATGGTTTTCAAATAGTTTTTTAAATACCTGTTTGAAAAGAAGCCTAGTGGTCTCTCGATTATTGTTGTTATTATTAATATGATTTTTTCCACTTCGCATACTTGAACTGTTTTTATTACCCCTTCCAAAATGTACACGTAACTGCGGCTCATTTTCACTGGATAATATACTTTCAGTATCTGTGTTTGCACGTTTCACCCCACTTTTACTTTTGACCTAAAATAAAAATAAATAAAAATTGTTGTTTTTCTTTTCTACGCCAACTTACACTAACTGTTTTTACCCCTTTTCTCATTCCTCTTGAATGCCTCGTTGCAATAATGAAAACTTTTCCATAAGCGAATAGAATTAGACCAAGTGGAATGAAAAATGAGATGAGAGATGAGAAGCCAACATACATACTTGAATCGGTGAAGTCGCATTTTCTTGAATCCAAATATAAGTGTGGAGATGTTGTACGCCAATAGAGAATTGCTGGGAATGATAGAAATGCTGACATTACCCACACTAACAGAATTGCTATCAAAATTCGTCGTTTTGACACTTTATCTCGGTATCCTATTGGATCTTGACCAGCCATATATCTGCAAGAAGTCTTTGCATTTAGGAGTCTGTAAACAACGGTCTGCGAACAACGGTCTGCAAACAACGGTCTGCAAACAAAGATCTGCAAAAATCGGTGCGAATAACGGACTGCAATCAGCGGTCTGCAATTAACTGTCTGCAAACAGCGGCTTGCATTGAGACCTCCCTCTAACAAAACTTGACGCGCTGAAAACCATGCTCGCAAATTCTTAGCTCAATATGAGTAATGCAAAATTTTGACTGTACGCATACCTATCCAAACTAATAACACACAAATTCCAGATGCTAGCCGTCGACGCCAAAATATCCATAGCATGAAAAAAATCGCACATTGTCAAACCAAGCAACCAAACATGATTAGTCATTTCAAACAACGAATTCAAAGGCATCACAACTAATCCTACAATAAGATCAGCGATTGCCAAAGAAATGATGAGATATCTGCAAAAATACATGTTTTTTTGAAAGATCTTTGAATCTTTATACAATTCCAATTTTTCAAATGGACTCTCGGGTTTTTTGGACGAAAAAGGAATAGATGAATCTAATGTAATTAGGTGGGTGTCTGATTCTTGAATTTTTTACAAGATTAACCTTTGGATTTGTGGGGGTGTAATACACTATATGTGAAGAAAAAAAGCTTACCCTGTTGGATTTCTCAAATATTTTTTAGTGCAAACTGCAATCACTACAAGCACATTTCCAGCAACTGTCAGAAGACAAATTGTGATGAGCAATAATGCAAATAATGGATTTCGCCATTTGATCTCCTCAGGAACTTTTCCCGTTTGGTTTTCCATTCTAAAGAAAATATATAGAGATGATCACCAGAAAAAAAGCATAAACATGAGAAAAATAAGATTTTCTTCAGCGCTAAATGAAATTTCGCCCCGGAAAAATTGTGTATTTTTTTGGTCACAGAGAAACAAGAAAATTTCGACAAAAAATTATGTGGCAAAAAAGTGGAGGAAAAAACTCAATTTTTTTCCGTCCCTTCCTAGGTTTTGAACAAAAAAACTCGTCTTGGAAGACGACAATTCAATTTTTTTTGCGAAATTGGCATATGTATGTGATTTTTTCCGAAGATGGAAAATTCTCCTAAATGAGTTCTGAAGAAAGAGAAAATCTATGTTGAACCAGCAAAAAAAACAGAGAAACACGTAAAATGAGACAAATGCAACTTGATTCTCATTAAAACCATTGAAATATGATATTTTTTTCGCTTGTCCAACACAAATAAATCAAATTCATTACAAGTCATTTACGGAGAGCATATAAATAATAAAAAATTGCAGACCGTTAAATGCAGGCTAATGTTCAATGAAAATAATAACGCCACTTGACGGTCTGCAAACAGCGGTCTGCAAACTGCGGTCTGTGTACAACGGTCTGCTATCAACGGTCTGCGTTTATTTACAAGACATTTACGAAGAACAAAGAAAAATAATAATCAAATTAACTAAAGCATATGATCCAAAAAAATAATAATGTTATATTTTTTTCAAGATTAGTCACTTATTTATTTATTAATTCATTCATTCACTGAAGAAATGAGCAAAAAAATAAAAATAAAATAACATTTTTGTTCAGGAAAAAATATCTCAGATTACAACATACAAAAGAGTTTAAAAAACAAGAAAAATGGAGTTTTTCTGCTCCTGGAATAAAAAAGTGTGTGAATAGGAATAAAATATTGAATTTCTTCTCTTCTCCCCAAAAAAAACTAACTATTAGGCTAATTACATCATTTTTGCCTCATTGAGAGAGAAAAGAAAGGAAATATATAAAAGAAAATATGAAAATATCAACAAAATATAAAAGAGAAGAGGCAAAAAATAATTGAGCACAAAAATTTCTCCAAACCGCAAATAATGGACCCCAGAGCACATCCAAAAAACGCAAAGGCAATCTCGAAAAAAAAGTAAATTAAGTCAACTTTAGTCAGTCTGATAGGATTTTGGATTGAATTGGTTTTTTTTCTTCGTTTTTTTTGTCTTTTTGAAGGAGAAAAATTGGACATTTTTCTCATCGATAATCTTCAAAATAACAACATTGTTTTTATATTTTTTCCTGGAAAAACGAGGACAGAAAAAACAAGTGCAATATGTTATGCAGTTTTTTTTGAACAGTCTCTAATCGATAATTTTTTACATTTGAAAATGATTCATGAGAAAAACTATAAATCTAATTTTTTTAAAGAGATTCGGAGAAATAATGAACGGTCTGTGATTAGCGGTCTGCAAATAACGGTCTGCAAACAGCGGTCTACAACAAACGGTCTGCATTAAACGGTCTGTGTTCAGCTGTAGGTGTCTCAACGGTCTGCATTTGGAGGTCTGTCTCTACTGTAGGTCAACAATTATTTTCTCTTAAAAAAAGTGAACCTTGACAAAAAATTGGAAAAAACGGAAAGAAAGTGGGTGGAAATAAATAAATAAATGCATTAAGGCTGGGAAGCGCACTAATGGTATGTCCATTGGTGCATGATTGCACATTTTTAATGCTTCGAAACATTTTTTTGTGTCGAGAAGCAGGCCGGTGCTTGAATCTCCAAAAAACACATGAAAAATTGGCGCGCAAAAGCTAATCCCTCTTACTTCTTGTTTTGGTGTTTTTTGTTGCACTGAATTCGAAAAGAGATTTATTTTATTTTTATTTTAAGAGTAAGAGAGAAACTTGGAAAAAATATAATGTTTGTCCTTTGAATTAAAATTGTATGAGTGTGAGAAATATGTGTGAAAAAAGGAAAAGTTTTTGAAACAAAAAAACCGTGGTGTCATTCACAACGAGCAGCAAAAGAGTGTCAAAACCAGAAAAAAAGGAGGAAAAAATGTTTATAGATTAGTCCTATGCATACCTAAAATCTTTTAGAGAGTTGGTTCAAGTTTTCTTTATTTTCAAGACAACATTTTTCTTTGGGAAGAAAAAAACATGAAAAATGAATAATCCTCCAAGGACATAGGATTACGAAAATGTATATTTTTTTCACATAATTATTATGTTGAAAAATATGGGATTTTCGGAACCCAACAAAATAAATTGAAACGTCGCTCGTTGTCGTTTTCTCTTCCAGGTTCTACTGTACTTTGATATACCTGCAAATGTTCAGATTTGAAAAAAAAGTGAAAAAAAGCTTACAGGTTGCTCAGTGATATCTCTAGTTTCTTCTTCCGCAAATTCTCGTTCAATAATCGAATCCAAAACTTCTTCCAGAACACTTTCACAATTTATACCAGTTCTAGAACTTATTTCAAATAAAGAAAATCCTTGCTCTTCAGCAAATTCTTCAGATATTTTCCAAGAAACAATTCTCTCAGTTTTTCTGTCAGCATTTGTTCCAACTAATGTTATTGAAGAATTTGGAGGCAATTTTCGTTGAATTAGTGGCATTTCCTCTTTTAGAACTTTAAAGGATTTCAGACTTGTTGAATTATAGAGAAGAATCAAAGCTCGAACATCCAACCAGTCTCGAATTGAATTATCATCAGTCAAAAATTCTTGGATATCTGTATGTGTAAACAATTTTTTTTCTCTTTGGGGAAAACTCTGTTTTGCTCTCACCAACTTCTTCTAACTCTGCTCGAACTATTTCACCACCAATTGCCCTTGTAACAACGTTTAGCAAATTTTTCGAAACTTGTTCGTTTTCGGAAAACGCATTTTCAGAAAGTCTTCGAATAAACGAAGATTTGCCACTTTTTTCATCACCACTTACAAGGATTTTGAAACGATTTCTGGTAACCTGAATTTTTAAAATATAAATTCATGTAAAAAGCCATTCCTTACATGAATTGGTGAATGTTCGGAGTTTAATAGAGCAGATTCTGTAGAAAACATATCAATATTTTAATTTTGTGTCTTATCAAAGTTTCTCATGAACTCTCTGATAAAATTGATTGACACAATGCGAAAAAAAATATATTGCGAAATTTGAGAAAAGCAGACCGTGCAAACTTAAGGTATCAGACCAAAAATTGCAGACCGCTGTTTGCAGACCGTTAGATGCAGACAGCCGAACGCAGACCGTTGTTTGCAGACCGTTAATGGCAGACCGTTCAAGGCAGACCGTTAAAATAACAAATATTTAATTATTTCTATGACACATTTATTACAAAAATGAAAATGAGAGATAGGAAAAAACCAAAATAATTGCCCAATTTGTCGTCGTCGAATATCCCGAATTACAGTAATCTCGATCATTGCAAAAACAATAATACCATCTAAAAAAATCAATAACTTGATTTAAAAAAACAGTAGACAAACCTTTTGACAGGGGCACTTCCGTCTTGATAAGGGAAACACATTTTTCCTTGAACATAGCTCAAATTTGTGGGATTCACTTGAATTTGTGTTTGATAGAAACAATCACTTTTGTATGTGACATAATTGACATTTGGTGACATTGGATCGATAATTTTCACACAAAATTGTGTAGTTTCACATTGATTATTTCGATTGTCACAAGTTGCAGCAGTACTGTATCTCAAAGGGTATTCTCCATGCCAACCATTGCATTGATAACATTTCAAAGCTTCTGGAAAAAAAAAATTCAGCTAACACGAATTGTTTTTCACAAAAAATCTTACCAGTTGTTGAGAGGTAAATAATTAGTATAAAAAACGGGAACCACGGCATTTTGGGAAAAAGGTATGTAAGTAGTAAAAAGAAAAAGGGAAAAGCAGATGTGAAGCCTCAACAACCTAACAAAAGAATTTGAAAGAAATATGAAACATGCGGACGTTGCTCATAGAGATGAGAATCTCAAATGAGACAAAAACGTTTCTGTGGAGTGGAGTTGTTCTAGAATTAGTATTAAGACACCCAAAAACACAAAATGTGACCGACTGTTGTCTTGAGAACACATCAACAACAAATATATTTGAAAATTTGGGAAGAAATTGGAAAATTAGAACGGTTCGAGAAATTTTTGCAATCATTGAAATTCTGAACTTAAGAAAAGAAAAATAAATCTGGATTACTGTGGCTGAAAATCGAAAAAAAAAGCTGCATTTAACGGTCTGCGATTAGCGGTCTGCAAACAACAGTCTGCATTTGACGGTCTGCGATTAGCGGTCTGCAAACAACGGTCTGCATTTAACGGTTTGCAATCAACGGTCTGCGATTAATGGTCTGAAATTTTTTTTTTCCAATTTTCCAATTTTTTAGTTTTACTGATTTTCTGGTTTTTGAATGTTTTTTCCAGAGTTTTGTTTTAAAAACCATCAATCGATGTCGCATTATATCAAAATCAAATTGTTTCCCAATTTCCCGACCGAAAAAACTGTAACCAAATAAGATAACAAGAGTTTCTTAAATCAAGATCTTATCAAAAATTCAAGACAACCAAAAAACAACACTACAAAAACCTTGTTTCTATTTTTCCTTTCCATTTCCATTTCTGTTTTGGAACCCTGACTTTTTTCTAATTAAAAAGTTCCTCTCATTTTTTGTTTTTAATTAAGACCAAAAAATCTCATCTCATCTCATTTTTGTTTTTGATCTCCCGGCTGTCAAATATTTTTGATAGAAAACAACTTTTTTTCATCCAGAGAGAGAAAATTTCGCTTTTTTTTTCAGAAGTGCAGTTTTTCAGAAGGGTTCCCTGGAAAGAAAAACATGCTATAAAATGTCTTCATTTTTTTTCAAATTTAATTTTTTTGTCCCAATTTTTTCAGTTTTTTGCTCAAATAAAGGAAAATCTGTGCTTTGCTGGAAGAAAATTCAATTTTCCATCCATGTCATCCCACATAAAAAATTTCAGAGCCCTAAAAAGTTTCAGGAAAAAATGTTCATGCTTCGGGTGGTCGAATTTAATTATGGCATGTTTCAACTAACTTTTTTTCTTGCAAAAAGTTTGTTCATCTTTATTTTCTCACTAACTAACTCACTCATGAATAAAATAGAATAAAATAAAATTTTTTGGCGAAGAAAGAGAAAAATACAGAGTTGTTGTTTTTTTGAGCTCATTTTGAATTCAATTAAAATATTTCCTGGTTTTTGTTGTTGGACCAAGTTTATTTCATTATTATTTTTTGTTCGTGTCCGACATTTTTTCATACAAAAAATGTATAATGTTAACATTGTGTCTGTCAGATGCATTATTATTATTTTTTATATTTTTGCGCTTGTTCTTTGAGTTGAAAGTTTTCCTTAAAGGCTTCGTCAAAATGTAGTAGTTCTGCTACATTTTGAAAATTTTATTATTTTCTTGTGTACTAGAATAACATTCAAATTTTCAATTTTCAAAAAAAAAAACGCAAACCGTTATTCGCAGACCGTTAAACGCAGACCGTTGTTCGCAGACCGCTATTTGCAGACCGTTATTTTTGAAAACTGTGTTTCAGACCAGGGATTTTCAGCCTATTCTTGCGGAAAGCTGTAAAATCCCCATCCCAAAACCAATTAGCCGTGTACTTTAAACAAATTAAACACTTTTCCCTCCTCACTTTGACCTTTTCCAGCTCCAGACAACAAATAATTCTAGACCTAGGCAAACATATGTTGTTATCTATTTTCTCCTCCAATATTTTCCTGAAAAAACTCATTTGTTTTTTTCATTTTTCATCCAATTAATAATCGGCTTTTCGTTTTTTCTCTCTGTTTTCACAAGTTTAAGCTTTAGTAACGAAAAAAAGAGTGATTTTGTTGGGAAGACCAGATTTTTTGTCGTATTCACGGACCATTAGGTCAGAAAGGTTTTTTTTGCAAAAAAATGAAGAAGAAATAGGAAAAATAAATTTCCTCTACCGTATAAAAGTTTTTGACTCATCTCAATTTTTTTGCCTCTTTCTTGGGATAAAATTGAAACCCCGGGGAAAAATGAGGCTAATGAAAGTTAGAGGAGAAACGAATCTAATTAATTCGAGTAACTTTGTCGATCGTCCCGAGACTAAATTTCAAGTATTTCTTTCTTTTTAACTTATGTATGTAACACATCTATTCGTTTTTTCCTTCTTCTTCTTCTTCTTCTTCTCAACAAAAACATGGATAAGAATAAAATGAAGAAAAAACTCAATTTCTTATGTATTTTTGTCAGAATGTATAACATTTTTCTACCCATCTTCAGAAAAAAAGTATTTTTCCTGAATTTCGAAAAAAAACGTTTTTTCCAACCATAAATCTCTTATTTCTATTTCAAAATCATTTTTCTTGTTGTCATCTTTGATTCAAGTGACTTCTCGAAATTTTGCAAGCCTAGGGAAAAACAAGTAGACAAATATACATATATACACACACACACACGAAAAAACTAGAAGAAAAATAGCATTTTAAGATTTATGAGATTCTCAAGAAAAAAGTTTAAATGCACTTTGTCAACTGGGGTTTTTACTTACTTTATTCGTATTTTTTATGTATGCTGAAAACATGCCAGATTTTTGTCTTCTTCGAAAAATGACAGAATCTTTCCGTATTTTTGAATAGCAGTTGAAATTCGTGTTCAAACAGCAGTCTGTTTCTAACGCGATCAGCGGTCTGCATTGAACGGTCTGCGTTTTCTGTCTGCTTCTAACGGTCTGCGATCAGCGGTCTGCATTGAACGGTCTGCGTTTTCTGCCTGCTTTTAACGGTCTGCGATCAGCGGTCTGCATTGAGCGGTCTGCGTTTTTTGTCTGCTTCTAACGGTCTGCGATCAGCGGTCTGCATTGAACGGTCTGCGTTTTTTGTCTCCTTCTAACGGTCTGCGATCAGCGGTCTGCATTGAACGGTCTGCGTTTTTTGTCTGCGATCAGCGTTCTGCATCGAACGGTCTGCGTTTTTTGTCTGCTTCTAACGGTCTGCGATCAGCGGTCTGCATTTAGCGGTCTATATTCAACGGTCTGCGATTTCTCTGCATTTTGCTAGATCGTTCTACCCAAAACCCGACATGTTTACTCAAAACAAGCTCGGATATTCTTCTTCCAGCTGTTCATTTCAAAAATTATGACTCTCCGGAGAATGAAAGTTCCTTAGGTAGTAGAAATCTTCTTATTTTTTCAGTGTTCTTTTTTTGTTTTTTATATGCAAAGGAAGGGAGAAAACAAAACATTGTTGTTTTTCGCCCTAAGCTCGATTTCTGTCCCCTTCTCCTTCTTGTCTTCTCCTTATTTTTTCCGATTCTTCTTGTCAAGCAACAAATATTCTGATTCAAACTCAATCTGACAAGATTTGCACTTTACTTTATTTCCAGCCAGTCCTTTTCGTGTTTTTTTTTCAGATTGACTTTCTATTTATAATATATCCAAAATTCCATCAATTTTTCTCTCTTCCAATATGAAAAAATTTTGAATAAATCCTGAACAATGAAAAAAATATAACTGAAAATAGGAAGTGCATTCACTATTTTTTTTTTCAAAAAAAAAAAGAGCCCACAGGTTTTTTTGTTACTAATGAACTTCTTTTTTATCCCTTTTGAGTGGTTTTTTTGTTGGTTTCGAAAAAAAGTTCAATTAGACTTTTTTCAGCTGAAAAAAACCAAATGAATACTGTACCGAGTTTACTTAAATTAGTGAACTTTTTCAGAAAGCCAAGCCCTCACTCGAAATGTTTGCCGAAATAAAAAAAATTTAATTTCCGTTCCTCTTTTCAATTTCCATGAAAATGTCCTAACTTTATTTGATTTTTCCCCATATTTTTACTCTGGACTATAATTATCCCTATTTTTCTCGATTTTCTTTTCTTTTTTTCCGATTTTCCTTCTTCTGATTCCTAAAATGGTAAAAGTAGGTGAAAAGGAAGGAAAATCAACTTTTTATCTGGAAAAAAAGCAGGTGAAGTCTGAAGTTCACAAATTTTTCAGTCAATATTTTTTCCTGACGTATTCAAAATTTTGTGCTACCCCAAATTTTTGATTTATGCATTTTTCTAATTTCTTTTATCCCAGCTTGCATTTTTTCCCAACCAGGATTTTTCACTTTTTTTCCAACAAAGGTCGTTTTTCATAATATATAAGAACTGAAAAAAAAGAAAAAACAACAAAAATATTCCTCTTCGTCTAGTTTTTTTTCTACTATGTGCATTTTTGTTCATTTTTCTAACGCGCGCGTAAAATATGAAAATAATAATAATAATAATAATATTTCTTTCAGGGTGATTTTTGGCTGAAAATCTGAAAATGGCGGGAAATGAGACTTGTGATGAGTTTCGTCATCTTTTTTCTCAACTCAATCAATATTTCCGGGACCATCAGGTTTTTAATGGTACTGAATATGCTCCAAAAGAGGTAGGATTATTTGGAGACAAATTTTCCTACAGTAATCTAAATTTTGCAGCTTGGCTACATGATAACAATAGCCTATACACTAATTATCATAATTGGAGCAGTCGGAAATTTTTTGACAATCTTAGTAGTTGTCCTAAATCCAGCAATGCGAACAACAAGAAACTTTTTCATTCTAAATTTGGCACTTTCCGACTTTTTTGTGAGTTTTTTAGATGGTGTAGAAAGATAGAAAATCAATCAAAAAAATATTTCAGGTTTGCACGGTTACTGCACCAATCACATTATACACTGTGATCTACGTGTTTTGGCCATTTTCGCGGACATTTTGTAAAATTGCTGGAAGTCTACAGGGTTTCAATATTTTCTTGTCAACTTTTTCGATCGCTTCAATCGCATTGGACAGGTGACACTTTTTGCAGAAATGCAGACCGTTAGACGCAGACCGTTGTTTGTAGACCGCTAATCGCAGACCGTTAAATGCAGACCGTTAAACGCAGACCGCTAATCGCAGACCGTTAAATGCAGACCGTTAGACGCAGACCGTTAGACGCAGACCGTTCAATGCAGACCATTAAATGCAGACCGTTGTTTGCAAACCGGTCTTTCCAGACTTTTCCGATTTTCAGAATAAAACTAATATTTCCAGATACGTCTTCATCATCTTCCCAACAAAACGCGAACGTCAACAAAACCTTGCCATTTGCTTTTTTGTAATGATTTGGATAACTTCACTGATTTTAGCTGTCCCTTTACATCAAGCCTCAGATGTTCTTCAAGTTTGGGAAAACAAAGATTGTAATATGTATATGTTCATTTGTCATGAACAAAATGCAATTTGGGAAACGGTAAGTCAGGCTAAATATGTGAAAATAATAATTAGTCAAATTTTCGTCACTAAAACCAAAATGAAATGACGAACCTAATCAAGTATTTTTAGACAGAAAAACAAAATGACGTGATTTTTTTCCAGATGATTATCTCGAAATCCACATATACTTTGTCAGTTCTGGTAACTCAATATGCATTCCCTTTGTCTTCACTGGTTTTTGCCTACTCCAGAATTGCAAACCGGATGAAACTTCGATTTACAAATCGAGCTCCAACTTTTCCAAATGGACTTAACATGAGTCAAAGGCGCAGGTTTGTAAAAAATAGTGCTCTAATTTTTGACGCCAAGATTTCTACAGTAATCCTTTATTTTTACAGATCTGTGGTTGAACGACAGCGTCGTACACATCTACTTTTGATGTGTGTTGTGGCAGTTTTCGCAATCGCCTGGCTTCCACTAAATGTTTTTCATTTTGTAAGATTTATCGATTTTTTTCCAAGAAAAATAAATTAATGATTCTGATTTTCCAGATCAACACCTTTGAAATTGTCACAAGTTTTTCGGTCGCAACATTTGGAATCTGTCATTGTTTGGCTATGTGTTCAGCCTGCTTGAATCCTTTGATCTACGCATTTTTCAATCAAAATTTCAGGACTGAATTCATTCGACTTTTTGATAGAGCTGGATTACGGTATGCACCTCTAAGCAAATACATTTTTAGCCGAAAAATTGCTATTTTGTGGGAATTCTCTAAATTTTCGCTCAGAAAACAATGCAATGTTTACAAAAATATTTTTTTACAGCTCGATTCGAATGCTAATTTTTGGCGATAATGAATTGGGCCCAAAAAAACACACCAAAACCGAATTCGAAAGTCGAACATTGTGCAAGCCAAATTTCGAATCATCAAAAAATACGGCAGCTATTGAAAATATAAATTTAAGCTTAGATGAAAATGATGAGCAATTGTGAAACTCTTGATTTTTAATATGGTCCTTATTTTTGTGTGTATGTGTTTTCTTGGTGAAAATGAAGATTTCTTTTGGTCCTTTTCGCCCACTCGAATTCCAGATGGATAAAAAACGGGAAACGGAAATAGATATATCACATTTCGAGTGTTTCTTATTTTTCCTATTTTTCGCGCGCCCATTTTTGGTCATTTCGTTTGCGCGCCAAATAAATATGGTGTTTTTCTTTGGTAGTGGATTCTTGGTATTGAGTTGGTTGATTTGGGATTCTGAGCAACGAGCAGGTAACACTTTTCGTTCGGATCGCAGACCGTTAATTGCAGACCGTTAGATATAGACGGCTAGACGAAGACCGTTATTTGCAGAGCGCTGTTTGCAGACCATTGAACGCAGACCGTTAATTGTAGACCGCTGTTTGCAGACCGTTATTTGAAGAGTGATGTTTGCAGACAGTTGAACGCAGACCGTTAATCGCAGACCGCTGTTTGCAGACCGTTATTTGAAGAGTGATGTTTGCAGACAGTTGAACGCAGACCGTTAATCGCAGACCGCTGTTTGCAGACCGTTGAACGCTGATAGAAAACCACAAAAATGCCCACCTATCCAGAATTTTTGCAGAATGCGTTGCAAACTGTGAAGTCATCTCAATTCCCGGTGAAATCATCCCAAGAACCTACAACAATTGTCGATGCGAAATCGAATTTCACAAACATCCCGAAAATCGCAGCAACATTCCTCTCAAATGCAAACCGCATTATCGAAGTCTGAAATTCCGTGAGATTTCATTTGGTACAGTAGTTCTTCATAAAGCCGTGGTTCGAAGTTGTGCCGGAATGGGCCAACGAGTTATTGTAAATCAAACAAAATTTGATGAAGATGAAAGGCATTTTTTAATGGAAAGGTATGTAGGTCAGATTTACAGGCCAAAAACATCTGTAATTCAGGAATATCGTGAAACATGAGCCTGTTGGATTTCGGAACAATATCATGCATATTTATCGAAAACCAGACGGTCATTTACGTTTCGGATAAAATAAGTTAACATAATATTTATTTATTTGATTCGTCAGTTAATAAAAAATGAAAAAGTTCACCCGAGTTGGTAAAATAGGCTTAGGTTTAAGCCTAAGCCTAAAGGGAAAAAAGGGGGATTAGGCTTAAGGGGGAAGTCAGCTTACGCTTAGACTTTAGCCTAAGCCTCAGCTTCAAGCCTAAGCATAATAGGCTGAATAACGTGTTTCACGCGAAGCTCTGCATAAAACACATGAGAAAAGAAGTGCAAAAAGTTCGATGGCGAGAAGAACAAATCCACAAACGATAATTGATTCGTTTGCACTGTCTACCATTTTTTCGATCCGGTTGAAACAGTCGATCTGAAAAATATTGATTTTCCAGGTTACTATATGGTCCTTTGAATAAAAACAAGAAACTTGGAAAAAAACTAAAGTCCTTTTTGTTTTTAAAAAAATGATTTTTGAGATTACTGTAAGTCCCTCTTGAATTAAAATATGAACAAAATAAAGCCTAGTTAAATTAGGAAAAAACTACAGTCTTATTCGATATTTCAAAAAAACCTAAAGTCATTTTTGATATACTGAAATATCTTAAGTTTGTGAGATTATTCTATACCCTCAAAATTCTCCAACTACAGTCTAGTTTGATGGAAAAAAAACTCACAGCCACAGGATGCTCTCCGCACAGATGCTCATCAATATATAAATGTTGGGTCATGTGAGTAGCTCCACAGCAATTGAGCACATCTTGAATGGGTTTGAGATTTCGCCGGAAATCTGGAGTGTCCGCTGATTTTGTCATCACCGATTCAACGGATTTCAAAAATTCGGCACGATTTGTCATAGCAAAAACAGTTGCTCCAAGCTCGATTGCAGTTAGGATAACAATGACGAAGAAGAAAAGGCCGAGGAGAATTGGAGATTCACAAGCGGCTCCGCAACATCCCAAAAATCCAACGAGAAAGAGAAGAGCTCCAACTGCCACCAAAATCCACAATGAAGCTTGGTACTGAAAGTATTGAGTTTTTTTTTGAAAATTCTGAGAGAGGGGGCTTTTTTGAAAATATTCTGAAAATTTTTGAAAATTTTTGAACTTTTCTAGAAACTCTTGTTGCTCCAAATTGTGGTGCCACAAACCCATGCTCACTTTGGCAATTTCATTAATATGCTCCATACTTCCGCCATCGATTTTCCTCACAAACTGATCCAAATGTTCCGAGAAATTCCGGTCCAAATTTGCCCAAAGTGAAAAACCGCAAATGAGTCCGCCACATATACAAATCAATAAATTGACAATGAAAAAAAGCAATTTAACGCAAGAATTTCCGAAACCATAAACCATTGTGCTGGAAAATAAAAAAGAAAATTAGATTTGGAATTGATAGGAAAAAAAATATACGATTGATAAAATATGGAGCATTTTTTTTCTTGATAAGAAAAAATAATGCAACATGAGATTTTTCTAAATTAAAGTTTAGGTTAACAAAACTCTAAAGTAAAAAAATCGATAAAAAATGAAGGCAAAAAAGAAAAAGTTTAGGAGAAAAAAATAGGAGAAGAAAAAGGAGAGAAAATTAATTATGAATGCAGTCTTTTCCCATTAGGCACTAATTATTGCGGCATCCTAGACAAGCCACACACAGATGTGTGAAAAAAAAGAGATAATCTGCGTAAACAAGGAAAAAAAGAATATTGGGGGGGGGGGAAAATAGGAACAAAAAAATAGAAAAATAAAAATAACACCTTGGAAGAAGAATGGAGAAAAAATGAAAACAATAGTGGGAAACAGAAAATATGTGTTATTTTTATGCTTTTTTTTGAATGTGACAATTTGAAATGTGAAATTATGGGTCTTTTTTTTTTTGAAAAATTGACTGGAAAACTGCGCCTAGCTGTCTATATCGAACGGTCTGCGATTAACGGTCTGCGTTTAACGGTCTGCGTTCAACGGTCTGCGCCTAGCTGTCTATATCTAACGGTCTCCAAACAGCGGTCTGCGTTTAACGGTCTGCGTTTAACGGTCAGCGTTTAACGGTCTGCGATTAACGGTCTGCAAACAGCGGTCTGCGATGAACGGTCTGCGTTTAACGGTCTGCGATTAACGATCTGCAAACAGCGGTCTGCGATTGACGGCCTGCGTTTAACGGTCTGCGATTAACGGTCTGCAAACAGCGGTTTGCGATAAACGGTCTGCGTTTAACGGTCTGCGTTTAACGGTCTGCGTTTAACGGTCTGCGATTGACGGTCTGCGTTTAACGGTCTGCAACGAACGGTCTGCGTTTAACGGTATGCGTTCAAATGTCTGCGCATAGCTGTCTATATCTAACGGTCTGCAAACAGCGGTCTGCGATTAACGGTCTGCGTTTAACGGTCTGCAATTAACGGTCTGCAAACAGCGGTCTGCGATGAACGGTCTGCTTTTAACGGTCTGCGAAAAATATTCTCAACATTAAAAATAAGCCTCTGAAACCACTAAAAAAATGCTAGGATCCTAAAAATATTGAAAATAATAGTCCAAAGTAAACATAGCAAAAAGAACAGTGACTTGATAACAAAAAATCACATTTTTTTAAATAAAAAAATCACCTTCTAAATAACAATAACACAAAAACATATGTATATACATAAGTGCACATACAGAAAAAAATATGTCCACAAAAAAAGTGGCGGGAAAAAACAGCACAAAAAAGCAGCGCGACAAGAGAGAAAGAGAGAGTGAGAGACTCTGAGAGAGTTAGAGAAACAAAAAGAGGCAAGGTCATTTTGTGTTGTTGGATGAATGCCAAACAGGTCAACACCGGACTTTGTTTTATATTATAATAGATTTTTATATTATTATTATTAAAACATTTTTGTGTACAAGGGAATTTGTGTATTTATTTGTTTTTATGATTAAAATATGGAAAATTGGGACACGAGCTATACTTTTTCCTGGAAAAAGGCAAAAAAAAAGAAAAAAAAGTGTATATGAAATGAGATGAGACAAAAAGGGAGAGGAGAAGATCTATTTGAATGATTACGTCTTTTTAGACCACCCAGGAGACCACATGCACAAAAATTGTGCTTTTATGTATAAAAAATATTGAAAAAGGTAGGGAAAACCGGTGACAAGCTAGTCGAAAAGGGAAAAAGGCTTCAAAATAAAAACGCGTTATGAATATTCTAGGTTTACTTCGTACTCGTCAAAATAAAGTTAATTCAATTCATCCGAAAACGTCCTTGAAAACATATTTCCACTTTTTTCTCCCCTTTCCAAAAAAAAAGGGGAAACCAGTCCTAAAAGCTGAGGCGCGCAAAAAAAAAGTGAGTGAGTGAAAAATCGGTTTTGAACGGGAGGAAAAAGTATTATTCATAAGAGTTTTGCAGCAGAAAAAAATTTGAAAAATTGCGCGTTTTGATGAATAGTTTCAGTGCTTTTGTCTGAAGTCAGCACCTTGAGGAAAACTTTTCTTTTGAAAAAAAAAACTTGAAAATTTATTAGACCAAAAATTATTAGTAAAAAAAGGAAAAGTTTAATTTCCAGAATACCCACAACCATATGATGTATAAAAAGTGTAGTTAACTGCATTATTCAAAATGAAATTATAATAATGTGTAGTTAGATTGCAAACCAAGGTTGTATCAACTGAACTACCGTATGAACCAATCTGAAAATTATTTATTGGGCTGAAAAATGTGAGAAATGTCCAAAGTTTTGAGAGGATCAGGAGATCTAGCTTCAGAAATTAATCTGAATTTCAAGAACTTTCAAAATGCGATTAGAGAATCATAAAAGTTCTGATTCTTGACCCCTTTCAAAATATGATAGGAAAATTCCAGAAACTTTCAAAAATTAATCTGAAACTTCTAGAACCTTTCTTTGAGAATCTTAAAGATTTCCAGACTCTTCAAAATTCCAGTAAAAAACTGACGAGTTGGTTATTCGAAATGGCTGCATCATTTGAGGTAACATTTCCCAGAAGAACAGCTGTTGAATTTGTTGTGGTTGAGCAAGAATAATGAATTGTTGCATTTGTGCATGCACTGTATGTCACATTTGCTGTATTGATTCCAGACACTTGGAATGGCCAATAGCAACAGCCTGGAAAACATTTGGGATTTTAGAGGGCTTCAGGGGGAATCAGAAGGGTTTAGAAGTCTTTGTGAGGTTTCAGAAGGCTATTGAAGATTTTAGGAACCTTTAGGAGTCTTTAGAAAGCTTCAGAAGGCTTGAAAAGGCTTTAAAAGATTTTAGGGGGCTTCAGAGAAGGCTTTCAAAGGCCTTTGAAAGATTTAACCCAATTTTTAGCTACATAAACTAACCTGTTGTATTAATAGCCTGTGTACTTGTGGCTACCGTAGTCGTTGAAATTGTAGGCGCACAAGAGTTAGAAATTGCCCAAATACAACTAAAAATCACCAAAACAGCTAGCATTTTCGAGATTTAATTAGTGAAAATGTTAATTAATGATTTCAGAGTGCGAAATGTTGCGCTTTTATAGCAAACTTTCTAATTAATTACAGATTTCACTTTGTTCCCTTCCTGTTCTACTTTTCTTTCAGATTTCGATTTCAATTTTTGTCTAGATCCTGGGACATTTGCTGAGCAATTTTTGAAAGCTCCAAAAATTTTCATTAAAAAATCACAAGGTTTTGAAAGTTTAGGGAAAGTAGAACGGATGTATTTAATTAATTAATAAATTAATTTTTTTCCTAAAATCGAAAATATATAAAAGGGAATCGAAAAATCATCAAAAACAAAACAAAATGAAATTTCTCCATTTCTTATCCCTAATTCTTTTGGCTATTTTTATCACCATCTCTCAGAATTGCGCTCCTACAGTATCTACAGTAACCACCGCTCCAAATTGTTGTGCTTGGCCTTTTACAACAAATTTCATCAATACAGCAAATGCTACAGTACAATCCTGTTTAACATCATCAATCAATTTTTTCTGTGTGAATACAGCTGGCAACGGGTTAGCTACAATCTTGGGAAATGTTTCTTCGGTTTCTGCAGTTGCCACGTCATCACAATTAATTGGAGGTTTATCCACAAATGCTACTGTGACTTTGGTTTGTAATACAACAACTGGATATTATAATTTTATTTTGCCTGGGAGTACTGTAATCAATTCGACGAGTTATACTACTTATGGGTGTGGATATCAAGCTAATAGTACTGTAATTCAATCTTGAACGTTTTTAATTCTAAATTTTCATTTTGTTTAATAAATTTTTCTCTGAAAACATTTTCTGGGTTCTGGAAGCCCGGAAAGCTTAGGAAAGTATTAAAAAGTCCAGAGAGTCTTGAAAAGCCCGGAAACATCCAAGAAATATCTCAAACCTTCAGGATTTTTCTAGAAGTCCAGAAAGCCCAATTCAGGTCCAGAAAGCCCAAAAAACTCCAAAGAAAATTTTGTGAGCCAATTCATTCGCATTTTTCCAGATTTCCTTTTCTTTTCCCAACCACCAAAAAAAACTTTCTCATTTCCATTTCAATTTCCATCCCATTGCCTTTTCCATGTTTATTTTTGTTTTTTTGTTGTTTTTTCTCTCTGTTTATGTATTTCAAGTGAAAAACGAAAAAAAAAGTGAAAAAAGCACACGCACACAGACAAACTTGTGTTGAAAATGAAACGAACGAACGAATGCCGAAAAAAAACTCATTAGAAGTTGAACTAACTCAGTTAGGTGAACTCTCTCCTTTTTCAGGAGCATGCACAAAATTTGTTTCAAATTCCTCCAGGGGGATCTTTTTCGCCCCACAAATGTTTTTTTTTTGCTGCTTTTTCTACTCGTGCCACACATAATTCAATTATTTGACACAAATTTATCCGAGCCCTTTTTTGTCGAGAAAAAAGGGGCGAAGAAACAAAAGAAATGTCGATTTCAAATAAATTAGATGGCGGATAGATAGATGGATAGAAGGCTGTGAAAAAAGATAGAAAAAATGACGAAAATACACGTCACGCACGTTTTTTTTTGTCAGGGAGGAGAAAATTAGAGAAAAATTAGATACACTTCCGGTTTTCTTAAGAATATTTCCTTTTTTGAATCATTTTTCTTTAAAAAATTGACTCTGAAAGTTCGTGGAGCCTTCTGAAAATTCCTGAAGCTTTCTGAAGGCTCTTGAAGCCTTCTGAAGTCTCATAGAGCCCTCTAAAGCCCTTTTAAACGAGATCCCAGGTTTGCAAAAGTATTCCATTCCCCCATAAGTTCAGCTGAAAAATTTTCAAAGATTTTCTCGAGCTCAAGCTCTTGCTCTATTTCTAGAGCTCTCTAGCTTCAAATCAAAATCCATTATTCTCAATGAATAGAACGCAATAAAAAAATCGGCGCAGATAATAATAATAATACATCCAATTTTCCCCGCCATTCTACTTCTCTACTACATATTCATTCTTATAATTTTTTAGCTTCTTCTTCTTCTTCTTTTGGAATCTGACAACCTGTCAAATCCACTTTTTTGCTCATTGATTACATCACATTTTCTCGTTTTTCAAAAAAAAAAAGAATTTCACATATTTATTTTTTTTTCGAATATTTTCCATTTTTTTGCGGGGGTTTCAAGAAGCCCCAAATATAGCAAAAATGCGAGGCCAAAAATACGTTTTTTTTTTGGCTTGAAATGAAATATACCCGGGATAGATCGCGCATTTTTTTTGTCTGTGCGCACATTTTTCATCTAGGCCCAAAAGATGCGGCGCGTGTGTGTTAACCAAATTATTCAGCTTCATAATTTGGTTAGTTAGACAAAAACGCCGCCTTCTTTTCATCTCGTTTTTCTACTGTATTCTTTTTTTTGCGTCGGCTTTCAGCGGAATTTTTCATAAATTTTGAGAAGCTTTCTCTAGAAACCACATTGAAATCTTCTCAAGCCTTCAACAGTCTTCTGAATCCCCCTAAAGCCTTTTGAAGCCCACTAAATTCTTCCTCTCATAAATCAGCTCCAAGTTTTTCATCTTCTTCTTCTTGAAAATTTTCAGACCGACCGGAAAACAACTGCCGCCAAAAAAGGGGTGTTCAATAGATTTATCTTGTGGTTTATGGTCCCAATGGGACCTCAAGCGACCTGACAAGCTCAAGATTCATTTCTTTTTTTTTTCTCATTCTGTTCTCCGTGTGTTTTTTTACTCCTATCCCTCTGTTTTTTTTTGCGCTGCTCTAGCTGGCTCAAAGTGAATTACCGTACTCTCTCTCTGAGACTCTCTGAGATTTTCAGAACAAAAAAAAACGGCGAGCGAAATTTGTACTCTCTAGGGGTAGTAGTAGGTAGTCCGCTCTTTTTTCTCTCCAATTTAAATTTTCTCGTTTCAATTTGTCTACTTTTTTCTTTCTTTTTTTCTTTTTCCCGTTTTTTATCCAATCCCGAAAAAAAAGATTGCTTTTAACTGAATTTTTATAAATTTTTTGAGCCTTCCTCAAAAAAAAATAAAAATAATAAACTCAAAGACAGTAATCTAACTCAAGTGGTTCAAAAGGGCGTGGCCAAAAAAATGGGGAAAATTTCTTTTGTTTCATTCATTCATTCAATTTTTTTCATACATAAATATGCATTTTTTCCAAAAAATGTTTCTTTCGCCTTTAAACTGCAGAAAAACGTCTCAACTTGTCTAAAATCATATAATCTTCTGGATTACTTCCGGTTTCTTTTTGACATTTTTTTTCGAAAAAAAAACTTCAAAAAATATGTCTATAGGTGCATCTTCTTGCCAGCAAGATTCTCTAGGCGCTGCTCCTTGTCATAGAGGCTCTCTAGGCACAACTCCTAGCCAAAGCTGCTCTCTAGGCGCAGCTCCTTATTATAGAGGCTCTCTTGTCTTGACTCCTTGTCAAACTCCTCTCAAAAAATTGACATTTTCTTCAAGATTAATTTTATGAGCTTCTCCTTGGCAGTTGTTCAAAATGAGGTGTGTTTTGAACTTTTTTTGCAAAAAAATTATTTATCGATTTTTTTTGTCTGGATTGTGTGAACACATATTTATTGTCATATTTTTTTTGGAATTTTTGGAATGTATACAATTTTTTTCCCGGAACATTTTTTTCATTTTTTTCATTTTTTTTTCATGCTTACCGTATCCGAGTTTGAATTAAAATTTGTAGTTTTTTTTGGAAAATGAAAAAAAATCTAGTTATTAGTTTTTCCCCAAAATAAGAAAAAAACCAATTTTGCTCGAAATTGAAAAATAAATAAATTTGTAGTTCTCTCGAAGAAAAACAAAACAGCTTAAAAAATAAGAAATTTCATATTTTTTCTTCTTACACCAAGTGTGTTTTGTTTTGTTTTTGCTATTTTCGATGAAGAAGTTTTTTCTCAGAATTTTTCATGGCTTCAATTCGAAAAATTATTTTTTTTTCGGGGTAGCTAGAGGTTTCTGAAGGTAGCTAAAAGCTTTGAAAGGTTCCAAAAAGCTTTAGAAGGTTTCTAGAGATGGCTATAGGAATCTGAGTTATCTAGCTTCTAAAAAACACATTTTTTCACCCCAAAAAAGAGGGTACCTAGAGATATATATATATATGTTAACTAGCCGGGTATTTCTGTGTGTGTATTCCAATTTTTCCAATTTTTCTACTTCATCTTCTTCTTCTTCTCATCATTTTTCTCATTTTTGTGTGTTGAAAAAGGAGCTGCGCCGAGGAGCAAGAAAAAAAATGTGTCAGAAGAAGGAGCACCCAAAAAAAAAACGAAAAGAAAAAGATAGCCACGCCCACTTTTCGCCTCAATTTTCTTGTCTAAAAATCCATTCCTCCCGATTTTGTACCTACCTAAATACCTGAAAGATGCTATTTCCTGGACAAAATGCTTTAGGTTTGACATCGTCATCTTCAAAACTGATGGTTATATTATGGCGAGTTGCGGCTGGTATATTTTTGCCGCTGATTCCAACGCTGGCTGTTTTTGGAAATGCTCTAGTTATTATTGCGGTTTTTCGGGAGAGATCACTTCAGACTGTCACAAATATGTTGATTGTTAGTTTGGCGGTTTCAGATTTTATGGTGAGTTTAGAGGGTGGACGGGGAGCGCTTTTGAAGGGTTCAGAAGGGTTCAATAGGATTCAGAAAAGTTCAGAAGACTTCAAAAAGTTTTAGGAGCCTTCAGAAGGCTACTAGAGGCTTCTGAAGGCTTTCAAAAGCTTCAGAAGACTTCCGGAGACTTCAGAGCGCTTCTGGAGACTTTCCATGGCTTCAGAAAGTTTCTGGAGGCTTCAGAAGGCTTTTGGAAGATTCAGAAGGCTTTGGGAGGCTTCTGGAGGATTTTGGGAGCTTCAAAAAGTTTCAGAATGCTTGACCCAAATTTCTTGCTTAAAATCGTCTACTAGAATAAAAAATTAATAATGAAAAAATAAAACATATTTTCATTTTCACTCAATTTCTGGAAACCCACATTAGGCTCTTGGGATTCAAACTAGAGAGCGCTCAGCTCAGACTTGTTTTTTTTTCGTGTGTCGCTTTTTCTTCTGTGCATTCTTTATTCTGTGGGTGACGACTTATTGAATTTCCGGGTTTTTGAGAACGAAAAATATATCTATGTAGGCACTTTTCAACTGTCTGGGAAGATTTGGAAAATCCAATTTGGTTTTTTTGCAGGTTGCAATTGGTGTAATGTCATTTGGTGTATATTATGAATATAATAATTTTAAATGGGAACTTGGCACCTTTTTTCTGTCGATTATATCAATCATTAGATGTTGCTTGTTCAACAGCATCGATTTTAAATCTTCTTGCAATTTCACTTGATCGATATATTGCTATAGGTCATCCAATTTCATATGCTCAATATGGTGCAAGAGGAGGCCGTGCTATGATTTCGATCACAATTGTTTGGGGCGTCTCATGTGCTGTAGCGTTACCATTGTTGTTTGGTGTGAATCCGATGGAAAATGAGGTAAGTTGGGTGATTTTTTCTATTAGGTTTCTCACATCACTCCCCTAAAAAAAGACGATGAATAATTCAAGGTTTTGTATGTGTGGTGTGTGTGTAATAATAACATGTCACTTTTCTGGTCCACACACAAAAAGAGCAGCACTTTGAGCCTCAGCGCGATATAATTGCTCGTTTTTTGGGGGACCAATTTTCACCTCGAGAAAAAAAGAGAAGAAGAAAAGTATTTGAAACAATAGTGTGTGCTACTGTAACTGAACTTTGATTTTCTTTGGGAAGTTTATTTTTAGACGAATACGGGATTCAACTTTTTTTTCAAAATTTCTGAATCGAAGGGTCCCCTGATCCACCAATCAATAAATTTTCCAGGTATGCGAACTTGCCAACCCCTACTTCAACCTAATCTCATCAATCTTCTCATTTTTTATCCCATGTATAGCAATGATAATTTTATACACAATTATATTTCGAAGACTCAGGCAGCGAGAAAGAGCACGGAGTTTGAGGCAGGCTCAAAAATGTGATAATGATAAGGTTTTTATCTAAAAAATAATTAATTAATTAACTAAATGTTTAGATATCATCTGCTCTTCTGGGAGGCGCTCATATTGCTCGGCAAATGGGAAAACATTTCAAAAATCGAACAGATCAGATTCTGCTAGAGATCTCGTTTCAGACTTCAAGCTTTCCTACAATGTCTGAAAGTTCTGATGATGGATCTACAATTTCACCATTAATCGCGTCATTTAACAATTTCACAGCAAATAATACCAAAAAGCATGTTGCAAATCCACTTTCAAATATCCCGGAATGTGGGAGTATGCCAAATTTGGCTATAATTGATCAGAAAGATGATGTGATTCGAGAAGAAGCGGAAGACAAAGAAGAAGAGATTCGAAAAATATCATTGGCTGATTTAGATCTTCAAGGAACGATTGAACTATTAGATTCACAAGTTATGACAAGTTTTCGATCTTTTGGAGAAGAGTTAGAAGAAGTTCTACCTTTTATTGATGGATCAAATAGTGTAAAACATTCTAGAGAGCAATTACATCTAACTAGGTGAGCCTAATAAAATCTTGGTTTGAGCCTAAGCCTAAAGTTTTGTAGGTCAACAACTAGCACTACAAAATTATTGGATGCGAAGCCGGAAATTCGAAGTATTAGTGTGCCAAGTGTTCAGGATGAGAAAAAATTAGCGCAAATTCCAAATGGAAATATCAAATTAGTAAGTTTCTGAAAATTCTTTCAAAAAATCCGGGGGATTTTCAAATTCTCAATGAAAAATTCTAGAAAGCCCGGGAAATATCCTGAAAGTTCTGTGAGCTCTAGGGATTTTTTATTCAATCCCAAGAGCATTTTGAAAGCCCAGAAGGTCTAGAACTTTTTTTCAAAAAAAAAAGAATGTTTCAGGCTCCAACTCCAGCTCCAAATTTCGGAATTCTAACCAAAAGTAAATCAACAACATTGCTCAAAACCAACGGATATCTAGAAAATAACAACAACAATAATCTGAGCAATAAAGAAGATCTCAAAACCTTGACAAGCTTGCCAATAACATGCTCTTCCAATCAGACATCGAAGCAAAAAAGTGGGCAAGAAATTGAAGATTTTCATTCATTCAGCGATTCGGTTCGAGTTTACAAAAATCGATTATTCAAAAGTCTGAGCCGAGCAACAAGTGGATGGTCAAAACCGCGACCAACTCGGCATATGGTTAAAAAGGCTACGAAACAAATGAGAAGAGAGCACAAGGCTACAGTAACCCTTGCAGTTGTTTTGGCTGTTTTTCTGATATGTTGGCTACCATTTTTTATTCTTCATTTGACTAATTCGATTTGTTTGATTCGGGATAGTTCGGATGGTGGATGTGTTGGAATGTTACCTTTATATTTGGCCACTTGGTTGGGATAGTGAGTGATATCCTTCTAAAGCCTTCTGAAGTCTTCTGAAGCCTTCTGAAGCCTCGTGGAATCTTCAGAAGCCTCCCAAAGCCCTCGAATACTAAAAAATCCAAATTTCCAGCATCAACTCCTCTCTAAACCCCTTGATCTACACAGTCTTCGATCAACGTTTTCGAAATGCGTTCCGAAATATCCTATCATGCGGTTTAGTGAAAAAACACTGAAATTTTTGTCTTGTTCCAAAAATGTGTCATAATTTATTCTCTCATTTTTCATCATAAAATGTGTTATGTACTTACTCTCTCTCTCACTATTTATTATTTGTTTATTCCTGTCCGGCTACCGGAACCTTTTATGTATGTATATATAAATAATATAACACAACAACATGTAAGGTATTTTGATCTACCTACTAAGAAAATGGTAGATCAAAAAAAAGTTCTACTAAACCAAAAACGCTCCCGGAAACAGGAGCTTTTTTTTTGGTGAGGTTTCATCCCGCCGCCAGCCGTTCTCCAATCAAAAATCAGAGACGTAATGAATATGTGTCTCTTCTCTATAGGTAAAAAGACAATATTTACCCAACACGCAGCAATAAAACTAGAAATCCTATATGGGAGCTCATTTTCCTTGCCTCCCGCCACGAGGAGGCGAGAAAAAGAGGGCGGTGCACGGTGTGCAATTGACACCCCTCTCATTTTCTTCTATTGTCAACTCGCGATTTTGAAATAAAATATTGTTCTACCATCAAATATTGTTTGGTGGTATGGTATCTATTACTTGGCTTCTATTTTTCACGGTTTTTTGGATTTTTGGTAAGTTGTTTGAAGATCTTCTTGATCTAGACACTCTAGAAACCTCTAGCTATCTCCTAAAGCCTTATGAAGCCTCCTGAAGCCTCTTGAAGCCTTTTGAAACTTTCTGAAGACTTCTGAAGCCTTCTGATGCTTTCTGTGTCAAATTAATTCGAAATATTCAGAATCTGAAGCATGTGAGATCCGCGACTTTGTGCCCTGCGTAATGCAACTCAATTCCCAAAAAGTCGACTTCAAAATCAATCCCCTAGAAGTTATCCTAAATCTATCATCCGAAGCCAAGCTTATGCATGCCTGCCGAACATATTCTAGAGTTTTTCCATGTTTCGAACAGAAATTGAGTCAATGTGGAACCTCTGAGCAGAAATTACAATTGGAAAGGGGCAAGCGTGTTCATAGTTATTTATGTGCTCCGTTTTCGCTACCCAGGCAAAAAACTTTGATCAGAAATAGCTCGTGTCTTCAAAAAATTCTGAAAGAGCCTGAAACTAGAAGCTGTGATAGAAAGGGAACACTTTATGAGGAAAAATTAGCTTCTTGCAGGTAACCTTAATTTTTTTTTATCTATTTTTTAATTTCAAACTTACCTACCGCTTTAAGAGACTACTGTAAAAACCGTACCGATTGTGAGAACAAGATTGAAATGTCTGAAAATGCAACATGTAAATATATACAAATCGAGAATAGATGTTCGGAAGAAGCTGCCGAGTTTTTCGGACAACTTCAGCGGGTGCTAACAAATCGTGAATATCCAATGCAATGTCAATATGACCTTCGACCTGTTTTTCATGAATTGAAAAAGGGCATGACTATGGAGACGTCGACGCAAAATTTGTTGCGATCAAAATTTTTGCCGAATCCTTTTAGTGGCAGAACTACTAGGACAACTATGGATAATGTTTGGAACGTTAAAAATAGCGAGGTAAGTATGGGAAGTCTTCTGAAGCCTCCCAAATCCTTCTGAATTCTTTTCCAGCCAGAGCAAGTTAGCCCTCCACCTCTCCAATTTATGTTCAATCTTCCCAAGGAGCAAACATCTACACAGCCTTTCAAAGTTGAGATAAATTGGATGGATGATATTCCAAAAACCACTACTGAAATGACGGTTAGCTCGAGATATATTATCGATTGATTATCGATTGTTTTTCAGACAAAAACCTCACCTTGGTATATTCGATCAACTCCATCACCATCACCATTCAAATCAGTGAATCCGATTCTAGACCATCTGAAAGCGTCGCCACCGTTGAATTTGACAGAGATCGGAAACCATGCCAACAATTATTTTTCAGCCGCGTTGAATGCGATTTCAGAGACAAAAAATCAGATGGAACAAAATGATCCGTGGCGAACAATTATTGATGCAGTTGCGCCAACTATTATTAAGGTTTCGCCCGAATTTATACCGAGAATTCGACAGGAAATTGATCGAATTCAACCTGAGCAATGATTTATTTATTGATTTTTTGTTTCGTTTTGTAACTTATTTATTTTATGACTCTGATAAAACATTTTTGATCTTGTTTTTTGAGACTTCAGAGGACTTTAGAAAGCTTCCGGGTTTTTGCTAGTTTCAAAAACCAAACAGAAAAAAAATTTGTAATTAATTTATTAAATGAGTTTGATACAAAAAAGCACCCGTTTCTTGAAAATAACACAAAAACTGGAACATTTGACCCGATTCTTCTTCAAAATTCTTTTGTCAACAAGATGTTTCATTCACATATGTCGGAGCTAGAAGTGGAGTTTTCTGACCGACCAGGGATTGAGATCTGGAAGAATGGAAATTTGAAATTTGATTTGAAATTCGAAAAAATATTATAGATGTTAGTTAGCATAACGCAAAATGAATTAAAAAAACAAAATCAAACCAAGGAAAAAGCAACAGCACCTAGGACTTACTCGCTCGTAACCGGCGTGTAATGCTGATTTTTCCGAGCGTTCCATATAGTCCAAAACATTTCCGAGGGTTATGACGAGTTCGTTGAAGATTGGACGACGATTTGGATCGGCTCTCCAGCATGGTAACATGATTTCATCGTATCTGCAAAAATCGGGGGCTCAAAGAATCCTTAAAAACAAAATAATATATAATATGAGCAATGTACCCAAATTTCTCCTGAAAACTCACACTTTCTGCGGACAATGTACTGGTTTCGGCAATCGATTATTCTCATTTTCCATTAATAGTCTGCGTAATACTTGTAAATCCACATTTCCATACGGGACCCATCCTCTTGTAAACAATTCCCAAATCACTATTCCAAATGACCAAACATCAGAAGATAGTGTAAATTGCTGGAAAAAAGGTTAATTTTTTTCAAAAAAAGAACTTCAGGAATACTCACAATATTTTCAAAAACTTCAGGTGGATAATAAGAGATTGGCAATTTTCGATCCTGGATTCCTGCGTAAGTTTGAGTTTGCTCGTTGACTTTTCGACAAAGTCCAAAGTCGGCGATTTTTGCTTTCATATCACGATCAAGCCTGCAAAAATGGGCTTTCATTTTGGCAAGGAATCGTGACTTGAAAACTTTTATCTCAAGCAGCCACGCCTAGCTGGATGTTATGTCAAGTGAACGCGCCTTCAGAATTTTTATCTCAAGCAGTCACGCCTAGGTGAAAACTCACATAACATTCCTAGCCGCCAAATCTCTATGAACAAATCGTTTCGAATGAATATGCGCCATTCCTTCAGCAATTCCAATCGCAAATTGAAAAATATCTCTCATCGTTATATTCGCATCTTTATCTTTCAAAAGACTTAACAAATCGCCACGTGGCATATATTCCATAATTAAAAGTGGAACATGTGTCACATCTTCCAAAGCGACTCCGATAAGTCTTACAACATTTGGATGATCAAAACTGGCCATTGTTCTAGCCTCTTCATAAAATTCCGAAATTCTTCCCTCTTTCATTTTTTTACAAACCACAGTTTCAACATCATGATGTTCTTCATCGGTATATTCAGCCAAATAAACCATTCCATATTGTCCTTCTCCAAGAACATTAAATGCATCAATTCTTAAACTATTATAATCAATTTTCAAACCAATTGGTAGATCACGGAAAATTTTCACATATTGATCACCAAGATTTGACAAGCTTGATAATCGCGGAGCACTTGTTATATAATCCATATGATAATCATTTTCAACTCGATCATTTCGAAGTGGCGGACGAATTGCTGGTTTGATGTGTTGTAGACGATTTCGCATACAGTATACCAGAATAACTACCACAAAGCATAACAAAAGAACGGCTATAATTGTTAGAGTGATTTTCCATGTTGGACTTGCTCCTTTATTATGATCTCCAGTGATTTCTTCAGTTTGAACTGATCCGTCAGATTTTTCAATTCGATATGGAAGACTATATTGTTTTGAACCAATATTTCCAGTCATTTCGATATCTTCACAATCATTCAGAATATCTTTGTTCGAATTTTCAGTCTCGCATAGAATTCTGAAAATTGGAAAAGCTTATGAAGCCTCCATCCCCAAAACCTTACGTTCTATCATCATGCGATGAAACTTTGCACGGTGTTTCACAATATTTAACAACCAGATTGTTGATATTTTTCAAATCATCTCCTCGAATCATAATTCCAGTTCGATTTGCAAATCTTGATACCTGAAAAACCCATAAAGTTATGCTAACTCCCCAAAAAGAAAAACCAACATCCTGAACAAGCGGCGGGCATTGATCCGTGAAAATTGTAGTACACTTCTCTTCCACTTGAGATATTGTGTAGAATTGATAGTTTTTAGCGCACCACGCACATTTTTGCGGATCCTTGAAACCGCCGTTCTTCAATTCTTTGCATGATTTATACAAGTTGGCACAAGTCGCATTGAGTTTTTCGATGCCTTGAGAATTTGGAAAGAGGAGTTGATTGGAGTTGGGTAGAATGGCGAGACTGAATTTGTTGGGACTTGAAATTGGATTTTGGTAGAGTTTTTGATAGGTTGATGAATTTGAGGCTAAGAATTTGAGCATTTTTTCGCCAGATGTCATGAAATTGGATTTTCCATCGATGTAGAGATCAGTTATAAGATCGATGTTTTCTGTTGCAGGGATTCTGAAAATTTGTTGATTGAGGTTTCGAAGGTTGGATCGCTTTTTTGCAACTTCTCTGCGTCTCTAGCCTCACTCACGCTTCTCTATCAAAAAAAACCTACTGCATCATAAGTTCGCCTTGTAAAACATCATAATTTTCAAGCCAACCATTTCGATATGTACTACTCTGAGTTTCATCCAATTTACAGTTTTCTAACACCTTCTCTTCTCTCTGAAAAAAATAATGAGTTGGGATAACTCAAGGCTCTCTGAGCTTACCCCAAATTTCGAGCAAAGTGTTGTATCGTAAAATGTGTCGACCATTCTTGTAAAAATCATACATCTCTCATCTTCTCGCATTTTCTCGAAAGTTTTATGAAATTTGCAAGCTTTTTTTCACGTCCTACAGAAAAATTGTTGATTTATCTGAAATTTTTCAGCAAAAAATATTAAAAACCTACATAAATAGACTTAAAATCAGTTTTTTGGCAAATTTCCCAAGTCTTTTCCATTCTTTTGGAAATATTTGACAATTTGAATCTGCACATTGTGTGATTTTTGACATGTTCTGAATGCATTATAATGTCCAAATTTTCCGATTTTGTGTCGAAAAATGCAGCTTCACCTTGGCTATAGATGTTTCGATCTGGAAAAAATTGCGATCAGAGATAGAGAGCCTAGAAAAACTACCGTACATTCTTGATCACATCCAACAAGCACAGCAATCTTAGATGCTAAATCATCTGTCTTGTCATTGGCACAAATTCGAACCACTTTTGTGACAGTCACCTCGAAATCAGTTCGAACAGTTGAAAGCACATGATCTGGCTCAAAAGACTGGGTAGTTGATACGATAAAATAAACAAATCCGGATTTTTGGAAACTTTGAATTGCTGATGGATTTCGCATATTTGGTGGCTCCCAGGCTTGAGCAATAGCTTGCAAACTTCTGCAGAAAAAGGTTTCAGATTTCTAGATAGATCTCAAAAACTAACCCATTATCTTGTGCGGGATATTTGAAAAACGCTAGTCGAACCACATTACTTTCCGAATCCAAAAACGTCAGGCTCAACAGCATTTGCTCGGAACCATCGATTTTGATGACCGAAGCACTTTGAAGGTCCAGAATTTCTTCGCCATATATTTGAATTTTTGAGCATGATGATTTATTTTCCGAATATGTACAAAGTCCACATTGTGCTTCGTCACAATAGAAAATTTCGGATTTTGAAAACATTTTAAATTCTAGAAATTTTTGACGAGCTCTGTAGTCAAGTTGAATGATTCCTGCTGTTCGACCTGCAATTCATAAAAGGATTCAGAAGACTTTAGAAGGTTTTATGAGCCTTCAGGAGGATTCATAAGGCTCCAGAATTCTTGGGATTTTTAAAAACTCACGATTGACATCATTATTAAATATATGAATTTTGGTTTGTGTAGCAATCGCAACATATCCAAAATCAGTTGTTACAGCTAGCGCTTCTTTATTTTCCAAATCATTTCGATCAACAAAAAACCGCCAAAATCACCGGAATAAAGCAAAAAATCCACATTTTCCTAATATTTCTCATACAGCATCTGAAAACAATGAAATGAGATTAAATTGGTCCAAGGGCCAAAAAAACGAGAAAAAAAGGTTCAAAAAGGGAGAAATAGAGAAAATTGTGAGAGGACACAGAGAAATTGAGAGAAGAAAGAGAAATGTGAGGGGGTCTTATGTTTAGTCACACAAACACATTGGAAAAAACATTTATCGATTTTTTATCGCCACGATCATTTATGTTAGATAGATGGATAGACTAACTGACATATCCTTTCTCTTTTTTTTGTTTCGAAAAAAAACAAGACAATTTTTTTGCGTTGAAAAAAACTGGAAATTGAAAAAACGTTGCGAAATTCTTGCGAAATTTGGGGAAAAAAATTTAGTTTTTTGGGAAAAAAGTGGAAAAAATACTTATCAGTTAGTTTTATTCAACTATTAAATTCGAAATGAACATTTTTCTACATAAAATAAAATGTTTGGGGCAGCAGCGGCAGCATCAATTTGAATTCGAGAGACCACTACGTAGTTTTTGAGATGATAAGCGGAAGGTTTTTGGGGTGGGTGAAAATGTGACTAATTTGAAGAATTATGAATCATTTTCAGGTACCTAGAAATTTGATGTGAAACCTTCTGGTTAGTTAATTTCGTCTTAAAAATTTCTGAAATTTTTGGGGTTGTTATTCAGCCTCAAGAATCCCTAGGGATTTGGGGTCATAAAGTCTAGGCTTCAAACTTTATGGCCTTATAGAAGACCTAGAATCTTCCGGCTTCACATTTTATGGCCTTAAAATTTAAAAAACTTATAAGTTTAGGCCTCAATCTCAAATCTTTCCAGCTGATTAACATGAGTTCAAAAAATCAGACTAGATTTTGAAATTCATTATTGCTTTATTTCACAGTCCCCTCAACTTCCCAAAAAACATCAAGAATCATATGACAGCGCGCTACGTAATCCGAAAATTGTAGCATAGTCTACAAAAATAGCCATCCTACAATTTTTTTTTGTTGATTTCTTAGAAAGTGCGCGAGTACTTTAGCGAGGTGCGCAGAGTTTCCGCGGGCGCGGAAAGCATTTTTGAGGTTCTGAGGAAGTCCTGAAGACTCAGATCGTTTCCGCCTTCCGCTTCTTCCCAAAATCTCTAGTTTCATGATATTTTTCTCTATTCCAATGTTCAATAATTCGTTTTTTTTCTGATTATTCTAATCTAATAATGGATAATGAAAAAATGATAACAAGAGAGATTATTATTGTTATTGTATTACATCACGGCATGTCAGAATGAACTGCAATCTATCTCATTTCAAGATGCAACATCACTCTCTCTGAAAAACAAAATCTGCAAAAAAACATATTTTTTTCGTCATTAATGAGTATCATGTCAGAACAAGAACAACAGTGTCTGGGTTATTTTGAAAATGTTCAAAGATCTCGGTTTCCCTTCCTCTCCGATTTTAGCTAAAATCCCAAAATTCAAGCTGAATTCCGAAAAAAACTAATTCAAAAAGGAAAACATTTGATGCGATTAGCCAATTCTGAATAAACAACAAAATTGTGCGAAAGGTTACATTTTTTGTGCAAAGATTGGATGGATTATCTCTAAATTTCACTAAATCCCACCATTTTTTTGAATCAAAATTCATGTATTTCACGTTTCTCCTGACTCATGACTTCCGAAATTTCGGATTTCATTTAAATCTTCTTAAAAATCTAAAGTGCAAATGATCTTACATTCAACTTTGGCTGGGAAAAAAGATCAACGTGATATGAGTAATCAAAAATATCTAGAAGGCTAGAAAAGGTTCTAAAAGGCTTCAGAAGACTTTAGTAGACTTCAGCATCTTAGAGAGCATGCAGGTTTCCTCGAAATCCTTTTCCAGATCATAAAAAGTGCATCTGATCTTAGAGCAGAAAATTTAGCTGATGAGTAATACAATATTCATAGCAAAATCGCAACATTCAAATCCCCCTAGATTCAGATTTAGATTAACTTCCGATCGTAGTATTTTTTAATCTAATCCCGAAAGCACTTATCCATATCGTAGTAAAATATGGTTTCACTTTGTTTTCAAAATAAATATGTTTTATTCAATAGATAGCATATAAAGTACATATAAAAATAAAATAAATCAAAAATCAAAAAAAAACTATGTTTTAGTCAGTTGGTCGCAACAGAAAGAAGGATCTACAGTAATTCAAGGTATTTTGAATGAAATTTTTGTGGGCGCGGGAATTTTGGAAATATCCTGGGTGCAAAAATAATAAAAAGGGGCTGTGGGGATATGTGAGATCATAAAAAGTGAACAATAACCAAAACATTCCTAGGGTGGGGTGGTCGAAAATCTTTGATAGTTATCAATGATTTATGATGTGACACGGAATGCTTCAGAGATTCTCGATTTATTCGCATTTTTTGCCGATTCTTTGGCTTGCTCTTCCGATTCTTTTTCTTCTTCTTCTTCTGATTCATAAGAATCATCATAATCGTGATGTTCGTTTTCGTCCCAGAGTTTGTTCATCACAAATTTGTTAATTTTTTCTTCAGTTTTTGCTTCTTGCTCATCTTCTACGTCTTGTTCGAGTTTGTGGGTTTGATGGGAGGTGACGAATTGGTTGATTGGACGTTGTTTACGACTTCTAGCACGAATTACTGCTCGGATGTTACTCTTGAGGCGCTGGATCTCCGCGTCTTCCTGGAAAACATTTATGAGCTTCTGAAGAGAGAGAGGAGAACCCCTAGTGCACTTAGCCCAAGTCCAAAACCTACTAATTTCTTAAACATGCAAAAATGCTCCTCCTCATCCTCGCCATTTGGACAATCTCGAATATCATCGCAAAGCTCTTCAAACTCCAAATATCTTTTCGGCTCATTCTCATTGGTTTTTGGACAACTTAGAAGAACTCGACGAACTTCTGGATTGTTTGACAAATCTTCGGCTGAAATTTTGGATATTTTTGAGGGCTTTAAGGTTGAGAGGTACAAGGCTTACCAACAAATGGCAATTTGATGTGTCTTTTGTGTCTCTTTTGATGCTCTGGCTTGGCCACACTTTTTCCAGAAACCTGGCATAATAATTCTAAGGTAATAAGAAGCAAAATGAGCCGGACTGACATTCTGAAAAAATTAATGCTCACTCATAGAAAAAAAAATAGCAAGAGCAAGAAAAAAACAAATCGCAACATTTATCGAAACATACATTTATATTATTTCTGAAACCACGCCCAACACGTGCCTCTGGCAATATATTATTATTATTCAAATATATTTATTATGATTTACAATCTACTAAGGTTTCTAGTGCAAAAGAAGCAAAAAGTGAAGAACAACAAAAAAATATTAAAAAGTTCGTATAGGTATCAAATTACCCACAATAACGCAACATGAAAAATGTGAAAGGAAGAGTTCAGAAGATAGGATATTTCTGTTTTTTCTTTGTGAAGGAGCCCTGGGGCGGAGCTCTGAAAAAATGCCAAAGGATATTTTGAGAGGGTGGGCTTATTCTTCTTTTGTGTTAAAAAAAATGGAGAGGACAAGAAATGTTGCGATTTTGTTCATTCTTCTACTTCCGGCCATAGAAAATATTAAATTGAGTTTGGTTGAAAAAACGAAACACATAAATGTTTCATGTGAAAATAATGAATAATTGAATGACGTGTTTAGGGTAAATAGATAATACATAGTAGATCTATTTTTAGCCGCAGAAACATCGCATCCCACTTATTTTTCCTTATTATTAATATCTAATTTCTGAAAATTGCCTGGCCAGGCAGGTCAAAGAGATTAGTGACGTAGCAAAAATTTTTGATTTCGACTAACTTCCATTTCAGCGAAAATAAAACAAGATGAAAAATATTTACATTCAAATTGTATTTCTTCACAAATTGTAGTATTTTTCTATCTCTAGAAAAAAAAAAATACGAAATGCTATCATATAATTAAAATTTGGTTTTGTTTTTCACTATTTTAAAGGGCAAGAATAAGGAACACTTATAATTACCTAGATAGCTTTCAGAAGCTTTTGAGAGCATTCAGAAGCTTTCAGGAAGCTTCAGGAATCTTCAAGAGCTGTCTGGAAACTTCAGAAGAATTCAGAAGCCTCAACGAGCATTCAAGAGCTTTCAGATACCTTGAGGAACCTTATCAGAAGCTCTAGCTCCCAAACTAGCTAGTAAAATAATATGTTTTCCACTACTTAAAAGGTCATTTCGAAAAAAAGAACACATATAATTTATCCAGCGCAAAAATATGTAATTATTTTTTGTCTCTAGATAAAAACAGATCTAAAAAAAGACAAAACACCTCATCAATGTTTTGTTTTGTTTTGAAAAAGCAAAAAGCGCGCGAAATGAAAATGACGACATTCGAGCTAGAGTTGGCTGAAAAAACACTTTTCATGTTGTGTTGGCAGATATCAAAAATCCCCCCTTTTGTCATGTTGCACAGCCATTTCCTTGTAGTCTTTCTCGCTGATACAAACCTACATACACAAAAATTTCCGATACATTTTTTGTCTAGGCTTATCGTGCTTTTTCAACGAAAATTTGGGCACGTGACAAGAGGAGGAGAAGACGAAAAGGAAAGAAAACTGTTTATGATCGAGATCGTTTTTGGGCAAAAGCAAAAATGAACCGGAAATTTGGAGTATACTGTAGTGTCTTTTTCTGAGAATTTCTCTACAGTAATCCTGGAAATTTTGTTTCAGTAATTCCAAAAAATTATATCAACATTCCTCTACAGTAATCCTGGAAAAATGGGGCCAGTTATTCCGAAAAATTAGACCAACATACTTCTACAGTAATCCTGGAAAATGGTTGCCAGTAATTCCGAAAAATTGGATCAGTATCCCTCTACAGTAATTCTGAAAAAATTCTGCCAATCATTCCAAAAATTAGATCAACTACAGTACTCCGCAACAATATTTTCCCGTCAAATTTGATTTCCTGATACAGTACAACACGAAGAGGGAAAGATCGTTCAGCTCAAGAATAAGAGGTGTTTGACGTGGTCTGTGTTATCAGTGTTTATCAATTTTTGATTTCTTCACATTTTCGGCCTGCAAACGGAAAGTCAGACCTATAAAAGGCCAACACTCGTGCATTTTCGCTATCATTCTTTTCTTTTTCGAAAAATGTTCAAGGCTTTGATCTTCTTTGCTCTCGGTGAGTTTTTGACTTGAATTAAATGTGAGCATAAAATAAATTGAGCTCATTTTCAGTCAGCTACGCTGCTGCTTCATGCTTGAGTTGCATCTGTCAACGTGAATCTGGTTGTAAACCAATCGGATGTCACATGGATGTTGGATCACTCTCCTGTGGATACTACCAAGTGAGATCTAGGCTCCTAGAGCTCTGCAAGCCTAGTTTAGCAATCCAAACCCAAACATTTTTCAGATCAAAATCGGCTACTACGAGGATTGCGGTCAACCAGGAAAGAAATCCGGAGAATCCACCGAAACCGCCTGGAAACGATGCGCCGACGACTACAACTGTGCCACATCATGCGTTGAAGCCTACTACAACCGCTACAAGAGTCAATGCTCCGGAACTGGACAAGGAGCTTGCGAAGTCATGGCCCGTAACCACAACGGTGGACCACAAGGATGCAAACACTCTGGAACTCTCGCTTACTGGAATGGAGTTCACAGCTGCTGTGGATGCTCATAATTCTAGTGCTCTTGTGCTCTTTTGACTAATAAATATTATACTCTCGCAACTCTTCTTGTCTTACTGTAGATATTTTATAAGTATACTATACTTCTTCAAAAGGCTACCTAAGCAGCTACCTAAGCAAACATTTATCACCTTTGATGCCACGTAATAAATGTCAATATTTTTTGACAGGTATTTTCGGTTTATTTACCTAACTAATATTGGGCATTTATATCAAAAAGTGTATTGTTTTTTGACATTTTCCTAGTTTCCGCTTAGCGTACACCTCGCTTTTTCTAGCTAACATGAGCAATGTGATCGAACAATTGAAAAATATGATTGAAAATGGAGATGTGGATGGAAATCAAATTTGTCAAGAATATTCTTCGAATCCTTTACGACCATTGCTAGATGATATTTTGAATGAAAGAAAAAATATTTCGCGTAAGTCCGAAGGAATCTTGAATTTTTAGAAAGTAAATTATCTTTCTAGAACCTTCCAGAGGGTACCCTAAACATTCAGAAATAAAAAAAAACAAAAAATAAATTCAAAATTCAGGAAGACAACTGAACATTGGAGCAAATCATCTAGAAATGGAAGAAGGATCTGCAGAAATAGAGCGAATTCTGGTGAGTTACGCTGTGTAGCAAAAAATGAGTGGGTTCAGGATTACAACTAGAGAAAAAAAGTGATATCATGTGATGATATTCAAATTTCGGCTAATTTGATTTTTCCCAGAGACAACTCACATTTCCCAAATTCCCAGTGGCCGTAATTAACGAACAGCAACACGAAAATGATGGAGATTTAGAGAGACAATATTATGAGGATATAGCGAAAATAAAAACAGAGTTGGAAAACAAAGAATGCGGCTTGAGACAAGTTGGTTTTGAAACATTTCAGATTCAGCTGCAAATCAGCTCAGCTCATATTCGGCTCAAAAAAAAGCAGCTGAAAATCAAGCTATACACAAAAATATATCTATAATTTTAAAGGATCATCAGCGAGCTTTGGCGCAAATACATTTGGTTTTACAAGGGCAGAAGAACTATAGGCCGATTGATGAAAGAGTAGGTGTACCTTGGAAAACTAATAAAAAATACATTATCGTTAAATCTTATGGGCTTTTTCTTTTATTTTTTCTTGGAACCTATTTCTCATCTGTTTCAGCAGGTGATTTGAAATGGAATTTTAGAAGTATGTAGTTGAGTGTGAAGCCTGGGTAGCTGAGAAGTTCAAAAATCTTTCTTAAATCTCGTGAAGCTTTCTGAAGCCTTCTGAAGCTCTCCAAAACCCTACGAAAAATACATAATCGTAAAATCTAATGGTTATTTCTTATTTCATTTTTCTTGGAACCAGGTGATTCAAAAGAGCATAAAAATGTAGTAACCTTTTCAGAACTACATAAAAATCACATAAAAAAAGCACTTTTCCATTTTTTTTTCATGTTTCAGAAAAAAAAATGAAAATCTACTAAAGTGCATTTCAATGATGTAACCTTGACTCAGCTGGGCTAATTGATTGTAATCATAACACAACATCATCATTATCATTTATTTTGACATTACTATAATTTAGCCCACTCAAAAAAGTCAGCTCAAAAGATGATGATGAACTTTTCCAAGGAAAAGAAGAAGAAGAGGAAGACTCATCGTTCCAAAAATAACAATATTCACCATTTTCAAAATAGATTATCCCAGTTTAACATTTGTAGTATGAAATTCCGGGGATTGAACTTCAAAAGATCTTTGACAATTTTGCTCTGATTTCAGGATATGATTAATGCTCAAGATGGGATAAATCGACGGTTTGAGAAAACGAGACAAACTGTTAGGGGTGAAGCTGCGACGAAGATTTTGATGCTTAGACGAGATATTGAGCAAATGTGGTATGAATATGGGTTTAGAAGCTCTTTAGGCGCGGCTACTTGACATCAAGGAGCGGGTGCTTGACGATTAGGCTCTCTAGGAATGGCTGCTTGACAGCTTCACTGACTAGACTGCCTCAAACCAAATATTTTCAGCCGAAAGCGCAAAAATTTCGACAAACAAACGACTGAAATTCTCCAAAGATGGTTCAACGAACACATCTCACACCCATATCCAACAGACAAAGAAAAAGAAGATTTGGCAAAACAATGCGGAATCAAATTATCGCAAGTAAGCTAGCTAATGAATGAAAAAAAACGTGAAATTTTGGAAAATTTCAAAAAAAGTGCATAGCAATTATACCTCAAAAATGTCATGACCTTTTTTATTTTGCGGTGTTGTTCAAAAAGCTACTCTTTCTCTAATAACAGATGATTATTATCAAACTAGAAATTATATATTATTTTGTTGTTATTGAAAATGCATAAGTAGCCAAAAAACAAAAATCGGCTAATATGATGTTAGAGAATAGAGTACATTGAGATTTGATAACTAGACTCTTTTTTCCCAGGTGAATAATTGGTTTGGCAATCAACGAATTCGGACAAAGAATCAGCATAAGAAGGATGAACCTTCAACTTCTAATTCAGATTTGACAGTTTATGCGAATCCATTCACTAACTTTGCACCACCTCAGGTAAGCCTTTGTCTTCTGAAGCCTGGACCCAAAACTCAAAACATATTTCCTAATTTTTGCTCTTTTTTGCTCATTGTTATTCTGAACTCTTTTGCTCTCAAAACTGAATTTTGATGTTTTATCTATCTAATTTACGTGCAGATACATCGTTTCAAAATTCGTTCGAATACAAAAAAATTATGTACAATGTAGCCGCAGAACTGTTCAATGATTTTTGAATTTTTCAATATTTAGTTGATAAATTTTTTAAGGGAAAGACGGCTTTAGAAGGTTTCAAAAGACATTGGAAGGTTTCAGAAAGCATTAGGGAGCTTCAGAAAGCATCATAAGGCTTTATATAGCTTCATAAGATTTCAAAATGCTTCATAAAATGATAAAAATTTTTGCAGCTTTATTATCCACCGTACGAATATGATCCAAATTATCTTCCACAAGCTCCACAATCCTCTTCCAACAATCAATTCTAATACTGTGATGTCTGAAAAAGTCTTGTGATTCAGATTTCCTTTAAGTCCTTCTCTCTAATACTACATAAATAAAAACATTTTTTTTCAATTTTTCATAAGTGTTTGATCCTTGCGCCAAAAAGAAGATTATTTTCGAAAAGTCGACCAATTTTTTTTTCAGAATGAATGAATGAATAAAATTGAGCATTTTTTCAGGGATCAAAAATTGAGCCTTTTGCCTCACAACTCACGATGTGCCAATTGTCGCATTTTTTGAAAGAGAGCAATTGTTGAACTATATAAAGTTCAAAAATAGGTTTGGTTTGGGAAAAAAGTTGTTCAGAGTATTTGAGTCGTCATATCCCACACATTTTGGAAGTATCATTTTTCATCACGTATTTTTGGAAGCCTTTTAAAACCCTTCTGAAGTGATTATAATCTCGAAGTAGACTTTTAAAAAACTAGACTGTAGTTGCATGTTCCAGAAAAAAAAGAATTAAAAAATGGCGAGACCAAAAAGTGCGTGTCATTTTTTAGTTCCCTCAAAAATTGCTATTTTTAACGAACAAACAATTTTCCAATTTGAGGTCTAATTTGAAATTTAACAAATTCAAAGATCCAGAACACTAAATTTATGTTAGGGACCAAAAACATCTGGAAGCTTTGGAATCCTATAAAAGTCTTCTAAAGCCTAGGAAGTCTAGAAATTCTGAGCCTGAGCCTTTCTCCAGACATTTCTCCTTGATTTTTGCTCAAATTGTGTACTGGTCGTACTACATAGTCACATGTCACAAAAAGTTTCATTTTTCTTATATCTTCGAAAAACTATTTCTCTGTTTGTCTAAGTCTCTACACAAAACAACATACTTTTCTGATTTGTTTCACAAAAAAAAGTTTATTTTGTCGGCAAAGTTCAAAGAGATGAGGGAAAAAATGTGAAAAATATTCAAGGGAAAAGAATTTTTCAGAAATCTGGAATAAAACCTGAGAAATTTCCAAGATTTTTGAAGGAGAAATCTGAAGCCTTCTGAAGCCTCTAGTAAATCTGAAAATCCTGGAAAATATCAAAAAACTTTATTCACAAATAAATATAAAAAAATTAAATAAAATATAAAATCACATTTTTTTGGTTAAATTATTTAGTTGTTGATTATTTGGAATGTGTATCACAAAAATAAATTTTAACAACACGGTAATTAAAAAAAGTAAAGTACATTAATTAAGAAAAATGTCACTGGTAATGAGTTTTCATAAAACATGTGGTGTAAAAGGAGAAAATGAAAAGAGCCGGGATTTAAAGTTCATTTTTTGAGATAAATTAAAATTCAAATTTGATTGCACGGTAAAACATTTTAAATATATTAAAAAAAAAATACTTTTCAGAAAAATGACTGAAAACATTTTAACACAGGGATTGTTTTTGGGGGGATACATAGTAATTTACCACTTTAATTAATTAATTAGTTACATAATTAATAATAAGAAAAAGAGTTGTTCTATAACGAACAGTACATTTTGAATATATCGATTTTTTGTATAAAGGATATAGGGAACGGATGATCAACACTGATCAGACACACGATGTATATACATTTTTGGGTGCTTGATTTTTGAGTGAAGGTTCGAACTTCACATGTTGTAAGGTGGCAGGAATTTGTAGACTAGTCGCTGTTTTTTCTCGGGTTTTTGGATGATTCCTGAAAAAAATTGGAATTGAGGAATCCTTGGGAAGCCTCAAGAAGCTTAAGGGTAAGTACCTTTCTTGTAATACTGTCTCAAACTTCTCGAAAGTTTATCATAATTCATCTGCGAGCGATTCTTCCGCTGTCCCCAATATCTAGCCAACAACAGCGAAGATTCAATTTTAAAAGTGCCTTCATTCCGATCAACCCATCTCACACAAGCACTATATTGTTTTGGTTGATCCAAAAGTTCGCGAATAAATTGCCAAAGATGAACAGTTCCTTGATGTCGCGAATAGACTCGATCATCATCATCAACTTCCGAAGAATTGGTGCAAGGTGGAGAGGATGAGGAGGAGAAATTGGGATGTTGGAAGTAGGATGATAATCCGCATACGTCATCGTCGTTGACTAGAAATTATGCACTTTTGGTTTTGTTTTTTTTTGTGAGAAGAGGTTGTTTGATTTTTTTTTTGGAAAAGAAAGATAATGAGAAACTTGTGGTCTGTGATGTATTTGATAAGAAACTTGGCTTTTGCTCTTTATTACTGTATTTTTTTTTTTGCACAAACCTAAGAAGTATAGAGAGTTTAGAGAGCTTATAAACCTTCTGAAGCCTTCTGAAACTTACAGAAAAACAAATATTGCGACAGAAAATCACAGTGTTTTGAAGCATGTCCCTTTAAAATCCCTTGTGTTCTGCAAACTCACTATCATGACTTCCATTACTACTCGTATCACTATTACTCGGCGACGGTAGTACGGTATTTCCAGGAAAAAACGAGGCTTGATGATGATGACTGAATCGACTTCCGGCACCTAAAAATAGATCCATTTCTATGTACATATGCGTTGTTTCTCTAATTCTCTTTTTCTCTATGAATAGGCAAAAAAACTGACCGTTGAATGGAGGAGGAATATCGGCTACTGTCGCTGCTGCCATGTTGTTTGTTTGACTTGAGGCCTAAAAATAACTCTTGATTATTATGTATGTAAGGGAAACAATGCGGTATTTTTTTATATGAAAGTACGGTTTTTGGACAGTACTTCTGAAATTATCTATGAGGAAATCTGGAAAAATATAAGACCATGGCGCTATTTCTAGGGTTACTGTAGCATGGATTTTCGGGTCACTTTAAGAGTTACAGTAGTTCAACATTAAGAAAATTTGGTGTCAACTTTTGAGCTTAAAATAAAATGGTTTTAACCAATTTAAGATCCACTAAAGCTTAAGATTCAGAGTTTTAGTGCCAATTTTTGAGCTTAAAATAAATTGGATTTTGAAGAAATTTCAAGGGTTACTGTATCTCAAATTCTGGCGAAATTCTTCATATATCAATTTTGGAAGCATTTTTCACAGTAGTCTGGATTGTAACTTAAACTTTCGGGATTTAAAAATCGTCCCAAAAGCGCTTCCTGAACCAAAAATTCCAAAAATGTTCATCCTAGAAGCTTCTTGAGCCGAAAACTCCAAATTCTCAAGTTCTCGCAACTCACCCATTGCTTCTCCCCTCCCCCAATAATCGCCGCAGTCATAGTCGTCGAACTTTGCGATGTTGCCGGCGGATGATACGATTCAAAAGCAGTTTTCCAAACTTGCAACTGCGCATACAAAGTATCTCCACCTTCCGGCAAAAAACATTCGAAATCTTTTTGATTCATACCCAACAACATTCTTCCAGACGCGAAATAATGTCTGGGGAGTTTCAGATTGAATTGCTGACACATTTCAGATATCCATCTAGCTCCATGTTCTTCAGTCCAAATATAAGGATCAGTTGGGAGTCCGAGTTTAGCACAAGTTGTGCTGATATCTTGAATAAGATGGCGAAGAATTAGATCTCTATAGATGTCAATTTGCTGATGTTCTTGAGGACCATCTTGATGTTGATGATATTCCGAAGAAGTCACATTGAAGTTCAAGATATTCTCCTCAATCTCATTTTTCACGAGATCAGTAGATCCTTTGGAGAACCTTCGATTATACTGAAGTGGTTTATTGATTTGATCTATTCCGAATAACTCATCATCAAATGGAAATTCTGATTTGACAAAAGGTGTTGAAGCAGTCGACTCGGTTCCAGAATGCGGCTCCGGACTCAGCGAATTCCATCGCTGATTCGAATTATTCATTGAATAGTCAATCGGATAATTGAAGTCATGAAAAATTATTGGATTTTGTAAACCTGCAAATAATTGAGCTTATTAATTAGTAGATCAAAATAAAAAGTGAAACATACAGGTCATCGTCACGAATAATAGAATGAAAGAAAGAAGTTTATCAGTATGGCTCAAAGTTGGTTGTCACGCGAAAAATTGGGGAGAAAATTTTCTGATAAGTGACGTAAATCAAAAATTTATCAATTTTCCCTTTTTTTGGACAAAAAAATGAAGAAAAAGAAGCAGCTAGTGAATCATATAAAAAATTTCGTTTAATTGGCCAAAAATTGTTCAAAGAAAAAGCAGCAAAAGAAAAAAAAATGAAATAAAAAAGAAATTTTTAATAATGTTAAAGACCGAATGAATCATGGTTAGATAGTAAAAGTGTCTGTTAGTACCTGTGCGCAACTTGAATAGGAACAATAAGATGGGGTCCCCCCACCTCCCAGCGCTCCCTTAGTCATGGATTTTTCAATTGAAATACATGGGGTGAAGAAAAGACACGTCATGATTTCGAACTTTTTTGTTTGATTGTGCCGGTCGGTCTCTATACAGCTCAAAAAGGAGAAATAATGTTGTTTTTTTAATCAGAAGATAGGGAAAATTCAGAAAATTTTGCTCAAAAAGTAGTGGAAGATCTCAAAATTTAAAGGAGGGGATTTTTTGAAGATCCTTTAATTTAGGGTTATTTTTTAAGGCTTCTCGAACTAAGAATTATTTTTAAAGGTACCTAGGTTTAGGTTAAATTTCAAAGCTTCTCAACTTAAGAGTTATATTTAAAAATTCTCAGTTTCGAGTCCATTTTTAAAGTTTCATTTTCAAAGATTCCTAATTTCAGCTAAATTTTCAAAATTCCTTAAAATTAGATACATTTATTCTGCTCAAAATCTCAAAAATCCAAAAAAAAATGTTGTTTAAGCAAAAAAATAATCGAAGGGCAAGAAAGCAATTGCAAACATTTGTGTAGAGAATGAAAGAGGCCTGGAGCCACAAGCAATCCGGTTTTTCGCCTATGTGAGCAACCAGCCGGTCAGCTACCGTTTTTCCCCTCCCTCCCTCCGCCGCGAGCCGAAACTGACCATGGCATCAGTCAACAAAAAGCAGAAAGAGCACTTTGTTTTGTTGTGTGTGTGTTTTTTTTCTGATGTTTTGTGTGTGTGCTCCATCCTTCTGCTCTTTTTTCTTGCGCACTCCAAATAGCATGAGATATTTTCACACACACTGTTTGACCGATACTTCATGTCGAAATGGCGACAAAAACAAACAATTTGCTCCATCATTTTTTTGTGCCCGCGCGGGAGAATGAGGAAAATTTGTGTTGCCTAAGGGATTTTGGCAGAGTTTTTTTGTGAAAATGTTTCTTAGGCTTCAGAAGGCTTCAGAAGGCTTCAGACGGCTTCAGAAGACTTTAGAAGATTTTTAAAGTCTTAAAGACTAGTTGGAAATGAGTCTTGAAATGTGCACAAAAATTTTGAAATTTCGAAATCATTTTCGGATAGGAGCAGTTTTTCTCTCAAAAATCGTTTCTGAACCCTAAAAATGTCAATCACAATCTTTCCTAATCAAAAATAAACACAGTTCCGTAACTTTTTTTTCAAAAATCAAAAGAATATTGTAATCGCATCATATTACAACATGATTAATACGTATTTTCCGCATACTTGTATGTAAGGCAAAAATGTTTGTGCAAAAAAAAATTACATCACAGATAAGGAATGAAAACTGAAATGATTGTGTTTTAATCAGTAGAGGTTTCAGGTATAAACTAAAAATCGAGTTGAAAAAAAAACTTCTGAGGAGGAAAATGAGAGTGAGAAGAAATCTGTACGAAAACATGACAACACAGAAAACATTCGAGAAAAAGTGAAATGAGGGTGAAAGCCGAAAAGAACCAATGTGGATCCAGGTCATCCGATTGGAAAGAAGAAAATCGAAAAAGAAGAAGAAGAAGAAGAAGAAGAAGAAGAAGAAGAGAGAAGCCGTGTATTAGAAAAGTATTAGAAATCTGACCAGCAAAAAAAAGGAATAAGATGAATACGATATCGGGTCGGGGAATCGCGCAAGCTGCATTTTCTCTCTCTCTCGCTGATCCTCAAGATTTCTTGTGTTGTTTTTTTTTCACATGTCTGACCAGCATACTGTATAGTAGTAACACTTTCGATTTTTGCGATTTGAGGATTTCACTTTTTTTCTCAGCGACCTGTAATGTTTTTCTTGGGATAGCGCAAGACCTGGGAATCCAGGGGAACCTGTGAAGCTTTCTGGAATATATGATCCTAGTTTCCAAAAAATATTGATGACACTAAAAAAAAATTCGATAATTTTAAATTTTGTCCACAGATTAGTCATTTTTTAAGTTACTGTAAGTAATGAAATTCGAAAGATGTTAACGCCATTTTTCTATATACTGTAGCTCTAATGTAAAGCGCTAAATTTTCTAGATTTCTGTAGCTTTATTTTCAGAGGATTTTCTATATTACTGTAGCTAAAAATCTATAGAATGTGACTGCCAAATTTTCTAGATTACTGTGGCTCAAATTTCATGAAAATTTTTCGCCTAATTTCCCATGTTCCAATATTCTGCCAAAAGTTACCCTAACTTCAAAAATCTCGATGTTTTCCCGCCAAAACATTGACAAATTCAATTCAATTCAAAAAATGCTGCTGTCTAATCCCAAAAACTTTCGATTAAAAAAGTGAAGGTGTCTAATTCTTTCTTCTCCTTTCTGTTTTTTTCTTCCTCATTCAAGAATTTGTCCTGTTTTTGTTATGTGTGTGTGTTGTGTTGCAAATGTGTATATGTTTTTCACTTGAAAAAGTAGGTCAAAAAAGTTTGATAGATTTATGCAATTTTTTATTTGAATATGAATTTAAATTTTTAATTAAAATCAAAAACAAAATCAAATTTATAGGATCAATGAAGACAATCTCGACTTTCACCGCTTAATAGACTTTCCAAATTCCAGGTTCCAATGTCCAAAGTTTTTGGCGTCTCATTTTTCGCATAGATATATTTATTTGGAAGTTCGAATTTCCAGCGGCGTTGGCAAGGCTGAAAATCAAATTTTCAAAAAAAAATCTTTTAAGGAGAAACACGAGAAAAATTCCTCACCAAAATTCCATCATTACAATCATGATAAATCTTCAAATGTGGATCAATAGTAGTAAGTTCAGTAGTGAATCCAATCAATTCAAATTCTCCATTCTCATTTGTATAACCTTTTGCCAAATCATCATCTGGATCCGGCCCGAAATCATCATCCACCAATTTCACAATCACGTTTTTCTCTGGCTTGTCTCCGCACAACAAAACTCCTTTCACCTGGAAAATGTAAATATATTTTAAAAAAAGGTTCCCAAAAGTTCTAATAACTTACTCTATAATACTGAACTCCAGTGTGTTGTTCAGGAATTTCGATCGAAGTCACTTCCATCAAAAACACCGCCAAAAACACCAAAATTCTCATTTTTGCTAAAAAAAATTTTGTTTAGTTCTCCCTTCAAATTTCAGATATATAAGAGTATTTGGACTCTTTTCGAAAAAAAAATATTTCAGATTATCAAAAAAAAAAATCAATAAAATTTATTAATGAATACAGCTTCTGGATTCACTGTCAAGTTCAATTTCCAGATTGAGAGTTCCGATATCCATGTATTTTTCGGCTTGTTCACCAGACGTGATATATTTGTTTGGTATCCGGATGACCCATTCGCGTTGGCAGGGCTGTAAAATTATTATTGAATTTTTTTTGAATATCCAGGAACTTGGATGTTCAAAGATCTAAACTGAAATTTTTCAAAAAGTACAATTAAAAATTCCTAGAGTTTTGAAGGATCCCAAGATTTAACATAAAAAGGCTCCTGAAAAAAATGAATCCCCTTCCCAAAATTTGTTAGAATGTTCTCTAGAAGTTCCCAGGATTCTAGAATCCCCCAAAGCCTCCTAAATCTCACCGAGCCATGATCATTACAATCATGATAAATTCGAAGTTCAGGATCAATTGGAGTCAATTCTCTTGAAGATCCAGACAATTGAAACAATCCATTCTCTTCTTCTTCCAAAATATGTTGGTCCAACATATCATCTGGATCGGGACCATTATCTTCATCGAATAATTTCAAATGTGCACCAACAACTGGTTTGTCACCACAAACAAGTCTGCCTTTTACACCGGCTGATTGGGTTCGGAAAGCAAGAGCTGAGTTAAGGAAAAGCAAGGAGAATAGGAAAAATTTGAGGATCATTCTGAAATTTTAATTTTTTTCAATCGAAATCTGGAAATTCAAGAGCTTCAGAAGCTTTCTGAAACTCTAAATATAAAATCTCTGAATAAAAATTTTAGAAAAAAAATATTCTAAATTTTTTCACTGAAATTCCGGAAACCCACAAGATTCACAATACTTTACAGGGTGCGCCATAAATACCCGGACAGCTATTTATTCAATATATTTTTCCAAAATAGAACAGTTTTTTGTGTATGGTTTTAAAAATACTTAATTAGGCCCCTAACGAGTAAATTAAAATCATTCTCTCTTAATTTGGTCGATTCTACGAGTTGGGAAATCTTGTAGAACTTTGGGGAAAATTTCATCTTGGCACGCTGCCATTTGTCGGACATATTGTCCCAATACTTGAAAACTAGGTTCTGTATAGTCTAAATACATGATTGGAGGTTTACCTAGAACCTTTCCGATAACTAATTTGAAAGGAATAATGCAATGGGTTCGTTTCTGACAAAAATAACATCAATTTAAAAACGTTGCTCAAATCGAAAAAACTGTTTCTCAACAGCGGTTGGTGCTGATTTTATCTTTTATTGTGTACTGTGATTGGCTGGAGTACTTGATGTTTGTTATCGAGGTTGAGTTTTATTCTTAGTTACATATGTTAGTCCAAAAATACATTTATTTCAACTTTACTCCCGATGTTGACCCCAAAATCAATGGAAATCAATGATTTCTCCCAATGAAGCAGACTGTTCCAAAAATCTCCACCCAAACTTGGTGTGAGACATGGTGGACAATGTTATATTTTTTCTTGGCTTCTTGGGACTCTCTGACAACCCCTCAAACATTTTACAACTCAAATGAAGCCTTCGCAATAAAAATAATTCCATCCAAAAATAGCGAGACCACTTTTTCATTGTTCTGCGTGCCGTGATGAAATTTTCCCTGAAGTTCTACATGTTCTCCCGACTCGTAGAATTGACCAAGTTAAGAGAGTTTGATTTTAATTTACTCGTTAGGGACCTAATTAAGTATTTTTAAAACCATACACAAAAAACTGTTCTATTTTGGAAAAATATATTGAATTATAGCTGTCCGGGTATTTATGGCGCACCCTGTAGACCTCAAAAACGTGAAAAATAAAATAAAAGCGAACATTTGATGATGATAAAAGTAAAAACACAATAAAAATGAGTCAATCTGGGGGGAGCTGGTCAGGTGATACATATATTTATTTTCTCCACATCTCACAAAAAGAACAGTTGGTGGTAGGACAAGATTTATTATGCCTACGATTCAGAGATATTCAATGTGAGATTCAAAACATTCCGACGACGAAGCAGCGTTTCTGGTTTTTGATTTTCTGATACATTTCCGGACAGATTTTGAGATGGAACAGCAACTTGTTCTTGTTGAGTTATCGCAACTTGAGCAGTTTTAATTTCAGCTTTCATATTCCTTCGGGCAAATAGCACAATGAATTCGATAATAAAAATAAGACTTCCTATTCCGATTCCACCGATAAGCACCCAAAATGCACCTTGAGCTCGCTTCAAATCAAGGTAACCTGAAAAAATTTAAATTATTCAAAGCCTAGAAGCCTTTTAAAGCCCCCTGAAGTCTTGACTAACTCTTGGGTCCAGTTGTAGTCGAATTACACTCATTAATTTTCTGTGTCGCAACATACGATTTATAATCCGAAATCCATTTCTGCGTAAATCCTCTCTCAACCATTTCTCGAATTTTCGTCGAAAAATACGCCGTGTACAACGAATCCTTTGCCAAAGGAATACTCAAATAAACTGGCAATATTCCATCGCTCAAAAGAATCACTTTACAATCTGAATACGCGTAGAAATTCAGAGTTTCCATGGGGCCAAGTAATGCGTATCCAGGATTTGTTCGAACAAATGCGACACCTTTTGCAATTCCGTTCACATATTTTACACGGTGATTCACGTTCATCTCGTGCCATAGATCTTTGTAGACTGGAAGTTTTGAGCGCTGGATAAATTATTGATTTTTTTGGGGGGAAATTTTTTCTAAAAACATACTGCAATCATTTCAGTTCTGGTGAAAGAATTCTCATCCATCACAATTTCAAATCTTCCTTGTTTCACTGCTTTGACAAGTTGTTCTATGTCTGAAAATGTTATTTTTAACATTAAAAGCTTAAGGAGCACATCAAGCTTCTTTGATAATTAGAAAATATTCACGGGAAGTTGAGTAATTAGAAAAAACTCACTTTGAAACGGTAAATTAGTTTTATCCACCGCAAAAAGAGCGACAAGACTTCCAGTAAACGTCGCAGACAATGTAATACTTGCCAACCACCACAACGCAATCAAAACTCGACAACTCCAACTTCTCGGTTGTTCCGGAAGTCCTTGCTGAACAAAAATCGAGAAAAACACCCAAGTCGATTCGAAAAGTGTCACCGACATCTCCCTGTATACTTGACTCAAAACATTTGTCATCACCAAGAAAATGACACCCGATACACCAATACTAATCGCTGTTATCACCCAAACTTGCCAGGAAAACGGTTCAGTGACAATTAGAAGTGTGTCATCTTCATATTTTTCCGGAGATCTAATCATTATTCCAGTTGGTTCAAATTGAAATGGATAAGTGAGATCCGAAACTAAACTTCGATCATATTCCATAATCGCACCACCAGCTAGCAAATCAGCGTCTCCTCTGATGAGCCTCCCAAAAGCTCCAGTCCATGAGCCATTCATTAATTCACCCCAAGTAGTTTCCGGGTTATCAATCACTTCATATGTCAAATTCAGCCGTCTTCCGATCTCCTTCAGAATCTCCATCACAACTCCTGGACCATATCCCTTCTCAACAACTGCAGCATCCGAAAAATTCACGTAATTCACGTAGGGCGGTTCAATTCCTGGCACAATAATGCGCAATGTTTTGCTGCGCATTTTATCATAGGAAAAATGTTTTTCAGTGCTGTGCTGGAATTATTTTCAGAGATGAGGAGAGTCCAAAAAATTCTTTAAATAGTTACCATAAATGCTGTATCTCCATATGCATTATCAAATACAATATTTGTAGGTGTGCTAACTTCTGAAAAAAAATTGGCTTTAGAAGGCTTCTCAGGCTCTTTAGGCTCTAACTCACTTTGATTAATCGACTCCAAAATTTCATTAAGTGTTTTAATACTATGATTATTATTAGCAGAATTAGAGTCAAAATAAATTTCAGCATCTTTATGCTTACCGTGCACAATTTTGAGAAAAAAAGCAAAAAACAAGAAGAAGCTCATGCTTTTGAGAAATAACAATAGCAAAAAATATATATTAGGTTACTTGTAATTTGATATTTTCTATCATAAGTAATGAGTTTATTTCATAAAGAATATTTATATTTGTTCAGAAATTAAGGAGGAGGAAAAATTTAAAAAAAATTATAATTTCGATCTGGCATCTTTCATCATTGGACCAAGGTATTTCTCAAAAGTCGGAATAACATCAGATTTATTCAATTGAGAATTTTGAGCCCATTGGAGCAGCGCTTCATAAACATTTCCATCACGTTTTCCAAGAACCGATTTCAATTCCAAATCATCATAATCCCAACTATCAACAAGACTTACAGCAACTGGACGAATTTTAGCCAAACATTCATAGACACCTTCTTTAATTTCAGTTATTTGATCTGGTCTCATATATCCTTCTTCCAAGAAATTTCCGCTTGATGAGGAAATTATGTCGAATGCGTAGAGGCGAGCCACGTGGATCATCACTTTTTTCAAATCTTCTGGAGCTTTGTCGACTTTTTTGAGGAACGTTTTGACGAGGTACAGGCGAACGTGCCACTGGAAAAAATTTCAAAATTCACTAGATTTTGGCACAATTCCTGAGAATCCAAATTTTTCAAAAAAAAAAACCCACTCTTGAAGCTTTGGCAAGTTCAACAGAAGATTGATTCCATGCATCTTCCGGCTTTACATGTTGTTGCGCTTTCTTCAACTTGTCATAAGCATGGAACACTTGTTTTCTCGCAACATGCTCCAAATCTTCAATAATCTGATCAGTTGTATAATTTGCAATAGAAGTTAGTGAGCTAGTTCTTCGCCCAGTTTTCGAAATATATCCACAAATTTCCGCCAAATTTGAAGTTCCTTTTCGTGTTTCTTCAGCCGCTTTTACAAGATATCGTGCAACTTGCAATAACATTACCAAATTTTCTCCTTCATATGTGCAACCTCCAACAGCATATCCATAGATTTCAGGAAAAGCTGAAGCTTGTGAATATCCATGTCCTCCGCATGACAATCGACATTGCTCAATTCCTTGAGCTGTATCCCATGAGACTACACTTTTCAAACCAGAAGACAATGCATGGATTTCAGGGAGAAGTTCAGTGTTTCCATGGGTAAGTTCTTCAGTTAGGCGAAGATATAAATCACGAATTTCATAGGCGGCGAAAAGGAAAGCGAAAGCTCTGGCAAGTTGGGGGAAAACACGATATTGTTGAGTTTGATAATCAAGAATTTGAATTTCGCCATTTCCCACAACTGGTTCACCTTGTCGACGAACTGCGGAATATCTTGTTGCAATTGTGGCAGCAGCGCCGAGTTGAGTTGCTTGATCTTTGATCATGATACTTCGGACGAAGACCATTGTACCGTAGCCGAGTTTTGAATGAGCTGGGGCGATGTATGTGCCATCTGGTTGAACCTGGAATATTTCAAAGGCTTCATGGGGCTTCAGAAAACTTCAGAATGCTCACCTTCGAATATCTCATCAACATAGCTTTTCTCGGAATTCGATATTTATCAAAAAGCAAAAATCCATTATCACTTCCATTAATTCCAAGCTTTGGTCCAATATCACCTAATCGAACTCCTTTCATTGGTTTATGAGTTTCCAAATCTCTCAATTGCACGATAAACGGATGTGGTCCTTTACATTGGCCTTTTGTGTAGAGTTGAGCAACGACAATGGCGTGGTTTGACGATTTTCCAAGACCTCCTGGCCACCATCTGCAAAAAATAGGTTAGATGAACTCGTGGTCAAAATTGAACTTTGAAAAAGTCCTTTGATTTTTTGTAATTCAGAATTTTCTGTTTATCATTTCAAAATTGCCCTTTTTCTGTTATCATACATACACTATACTAGACTAGACTAGGAAAAATTTTGATTGATAAAATTTGTAACTCACTTAGCAGCAGTGATAGTTGGAGAATGTAAAACAAATTCTTGAGTACTTGGATCATAAGTAGCTGTAGTTTCAAGTTTCGATAAATTAGTTCCATGTCCCAATTCAGTTTGAGCATAAGTTCCGACGATTGATCTTGCGATTGCTTTTGGGAGCCATTCATCCAATTGTTCGTCATCGGTTTGACCTTGAAGAGTTGGCAAAAACATGATGTAATGAAGTGAGAGTGGGTGAAGGTCACGACCCATTACCAAGCTAGAAAAATGTGGATTTTTGGAATTTCTTGAATTTGAAAGCTTATTTTTTAGCTACAGTACTCCTCTAAAACAAATTTCCAAACTCACGATTGAAAATACATTCCTTCTCCAAAAAAGTCAGCTCCATCAATTTGATCAGTATTATCAGTCATTTTGACAATCTTCCGAGTTCCATTTGAAACCCTCTCTTCACGCGACAAAAATTCGACTGGAATTGGATCTTTGAAATCGGGATTTGATTTTACATAGTCCAAAATTTCACGACGTCTTTTCAGAACTTCGTCTCCGCCGTGAATCCAGGCTGACATTCTTTCAGTGTTGAATGTTGCATTTTTTCGCTCTTTTGTGATGTCCACATTGTCTCCGTTTTGAATCCAGCGACTCATTTTTCAGAAAATCTAGAAAAAACAAGATTTCTAGGGGTTTCAAAGCTTTGAAAGGCTTCAAAAGGCTTTAGGAGGCTTCAGGAGACTTCAAAGGCTTTGTCAGGCTTCAGAAGGGCTCTGAAGATTTTACAAGGCTTTTGGAGAATGTAAATGACTTCAGAAAGCTTTGAGAGGCTTCTGAAGGCTTCAAGAGGATCGTTGGGCTTTAAAAGGCTTTTCAAGCCTTTTTTCGGCTCCCTAGGAAATAAAAGAAAAATTTATGAATAAATGAAAAAAATAATGAAAATAAATAGAGCACGACTACAATGGACTATGATAACAAAAAATAAATTTGTTGGGGAGGAAAAATCAGTGATAAAAACATAAAACAAAAAATATACTATACTACACAAATACATGCATCTTTTAACACAGAATCAATCGATAAAAACTTGTTTTTCTCCTTCTTTTTTTGGTCACACACACATGTTTTTGGGAAGGTTTATCATTTTGTTGTTTTTTTGCACTTTTTTCTTGAACAACACAAAAAAACGTGGCAAAATTGAAAAAATATGTTTTTTTGGGTTTTTTAATTTGTACTATTCATTTTAAGGATTAGAAATGGTTTTTAAATCTGGAAGATTTCTAGAATCAGTTTTTAAAGTCCTTGGAGGTTGTTTTAAATTTTCAAAAATATTAAAAAATTCAGGAATTTTTCTAAATGTTTTTCCAGGAATTTCTAAGGCTCTGAAAACTTTCAAGGTTTCAAAATAATTCCTAAAAGTTTTCAATGCAAAAAAAATATTCTGAGAATTTTGAAAAATTCAGAATGGTTTTTAGATTAATCGCCGTGATTCCAAATAATTTAGAAAACTTCTGGAACTTCTGAAAAAATATCCGAGTTTCTAAAATTTCCAAAAAAAATTTTGTTACTTCTTTCTGAACTTTCTATATGTTTTCTAGTCTGTCTAGATTTTTTCCAGGATTCCAAAAAATTCAGAAAATTCTTCAGAATTTCTAGATAAGATTCTAGACCTTCCAGACATTTCAAAAGTCTTCAAGGCTCTTCAGATTGTTTTTTTGAAACTCCAGAAACTTTCCCAGGATTCTAGAAAAATCCCCAAGTCTTCCAGATATTTTTCCAGGATTCTGAAAAATTTTCTAGAAATTTCTGAAAATCCTACAAAATCTCCAGGATCTCGAGTTTTCTGATCCTTTGAACTCAAATATCGATTTCCAAAATCCAAGTTCCTTGTTTATTTCATCTCATCTCACCGAAAAGCAAACAATAAACATCATTTCCTCTTTCTCTCGAAAAAAAAAACAAAATTTCTCTTTCTCCCTTTCTCTACGCTCTCTCACCTTCCCCCACTCTCTCACCCATCGTCCCTGTCGCTCGAAACAGCAGCGTGTTTGCAGTTCGACGCCGCAGCACGCTATTACCGTATTCCGAAATAGAACACACACATAGATATTTTAGTGGGCGGCGTCCAAAGCCTGTCAGTTTTCGCTTCATATTTTCTCGTGAGTGCGCCGACACTAACTTTATTTGACACAAAAATGGCTCCAAAACAACGTATGGCTATTGCTAACAAGCAATTCTCCAAAAATGTTTCACAACGAGGAAATGTCGCTAAAACTTTGGTGAGTTTTGAAAATTTATAGAAAACTTTCGGAAAAGTTCTGAAGCCTTTTGAAACTTTCTGAATGCTTCTGAAGCTTCCCAGAGCCTCATAAAGCCTACTGTAGCTCTCTTAAGTATTCTGAAATCTTCTGAAGCTTTTTAAAGTCATCTAGAGCTTCTTGAAGCCCTCCAAAGCCTTCTGAATCCCCCTAACCCCTAATTTTTTCCAGAAACCAGCTGAAGACAAATACCCAACAGCTCCATGGTTGATCGGACTTTTCGTATTCGTCGTCTGCGGCTCAGCAATCTTCGAAATCATTCGCTACGTCAAAATGGGATGGTAAAATACCGTGTTGTTCAAATTCATCTTCAAATATAAATATTCTTCATACTGGTCGAAAAACAAATCTTTTTTTGTAGATTTTTTGCATGTGATCCACCCTCTTCCTCTATTTCTCTCTCTCTCGCTAGAAAATGCATTTCATTTCCCCCCAACACACTTTTGTTTTTGAAAACAATAAAAATTCTATTTATAAAAACGGTATTTTTTTGGATTTTGGGTATAGAAAGGCTTCTGGACACCCTGAAACATTTTTTGAATTTTTTAAAACAATGAAAAATTATCCAGAAAGCCTGAAAATTTTTTCTGAAAGCTGGCTCTGGATTCTGAAGGCCTTGAAGAATTTCTAAAGCCTGGCTCTGGATTCTGAAGGTCTGGATGAACTTCTGAAGCCTAAAAATTCTAGAAATCTTTTTTTTCAGCGTTTCAGAAGCCTGAAAAAATCCATAGAGCCTAAATTAGTTTATTAAAAGCAAAAAAAATATACAGAAAGGAAAAAATCACCATCCAGGTTGATATTTTGCAAAGGGTGATTCGGGAACAAATCGACACCAGCTCAAATCCAAATCATTCATCACATAAGTCATTGGGACCATCATTCCACCAACAGCAATCTGAAAAAATTTTTTTTTAGTTTTTGGAGATTCAGGGGAGCTTCAGAACTTACTAGACCAAGAATCGTTGCCCAGAAAATAAATTTAAAACATCCGAGTCGACAACAAAGTTGCCATTGGAGACAATACGCGTACGAAACATTCATCCAGAACATGGCGATTTCGAAAAATGCTGTGCATCTGGAAATTTGGGATTTACATAGAAAAGAAGCTCTCTATGCTCTCCAACTCTCACCTGAACAAAATAATCAATTCATAATTATCATAAGCATGTTGGCCAGGTTTCAAATATTTGAATTGAGCTGGGATAAAAGTTTTTCGAATGGTCCCGATTAACATTGCAAAAGATGACATCATTCGTAGAAGTTGAAGGAGAAGCTCGATTGCGTCAGTCACTTTTTTGCGTTGTCTTTCGGTGGCTGCGTCGATTTGCATTTGTTGCCGGAGTTCGCGACGAATTCGAGCTCGCAACGCTTTTTTGTCGCGTTTTTCGCGGGCTTCTCGTTTGGATTTGTCGTGGATGTCGTAACGATTCGAATAGTCTGGACGGAGAATTTCGATTTCTGCAAAAAAAAACATTCTTGGGAGTCTGGAGAGATTCTAAAACGGCTGGGAAACTTCTATAAATTTCTAGAATTCAAGAAAGCCCTCACCATCTTTCTGCTGAACACTAGGATTCGAATTATTGCGATTCGGTCGGAAGCGATCATAAATCTTGCTGAAAGTGCTAGGCGATTCCGAAGGTGTCGATGAATTTTGTCGGGGAAGAAACTTCAACACTCGATCCGGCACATATTTCCATTTCTTCTCCTGATCCTTATCCTGTTCCTGATCTTGATCCTCCACAACTTCCAAAATCTCATCCTCTTCTTGATTTTCCTTTGGTGCTCTAGATGGTCGCGCTGGTCGCAGCGGTGTGCTTTCATTTGTTTCACCGATTGCCGGTTCTTCGTCGCTAACTGGAAATGAATGAAATGTCTTTGAAATGCCGTGTGAAAAAATTGATAAGAAACCTACCTTCTTCAACAATAATCGGTTGTTCTTCAATTATTTTTGGCTGTCCTCGGTTTTCGCTGGAAATTTGATTGATGTTTTTTAGTGAAAAAAACGACTGAAGCCTCCTTAAGTCCCCTAGAACTTTCTAAAATCCTTCTAAAGGGTTCCAAACCCCAAAAATTCAAACCTTCTTCCAGTTATCGGTTCATCATCCTCATCACTATCCGAATTAATATTAATAACTCCTCGTTTCTCCTTCCTCGACATTAATCTTTTCGTAAAATGTGTAGATCTAGTCGTTGTATAAAGTGCATAATACAATTGTTTAAAAGAGTAATCCGGATATTTTGTGCATTTTTTCCATACCAAATTCGACCAAACAATCAGATAATTTTCGGGTCGAAGTTGCGGAAAACAACTGCATAATAGAAAATGCGACCAGAACCAGATGAGATCGTAGGATTTCCAGAGAGTGAAATAGGCACAGTTGGTGTAGATTGACATGCACCAATTGAAGTGGGCTAAGCAGGCGAGGGTGAAACGGTAGCTAAACCAGAATAGGAAACAATACCATTTTGTTTCCATATGTGATTTTTGATAGCTGGAAAATAGTTAGACTAAGTATTTTGAAAGCGTTTTTTCTCGAGAAAAAAAAACGTTTTAAACTATGACTCATCATCCAATTTTTTCCCTATTTTTTCGCTACACGAGATGAAAAATGCGATAAGAAAAATATCAAAAATCAATAGGTTAACTACAAAAAAAGTACACATCACATGCTTACTATCAATTTTTGTTGCCAAAAAATCATTTTTTTTCATTTTATTTCTAAATTCAATATTAAAAATGAAAAGATATCAAATATCTTTTGATTTATTGATTTTTTTCTTGGTTGAAGTCTCCTGAAGTCTTCTGAAGTGTCTAGAAGTCTCCAGAATATTTATAAAACCTCCTGAAGACTTCTAGAGCCTTCTGAAGCTCTCTAAGGTTCCCTGAAGCGGTCTGAAACTTTCTGAAGTCTCCAGTAGCCTTCTAAAGCATTCTGAAGTGTTCTGAAACCCTTTAAACTTCCCTGAAGCCTTCTAAAACCTCTAAAGACCTTATATATCCTCCTAGAGTTCTCTGAAGCCCCCTAAAGTTTTTTGAATTTTTCTGAAGCTTCAGAATTCCTTCAAAACCCTAAAAGTTTATCAAAAACACATAAACACTTATCAATTTAAAAGAAAAAAGAAAAAAAAGTTGTTGTAAAGAAAAAAAAAAGAAAAAAACAACAGCATTTTATTGAGTGTGGTAAATGCGCCCCAGCGCACACGCTTGAAAAAATGTTTTTTTTGTTTCTCCATTATTTTCTCGCACGTTTTTTCTCATCTTTCGCGTTTTTTCTTCAAATATTCAATGAAAATATTAAAAAATTTCAAATTTTCAGGTAAAATGTTGGAACTTGTACAGTATTTTATAATTGGTGTTCTGTCGGTTTTGGTTTTATCGAAATTTCAAGTCACAAATTTCTATATGCGAGCAATTTATTATGGACTTGCGTTGATTTTTGGAGGACTTGCTGGAGGTTTGGCGAGTATTCCGTTTGGAAAATCGACTAATAATCATTTGTGAGTGATGAGTTTTGGGAGGATTTTTTGAAATTTTGAAACATCTGAGATATTTTGGCTTATACACCAAAAATACACCTCTAGGTGTGGATAAAGCTCTTAAGGCGTCAGAAAACAATTCAAATATTCTTAACCCAATTAAATGCATCTTCAAAAACCCGCATTTTTCCAGCCGAATGTTCAAAATCTTCCAATTCATGACACGTCCACTTGGTCTAACTTATGAACTTCGAAACGAGAAAATCTTGTCGGATGAAAAACCGTATATCATAATTGCAAATCATCAAAGTGCTTTGGATGTTCTTGGAATGTCATATGCTTGGCCAGTCAATTGTATTGTTATGTTGAAAGCGAGTTTGAAATATTTGCCTGGTTTCAATTTGTGTGCTTTTTTGTGTGAATCGGTTTATATTGAGAGATTTAGTAAGGTGAGTTATTCTACGAGTTTGGGGAAGGTTCGGAAAAAATTTAGAAGCTCTAAGATATTTTATAAACTTGAAAAATGATTCTAGAAGCTCTGGGGATTCTTTAGAAGCCTGGAAAAAACATCTAGAAAATCTTCGGAACTATCTAGAAAGCTTCAGAAGACATCTAGAAGCTCTGAAAGTTTTTCGGAAGCCCAAAATTATTCACAGAAGTCTTTGAATTCGTCAGAACCTATGAAAAAACATCTAGAAAACCTGGAGATGCTTCTGAATGATCTAGAAGATCTGCAGATTTTTCTGAACTACCTAGAAGCTTTGGAAAATCTTTTGAGTTTTCTGGAAGGCCTGGAGATTTTTCTAACTTTTCTAGAAGCTCTGGAGATCCTTCTGAATCATCTCGAAGGTCTGAAGAAAAATCTAGAAGATCTAGAAGGTTCATCAGACTCTGTAAAACCCGGGAAAACTTTTAGAAGGCCCTAGATCTTCCGAATAAAAACCATATGTATCTCAAAATCCTTTTTTCCAGGTCAAAGCTCATCAAACAGTTGACGCAACTCTCCAAGAAATTGTCTCCAAAAAACGAAAAGTTTGGATTTATCCAGAAGGAACACGAAACGCTGAACCCGAATTATTGCCATTCAAAAAAGGCGCATTTTTGCTGGCAAAACAGGCCAATATCCCAATTGTACCATGCGTTTTTTCATCTGCCAATTTTTTCTACAATTTTGTAAGTTGACTAGGGTTTTTTTTGAAAAAAAGTTCTCATTGATTTTTTTGCAGGCTGAAAAACGTCTAACATCCGGCTACAGTATCATTGATATTCTTCCCGAAGTCGATCCATCAAAATTCGAATCAATCGATGAATTATCACAACATTGTCGTGATCTTATGCAAAAACATCGCCAAAAATTAGACATTGAAGTCGCCAAATATAATTGAGTTTGCCTAACTTGCCATGTGTTTTGTTGCTCAAATTGTATTGTTTTGTTACGTTGCGTTGCCATTTTTAATTCTACTTAGGTATTTGAATATATATACTGGTCATTTTTATTGATTTTTTTTTGTTTCAATTTATTATAAACAGTTATGGAATATTTTGGAAATTCTGAAAGTTTTCTTTCAAAAAAGCCATGTCCAGCCCGTCCCTAAAAATATTTATTATCATATAAATTTTAATTATTATTTTTGCTCTGAAAAATAATTGCTCCAGGGATGTTTGAGCTATTTGCACGCGGAAATACGTCACAATTAGAAGTTCTCAAAAGAGTCCCGCAATAATTGTCCAATTTTTTTGTTTTCATTGATGACGTCATCTTTGACCTGTTTTGTTGTACATGGACATGAAAATCGGATTTTTTTCTTTTTTCTGGATTTGCAATCAGATTAGTGTTACACTTTTTCTGGGGGATTTTTCACATTTCTCTTTTTTTAGTACATTTTGATAATTCGGATTTTTCTGAAGATCTTTGCAATCTCAAAAATTGAACTCCAAACAATAGTAAACCCAAAAAAAACTTTTTTAACGAGGGACATTTTTTTGCTAAAGTACTCTCTCAACTTCTAAGTTCATCTTTTATCTTTTCGATGTGTGCTTGAGAAATGAGCAAGAGGATAGGAGGTAAAAGCTCTTCAAACTGTTCACAGCGAGTGGTGGGAGGAGAAGAAGAAGAAAAAGAAGCACAAGTACTCGCGCCCCAAATTACTTTACTTTACCTCATTTTTGTATGTTTGAGTTTTTTTTCTTAACTTATCAGAACTCTTTTCTTTTTTTTGTGTTCAAAACCCCGGTTTCCAGCGAATCTCGACATGAAATCTATCATTTTAACGATCGCATTTTGCTTGCCAATTTTAGCCCTGGCTGAAATTTGTCCCATGGAAAATCATCAAGTCTGTAACCAAGGAAACCTCGCCTGTGTTTGTAGTGTGGCGCAAGCTGATGTAAGAGACCACCTAGTTATTTTTTAAAGGAAAATCTAGACCACCCAGGCAAATCCGATTGTTTTCCAGGAGAATCCAGTGCCCCTTATTTCATGCAATTCTTTCATTCAACGCGAAGAGGAGACTCTGAATTTCCCGGCGGTTTCGATCGATTTCAAATTGGACAAATCGACAGAGGGTTTGGAAGAGTGGCCAGAGGCGGCTTTCCGCGAGAAACTTTCGAGTTCGCTTCGAGTTGATGAGGAGAATATTTTGATTTTGAGAGCTAGTTGTTTGGGAACTGATGATGAGTTGACTGTTCAGTTTGGAGTTTTGAAGAAGGTAAGAGGCTAGAGAGCCTAGAGAACCTATAAATAATCCAAGAAGCTTCTGGAAGCCTATGGACCACCCAATAAGCTTTTATAAGTTCAGAGACCACCCAATAAGCTTCTGAAAACCTTTGGAACCACCTAAGAAGCCTAGCGATCACCCAAGAAGCTTTTGAAACTTCAGAGACCACCCAAGAAGCTCTAGAAAGCCTAATAACCTTTAAAGAAGCATAGGGACCACCCAAAAAGCTCCAAGAAACCAAGCGACCTCAATTTTCAATTTTCCAGGAAGCCAACCTCACAGATTACCCATTCCAAGTCGAAGATTTCGTATCCGCCGGAACTCTAGCCACCCGAATGAAATCAATGGGACATCTCACTGAAATCGCCAATCTTAGAGTCACAACAATCGAATACGTAAGTAACAATTTTTTTTCTCCAGAAAAAAACCAGTCCCCCAATTTTTATTTTTTAGAGGTGAGGTAAGAAGAGAATGAAAAAAAAACAGAAAAACAAAACTAAAAAAAATGTTCCAGTCACATGATATCTTTAAAGAAAGACAGATAGATGTAAAGTATTTTTTCGAAAAAAAATAAAACATAAGTTTTTGAAGCCAGGAAGCAGGCGGGAAAAGTAGGTTTTTTCGAAAAAAAATTTTTCAAAAACGATTTTTCAAATTCAAAAAAGATTCCAAAATTTCATTTTCAGGTCGATGAACTTGTCGACATCGAATTCGAGCCAAGCAACATAGAACTTATCGTCAAAGCCGTAGGACTTGGAATCATCTTCGGTGTCTTTTTCGTGATGGGAGTTCTTAAAGTTTTTAACCGAAGTGATGAATATACCGATGATCTTCAAAAAGCCTAATTGTTTCCTTATTTTTCACTTTGTACCTTTTTTAGTGTTTTTTTTTCATTGATAATAAAATAGTGATAAAAATGATGACGTTTATTTATATTTTCGAAAAAAAATGAAATAAAATTAATCACAGGGCAAATAGAAATGAGCGTAACAATTTTGGCACCCGTTTTTTTGGAGATCTTGTGAAGAGCAGCTTGAGCCGATGCTGGAAAATTTTCAAGATATTTTCTGAATCCTTCTGAAGCCTTTTGAATTCTCCTGAATCTTTCAAAAGTTTCCTGAAGTCTTCTAAAGCCTTCTGAAGCCTCCCAAGCCTACCTAATTTGAATTCGTACTGTTCGTCTCAAAATTCTTCTCCACCGATTTTCCGCCCGACTTTAAAAATGAATTTGTGATCCACTTCAGAACTCCTCGCTTCTTTTTATTATTATTGTTATTTCTGCCACCAGAATCCGTATCCTCTTCTTCAGAAATCTCGATTTTTGCTGTGGTGGTCCCAAATACTTTGCGGCCATTTTGAACACTGCATGTTTCGCTGCAAAAAAAACAGCTTTTTTCCGGGCTTGCACATAAAAAAAAGTGAGCAAGCTGCTCAAAAAAGGAAGCAAGAGGGGGCAGAGAGAGTGAGAAATATTGGAGACGCAGAGATGGTTAGAGAAAACATTGGGAGAAGGACCCTTACGTGCTTTGACCAAAAACTGACTTTTTTGTGAGCCCTCAGAATGTGGGGAGGTGTTTTGGAGCAATCAAAGAGGTTAGAGAGCCTAAAGAGCCCAGAATTTACCTCTGACTATGTGGAATCGCATGATGATCGGAAACTTCAACACCTTCCTGAATCGCACTTAACGTAGATTTCCGATTTGAAGATTTTGGCGGGCTCCTTGCTCCACTTGCAGACTTCACCGAACTTCTTGAAATATTTCCAGTGCTTTGTGAATTCCTGGATTTTATCGGCACCAAACGATCAATTGTATTGGAGCTATTCTGAAGCTGCTGAAAATGCTCCAAACTCTGCGCACGACTTCGAACATTTTTGATTTGCGGAATTTTTTGGATCGGAAACAGCTTCATGTCTTTGGTAACAATTGGTGCGAGCATTCTTGAAAAAATGTATTTCAAAAAAATTAAATCCAGAAAAAAAATTATGAAATTCAGAAGGAAAGGAAAAATAGAAGAGAAATGGAAAAGCAGACTGAAAAACAGCAAAAAAAAACAGAAGAGAAAGAAGAGGCGGAGCTCTTTTTTCTCTGCGCTCTCTCACTCTCTCACCCTCTCCTTCTTTTTTGGCTCTCTCTTGCTTTTTTGCTCCAGAATTTTCCAACTACTTTTTTTTTGCTTTTTTTTCGCAGTTCGGATGATAGGAAATTGCGAAACTTGAAAAAGTTTTTGGGAAAAAAATCTGAAAAAAATTGAGAAATCGAATGTTGTGATGAGAAATGAAATAAAACAGGAAAATCGAAGTAAAAAATAGAGAAAAACAAATATTTTTGCGACAAATAGAAAAAAAGTGGAAGAAAAACACAAAGGGCAAAATAAATGGGAGTATTTTTTTTGGAACACCTGAACAAATATTTTCGAATTTTTTTCTGGAACGGAAAATTGGGAAGATTCTGGAAGGCTCAGAAAGAATTTTCTGAATTTTTTCAAGTCTGAAAGACTTCTAGAAGCCTTGGAGGTATTCTAGAATTTTCGAAATCCGTGAAATTATCTAGAAGACCCAGTAGACTTTTCAGAACTCAAAAATCATTTCCTCTTTTTTTTTCTTTTGAAAAAACCTTTTTTCTGGTTCAATAAACCTGGAAAAGAAGTCGCATTGACAAAAAAGTTCAAAGAACACTGAAAAAATAATTTTTTCCAAGAAATAATAATTTCTCAAAAATTTTTTATGGTTACAATTTTTTTTGATTACTATTATAGGTTTCGAGAAAATCGCATATGATTTATTAAATTTTTTTTGGAAAAAAAATCATCATTTTTTATTGGTTTCGCAGCTGTTTTTGAAATTTTGAAAAAACTGAGGGGGCTCAATTTTTTCTGGATTTTAGAATCAAAAGTGGCCCAATTTTCTTTAGGTCTTTACCCTCTCGAATTAAAGTTCTGAAAATGTCCCGTTCCCTAAATTATTTATCTTATCCTAATTCTTTGTCCAAAAATTCTCCGAGACAAAGAAAAAGGCATGTCAGAAAATCTCTATTTACATACCAAAATGTCAAAAAAGAAAAAGTGTGTGATATAAATATTTTTGAATAAAGAATCAGCTTTTGCTCATTTTTTGGCATAATTATGATCAAATTGCTCATTTTCTCCTCGATTTTTCAATATTTCCTGATTTTTGGCAAAAAATTGAACATAGATACTGTGTATAAAGATATTCAATTTGCCAATTTTTTAAATGCCGAATTCAATTATTCATCTTTTTTGGCGCAAGCTGATATGACTGCTGAGAAATATGTGCCTTTTCAAGATACCAGTAATGATACTTTTTTTCGAGTTGGATTGTGAGTTTTGGGGGAATCTGGGAAAACTCCTAGAGAGCCTGGAAGTTTTCGAAAAGCTCTAAAATGGTCGAGAAGATCTAGAAGGTTTCTGGAAACTTTGAAAACATTCCAGAAGCTCTGTAAGCCTCAAATCTTTCAGGCTCCATCGTTCCCAGCTCGAAAACTACACAAAAATCCGAATGGAAGATCAACTAGGCTCACTAAAAAATAAACCCTGGATGCCAATCAAAGAGCTCCGTGAAGAATTTGCAAATTGTGCACTTTTCAAATTCGGCTCATTTTCTGAACACGATTTCAAATATGATAAAGGAATGTACGGTTGGATGAATATCATGAAGTTCTCCTGCACTTTTCTAAGCGATAAAGTGATGATTTTCGCAATGGCTTTTGCTCGAACCCGATTTCGTCTAAATCAAGTTTATCTTCGAAGACAAAATAAATATTGGGCCACTTCTGGAAGAAGTCTGATAACTAGAGATGTTCAGAAAATTACAGAGATTTTTACGATTCGGTTTTCAGAATTTGTTAATGACAAAATTGAGGAGGAATTAAAGAAACATGGGCAATTTCGACACGGAAAAAAATTGGAAGAAAATCCACTTTCGATCAATATGGAGACTTTTGATGAGTTGACTGTGATGTATGGAAGATTGAGAAAACATTCGAAAATGTCCGAGAGTCGTGGACATACTTTTAGCACTATGGCTATTGGGGTGGGTACTGTAGATAGATCAAAATTTCTATATTGATTTTGGCATATAATTTCGGATCAAGCTTATCAAAAATTTCCTATATTTCAAAAAAAAAAATTTGCAGGTAAAAACCCGTTTCTTCCTAACCTCTCCCGGTCACGTAAACACAGCAATTGAGGCAATTTCCGAAGAACTTTCCGATGCGCCACTTCAAGTTTTGGACAATTGTAACACCGATTTATGCACCTATGATAATACGGTAGATTTAGAGAGTCATAGAGTTAGAGTAAATCCCCCTAATTCCAGAAAAACGTCACATTTCACATGAAAACTGAAACTCACAAATTCAGCAAAGAAAATGCGTTTATTCATACTGTCAATCCGAGGTATACTGTAGTCGCCTATCAAGTTGCAAAACCGTATTTTGTTTTTGAGACAATGAAGAGGAAGACTGCTATCAAAATTGTGTAAGTTGGGGGGATACTGTAGCTCAAAAGTAGATCAAAAAATTTTGCAGAGATGTGAAGCAGAACTACGACGCAAAGGCTGATAATATCTGGAAAAAATTGTTGGATCAACAATTTACGCTCGCAATTCACGTCCACAATCAAGCAATGTTTCCATTTGGCCGCAAGACATCGTAAAAGTTGCGAAAAATCCAAAACAGTACGGTTTCAAGGTCAAAACAAAGTGAATGAATGTGTCGTACAAAATGGTCAACACTGATTTTATTTATTTTTTTTCTGTTTTGTTTTCTGTACACTTATTCTATATACATAATTATTTATATCTCATTTATATTTTATTTTTGTATTTCTTGAAGATTTTGGCGCCAATTCTTGGCCTACTGTAGATCGAAAACCTTTACTTTTCGCAACATTTTTTTGCAATTTTTATCATGAAAATAAATTTTACTTTTTTTATTTTTGGAGAACTTGTTTTGTTTTGTGACGTAATTAGGAGGGTGTGGTTTTTGAGAGGAAAAATCTGCATTTTTCTGAAAGTTTTTTTTTACTTTATTTGCATGAAGGTCGAATTTTAATTGGAAAAATTCTTGAATTTTTGGTTTCCAAAAAAATTCTGGAAGTTTTTCAGGATCTTCTAAATTTTTCTCAGGATTCCAAAAAGTTACGATAACTTTCTAGGCTTTCAGATACTCTCGCAGGCTTCTGGAAACCTTCTAGGCCCTGAAAAAGCTTCTTGAATCTTCTCTAGATCAAATTTTTTTTCAGACACTTTCAGAGTTTCCTAGATGTTTTCCTGAGATTCTGGAAACTCTGAAAATTCTACAGATCAGTTCAAATTCAAATTTCTATCCCAAATTCCCCAGAATTCCCCCCTCCCTTCAATTTTTCATGAATATTCAAAATAAAAATGTGAATAAAAAATAGTGTAGTGAGAATTAAGAGATTAATCGTCACTCATCCTCTAATTGTTTCTGCTTCTCTGCGTCTCTCCTTTTCCTACTCTCTCACCCCCCTAAGCCAGCTCTAAAAAGCCACTTTTTTTCGTTGTTTCTGCGCGATAAAATTTTTTGGTGTGAAAAAATAAAAAAAAAGTTTATTTGTCAGCATCTGAGCTCATGAGCACAGACCACATTTTTTTCTGGGGTAAGAAGAAAATGTTTCTTCAGTCATCTGAATAAATAATGGTCACCTTGGAAACCTTGTTTCAATAGGAGATTTTTTTAATAATAGAAAAATGTAGAGATAATCAGTTTCAGTAAGGATTAAAGGGAGGATATATCCTACATATATATATCTTCTCACTTTTTCTTTCAAATAATATTTTTTTGGCACACACACACACACACACACAAAAATATATATGTGCTCTTTTCTTTTCGCTTCGCGTTTTTTCCGTCTCAAAGCAAATAAAAATGCGAAGGGCAACACACACACTAAAAAAAAAGAAAAAATTGTCGTCGAAACATTGTCAAGTAGACTAGCAACTCGAAATCATCATACTTTTTTTTTGAAAAAAAATTTCAATGTTTATTTTTCGAATTTTTTCTTTTTCTATAAGTTCAACATTTTTCTCCATTTTCAAATTTTCAATTTTTTTCAATTTGAAATAATTTTATCGTGGGGTTTTTCTTTAAGTTGTCCAGGCTTTCAAGGCCCTCTAGGCTCTAGCTTTTCTAGCTTCTCTAACCTCTCTAACCCCTGTCACTCTCTAACCAACTTCCTTTTTTTAACAAGTTCAACAACTTTTTTTCAGTTTCCAATTATTTTTTATTTTTATTTTCGTGACTCACTTTTTTTTGATGATGATGTCATGAAAAAATAAATAAAAATTGAAAAAAAATTTAATCTTTTTGAAAATTTTAGTTTCAAAATTTTTATCGTGAAATTGCAATTTTATCAGAAAGGATTAAAAGTAGTCACAATTTTTTTTTGAAAATTTGTAGCGAATTTTTTTCAGGAAATGTTCCTAGACCTCTCCCAGCTTCTGAAAATTTTCCAGATTTTCTAGATTCTTCCAGGCTTCATGAAGTTTCGGACACGTTTTTAGGCCTTCTAGGATTCTCAGGCTTCTTCTGGGCTTTCTAGAGTTTCCACGCTTCCAAAAAACTTCCCCCACAAAAATGCTTCCCATTATTTTTTCTAATAAAATAAAATAAAAAATCACATTAACAATTAAAAATTTTCTCGTTGCCCCCCATTTTTTCGCATATCAAATTTCAATATATATATACAATTTTTCCCTTTTCAGATCGATGTTTTTTTAACACAACAAAAAAATATACGAAAAAAAAATGTTGCAAACAGTTCGCGAATTATTTTGCGAAGAAGCTGGCAGCAAATCGGTAAGTGGACCACCCATATCGCTCTATAGGGACCACCCATATTTCTCCAGATCCTCAACAGTGGTTGGCGTAATTCAACAGGTATTCCACATATCACGGAATGTGCGCAACATATCGATTTTTCGACGATTCCAACGTTGTTTCTTGTTGTTTTTAGTCCGATTTTGTTTTATCAACTTCATCAAAGTCGACAATCTCATCTTCGAAGTTGTTCTCCGATTTGTCTAAGGATTGTGAGTTTTTCTAGGCTTGTAGATCATTTGAAGACCTTTGAGGAGCTGAGTTAGAGATCTAGACCACTAGAGAGGGTAGAGAATCAGAGTTTTTCTTCCAGATTTTATGTTGCTTCCTTGTTTTTGATCTCACAATTGCAATTGGCTATAATTTCTACTTGAAATATATAAATTCGGAAGATTTTAGACAAATTATTTTATATGGTGATTTGGTGCAGTATATTGGTGAGTTAGCACAAATCAATAAAAATCAATCAATAAATCCGAAATTCCAGGATTCTGTTTCGCATTAACATTAACAATTGCTTGTCGAAATCGTGGTATAATTACATCAGGTGTCATTTTCATCTATTGGGTTTTGGTAGTATTATGTGGCCTGCCAGAAGCTAGATTCATTCTAAATGATCAATTCTTCTCCGAACTTCCAAATCTCAACAAACTTCAATCATATCTCTACCTAGTTTCATATGCTCTTTCAATTCTTCAATTATTCTTTGCCTGCTTTGCTGATACACCAACTGGCGGATTTTTGGGCAAAAATTCGAGTCCTGAATTCACTGTGTCTTTCTTGAATCAACTCACTTTCGAGTGGTTCACTGGATTGGCGGTTTTGGGAAATAAGAAAAGTTTGGAACGCGAGGATTTGTGGGATTTGAATGAGAGAGATAAAGCGCATCAGTTGATTCCGAGGTTTATGCAATTTATGAAACCTGAAATTGAAAGTGAGTTTTTTTTTTCTGACATTGAGAATTTTGATTAGCTCAATTTATTAGTACGCTCGACTAATTAATGTGCGAAGAAATAATGAATTTTTTTCAATAAAAAATAAAAATGAGGGGCTCTTGAATTTTTGGAATATTTAGAAACTTTGTGAAACTTTTTATAAAAATTTCAGGCACAGAAATGTCAAAAAGAAAGTTCAGGAACTTTTCAAAAAAAAAAACTATATCTGAAAATTTACTTTTATAAACGAAAATAAAATTTTTTTTTAATATCTGAGATTTTATACAAACTCTACAGGGACTTTCTGTAAGTTCAAAAAAGGAGAAAAAATTCTAAAAATAAAATTTTTTGTTTTTCTTCCCCCTCCCGAGAGGAGTAGAGAATGTGCGCTCTAATGATAATGCATGCGAGAGGAAATTTTTTCAATTTTCTGCAGTCATTTTTTTTCGTCTGTACTTTTTTTTCCCGCTATCTCTGATTTTTTTTTTCAAGGGAGGGGGGAGGTTTTTCAAAAAAAATTCTCGCCGTGAGCTCAAATCCTTCAATTTTCCAGACTATCAACGAAAAACTCGTCAAAACCCTCAATTGCTCTCCGATCCAAAATCGCATCCCTCAATTCTCTACCCAATCTTCAAAACCTACAAGTTCACATTTTTCGCCGGCGCCGCTTATAAACTCCTTTTCGATTTACTTCAATTTGTCGCCCCCGAACTTTTACGACAATTAATCAATTTCATTGAGGTGAGAGTTTTTTTGCAAAAGAGACGCAGACACGCTGAGAAACAACACCAGGAAGTTTATAGAGAGAGGAGAGAGCGCAGAGAAACAACATTGGGAGAGAGAGAGAGAGAGCGCAGGGAGGAAAAGGGAAGCGAGGTTTCTCTTATATGAAATGTGAGTGTGTAGAAGTGTGTGGGGGTATAGCTCAGTGGCAGAGCATTTGATTGCAGATCAAGAGGTCCCCGGTTCAAATCCGGGTGCCCCCTAGTCTTTTTGCATTTTTTTTTTGATTTTTTTGTTGTGAACTACAAAGTATGCTGTAGCCTGAACTAGAAGGTATACTGTAGAAACCTTTAGAAAGGTTTTAATGTCTTGGGAAGCCTTGGAACCCTTAAGAACTTCTGAAAAGCCTTCAGAAGCCCAAAAAACTATGATTTTTCCAGGATAAAAATCAACCACTATGGATCGGAATTGCAATCGCATCTCTGATGTTCCTATCAGCCCTATTCCAATCAATGATCTTACATCAATATTTCCACGAAATGTTCAGACTTGGAATGAATATTCGAAGTGTTCTCACATCAGCAGTCTACACAAAAACCATGAATTTATCAAATGAAGCTCGAAAAGGAAAAACAACCGGAGCAATTGTGAATCTGATGTCCGTTGATATTCAAAGAATTCAAGATATGACAACTTTCATCATGCTTTTCTGGTCAGCTCCCCTTCAAATATTGCTCAGTTTATACTTTTTATGGAAACTTCTTGGTGTCTCAGTTCTCGCTGGTTTCTTGATCTTACTCTTGATGATCCCATTCAATTCTTTCATCTCGATTAAAATGAGGAATTGTCAAATGGAACAAATGAAGTATAAAGATGAAAGGATCAAAATGATGTCTGAAATTTTGAATGGGATGAAAGTGCTGAAATTGTACGCATGGGAAAAATCTATGGAAAAAATTGTGCTGGAAATTCGAGAGAAAGAGATTCGAGTGTTGAAACGATTAGCCTATCTCAACGCAGCCACCACATTCTCTTGGGCGTGTGCACCATTCTTGGTGGCTGTGCTAACCTTCGGATTGTATGTTCTCTGGGACCCGGAGAACAATATTCTAACACCACAAATCACCTTCGTCGCCCTGGCGCTCTTCAACATTCTGCGATTCCCTCTCGCAGTTTTTGCGATGGTTTTCAGTCAAGCAGTACAGTGCGCAGCAAGTAACACAAGACTCAAAGAATTTTTTGCATCGGAGGAGAATTCACCACAAATATCGATTGGTTATGGTGGAACGGATAGTGCTGTGAAGGTGAAAAATGGTGTATTCAGTTGGGGTTCGAAGGATGAGGATAAGACTTTGCATGATATTAATTTGGATATTAAACGTGGACAATTGGTGGCGATTGTTGGAAGAGTTGGGTCCGGAAAATCTAGTTTGCTCCATGCGTTGTTGGGTGAGTTTTTAGGGAACTTGGATTTTTAAGCTCAGGTTTAAGCTTAGACTTAGCCTCAAATAGCGTTCATAAAGGTAGATACTCAAAAAGTTTTCATAGAATTTGCAAAATTTTAAAGAAATGGGTTGATCCACAAAAACTTTCGGGGAGCTTTTTTTGTGAATTATGATTTTTTGAAAACGAGAGAGCCCAGAGAGTCCAGAGAACCTTTAAAAAATTCCAAAATTTTCCAGGAGAAATGCACAAAGCATCCGGAAGTGTAGACATCAATGGATCTTTGGCCTATGTCCCCCAACAAGCATGGATTCAAAATATGACTTTACGAAAAAACATCCTCTTCTCAAAACCCTTCGATAAAACATACTATGATCAAGTTATCAGTGCATGCGCCTTGAATCAAGATTTATCGAGTTTACCAGCTGAAGATTTGACTGAAATTGGAGAGAAGGGTATTAATTTATCGGGAGGGCAAAAACAACGAGTCTCGCTGGCTCGCGCGGTTTATTCAAATACTGAAGTTGTGCTTTTGGATGATCCACTAAGTGCGGTTGATGCTCATGTTGGAAAACATATTTTTGAAAATGTGATTTGTGAGTTTGAATGGCCAAAATTTATGTAAAATTCAAAAAATTGTATTTTTACAGCTTCTGCCACTGGAATCTTGGGCACCAAAACCCGAATCCTTGTCACTCACGGTTTAACCTATCTAAAACACTGTGATCAAGTAATCGTTGTCAAAGACGGAACCATCAGTGAATCTGGAACTTATTCCGAATTAATGAGCAGCAATGGAGCATTTTCCGAATTTTTGGAAGAATTTTTGCTGGAAGAATCAAAGCATCGTGGAAGAAGTGTTAGTTTTGGAGAAGACTCAAAAGAAGTTGATGAAATTTTGAAAGATTTGGATCAAGTTAGTCCAGCGATTCGGGCGAGGATTCAAAGTCAAATGAGTCAGGAGATTGAGTCAGAAGACAAAAATGCTCCAAACCCAATTCAAAATGAGGAGAAAACGGCGCTTCTTGGAGAAAAGAAAAATGAAATGGCTCCAGTTCCACCAAAACCCAAAAATCAATTGATTGATAAAGAGATGGTTGAGACTGGAAATGTTAAGATGGAAATTTATATGACTTATTTCAAGTCGATTGGTCTTCCGATTGCTGGATTGTTTATTTTTGTCTATATTGCAAGTAGTATTTTGGGAGTTTTTAGTAATTTATATTTGGCAAGATGGTCTGATGATGCGAAGAAGATTGCTGCAAGTTCGAATGGAACTAGTTCGGAGACACATGTTCGATTGGGGGTTTATGCGTTGCTTGGAATGGGACAAGGTTGGTCAAGACTTCCAGAACTCAAAAATAACCAATAATATTTCCAGCCCTCTCCGTGTGCACAGCTTCAATAATCATGGCTCTTGGAATGGTTCGAGCCAGTCGTTTGCTTCACTCAAATCTTCTCGCAAATATCATGAGATCCCCAATGGCTTTCTTCGATGTTACCCCATTGGGCAGAATTTTGAATCGATTTGGAAAGGTTTGAAAAATCGATTTTGAAAAAATGTGGAACCCGAAAATCAGAAAACCCAGTAAAATCTTCTAGAAAATCAAAAAATTTAGTCAGAACTTCTAAATGATCAGGAAACTCATCTATAACTTCTAGAAAATAAGTAAATTCAGCTAGAAGCTTCAAGAGATCAGAAAACCCAGCTTAAACTTCTAGAAGACCAGAAAACCCCGCTAGAGGTTCTAGAGGATTATAAAACCCATTTAGATCTTCTGGAAGATCAGAAAATCCATGGATAACATCTAGAATGTCTGCTAGAGGTTCTTAAAGATTAGAAAACCCAGGGAGACCTCAGAAATTTCATCTATAACATCTGTAAGCTCAAAAAATTCAGCAAAATTTTCCAGTAGATCAAAAAATCCCCATCCCACTAACCTTCAATCCCAACCCCTTCTCAAAAAAAACGCCTCTCAAACACAGGACATTGAAGCAGTTGACACCACACTACCACACTCATTCCGCGCCATGGTGATGACTGTATTTGGTGTCTTTTCGACACTATATGTCATTGTTTGGGCGACACCATACGCCATTATTGCTTTTATCATTTTAAGCCTATTTTATATCATAGTTCTGGTAGGGGGGTGAAAAATCATGTTGTGGTGTGAAAATGGTGTGATTTTTGATGTGTGGTAGTGAGAATGCTGACTTGATGTAACTCTGGTGAATTCAGGAAATTGATATGATTGACTCGCGTCTGCCGAATGCTATTATGACTGCGGTTGGCGCCGTGATTCAGGCTGTGATGATTTTGGCGGTGCCGATTTATATCGCTCCAGCTGCGTTGAGCATTATTGCACCCGTTTTGATTGCCTACTCTTTTTTGCTGGTTAGCATGCATTTTATTGATTGATTTTTTGTGCTTATGCTTTTTATGTTGTCCTTAATGTCCTTTACAAAATATGGGGGGAATATGGAAAATGATCCTTTAAATTGAGTACTGTAGTGTGCTCCTTTGAAAATTGTTTTTCAAGAAGTACTGTGTCCCTTTAAATGTATCTCATTCAAACTTATATGGAAAAAATCCGTACTGTATGTCCCTTTAAATCTCGTTTAATGTCTTAGGATGTGGAAGGTTTGGACGTGGAAATCCCACGCTCAATATCAATGTTCATTCGTACATTTGTGGCGTCTGTGGAAATTCTAGCTGTTGTGATGTGGGCGACTCCGACTTCTGCCGCTGCTCTACTACCACTTTTACTATTGTATCTTGTTGTTTTGGTATGTCGTGTATATGGTGTCCAAAAACGGAGCACCTTATGTTCCTTTAAACTTGTCCAGAAACAGGAGACAGGAGACAAAATTTTCTATTTTTGGACACCTGATTGTGATTTTCTGCTAACTTTGTGGTTGTTTGCCTCACATGCTTTACTTCTACATTTTTTAAAAAAAAATCTGAAATTTTCAGAGATTCTACGTAAGCACATCTCGACAATTAAAAAGACTCGAATCCGCTTCAAGATCTCCAATCTATTCGCACTTCCAAGAATCAATTCAAGGAGTTTCTTCAATTCGAGCCTACGGTGTAACCGATCGATTCATTCGAGAATCACAAAATCGTGTTGATGAGAATCTGGCGACTTATTATCCAAGTATTGTTGCGAATCGATGGTTGGCTGTGCGACTTGAACTTGTCGGAAATCTTATTGTATTGTCTTCGGCACTTTTTGCTGTGCTGTTTAGAGATTCGCCTGGATTATCAGCTGGTCTTGTTGGATTATCGGTTTCGTATGCGTTGAATGTGAGTTCCGTTTTCTAAATGACAAGGAGCCGCGCCTTGAGAGCTTCTATGTCAAGCAGCCACGCCTAGGGAGCTTAAATGTCCAGCGCGTAGATAGAACTAGATAGAAAATTATGCACCTGCAATGTTTACCCAAATTTAATTAAATTTTGTGACGTCACAACCTGCAAAAAGAGCGCAGAGAAAAAATGTTTCCAGATCACACAAACACTCAACTGGGCGGTTCGAATGACCAGTGAACTTGAGACAAACATCGTAGCCGTTGAGAGAATCAAAGAATACAGTATCACCCCAACCGAAGGTCTCGCCAACACCAAACTCGCGCCAACAACTTGGCCACAATACGGCAAAATTGCCATCAAAAACTACAGTGTCAGATATCGTCCAGGTTTGGATCTTGTTTTGAGTGACGTCACCGCGCATATTGATCCGACTGAGAAGATTGGAATTGTTGGAAGAACTGGAGCTGGAAAATCATCGTTGACGCTGGCACTTTTTAGAATTATTGAGGCTGATGGGGGTTGTATTGAGATTGATGGGACGAATATTGCTGATTTGCAGTTAGAACAACTTAGATCGAGATTGACTATTGTGCCACAAGATCCCGTTTTGTTCTCTGGAACTTTGAGAATGAATTTGGATCCATTTTTTGCTTTCAGTAAGTTGGAGAGAGAGGCTAGACACTTAGAATTTTTTTCAGACGATGATCAAATCTGGGAAGCCTTGAGAAACGCTCATTTGGAATCATTTGTCAGAAGTTTACACGATGGATTGTCACACATGATTTCGGAAGGTGGAGAAAATTTGAGGTAAGTTTTGGAAGCCAAATTAGGCCTAGACTAACCTTATTTGGACTCAAAAATTTGCAAATTTTTAGACCCAATCCAGAAAAAAACCCATTTTTCCAGCGTTGGTCAACGTCAACTCATTTGCCTAGCCCGTGCATTACTCCGAAAAACCAAAGTGCTCATTTTGGACGAAGCCGCGGCTGCTGTAGACGTCGAAACTGATAGTCTTCTCCAAAAAACGATTCGTGAACAATTCAAAGAATGCACAGTTTTAACGATTGCTCATCGATTGAATACTGTAATGGATAGTGATCGATTGTTAGTGTTGGATAAAGGAAAGGTGGCCGAATTTGATTCGCCGAAAAATCTGCTAGCCAATTCGAATAGTCTGTTTTATTCAATGGCTAAAGATTCACAGTTACATTGATTTTTTTCTTGGTTTTTTGAACTTTTTTTGAAAAATTGTGATAATAAAGCATAATTATAATAATATTCTGGAAAAATCTGAAAATTTTGTGGCTAGAGAAGCTAGATAGGTTTGAGAAGGCTTTAGGAGGCTTCAGAAGACTCAAGAGGCTTTAAAAGACTTCAGAAGGCTTCAGAAAGGCTCATAAATTTATCAGCTTTTCCCTAAGGTGACTCAGCAATTGAGTTATACTAACTAGTAAAACACAAATTATAATTATATCACCTGTCATTATAATTTTTCCAAAAGAAAAACTAAAAAGCGGGTTAAGTTGTCATAGCAACACAGCGCGCTCGCCGGCAAATTTTCCCCCAAATTTTCTCACACACATATCTATATAGTCAAATCTATATAGACCAAATCAACAACAAAAAAAGCAACCTGGCCAAGCTGGAAATGTTCGAGCATATTCGTGACGTGGCACTGCCAATCGGTGTGATAGCACCATTCTCGGGCAATTTGTCAGTGTGCTGGTTGGACACACGAAATATCACATATGCGGCGTTGTCTCAACACTCGAATGTAGGTTCAAAATTAAAAAAAAAACAAATTTGTACTCTTCCTAATCCGATAAATGTACATAAGGTCTACATTTTTTCGCTAGACTAGACTACTATAATCCTTTTTAGAGTGTTTTGTGTGTACTTTGGTTAGGGGGGGGGGGATTATTAAGATTAGAGGGAGGAGGGTAATTTGTTATGAATAGGGTGACGTTTTGAAACATTTTTGCGAAGCTTAGAGATCCTTGAGATCATGAAAAAAATTGAGAAGCTTGAGAAGCCTAATAAGCCTAAGCCTAACCCTTTGAAGCCTAAGTCTAAGAAGCTCAAAAAGCATGAGCCCAACCCTTTGAAACCCAAAAAGCTTAAGCCTAACTCTCTGAAGCCCAAAAAGCTTGAGATTAACCTTTTGAAGCCTAAGAAGCTTAAGCCTACCTCTCTGAAGCCTAAAAAGTTCCATTCTAACTCTTTGAAGCCTAAAAAGCTTAAGCCTAACCCTTTGAAGCCTAAAAAGCTTAACCATAACCCTTTGAAGCCTAACAACCCTAAGCCTAACCCTTTGAAGCCTAAAAAGCTCAAGCCTAAACCTAAAAAACCTAAAAAGCTTAAGCCTAACCCCTTGAAGCCTAAAAAGCTTAAGCCTAACCCTTTGAAGCCCAAGAAACTTAAGCCTAACCCTTTCAAGCCTGAGAAGCCTAAGCTTCAGCTTAACTCTTTGAAGCCTAACAACCTCAAGCCTAAGTCTAAATTGCCTAAGAAGCTTAAGCCTAAGCTTTTGAATACCGAAATGCTCAATTCTAACCATTTGAAGCCTAAGAACCCTAAGAATCCTAAGCCTAACCCTAAGAAAGAAAACCTCCAGGTCCACATTGCCAACTGGGACAACAAAACAGATTCCGAAATCAACTGGGAAACCATCAACATCGTCGACGAGGTCACCGATCGTCCGGTCGAAATCACAGCTGTCGGTTTGGTCCATCCGAATGCTCGCAATTTCCCAGTCGTCATTGTCGGATCAACAACATCGGTGCAGATCTATGATGTGAAGAAGAATGTGACACGTGTCATGTTTCAGATTTCTTTGGAGAGTATTTTGAAGGAGTATAGTGTTAACAAAGATGTTGGCGCTTATTGTAAAGGAATCAGTTGTAATGACAATACAGTGCTAGTTGGTGAGCGTTTTCGTCTGATTCTCTAGTCTCTGACTTTCCCTAACTTCAGGAACACACAGTGGCGAAATCATGATGCTCATGTGCAACGGTGAATCCAACTTCTCCTCGCGAAAAACATTAAAAGAGCACAAAACCCCGGTGGCTGATATTGCCACGTGTCGCTACGATGAAATAACATGCAGTGCTTCGGGTGATGGTGAAATTATTGTGTGGCAAAAGCCCGTGAAAGCGGTGTCGATTCGGATTTTGACCAAGTGAGTTGGATTTCTGCTCTGCGAATCTCGGACCTTCGAAAAAAATCCAATTTTTTCCAGACACCCCATAAACATTGTTAATGTTTTGCGAAAACATGTGATTGTCGGAACTTTGCGTGGAATTATTCAATTTTATAGCGTTCTGACTGGCGATTTGGCGTGCCAGGTACATAATTTCAGAGCATTTTTTTTAAGATACCAGATTCAAATTTATAGATTCACGCGCATGCTCGTCCGATTTCTTCAATTTCGGTGGCTCCAGAAAGTGCCTACATTTTATCAGCTTCTGAAGACAGTCAATTCTTCATTTACAAACTTCACACCAGGAAACCACATCCCTTTCAGGTTAGAGAGATCTAGAAATCTAGATTTTTTCAATTTTTCCAGGCTGAACATCGCTTCGGAATGCATCTCCCTGACAAATTAATCGTTGGTGCACAATTCACCAACGGTCGTGGAAGTTCAGTGGCAGTTGCCAGCTATGATCAAACCGCCATCTCAATGTACAAAATAAAAAAATTGCAAGCACCACTTCCAGCTGCAGCTGAACAACCTATTCAACCTCAGGTTTAATTCATTTTAGGCCCGAAAAATGTTAGGCCTATGAAATTCTAGGCCAAAGTTTTTGTGATATCTATTTTTAATACATAGTTAATATACATAAGTGATTACCGTATACCAAAAATACATTCATATATTTTGTGATATTTTTATTTTATTCATAAAGTCATTCATTTTTACAAGTTTATTTGCTTTAAAATTGTGACGTGGCAACATTTATTGAAAAACGAGAAAAATTTGGATTTTACAGAGATCGAGACTTGATTGATCTTCTAAAAAATTCCTAAAAATCATCTGGAATTATGTAGCAAGCTTCTAGAAATTCTGAAATTCATCTGAAATTTCCAGAATTTAGTTATCCGCCTTTCAAAATTTCAGAAAACCTCCCAGTTCATTTTCAGCTTCCTTCCAAACTTCTGATAAATTCTGAAAACCTTTTCAGCTTTTTCTGAAATTCTCCCGAGCTCCTAATAAATTCAGAAAATCTTCCAGATTTTTCCCGATCTTCAGAACACACCCTAGACTCCAGAAAATCCTATCTAAAACACCATTTTCTGTCAAAAACAAAAAAAAAAACAATTTCTCTCTTTCTCTGTACTCTCTCCTCCAAGCACACTCTCTCACTCACCCAAAACGCGCCAGCTGTGTCAAAAACTGACGCGTTTCATCTCTCTCGCTTTCGTCCCTGTCACTTTTTTCTCATTTTGTCTGCGTCTCTTCAGAGAGTAAAAAATCTATTTATTTAGACATAGAAAAGGCACAAAAGATTGAAAATTACCAAAAAAATTAGATTTTTCTGCCAGTGACGCTGATCTTCATAATATTAACATCCACACATTCGACGTTGACTTTGTCGAAAATATTTTGCAAACGGGACTCATATTTTTGAAAATATCCATGAGAAATCGAGAAAGACAGATGTTCCAGTTTCGAATTTCCATCAGCAAAAATAAATTTGGTGTGAATCGCAGCGATTGGAGTGTCAAAATGAAATTGTTTCAGATTTTCAAAGTTTTTGATGATGAAATCAAATAAATGTCCCGGCAAGAACTGGATAAAAGCTAAGTGTGGGTTCGAAATTTGAAGACTCTTCAAAGTTCCCGAAAATCTTCTACGAATTGCCTGAAGTGTTTCAATATTCCAAACAATTCTGTCAAGTTTCAGATTTTCAATTGATAATGGCAAAACATCAAACAAATTTTTGATGTTTTCAATGGTGATTAGAACTTGACTAATCTCCCGCATAGAAATTTCCAATGTTTTGAGATTCTTCAAATCGCGCACTCCTTTTATCAAATAGAAGAATAATGATGGCTCATAGATTCCGCTGATTGAAAGCATCTCCAAATTTTCCAAGTATCTCATATTATCCAAAATCGCCGACCAATCGATAATTGTTCTAGCACATCGTAGATTATTCGTGTATATTTTCAGACTCCGAATATTTCTCCATGAATCTATTTGCCTTGCTAGAAACCACAGTTGATTGTCGTTTTGCGAACAATCCACCATTTTGAAAGACAGGTCCAAAAATCTGGTTTTTCTTGCGAGATTTGAAATGCATTCCTTTGAAGGTTCCATATGTTCACAGTATTTCAGCTCGATTGCAAAACTTTGGAGAAAAATTGAGTTCTTTTGGAAGATTTGCAGAATCTTTGGGGTGTCATTGAGGTCAAGCGGGGAGATTTCAAGGTGCTGAAGATGACTGTGAAGAAAGTTCTGGACTTCTGAAATTTTTGTTCCACGAAGAGCAAGACTTGTGAGCCCAAAATTATGATGAAATCCAGTTTTGAATCTCGTTTCTTCCAAAATAAGATTTCGAAAATTCGGAAAATTTTTCAAGAACTCCAAAAGCTTCTCAGAAACCTCAATCGCTTTCAAATGCACAATTTCGACATCATTTTTAACCACCAAAAAATGTTTCAAAATATCGATTGATTTCGATTTACAGCGAAAGAATTGCTTGCCGAAATTCACAGTATCCTCTCCAATTTTCAAAATCTGATATTGCTCAGGTTTGGTACGCCATGGTGCTTTTTTTGATGCCGTGTAGAAAATGTTGGATATGAGTTCCATGTTTTTTCTCTCGCGAAACACCGTGATGTTTGATAGAATTTCTTTGACGAGTAGATCATTGTTCAGAACTTGGAAAATTGGGTCAGGCTCCAGGTTTTGAGGTTCAACCATTTGAATCTGGAAAAATGATACTAGGGGTACTGTATGTTCCTTTAGGGGATGTTAATTAGAAGAGGGACTACTTTAACATACTGTATGCTCTTTTAAAAATTATCTAGAAAAAAATATCCATGAATTTTCAAAAATGATAAAAATGAAAATGAAAATGAAAAATATCTGACAAGAGCCATATCAAAAACATTAAATGATTCATTTTTACAACCAAACCAAAAACCATTTTTTTCCCTTTTTCTTTTCTAAATCTAACATAAAAAAAACAAATTGTTGAATCATCGCAGGAAAAAAAAACGAAAAATTCTCACGAAACTCTCATTTATAATAAATAATCGAATCATTTGAATGGAAGCAAATTTGAATATTATTGATTTTTTCGGGAAGAAAGGAAATGATTTTTATAACGTGGCAAGGAGCCGATTCTTGTTAGCTTCTGTGAGAAGTAGCCAATCCTAGAGAACTTCAGTGGCAAGGAGCCGCACCTTGAGAGCTACTTTGTCAAGCAACCGTTCCTTGAGAGCTTCTCTGTCAACGAGTCGCTCCTAGAGAGATGTGATGTCAAGGAGCAGCGCCTATAGATGATATTTGTCAAGCAGCCGCGACTAGAGAGCCACCATGGCTAGGAGCAAGACATTTGAGCAGACAATAATCCTGCAAAAAAATTTCATCAAAAAATTAGAGTTTTTTCCAGGTTCAATTATGTCCGGTCGATTTTCAATGATTTTTGTTCTTGCAATTTTTTTTACTGAATCCAACTTGATACTGTATTATGTTCCTTTAAAAATCCAATTTTTCCAGAATTTTTAAATTTTTTTCAAACCAATTTGAAAATCTCGGCGGTCTGGAAAATTTTTTCAAAAAAGCAGGTAGGCATGACGTTTTTTTTCCCGATTCAATTCATTAAATTTCGCTTCCTCATAAATAATTATAAATTTTTTTGTGAATAAATTATTTCTACATAAAAATGTGTGTCGGTGTATGTTTCCAGGCTTTGTCTCCTCAAAAAAAATATTTTTGAAAAGAAAAAATCTGTTTTCAATGATCTTCATTGTGAAATCGAATTATTTCTGGAAAAAAACAAATTTAAATATTTTTTACGGTTTTTCTCATTTGAATAAAAGCATGGCTCATTTATCTACTCAAAATCACCTTGGATATTTTTTTTGAGCTCTCATTTTTTGGGCTCTTTTTTTATTTACTTAAGATGGAGTTTATTAATTTTTTATATTTTATTCAATCTACTTTTATTTCCTTCCTAAAGAAAAAAAATAATATATGTTTCACATAAATTTTCTTTTGCTTGTCATTTTTTTTGCAAAAACCTGAAAATGACATTTGAAACAAATTAACGCCTACAGCTTTTTCGATGTGCAATTTGCATTTTCAAAAATTTCTTCCAGTTAAGAACAAAAATGATATCAAAATTCTTGGAAAACAATTTTTTTGTGAAAAAATAAAAAATGTGAGAATTTTATGGGTTCCAATTATCCAAGCACACCTCAGAATGAAATTTATCACGCGAGCAAATATTTTTCTCCTTTTTCTGGGAAAATTTGTATAGTTCCTGAATTTTTCGAGCTGCAGGATCGAAAAAAATTTATGGGGCATATTTGAACAAAGAATTCATAAATTAAAAAAATTCCACGTCATCTAGCAACTTCTGCAGAAAGCCTAGAGAGCCTAGAGAGCCTAGAGAGCCTAGAGAGCCTAGAGAGCCTAGAGAGCCTTAAAAAACACCACGTCATATTTTTTTCCAGAAAGACCACCCACGTCGCAAAAAAACACCCAATCATCATATTTTCCACAAAATAATCACGCAATGTTGATAAAAATTGTCATTGTTCAACACCCGCGCACCAAAAAGAGCAGGCAAATTCTTCGAAAAGCCCCGCCCCTTTTCTCTGTTGGTTACCACGCATTTTAGGACTTCTTCTTCTTCTCCTTCCATTTTTCTTTGTATAAATATTCCGGAAAATTTTGGTCAAATTTATTCTTCTCCCAGTTTTTCTTTCATTTTGAACTTGAACCCCACCTCATTTGTATTCGTCAACTTTTTCATGTTGCTCCGGCTCCGAGCCCAAATAAAAATTGGTGCTCCGAGTTCCTTGTCTATCCAAATTTCCTGAGCCAACTTTTCACATGATCATTATCTTCTAGCTCCAGATTTTTCCATAATATTTTTTATTTCAGGTATAAAAGAAAATGCAATCTTTGTCTGCATGCATTTTGGCGGCTCTTGTATTGCTTACTGTAGGTCTGCCAGTTTTCGAGGACAATGAAGTAAGGATTCTTGTTTTGCGGATTAAAATTTGAATTTGAGAATTTCCGAAAAAAATTGGATTAGATTGGATTAAAATTATATAGAAGCCCTGGAAAATTTCAACAATTTTTTTTCTAAAAATATTTTTCTAGACTAAATTTTACATCACTGGAGCTAAAAGATCTAGAAAGCCTAGAGGGCCCAGAAAATCAAATTTTTTTACAGAACACATTCTACGTTCCTTTAACTGGGCTCGAAAGAAGGATGGTCAGAAGATCTGTGGTAAGAACAATTCTCTGAGATCTGAAATCTTAAAAAATCTGAAATTTTCAGCTTGATGAGATGAACAAACGCGCCTTTAACCAACACCAACAATTGGCGATTCCACGTGGTGGAGCAATGGTGTCAGGACGTGGATGGATGCCTGGATTTGTTGACACACCAAGATTCTTGTACAAAAGGGTGAGCTTTGAGGCTTCAGCGCTGAATCTTAAAAGAATTCCGAAAATTATCAAATAATCTTTTTTGCAGTCCTTGTAATTCGTCTCCTCGTCTTGAACCAACTTCTTCTCTCATCTCGCTTCATTTTTCATGAATAAACGATTTATGTTAGATCTTGTTGTGGTTTTTTTGTCATTAATTTTAGAAATCGGATGATTTTGGGAGCAATTTTTCTGGAAAGAACATTTTTGTGGGAGGAACACGGGAAATTAAAAACTGAAACTAATCAATAAACCCGCCAAGGAGCCGTGCCTTGTAAAAAAAATCTTTGTGTCAAGGAGCCGTGGCTCTTGAAAAATAGTAAATGTTTCCCCCAGCTTAAAACAATTGCCAACGTACTTAACATTTTTAAATCATCATGTTCTTGCCTTGCTTTCATGTAAATGTCACGAAAAAGATAAGATAAGAATAAAATGTGCAAAAAAATTTGATAAACCCAATCATTTTACACGTGAAAAAAAGAGAAATGTCTAATTTATTTTCAATATTATTACTATTCTCAATAATTGTGGTGGTTTTGGGAAAACTTCCCAATTTTTTTCATGGTAAAGAAATTGGAAATGCTAGAAAGTAAGTTTTAAAGTTTCAGATTGTTCTGAAAAATGTTTCGAGGTTTCAAAATACTGTGAATAGTTTCAAAGAAGTTTAGAGAGTTTTTAGAAACTTCAGAAGGTTCCAAAACATTGGATTTTCCAGCAATTATCTCAAAAGACATTTGAAATCCAAAAACCTCGCAAATTCCGAATATCCATGGCTTCAAACTCTGAATTTCACCCAAAAATTGGATCACTTCGACCCTTATAACAAGAAAACCTGGAATCAAAAGTATTTCTACAATCCAAAATATTCTCGAAATAATTCAATAATTTTCCTGATGATTGGTGGAGAAGGTCCCGAATCAGGTCATTGGGCCGCTTATCCAGAAGTACAGTATTTGAAGTGGGCTGATGAGTTTGGAGCTGATGTTTTTGATTTGGAGCATCGATTTTTTGGAGATAGTTGGCCTATTGGGTGGGTTCAGGTGGCTCAAAGTATAGAATCAGAATAAACATAAAAATTCCAGTGACATGTCGGTTGCTTCATTAAAATATCTCACAACTGAACAAGCCTTAGCCGATCTCGCATATTTTATCCAATCAATGAATCAACTTCACGGCTTCAATAATCCAAGATGGGTAACATTCGGTGGAAGTTATCCAGGATCATTGAGTGCTTGGTTCCGCCAAAAATATCCGGAACTCACTGTTGGTTCAGTTGCTAGTAGTGCTCCAGTCAATTTGAAACTCGATTTCTTCGAATATGCGATGGTGGTGGAAGATGGTTTGAGAATTACTGATCCAAATTGTCCGGAAGCTGTGAGACAAGGAATTACGCAAATGCAACAATTGTCATTGACAGAAACTGGAAGAGAAACTTTGAATAATGTTTTCAAGTGAGCTTTTTTGAGTGGGGAATTTTTAAGTGTGGGGGGGGGTTATTTTTTGTGGATTAGAAAGCTAAAAACATCCCAAAGTTTTCTAGAGATCCAGAGAGAATTCTCAAAGGATCAGGGGATTTTTCAAAATTTTCTATAAGCTTGAAAATTTCTCATTGTCAGATTTTTTTTAGAATCCCTGGATAAATTCCAGAAACCCTAAAATCTTAGAAGACTCTGAAAAATTCCAGAAGTTATTAGAAATTTTTCTAGAAGGCTCTAGAACGTCTTGAAGCTCACAGTAAATTCTAGAATAGCTTGAAAATTTTTCAGAAGCTTGGAGCAATTCGAAAAAGTCTGGGAAGCTTCTAGAAATTAATAGAACATTCTGAAAAGTCTAGAAAATCTCTAGAAGGTCTGAAAAAATTCTCAGAATCTTTTTGAATTCTAGAAGCCCGGAAGATTTTCCCTAATCTATTTCAAGCCCAGAATAATTCCAGCCTGGTTCCAAAATTCGACAAAAACACAACCAAACTTGACATCAACAATTTCTTCGGCAACATTTTCAACGTCTTCCAAGGAATGACTCAATACACCTACGATGGCCAGGTAAACATTTTTGAAATTTAAATTTTTTCCAAATTATATTTTTCAGAGTGATCGCACACATTTCAACATGACTCTCAGAAAAATGTGCAACATCATGACAAACTCATCCGAATCAGATCCAGTTAAAAGAGTTCACAATCTTGTGTTGTGGTATAATACATTCGAACCATCTTCTGATGATTTGACTGTGATGCAGAATAGTTATTGGGATATCATTGCTCAGATTGGAAGTTCTGATTTGAAAGTTCTTGGGGAAGATGGTGCAGCTGCTAGAGGTTGGATGTGGTTGTGTTGTAATGAAATTGGATTTTTACAAACTACTGATCAGGGAAGAAATGTTTTCGGATCTACTGTTCCTTTGAAGTAGGTTTTAGGATGTGCTATAGGTTTCTAGGCTCTCTAGCTTCTCTAGCCTCTCTAGCTCATTTTTTGCAGTTTATTCATCGATATGTGCACTGATATGTTCGACTCAAGTATAAACATGGACTACATCTACTCAAGAAATTTACAAGCTCAAAACTACTACGGTGGCGCTGATTTCTATAATGTAGGTTCATTTCTCATTTCTCATTAAAAAAAGTAAAAAAATTCTGCTCCAGGCTTCAAATGTTGTCCTTCCAAACGGTTCTCTCGATCCATGGCACGCTTTGGGAACTTATCACGAGAATCAGAATTATTCGAAACTTCCGTATTTGATCAATGGAACTGCTCATTGCTCAGATATGTATCCAGAATATGACGGTGAACCGGAATCTTTGGTTGCAGCGAGGGCTTTTATTAAAATGAATGTTAAACAATTTATCAGTGAGTGAAATTATAGCTAAACTGGCTCTGGGCTCTTCTGAGGAACCTCTAGTAATTCTGAATTTCTTCAACTTACAGTACCCTTTGCAGTTCGGGATAATTGAAATACAGTAAACCTTGGAGTTCAAGATACAGTTACCCTAGAAATACAGTAATTTTTGTAGTTTTAAGTTACAGTATGCTTTGCAGTTTTGCAGTAACCTTTGAAGATCAAAATAATTGGCCATACAGTAATCCTTGTGAACCATTTTTCCTGTATCAAAACATAAATTCGTCAAATTTTCAGGATACGATCCAAACGTCGATGGTCCCCATGGTAGCTCAATGAGCAACTCAATTCTCATTGTATTTGCTCTATTACTCTGCAATTATTTATATTTTTAATTAGAAAACAGCAAAACATTTTTGAAAAAATGAATTATTATTATTTCTCAATAGAATTCGACTCCGTTTTCACTGCTCCGCGAGTTTTTTGAACTGAATTTGATGGATTTCTTTTTGGAATTGTTGAACGAGGTTTTGTTGAGGTTGGAATGGCTGATTTTGTAGGCGCAGCTGGTGCAGATGTTCGAGAAGGTGGTGGTGCAACTTTTTTGGCAGAGACACGATCTCGAACTACTGTTCGATTTGCACTTGATGCTAGAGGACTGTCTTTTACCATTGGTTTTACAACACTTTTTGGTTTTTCTATGGATGTTTTGATTGGGGAAGAATCTGGGCCGGGGAGTTGTGCAGCCCGGATTTTGTCGGCTGAGATTATTGTGTGTGTTGTTTGGCGTTCCATTTGAATCTGAAATTTTTAGAGGATCATAAAACTTTCTCTAGCCTCTCTAGCCTCTCTAACCAACCTCATCAACAGCAGATTTCTTCTTCACCGGCGATTTTCTGACAGTTTCTCTAGACCTCGATGGTTTCATCGCCGCGTTCTCAACAGGTTTCGCAGTTTTCTGTGGAGAAGATGTTGAGCCAGATTGTGTAGATTTTTTCTGCTCTTCTGGCACAGGTTTCTTCTCAATTTCCGGAGCAATTTCTTTCGGCTCAGGCGATTTAGGCTTCTGCGGTGTTTTTGTTCGTTCCGCACTCTTTGCGCGAGGTTGCGCAAACTGCCCGGTATTTTGAACCCCCACACTTGCACTGCGTTTGTAACTTCGAGAATTGCTTGAGAGTCGAGGAGGAGGAGCTGTAGGTTGGCGGAGTTCCACAAATATTCCGGCTGAAAAATATTTTTGAGATTTGGAAAAAAAAATCATAAAAACTAACTCTCTTCAATCCTCTGCTTCTGATCAGGAGATAATAAATCATAAGCTTCAGCATTCACAACACTTGCAGCATAATGTAAAAGATGTCGATCCGACAATTCAACCATTCTTCTGATCAACGAGCTGAATCTAGGGCTCCAAGATTCTCCAGCAATGTTCAACGATCTTTTAGGTGATGGTGGAGTTTGCTGAATCTGTGTCAGAAGTTGACTTAAAGATTTGTAGGTTTTGATAGCAACATCAGGAGTGAGAGAATGAATAACTGAGGGGAGCAGGTCTTCCAGAAGACCTAGATTTAAAGCGAGACCCTGGAATATTATTGATTTTTCGAAATATGTAAATTAAAAGGACTCACTTTTCCTTGCATTTGAAATGATTTACTAGAAATGACTAGATGAAAAGTTTGAACTAAAAATTGCATAGCAACATCTAAAATATCATCGACTAATTGGAGCACACTAATTGCAGAATCGGATTTTGAACGGGAAAGTGCAACCTGAACATATTTCAGAAAGGATAAATAGCTATGTAGTGAACAAAGAAAAAACTCACCTGTAATCTTTCACAACTTAAAATAATCTCAATAACCGTTTCATCATCCATATATTGAATAACAGCTTCATAACACTCTTTTTGCCATCTCTCATTCAAATATAAAAATACACGTCCTTTCCAAATGCGAGCAAAATGTTTCGCTTGCCACATCATTGCCTCATCATAAAGTGTTCGCATACATCGAATTTGAGCCAATTGTGGAAGGCAATCGAAAACTGCAGAGACACAAGCTGCGCAAGGCTGAAAAATTTTGAAATTTTGAATTTTTTTATTTTGCAAAGATCCTGGGAGTTACTCTAACTCAAACCAACCCTATGAAACCAATGGCACTTCAACGCTTTCATATGGAGAACAACAACTTGCGCCAAATCTTTATGATTCAAATGGGTCGCCAGTGAAATAATCTCCCAAACATCAACATCTTCTGGAATTGACGTAACTCCTCCATACAAATATAATAGCAGAAAGTTGATAGATGTTTTTGAAAAGCCTTTCATCTCAACTCTTTTAGATTTCGCTAATTGCTGTCGGAAAAACGGACATGTCGCTGACAAAATACATTTATGCGCATGAATATCACCATCTTCAGTTCGAATTATACAATCGGTATCCTCATTCTTAACATACATTTGCATTAGATCTGCAGCCAGTTTACTGCACGCTGTTAAATCTCCAACTGGCGGTTGATTGTCTTGTCCGGGAGTTATATCAATACTTGTTAGACTTGTTAAACTTGTCATTGATAATCGTTTGGATAAACTTAGACGATTACTTCCTTTCCAGGAATCTGACATGATTTTATTTTCTGGCATCACTTCGCCTTCTGTTAATCCTATGAACATTGGGAACATTTGTCGCATTCCGCCGGATGATCTTTTTCTTTCTAATTGTTCTTTGTGAATATCATTTCCGTTTGTGAGACTGTCAAATCGAATGAATTTGCTCATCGGTCCTAAAAAATTATTGATTTTTTTTTAAAATTTAAATTTAGAAAGCCGAGAGCCCAGAAATCAAAATAAAGTTCCCATAACTCACGATTATCCAGTGGTGTAGTAGAAGTTGGATGATCAGGATTAGTTTCATCTTCTTCTGGAATATCAGCAACTTCACTCCGTCCACCCAACGAATAAATCGAACTATTCATCGAACTTCCAGACGCCAAATCTCGAAATGACGTCATCACTGGAACTGTTGGCGCAGATTGGGTGGCATAATTGTTTTGCAGCAAAGGATATGGCCCTGTAGCCGCAATGATTTTTTTGACTGGCGAGGAGCAGGGCGGCGGTTGATTGGCGGCGGACGGTGAGGTGAAGAATGGAGGAGCGTGGGGCAATCGTCCGGTTGTTGACAATGTTGGGGTTTCATCCTCAACGCTGCTGGAAAATTGCGATGATTTTAGGAATAGTTCTGGATTGCTGAAATTCTAGGATGGCTTACTTCTCATTTGCCCCGCTCATCTGAAAATCCAGTTCAGTTGTCGATTCTTCCATCGCATATGATCGATTTGACGCTCTAGAATCTTCTGAAATAGCTCAATTTTTCTGAGGAATCTCAATTTCGTAAGATCACACAAATCTTGTGAAGTAAAAAAAAAACATTCAGTGATTACCCGATTTTTTGGAGATCATAAGACTCCGACAATTTTCACAGACTGGAAGGTAATTTTAGTTTCCCTAAAGAAATTTTTTGAAAAACTCACGTCGATCATCAGAATTTGGATTTGGAATCTGTGAGAATTCCTCTTCTGTATAAACAGAATGTATAAAGAATTCCAAGCCAACCGAATCAATATCACCAATCGCAACTTCGCGCATCTTCCCCTCCTGTCTAGGCCCCATCGCAGAAATAGTTGCTTCAATGTGTCGTTGATAGAAACCGGGTGCACGGTGTCTTAAAATACACTCGTGTGCAGCGAGTTTTTTGCCGTCGGCGGCTACTAATAACAAATCAGCTGATGACATGTCGCCAACCAATGTGCTCATTTGTCGACGAATTTTTTCAGCTAAACGAGTTTGGAGTTGCTCACGCGCTGAACAATATTGCTCCCATGCAATTGCGGATCGCATATTCAACAACAATGTTCAACATTTCATCTGAAACTTGGTTTTTTTTATAGTATTTCAAACTTGGTTTTTTTTATAGTATACAAAGTATTTCAGAGGATTGCTCATTTTAAGCGAACATCTCTAAAGTAGATTTTCAAGAGGAACATTTCTGGAATTTTTGGAATGTAGTTTGAAAATTTATATGTGCCTTTAAAGTCTGAAAATGTGCAGAGAAGTTAGAGAGGCTAGAGATGCTAGAGAAGCTAGAGAGCCTAGAGAGCTTAGAGAGCCTAGAGAGCCTAGAGAGCCTAGAGAGCTAAATATTTCAGTATTGCTCATGTGAAGCTCACATTCAGTATTCCCTAGACTCAAAAAAATTCCAGTTTTTTCAAAGAAAAAAGCCGTATAGTAATTCTGAATGATATAATAATGAACGTGTAGAAAATGTATAAAAATATGTAATAATTTGTGAACAAATAGGATATTTCCCTTATTATTTGTTCACCAGCAAAAAAAACGGAGGAAATTTGATGCCTTTTGTGAAAAGACTGGTAGAAAGGAGAGCGGTAGGTGACAGGATTAATTATTGATTTTTTGGGGATTTTGGAAACACAAATTAGAGCTCATGTGAAAATTAATGTAATTAAAATTTTGCGGGTTTTCAAAGCAATTCCATTAAATTGTGAAATACATAGAATGAAATAATTTTTCGCCTGCTCTCCTCAAAAGAACGTAGAATTGTCGCAGGCTGTCACTAATCTCATAATTACAATGGCAACCAGGCGGCAGCAACATAATTGATTTTTTTCTCGTTGTTCGCGCATGCATTTTTATTCATGTGCATATTGGAACATTTCGGGGTGAATTACAATTTTTGGCGGGAAAATATGAGAACAAAAAATCCTATTTATCAGAAAAAGAACTCAACGTTGCTCATGTTAAACTCAAAAATTGCTTGAAAATTTCAAATTAATTTTTAACATACTTTTGCTGCGAAACTTTGAGAAAAATTTGAGAGCATGTGGATTTTTCAAACACTTAGAAACTAAATCTCTAGGCTATCCAGGCTTTATAGGCTTTCAATGCTTTCTAGCCTCTCTAACTTCAAAATATCATAACTCAACATCCCGTGCATAATTTTTGATGATCAAAAAATTATCATCAAGCCTAGAACCTAGAAAAATTCTGAATATCTTCAGAAAATTCTCAAAAACTAAAAAAGTACAAGAAAATTTGAACCGGAAATGTGGGCATACATTTTTTTTTTGCAAAAAAATGTTGCCTTTTTTTGATAAATTGTTGCACGTGTTCAATCTACTGGAAAGCGGAAGAAATTGGAAAATTTACAAAATTTTTGAACCCGAAAGCTGAAAATTCTATAGCTAATGAGTTTAAAAAGCAGACAGAAAATTCCGAACTTCAAAACAATGCTAAATACAAATGCAAACATAACAAAACAAAAAATCGAGAAAACAAAAAGACAAAAGCCATTTGTGGTGAGAAAAAGAAAAAGTGCTCAACTAACATCTTTTTGAAGCTGTCGGGGGCTCCGAAAATCAATAATTTGAAACGAAGGCGAAAAGGGGGGGGGGGAGACATGTGAGAGCAGAACAGAGCACAACAAAAAAAAGAAGAGCACACCAAAAATGGATGGATAGATAGATAGTTATGTCGTTTTTCTAACAAAATTTTTGAGGGGGAACTGAGAATGAGAAAAATTTCTGGAAAATGTTTTTTTTTTCTAGAAAAACTGAATTTCATATTGAAAAATCTAGAGAACAATATAACTCTCTAATCTCTAAATTTCTGCAAATTCATAAATAGATCTTTGAAATCAAAAAAAATTCGGAAAAATAAAAAAAAGAACAAAATTATTTGCGCGAATGAGAAAAAACTTTCATTTTTTTCCGCACTCAATAAAAATTATATGTATATGACCAGTTTTTCTACCGGTTGAAGGGGTGGCGACCAAAAATTATTGAAAAGAAATAATTTGAAAACTTACACATTTTTATACTATTTTTTGAAATATATATATGAAAATGTAGAAAAATACTAGAAAAATGAGGAGAAATGAGCAGAAATGTTGGTAGAAAGAAGACGAATGAATTGTTTCATGCATTTTGTATCACATAATTGTTCTTCTATGGATGAACAATGCGTTTTTTGAAAGATCAGTGAAACAAAATCGATATTTTTCTTTTTGAAAAAGAAAATATAATGAAAATTTATTTCAGCCTCATTTTTTGGTGCAAAGTTGGATTTCAGCTAGGTTTTAGCTCCACAGTAATTGGTGGAAAGTGAAATTTGAGCATCTTGAACAACTCAAAAGTCTTATGAGAAAAATGGTAAGATGAAAAGCTTCAATTTCAGAATCCGAATCATTTATTGAAAAATAAACTGATACATCTACAGAAAAAGGAGAATCAAATAGCAAAACATGATACTACCAGAAAAAAAATCAATCAAATTAAAATCTATTCGTCGCGTTGAGTTGGCTCAACACCAAGTTCCTCATCCTCAATAGCTACAACAGCAAGAGGGGTGACTTCTTGAGGGGAGCCAGCCTGGAAAAATATTGTTGATTTTTAGGTTTCTACAGTAAATCTAGGCATTTTAATCTCAAAATTGGGCAATTTTATGCGCTAAAATCTACAGTAACTCTAGACAAATTCTCAACTCACCCTATCAGATCCATGAAGCCAACACCCAATTGATTCGGTAGATTGGCCAGTGAATGATGCATCAGCATTCGTTGGTTTGGCTGGTTTCACCGGTTGTTGTTGCTGTTGCTTGAGATTCAGAGCATTCAATTGCGGCTTTGGTGCTTCTTTTTTCTTGTTGCGACAGCAACCAAACATCTTCAACATTTTCACAAACATTCCGACAGAAAAAAGCTGAAAAACACAATTTTTTGAAGTGAAAACGATAAAAAACGGCGAAAATCAAACAAAAAAGTGTCAGAAATAAAGTAGAAACAACAAAAAAAGCTATGAAAAACTCAAACACAACTTACTAGACATTTTTTAGATCGAAAAAAATTAATTTTAGGCTGAAATTAGGTAATTTTAAGCGTCTGACTTTGAGCTCAATTTTGAGCATTTCAGAAAGAGATAGGTTAAATGAGAGTAAAAAGAGCTTAAAGATCTCGAAAAGAGCTACAAAATGGTATATTTTTGAGTGAAAAAAGGTTGAGTTTAAGATGAAATAGAATAGGTTAAAAAAAGGGAAAAATGAAAAATTTAGGAGAAAAATTATTTTAGGCCTTGATTTCGTGACATTTGCCTGCGAATCATACTGTACATAACGAGACCTGCTTGATAAATCAATGTCCCTTTAAAATTGAAAATATTTTTTTCGACATTTTTCAAAGTGGAGTTGAGTTATAATAAATATATGGACTCATAGGTTATCGGGTATGGCGAATCACGTGAGCATATTCATTTTACGTGAAAACGTGTTTTTCACGTACTTTTGCCACGTGGAATTTTGGAAAATCGAAACTACTGCATATTTTTTGCTGAAAATTTGTTTTTAAGGTTTTCGAGGGTCCTGGAGAACGTGGTGATAATCATTTTTTGAGAATTCGAAAAATTTTATTTTTGAGATAAGGGGGGACCCTTATGATTTTTTGATGAAAATTTTAAATCAAAATTTTTTCCAAAAATAGGTAATATTAGTTGCTAAAAAGTTAGTGTTAGGGTTTTTAAGGGTTCCGGATGACGTGGTGATGATCATTTTTTGGGAATTCGGAAATTTTTTATTTTTGAGATAAGGGGGGACCCTTATGATTTTTTGATGAAAATTTTCAAGCGAATTTGTTTTCCAAAAAATTGTTCTTCTATGGATGAACAATGCGTTTTTTGAAAGATCAGAAAGATAATATGAAATTTTCTCGCTGAAATTTAGAAAATTCCTCAAATTTGGTTTTCTTTAAAAAAATGCAGTTTTGTTGGGACCAACGATGAAATTGTTTGTCAAACGTATTTCTGACCACTTCGAGCATAAAATTCAGCATCAAAATCAATGTGACTACTGTAAAAACACATAAATTTGCAATTTCATTTTTATTCTCTTGTCATGAAATGTATTTTTAAAAATCACGCGAAAATTATTTCCATGCTCCTAACTTAATATTCTCATACTGAAAGATGCCCTCCTCTAAATCTTCAATTTGTATATTCTGAAACACTGTTCTTTTCCAAGCTCGTTCCTTATCATCCTCATAATGCATTCCTTGTCCGGTAAAATCTGGATGAACTGAAAAATTGAACTTTTTTTCGCTAATTGGCACATTTTTCTCATAGGCAACAAAATCATGAATTTTTCCAGTCTCTGTACAATTATGTCGAAAACCTAGAACTAATTCATGATGCGTGAATGATAATGGCAATCCATCAGAAGGCATCTCAACTTTTTGTATTACACTACTTGTTTTTTTATACGGTGAACAAATTCTATTTGATACGAAAACATTATCATAGTTAGGGGGCAATCTGAAAATTCTTATTTTTATTGTTTGATATTTGACTTGTCACTCACCCTGCGTCATATTCCAGTAAGAAAAAAACAAAACACCAATTGGTATTAAGACGACAAGAAGGATAGGTCAAGAATTCAACTGTGGTGGATTCTGAAATATCAAAGACACAGAGAGCAAATGCTAATAAAATCAACATTTTTCTCTTAAATGGACAAAATTAGAATGCCGAATGTTTTTAAATGTGATATGTCAGTTTTCTCATTCTCACATTCAGGACACATAAAAAGTAGACGTGTCAAAAAAAATATGGAAAATCAATAGATTCGATGAGTTGGAATAATATTCAAACTTCGTTAATTTTTGGCGCGAAAATCCAAATTTCAAAATCCCAAACAAAAAAAATCATCATTCAATTTCCTATCAAAAAGTGCACATTTCTCCTGTGGACTCATAAAACTTCGAGCCTTATATTGAAAAGCCTTCGAAAACTCCGGAAAATTCAGGAGAATTCCATCAACTCGAAATTTGAAAAACTATTCATTAACAAGTGACCTAGTGACTTGGAATATAAGCCTCTTGTGATTTTTTTGATGGAAACTTTTAAGCGAGATTTTTTTCGAAAAATAGGTTTGATTATTCTGCTGAAAACGTGTCTTAAAGGTGTTTGGGGGTTGTGCCGACCATGTGGAGATTTGATGCAAAGTTGGAATTTAACTAGCGCCACATTAATTGGTGGATGTTGTAGTGTGAAATTTGAGCATCTTGAACAATTCAAAAATCTTAAGATGAAAAGCTCCAATTGAACCACAATCATTTATTCAAAAGGAATAAGAATTTTACAGAAAAAAGGAGAATAAAATAGCAATAGATGAAAATACCAATACCAGAAAAAAATGAATCAAAATCCTAGTCGCGTTGAGTTGCCTCGACTGCAAGTTCCGCATCCTCAATGGCGACAACAGCAAGAGGGGTGACTTCTTGAGGGGAGCCGGCCTGGAAAAATATTGTTGGTTTTTAGCTTTCTACAGTAATTCTAGGCATTTTAATTTCAAAATTGGGCAATTTTTAGCGCTAAAATCTACAGTAAATCTAGACAAATTCTCAACTCACCCTATCAGATCCATGAAGCCAACACCCAATTGATTCGGTTGATTGACCAGTATAAGAAACATTAGCATTTGATGGTTTGACTGGTTTGACCGATTGTTTTTTGAGCTTCAGAGCAGTCAATTGAGGTGTTGGTGCTTCTTTCTTCTTTCCGCAACAACAAGAAAACAGCTTCGCCAATTTCACAAACATTCCGACGGAAGAAAGCTGAAAAACACAATTTTTTGAAGTGAAAACGATAAAAAATGGCGAAAATCAAACAAAAAAGTGTCAGAAAGTAATTAGAAACAACAAAAAAAGCTATGAAAAACTCATACACAACTTACTAGACATTTTTTTGATCGAAAAAAAATAATTTTAGGCTAAAATTAGGTAATTTTAAGCGTCTGACTTTGAGCTCAATTTTGAGCATTTCAGAAAGAGATAGGTTAAATGAGAGTAAAAAGAGCTTAAAGATCTCGAAAAGAGCTACAAAATGGTATATTTTTGAGTGAAAAAAGGTTGAGTTTAAGATGAAATAGAATAGGTTAAAAAAAGGGAAAAATGAAAAATTTAGGAGAAAAATTATTTTAGGCCTTGATTTCGTGACAATTGCCTGCGAATCATACTGTACATAACGAGACCTGCTTGATAAATCGATGTCCCTTTAAAATTGAAAATATTTTTTTCGACATTTTTCAAAGTGGAGTTGAGTTATAATAAATACTAGAAGGGCTTCGCTGGCTAACGCCATCTACAGTAGTTTGGCTTACTTTTTCTGATTAATTTTCCGGTTAGGGAAAGAGAAACATTGAGAAATGCCCAAAAACTGTTGACTTTTTCAGAGAATAGAACGATCAGATAAGAAACGTGTCCTAATATTTTTTTCAAATAAAAACGTGATCATTCTTTTTTACATGAAAAAAGTTTTGATTTTTCACGTGAAAACTCGCGCATTTTTTGAAAAATTGAATATTAGCGCATCGATGGGAAAGAATTTAGGATAGAATAGTGAAGGTCTCATCAAAAATGGTCTTCTGGAAATTGAGAAAAGTCGAGCGACACATTTTAAAATCGAAAAATACATTGAGATTTTCAAACTTTTCACTCTCCGCGCACTCACATACATTTAGAGGGAGAATTTTTGAAATGCGCATCATTGTGCCACCATTTAGAAACTTTTTCTTTTTTTGATCATCAATTTTTATGCGCACAGTTTTGAGAACGGACCGCGGACAGACTCTTGCCAAAAAAATTTTCCCAATTAGTATATAGTAGATATGGACTCATAGGTTATCGGGTATGGCGAATCACGTGAGCATATTCATTTTACGTGAAAACGTGTTTTTCACGTACTTTTGCCACGTGGAATTTTGGAAAATCGAAACTACTGCATATTTTTTGCTGAAAATTTGTTTTTAAGGTTTTCGAGGGTCCTGGACAACGTGGTGATGATCATTTTTTGGGAATTCGAAAATTTTTATTTTTGAGATAAGGAGGGACCCTTATGATTTTTTGATGAAAATTTTCAAGAAAAATTTTTTCCAAAAATAGGTTATATTAGTTGCTAAAAAGTTGGTGTTAGGGTTTTTAAGGGTTCCGGATGACGTGGTGATGTTCATTTTTCAGAAATTTGAAAATTTTTATTTTTGAGATAAGAGGGGACCCTAATGATTTTTTGATGAAAATTTTCAAGCGAATTTGTTTTCCAAAAAATTGTTCTTCTATGGATAAACAATGCGTTTTTGAAAGATCAGAAAGATAATATGAAATTTTCTCGCTGAAATTTAGAAAATTCCTCAAATTTGGTTTTCTTTAAAAAAATGCAGTTTTGTTGGGACCAACGATGAAATTGTTTGTCAAACGTATTTCTGACCACTTCGAGCATAAAATTCAGCATCAAAATCAATGTGACTACTGTAAAAACACATAAATTTGCAATTTCATTTTTATTCTCTTGTCATGAAATGTATTTTTAAAATTCACGCGAAAATTATTTCCATGCTTCTAACTTAATATTCTCATACTGAAAGACGCCCCCCTCAAAATCTTCAATTTGTATATTCTGAAACTCTGTTCTTTCCCAAGCTCGTTCCTTATCATCCTCATAATGCATTCCTTGTCCGGTAAAATCTGGATGAACTGAAAAATTGAACTTTTTTACGCTAATTGGCACATTTTTCTCATAGGCAACAAAATCATGAATTTTTCCAGTCTCTGTACAATTATGTCGAAAACCTAGAACTAATTCATGATGCGTGAATGATAATGGCAATCCATCAGAAGGCATCTCAACTTTATTGTTTAGACTCCTTGTTTTTTTATACGGTGAACAAATTCTATTTGATATGTAAACATTATCATAGTTAGGGGGCAATCTGAAAATTCTTATTTTTATTGTTTGATATTTGACTCATCACTCACCCTGCGTCATATTCCAGTAAGAAAAAAACAAAACACCAATTGGTATTAAGACGACAAGAAGGATAGGTCAAGAATTCAACTGTGGTGGATTCTGAAATATCAAAGACACCGAGAGCAAATGCTAATAAAATCAACATTTTTCTCATAAATGGACAAAATCAGGATGCCGAATGTTTTTAATTGTAATATGTCAGTTTTCTCATTCTCACATTCAGGACACATAAAAAGTAGACGTGTCAAAAAAAAATATGGAAAATCAATAGATTCGATGAGTTGGAATAATATTCAAACTTCGTTAATTTTTGGCTCGAAAATCCAAATTTCAAAATCCCAAACAAAAAAATCTTCATTCAATTTCCTATCAAAAAGTGCACATTTCTCCTGTGGACTCATAAAACTTCGAGCCTTATATTGAAAAGCCTTCGAAAATTCCAGAAAATTCAGGAGAATTCCATCAACTCGAAATTTGAAAAACTATTCATTAACAAGTGACCTAAAACTTATGATTTTTGTGAAGCAAGATTTTTTTTCCAAAAATAGGTTTGATTATTCTGTTGAAAACGTGTTTTAAAGGTGTTTGGGGTTGTGTCGACCACGTGGAGATTTGATGCAAAGTTGGAATTCAGCTAGCGCCACATTAATTGGTGGATGTTGTGGTGTGAAATTTGAGCATCTTGAACAACTCAAAAATCTTAAGATGAAAAGCTCCAATTGAACCACAATCATTTATTCAAAAGGAATAAGAATTTTACAGAGAAAAATAAAATACCAGAAATCAATACCAATACAAGACGACAATCAATTAAAATTCCTAATCGTCGCGTTGAGTTGGCTGAACTCCAAGTTCCTCATCATCAAAAGCTTCGACAGCAAGAGGGGTGACTTCTTGAGGGGAGCCAGCCTGGAAAAATATTGTTGGTTTTTAGCTTTCTACAGTAATTCTAGGCATTTTAATCTCAAAATTAGGCAATTTTTAGCGCTAAAATCTACAGTAAATCTAGACAAATTCTCAACTCACCCTTTCAGAAGCATAAAGCCAACACCCAATTGACTCCGTGGTTTGTCCAGTGAAAGATGGACTCTCAAGTGATGGTTTGACTTGTTGCTTGTTGAGTTTCAAGCCAGACAGTTGCGGTTTCGGAGCTTCAGTTTTCTTGGCGCAACAACAACCAAATACCTTCAACAATTTACCAAACATATTGACCAAATATCAGGCTGAAAAACACAATTTTTTGAAGTGAAAACGATAAAAAACGGCAAAAATCAAACAAAAAGTGTCAGAAATAAAGTAGAAACAACAAGAAAAGCTATGAAAAACTCAAACACAACTTACTAGACATTTTTTAGATCGAAAAAAATTAATTTTAGGCTAAAATTAGGTAATTTTAAGCGTCTGACTTTGAGCTCAATTTTGAGCATTTCAGAAAGAGATAGGTTAAATGAGAGTAAAAAGAGCTTAAAGATCTCGAAAAGAGCTACAAAATGGTATATTTTTGAGTGAAAAAAGGTTGAGTTTAAGATGAAATAGAATAGGTTAAAAAAAGGGAAAAATGAAAAATTTAGGAGAAAAATTATTTTAGGCCTTGATTTCGTGACAATTGCCTGCGAATCATACTGTACATAACGAGACCTGCTTGATAAATCGATGTCCCTTTAAAATTGAAAATATTTTTTTCGACATTTTTCAAAGTGGAGTTGAGTTATAATAAATATATGGACTCATAGGTTATCGGGTATGGCGAATCACGTGAGCATATTCATTTCACGTGAAAACGTGTTTTTCACGTACTTTTGCCACGTGGATTTTTGGAAAATCGAAACTACTGCATATTTTTTGCTGAAAATTTGTTTTTAAGGTTTTCGAGGGTCCTGGAGAACGTGGTGATGATCATTTTTTGGGAATTCGAAAATTTTTATTTTTTGAGATAAGGGGGGACCCTTATGATTTTTTGATGAAAATTTTCAAGAAAAATTTTTTCCAAAAATAGGTTATATTAGTTGCTAAAAAGTTGGTGTTAGGGTTTTTAAGGGTTCCGGATGACGTGGTGACGTTCATTTTTCAGAAATTTGAAAATTTTTATTTTTGAGATAAGGGGGGACCCTTATGATTTTTTGATGAAAATTTTCAAGCGAATTTGTTTTCCAAAAAATTGTTCTTCTATGGATGAACAATGCGTTTTTTGAAAGATCAGAAAGATAATATGAAATTTTCTCGCTGAAATTTAGAAAATTCCTCAAATTTGGTTTTCTTTAAAAAAATGCAGTTTTGTTGGGACCAACGATGAAATTGTTTGTCAAACGTATTTCTGACCACTTCGAGCATAAAATTCAGCATCAAAATCAATGTGACTACTGTAAAAACACATAAATTTGCTATTTCATTTTTATTCTCTTGTCATGAAATGTATTTTTAAAAATCACGCGAAAATTATTTCCATGCTCCTAACTTAATATTCTTATACTCAAAGACGGCCCCCTCTAAATCTTCAATTTGTATATTCTGAAACACTGTTCTTTTCCAAGCTCGTTCCTTATCATCCTCATAATGCATTCCTTGTCCGGTAAAATCTGGATGAACTGAAAAATTGAACTTTTTTACGCTAATTGGCACATTTTTCTCATAGGCAACAAAATCATGAATTTTTCCAGTCTCTGTACAATTATGTCGAAAACCTAGAACTAATTCATGATGCGTGAATGATAATGGCAATCCATCAGAAGGCATCTCAACTATATTCATTAGACTCCTTGTTTTTTTATACGGTGAACAAACTCTATTTGATATGTAAACATTATCATAGTTAGGGGGCAATCTGAAAATTCTTATTTTTATTGTTTGATATTTGACTTGTCACTCACCCTGCGTCATATTCCAGTAATAAAAAAAACAAAACACCAATTGGTATCAAGACGACAAGAAGGATAGGTCAAGAATTCAACTGTGGTGGATTCTGAAATATCAAAGACACCGAGAGCAAATGCTAATAAAATCAACATTTTTCTCATAAATGGACAAAATTAGAATGCCGAATGTTTTTAAATGTGATATGTCAGTTTTCTCATTCTCACATTCAGGACACATAAAAAGTAGAAGTGTCAAAAAAAATATGGAAAATCAATAGATTCGATGAGTTGGAATAATATTCAAACTTCGTTAATTTTTGGCGCGAAAATCCAAATTTCAAAAACCCAACCAAAAAACAAATCTTTATTCAATTTCCTATAAAAAAGTGCACATAGGATATAAGCCCCTGAAACTTATGATTGTTTTGATGAAAACTTTTAAGCGAGATTGTTTTTTTCCAAAAATAGGTTTGATTATTCTGTTGAAAACGTGTTTAAAAGGTGTTTGGGGGTTGTGTCGACCACGTGGAGATTTGATGCAAAGTTGGAATTTAGCTAGCGCCACATTAATTGGTGGATGTTTTGGTGTGAAATTTGAGCATCTTGAACAACTCAAAAATCTTAGGATGAAAAGCTCCAATTGAACCACAATCATTTATTCAAAAGGAATAAGAATTTTACAGAAAAAAGGAGAATAAAAAAGCAATAGATGAAAATACCAATACCAGAAAAAAATGAATCAAAATCCTAGTCGCGTTGAGTTGCTTCGACTGCAAGTTCCTCATCCTCAATAGCTACAACAGCAAGAGGGGTGACTTCTTGAGGGGAGCCAGCCTGGAAAAATATTGTTGGTTTTTCGCTTTCTACAGTAATTCTAGGCATTTTAATCTCAAAATTGGGCAATTTTTAGCGCTAAAATCTACAGTAACTCTAGACAAATTCTCAACTCACCCGCTCAGACTCATAAAGCCAACAACCAATTGACTCTGTAGTTTGTCCGGTGAATGATTGATCCGGAATCGTTGGTTTGGCTGGTTTGACCAATGGTTGCTTGTTGATTTTCAAGCCAGCCAGTTGAGGTTTTGCAACTTCCTTCTTCTTGTTTTTGCAACATCCAAAAATTTTCGCAATTTGCCCGAACATTTTGTCAAAAACGAACTGAAAAATACATTTTTTATGAATTAAATCGATAAAATACGATGAAAATCAATCGAAAAGTATCAGAAATGAAGTAGAAACAACAAGAAAAGCTATGAAAAACTCAAACACAACTTACTAGACATTTTTTAGATCGAAAAAAATTAATTTTAGGCTGAAATTAGGTAATTTTAAGCGTCTGACTTTGAGCTCAATTTTGAGCATTTCAGATAGAGATAGGTTAAATGAGATTAAAAAGAGCTTAAAGATCTCGAAGAGAGCTACAAAATGGTATATTTTTGAGTGAAAAAAGGTTAAGTTTAAGATGAAATAGAATAGGTTAAAAAAAGGAAAAAATGAAAAATTTAGGAGAAAAATAATTTTAGGCCTTGATTTCGTGACAATTGCCTGCGAATCATACTGTACATAACGAGACCTGCTTGATAAATCGATGTCCCTTTAAAATTGAAAATATTTTTTTCGACATTTTTCAAAGTGGAGTTGAGTTATAATAAATATATGGACTCATAGGTTATTGGGTATGGCGAATCACGTGAGCATATTCATTTCACGTGAAAACGTGTTTTTCACGTACTTTTGCCACGTGGATTTTTGGAAAATCGAAACTACTGCATATTTTTTGCTGAAAATTTGTTTTTAAGGTTTTCGAGGGTCCTGGACAACGTGGTGATGATCATTTTTTGAGAAATCGAAAAATTTTATTTTTGAGATAAGGGGGGACCCTTATGATTTTTTGATGAAAATTTTCAATCAAAATTTTTTCCAAAAATAGGTTTGATTATTCTGTTGAAAACGTGTTTAAAAGGTGTTTGGAGGTTGTGTCGACCACGTGGAGATTTGATGCAAAGTTGGAATTTAGCTAGCGCCACAGTAATTGGTGGATGTTTTGGTGTGAAATTTGAGCATCTTGAACAACTCAAAAAATCTTATGTAAAAAACGGTAAGATGAAAAACTTCAATTTCAGAAACTCATTCATTTATTCAAAACGAATACGACATTTACAAGAGAAAAATAAAAAAGCAGAGAATGAAAATACCAGAAAAGAAAAAATCAATCAATGTAAATCCTAGTCGCGTTGAGCTTCCACAGCAAGAGGGGTGACTTCTTGAGGGGAGCCAGCCTGGAAAAATATGGTTGGTTTTTAGCTTTCTACAGTAATTCTAGGCATTTTAATCTCAAAATTGGGCAATTTTTAGCGCTAAAATCTACAGTAACTCTAGACAAATTCTCAACTCACCCGCTCAGACTCATAAAGCCAACAACCAATTGACTCCGTGGTTTGTCCGGTGAATGATTGATCCGGAATCGTTGGTTTGACTTGTTGCTTGTTGAGTTTCAAGCCAGACAATTGCGGTTTCGGAGCTTGTTTTTTCTTGCCGGAACAACAATTGAACATCTTCAACAATTTCACAAACATAATTACCGAGAATAAGCTGAAAAACACAATTTTTTGAAGTGAAAACGATAAAAAACGGCGAAAATCAAACAAAAAGTGTCAGAAATTAAGTAGAAACAACAAGAAAAGCTATGAAAAACTCATACACAACTTACTAGACATTTTTTAGATCGAAAAAAATTAATTTTAGGCTAAAATTAGGTAATTTTAAGCGTCTGACTTTGAGCTCAATTTTGAGCATTTCAGATAGAGATAGGTTAAATGAGAGTAAAAAGAGCTTAAAGATCTCGAAGAGAGCTACAAAATGGTATATTTTTGAGTGAAAAAAGGTTAAGTTTAAGATGAAATAGAATAGGTTAAAAAAAGGAAAAAATGAAAAATTTAGGAGAAAAATTATTTTAGGCCTTGATTTCGTGACAATTGCCTGCGAATCATACTGTACATAACGAGACCTGCTTGATAAATCGATGTCCCTTTGAAATTGAAAATATTTTTTTCGATATTTTTCAAAGTGGAGTTGAGTTATAATAAATATATGGACTCATAGGTTATCGGGTATGGCGAATCACGTGAGCATATTCATTTCACGTAAAAACGTGTTTTTCACGTACTTTTGCCACGTGGAATTTTGGAAAATCGAAACTACTGCATATTTTTTGCTGAAAATTTGTTTTTAAGGTTTTCGAGGGTCCTGGACAACGTGGTGATGATCATTTTTTGAGAATTCGAAAATTTTTATTTTTGAGATAAGGGGGGACCCTTATGATTTTTTATGAAAATTTTCAATCAAAATTTTTTCAAATAATATTTGATTATTCTGTTGAAAACGTGTTTAAAAGGTGTTTGGGGGTTGTGTCGACCACGTGGAGATTTGATGCAAAGTTGGATTTTACCTCGCGCCATAGTAATTGGTGAATGTTCTGGTGTGAAACTTGAGCATCTTGAACAACTCAAAAATCTTATGTAAAAATGGTAAGATGAAAAGCTTCAATTTCAGAATCCGAATAATTTATTCAAAATGAATAATACATCTACAAAAAAAGGAAATAAAATAGCAGAAAAAGAAAATACCAATACCACACAAAAATGAATTGAGAATCCTAGTCGCGTTGAGTTGGCTGGACTTCGAGATCTTCATCATCAATGGCAAAAACAGCTCGAGCGGTGACTTCTTGGGGGGAGCCAGCCTGGAAAAATATTGTTGGTTTTTAGCTTTCTACAGTAATTCTAGGCATTTTAATCTCAAAATTAGGCAATTTTTAGCGCTAATATCTACAGTAACTCTAGACAAACTCAAACTCACTCGATCTGACTCATACAACCATGCACCAATTGACTCTGTGCTTTGTCCAGTGAAAGATGGATTCTCAGGTGATGGTTTGGCTGGTTTGGTCGATTGTTGTTGTTGTTGCTTGAGTTTCAGACCAGTCAATTTAGTTTTCGCAGCTTCCTTATTCTTGTTGCGACAGCAACCAAACATCTTCAACATTTTACTAAACATATTGACCAAATATCGGGCTGAAAAACACAATTTTTTGAAGTGAAAACGATAAAAAACGGCAGAAATCAAACAAAAAGTGTCAGAAATAAATTGGAAACAAGAAGAAAAGCTATGAAAAACTCAAACACAACTTACTAGACATTTTTTCGATTAAAAAAAATTAATTTTAGGCTAAAATTAGGTCATTTTAAGCGTCTGACTTTGAGCTCAATTTTGAGCATTTCAGAAAGAGATAGGTTAAATGAGAGTTAGAAGAGCTTAAAGATCTCGAAAAGAGCTACAAAATGGTATATTTTTGAGTGAAAAAAGGTTGAGTTTAAGATGAAATAGAATAGGTTAAAAAAGGGAAAAATGAAAAATTTAGGAGAAAAATTATTTTAGGCCTTGATTTCGTGTGATAATCATTTTTCTGAAAATCGAAAAATTTTATTTTTGAGATAAGGGGGGACCCTTATGATTTTTTAATGAAAATTTTCAAGCAAATTTTTTTTCCAAAAATAGGTAATGTTAGTTGCTAAAAAGTTAGTGTTAGGGTTTTTAAGGGTTCCGTATGACGTGGTGACGTTCATTTTTCAGAAATTTTGAAAGTTTTTTTTTTGAGATAAGGGGGGACCCTTATGATTTTTTGATGAAAATTTTCAAGCAAAATTTTTTTCCAAAAATAGGTAATGTTAGTTGCTAAAAAGTTGGTGTTGGGGTTTTTAAGGGTTCCGGAGAACGTGGTGATGATCATTTTTTGGGAATTCGAAATGTTTTATTTTTGGGATAAGGGGGGACCCTTATGATTTTTTTGATGAAAATTTTCAAGCGAGGTTTTTTTCCAAAATTAAAATATTTTTTGAAAGTAGGTAATGTGATTTTTTCTCAAGCACTTTTGTTTATAATTGCACAAAAAATGTTCCGTTTTCTGTGAATAATTTATGTCAGAAAACAATTCAATTTTCTGAAAAATAAGTTTGATTTTCAAGGTTTTCAAAATAAAAAGTGCAATGCATTTTTAACTCGTTTTTTTCAACAAAAAAAACTCTTTTCGAATTTTGAGCTTCACAAGCTTCATTTTTAATTTCACTTCAATCGCCTTTTTCAATTTTTTTTTCATCGCATCCCTTTTTCAACACAGCAAAAAGTCACCAAAAAAGTGATTAAATTGTCGGGGTGTGATGAGCCTTCTCGTGTTTTTTCGTGTGTTTTTTTTTATTTTGCCTGCCTTTTGCGTGCCTTATTTTTTCCTGGTTGGTTTTTGCCTCGCTTCTCCTTTGCTACCAATTAAAAATCCATTTTTCCTCTTCCTTTTTTTTGAATTTGGTTGAAAGAAGCCATTTCTTCTAAAAGGCTTCTTTTTTATGAGTTCATCTGTTTTGTTTTTTTTTCTACCCAAAATCTGAGAGCTCTTGTCAGAATTTTTCTCACCAGAGCTTCCAAATGGTTTTAGCTCTCAAAAGCCTTTTTTTCTGGTTCATATTCATATTCACATTTCTGAGAGTACATAGTAGAGAAAAAAAGGGTTCAGAAATCTTTCGAAAAAACATAGAGCCAAAAAAAAGGCGGAAAACCAATAAATATAAATATCTACTTACATTAGGAAAGATACTGCAATTTGATACCCTTTATGTAGACTTTTCAAATAGAAAAATGAAAAAAAAAGAGGGCTTGATCTATCTTCATTTTTTCTCTATTAATCTACCACTCTGTCCCTTTAATGAGGAAAATCTCCAATTTTTTCTGACTTTTTAGAGAATCAGAATATTCAATTCTCTAAAGGAATTCTTTTGTTTCTGAGCAGATGTGGCCTTTTTCTTTGAAGAGTTGAAAGAAAATGATGATGAGAAAAGAAAAAATTTATTTATTTATTTATTTTATTTTTTGTTGCCGCTGGAAAAAACCCGTGGAGAAAGAAAAAGAGCAAAAATATGAGATGAGATGAGATGAATGGCATAACAAATTAGAGGAAAAGACACCCTTTAAAACATTTTCTCGTTTTTTTTGTGCTGCTGCTCTTTTATGGGTAATTTGAGATTTTTGATTCAGTCGAGTTCGTTTTGCGAGGAAGCGTGGGCAAAAATTAGTTTTCTTATGTTTTTTTTCGCACTGAGCTCTCTAGAGTCTCTGAAATTCTAACGTGGACTTTTCAAGATATTTTGGGATTTTCAGATTCCAAGTCACAATTTCTGATGGAGTATTTGATGATTTTTGAGCTTCAGATTACTGTAGAGCTGAGTTCTGAGCTTCTTTTTTACTTTTTCAATCCCTGAAAAAATAATTGAGTTAAAATTCTCATAGGTATTTTTTACGGGGGAGAATGAAATCTGATACAAAAATTTTTGTAATCCGATTAATGACGTAGGGGTCTCCACGAGTTTTCATTTTCAGATTCCAAATTTTCAGCGATAGCTTCAACAAGAGTTAAAAGTAATTCAGAAGTTCTCAATGGTTCACTGAAGCTAAATGAAGGCTCTTAAGGTCCCTGCTACCGTAGTTCTCCCATGTGTAGTACAAGAATTGTAGTTGTATACTACTTTTCAAAGAATTATTCATTTTCAGTTATTTTCTTTTTGCTTTCATGAGAAAAATGTAGTCTTTCTCCATTTTTTCTTCTTCTTCTTCTTCTTTCCTCAGATTATGTATATGAAAATGAGAGAATTTTTTTGTGCCAATCTATATTATTTTTTTTTAATATTATAACTGCATTCATTTAATTTATTTTTTCCTATTTATTTTTTTTTCGCCATTTTTTTTCGTCACACATTGATTTTTCGCCGCGACTTTTCTCCGCGAACAAAAACATTGGCAGAATTTTGATTGCAAATATTTTATTGTAAAAAAAAATTCAATTTTTTTGGATACCTGCACTTTTTTTTCAAAAATGTTCATTTAGAGAGGCTAGAGAAGTTAGAGAGGTTAGAGAGCCAGAGTACATCTTGGCATAATTTTTTGTTTTCAAAACAACTTGACAACTTTGAACTTTTTTCCATTCAAAATTTTTCAATTTTATTTTTTAACGCCAAAAAAAGTTTTTTTGGAACTCAATAACAACCTTAAAAATATCAAATTTCTAATTTTCTGTTTTTTTTTGGCGCAAAATCTACTAGTAAATAAATATATTCCCGCCAAAAATTTCTCTTCATAACATGAGTCATGATTTTTTCAGTTCCTAAATCCTCACAATAAATCTCTAATAAAGTGCAAAATTATCGTATTAATCTGGTTTTTTTTTGAGATTCCAAAATCCAAAATTTAGTAATAAAAATCGGATTTTTTTCCAAATTTTTCTCTCATTGTTCATTTTCAAAATATGTACATCTTTAATTTGTTGGCTGGTAATTGTTCCGTTTTCTAGCAATATTTTTTTCAGAAAAAACCACTAGCTTAAAAAATGATTTTGAATTTTCTGAAAAAAAGTTTCAAATTTTTTTCTTGGATTTTGAGCTTCTGGGGCAATTTTCTAGTTTTTCCGATAAAATTATCGCTTCTGAATCTAATTTTCGAGCTTCTGGAGATTCTAAAGTAGATTTTTCATATATTCTGGATTCCATATCACAATTTTTAGATTTCTCGACATCCGGAGCTGATTTTCGAGCACCTAAAAATTCTGAAACTGAGTTTTCTAGACTTGAAAGATTCTAGAGGTGATTGTTGACCCCTAGTCCGCTTCAGAGCTAGTTTTCGAGCTCTCGAACATTATGGAGCTGATTGTTGAGCTCTTGATATTTCTGAAGCCAATTTCTGAACTGCTAAAAGTTCCAGAGCTGTTTTCTCAGATTTTTTGAAATCCTGATGATCCTGTAACGAATTTTTCTCTTCTCACAAGGCTCTCAAACTCCACTATTCACAAAATTATTCCTATTATTCATAATATTTATCAAAAGAAACCCCGTGTTGCTCCTAACAAGCTCTTTTCATCATCATCATTTTTTTGTGCCACTGCTCATGACACATCTCTACTTTTCATATCAATGCTATCACAAAATGTATATACACATATGTCCAGATTTAATTCACGGCGTTTTATCAGAAGGGGAGAAGAAGCAGGAGAAAAAAAAAGATAATCCATGTGAGGCGCTCGCCGAGCCCCCAGCTTTTCCCCCTATGTTTTTTTTCGCTTCTCTTTTTCGTTGCTATGTCGACATATCACTTCACTTCATTTCTCTTTTTTTTTGTTATTTTTTTTTGATTCGCCTATTCAATTAGTGTATATTCAATAAAAACTCTTTTCTAGATTTCATCTCATTTTTTTTCAGAAAGTGGATGTTTCGACTGATATAAACATGGGCAAAGGTGGTAGCAAATTGAAAACTACACAGATTCGCGATCTTGCCGAACAGACTTATTGTAAGTTTTTTTTGGATTTTTTTTTGTAGGAATTTGATTTTATGAGAAATCTTTCGAGTTTTTTTTCGAATTTTCAGAAAAACAGAAATTTTTTAGAGTTTCTGAAGTCTCAAAATGAAATTAGATATTTTTTAATTGATTTTCACATTTTGAAGATTCTTAAACTGTCTTGACAATGCTGAAACAATTTTCTGAATTACCAAAAAAATCAATTTTTTTCAGAAAAAATTATTGATTGGTTTTGTAAGCTTCCAGAAACTTTTTTGGCTCTCTAGGCTCTCTAGCCTCTCTAGGCTCTCTAGGCTCTCTAGGCTCTCTAGGCTCTCTAGGCTCTCTAGGCACTCTAGGCTCTCTAGGCTCTCTAGGCTCTCTAACCTCTCTAACCTCTCTATTTTTCCAGTTACCGAAAAAGAGATCAAACAATGGTACAAAGGCTTTGTTCGCGACTGCCCGAACGGAATGCTCACCGAAGCCGGCTTCCAAAAAATCTACAAACAATTCTTCCCACAAGGTGATCCCTCAGATTTCGCTTCATTCGTCTTCAAAGTCTTTGACGAAAATAAAGACGGCGCCATCGAATTTCACGAATTCATTCGAGCACTTTCGATAACTTCACGCGGTAATTTGGATGAGAAATTGCATTGGGCTTTCAAATTGTACGATTTGGATCAGGATGGTTATATTACCAGGAATGAGATGTTATCGATTGTAGACTCAATTTATAAAATGGTTGGGAGTAGTGTGAAATTGCCGGATGATGAGAATACGCCCGAGAAACGTGTAGATCGAATATTTCGAATGATGGATAAGGTTTGTAGACTTTTTTAAAGGAGCAGATAGTTTTTTGACATTCAAAAAGCCACGCCCCTTTTAGAAAAATGTATCGCAGTTGAATATGCTAATTCTAAATTGAAAAAACTTTTTCAAGCTACAGTAACCCTTGCAGTTTGAGTTAACTTAGATACAGTATATCTTGCAGTTTTTGATCTACAGTTACACGGACCACAATAATCCTTGTTTAGTAATTTTGTACTACAGTAATCCATGTGTTTGAAAGCTATAGTAACTCAAAGATACAGTAATAACCCTTTGCAGTTCAAAATTATTTAGATACAGTAACCTTTGCAGTTTGGAATATTTGAAATACACTAATCTTTGCAAGTTACTGTAACTCAAAGATACACACCCTGTCCAGTCTGAAAAACAGTAACAGTAATCCTTGTAGTTCCCAACCTACAGTAACCTTCTGATACAGTATACCTCACAGTTTCTAATTTACAGTAACTTTTTGCAGAACAACGATGCTCAATTAACATTGGATGAATTCAAAGAGGGCGCCAAAGCGGATCCATCAATTGTACACGCCCTTTCACTCTACGAAGGACTTTCCACATAAAACCCCAAAATCTTCAATTATTTTGCTCCCATTTTCTTCCCAACATTTCTAGTTTTAACAAAAATAAACAAAAAAATCATTTTTTTTTTCATTTTTTAACCCATAATAATAATTGAAATAATAATTTTGAATTTTTTTGGAAATAAATAAATCGATAAATATGAATCAGATCAATAGATTGGTAAAATAATCAAGACCTTGTCCATAATCCCAAATTGCGATACCGGCTTCCATACGATGCGCTAGATTGATGCGAAGTTCTAGAGAGGATAGAGATGGATAGTAGATGGTGGATTTTGGTGTGACGAGTTTGTGCTCCATTACTGAATTGTCGAAAGTGTATTGGCTGGATTCTGGGCGGAGAGCTTCGAGGAATCTGGAAAAAAATACTAATTTTTTTGGGGGGCCTGAAGAGTTATTGTAACTCTAGGATTTTTTGCAAAATTCCTGATTTTTTGAGCTACAGTAATCCTGAATTTTTAGCACAAAAAATTAAATTTATAGTGCTAAAGGTAGTAATACTCGAGTTACAGTAATTCTAAATTTTTAGAGCAAAAATATTGATTTTTTGAGATACAGTAGCCTAGACTTTTCGTGGAAAACCCCAGAATTTTTTTAAACTACAGTAACCCAATAATGGATTTTCTAGAGCCACAGTCGGAAGCCTAGGTTTTAAAGCAAAAATCTGAAAATTTTTGAGTTACAGTAACTCCATATTTTGTACATGAAAATTGGGATTTTTTGAGTTACAGTAACTTTAGCATTTCAGTGCTAAAAGTAGAAATTTTCGAGTTACAGTAACTTTTGGATTATTGGAAATAATATTCTGGATTATTAGAACTACAGTAACGCAAGAGTGGATTTTTTCAGTGCCACAGTAGGCAGCCTAGGTTTAACGCAAAAGTGTGAATTTTTTTTAACTACGGTAGTTCCAGAGATTCAGTAACTCTAGAAATTCCACCCTAAAAATATAAGGCACAAACCTGTCTCCTTTCATCGGCTCCACATTTCCCTGTGTAAATTCATATCCATAAAAATTGATGCCCAACAAAATCCTGGGCATTCTCCCGTTCCCCAAGTAATACAAATTGTTCTCGACCCAATCATACGGTGCAACTCCCGAAATTTGCTCCGATCGATAATCATACGTCATAATTTGTACATAATTCGAGAATCCAATCATTTTCTCAAATTCTTTTGGCTCAATTAGTTGATTTGGCTGATTTTTATGATCCAGTGGTGCAGGAACCGTGTAAATGACTTCCAGCGCGGATTTTTTGAAAACCTTGGCAATCTGCTCCATAGTTTCAATGATATAAACTTTTGCTTGAAGACTTTGCATCGTCATTAAAGCTTGCATATAAATCTCAACAACAGCTCCATCAAACTCATTCCTACTGTAGAAATCGGCAATATTTTTGGCGCAATTTCTAGCATTTTGCGGGGAGATCAATAATTGTTCCATTTGTTCACGAGACCAGCCTTCGAAAATTATTCTTGGCACAATTTTGAGCTTCTCATTTTTCGCTCGTAAATCGCTGATCCAATTTCGATCAATATCGTGGGTTCCTTCGATTTTGCAGTCGGGTTTGGCTTGCAGCCAAACTGGTGAGATGTGAGAGAGTTTGTGAGCGGTTTGTTTGGCCAAATCGTAGCCGCGGTTGTTCCACTGCAAAAAAATTATTGATTTTTTATAGGGGGATTCAGAGTTGATAATTTTGTTTAAAAGCTATAGGAGCGGCTCCTTAGCATAATTCAGATGTAGGGCCCGCTGCTTGACAGAGCTTATTCCTAGACTCGGCTTCTATGGTGATCTAACCTGTAGGCTCCCTTCCTTGACCGCGAGCTTACGTCTAGGCGCGGATTCTTCAGGGATCTAACCTGTAGGCTCCCTTTCTTGACCTTACGTCTAGACTCGGCTCCTTGAAAGAGCTCAATAATATCCCCCAAAAGTCCTCACCGGTGTAACATAGGCTAACTGCACAATACTTCCATCCGGCAAATTCGGATTATGAAATTCGTCCGACAATTTATCATGATTCTCCAAAATCGACCTTTTATTGATGGTTTTTGGCGTGTTTTTGAGCATCGAAATGAGCTCATCCGGTGTGACTTGAGAATAGACAAACCCGATGAAAAAAAAGAGAAAGAGCATCTGAAAATTTTGGTGCTGGGTTGGAAATGGTGCCAAAAAATCGATAAAAGGGTTCTAAAACCAAGTTTGAAATATAAAATAAAAAAGTACAATTCAGAATCAATAATTTATGGGAGATCAAAAATGGAATGAAGTTAAGTTAGGATAAGTTAAGTAAAAAATAAATTAAATACCCAAAATAAAAAAATAGAAAAATCAGGTTCTAATAGTGAATTTCCCAGCTTTTGTAATATATTTCACACCCTTGAACGGTTTATATTTCTCTCCATACATATCCAAACGATTCACTTTCAATCCAGAAACCACCAATTGATTAATCTTGAATTTCATGGAAATCGGCGGATTTTCTGTAGTTCCACCAGATCCACTGCTAATCGATACACCTCCCTTTAAAGTTGGCGGTTTGCCAACCTCGATTTTTCCGATGTTCCATTGGAGAAGTTTTGTTGTGGGGTCGAAGCTGACTTTTCCGCTTGTTGGTATCAAATTGCAATTTTGAACACATTTTGGCATGTTGATTTCGAGGACAACGTCTTCGAGAACTTTTCCCATGCTTTGTTTTGGTCCGACAGTGAGCTCGATTTTTCCGCCGACTGGTTTTAGTTGGATTGTGTGACGGACATAGATTGGGATTGCTACCATGCTGAAAATTGAAGAATTCTATCTTTCTAGGCTCTCTAGATCTTTAATTCTCTTTAAGCACGATTTTCAGATTCAAAAAAATCTCGAAAACTCACTTTTGAGAAGCAATATGATAAGAAATAAGTCTAAAATTGCCATCTGGTGGAACAAACGACAAAACTTTCTCATTTTCCCAACGTTTGTATCGAACACATGGATGAAATGAGACATCATCTAGAAGACGAGGATTCACCAAAGTCATTGTCAAATCTGGCATTCCGGATAATTTGCAACAAACATCGACCTGCAAAAATTGGAAATATTTTTCATAGATTTTTACAGGCTTCGAAAAATTCAGATATATTTTTAGAAGCTTTCCAGATTTTTGATAATTCAGAAAAATTTCAGATGGTTCAAAAAATTAGCCTGTTCTTTTCGGGCTTCTAGATAATTTGGAAAACATTTATATAGATTTCGAAAAGCTTCTGAAAATCCAGAAAATATATTTGAGGGTTTCTCAAGCTTTGAAAGATTCTGATATATTTTTAGAAGCTTTTCAGATTTTTTAAAATTCAAAAAAAATTCCGATGGGTTTTTCAAGCTTTTAAAAAATTGGCCTGTGCTTTTGGGGATTCTAAATAGTTCAGAATACGTTCTAGATTTTCTGAAGGCTTCTGAATCCCATAAAATATGATTGAAGGGGTTTCAGGCATCTAAAGGATCTGATATATTTTCTGGAAGCTTTCGAAATTTTTGAAAGTTCAGAAAATTTTTCCAGAGATTTTTCAACCTTTCAGAAAATTGTTCTACGCTTCTCAAAATAATCCCAAGTCTAGGCTTTAAAAAAACAAGTCTAGACTTCAAAAATATCTTCTGAAGGTTTTAAGGCTTCCCTGGCTTTCAAAAACAATTTCCAGGCTTCGGAGAATCCAGAAAAAGCTCCTGAAGGTTTTCCGAGCTTCCTAAACTTCCTAGAAGTTTCCCAGGCTTTCCAGGGTTCAGAAAAACCAGAAAAAGCTCCTAGAGGTTTTACAGGCTTTCTATACTTCCTCAAAGTTCCCCAAAAATCCAACTTACATATCCCTGAATCTCCGCAAAAACCGTGGAACCTTGCTTATCAACAATGACATCAATCTCTTCAATCACATCAAAATATGCCTCATTATTGGTGTATTTGACACCCTGTCTTCGCCAAGGAATATTGGATAATTGTCCAGTCGGCAAAGTTTCCGACAAATTTGTGCGACCAGTAACTTGATTCGCAATATTCCGCAAGAAATTCGGTGGCTTTATCAAATCTTGCAAAATATTCATCTCGGTAACCAGCGGAAATCCATTATCCAACATTTCATCCAACAATTCGAACACGAGCACACAATTCTCTTTCATAGTGCTATCCGAAAAATCGTCGAAATATTGAGTGAGAGTTTGGATAACTCGATGAAGAAATTCGATGACCATTAAAGGAGGCACTTCACTTGTGATAACAGCTAGGAGGAATAATTGATTGTGGTAGACGTTGATTAGATAATGATGGGGTGTTGAGATGATTGGTGGGACATCTTCGGGTGAGGCGGCTTTCTTTTGGAGGTCGAAGAAATAATCACATATTGAGCGGTGGATTACACTTTTCCAGTGTTTTTCGAGAATTACATCGCTGAAAAAAATGAGATTTTGGTTTAAATTCGCTATGCGCCTTTAAGGTCTGCTCATTTTTCCAATGTAAAATTTTGAAATTCACTATAAAAATTCCTATTGCCCAAAAAATGTTCTAGATTTATTTAGAATCTAGGAAATTCCTCGTGAAAACAGCTATGAGCCTTTAAAGTCTCAAAATCTTCTCACGTATTTTTCAAGCTATTTTCTCTTGTAAAATCTCAAGAAGAATGTTCTGGCGATATTGAAAACCTATAAAATTCCCTGTGCAAAGCATTTATGTTCCTTTAAAGTCTGAAAACACTCTCTCCATCTTGAATATGTAAAATTTAATTTTAAAAACACCTAGAAATTCTGAAATTTATGTTGAGCTTTCAAAATTCCTTTTTTTAGCATTAGAATACCCACATTTCACAAAAAAACCCAAAAAAACTCACCCAGAAGTATTCACAATAAACAAACTATTCAGCATTTTCCAACGAAAAAAATAATAAATCCACGAAAAAATTGATGAATGAATAAAAACACAACAACAAATATTGGCTAATTAAACTGCGTGCAGTGTCATTTAGCGGAGCGTCGTTGTCAGGGACGCAAACAAGAGTGTTTTCTCTGTTTCTCTACGTCTCTCCATATATATTGTGTATTTTCTCGGATAAGATAAAGATAGAGCAATATTTTAGCAAAATAATAAATTTATTCATTGATATGTGACAAAAAAACACACAAACAAATAAAAAATCAATATTTTTGGGCTCATAAATTATGCGTTTTTGGGGCGTTTTTTGTTTAGCTAGATGGCACTATTGAGAGCACGGAAAAAATACAAAAAAATAAAAATTATTGGGGGAACCGTGAGTGAAAGAACGAGAAGAATTCGAGTGTTTTTTATTTTACAAATTTGAATTTTCCGGAGAAAATTTCAATCTTAAATCAAGCTTTGCGGTGGCAAATGTGTGCTTGGCGATGGATGATCTTCGCTGTCGTTTCCGTGCATTCTCATTCGCGCAAAATCCTCGAATATCAAATCGTCATCATCGTTTCGTATTCTGCAAAAAATCAATAATTTTGAATTGTAAACTTAGGCTAAATCGTGTTCTAGAAAACTCACAATTCATCATTCAATTGAATCAAATCAACTTCCATGATATTCGACTCGTTGGCCTTTTCAATAATGCGATCTTTACGCTCCGGACTTTCCGCGGGTTTTGCGTGCGTCAAAGTAAACGGTAGTTCCGCGGAGAGTTCTCCCCATAATGGTCCACCGATTGCAGCTCGAATTTTGACGCGGTATTGCACTACAATTCCCAAATTTTCTTTTGATGTTTTGCCGTCCAATCTAGAAAAATTGAGAGAGTTAGAGAGGCTAGAGTGTTTTATGATTTGCACTTACATAGTGCTAGAAGCCAAATTAGTATCTTCGTGTTTCAATTGTCCATCAAGTGCCAACCCTCGTTTATCTTTATTATTTCGAAGCAACGGGCAAACGGAGAACACTTTTGATAATGTGGCGCCAGGTCCAACTGGGAAACCCTCACTGAAAAAAAGTGGAATTTATGATAAGAAAAATGTGCTCTTTGATCAATTGAACTTACTTGCTCTCAATTTTTGCAACTTCACATGTGTAGGAGGCGGTGGTGAAGAGGCAAATATCCGCTACTTGTATGACACTTATCTGGAAGAAAGTTGGGATTTCTAGATGTCAGTGGGAAGTTATGGGAGTTCTATATGGATTCTAGATTTTCTACAATTTTTCTGGGCTTCTGGAAAAATTCAAAAAATATCCTGAGCCTTTTAAAAGTTTCCAGGCTTCTAGAAGGTACCTAGGATTTTTAGAAATTTTTCGAAAATCTTCAAAGACTTCTGAAAGTTTCCAGACTTCTGATAAATCTCCCTGATATTTTAGATCTTTTCCCGAACTCCTAGAAGTTTCTAAAAATCTTCCAGATTTTTCAGAATTATTTCCCGGGTTCTAAAAAAAACTCTTTAATTTCTCCAAGCTTTCTAGAAGATTTTCAGGATTTTAAAAAATTCCAGGATCTCAAAAATGATTTCCGGACTTATCGAAACTACAAAGATCTTCCAGGGCTTTCTAGAATTTCCCCCCTCATAAAAATCATTATCAATCTTCCGGCTATAAAAATAAAAAACGGTTTCAAAAGGTCAACTCACTTTCAATTTTTTGACAGTTTTATTACTATTATTTTGTAAATGTATATTAACAGCAATCGATTCTCCATGATAATACATTTCCTTATCTAACGATGCTTCCATGTGCAATAATCCAGAGGACATCATAAAATCTTTGGTGACATCAATCATTGGTTGTGGGCGAGGTTCCCAGGGTGCATAGGTCAATTTTCGGATCGCCAGGCGAACACTGTTACTTGAGCTGAAAAAGTAGGATTGTAGGGTTATTTTGAATCTTTTAGGATTTTCTCCGAGCTTCTGAAAGTTCTTCTAAGTCACCTAGATCTTCTAGAACCTCTCCCAAGCTTGAAAAAAAACTCACTGTTTCTTGGGTTTATCATTAACCGGTTCCACTCCACCAACCAAAGTCTTAAGCTCATAATCCACCCCACAAGGCTTCCCAGTATCTCCGGGAGCTGGTTGAAGTGTAACACTGCTGGCACTTCTTGGCAAAACTTCAAACCAGAATGGAAAAGCGTTGGCTCCTAATTTTCGTTTCAATCTTTCCTGAAGTCTTGTCAGCGGTCGCTCTTGATTTTTTGGATCTGGCGGGTAGACTTGATATTGTTGGGATATTAGATCTTTGCGGAAGGTTAGGCCGAGAACATCGAGATCTTCGCGACCGTATCGGAAAGCTGCCAGGAGATGAGCGGTGATCTGCAAAATTTTGGATAAAAACTGTCAGAAGCTCTCTGAAGCGTTCTGAATCCTCCTGAAGTCTTCTGACGCCTTCTAGAGCCTTCAGAAGCTTCCTAGAACCCTCTGAAAGCTCCATAAGCTTTGAGAAGCCTTCTAGATTCATCTGAATCTCTCCAACTCAACTCTAAGTTCCTCTAACTCACCTTCTTCCCATCTTTAATATATTCATCATCAACTAGAACCATTCCATCAATCAAATCCACATAATCGCCTCGATCAATAAAATCGCGCTTCCCCAAATACGTTGTGATTTTGCCATTCGGACTTGTCTTCTTGAACACTCTCGTGCCCGTTTTTCGATCCTCATCTAACATAACCATCAAATTCTGAAAAGAGTTAAGCTAACTTCGAAAATCCCATAGGAGTAATCGGCAAAGTGAAGGAAAAATAGAATAAAATAAAATAACCAACACAGACAAAAAAAATGAGATGAGACCAACCAAAAAAAAGAGCGTCGCTATGCATATAAGTACACTTGTATAGTGAGCGAGGAGAGAGTGTATTGTCGGAGAGACGCAGAGATATAGAGAGAGAGACACAATAGGTGGTTTTGTTTTTGCACAGTGTTTTGGCAAGGTTTTTTGGTTTTTTTTTTTGGAAAATGTTAAAGGTACATGGGTTTTCAAGGTTGAAATTTATTGATTTTTGAAATTTTGCCAGAGGAGAAAAATGTGGAAATTCAGAAATTTCAGATTTTTATACAGGTTTCAAGGTTATTTTGAAGTGTAGAATTTTATTGATTTTTGAAGTTCAAAACTGAATTTGAAAATATTTTTGAGAACCGTTGATGTGTGAAATTTGAGATGTGAATTTCGAAATAATTTTTTTTTGAATTTCAAAATTTTCAGAACAATTTTCAAATTAAAAATTTCAGCCTTCGATTTTTAAATGCCAAAATTTAACCTTTGTTCTATTCAGAACCCCACAATTTTCAGAACTAAAATGCCTTGTGATTTTTTGGTTCTGAAAAAATAAAATAATGTACATACATATTTTCCCATTTTTTTCAACTGCTCAAAAACTAACAAAACTAATTATATATTATTAGGAACTCTCATTTTTCTCACTGAAAATGCAGAAAACATTTGTCTAACGAAGAAGAAAATATGAGTAATCTTGAGCTTGAAAAAGAACACATCTGTTCGTCGGCGGAAAAAACCTACACAAGCTTAAAAGGATCATTTTTACTTATGTTAGTTTAGGACGCACAAAAAAAAGAACTCAAAAAGCTTTTTTTTCTCAATTAGTGTCAAAGCCTATCACTCACTCATCCCGAATAAAATATTTCTAATTATATTTCAGAGTTTTTCAGCTTTTAAGAGAATTTTTTTGAGGAGAAGAGGGGGAGATTTAGAAATTCCGAAAAAGTTTAGAAATTTCCTATGAGTTCCTGTAACTTGAAGACAAAAAGGGGATCATTTTCAAGAGATTCTTCAAATTTTATTCAAAAAACACTTCAAAATTGCACAAGGAACCTTTTTTGATCATCTAGAAATTCTGAAAAATGGATTTCAAGCTTCAAGAGCACCAGAAGATCTTCAAAATACTTTTTTGAACAATAAAAAATATGCACAGGGAGTTGAATTATGCATTTTTGGAAAAATTAACCAAAATTTAATTTTAAAAAATGATTCCAACTCAAAATTAGACAAGGAACATTTTAAAAACATCTAGAAATTCTGAAAATTAAGTTCGAGGGTTGAAAAATTGATTTCAGGCTTCAAGAGCATCAGAAGATCTTCAAAATGTTTTTTTGATCATTGGAAAATATGCACGGGGAGTTGAATTATGAATTTTTGAAAAATTATTCAAAATTTCATTTTAAAAAATGATTCCAACTCAAAATTAGACAAGGAACATTTTAAGAGCGTTTAGAAGTTCTGAAAATCGAGTTCAGGAGCTGAAAAATTAGTATTAAGCTTTCTAGGTAAAAATATAGACACCTTTAATATAAAGAGCTTTTTCAAGGGACCATTCAAGCTTGTCAGACTCAAAATCCAACAAAAAATAAGGTTCAAAAGAACAAAAATAGTCCAATAAATGTAGAAAAGGAGGAAAAAAGCGATCTAAAATAAAACAAACGTTCAAAAGGAGGAAAAATGGCACCGGAAACTGCAATTACTCTTTTTTTTCTTATTGTGACTGGCGATTTTTGGTTTTTTTTTTGAATATATGTAGAGAAAAGAAAGAGCAAAAAAAAATAGGGCATCATCTTCTTATAGGAAAAAAAGGGGGGAGAAAATCAATGTGCTCCACTAAAAACGTAATTAAACTCCCAAAGGATTCCGAACACTGCGCAAAGTGTGTACGCAAACATTTTATTTGACGACACTTTTTCTTTTTTTGCTGTTGAGATAAAAAGATTTTCTATGGGATTTCTCAAAGATTTTTTATTGGGAAATGAAATGAACACCTCATTAAAATTCTGAACATATTCAAATTGTAAATAAAAATTATATTTATTTTCTATTTTCAATTTTCAAAAACACACAACAAAATGGGATGAGAGGGATGAGAGAGAGAGAAAAAATCGATTGTTTTTTGTCTGTTCCGAAAAAAACACACACCTTTGACAAACAAACAAGCAAAAAATGCAATAACAATATTTTTTGAGTCAAAAAATAATCGAGAAAATTGGTTTGATAACGATTTGAGGGAGGGGCTAGAGAGCAGGCATGTGCATCTCATCCGCCGGCCGGACGGCACGGCAGCCGTGTGGGCGTGGCTTCGCCGTTTCGCTGGCCGAGCAGCAAAGAAGAAACAGCAGAGAAACAGCAGCCGCGGCATGCCGGCCGGCTGCCGTTTTTCAAAATGGGAAGGAGAAGGTCGTCGCTCCGCCCCCTGCACACAACAGACACAACAGCGCGCAACCCGAAAACCGTCGCACACACAATTTATTTAAGTAGTCTCGCGTGCGCGTAAATCTAGCTATCTTTTTCATTATTTCATAGTGTTTTTGGAGAAATTTTTTGATGATTTCGAGACATTTCTTCAAAATGGGAGCGGCAATGCCGGCGTTTCGGCACGGCAGCTGCGGCATGCTGTTTTGTTGATTCTTTTCAAAACGGCAGCGGCTGCTGTCGCCGTTTTTGAAACGGCAAAACGGCGGCGTAGCCGGCAAAATGAACATGCCTGCTAGAGAGGCTAGAGAGGCTAGAGAGGCTAGAGAGGCTAGAGAGGCTAGAGAGCCTAGAGAGCCTAGAGAGCCTAGAGAGCCTAGAAAATCAGAAGATCAAAGAAAATTGAGAAAAAATTATTTTGATTAGGTTTTTCATTTTTTCGTACAAATAATTATAGCCTTGCTTTTCTCTTTTCTGAAAATAAAACTTTTTTCTTTTTTTTTTTGGGAGAAAATCGATCAAACAAATAAAATTGAAGGCAATTTTGAAACAGCAAAAATTATTCAAAGAAAAAAAAGTGTAAAAAAAAAGAATAATCCTTAAAGGATTAAAAAAGATGGCAAATTTATCGATTGAAACGGATTAGTGCAACACACACACAAAAATAATTAGTATTCACAAGAAAAAGAGCAACAAAAATTGGATACGCATGAATAAGTCTTTCCGGAATACATGAAAATTTGAAAACATTTTTAATTTGAGCAAATTCCGGAAATTTCGAAATCCTCTATTAATTATTTAAAAACGAAAATACATCTGGAAATTCAGTGGGTTGAGAACAAAAATATATATCTGTCTGTTTTTCTAGGAAAAATTGGAAAATTTTGAGAGAGATATAGGTGTTCAGAAAAAAAAATGTTTTGTGTCCATTTTTTTGTTGCTGGCCAGTTGTAAAGTGAAGAAAATTCTTTTTTTTTTCACATTTTTATCCTGATGGAGGTTTATTCTAAAGGTTTGTAAACATTTCGGAATTTTTAAACATGCTCAATTTTTTGAGCTTGAGCTCTCAAGGTGCTGGCACAGAAGATTTCTAGGTTTTCTAGGCGCGGGTGCTTGTCATAGAAGCTCCGAAGGCGCGGGTGCTTGTCATAGAAGCTCTCAAGGCCTGACTCCTTGTCAGAGGGGCTCTCTAGGCGCGACTACTTGACATCGAAGCTCTATAGGCTTCACTCCTTGTCAGAGGGGCTCTGTAGGCGCTGCTCCTTATCATAAAAACTCCGAAGGCGCGGCTATTTGACATATGAGCTCTATAGGCTTGACCCCTTGCTAGACTGGTTCTCTAGGCGCGAGCTCTTGTCACAAAAGGTCTCAAGTCGTTGCGCCTTGACACACAAACTCCCTGTCTAAAAAAAATTGAACCAATTTTTTAAATTTTTGAAAAAAATTCTAAAAATTTATATTTTTTCTAGGAATTCAAGATTTCCTCATCCAAAACAAGGCCGGAATTTTATCATTTTTCGATGCGCTCGAAAAAGAAAATTCGAGAAACGAGAACAACAACAAAATTGACACAAAAAAGTGCGGCGGCGGCAAACTTCGAATGAACCAAAAGTAAGTTAAAAAGTGGGGTTTGGGAGACGAAAAGAAGAAGAAGAATTTGATTATTTTTTCTTTTTCACACGACAAGAAAAAATATATGGGGGAAATTGAGTTTTTTTCTAGCGCAACTCGATCAAGGTTCAAATTGACTACAAAACCGAGCAGGTGAGAAAAAACGGGAAAAATTTGGTGTTTTGCTGGACTCCTACATTTTTTAAAGATTTTTTGTAGTTTTCGGGGAGTTTGGAGGCTTCAGAGGGCTTTCGAAGGCTTTAGAGGGCTTCAGAAGACCTCCAAAGGCTTCAGAAGGGTTTAGAAAGCTTCAGAACCTCAAAATCACTCAAATTCAAGCCACAGTAATCCTGAAAAACTTGGCAAGAATCCAAAATTCTCAAACTAATTAGACATCTCCTCATCTCCATGAAAATAAAAATAAATTGGAGCATTTCCTATCCTGAGAAGGTCCCTTTTTACCCTTTCCCCAGGAATTTCCGGCAACATTTTCCTTCCTGAATTTAATTAGGAAATGAATAAATAAATAAATAATTAATTATGTTTGCAGGGTGGTTGGTGTTTTTGGTTTGGGACAATTTACGGATGAGAAAGATTTGCTGAACATTTTTCAAGAGTTTGGAAAAGTTGAGAAGGTAAATTTTATGGAAATTTCTATAGGAACATCATAAAATCATTTGAGGGCTGAAAAATCAGATTTTGAGCTTCTCAAGCTTCAAAACCATTTTTTTTAAATATTAAAAAACATTCACGGGAAGCTAAAATATCCGAAAAGGTTTGAAAAAATTTGTTTTTCTGAAAAACAGGTGTTTTCATAATCAAAATACGTACTTTTAACGTCATTGAGTTTTTTTTTTTCAGAAAATAACTTGAAATGAAGAATTTTCCTGGGAAACTGTCACATTTTTTGAATTCTTAATGTGACATTTTTAGTGGCGAACAAAAAAAAGGGAAAATATTAATTGGAAAAAGTTCTATAGAAAATCATATGAGTGAAAAAAAATCTCATACGATTTTTTTACCCATGATAATTTAATTTTTTCATTTCAAATTGAATTGAACTTGTTTTCATGAAAACTGAAAAATAAATTAAATTTTCAGAAATTAAAAAATTTCTGAAATTTTCTTCTAGAAGTCTTCTAAGTTTTTTGAAACCTTTCAGGACTTCTATAATTTTTCCATAGCTTCTGAAAAATTCAAGAAATTCTCCCAGGTTTTCTAGAATGTCCCTGGGACTTCTGAAATTCAGAAAAACCTTTAAGGCTTTCCAGAAGTTTCCCCGGGCTTCAGAAGTTTCCAAAAATCCTTCAGGACGTTCTGAAAAGCTTCTGGGTTTTCTAAAAATTCCGAAAAAACTTTTCAAGCTTTCTAGAATTTATCCTAACTTCTGAAAATTCAAAAAATTCTCCTGGATGCTCGGAAAAGCTTCTGGGTTATCTAAAATTTCAGAAAAACTTTTGAGAATTTCTAGAAAATTTTCAGAAGACTCTAGAACTTTTTACAGGTTTTCAAAAACCTCCCCAAAACCCTCTAGAATATTCCCAAGCTTTCTTTAAAAAGTTTCCCCCCCAATAATTTTTCTCCTGATTTAGATCAACATAATCCGGGACAGATACAATCAACGAAGTCGAGGATTCGGTTTTGTTTATTTGAGGACGAAAGAGGAGGCGCAAAATGTTGGTGTTGTTGTTGTTTTTTTGTTTTTCCATCTCATTTTCATTTTCATTATCCAGTTTTCTTATTTATTTGTTTTTTTCCAGGCTATTCGCTCATTGGCCAATTTTGTTATTGATGGACACAAAGTTCGAATTGATTTTTCAAATACTGTTTGAATCATATTAATCTCAATAATTTAATTTTGTTTTTAATTAAAGTTTTATTTATTTTTCGCTGTTTCAGGCCCAAAAAGTAGGCTTGTGAGCTCTGAAAATGCTCCAAGAGCTAACTGAAAAATATATATTTTTTTGGTCGGGGAAAATTGGTTTTTTTTTATTTATACGTTTTTTGCTGAAAACTATTATTTTATTTTTTATTTGAAAATTTATGAATTTCGAATTTTGGTTTCAACTTTACAAGGTTACTGTAGCTCAGAATCCATTGGATTTTCGCGCCAATTATTTAGAGGTACTGTAGCTTGAAACTAATCAGATTTTTGCGTGATTTTTAAAGTTACTGTATCTCAAAATTTATTGAATTTTTGCGCTACTTTTCCGAAGTACTGTACCTTGAAATTCATTCATTTCATCCGGAGTACTGTAGATCGAGAATTTCAAATTTGAAATTCATTTTTCCAGACTTACTGTAACTCAAAATTTATTAAATTTTCTCCCCCAATTTTTTCCAATTGTTTACATTTCATTTTTTAATTAAACATTTTTAATTAAAACCAAACATTTTCCAATTTTTCCTAGAAAAAAAAAACTTATCCATCCAGATGTCAAGAAAAACGAAGAAGAAGAAGACAGGAAGAGAAAAAGTCAAAGCGACGCGGCGTAGAAAAATCGAAGAAGAAGTGGTACCAGTTGGTTAGAGAGAGAGTATTACTCTCTCCTTCGTTTCGCGCGCGCTTCTCTCTCTCTCCTTTCTCTCGCCTCTCTCTCATTAATCCACACTCTCTCGCACTCTCTCACTCTTCGTTCAGACATGCGTTCAGTTTTTTTTTGTGTTGTGTCGCATTGTTATTTTTCTCGCTCGCTGTGTCCCTGTGCTGCTGCTTTTTTTGATTATTATTATTATTTGCTATTTTTTGGAACACTTTTTTGCTTGCCTATTTTTAAAACTAATAATTTCCTTTTTTGAGCTACTGTAGACTTTAGAAATTTATTTTGAAGGTTCAGGTGGCTTCTGAAAGCTTCGGAATGCTCCAGAAGACTTTAGAAAGCTCCAGAAGGCTTTTAAAAGCTTCAGAAAGCTCCAAGATGCTCCAGAAGACTTTAAAAAAGTTTCTGAAAGCTCCAAGACGCTTTTTTGTTCCAATTTCTAATTTTTTCTTGAATAACTTTTTTTCAACCTGAAATTCTAAATTTTTCAAAAAATATTTTTTTCAGATGGGTGGACACCGTAGAGATCAAAGTGATAGCAATGTTCCACTTCGACCCATTTCCGAATTTGAGGTAAGTCTCTTTTTTTTCGAAAATTTTCAAGAGCTTGCTAAGCTTCTGGTACCAAAGAATTTCTAATCAAGTTTTTTCTGAGGGGATAGAAAAAAATCTTGAAACATTTTTTGCGATTTTTTGAACGCTTCAATGATTTTTTGGAAAAAAATGGAGAAAAAAATGATTTTTGAGAAATGTCAAGAGCCTTTTTTGTAGCTTGAAAAAATTGGTTTTTTTGGGATGAACTAGATTTTTGAGGGTTTCTAGAATATAAAATCCAAAAAATCGATTTAGGTTTGAATCTAAGCCTTGAGTTAAGCTAACTTCGAAGATCTGAACTTAGAAATTTCTATTTTCTTGAAAACTATATTTTAAGAAAAATTTGAATTTTCTCAAAAACCCTCTAGTTTCTAAAAAAAAACCTTTTTTTAAAGAAAATTCTTGAAAAACTCTTATTTTTTTTAAATAAACCCTCTAATTTCTCTAAAACCCTATATTTTCTAGTTCAAACTAGAAAAATCACGATTTTTCGCGCCCAAAAGATCAAAAAACTCTCAAAACTATCGTTTTTTCTCGCAATTGTTGACTAAATGCATGAACAACTTTTCAAAGCTACCACAAAAACTCGAAAAACTCTGTCAATATTGACTCAAATTTGTTATTATTACTTACTTACTTTCGTCTTTTATTTTGTGTAGTACTAATAATAAATAAACACTACAGAAAATACAACGTAAAACATCAGATTTATATTTTATCGTAGTCTTGAGCAATAAAATTAATAAAAATTCTAAACTACAGTATTTTCAGATGACGCCAAATCAATCGATGAATTCAGTAGTTTTGAGTGGAACTTGTAATGGTATTTCAATTAATATTGATCCAATTGATCCGGAGCCGACTAGGAGTGAAAAAGATGTGAGTTTTTTCGAGGGAAGTTGAATTCTGAGATCTTCTGAAGGCAATAGGAGACTTTGGAAATCTTCAGAAGGCTTCTGAACAATTCTGAAAGTTTCAGAACAATGCTGGAGGCTTCTGAAGGCTTCTGAAGAATTCTCAAGACTTTTCAAGGTTTCCCGAGGCCTCTGAAGACTACCGAAAGCTTCTGAAGGCTTCTGAAGGCTTCTGAAAGCTTCTGAGAGCTTCCCAAGGCTTCTCAATGCTTCTCAAGGCTCCAAAAAGCTCTAGCTGACTTTTTTGTACCAAAATATTTTTCATTCCAGCCAAACACTGATGAAATCTATCCAAATCATCTCCACCATCACCACCATCTTCACATTCCAAGACCCGAAAGTTCGGAAGGACTCAAAACAGTTGTCGCATTTCTATGCTTAATGTTGTCAGCATTTCTCAACTTCTTCCTACTCACCGTAATTCACGATTTTGTGCCCAAAGAACCGCTACCCGATCTCACTTTTATGATTATTCCACAACAACGATGGGCGTGGAGTGTTGGAGATGTTTTGTCGACTTTGAGGTGAGCAATTTTCGTGTTATTGTTTTTGGCCAAAATTTGTAGGCTCACAATTATCCAAATATTCAATCCAGAAAGTCTAGACTACATTAATTAGTATCGAAGTTAGCCTAAGTTCAAGCTACCAATTCTGGGGTTATGTAAGCTCAAAGTTATCCTAATTTTCAGCACAAATATAGGACTATTTAGACTCAAAATATACCTGATTTTGGCCCGGAAAGTCAGGGCTTATTTAGGCTTAAAGTAAACCCAACTTCCGGCTACCAATCTGTGAGCTTATTTTGGCTCAAAGTTATGCTAATTTTCAGCAAAAAATTAGGATTACTTCGGCTCAAAATATATCTGATTTCGGCCCGGAATGTCTAGGCTTATTTAGGCCTAAAGTTAGACTAACTTCAGGCTACCAATTCTGGGGTTATGTAAACTCGAAGTTATCCTAATTTTCAGCATAAATCTAGGCCTATTTAGGCTAAAAATATACTTGATTTTGGCCCGGGCTTATTTGGACTCAAAATGATCCTGAATTCCAGATTTATCCTATTTTTAAGTTCCCTCCGGGCTTCCGAAAAAATCAGAGCTTCTAGAATATTTTCCAGATTTTCTGAAAACTCAAAAAAAAATCAATAAAATTTCCAGTTCGGTCATCGCATTCACAATAATCTTCCTACACCACAAACGTTGGGTAGTTCTCCGTCGCACATTTCTCCTCGGCGCAATTATGTATGGTCTACGAGCTGTGATACTTGGCGTAACTTTTCTCCCGCCATCTTTTCATAATCGCGATGAGATTTGTCAACCGCAAGTCAATCGAACTGCAATGTATGGAATGGAAATTGCTACGCGATTTTTGACATATGTTATTACACTTGGCCTAACTTCGGGACAGGAGAAGATTCTTTGCGGTGATTTGATGTTCTCTGGACATACTGTTGTTTTGACGATTATGTATTTTGTGCAATTACAGTATACGCCAAGGGGGCTCGTTTTATTGAGGTGAGATTTTTTGAAGATAGTTTTCTGGGGCTTCTGGGAGTTTCTAGGCTTTTCAAAAAATTTCCGGATTCCTCCGAGCTTCTAGAAAATTCATAGAATCTCCTAGACCTTCTAGAAAAATTTCTAGATGTTTTATGGACTTCTGAATTGTTTTTGATGTTTTCCAAGTTTTCTAGAAAATCGAGAAGGACTTCTAGACCTTCAGAAAAATTCTGAAAATCCACCTAGACGTTCTCTAGCTTTTCTCAAACTTTTAGAAAATTTACAAATTTTTTCCGAACTCTTGAAGACTTTCTAGACCTTCTAAAATCTTCCTTGGGCTTTTCAGAAATCCTGAATCCCATATAACCCTTCTAGAAGTCTTCCAGAACTTCTGAAAGCCTCCTGAACCTTCGGAATTTTTTTCCGGGCTTCGAAAACCACCTGAATCTTCTTGAATCTCTTCCTGAACTTCACAAACCCTCCTAGATCTATTTTAGATCAATCTTTCCTGAACTCCCTAAAACTTTCCCAGATCTTCCAAAACTTCAAAAAAAATTATTTTTTTGCAGATATTTCGCAGCGCCCGTCACATTTTTGGGCATCTCAGCACTAGTCGTTTCGGGTGGACATTATACAATGGACGTGTTGATTGCCTACTGGTTGACGAGTCACGTTTTTTGGTCATATCATCAGATTTTTGAGATGAAAAAAGAGGATCGACCACAAGCGCCGCTTAGCCGATTATGGTAAGAGAGATTATCTGAGTTTTGATCTTGATTTTTTCTCCAGAAAAAATTGTATGATAAATAGAGGGGATTTTGAGGAAAAAGATATCAAAAGTTCTAATTTTTTGGTACATTTTCCATTAAATTTTAAAAACGTTGAGTTACAGTATCTCTTAGCAGCTACAGTAATCTTCTTAAATTCAGTAAATCCTCCAGATTTTGTACAGTACACCTTACAGTACAGTAATTTTTGCTTGCAGGTGGTTCTGGATATGTTACTGGTTCGAATCGGATGTTTCGGAAGGGAAACTAATCAATAAATGGGATTGGCCATTCGAAGGACCCGAAAAAATGCATCACATTATCGATGAGATAAATCGAAAACTACAGTAATCCGCGCAAGATACTGTAGTATTGTTTTCTAGCTTATTTATTTGATTTTATTCGTTATTTTTTTGTATGTACATTTTTGCTTCTTCTTCTTTTTCTCTCAAAAGATCTCAAAAATTCACAAAAATTGCAAATAGTTTCGGGATATCACAATTTTTTTCTCTCAACGAACTCTTTTTTTTGTTGTTAATTATAAATGCTTTATGCTCTATCTACAATAATCTTGTTTTGATTTTTTGATGCCAAAAGCATCTATTTTTGAACAGTTGGAGATTTTTTAATAATCAAATTTGATCAAAAATTACAGTAATTCTTTGAAAATGCAACAAAATATTTTAATATTGAAAAATTATAACAAAAAAAGTCTTGTTAACATGAGCAACGCCCACATTTTTGGATTTTAGACAAGCCTGAAATATGCCTAGATTTTTTGAAAAGCTCAGATTTTTGAAGAAAACTAGAACAAGCTTTTTTGAATTAACAAGCCTAACATGAGCAATGCCAAAAAAGCCTAGATTTTCGGAAAAGCCTAAATTTTGAGAAAAACAAAAATTGAAAAGATCTAAATATTTTAACAAGATTAACATGAGCAATGCCTACATTTTCGAAAAAGCCTAAAGCAAGCCTATATTTTTGGCCAAGCCTAGGGTTTCAAGAAGCAAAAATATAACGATCCTAAATTTCTTCTCAAGTCTAACATGAGCAATGCATAATTTCAGCTCCAAATTTCATTTCTGCAAAATTTCCTTCAACAAAAAACCTCTCAAAAATCAACAAAAAATTTAATAAGACAATTGGCGAACTAAAAAAGTGAATAAAAATGAGCAAAAAAATGCAATATATACAAAAAGTCGACTTTTCGCATCTTAGTTTTCATCAAAAAGTGTGTCATTTGAAGCATATGTTGGAACTTCGATCGAATCGAGAAGTCGTTGAACTTCTTGTCGACTTGGTGGACGACTTGCGTCCCAAGGTCGACCGGCTGACAAGGAAGCTGTACGGTGATGTACTTCGGTGACAATGTCGCAGATTGGACGATCACGCGTTTCTGGAAATTGCTTTTTTTTGAAGATTTTTGGACAGGAGTACGGTAGACAGGCCTGTAGATCTAACTTTATAAGAAGTCAGAGAAATATTTGAAGCATGTACCTTTCAAAAACTGTGTTTCGTTTTGGAAAATTTGGACAAGCCCAAGGATAAACCTAGAATTTTAGACAAGCCTAAAGATATGCCTAGATTTAAAAAAAAAAGCCTAAGCCTAGGTCAGGATTTCTTGACAAGCCTAAGCAATGCATGATTTTTTGTCAAGCCTGAGAAATGCCTAGATTTTTAGATAAGTCTCATATTAAGCTATATTTTTCTGAAAAAGCCTGAGCTTAGGTCTATAACTTTTAACAGTCCTCATATTTAGCAATTCCTGAAAATTTTGACAAGCCTAAAGATACGCCTGAAACTTTGTACAAGCCTGAGGCTAGGCCTATTATTTAGGATAAGCTTCAGCTATGAGCCTAAAATTTTGGACAAGCCTAAGCTTAGGCCTATAATTTTAGACAAGCCTAAATATATGCCTAGACTTTTAGACGAGCCTAAAACAAGCCTAGATTTTTGAACGAGCCTAAACAAGCCTAGATTTTTGAACGAGCCTAAAACAAGCCTAGATTTTTGGATTAACCTAAAATTTGGCAATGCCTAGATTTATCGACAAGCCTAAAATTAGATGCAGATTTTTGAAAAAGCCTAGGAACAGGCCTAAATTTTTAACAAGCCTAAAATTAGACAAATCCTGAAGATTTGGACAAGCCTAAAGAAATTCCTATATTTTTGAAAAAGCTTAAACCTAGGCCTAAATTTTCAGACAAACCTAATGATAGAATAAAACCTAGTTTTTTGGACAATCTCTAACTGAACCCATATTTTCAGAAAAGCCTGAAGATTAGCCTAGAATTTCAGACAAGCCTAAGAAATGTCTAGATTTTACGACGAGCCTAACATTTAACAATGCCTAAAACTTGGACAAGCCTGAAGACATGCCTAGATTTTTAGAGGAACTTGGAATCCCTTATTCCCCTCAAAAAACTCACCAGGAAGTAAAATATAAATAAAGACCAAACTAATTGCAATAACAACAATAAACGGCAAATAACTAAACGAGACTCCAACCAATTGTTGAAATGGCAAATAAATTGTGCTAATAACAAATGCAAAAGTCCACGCAACAAAAACCGAAACCGTAACCGCTGTAGCTCGAAATTGTTGACTAAACAATTCGCTGGCAATTATCCAAGGGATTGGTGAGCCCACTCCGTAAACACACATGTATAAAACGAGCGCGAAAATTGTGCCATAACTCGCCCAATCTTGGCCTTGATAATTTTGAAGATATGTGAAGATTGATAATAGAATCAATGCGATCATACAACTTCCGAGTTGGAAAATCGAGAGTGGACGTCTACCATATTTTTCGATTAGGTAGGGGGACGTGCAAGCAAAGAGGAAATAGACGATTCCGATTCCGAGAGTACTGTAGCGAGCGATTGATCTGGAAAAAATGAGTGAAATTGGAGATGGGGATTTGCTAGCAGTTCTAACTGAATTTGTTGATTTTCTAGAATTTCTAGCTTGAAGTTCGAATATTCTAGAAGCTTCAGCGGAAATTTCTTGGTTTTCTAGAAATTCAAGCGAAAATGCTTGATAGTGTAGAATTTTCAGGGGGAATTTTCTGATCTTCTAAAAGTTCTAGCTGGATTTTATGGTTTTCCAGAAATTCCCGCTGAATTTTTTGATCTACTAGAAGTTTCAAGTGGATTTTCAGATTTCGTAGAAGTTCTGGCTGAATTTTGGGATATTCGAGATGTTCTAGCTTGAATTTCTGATCTTTCAGAAGGTTCCGCTCATTGTTCAGATCTTGTGAAAGTTCTAGTTGGATCTTCTGAACTTCTGGAAGGTTTAGCCGGGTTTTCTGATCTTCTAGAAGTTCTAGTTGGATTTTGGGATATTCTAGAAGTTGTAGCTGTATTTTGAAATATTCTAGAAGTTCCAGCTGAGTTTTCGGATCTTGTAGAAGTTCTGGCTGGATTTTGGGATATTCTAGAAGTTTCAGCTGGAAGTTTTTGGTTTTCTAGAAATCCGAGTAGATCTTCTGAAAGTTCTAGATGCATTTTTGTATCTTCTAGCCTCCTAGTGAATCCAAAATTTAAGCTAGAACTTCTAGAAAATCAACAAATCCAGCTGAATTTTTTTGAAAATCAGAAATTCAGGCTAGGACTTCTAAAAAAACTCACGGTTCAAGTTTGGCATTCAAAAACATATCAGTAGAATATGCAAAAACAGCAGTACATCCAGTAAATTGTTGAGCAATCATAACCAAAATCGAAACAGTCACCGGAATTCGCAAATCTTTTCTAGTGAATAACTCATAAAAGCTTCCAGTTCCACGATCCAACGCAACTTCTCTCACAATTGTCTCAAACATATGGGGCGCTTCGACGGGACCAATCAATATTTCGACATCTTTCAAACATTGTTCTCGATCTCCTTTTTTGCCCAATGTGTATTTTGGGGATTCGGGGCAGAAGGGAAGAATTATGACTAGACCGAGAGCAGCTAAGCCTGGGAATGCGAAAGCCAAAGGCCAAAGGGTTTCTGAGCCGAGAACTTCTGGGAGTCCGATGAGAAGTGAGAACCAATCCGAAAATGCGACAGCTACCTGAAAAATTTGAATGAGGTTTTGGAATTTCTGAAGCTCCAGAAGTTCTAGCTAGATTTTCTCATATTCTAGAAGTTCTAGCTGAATTCTCTGATCTTCTAAAAGTGTACGCTGGATTTATTGATTTTCTAGAAGTTCTAGCTGGATTTTCTGATATTTTAGAAGCTTCATCAGGATTTTCTGATTTTTTCAGATCTTCTAGAAGTTATATTTCGCAGTTCTGATTTTCTAGAATCTAGACTTTGAAAAGCTTTTTTGAATTTCCAGGAAAATTTCCTGAATTTTCTCAAACTTCTAGAAATCGCCTAGGGTTCCGGGATTTTTCCAAGGGTTTTGAAGTCTCCTAGATCTTCTAGAATGATTTCCAGACTTCAACCACTCTCAGACCATCTCAAAAATCTCACAAACCTGATGCAAAGTTCCAGCCGGTCCGCGATATCTTCCAGGCGTGATTTCCATCAAATACATCGGAACCAATCCACTAGTCAATCCCATATTTATACCAAAAATGAATCGTCCGAAAATGAGCATTTCAGGTGATCTAAAAGTGCACAAATGATAACTAAAAACGTTGAAATGAGCACTACTGACCTTAAGGGTTTTGCAGCCAATTCGAAAAATGCGGCAAAAACATTGGCGACGCCGTTCATGATGAGACCATTGCGACGACCGTAACGCTCACCGATTATTCTGAAAAATTATTTTTTAAATTGATTTTGATAAGCTTTAAGAGCATCCTAGAGAGGCTAGAGAGGCTAGAGAGGCTAGAGAGGCTAGAGAGCCTAGAGAGCCTAGAGAGGCTAGAGAGGCTATAGAAGCTAGAGAGCCTAGAAACTAGAGAGCCTAGAGAGTCTAGAGAGCCTAGAGAGCCTAGAGAGCCTAGAGAAGCTAGAGAGCCATAAAATTAAAAAACTTTTATTTTATGGTTTCAGGGAAAAAATGATGAAAAATTATATCACCGAATTTTTTAATGATGATATAAAAATTGAATTGCTTTTTTTTTGGAAATAAATTTTTTTCGAGAATTTTTCAATGACCTCACAGAATCTAACAAAAGTCCTTCAAAAAAAAATAAATTTTTACAAGGGAACCTTTTTTACTCAACACTTCAAATCATGATAAAATTTCGTCCAGAGACAGCTTTTGGGGCCATAAGAACACCCTAAAAATTTTAGTCTCCCAATGGACCTCTGAGCCAAGTTCTGGGCTCTCAAAAGTTCAAAAATTGCCAAAATTGGCTCATAAAACACGTCATAACTCAATTCTCAATCAAATTTATGAAAAACTGAATAGCAGATGATGATCAGCGTCGTCGATTTACCCAAAAAGCATCAATAAATCGAATTTTCAGAAAAATTGTTGATTTTGAGAAAAAAGAATGAGCAGGGGCACATATGAATTTTCATGAATTTTCAGCCCAAAAATAAAAAACTTCAAAATTTTTCGAAAAAATATTTTTTATTGATGTACTTTTAGGTAATCGACCATGCTGATCAATAACTGAAACTTTATTTCTCCCAAAAAAAATTTGAAATGGAGCTATGATGACTTTTATGACCATTTTTAGGCCTTTTTTGAACTTTTGAGAGCCCAGAACTTGGCTCAGAGGTCCATTGGGAGACTAAAATTTTTAGGGTGTTCTTATGGTCCCAAAAGCTGTCTCTGGACGAAATTTCATCATGATTTGAAGTGTTGAGTAAAAAAGGTTCCCTTGTTAGGAATTTTTGAAAATCCAAAAAATTTTTTAAAGTTCTTATATACCTTTAAGGATCTATAAGAATTTTAAGAATTCTAAAGCATTTTCAGGGAGTTTTAAAAACCTTAAAACATCTTAGGACTTTAAAAGATTTTTATTAATCTTCTTAAATTTCTAGAAACCTTTTGAAGAATCTTTAGCAATTTTTAAAGACCCTTGGGAAACTTCAAAAATCTTCCGAACCCACTTAAATCCTCAAATGTTCCCCCAAGCACCAACCTAGTAAGACTTGCACCAACAATCGCACCAATCGCAATACTCGACACCACAAATGACCAAATCACATTCGACAATGTCAAAGTCAACGGTGTTCCATATCTCTCCGTATATGTTTGATTGATCCAAGAAGTTATGATAACTTGCGCCGGATTCACCACACCATAACTATAAAATTGTGCACTTCCACCCAAAACAACTGTGATCACTGACAGAAAATATCTGAAAAGAAATAGATTTGGGGAATGAATTTTTGGCGCTTTTTTGAAAAAACCAACCTGAAAGTCACCATGTTCTCAAGAATCTCGAGATTTCTGAAAGAAAAAAACGCTGCACAGTAGGTTGATAAGAAGAACACACAAAAAAGAAACTTTTTTGTTGCATTCACGAAAAAAGCAATCAAAAAAGGTGATAAGAGCCGCCCCTCTCCAAATGATAGTAAAAAAAGTAACACACAAAAAAAATGAATAAGTATAATATGCACTAAAAAATATAGGTATGCACAGTGTGTGTGTGTGTGTGTGTGTGTGTGACGAGAGAGAGGGGGAAGGAGAGAGCGCAGACAGTGAGAGATAAGACTATCTGTGTGTTGTTGTTTTTTTTTTGTAAAAGTTCATTGAACAAATGATATTTTTGGAAAAGGTTTTGAAGATTTTCAAAAAAAAACTTTTAAATTTTTCTAGAAAATTGAATTTTCACGCAGTTTTTTTCAAACTAAAAATCCTTCTCTTTCTGTGAACATTAAACTAGAGTCTAGTTAAATTCTCAAGGATTCAAATTAAGGAGAAATTTAACATGAATTATAAATTCTTATTTGTGAAAAGTAAACTAGAGTCTAGTTTAACGATTGAAATACGAAATGATGTTGAAAATTTAAAAAAAAATCGAACTAGAGTCTAGTAAAACCTTCGAAATTTTTTCCAGACACATTTTCAGCCATAAAATTTTTTATATTAACATGTTTATTAGTATTCCACCAACAAAAATCAAATCAATTTGAATATTTTTTCATCAATTTTTTGAGTTGAACATCTTTGTCAATGTTGTGCGCGTCAATAATTTGGGACATGACTGGAATGTCGAACTTGCAGTATTTCCAAGTTCTGAAAAGACGCATGATCGAGAAGATGAAGAGTGCCATTCCTGTGTTGAGATGGAGGAAACAGCCGGCGAGTTTGTAGGCATCGAGGATTGTGATCTACAAAAATGATGCCTTCTGAAGCTTTATGTAACCTCCTGAAGTTTCATGAAGCCTTCTGAAGCTTTGTAAAGCCTTCTGAAGCCTACCGTAGTCAAAGTTGGTGGAATAGTTGACATAAGTTGAAAGCTTTTCTTAATCCCATTATGAAATCCACAATTTTGCCATTTCGAAATCGCATAAGAAGTGCTCAACAAGCAAAAAAGCAGGTATAAAAACGATAATACAGTGCAAAAAACATCACGAGCTTTTGTCAAATTATTCCGTTTCGTGGTCATTGCGGGTATATTTCGAATTCTCATTATAAAAGTGAGAATTTTCGCGAGGATTGTGTGAATTGCTGAAGCTCCAGATCCCAGAATAAATACTGTCATGATTGGTAGAATTGTTCGGATTATTATGACAGCAACTCTTGAACTTATAGTGTAATAGACCGTGTTGGAATCTTCTATCAACATGAAGGCCGATTGGAACATCCGAAGATTGCTGGAAAAATCGATATTTCAGGCTAGAGAGGCCAGAGAAAAATCACCATGCATTTTTCTTCCAGTAAAAATTAAAAAACGTAGAATTCAGGGTGGTCTTATTCACAAATGCTCCATAAATTCCAGTCAACTCATCCGCTGAAAGTGTATATTTAGCCTCCAGAATCTGAAATTTCGCAACAGCCGCTGAAATTCGAGTTTTCTCCTGAAAAAATTCAAATTCCAAAAAAAACAAGAGAAGTTTTTGTTTACCAATCCAACATTTATACACGCCGTTTCAAAAGCATTTTGCTCTCGAGAATATTCGTTGGAATGAAGCCAGCTGAAATTATTTTAAGAGATTTTTAAAGGATCTACAGTAGTTTTTTAGACTCACTTTGGATAACAAAGCAGAAAAATTGCATAGATAATTGCAACAAAAATTGCAAAAAATATTGCCTTGAGAAAACTGAAAACAATGTTCATTTTCAGTTTTCAGTAGCTCTGTTTTGTTTCAAAAAATTTTTCGTGGAAAAATAAAATTCCGAAATTTGCTCATGGTTACTTGCTAAGCGACCGTTTTTATATAAAAAAATTTTTTTTTGAAAAAGAAAAATGTTTTTTGTGAGTTTGGAGAAAAAAATCATAAGGGGGGACCCTTATGTCAAAATTTTTTTCTGAATTTTCGGAAAAATGAAATTCACGACTACATTCCCTTATCTAAAAACCTGAAACTTAACTCGGTTAAAAAATCTGAAACTTGAAAAAATCCAATTTTTCAAAAAAAAAAATCATAAGGGGGGACCCTTATATCAAAATTTTTTAAAAATTTTGAAATTTTTTTCTGAATTTTTTGGAAAAATGAAATTCACGACCTTTAACAGCTGAAAACAGCAATTTGAAAAAAACTTCATCGGTTTTTAATTGAAAAATTTTGTTCGAAAAAAAAAATCATTAGGGGGGGACCCTTATGCCAAAATTTTTTTTTTAAATTCCGAATTTTTTTAAAAATTTCTAGTGAACTGAAATTCACGACAGTGATTTTTTATCTGAAAATCTGAAATTAAATTCTGTTCAAAAAAATCTGAAACTTGAAAAAATCCAATTTTTCAAAAAAAAAAAATCAAAAGGGGGGACCCTTATGTGAAAAATGAAAAAAAAATATATTTTATTTCTTTTCCTGAATTTTTGAAACGTTTAACACCTTGGAAAAAAAATTCAGAAAAAAATACTCTATTAATTTTTTACTCAAAAAAAAAAATTCAGAAAAAAATCATAAGGGGGGACCCTTTTGCCAAAAAATTTTTTTTAAAATTTTTTTTATTCTGCTTTTTTTTCATTAATTTGTTTGGTATTCTACAATGAACTCCTGCTTTTTTGTTTCCATAAAATTGTCCGCGACAAAAAACCAAGAAACCGCATGAAAAAACGCCATAAACAAATCATATCACACAATTTTTCTCATCAATCTTCCCAAATCTCAAAAAAAGTGACGAAAATTGATGATGATACGGTTTGGCTTGTATTTCTATTTCTCCCAAATTTCTATTTGTAGTAAAAACGGCGCCCGTATTTATGGCGCCTTTTTCATTTTTTTGCCGCCGCCGCGCCTCCCACTTTTTGCGATATGATCAAAATTTTATTTGAATCATTTTGATTTCGAGTTTGGGTTTTGGGTTTTTTGCGAGAAAACAGAAAGAAAAAATGAACTTCTGCTTATTTTTCTATTTATTTTCAATTTTCCTCATTTTCTGCCGAGCTTCTCCAATTCCTCAAGCTTCTCCTTCATTAGGAGTCATTCACGGTAAGTTCTGAACCCTTGAAAATGTTTCCTAAACTTGAAGGGACCCTTTTTTGCTATCTCCTACATTTATGGAATCTCTAGGCACTAACGTTTGCCATTAGGGCTCTAAAGGAGCTGCTGCTTGACACAGAAGCTCTCTAGGCGCCGTTCCTTGACACAGAAATATGTTCCAGGTTCTCCTGTCGTTGCAATAATCCACGGAAATTCAGACATTCTAAAAGATGAAGTTCAATCCAAAGATTCTGAAGATGATCCACTCGAAAAATTTGGAAAAATTGTTGATTAATTTAATTGTCATCTAAATTTTTAAGTTAATTTTGTGTGTTTTTTCGAATTTTGTATAATAAATGTATATGTAAAGAAAATTATTGAAAAACAAATCTCAAGTTTTTTTTCAAAAAAAAATCATAAGGGGTCAAAATTGTGCCCTTATGTCAAAAATGAAAAAAATTCAAATTTTTTTCTTAATTTTTGTGAAATGAAGTTCACGACGGTATTCTTCTATCTGAAAACCTGAAATTGAATTCTATTGGAAAAAATCTGAAATTAAAAAAAAACCAATTTTTCAAAAAAAAAAACATTTTCGAAAATTTTTCAAAATTTTTGTGAAATGAAATTCATGGCGGTATTCTCTCTTATCTTAAAACCTGAAATTGAATTCTGTTCAAAAAAATCTGAAATTTGACAAAATCCAATTTTTCAAAAAAAAATCAAAAGGGGGAGACCCTTATGTGAAAAATGAAAAAAAAAATTTCAAAATTTTTGGAAACTACAACCTACAAACTTCAGCCAAACCCAATCTTGTCTCAATTTTCTCCTGGCTAAAAACACACCGTAAAAGGTCAAAGCTAACCGTTTGACCTTTCCGCGCTGACAAAATCACATACAAAACCCATCGCTCATGATAACCACGTGAATTGAGAGATTTTTTTTGATTGATGACTGGCGCCGCCGCCGCCAATTTACGATAAGTCTTGTGATTTTTTTTTGGTTTGAAACCGAAATCGAAATTTTTTTCTGTTTTTTTAGATTTAAAAATTGAAAAAACATGATATGACAGTATTTATTCCAGAATAATCATAGGTACATGTGTAAAAAAATAAAATTTTCAAAAAAAAAGTTAAGTAAATGTGTTGTGTATATCGTCAAAGGCAAGAAAATGTGAATATTTTTCTGAAAAATTTTCAGATTCAAAAAAAATCAATAAGGGCTGAACGCATTATTGCTATGAAAATAGGAAGTTTTGGAAGCAGAAGAATCCGGATAAAATACAGTAGGACCACTGATTTGACTTCCAGAAGTGCTATCGATTGATGATTCAGCTAGATGTTGCTTGTGGATTCGATCTTTATGGCGATTCATAAGCCAGACTGAGATCAAAGCGAGAACTGCGAAAACTATTGTGATCAGAACAATCACAAGAAGTGCCAAAGCCCAGCCGAAGGATGTGGATTTTCTGGAAAAATTTTGGTTTTGTATGGTTTTTCCGGACAATTTTCATGTTTTAGATTGATTTTTCAGAAATTCCAAAAAACTACTGTATCCCTGAAATATTGGCTCAAAAATTCTCTAAATTTTGAGCTACAGTACCCCTAAACGCAAAAAATCTAGATTTTTTGAAACAAAGATAAACATTATAGAAAAGTTGAAAGTTCATTAAATATTTACACTTCTGGACCAGATACTGTAGCTCAAAATTCATCGAAAAATGTTTCAGGGCTACTGTAGGTATCGTAAGAACTTACGCAGCAATATCCGAAATCGTACAACATCCATGTCCACAACATCCAAGTTCGCATAAGTACGGTACAGCTGTGTCAGCTGTATTATATCGATAAAAACAGATGGTTTGGCCAGTTTCTGAAATTTCTTGGCGGATGAATCCGCCAAGACTTTTTTCGAAATGTGTTGACTACTGTAGCGGCGGCAGTGTTGTCGGATCTGAAAATATTTTCAGACTTTTTTATAGAAAATCTTTTTTTAGTAGATTTTGGGGTGTTGAACACGATTCTGTTTTTGAAAATGAGTTAGCTCAATTCTAAAATGAGCAATGAAGTTGCAAAGTTTTTGGCTGAAATTTTCATGCTAAAAAATGTTAAGCTGAAATTTCGAGTTTATTATTTTCAGACAATAATTTTAGGCTTCAAATTTTCAGGCTGCAAATTATTACTGAAATTTTTTTGATTGGAAATTGGTAAACTGGTTCATCTTAGGCTTGTCCAAAGCCTTAGGCTTAGTTTTAAGCTTGTTCAAAAATCTAGGCTCATCTTAGGCTTGTCCAAAAGTTTAGGCTCATCTTAGGCTTATCTTAGGCTTCTCCCAACCTGAAAAATATTAAGGCTGACATTTTCGCACTGAAAGTCTTCCTAGGCTAAAATTCCGCTCTGAAAATCATAAATCCACTCAAAATTCCAAATTTTCAGCCGGAAATTCTGAAATTCTAGGAAAAAAAACTTACGTGGTAGTAGTTGTAGTAGCAGCTAGATAAGCTTGTTCTTGTTCACTGATCGGAAAACTTTCCCAGCGGGACATTTTGGAGCTGAAAAATTTGAGATTTTCAGATAAAAATGATTTCAGATGAAAAATGAAGGCTGAAAGCTAAGAACTGAATGTGAGAACTGAAAAATTGAATTTTTAAATTTCTGTAAGAATTTCAATTTCAAAATGAAAATGAGGAGAAAATGGAAAAGAGATAAAGCAAATCTGTCACAATCACGAAGCCGAGAAGCAAACATGTCAAATACATAGCCAGCAACAATTTGCTGCATTCAAAACAACGCGAAAAAATAGGCGGCGCTTAAACGGACATAGGCTCTCGACACAAACAAAACATGAGCATTTTGAAGATAAGGAAACTGGCACAAAATATGTATGTATGTACACATTTTGGGGAGGTTGAGGGAAGAAGATGAGATAGGATAAGTGGACTTGACACGCGTACAAAAATATGTGGGCAAAAAAAAAAAGATGATTTGATCTACATACAGTACAATTTGAAATTTTACGCTAAAATTCTGTGAATTTTGAGCTACAGTATCTCTTGAAGTTCATACGAAAATTTTATATTTTCAAAGCTACAGTATTTCTGAAAAATTGACGCTAAAAACCTGTGAATTTTGAGCTACAGTACAACTTGAAATTTAACGCTAAAATTCTGTCAATTTTGAGCTACAGTAATTCTGAAAAATTGATAATAAAATTCCAGATAATTTAGAAGTACTGTAGCTCAAAATGCACCAAATTCTCGCGCCAAAAATTCAAAAGTACTGTAGCTCAAAATTTAATCTAAAAAAATCCTGAAAACAATTTGAAATTTTGATCAGATTTCTAACGATGAACAATTATTTTTGAATATCAAAAAGGTTCAGAACTTGAAATTTTTAGAAAAAAAAACAATTTTTGATCTTTCACAAAATGAAGTTGTTATAAGTTCAGAACAGATTTTTGAAAAATTTTTATGGGATTTCAGCGGAAAATAACATCTTAAATGAAATTTGATGAAAAAATCAAAAATTTTGACCAAAAAAAAAACACAGAAAATTCCAAAAAAGATAGTCCTATAGATAATAAATGAAACGAGTGCGGAGAGCGAAAAACAAACAAAAACAAAACAAAAAAAGAGATGAAGAATGAATGAGAAGAAGATTTATTTGGATAGTTTCATTTTGGAACGATTTTTTTTTGTTTATTTTGCATTTGAATAATAAATAATGAAGGAAAAATTGCGTGATTTTGCTGTCAAAAAAATTTTTTTCGGAAATTTTGAAATCGGAGAATCCGAACAAACAAAAGATATCAATTTTTTGGAGTCTAAATCTACAGTACTTCAAAGGAACATGGGTTATTGTATTCAGATTTAAAGGAACTTTTTTACCTAGATCATGTAGATTAAAATTCACAGGATTTTGGGTCAAGAGTACTGTAGCTCAAAAAAAATGCCTAGAACAAAAATATGATGTCAAGAAAAACAAAATGAGTCAAAAGCATGACCACCCAGCCCCAAAAACATACAAAAATCACACTTGTTTTGAAGAAGAAGCATGATTCAAGTGGTCGTTTTTATTTGAAGAGCTTTTTTGGCCCCGGCCAAAAAAAAAGCTTGTCGAGCAGCGCGCTCGCGAGCTCCAAGAAAACTTTGATTTGCTCCACTTTTTTTCTTGAGCTCAGCTTTTTAGAGCTCAGCTCAGACAGAAAAAACCGGTTTGGTTGTTTTTCGGGTATCAAATTTATGTATGTTAGAGCAAAAATTCGCAACAAAGATCAAGATTTGAGCCCCAGAAAAATTGGAATTAAGAAATTTTTCAGGAGCTCAGAAAAACACGAGCAAAAAAAGAGCCGAACACAAATAAATACCAAAAGTTCACAAAAAAAGTATCGAAAACCACACAGAAAAAAAGGAAGGAAGCGTGCTGGTCACTCACTACTTACACAACACAGAAAAAAAAAACTATTGTTTTTGAGCACACAATTTTTGAGCACACAAGAATGTGCTCATCTCGAGCCCAAAAAAGCGCGTTTTTATTTACAATTTATATACATTTTTTCGGGGGAAAAAATAATAAATAGTACTGTAGATTTTTTGACAGTAAAACGAGGAAGAAAACAACGAGCGAGGAACGTTTGTTCAGATGTGCTCAGAATTGCTCAAAAATCGATAAATTTAGAGCTACAGTATCCTTCAAACAATAACCCATGTTCCTTTAAAGTAATGTAATTTGGTTCGAGAAGAGGATTATTTTGATACCAAATATGATAGGGTTACTGTAAGTCCCTTTAAATTTTACTACTGTATTTCAAAAAAAAAATTCCCTTCCCTAACAATTAGCAATAATAATTAAGCCATATACATAAAATAACCTCGAAATTTTATTTCCAAAAAAAATAAACACACACAAAAACGTGTTGTTCTTTTGTCCTTCCCTCATCTAATGACAAAAGTAACTAACTAATGGAAAAATGGAAAATGAAAACAAAATCCTTTCGATTTTTACGTAATAAATAATTATTTTCAAAAAATGAAAGTCGCCTATAAAAACTGTTCATTTTTCTCGGGAATTCTTTGGAATTTCGGTTTTTTTTTTTGAATATTTTCTTTGTGTTCTTTTAAAGTACTGTAGATTCCTTTGAAATCTTGAGAAGACCATTTTGATACCACACATGATAAGGTTTCTTTAAATATAAATACAGTAATCCATGTTCCTTTAAGGTACTGTAGATTCTTTTGAGATCTTGAGAGGACCATTTTGATACCAAACATGATAGGTTTCCAAAAAATTGTGTATTTTCCCGCCAAAAATCTACAGTAACCTATCCTAACCAACTCAAAACTTTCCCGCCAAAAAACTACAGTACCTCAAGCTAGACTTTTGATCTGAAAAAAAAACTGTTCATTTTCTTGTCAATTCTCAATCCTATTAAAAATTTGTGTTTTTTTCGGAAATTTTCAAATGGGATTAGATTATATAAGATATCCAACTGTGTAAATCGTCATATTTAAAAGAATTTTCGTGAAAAAAGTTTTCATTTTTTCCAGTTTCAGAATGAAAATGAAAATTGAGGATCAAGAAAAAGAAGCGCAGAAATTGCGGAATTTCGCATTTTTTGGAATCACATTCTCTTTCGCCGCCATTTTTACCTGTTTGATTTGTATTCCTTTTGGTTATAATAAAATTCAACGAATTCAAAGTGGATTGTTGGAAAATACGAATTTTTGTAAGATGCAGTCAACTATGTTTTGGAAAGAATTGCGGAAAACTGAGGTGAGTTTGTACATAGAAGCCTTCTGAAGCCTTCTGAAGCTTTCTGAAGGCTTCTAAGGGCTTCTGAAGCTTTTTGAAGGCTTCTAAGGCCTTCTGAAGCCTTCTGAAGCCTTCTGAAACCTTCTGAAGCTTTTTGAAGGCTTCTAAGGGCTTCTTAAGTCTTCTCAAGCTTTCTGAAGCTATTTGAAATCTTCCGAACCTTTCTGAAGCCTTCTGAAGCTTTCTGAAGCCTTCTCAAATCTTCTCAAGCTTTCTGAAAAAATAGGCCCTGTAACTTATCTGAAATTTTTATGAATTCCAGAATTGTTTGATACAGTGACGTCACTATTTTTTATCGAAAAAATCCAAGATTTTTTGAAATTATGTTCTGGTTAAGAAAATAGTTCGTTCAGAAAATTTTTTCTTGAGGTCTGTAATTTATCTGAAAATAATTTTCATCCGAAGATCTATGTTCCATTAATTCAGGATACAGTAACCCATGTTCCTTTAAGATCCAATTTTTCCAGTCTCTCCAAAACCACCATTCTCGAACAGCAAGAAAAGCCGAAAAACGACACTATTCTCAATATGAGCAACATGCTTCAGCCTACTACAGTAATCCATATCCACCACCAGAAACTGCCGGATGGTCTTCTGAATACAACACGCCGGCTCCTGTCATCACACCAACCTATTATGCGCCAACTTCTTCTGGATGTTGTGGGTGTGGACAATCGCCTCAAGGCCCACCTGGTCATCCTGGGCCTGACGGGCCTCCTGGATATGATGGGGAACCTGGGATGCCTGGGAGAGATGGACCCGATGCACCAAAACCTACACCTTCTCCTAATTTTGTGGGTTTTTCTGAAAATTTGTTAATTTTGCCTTACAGTAATTGAAAAAAATCAATATTTTTCCAGGATTGGTGTTTCGAATGTCCACCAGCCGAATCAGGTCGGCCCGGTTTACCAGGCCGAAAAGGATCACCCGGTCAACCAGGCACCAACGGCTTCCCAGGAGATAAAGGAACTCCAGGCCAACCTGGATCAATGGGACTAATGGGGCCACCAGGCCCCACAGGATCACCAGGTCTTTCAGGAGCTCCAGGGCTCCCCGGAAAAATCACCGATGCTGGAGGTGTTGAAGGCCCTCCAGGACCTCCGGGTCAACCAGGCCCACCAGGCCTACCCGGAAAGCCCGGGCTTTCTGGATTCCCAGGCAAGGATGGTGAGAATGGCGAGCCTGGAAATGATGGCATTCCGGGCTCGCCGGGGAAAATGGGAATTCGCGGATTCCCTGGACCTGATGGACATCTTGGAGCTCCAGGTGAGAAGATCTGAAATTTTCAAATATTTATTGATTTTTTTTGCAGGTGGCTGTGATCATTGTCCACCTCCAAGAACTGCGCCAGGTTATTGAGAAAAATGTTTTTTTGTCTTTTGAATTTTGAATTTCTGTGCATTTTGAAATGAATATTTTTGCTTTAGTTTTTGAGTTTCAGATCAATGAAAAATATTAGAAGATTTCTGAAGTATTCTGATTTCTTCTGAAGCCATCTGCAGCCTTCGGAAGCTTTCTGAAGCTCTGAATTTTTTCAGAATATTATAAGATTCCGGAAAAACTTCTAAATATGAAGTTGTGATGAGGGGAAAAATTTAGAAATTTTAGAAAAAATAGAATAATATCACGTAAAAAACGTGTAAAAATACTCAAACGTGAAAATTTCAATTCAAAAACCTTTCCCATGCCAAAAAACACCCTATTCATATCAATTTTCCTCAAAAAACGATGACTTCCCAAAAAATGCGGTAAATGTCTGTCTGCACTCTCTCCATATCCTATTATCTCTCGCCACTCTTCCCCCTTTTTTCTTCCTGTTCCTTTTTTTGGACTCACTTACGTTTCTTTTTTTATCTTGTGTGTGTTTTTTCTTTTTTTTGGCGGGAGGATGATTATTTTATTGACAAGTATGTCGGGGTATCATATTTTTTTTGTTTTTGTTTTTGTTTCTTTGAGTTAAGGTAACTTAAGGGGTTTTTCTTTGAGTTAGGGTAACTTCAAGGTTCCTAGATTTGTGTTTTAGGTTTATTTAGAAAGGGGTTTCCAGCGATTTTCGAAAAATTTTAAATTTAACCATTGAAAAGACCCATTCTTATGTGATAATTCGATTTTTACGTTGATTTTTTATCCGATTTTCAATTAATTTCTTCAATTTGCAGATCTCCAACAGCTAAAATAATGCCGAATCGATCCACCAACAACAATGGAGCCAGCACTTCACAATCAAACCAGAATGGTTTCAAAAAACCAAAACCAGAAGTAGAGGATGACGGATATGAACAAAATCATCAAGTGAGTTGCAAGATACAAATCTAAATAGTTGTCCGAAAAATCGATTTTTGGCCAAAGGCCTAGAAATGTCGGGAAAACTCGGCCAAGACAACAAACACGCGCTATTGTTTTGAGGATGTGAAGAGTCTTGGCCGAGTTGGCGATATTTCTAGGCCATGTCTAGATTTTTCAAAATAAAAACATGATAGAACATTGATTTTCAGATGCCTGGTCCATCTCACTCATCTTCCGCCACAACTGCCAAAAAATCAAGTCCAAATGCCAAAGTTTCTATGTTGGCTGTTGTCAAAGAAGAAGTTGTGAGTTTTAATATTTACCACAAAAAGACAACAGAAAATTGAAAATTCTTATTTTGAGCAAACGGAAATTGTGAATTTCATTTTGTAATCCTAAATTAAAATTTTCAAAATTTAGGATAATTTAACCCATTTTTCTGCAACACAATAATATAAAAATTTGATTTTCAGACAGAAGATCAACCGAGCTCGTCGACCACCAAGAATCGTCAATCTGAAACCTCCGCCACTTCTGCATCTGATAAAAAACCAGCTCCAAGACCGATTGTGAAATTAAGAGAAGTTAAAAAGGAAGAGCCGGAAGAAGCACCGCAAGCTTGTGATGATGCTGCAAAAACTCCGAAAAATGAAGAACCTGAAAATGCTCAACGTAATCGAGTTGTTCGAACTAGACGCCAAAGAGTTATTGTAAGTTATTATATTTATATTATTTGTTTTGAAGTAAATATATTTTCAGAATCCAAATGAGCCGCTTCGCCGCTCTTTGCGAATTCAACGTCGGAATCGTACAATTATCCCTGATCAGGAACACGAGCCGGCAGCAATGCCCAGTTCCAGAGCCCGTCGGGAAATGCGCAAATTGGAGATTGACAGCGCGCATTTTTTCTAATTTTTTTCCAAGTTTATGCCCCCTTTGAAGATGTTAAGAATTTGTGGTTTATATTTAAATTCCCTGAAAAATTAGAGCCAAAGAATTATTATCAATCAACAGTTTCCCCTTTCTTATTCAAGTCTACTACCCCAATACATTTTTGTACTTTTTCCCCGTGATTCTCAAATGATTTACCTGTGTTTCTTTTACCATTCCTGTTCAATGCCCCGAATTCAAAATTTATATTTGAAATAAATATTTTTGTTTTTAAATCTTTGCAGAAGTTTTGGGTTGACATTATTGATTTTTGAAAAAACTCCTGAAGCTGAAAATGCGAATTTGGAGTCTAGTTTAGCTTTTTCTCTGGCTGAAATTGAAAAAACAGTTCAGAAAACAATTTCAATCAAAAATATTTATACAGAAAATGTGAGGAAATTTGAAAAAACAATGATATTATTTTTAGTTACACGTGGAATTTAAGAGGAAAAAAATCAAGAATTATTCTCAATATAATATCGCAGAAGTTCAATGCAAGTTCTTGCATCTTCTTCCGAATCATGTCCGAATTTATTTTTGCGATCTTCTTGAATCGATTTGCCAAGAATTGATTGCGCTAAATATCGTAGTGACGGTTTATTTCTTCCGGTTTGGAAGAGTAGGGAAGTGTCGACAATTCGATTGTGCGAAAGTCGAAGCGCCTTTAAATCACATTCGAGGGAATGTCCGACTAGAATTGAGTCTTGATTGATAATTTCGAAGAGTTTTTCGCGACACTGGAAAAAAATGAATTTTTCCGAGCATAGGAGGTTTAGAAGCCTCCAGAAGCCCCCAGTAGCCTCTCGAAGTTTTCAGAAGCCTTCAGAAGCCTAAACTTTCACAAACTAGACTTTCTAAACTAGACTTATTGAACTAGACTTTATCTGAATCAAAATTTCTTGAAACTAAATTTTTCTTGTTGAAATTCAAGAATTTCAAAAAATTCGGGAAATTCTAAAATTCAGAATTTCAGAAAAATATTTTCCGGAAAGAACCTTTTTTCTAGAAAACATCTGAGGATCGAAAAACGAAGCCTGAGAAGCCTAAGCCTAACCATAAGCCCAAGAAGCCTAAGCCCAACCCTAAAAACCAAAAATCCAACTAACCGTTTCAGAAGTATCCTGAGCATTCTCCACATCTCTTGCAGTCAACCCAGAAAATCTAGTATTCGGATCCAACAAAATTCCACTTGGCCTAACTCTCACATCCAAAAACAACTTCCCGAACCAGTCAACAACACTAAGCCGGGCCAGTGCCGGCCCCTGATCCGTATAAACCATCTCACAATCAAACGCAAAAATGGCCACACTTTTTAGCTCGAAAATGTCCGCAACTTCTGGAGCCACTGTGAAATCTTTGAGCACACTTACGCATAATTGATCGAAAACGTGGAGATTGTTGGTGATGCAACCGGGTTTTCCGATGTTTCGATTGCAGCATGGATGTTTGTCTTGGAAAGTTGCTGGAAATTAATTTGAGATGAGATTTTTAGATTTTTAGCCAGAACTAACCTTCATCAAAAACTTTGCGCAAAGGATGATGAACACATTTTTCATTCGCATTTTTTCCATTCCAATCAACTCGGAATTTCATTTGACATCTACAACAGATTCGTTTCTTTTCGCCTTCCGCAACCCACATTTTTTTGGCTCGATTATACTTCGTCGGATTTATCTTGACACTTTTCAGATTTTTCCTTTCATAATATGGGAATCCCAATTTTTGGAGATTTTTTTTGGAGATGAGAAGATTTTTGGAGACATACTCGTGGATTTTGATGTATTCTTGAAAATCCAATTTTAGTTCTGGTTCATTCTTTTTTGGAGATTCAGTTTTGGATTGTGGATAACCTGAAAAAATCAATATATCAGGATTCGTGAGGCTTGAGAAGGCTTCAGGAGATTTCAGAAAGCTTCAGAAGACTTCAGGAGGCTTCAGAAAGCTTCAGAAGGCTTTAGAAGTCTGAAAATTGTTTTCTTAATTTCTTAGGCTAGACTAGACTTTTTCAAACTAGACTCTAAACTAGAATCGTTTCTAATTTGAAAATTTCCAGATTTCTGAACTTCACCTCAAAAATTCCTGAAACCAATTTTCTCTGGAAAAATTTGAAAATCAAAAACCATTTATTTTTTTTTTGAAAATTTCAGAAAATCCAAAAAAAAATCAGATTATAAGATTTTTTTTCATTAAGGCTAGGATCACAAAATCCCGAAATTTCAGAACATAAGCTCATCTAGACTCAAAAAAAGCCTAATTTTCAGGCTATAGGCTTATCTAGGCTCAAAAACAGCCTAATTTTTAGGCTATAGGCTTATCTAGACTCAAAAAAAACCTAATTTTCAAACTATAGGCTTATGTAGACTCAAAAAACCCAAAATTTTCCCCCAAAAACTCACATTTCTGTTGTTTTTGCGGTGATTGTTTAGCATTTTTACGTTGTCCTTTTTTCTTCGGAAAATAATGACGATATTGTCCGTTTATCGGATAATAAGTATATTTTTTAAATTCTTGTTCACGTTGATATTTGACATATTGTTGCTGAAGCCAAAGACATGCCCAAATCACACAAAAAATCACCAAACAATTCAACCAAACTTGAAATTCATCCATTTTTTTTGTTTTTTTTTTTTTGGAAAAACGCCACCAAAGGAATGCCACCAAGCCACAAATTAATCGTTATTGTTCTTATTTTTTGTCACACCATCTGTTTTGACACCATTTATAAATTAATTTATTGATGTTTTTTGGGAAAACGCTGAAAAAAGTGCTAGTTTTTTAAGAGACGCAGATAGAACAAATAGACAAAATTGTTTTTTTTTTCGAAAAAAAAATTGATTTTGTTACAGCTGGCCGAATGACCTTTGAAAAACAGAGCTTCTGGGAGTTTGTGAGCAAGATCTAGAAAATTTTCAGATTTTTTAGGAAATTCTGGAAAAATATTTTTTCAGATCTCTGAAATTTTTCAGGCTAGAAAAAAGGTTGTCTTCATTTTTCAAATTTCGAAACCAATAAAAAAATGTTCTAGAAAAAAACTGCAAAATGAAAAAAAATGAAAAAAAAAACACACAATTTTCTGTCTGTCTACACCTTTTTTTGTTTGCCTTTTTCTCTGCACTCTCCTCTTTTCAACTATCTCTCTCATTTTCTTCCTTTTCCTCCAATTCAAGCTTGTTGGAAGACAAAATGAGGAATTTCGAAAGGAAAAGGAAAATTCATTGATAAAAAGGCTTAGAAAAAGCTTAAGGAAGTCTCGATAAGCTCTCAAAAGTATCCAGATTTCTTCAGAAGTTTTCAGAAGTCTTCAGAAGCTTCCAGAAGCTTCTAGAAGCTTCTAGAAGCTTCTAAAATAGAAAAAATTCCAAAAAATCAGATTTCCTGGAAAAATGGATACATTTTCAAGTACAAATTCTTGTTTTTGTTTTTGTTTTTCACTAATAATAGAGCAGACTACAGAAAATACGGATTTTTGAAAAATGTGAGAAAAAAATATGTTTCAGAAAATTCTATTCATAATAAAACTTTATTCAAAAAATGCTAAAAATAAGTTTTTTTTTAGCTAGAAAATCAAAGATCTGGGGTTATTTAGGCTCAAAAAATCCCGAATTTTGAGCTCATCTAGCTTCAAAACACTCAAAATTTTCTGGACAAAATCAATTAAAAATTTATTCAAATAAAAAAATCAATTTCCAGCATTCAAAGCAATCTTATACAACGTGTATCCTCCTCGAATATTCGAATTTCTCTTCGCAAAAGCAATCGCACCTGGTCGACTCGCCTCCCGGATTTGCAAAAATCCTTGCTCATCAAATCTCCCCGAATACTTTGCATTCTTATCCAAACCCTCTTTATAAACCACATTTTTCACATAAAAATCGCGCGGCACAATTGTTCCATTCTTCAGAATTCCCACAAATTCCGGATCGATTATCGTATAATTTTTCGCTTTCAAATGTTCGTTGAAAATCTTCGAGAAATTCTTGGCTTCCAAATTTGCGTCGAGATTTGAACTTGCCACGTGGCACAGGAAAAATAATAGGAAAACTTGGGAAATTTTCATTTTTCAAATGATTTTTCTCTTTGGTTTTATAGCACTCATTTTAATTCGATTTGCAAAAAATTTATTTTATGAGATTTTTTGAAGAACATTTTTGCCCACGCAGAAAAACCCAGCTTTCGGAAGCCTTGGGAAGCCTTCGGAAGCATTGGGAAGCCTTGGGAAGCCTTGGGAAGCCTTGGGAAGCCTTCATAAGCCTTGGGAAGCCTTGGGAAGCCTTCAGAAGCCTCGGAAAGCCTTCGGGAGCTTTCGGAAGCCTTCAGTAGCTTTCAGAAGCCTTTGGAAGCCTTCAGAAACATTGGGAAGCCTCCAAAAGCCTTCAGAAGCCTCGAAAAGCCTTCGGAAGCTTTTGGAAGCCTTCAGTAGCTTTCAGAAGCCTTCGGAAGCCTTCGGAAGCCTCTAGAAGCCTTAAAAGCCTTAACAGCCTAAGAATTTTGAAATTCTATAAATATTTACCCTAAGTTCCAAAAAATCGTACTATTTTTAATTTTTCAAAAAATACAAGAGCAAATATTTTCATTTTCACATTTTTTCTTACCAACAAAAAATCTTATCAGTTTAATGTTGTTTTTTTTCCCGCGGCTGAAAAATAGCGAAAAAGTTTATTTTTTTTCAAAAAAAAAAATAAAATTGAAATTTTTGTGAGTGAAAAAAAAGAGTAAAACTTTCCTATTTCTTATCAACAAAATTTTTTTTGGCATTTTTTATTTTTGCAAACAGAAACGCCACACATTTGTTACTTTTTCCGAAAAGTAACATTTTTTGGATTTTTTTTTCAAAATTGAAATTTGAAAAAATGCTTTTTAATTCAAGCGGAATTTTTCCGTTTCTAACTGTGGTTTTGACATTATGTGCCATGTTTTCAGGGTGAGTTTTTGGAGGATTTTTCGGGCTGAAATTCCAGTGCTGAAATTCAGAATTCTCAAATTTTCTGAAACCTATTTTTAAATTTTGACATGATTCATGAAAATTATAGGGCTCAGATTTGACATTTCGAAATTTTCGAACCTGATAATTAGGGTGGATATTTGAAAGTTCTGATTTCGTTATTTTTTCTCAGAAATTCTAGAAGGGGGCAGAAAATTATCTGAAATTATGAGAAAAATTTGAAAAATTTTGCTTTTGAAGGCTTCTGGAGGCCTTCAAAAGGCTTTAAGCTTGAGAAGGCATTTGAAAGATTCTGAAGGCTTTTTTCACACAAAAATCCAAAATTCCAGATTTTTCAAGCTCTAGAATTTTTCCAGCTACGGTATCGCAGTGGCAAATGACCATGTCGATGCTTGGATTCCTTTCATCTCCGACTGTGCCGCAGAATCTCCCGAAAAAATGGTGTTCGGTGAACTGCTAACCCTCTCCGCCTTCTGCCTTGCTGTCACAATGTATTTCATTCATCGAAACATCATCTCCTTCTACGAAGAGCAACATGTTGATATTGGAAAATGGGCCGGATTTTCGAAATTCATTTTGGGACTCGGATGGCTTGCAGCAATCGGAGCAACAATTGTTGCCAATTTCCCGGAAAGTGCTCAAATTATTGTGCATACTATTGGAGCTTTCACGTTTTTCGTTGGAATCACTTTTTATTTTTGGGGACTGCTGTTCATTTCCTACTCTTTGAAGTGAGTCAGGCTTAGGCTTAGGCTACAAATAAGGCTTATGTGTAGACTATAGGCTTAGGTTTGATATGAAACATTTTTTTGTTATCGGAAAATGTTTGCTGTGAGTTCAAAAATTTTTGGTTTTGATTTATGATATTTGAAAAAATTGGGGGATCGAAAAAAGTTTCAAGGATCACATGAGTTAGATATGCAGGTTCTAGTCGAGATACAGTAATCCATTTTTCTCGAGAGTACTGTAGATCGCTTCAAGAGGATTATTTAGACACTAAACATGATAGGGTTACTGTAAGCAAGCTCAAGTGTAAATCAAAAAATTAAAAATTGTGACACTTTAAATCTAGATACAGTAATCCTAGTACCTTTAAAAAATCAATAATTTTTACAGACCAAAACTTGTTCCAATTCACTTGACAAATTTCCGACTGTTACTCACAATAACCTTATCACTTCTCCTGATTTTCCGTGAGTTTCAAAAAATTTTCAGATACACATTTTGTGTGGGTTGAAAATTCTGAATGTGAGTCATAGATAAACCAGGAAACAATTTTTTTTTGAACACAAGAAAAAAAACAATGACTCATGTTAAAGAATTTATCACAAAAAATTCAAAATAAAGTAAGGGATTTTTTTCAAAAAAAAACTCATAACTCAACTTTCCCGTGCACAAAAATACGTTTTAAAGCTCTTAAGATGCTCTAAAAGTCTGAAAATCTGTAAAATTTCAGACATTATCTGCTTGACAGCTCAGCCATTTGTTCAAAGAGTTAATGGAAAACTTCCACCGCGTCCAGATTGGCCAAATCATATTGAAAGACCAAAACCAGGAGATGCGGTGAGTTAAAGGCTTCAGAGGGCTTTAGGGGGCTTCAGGGGGCTTCAGGGGGCTTCAGGAGATTCCAGGAGGCTTTCAATCATCTTAAAAATTCAATTTTTTCCAGTACTACACAAATCACATAGCAGCAGCTCTCTCGGAATGGATTGTCGCAATAATAATCCTCATCGGCGTGCTATCCTTCAGTTTCGAATTTGCCGCCACAAAATATCGTGCTCCAAAATTCGTCAGACAACATTCGATCGATAATCATGTGACAGTTATTGAAACTCCTATTCAACATGTAATTTCTCTGATTCTCTAACCTCTCTAATTCTCTAACTCTCTAATTTTCAGGAAACAATTGCACCGTATTTTGATCATTATTCTCAAACTTCAACTTTGAAACGACTTCCAAGAGTGGATAAAGTTTACCCAACTTCGGTTTATAATAATTCTAATCGTTTGCAGTATTATTGATTTTTTGTGATTTTTTTTTGAATAAAAAATTTGTTTTTGTGATGTTGAGAGGGTTCTGAGGGATTCAGAAGACTTTAGGAGGCTTCAGAAGACTTCAAAAGGCTCCAGAAGGCTTCAGGAGGCTTCAGAAGACTTCAGGAGATTCCAGAAGGATTTTAAAGATTTCAGAAGCCTTTTGAAGTCTTCTAAAATAACCCAAACTTCCCAGGAACAAAATAATTTCGCAAACTTTTCGAAAACATTTTTCCCGCGCGCGCGCGGGCCATAAAAACCATATGTGTTTGGAAAAATTTGGTGACAGACACCACAAAGAAAATGAAATATGTTTCTCTGCGTCTCTCCAATTCCCATACTATTTCTCTCTCTTTTATCTTATTTTTGTCACATGCAACCCGTAAAATTTGTTGTTTTTGTTTTATAAACAGAAAATATTGTGGCGCCAAAATGTACAGTAGTTTTGGACATAAAACTGTTTTGGATTCTTTCAAAAAATCATAACTCAACATCCCATGCACATTTTTCAAAGATCAAAAAATCAGCTCTTGTGATCTTCTGGAAGCCTGAATTGCTTCTGAAAACCTGAAATTATTTTCAACCAACATTTTCAGTCCTCAAAAAAACGTTCCCAAAAGCTTTGGGGTTTCCCACGCAATAAAAACCATTATGTTTATACAAGTATTGTAAAAGTACAAATTTTTGCCCAAAAAAAAAGAACTCTGCGTCTCTCAATTCCACACACTATTTCTCTTATCTCTCACATCAAGCAAGCAAAAAAATTGGTTTTTTCCTTTGTTTTATTGCTTGTGAAAAAACCACCTATCATAAACAAATCATTATCTACAGTACTACTATGTAATGGGATTTTTTGGGGGCCCTAAAGCTGGGAAAATGGGAATTTTTTATGGGAAACTGTGCTGGGGGAACTTTGAGGGGTACTGTAGATTTTTCTTTGTTGAAAATTCAAATCTATTGGTACTAAAAAGGGATTGGAGTACTGTAACTCAATTTTGATCCTAAAATTTGAATTTTTTAGGTTCTGAATCACTGTAGATCAAATTTGCTGAAGAGCAAAAACATTCTTCTGAATTTTATCACAATTTCAGGTAGCTACAGTGATTCTGGAGCCAAATTCAGTACTATAATGCTCTACAGCACCATTTTTCTGAGGTTTTGTATACTTTACTCAAAAAAAATCAATATTTCAAATTTCCCCTTATCAAATTTTCTTCCAAAAAAAAATTTTTTTTGATAACACTTTGTTTATATTTTCCCCATCAACAGTACTCTACAGTACCCAATAGTACTGTAGATCTAATAATCGGCTTTAAAAAATGGGTGATTTGAAAACATAACACGAAGCATGAGCTTTAATCATTTCGACTTAGTGAAACTCGGATTATAGCCAATACTTCGCGTATTGTTAACATCACAGGAATAATATTTTTTTTCGAAAAAAATATTTTTTTCAGAAACAGTAGAAAATAATTGATAATTAATAGAAATTAGGGGAAAATAATAGGAAAAATAGGCAAAGACAATGAGAATGAAAATGAAGAAGATAGAAAAATAAAAGGGGGCAAAAATGTCCTTGTACTCCCCCTATACCTTTTAGGCTCCGCCCCCATTTTGCCTGCCTATTTTTGATCAATCTATCATTCTTCTTCTCCTTCTTTTTTGTCAATGTATGTAAAAATAGAGACAAAAAAAACGGGAAAAACCTATCAATACTATCAATTAGAAATGGGGACAAATACGAAAAAAAATTTGTGTTTTATCATTTGATTTTGATGAAGATGAAGACGAAATGTAATCAGGGCAATACGAAAAAAATATTTTTTTTCGGAAATCAAGAAAATTCGGAAGAATATTATATTGGTTTTCGGCCTAGAAAAACTTAGATTTTAGGCCTGGAAGCCTGACATTTCTGACTAGATTAGCCTGGTTTTTAGCTCGAAAATTCTGAATTTTTGAGACCAAATAGGTCTTGTGTTACTGTGGAGACTGGGTTCGAAATCTGGATTTTTGTGAGCCTAGACAAGCCTAAGTTTGAGCTCGGAAAGCCTGATTTTTTAAAAGTTTAGATACGCTTGGTTGTTGGGCCTGAAAGCCTAGATTTTCTGAGTCTAGATAAGCCTGGGGCTACTGTGGATCGTGAATTAGAAAACTTGGATTTCGAAAAACCTTTTAAGCCCGGAAAGCCTAGATTTTTGAGCCTGAATGAGCCTAGATTTTCAGGCTTAAAAATGACATGATAAGTCTAGATTCTAGGTTCAAAAATCCAAATTCTCTAGAGAAAAAAGCCCGACCTGAAATTGGAACAAAATGATCTAGAAATCTCAGAAGCTGAAAAAATGATCTGAAAAAACTGCGGTAAAAAACTGAAATTTCTGAAATCAGTTTTCCCTAAAAAAAAGTTCGTAAACAATATTTTTCCCATTGATAACGAAATATTTTTCTATACACAACGTATCAAAAAAAAATTCTGTTTAGAAATTTGATATTTTTGCCCTTGAAAAAATGAAATTTATGTATTGACGTACAAAAAAAATTGAAAAAATCCTAAAAAATTTTAATATCTCCACTGTCTTGCAATTCCTGACTTCCCATTTGCAAGTTCTACAAAAATTGATAATTTAAATTTTTTGAAAAACTACTCACATGTTTTGCCAGGTTTAGATTCAGTTGATTGTTTTGATCTACCAGTTTTTCGAATTCTTGGTATTCTTCTTCTGAAAAAATAAAGTCTGAGAAGCCTTGAGAAGCCTTGGGAAGCCTTGGTAAGCCTTGGTAAGCCTTGGGAAGCCTAAAAAGCCTTGGAAAATCTTACGGTAAGGTTTTAACAGCGTCAAATCCGATTTCAGCACTCCATTCGCTGAAAATGCATGATTCTCCATCATCTGAATCTTCTTGATCTGATCCTCGATTTGCTCAATCTTTGCAATCCACTCAGAAACATCAGGAGAATTTTGAAAATCATTTTCAATATTGAAATTCATGCTCTTCTCCAGATTCCACTGCTGCTCCAATTTGTTCAGGGAAATTTTCAGATTTCGATGAGTGTCTTTCAAAAAATTACGCTCTCTTTCCAGATATCTGAATTTTTCATCTAGATCTTCTGAATTCAAATCTGGTAGATGTTCTGAATCCATTTGAGAAGAAATGTGTGAGAAATCTTCACGTTTTTCGATTTTCAGCCGCTCTTTTTCAGCGTTTTCTAGAAAATCGTCGGTTTTTTTCAGCCAGGTTTGAATGTCGTTTTGACGATTCTGAAAAAAATATTATTTTTGAGGGACCACTCACGAAGATTTTCAGATCTTCAAGCTTTCCTAGGACCACCCAGGAAGAAAAGCTTGCCAAAAATACCACCAATTCAACAAATATGTATTGATCATGTTATCTTGTGTAGTTAGAAGGACCACCCAAGAAGAAATTAGTAAATTCTAGACCACCTAGTCAATAAATCCATGTAGCACACTCATAAAAAAGTCCAAAAAAACAAAGTACACAAAATTTATCGGACCATAAATCTGTGTGTGGGACCACCATAAAAAAAGCAAGCAAAAACCCACCAAAATATTCTCATGTAGCCATTCAATTTCTTTGTCCAAAAATAGTGTTTCTTGTCGTTGTGAGCTGACGGAATTGCGGAGTATCGTTAATTCTTTGGATAGATTTTGGATGGCTTCGATTTCGGAAGTTCGGAGGATCTGAGAAAAAAAGTTTTTTTTTGTGTGAGTTTTTTTTGGGTGGGAATTTAGCTTTAAAAAATTTGCTCATGTTTTTTTGTTTTTTTTTCTCTAGGCTCTCTAGGTTCTCTAGGTTCTCTAACCTCTCTAGCCTCTCTAGCTTCTCTAGCCTCTCTAACCTCTCACCTTTTTGCGATAATCCAACAAATCGTAATATTCCTGAATCCTCCCAGAATCGTATTTGAAACGCACTGATTTCGCTCCATATTTTTCAGAATCTTCAGATTTCCCAGTTTCAGATTGATTTTCAGATTCCAAATTTTGTTCAAAATTCAAATTTTTCGACCTTCTAGCCGTATAAGCTGCATACATTGGTGTATTTTTCTCCATTTCAAAATAATTTTGCGCAATTTTTTCCTTCTCAAATCTCTTCATTTCCAGCTTCTCTGCAAGTTTTGAAGTTTGCATAACTTGTTTCGAATTTTTTAAAACCTCCAATTTTTCCATCATTTTTTTCTCAACTTTCTCCACTTCCATCTGTAATTCCAGCCATTCTTCTTCAAGATTTCTTAAATAATTCAAGTCTTGAAGATTTTCAGAAGAGATTTTCAGATTTTTCGATAAACCTAGAATTTTGGCAAAATGTTGGTGACGTTGTTTTTGAGCTCGCAGTAATTTTTCATCTTGTCGTAAATTTGAGCGATTTTTTGAGGTTCCTAACATTATATCTTCCAGGCGTCTTTGAATTAGAAAAACATCTTCGACCAGCCGGGAAAAATATTTTTCCAACGTCTGAAAATATTTTTTTATTGATTTTTTGGACCTTCTGGGCCTTTTTTTTGAGAAGTAGTGTACTTGAAATTTTTTGATATCAAATTTCATTTTTTTTTGAAAAAAAATTTCCCAAGAAAATTTCTAACAAATTTTTTTTTTCAAAAAAAATTTTAGCCTAACCCAATCATGAAATCATCATTTTCTGAAAATTTTTTAAAATAGATTTTCATTACGAAAACTTTTTTGAAAATTTTCTGAAAAATGTGATCTCCAAAAATATATCAGATATGATTATATTGTTATAATTTTAAATGTAAGCTTGGATTTTTTTCTGAAAATCCTTATTTTTCGGATGAAAATCTATAAATATGAACTACACTCTAGTTGCTTGTAATTTCTAAACTATACTCTAGTTTCATTGTATGTTCAAATCATAATATATTTTCTTGTAAGTTCAAACTACAATCTAGGTTCTTTGTAAGTTCAAACTACACTCTAGGTTTCTTTCAAGTTCAAACTACATTCTAGCTCCTCATAAGCTCAAACTACACTCTTTCTTCTTATAATTCACAAACTACACTCTAGTTTCCCCCAAAACACCCACCACTTTGGTTTTTTCATCAGCCTCCAAACCCATCTCCAATTTTTTGATCTCTTTTCCATGCTCCTCGATCTTCTTGGATATTTTCGAAAACATTTCGCGATTTTTTAGACCTGGAAAATTGCAGCCAATGTACTTTTTTTGGGAAATGAAAAATAATTTTTGCTAATTTTGAGGTTTTCACCAGGGATTTGATGCTAATTGTTTTTGGATTTTTTTTTTTGGTATTTTCAGACTGAAAATTAGGATTCTTCTTAAGAGCCGCCCAGATTTTCCCCTGAAAATTCAGACTTACACGAACTCTCCATTTGCTCGTTGACATCTATCTCCTTCTCCAAATTCCTCTCAATTTTTTCATTTTTCCCCACCAAATCCTCATATTTTTTGATAAATTTCAAGGCTTCATTCAATTTTTGTTGTTCGCTTAAAAACAGCGATTCAGAATTTTGCAAAATTCCCGCCAATTTTTGATCGATTTCTTGATTTTGAAAATTGAACACGTTGTTGGTGGATTCAAATTCGAGTTTGGAATTTTTCCATTTTCTTTCCGAGCGACACAGTTTTTCGTATTCTTCACATTTTTCGTCGAGGATTTGACGCTTTTCTTCGGTCTGAAAATTGGGAATTTTTAAGCCTAGATAAGCCTGGAAGCCTGAAAATCAATAATCCTCAAAAAAAAATCCCTAAACGTCGCAAGCTACAAAAAAAAATCCCCCGATTATTAATTTTCTCATCATTTTTCTCTCCACATCACAGGGACGCATTTTTCTCTGCATCTCTACCCTCTCTCTAATCACACACTCTTTCTCTCTCTCCCCCTTTTTCTTCCTTTTTTCATATTTGTTTTGTTGATGATAAAAATTAGACTAAAATGAATCATATTCATGATTTTTTGAAAGTGAAAATAATTATCTGAAAATCAATTTTTTGAGCTGAAACTTGGTCTGAAACTGAAACTGATGTTTAGGGTATTTTTAAGGCTGAAATTCTGGATTTTTCGAATCTAAATAAGCCTAGACTTACCTGTCTCAACAAATTCTTCGTAGATTCAGAAGAAGTTGGCAAATTGAAATTCTCAGCTTGCGCGATTTTTGAAGTTACCCGAGCTTTTTTCACAGTCGCCGACATTTTCGAGGTTTTTTCTTCTCTCAAAAAATATATATTTTTGAAAAAAGTAGGATAAATGAAAATCAAAAATAATTTTTCTTGTTGCCAAGAAATTGTTGCTAGCTAGGCTTTAGTGAAACATTTTTTTCCGGTTGACTAAATTTTTCGGGGAAATTTTTTGGATTTTTTTCGGACACCGTGGAATGAATGGAAAAGGAAAGGTTCAAAAATGATACAGGACTGAAAATTAAAAAAAAGGCTTTTCTAGGCTCAAAAAAAACCAGATTTTCAGGCACAACTTCTAGGCTTTTTAGGCTCTAGAAATCCAGATCTTCAACTTGAAAACTAGGCTTATTTAGACCTAAAAATTCAGATTTTGATTTGATTTGACTCCAGACAATTAAAAATTCAAGTTCCCAAGTTTTTTTCTTGGACTTTTTTTCACCTGCACGCACTATTTCTGATTGAAAATGTCTAGTCAAAAAGCATTTCTGTCTCAAAATTTGTACCAAAAAATCTAATCAACACACTGCATTTTATCACATTCTCTAGTATCTTTTGACCGAAAATGTTTCTTTTTTTTACACGAAAAAGGTCAAATTTGCTTCTATTTTTTGTTCGTTTCAAAGAGAATCGCGTTTTTTTCTTCTCTAGATTACTGTAGCTCAAATTATATCTGATTTTCGTTGAACTTTGACCCGGAAACAACTAGAAAGCGCTAAAATTGCATCACAATCATAATAATTTTTTTTGCGTGTTTGAAGATCAAAAAACAATGAACCCAACTGTTCTCATGAAGTCTTTGAAAGATAGAAAAATGAGGCTCCGCCCATTTTTTCGGCGAGTATACTTATTTTCGAAAATTGGTCTATTTTTTGATTACAGTTTGTTGTTTTTTTGGACTGGGAGGGTTCTGAAAGCTTCTGAAGGCTTCTGAAAAAGTTTGAGAGCTTCTGGAGACTTCTGGAGGCATCTTGAGGCTTCTGGATGTTTCCGGAAGTTTTCTAGAACTTTTTCCGAGAATTTTCACGGAATATTTTTAAAAATATTTTTCCGGAATTCGAATTAAAAGTTTGAATTTTTGAAAAACCACAACTCAAAAATATAATTCTGATTTTAATTTTCAAAATTTTTATCTTCAAATGAAATTACTCAAAATCTAAAATTTTTCAGAATAAATCTTGAAGATCAAAAATCTGAACACATTTTTTTCCGGATTAAAAATTCCCAACTTTTCCCGATGACTTCAGAGCAATTTGTGGCTTCTATATACATAGATAAATTCGGAGATCTATATTTTTCAGATTTTTCTAGGCTTCTAAAGGCTTTTGGAGGCTTCTGAAAGCTTCTGAAGGCTTCTGATGGCTTCTGAAGCCTGCTGAAGGCTTTTGTAGACCTCCCAGGCCCAATTCTCAAATCTCCCTCCCCCAAAAACCAGTTCCAAATTTATTGTTCAACAAAACAATGTCATATTTTTGCCCTCCAAAAAACCATATATATTGATTTATCAAAAAACAAAACAAAACACCGTGTAAATGTTGTGTGTGTTTCACTTTTTGTACAATCTTTGCTTTTTTGTCATCATCACCATCATCATCAAAATCAAAAAAAAATATAGTTTTTTTTCTACCAGCAAAAATTTTTCTGCGACACACAAAACACGTGCCTTTTCTAGGCGATGAAGACACAAGCCGGGTCACAATTTCTCGTCGTGTCTGCGCTCTCTCGCTTTTTCCCGCACTCTCTCTCGTCTCTCGGTTTTTTTCGCTACATTGAGGTGAAGGGAAATGAAACAGTGTGTTTGAAAATTTTTTTTGAGACTTTTTTTTAATTTTGGGATTTTTTTCCTGATAAATTAGGCTTCTCAGGCTTTTATAGGCTTCCCAAGGCTTTCCAGGCCTTCAGAAGGCTTCCCAAGGCTTCAGAAAGCTTCAGAAGGCTTTTGAAGGCTCCCCAGGTCTTTTTAGACTTACCTCAACTTTTCTGAGCTTCCTTCTGTCCAAAAAACATTTTTTTCTCTTTCTCCGAAAAAATATTGATTTTCCACAGGAAAAGCAAATATTGTAGTGCTTCTCGCAATTTTTTTTTATTTAACAAAAAAAAATTTTTTTTCATAAAATCATTTTTTTTCAGATATGGCAACTTATCTAAAATCAGCACCAATTTGGATTTGTCAGCAACCTGAAAATTGGGTGAGTTTTTTTGTTTAGCTGAAATTTTCAGACAAATTTATTTTCACATTTTTTGATCAGCTAAAAAAGAGTTTAGCCAGACTTTATAAATCTTTTGGGATTTGTATTTCATTTTTTTTATTTTCATTCTCAGCCAAAATATTTTTTTTTCTGAAAATAATTTTTTTTTAATATTCAAATTTTATTCCAAATTACACAACATTTTGAAATTTTCCAAAACTATAAAAATATTTCAGCCAGAAGAAAATCTGTCACCAATGTCTTCTGGATCCGGATCTTCACAATCATCAGATGATCAACATCAAAACACCGTAGTTCAGCTCAAGAAAATTCGAAATGTTCGAAAATCTGATAAACATCATTGCTCGATTTGTGGAGATCGGGTAACTTTTTTTAATATATAAAGGCTGGAAATATTTTTCTCTGAAATTCTGAAATTTTCAGCCAACTGGATATCATTACGATGTTTTGTCCTGCAATGGATGTAAAACATTTTTCCGAAGAACAATTATAAATAAACGGAATTTCAAATGCACAAAAGGTGGACAATGTGAATTTACTAAAGGTGAGTTTGAGAAAGCCTAGATTTAGGCTGGAAAATCTGAATAGGCCCAGATTTTCAGGCTTGAAAATCGGGATTTTTTGAGTCTAGATAATCCTAGGTTTTCTGCCCAAAAATCCCCCAAAAACCATTTTTTCTCCAGACTTCCGATGTGCATGCCGTGCGTGTCGTTTCAACAAATGCGTGTTGGTCGGCATGAATCCGTCTGCAATTCAATTTCCAGCCAAATATGAGGAAGATGCTCATCAGGATGATTTTGAAAGTGAGGAGGATGTGAAAAAAATGTCGATTTGCAAGTTTGAGAAGGAGATTTTGGTGGATGAGACTTTTCAGACTTATCAACTTGTTGACGAAATTGTGAGTTTTGGGAATAGAATAGCCTAGGAAAAGGCCTGAAGCCTTTTGGGCCTTTAAAAGCCTCCGGAAGACCTCTAAAGCTCTGTGAAGCCCTCTGAAGCCTCCTGAAGCCCTCTGAACCCTCAGAAAGCCTTCAGAAGCCTCCTGAAGCTTTCGGAAGCCCTCTGATGCTTCCTGAAGCTTTATGAAGCTTCTGAAGCTTCTAGAATCCTCCTGAAGCCTTCTGAACTCTAGAAAGCTTTATGCTAGACTTTTTAAAACTAGACTTCTGAAACTAGACTTTTCAAACTAGAATTTTCAGTAAATTTTTTCATCTGGAAGTTTCTGAAAATTTTTCAATTTTCTATGAAAATTTTAAAACTCAGTGAATTTTTCCCCGAATTTCTTGATCTCTGAAAAATGAGTAAACCCCAAGATGACATGACTCGAAAAAAAGAAAGAAGTTTATTTTTGGATTAAAAACACAGCGACTAGAGTAAAATGTGTGTAATTGCAAAGGCAGAAACCACGAAACTGTGTAATTAAGAGACGCAGAGAAAGAAAAAGTGTATAAATTGTGTTGGATGATTTTGTTTCCACCGAAAACATGAGATAAAAATTTTAATTTGGCAGGATTTGGAATTCCGGTTTATAAAGGGGAGTTCTTAGGGTTCCTAGGGTTCTTAGGCTCATTGGACAGGTTAGAACCAGACGGAGAGAGCGTTAGAGACGCAGAGAAAACGGATAATCTCATAGATCTGTTCTATTTTTAGTTGGAGTTTGGAAGTTTTTTTTTTAGGATTAACCAATTTTTGATCTTTTTTTTTGGAAAACTAAAGAACCTGAACAATTTTTCTGAAAATCTCAAAACCCTTCAAAAAATCTGAAAACATTTCCAGTCGCGCCGTGAAGATGCCGTGCTCGCCATTCGTCGTAGCCCTGAAAACCTGCCAGTCGAAATGGATTTTAGCCTAACTCAGGTTTTGCGAAAAACGCCGGTTCTTGGAAAAAACACACAAATTACGGTGCCCGGAAAATTGTATCAAAATGATCGAGTCAGATATTGGATGGTTTTTGATTTGTATTTGAATGTTGAATTTGCAAAGACTTTTGATGTTTTTCGAGAGTTGAGGGAAATTGATCAGGTATGTTTTTGGGCGCGAAAATTTGGAGTCTTTTGAGCCTACATAAGCCTAGATTTCAGGCTCAAAATTCTGGAATTTTCGAGTCTAAATAAGCCTAGATTTCAGGCTAGAAATTCTGGACTTTTTGAGCCTACATAAGCCTATATTCCGGGCTTGAAAATCGGGAAAGTTTGAGGCTAAATAAGCCTAGATTTCAGGCTAAAAACTCTGGAATTTTTGAGCCTGAACAAGCCTAATTTTTTTAAAGTTCTAGCTTTAAACCCTAGGCTTATTTACACTCAAAAAACTCCGAATTTTCAGCCAAATCTGATTCCATTTTCAGAAATCCCTAATTTCTCACATTGGTGGACTTCTGCACGTCGCCACCCAATCATTTTATTCATTTTTCGAAGCCAAATCTGACACTTTGATGTTTCCGGATGGTACAAATGCGTTTCAAAATAAAATGGATGCGGTGAAAATTGATGCGAAACGGTGAGTAACCGTAGGCTTTGCAGTCCGGGAAAAAAAGGATTCTGGAATATTTTCGGATAATTAAAAAGTTCAGAAGCATTCTTCAGACCAAAAGTCTAGGCTGAAAAACTTTTCTAGAAATTTTCAGAAGTGTATTCATCAATTACTATGCTGAAATGTACAATCTGCCAATTTTTCGAATTTCTCAACCTCAACATGAATCTGACAGAATATTCCTTTTTCAAATCGATCGCACTTTTTTCACCAAACAGTCTTGAAATGTCCCTTGAAGGGCAGATTACTGTAAGAAGGGAGCGAGAAAGATTAATGGGATTATTGAGGAAATATTTGATTGCTGAAATGGGATATAACACTGGTTATCGTAGATTTTCCGAAATTTTGCTCGCTATTTCGACTTTTGTTACTTATGGGGAGAAGAGACGGGAATATATAACGGTAGGTTGGGAAACCCGGGATTTTTTGAGCCTCAAATTTTCAGCTTCTCCGCTTGATGCAATTTGATGTGGCAAAACTTGGAATCGATATTTATCTCAAAAAACCAGAAGAGATGGAATAACCATGTTTTCGGAATATTTTTTTTCTTTAAAATCCGTTTTTTTTTTCAAAAATCAATATTTGTTACCCAAAACTTCTCCCAGATCTCACACAATATTTATAACGCATATTTTATTTTTTTTAATTTTTTTCCCAGATTCTTGAAATTTAATAATTAATAAAAAGTTTTTTCAATATTATTTATTAATTTATTACAAAAAATCATTAGAATTTAAATTAATTAATCAAAAAAATTACACAACCAAAAAAAAAAAGCTCCCAAAAAAAATCAATAAATTTCACACTTTGGTCGAAACCTTTTTCTCGACATCAAAATTAAAACCCTCTTCATTTTTCAAAATGCTCGGAGTTTGTGGCGGTTCGCTCATCGAGATTCGAACTTCAGTGGATTGTCTCAAGCTGGCAAGTTCAGTGCAAGAACTTCGACGATTTCGAGTTCGTCGAACTGATACGAAACTGCTGTCTGATTGAAGACCATCGGGTTGGTAAGAGTATAATGGACGATTTCCGACTGGGATGTTGACTAGGAATTTTTTTATGGTTAATCGATATGGAGCGTAGATCAGGGAGGTTATTAGAGGGTTCACGATCTGGAAAATTTTTATTGTTGAGGTTAAGGGGCTTTAGAGAGCTTCTTGAGGCGTAAAAAGGCTTCAGGGAGCTTCAGGGGGCTTTAAAGGGCTTCAGAAGGCTTCAGAAACCTTAGCGGGCCATAAAAGGCTTCCCAACTTACCGGATTCAGAGTCAACAAATACACCAAAATCCACGCCACCCAATTCATATTCTGTTTTCCCTCACAAGTCAAACTAGACCACGTAAAAAGATGAATCCGTGCCAAATTCACAATTCGATACGGTAACAATGAGCAAGAAGTCCAAGTTGTGGTGGCAAAAATAAACGCCAAACTCTTGACCTTATTCTTGAAAGCCGACGAATCTCCCGGATTTCCAGTGTTGCGTTTTTTTCGAGTTAGGTTAAATAGGTAGATTGAGACGATGAGGGAGGAGGTGACGGGGAGAACGCAGAAGAGAATGGTGAAGATTTCGTAGTAGAATTTTTTGGTCGGAGTCATCTGGAACAATTTTTTGGGTGTGGAGGTAAATGAAGGTGTTTGGGAAAATGTGTGGGGTATGCTGAGCTGTGAGGAGATATTTTAAGCTTCAAAACTCCAGAAATTCAATAGTTTCAGTCTGAAAATCTAGGTTTTGTGCTCAGAATTTCTTGAATATCCAGAATTTTTAGCCAGAAAAAAACATGCAAAAAACTTTGTGATTTAAAAAAAAACATCGTGAATTTTTTTGTTACCTTCTCCACAATATAATCATCAATTGTTAACACAAAATTCGTAGCATTTAGCTGAATTATATCCAGAAAATTTGGATTTTTTGAGGCCAAAAACTAGGTCTGAAATTCAAAGAAAAAATTACCTGCAATGAGCAATCTTGTGGAAAAATATAAACAATATCAAACATCCAGCAATAGGAGACAAATCTACAAAAAAAAAATCAATAATTTCAGGAGTACTGTATGCCTTTCTACCCACCCGATCGAAACAGTCCAAATAGCTAGGCAGAAAAAAGCAGCACGACGTTTTGACATTGATCGATCGTAGTTCAGCGGCCAACGAAAATATATCAATTTATCCACGTTCAGAAGAGTTAGGCTAAGTCCAGAGACGGCTAAACCGATCCAATTGAAATAATGAACAACTGCACAAAGATGTTGTTGTTGGAGGAAATCGTGTTTTCGAATGAGGAGTTCGTTTGGATGACAGAAAACTGGAAAATTATTGATTTTTTTTGGAGCGTTTTGGGCCTAAAATTTGGATCATTTTGAGCCTAAAAAAGCCTGGGCCAAAACCTAGGCTTGTTTAGACTCAAAATGTTCGAAATTTTCCGGCCTGAAAGCCTTACTTACTAGTCAAAACCAAATCGCCAACAGTCATATTCAGAATAAAAAGATGCATAGTGTCGCCGGATCTTTTGAACAATTTGATGGCACAAAAAATGACCATCACATTGAATACTGTAGCTGCCATACTTGCTGCCAAAAGCATGTCGTCGACCTGCAAAATGATTATTGATTTTTTTTGGGCTGAAATTTTGGGTTTTTAGAGTCTAAATAAGCCTAGATTTCAGAGCTGAAATTGCAGTTTTTGAGCTGAAAATTCTTATTTTTTTGAGATCAAACAAGCCTAGATTTCTGGTTCAAGAACTAGGCTTATTTGGACTCAAAAAATCCTGAATTTCAAGCTGAGAACCAGGCTTTTTTGGGCCTAAAAATCTGGATTTATCAGAGCCCGAAAATCCCCAAAAGCCCACCGTATAAGTAAAAATAATAAACATCGGATCATTATAGCATTCAGTAGTTGTAGGTAGTTGCGAAGTAGCGGTACTCGAGGTAAAAATCCCAGTCGTCTCCGAATAATTAGACATCGCGGTTGTAGCGATTTGTGTCGTCGCGTTGAAAATCGCAGTTGTGGCTGTCGCAAGTTGCGTCGTCGTCGTCGCTGCTTGCGTGGAAAACGTCGCAAGTGTCGTCGCAACTGTTGTTGTTGTTGCGATTTGCGTAGTGGTGCTAGCGAGTGTGGAGCTCATAACATCAGAAGTTGTAGTCGCCAGCGTTGACTCAGGGCTCATCGATTCCATAGTGGTGGAGTCGAGGGTTATTGGAACCATGCTGGTTTCCAAAGTTGTAGAGGTCTCCAAAAACGCCGGTGTTTCATATGATGTTGTATAATTTTCATCCATTTTGTTTATTTTTTCTCTTGTGCTTTGATTTTGCTCTGTAATTTGATATACTTTTTTTTTATTTGAAAAGATATTTTTGGATGGTCAAGGAATTATGATAAAAAACTCACAAATTTCAGATTTTCAGTCTTAAGGCAAAATTTTCAGAGCTTGAAATCTAGGCTCATTTGAGCCTTGGCAACATGAATTTAAAAATCTAGGCTTATCCAAATTTCAGAATGTCTAACAACTAGGTTAAGCCTGAAAAGCCTGAAAAATCTAGACTTATCTAATTTCAAGAAAAAAATGCAAAACGAAATATGAGGATGAATAAAAATAAAAATAAAAATGAGAAGAGTGTCGAACAATTTTTGATAGAGGCCAATTTTTTCGTCTTCTTTTTCTTCTTCTTTTGTGCTCAAGAAAAGAAGGGTGTCATTTTCATATAATTCCATAATTTGAGCCATTTTGGAAGAGCAAAAATATGTAAAGAGAAGATGCACAACATTTTTTGCGAAATAATTGTTTTGGTGTTTTGTAGAGGGCCAGAAATTTGGGGAATTTTCAAAAAAAATCAATAATTTTTTTACAAATTTCAATTTTTATTCAATACACATTTCTTCAAAAAAATAATACTTATAATGAATTGTTACATAAATAAAATAAAAAATACGTTTTTTTTTGGATTTTTAAAATTTTTCTAATTTTTTTGTGGGGTTCACAACACAACAATCAAAATCACAAATCACGATAAATTCAAAATTTGAAAGAACAAAATAGCAAATTCAGGAATCAAGTGGAGTAGTTTCATCAATATCTTCAAAAGTTTCTCTCTCATCGATTTCGATTTCGGTTCGAGGTTCTGAAGTTATAGCTGAAGGTGAATGTGATCGGGCGGTGAACATTTCCATTTCACACGAGGCTACAGATCGACGGGATCTGCTATTTTCACGGTCGAGTTCGCTGGAAAAAATTTGGTTAGTTTCAGATATTTTCAGGCACGGAAGCCTAGCTTTTCAGGCTTGAAAAGCCTTGATTTCAAAGCCTGAAAATATTGACTTTTGAGTTTGAAAAGGCCTAGATTTTCAGGCTTAAAAATCTGGATTTTTGAGTATAAATAGGCCTAGTTATCAAGCCTGAAAATATTGACTTTTTGAGCTTGAAAACTTGGTTATTTTAAGTCCATTAATCAGTCTGAAACTTTGAAAAAATTCATATTTTCTGGGCCAAAACTAGGCTTATCTAGGCTCAAAGAGTCCGGATTTGCAAACTTGAAGTCTAGGCTTATCTAGGCTTAAAAAATCCGGATTCTTAAACTTGAAGTCTAGGCTTATTTAGGCTCAAAAAATCCGGATTTCCATGCTTGAAGTCTAGGCTTATCTAGGCTCAAAAAATCCGGATTCTTAAACTTGAAGTCTAGGCTTATCTAGGCTCAAAAAATCCGGATTCTTAAACTTGAAGTCTAGGCTTATTTAGGCTCAAAAAATCCGGATTCTCAAACTTGAAGTCTAGGCTTATCTGGGCTCAAAACCTCTGGATTTTTAAGCCCAAATCCCCAAACTCACTCATGTCTCGATGAGCTCGGCTGACAAGCCGTTGGTTGTCTACTAATCCTTCTTCCCATCATCATCTCAACCATCAAATCCAATTTTTTATCCATTTTTTCAACAGTCGATTCCAAAGTCATCAATCTACTGTACATTGAAGTCTTGGGTTCCAATTTCTCAATATTTTTTCCACAAATAATATCCAACTTTGTTTGCACAGTCTTTACACGACTTTGCAAATCGACATGACCAGCTGAATATTGTTCAATCACATCTTTGACGTCATAGGGTTTCAGAGCTTCTTTGAATTTTTTTCGGGCTACCAGAAGTTGAATGCGACGAATTGCTCGCACGGCATTTCGCAAGGCTGGTGTAAAATCATCGATTGATTGAGGTTGATAACCAATGTTTTCTTCTTCTGCAAAAAATTGGATTTTCAGAGGGTAGAAAATTCCAGAACCCAGGGCTTAACCGAAAAAAAAAATCACACTGAAACTTAAAAAAACTGATATGAAGCAAAAAAATTGGGAAAACTTTTGAAACTTTGATTTAAAATACAGTACCCATGAAAATTCGGCGCGAAAAATCTTCATTTTGAAACATTTTTTTTCTATTTTTGGAATATTTTACTAGATACCGTATTATTTTTTGAAGCTACAGTAACTGTACAAAACTAATAAATTCAAAGTTACAGTAATCTTTTTTAAAAATTCTGTGCACAAAAAGGATAATTTTGAGTTACAGTAATTCTACAGTAACCCTGACAAGCTTCAAGGACTTACAAAAAATTACATAAAAATCTAGTGAGTTTTGATCTACAGTAACCTGAAAAATTTTGGTTCAAATCTATAAATCTTGAGCTACAGTAACCTTGAAAAGTTCTAACCAAAATAGTGAATTTTGATCTACAGTAACCTTGAAAAATTTCCAGGAATTCAAAATTACAGTAACCTCTGACCTACATTTTTTAATCCAGAAGAGTTAGAGACGCAAACCAAGAAAAAAAATCCACATGCTTTTTTAATTCGAAAATTCTAGTGGGTTTCCGGGAGGGATAAATTCTCATGCGCCTTTAAGAAAATCTCAACTCCAAGTCCAAGTCCAAACTCTTACCATCCATTAAATCCTCTTCTGGAGCAGCTCTAGGCCTTGCACAAGTCGTCAATTGGCTCCACACACCATCATCCACCGGTGTATTGTTGCGTTTCACCATTTGTTCACACCATGAGTAGATTGGTGCCATCATTAGCGAGTAGTCGCCGATGACGTCACCGTCGATCAAGGCGTTTGGTGTGGAGGCGGCCGATGATGTTGATTGGTGTGAGATGGGTGCAAGGTGAGAGCAATCGCCACGACAAAGTGAAACTGAACGGCGTGAACGGCGGCGAACATCTTCATTGAGGTTTTTTAAGATTTTTTTACAGACAAATTTTGGGACATTTTAGTTAGTAAGGTTTTTTTTCAATTTTGTTAAATCATGCAAAAATCGTACACAAATACACAAAAACTTTGAACACTGAACCTTTTTTACTAAAATTTTGAAGTGTCAATGAAATGTCGGAGCTCTCTAGCCTCTCTAGCCTCTCTAACCTCTCTAGCCTTCTAAAACTCTGCATCTCTAACTCTCCCGAAAAATTCCAGAAAATGTTTTGCTCACTATTGATAACTAATATGAGCAATGGCTGTTCAGAAAGAAAAAAATGCTGTGAACAGTCCTTAGATTTCGGGTAATAATTCTTAAAATGAGCAATGATTTTGAATTCAATAACTAACATGAGCAATGATTTCTAATACTCTAACCCTCTGACTCTTAAGCCCTCCTCAAAAATTCAAAAAAAAATGTTTGTTCCTAATCCTTTGATTTTTGATTACTAACATGAGCAATGCCTGAGAAACCCCAGATTTTGGGTAAGAATTTTTAATATGAGCTCAGGAGAACGACCGCGAGATCCGCGCGAAACGCGAACCCCAGAAGTCCGCTAAAACGCCGCGCATCCGCCGCGGTTTAGCGGTGTTGTTACAGCGTTTCGCGTAAATTTCGCGGTTTCATTATCGCGTTTCGCGTAAATTTCGCGGTGTCCTCTCAATTTCAAAACAAAATGTCATCATGATCGATCCTCACATTCAGGTGATCATCATTTGTATTTATCACACTCACCCAACCTCGAACCCACAACCTCTCACCTCGAATACATTTGTTTTACCCACTTGACCATGCGCGCACGTGACGCGAATAGCGAAAATGTTTTTTATATGCCATGCTACTGCGCAAAAATGTCGCGAAACGCTCCAATTCGGTCGAGGAAGCCCGCGAAATTTCCGCGAAACGCGAAGTTCCCCGCAGTTCGCGCAAATTTCGCGACGTCCAGTCGACCGAGGCTCAGATTGCGCGAGGTTTGTGCGAAACGCGTGATTCTCCCGCGAAGGTTGAGCGAATCGCAGAGACCCCGCTTTTCGCGCAGATTTCGCGGTCGTTCTCCTGAGAGTAATATACATAGCTATAATTTTTTTATGATTACAATTTTCAAAAATTTTCGCTAAAATTGTATTTTAACATGAGCAATGCTTCGAAATTTGATAGCTAACATTATCTTAATCTAAGCTCTCTATGCTCTCTAGCCTCTCTAGGTTCTCTAACTCTCTCGCTCTCTAGCACAATTTCAAAAGCCTTCAAAAAGTTGAGTAAAAAAAGGTTCCCATCTAAACCAAAACTCACCATCAAAATTATTATTGCCGCCATTTCCACTGCTCGATTGTCCATTATTCCCACCTCCACCACTCGAACTTCCACCTCGAATCATCGAATCATCCATGACACGTCGATTCGCCGTGCTACTACTACTCTGACCGTACTTGTTGTCGCGCTTCGATTTCCAGCCTCCTTCAAACATACCTATAGCGTCTTAACTGACTCGAAACCTACCAAGTGAGAAGCCGAGAGCACCGAGTTGCTCGATTTCCGAGATGTCGGATGTGGAGACCAGCGAGATGTTGTCGTGTGTTCGGGGCACCATTAGATTTCTTGTTGTCATTGGGATGTTTTGGATTGTTGATGTTGATGGTTGATGTGGACTTCCTGGAAATTTCAGAGATCAGAGTTAGAAATTTAGAGAGCCTAGAGAGCCTAGAGAGTCTAGACAACCTAGAGCCTAAGGATTGCTCATGTTAATAAGCAAATTTTGAAATTTCAAAATAAAAATTTTCAAAAAATAGTTTTTGAGATCCCCATTTTTTTCTGAAAATTTCAAAGTCTGAAACAATTTATTTCTGTCAGCCATGAAAAAATTTCATGAAATCTATAATTAATTTCAGAAAATTGAAATGTTATGTGTGACGTTTTCAGAAAAAAGTGCAAATTTTTTTTATTTTTTATTGTTCGAAAGTTTTTTGAATTCGGAAAAAACAAGCTTAGGCTGAAGGTAAGGCTTTTTCAGGCTTTCCTAAGGCTTCTGAAGGCTTGTTAGGCTTTCCCAAGGCTTTTCAGAGCTTTCTAAGGATTTCTAAGGATTCCTAAGGCTTCTTGTGGATTCCTAAGGCTTTTTAGGCTTTCCCAAGGCTTCCCAAGGCTTTCCAAGGCTTCTCAAGGCTTCCCAAGGCTTCTCAGACTTATCCCAACTCACTTTTAGTACTTTGCCTAAGTCGATTAATCAAACCAGTCGCATTATTACTTCCATTCGGTGTAAACTTGACAATCGGTGCCATCTCATGAGCCAAATGAATTTTCCACGTGGCAAGAGATACCGATTCGGGAGCCGCTGAATAATGTCTCCACAAACATTGGATTAATCTAGCAGCCGGAACTCTTCTCCTGATCAAATGTTTTTGTCGCTGATGTTGTTGAACCTTCAAAGCGAATCCTGATCCTAAAATTCCGGCTGGGAGGGCGAAAAATGAGATTCCGAGAAGAGCGCAGAAGGCGGCGATGATTTTTCCCGGCCACGTTTCGGGCGTCTTGTCACCGTAGCCGACGGTTGAAAGGGTGATCTGAAAATAAACATTTTTGGGCTGGAAGGTTTTTGTGCTGAAAATTGTTTAAGCCCTGATTTTGAGCATGATAAAGCCTGGGTTTTTGGCTGGAAATCTAGGTTTTGCAGATTTGAATTATTCTAGTTTTCCGTCTGAAATATTGGGATTCTGGAGCTTGAAATTTTCAGGTCTGAAAATGTGAATTTTTCGAGGCTAAATAAGCCTAGGTTTTTATATTTTTAAAATTATTGTGAAAAAGGTTTTCTGGAAATTTTTTTTCAGAAAGATTATCTGGAAAATTTCATTATCAAAATTTCAGAACAAAATTTTCTTTCTCATTTTTCGGATACTACATATTTTCTTATTATGTCATTTTTTTTTTTGAAAAAAATCTATGACGTCATGAATTATTTTCATACATCAAAAATCACCTAAAATTATATGTGACGTCATAAATACAAGGTTTCAGACACTGAAAATGCACAAGAATCCACTCATAATCATTTTTAACACACACAAAACTCATTATGACGTCATCAAAAAATTTTCTAGATTTTTGGACACCAAAATCCCCCAAAAAACTCACCACACCCCACCATAAAGCATCAGCAAATGTCGAATATTTGTCATTGGTGTTCTTCTCGCACAAATACACCAAGAAAGATGAAAAGATCAAACCAAGAAAACCAATGTAGACAGTTGTGAGAAGTTCCTGGAAAAAGGGGGAATTTGGAAAGGTTTTTGAGAGTACGGTAAGATTTCAAAGCTTGTAAATTTTTAATTTTAAAAATCTAGACACAAAAAAATTTAGTTATAGTCCTTATCTTTGAAATTCAAATTAAATTAAAATAAAGAAAAAAAATAGAATAAGAATTATTTTTACTAAAGAAAAAATTAGATTTGTTCCTTAAAAAACCCACAGAGCCCAAAATTCCCACAAAAAAATAAAAAAAACAAAAAACACCTTGACTACACTTTAGTCTTTTGGTCTTCCCCCTTTTCTTATGCAACACACAAACACACACATGTTTTTTGGGAAGGCATCCAAAAGGGGCGTGGTTTTTTGACCTAGATTGTATAATTTACATGTGTGTGTGTGTTGCACAATGTTTCTATTGTCATTCTTGTATTTTTTGGCTTGGCTAGCGACAACGACAAAAATGAGCAGGTTAGTTGCGTTTTTTTTTGGTGGGAAATTGTTTTTGAGAAGTCAAATTTGAGAGAGGAAAATCGGAGAATTTTAAAAATGATCGGAGTAATTCATTTAGTTTATCCTGTATTCTTGTGAATTTTTCTCTGGATTTCTAGATTTTTTTAAAGTTTAGATAAATTTGACTGAAATTGAGGATGCCTGAAAATTCTGATTTTTGTTAGCCTAAATAGACTAAGATCTTGAGATTCACAGTCTGATCTACTATATACTAATTGGAAACTGAATAGTTTGTCCAGGCCCCGTTCATACCTTCAACGATCACGAAAATTGATGATCAAAAAATGAAAAGTTTGCAAATTTTGGCACCTTGGTGGGCTAGCTAATCTTTTTAATTTGACTCTCTCAGGGGTGCGCGGAGCGGTAAAAGTTTGAAAAACTCAATGTATTTTTTGAAAATAAAACCTGTCCATCGCGATAACTCAACTTCCAGAAGGCCATTTTTCATGGGACCTCCACCATTCTATCCCAAATTCTATCCCATCGATGCGCTAATATTGATTTGTTCAAAAAGTGCGCGAGTTTTTACGTGAAAATTCAAAACTTTTTTCATGAAAAAAAGAATGATCACGTTTTTATTCGTAAAAAATATCAGAACACGTTTCTTATCTGATCTTTCTATTACTGAGAAATAGTCAAATATTTTTGGTCATTTCTCGATGTTTCCCTTTGCCTAACTAGGGAATAAAATAATCATCAAAAAGTAAGTCAAACTACTATAGATGATGAAGTGATAACTTCCTCAAATTTCCAGATGTGGAATAATTTATTTGACTAGAAGAAGAGATTATTGTTTATATCGATGATTGTGAGTTATGATTTGTGTTAGGTTCTCTTTTCAAGCTCGGAAATTGAGGCTCTGAACAGGAGAGGAGAGGATTAGAAATGGAAAGGCTTTCGAAAAAAGAAATGAATTCTTGGAAGAAAGATAAGTTATGAAAAAAAGTGTGGTTTTCAAAACTTTAGAGGTTTTGATTTTTGAAGCTTGAGTTTGAGAATACCCTCTTTCTTCCGAAAAATCGGCCCGAGATTTTTTGTCATCGAAAAAAATCGGCCCGAGATTTTTTGTCATCGAAAAAAATCGGCCCGAGTTTTTTGTTATCGAAAAAATCAACCCGAGATTTTTTGTCATCGAAAAAAATCGGCCCGAGATTTTTTGTCATCGAAAAAATCGGCCCGAGATTTTTTGTCATCGAAAAAAATCGGCCCGAGATTTTTTGTCATCGAAAAAAATCGGCCCGAGTTTTTTGTTATCGAAAAAATCAACCCGAGATTTTTTGTCATCGAAAAAAATCGGCCCGAGTTTATGATTATCGAAAAAATCGGCCCGAGATTTTTTGTCATCGAAAAAAATCGGCCCGAGATTTTTTGTCATCGAAAAAAATCGGCCCGAGATTTTTTGTCATCGAAAAAAATCGGCCCGAGATTTTTAGTCATCGAAAAAAATCGGCCCGAGTTTTTTGTTATCGAAAAAATCAACCCGAGATTTTTTGTCATCGAAAAAAATCGGCCCGAGTTTATGATTATCGAAAAAAATCGGCCCGAGATTTTTTGTCATCGAAAAAAATCGGCCCGAGTTTTTTGTTATCGAAAAAAATCGGCCCGAGTTTTTTGTTATCGAAAAAAATCAACCCGAGATTTTTTGTCATCGAAAAAAATCGGCCCGAGATTTTTTGTCATCGAAAAAAATCAACCCGAGATTTTTTGTCATCGAAAAAAATCGGCCCGAGATTTTTTGTCATCGAAAAAAATCGGCCCGAGTTTTTTGTTATCGAAAAAAATCAACCCGAGATTTTTTGTCATCGAAAAAAATCGGCCCGAGATTTTTTGTCATCGAAAAAATCGGCCCGAGATTTTTTGTCATCGAAAAAAATCGGCCCGAGATTTTTTGTCATCGAAAAAAATCGGCCCGAGTTTTTTGTTATCGAAAAAAATCAACCCGAGATTTTTTGTCATCGAAAAAAATCGGCCCGAGTTTATGATTATCGAAAAAAATCGGCCCGAGATTTTTTGTCATCGGAAAAAATCGGCCCGAGATTTTTTGTCATCGAAAAAAATCAACCCGAGATTTTTTGTCATCGAAAAAAATCGGCCCGAGATTTTTTGTCATCGAAAAAAATCGGCCCGAGATTTTTAGTCATCGAAAAAAATCGGCCCGAGTTTTTTGTTATCGAAAAAAATCAACCCGAGATTTTTTGTCATCGAAAAAAATCGGCCCGAGTTTATGATTATCGAAAAAAATCGGCCCGAGATTTTTTGTCATCGAAAAAAATCGGCCCGAGTTTTTTGTTATCGAAAAAAATCGGCCCGAGTTTTTTGTTATCGAAAAAAATCAACCCGAGATTTTTTGTCATCGAAAAAAATCGGCACGAGTTTATGATTATCGAAAAAAATCGGCCCGAGATTTTTTGTCATCGAAAAAAATCGGCCCGAGATTTTTTGTCATCGAAAAAAATCGGCCCGAGATTTTTTGTCATCGAAAAAAATCGGCCCGAGATTTTTTGTCATCGAAAAAAATCGGCCCGAGATTTTTTGTCATCGAAAAAAATCAACCCGAGATTTTTTGTCATCGAAAAAAATCGGCCCGAGATTTTTTGTCATCGAAAAAAATCAACCCGAGATTTTTTGTCATCGAAAAAAATCAACCCGAGATTTTTTGTCATCGAAAAAAATCGGCCCGAGATTTTTTTATTCTTGCGAAATGGGTCTTCAAAACGATTAAAATTCTCAAAATTTCAACCGACTTAGCAGACATTCCTGGGTCAAAAATTTTTCAAGCTGCGAGAGAGATTAGGCGCAGGCTTCCAGACTGCGGCTATTTGGGATTGGGATAGTTTTTTGAAAATTTTGTTTTTGTTAGGCTTAAGGTTGTGTTTGGCATTCACGTGATTTTTCACCAGCTTTTGAGAAAGATTAGGGCGGCGTGTCAGAAAAAGTAGCTCAAATAACACTGTTCGTGATTTTATTAAAAGCTTAGATAGGTTCAAAAAAAGTGAACATATCGCATATTGTTGATACATATTTTCGGTTTCTCAACAAATTGGACAAAATCTCAATTTCCTAACAGGACTTCAGAGAAACGAACTGTTTTTCAAAAGAATACTGAACGCGAAGCCACGACAGCCCAGAAGGAGGAGCCGGCGATAGCCGGCGGAGCCCTTCTGGTTTTTCTACAAAGCTAGAGATTTTCTGAGTTCAGATAAGTCTATTTTTTAGATCTGAAATTCTAGATTTTTTGAGTCCAAATAAGCCTATATTTTGAATCTGGAATTCCAGATTTTTTGAGCTTTTCTGAGCTGCTGTTTAAATTTGAAAAGCCTTGAATTTTCAGCCTGAAAATCTAGATTTTTTTGAGTCTAAATAAGGATACTTCTTCAGTCTGAAAATCCGGTCTGAAAAAATCTCCAAATTTACCTGTCTATGAGCCCAAACAACACTTCCAAGCAATTTCCAAGTCCCAGCTCTGCGATCAATTCTCAACATTCGCAAAATTTGAAAAAATCGCAAGCCGCGAATCGCAGACGCCGCAAAAACTTGACCGGTGGCTCCGATACATAGTACTGTAATTGAGGCGAGAATCACGATGATATCAATCACACAATAGGCACTTGTCGCAAATCTGATGCGACCTGAGATCCCGCGATACCGCGAGCGGCAACCTGCCGACCAAACGCGGCAAAAATATTCGGTTGCTAACCAGATTACGAATATGAATTCCTAAAAAATTAGGTTTTAGTTATAACTTCTTGGGTGGTCCCGGACCACCCAAGAAGTTTTTTTCTAAACTCACCAAATGATAAAGAATCCATGTAGCTTGCTCTTCAAAATCTGGCATTGTTGAAAAAACAGAAAGCCCCAAACACATTAGGACCATTAGCAACCTGAAAATCTCCTTTTTTTTAGAGTACTGTAGTTTTTCGGGGGGTACTGTAGCTTCTTTTTTCCTGATGTGATGTACTTTATTAGTTTTCCAGAGGATTATTAGATTACGGTAGCATTTTTTCTGCTCAAACAAAAATGTACTTTTTTTTTGGATACAAAAAATATATTTTTCTGGGAGTACGGTAGCTTTACTTTTTTGCTGACGTAGGCTGAGAGTTCAGAAAAACAGGTGCAGAGTACTGTAGCTATGGAAACACTTTTGTACTTTATTAGTATTTTTTTGGGATACAAAAAAGGGGTTTTTTGGATTACGGTAGCTTTACTTTTTCTTTGACGTAGGCTAGAAGTTCAAATTTTTTGGAATATTATTTTGGAAAGCCTATGGAAGGCTTTGGAAGCCTTGGGAAGCCTTCTGAAGCCTCTAAATGTCTACAGAAGCCTCCAGAAGCCCCCAGAAGCCCAGAAAAGCCTAAAAAGCCCGCCCAAAAAACTCACACAGCCAAATGATAAGAAGCGGCCTGCCAACCCCTTGGCCGCTCCAAAAAATTGTGCATCCTAGTCTGCATTCTTCGAAACTTCTGATCAGTACTGTAATTCTTATAAGTCAATGGTTTTCCAACTAATGACATTTTACGAGTCTGCTCCTGCAACACAAAAAATCAATGAGAAAAATGAAAAATTTCGGAAAAATCTTTTTTTTTTTGAAACAAGAACGAAAACATGTGGCTTCAATTTACCTCGAAATCGTGATTTAGTTGTTGATTTTCATTGGAAGCGCCGAGTTCTGCAAGAATTATTGATTTTTGATTGGATTTTTTTGAAAAGTTAGGCTAAGTCTGAAACTTTGGAGCTTAAACTTAAATTTTAGGACTAAAGCTTAAGCTTAGAACTTTTATTAAATTCCAAATTCAAATTCAAAATTTTCCTCTCCATAACAACAACAACAAAAAACATATTTTTTTTATTTGGCGCCAAATAAATCCCCACTAATCATAATAATATCAGCCAAAAAAAAGAAATATATATCTTGTTTACAATTTTCTTATCCACAAAAATTATATATATTTTTTCTATTTTTTTCATTTTTTTTCTGGTGACGTTTGTGAGAACTTTTTTTTTGAAGGTAAGCTAAAAACTTTCAAAAAAAACTTTTAGAAAACTTTCTACAGCCTTTAAACCGAAGGAAATTAAAAAAAATTTCAAGAAAAAAAAAATACTCTGAAAATGAATAAGTAATAGGCTCCGCCCATTTTGGAGGAGCCTGTGCACTTTTTGAAAAAGAAATGAATTTTTACTCTGAAAATTTTCTGATAGTAATAAGCTCCGCCCATTTTTATTCAAAAAAAAAAAATTTATCGGGAGGCGGAGCCTAGTGTACTTTCCCTAGACCACCCACGAAGTAAACTCACCAGGTTCCCGAAAATTGACAGTTTTCCTCTGATCTCCTGAGCCCCCCGAGCCAACTTGTTGCTCATCACAACCACCACCACTTCTATCGCTCTGCAAAAATTTGTGTGTAACATTTTTGAGTAACCTAATATGAGCAATGCTCAAATTTCACTAAAAAGTTTTTAGGGAAGAGGAAAATGAAAATGAACAAAAAAATATTTTTTTGGGGGGAACAAGATTTTGACACGGCTTAGACTAATCTTTCTCAAAAAAAAAAATTATTATTATTTTTGTAGGCGTTTTCGGATTATCCTTTATCATAATAATAAGAATTATACTATTCTAAAATTAAACATTTTTATTACTCATGTTATAAAGACTGCTCATATTAACTCACCATCTCAAACCCATGAATAAATGAAAAATCACCGTCTGAAAATGTCTGAAATCCGTTTTTTTGTGCTTCACAAGAGAGGAGGAGCTTAGGGCGCAGCCGACAAGAAAAATTGAGCAGCAGCGGAAAAAAATAGAAATTTGTAGTGTGTAAGGGAAATATGGATTTTTTACGATTTTTGCGGCTCTATAGATATTTTTTTTTGGGTAAAAAAGATTTGAAAAAATTGGGGAAAACGAGACATTATCAAGTTTTTTTAGAGCACGTTGCCATAGTGAACTTAAATACGTTTGAATGAGCTTTAGGTGCGATTTTAAGACAAAAATTTATGGTTTCAGAATATGGGACCACCCAAGAAGAATTCTAGAAATTCAGGTTGAAAAATAAGAAGCCTTCTAGAGTCTTTGGAAGCTTGCAGAATCCTCCGGAAGCCTAAAAACCTAAAAATCTCAAGCCTAGATTTTTAGACCACCCAAAAAGTAACCTATAATTAAATTTCGGATTTTTTTTTTGGAAATTTATGATGTCATCAAAAATTATATTTTTTCATATTTTTTTATCCAAAAATTCCTGGAAACAATTTTTTCTGTGATTATTTTTATGAGATTTTCTAGGAACCAATTTTTTTCTCTAGGATGAAATCTGAATTTTTTTTTGATATCAGAGGTGGATTCTGAAGATTTTTATAGGCTTTTGGAAATTTCAAAAAGGATTTTTGAGGATTCTGAAGGCTTCAGAAGGCTTCTTGAGGCTTTTAAAGACTTCTGAAGGCTTCTGAAAACTTCTGAAGACTTTTGGAAGCTTCTGGAGACTTCAGAAGGCCATAGGAGGCTTCTAACGGCTTCTTGAGGCTTCTGAAGACTGTAGGAGGCTTCTAATTCTAAGACCACCCAAGAAGTTACCCTAACTCACCTCATTCAAAACCAGACAACTCGCACTTCGAGCCGCCGAATTTAATCCCGGATGCCACGGCATTTGAGCAAAAATCATACCATCTGGTGTTGAAGGTGAATCATCATCTGGTGTCATCACTGGGCTCAACATTTTCGAAAAAGCTGAAAAAAATTTCAGACAATTTTTGTGATTTCTGAAATTATATTTTATGAGAAGGTCACAAAAAATTAGTTGAAATTTGGAAATTAATTATAGGCTAGAAGAAGCAAGTTAGTAAAAGTAAAGAGAAAAATAATGCAAAAAAAAATTAAAAAAATAAAAAATCTGACTGAAGAAGTTAGGCTAATTTAGGCTTGAAAATCCAGAATTTCAAGATGAAGAAGTTAGGATTTTTGGCTTAAAAAATCCAAAATTTCAGGCCGAAGAAGTTAGGCTAATTCGGGCTTTAAAATCTAGAATTTCAAGCTGAAGAAGTTAGGCCAATTTAGGCTTAAAAACTAGACTTATCTAGGCCCCAAATCTAGGCTAATTCAAGCCTTAAAATCCAGAATTTTGAGCTAAAGAAGTTAGGCTAATTTGGCCCTAAAAAATCTATATTTTCAGCCCAAAAAATCTGAAAAAAAATAATTATAAGTTAGTAAAAGTACACTAAAAATTATTGCAAACTGAAAAAAAAATTAATTTCCGATTTTCTCTCTCTTGAAGCTATGAAGCCATAAAAAAGTATAATAAAAGCGCGCGCGCGGAAAAAAGGGGGTAGCTCGAGATATATGATAACAATAGAAATATTATAAATATATGATGGAAGAAAATTTATGGAAAATATTGAGAGGTTCAGAGTTAAAAAGAGATTATCATCAAGTGCAAAGCACACAAAACAACACTTGAAATTTTGTCGCGGAAAAAAAAAAGAGATTTTTGAAATCTTCTCTCATCTTTATATAAAAAAAAGTCAAATAAAGTCTAATGAAATTTAAGGAATTTAATTAAATTTTATTTTTTGCAGAATTTCTCTCATCTTCGTCTTATTGACTTTGGCTTACTGTGGCGCTAATTACAAAAGAGGTTGGTTTTAATTAAACACTTTTTGGGCCAGGTTTTTGGAGTACTGTAGATTGGATTTTTTACAAGTTATCGTAACTCAAAGTAAATTGATTTCCCAGGGTTACTGTAACTCAAAGTATAAAGATCATCGAATTTTCGTGCATATTTTCAGGGGTACTGTAACTCAAAATTCCCGAGAGATTATTGAGTTACTGTAACTCAAAATTTTTGAAATTTTGAACCAAATCTTCAAAAGTACAGTAAATTTTTCGATCCCATTTTCCGGGTCACGGTATCTCAAAATTCTGAGAAATTTTCGCGCCAAATTTTTATTTCAATCAAAACCCAGACTCTTTTTATTTGAAATTAAAATCTAATTAAATTTTCCAAAAAAACAAATCGATATATTTTTTTTGCAGTGAAACTCTTCAACTGGAATTATTCGGATTTGAACAAATTCGAACACGGAAAACAAAAAGACACCAGACAACCTTTTGCTGATGCTCCGGTGAGTAATACTGTAGAAAATAATATGGGGAAAATATAAAAAGTTTTTTTTTGGTCTGGAGACATTTTTGATATGTATGAGTTTTTGGGTGCTGTCTTTCATGAATGGGGGTGGAAGAAAAAATAATATTGCTCATATTAAGCTTCTGAAGACCACCCAGAAACTAAAGACCACCCAGGTTACCGACAAAGCTTTTCACCAAGCAGCAGGTCATCCCAAAAAACCATAAAACAAACAGAAGTTAGTGTAACTTTACACCACATTGCAACATAAACAAACTATAAATATTCTGAAGAGTTTTTTTGGATTTCTAGAATATTCAGAAAGTCTTCTGGGCCTTTTCTGGAATTCTGTCTGGGATTTTGAAAAATTCAGAAAACTTTCCAGATCTTCTGGAACTTTATTTGGACTTCTTAAAATTTTTTAAATGTTTTCGAGCCTTTTGGAACTCTGATCAGATTTCTGAAACATCCCAAGATCTACCCAGATCTTCTAGAAAGTTCGAGGGTTCATCTAAACCTTCTGAATTCTTCCAGAGATTCTGAAAAATTCAAAAAACCTTCTGAACTTCCTGAAATTTTCCCCAGACTTCTACAAAATTCAAAAAAAAATTTTTTGCAGACAAACTCGTGCGAAGACGGCTGGGTACGCTACTCGGATTCATGCTACTGGATCGAAAAATCCAAATTGTCATTCGCCGACGCTGAAAAAGAGTGTTATGCGAAAAATGCGACATTAATGGTGGTGAATTCGCAAGATGAATGGGTATGCATTTTTGATTTTATGACATGTCAAGCAAGATATTGAAAACGCATCACGATAGGGTTTTTTTTTTGCGCTGGGAAGCAGGAAAATATAATCATAGGGTTGCATGGTTTACCAGAAAAAAATACTCTAGGCTTGTTTGGGCCCGATTTTCAGGCTTGAATAGTAGGGTTTTTAGGCTGAATATTGTAGAATTTTTAGAGCCTATTAGAGCCTAGAAATTCAAGCTTTAAAACACAGTTTTTTTGAGGTCTAGATAGGCTTAGATTTTCAGGCTTGAAATCCCAGATTTTTCAGCCTAAAAAGCTCAGATTTTAGGTCTGAAAATCTGGATTTATATGAGCCTAAATAAGCCTAGAAATTTCAGGCTTAAAATTCCGCATTTTTTGATTCTAAATAGCCCTAGATTTCAGGCTTAAGGCTCCGTATTTTTTGAGCCCAAACAAGCCTAGAAAATTGAGCCTGATAATCTGGTTTTCTATGAGCCTTAATAAGCCTAGAAATTTAGGCCTGAAAACCTGAATTTCTATAAGCCCAAACAATCTTAGATTTTCAAGCTCAAAATCCCGGATTTTTCAAGCCTAAATAAACCTATATTTCAGGCTTCAAATCCCAGATTTTTCAAGCCTAAATAAGCCTAGAAGTTTAGGCCTGAAATTCAGGATTTCAAGCATAGAAAGGCCTAGATTCTTAGGCTTCTTAGGCTTCCTAATTTTCTTAGGCCCTCAAAAACAAAAATGAAAACAAAAAAAAATTAGAAAAAGTAAAAAAATGCCAACAATTTGTATATTTGAACAGACAGCTCTCAGCTCTCAAAAATATATTTTTTTGTGTTGTAAATACCTTTTTTTGCAGACTACAGTCCGTAAACATCACCCAAATATCGTATTTTATTGGATCGGTTTGGTCCGTTTGAACCATTTACAACCGGATGGCGAATTTCCAGTCTGGCAGACCGAAGGAGCTGTTCATCCAGCGCAAATGTAAGTTTGGATTACTAAAAGACCACCCAAGAAGAATTCTGGGTGGTCTGAATGTTTTCAGTTTTCTAGAAGTCTCCAGAAAATATTTCTGAGTCCAAATTTTTCCAGGAACTGGCTTGTCGAACCTTACGAGCCTGTCATCAATGGCTGGAGCCGTCTTGCCAATTGCGTTGCTCATTTTACATCCATCGAAAGCTGGAACTCTTCTTATCTCTACTATTATCCATGCTCCTACTCATTCAACTCAATCTGCGAGAGAAACAACACAATTTTGGATTTTCTTGCCAGAAAATTTGATATTCAATAATTCAAAAAGTTACCCTAAATACATCGTTTTGTTTTAATTAATCAATAAAAAATTATTTATCATTTTGGGTTTATGACGTGTCAAAGTTGAAAAATTTCGGGACTTTGGAGAGTCAGAATTCGCATTTGGTTACCAAAAATTCGTCAGTGAATCTAGAAGCTACAGAAAATGCGTCAGCAACTTCAGAAACTACAGAAAAGGAGCCAATAAATCTAGAAACTGCAGAAAATGCGCCAATCAATCTACAACCGGAGAAAAGTTACAAAAAAATCAACCGCTGCAAAAAAAATTGCAAAATTGTGCGAAGATGTTGAAAATCATCAAGAAAAAACCATTTTGAGAAAGCAATCGTTTATTTTCTCACAAAAATGAAAATAAAACGAAACGAAATTTTTGTATCTAAATCGAATATGGAGAAGACAGAGCAAGCAAAATTGAAAGTATTCCAAGTTGTTTCATGAAAAATGGTTGAGAATGAAAAGAGAAAGAGCTCTTAAAAAATAGTTTTTTTCAAAAATGACTAAAAACTAGATGTTTATTTTGATCAAATAATTTTTCAAACACCTTAAAAGTATTGTAATTCAAATCTTCATTATATAAAACAAGTGCCGAATCACACTGTTCGTTTGTAAAATTTGAATGTTAAACACACTTTTTCCCCGATTAACTCATTTTGAATCCAAATGTCACATGTTTTATATCAAAACGTCCCTCTCATTATTCTCCAGAACATATATCGACGTTTGAAAATTCTCATTCAAGTATAACTGCATTTATGAACAAGCGTTTCAAGAAAAAACTTGGTGTTAAGAACGTATTCTCAACCATTTTTCATGAAACAACTTGGAGTACCTTCAATTTTGCTTGCTCTATCTTCTCCATATTCGATTTAGTTACAAAAATTCGGTTTCCAGCATTTTTCAGCAAAAAATAGAAGCGAAAAAAAACGATGAGAGAGTGCGTTTAGCTGAAGAGACCGATTAGAGATAGAGAGAAAACAAGAGAGGAGTGTGGAGTGCACACCAAAACAACTGACATAAACAACACTCCGTCTGCCCTTTTTTTAGCGTGAATACACATCCCCCCTTTTTTGTTTTTCTTTTTTGTCATCTTTTGTTGTCTTCTAGTTTCTTTCGTTTTTTATCTCATTTTTCTTCCTTTTTCGATATAGTATTTCCATTTTTTCAGCTCTCACTCATTCTTGGTGGTCAATTGTTGTTTACATCACAATGTTGGTTGATGACAGAGTGAGTTTTAAAATTTCGAATCAATAATTCATCAAATGTATTGTTTTTTTGCAGGTCGCGCTTGCTAAGCTCAGTGTTGCGTTAAAAGACTTCAAGAAGGTCATCGATGCCCCCCAATTCACAAAAATCGTTCGAAAAGCGAAATTCCCAATGAAAGCGCTGGAGACGAAAATGGCTGAGATAGAATTTGTTACTTGGGATCCAAAGGCTAATTATTCCCATGAAGTGAGTTTATTATTTTCAACAAATTATAGTGATTCATCGAAAATTTCTGAATTTTGATGATTCAGAAGTTGAATTTGAACCATTGTCCATAAAAAAAACGTACAAATTACAGACAGTCGTGAATGTTATCAAATTCATGGAAGAAACAATGGAAAAAGGATATCAATTGGTGGGTGAACGTGGAGAATCCGTCGAAAAACGAAGTGAAACCCGAAAAAAGGAGAAGAGAAACCTGAGATGGCGTAATATCATCAAAAGAAAGCATGCCTTGTTCCAATAATTTGTATGTTTTCATCCTTCTCTTCCCCAAAACTCATCCCCATTAATATTTGGGTTTATTTTTTATCTGATATCCCGGTGCCATGTTTGATTTCTCCTTTTCCATTTTTATATATCGTATTCAACTTTGTTTTTATGACAAAAATAAATGTTTGTTTTCTCAAAAATGATTTTTTCATGATGATTTTCAACATCTTCGCACAATTTGTTTTGCCTTGGAAATTTTCTCCGGTTGTAGATTTCTTGGCACATTCTCTGTAACTTCTAAAGTTGACGTTGGAGCAAATTTCGATAGAAAAAATAACAAAAACGAAATAATTTAGAATTATTATACTTGAGAAGTCCTATTTCAATGTTTTAGAAACATACAACTGATTTTTATCAGTTTTTTCTGGGATGTTTTTCAACAAGCTATTTTTTGAAGAGCTCTTGCTCATTTCATTCTGAACCATTTTTCATGAAACAACTTGGAATAACTTCAATTTTGCTTTGTATGTCTTCTCCATATTCGATTTAGTTACAAAAATTCCGTTTCCAGCATTTTTTAGCAAAAAATTGAAGCGAAACAAAACGATGAGAGAGTGCGTTTAGCTGAAGAGACCGATTAGAGATAGAGAGAAAACAAGAGAGGAGTGTGGAGTGCACACAACACTCCGTTATGCCCGTTGTTTAGCGTAAATACACATTCCCCCTTTTTTGTTTGTTTTTTTGTCATCTTTTGTTGTCTTCCCGTTTCTTTTGTTTTTTATCTCACTTTTCGCCCTTTTTCAAATCAGTATTTCCATTTTTCAGCTCTCACTCATTCTTGGTTGTCAAATTGTTGTTATCTTCACAATGTTGGTTGATGACAGAGTGAGTTCTAAAATTTCGAATCAATAATTCATCAAATGTATTGTTTTTTTGCAGGTCGCTCTTGCTAAACTCGCAGTGTATCGTTGAAAGCCTTCAATAAGGTCATCAATGCCCCCAAACACGCAAAACTCGTTCGAAAAGCGAAATTCCCAAAAAAAGAGCTGAAAACGCAAATGGCTGCAATCGAGTTTGTCACTTGGGATCCGAAAGCGAATGATTCACATGAAGTGAGTTTATTATTTTCAACAAATCATAGTGATTCATCAAAAATTTATGAATTTTGATGATTCAGAAGTTGAATTTGAACCATTGTTCATTAAAAATTGTATAAATTACAGACAGTCGAAAATGTTATCAAAGTCATGGAAGAATTGATGGATAAAGGATATCAAATGGTGGGTCAGCGTAGAGAATCCGTCGAAAAAGTCGAAGTGAAACTTGAAAAAGTCGAAGTGAAACCAGCACCTTCCAACAAGCAACACTGAAGACCTGAGATTCCGTAATTCCATCAAAAGAAAGCATTATCCCAATACCTTTCATATTTTCTTTCTTCTCTTCCCCCAAAACCCATCTCCATTAATATTTGAGTTGATTTATTCTGATATCCCGGTGCCATGTTTGATTATTTTTTCTTTTCCATTTTCATTTATTGTATTCAACTTTGTTTTTTTGTGAGAAAATAAATGATGGTTTTCTCAAAAATGGTTTTTTTTTGTTTTCTCAAAAATGGTTTTTTCTTTCTTGATGATTTTGCAAATTTGTTTTGACTTGGAAATTTTCTCCGGTTGTAGATTGATTTTCTGTAGCTTCTAGATTAGCTGACGCATTTTTGGCTCTATGAAGATTCGGAAGATACCAGGAGACTTCACAAGGCTTCAGAATGCTTCAAGAGCAATAAAGTTCACATTTTCAGAAAAACACGAAGTTTTGTTGCCACTTTTATTTATTTTTTTCTCAAAAATCGAACATATAATCGAACATATAATTATAGATAAATGAATCAATATGATTAATTAATGAATTAATTAATCAAGTACAGTAATTAATAAAATAGTCGATGAATTAAGTAATAAAAAAAGATATGAGAAGCAAAAAATCATATGTAAAGAAAAACACAGAAGAATTTTTTTCTAGAAAAAATTAAAGTTAACATACATAAGTAGGAAAAAAATTGGGACCGTAAAAAAAGAAAAATGGAATGTTTTTTTGGATTTTAAATTTTTTTGGAATGTAAAAAATGTGAAAAAAAAGAAAAAAATAAATTCGTTTTAGAAACATATAAAAACAGACAAAAAAGCTTCAGAAAGCTTTGAATTTGGAATTTAAAAAGAAAAATTTTGGCATCCTAGTTCTTTCATATAAATCTTCAATGCTCTTATCCAACCAGCTTCCAAAGCTGGGTCAAATCTTGGATATCTGAAAAAATTATAGATTTTTGGGGCTTCTTGGGGCTTCTGGGGGCTTCAGAAGGCTTCAGCATCTCACCTGTGACCTGGTGGCTGAGCAATTGATCCAGGAGCAAGTAGAGCGAGGTCACGATTGTATTGTTGTCTTCCAGATTTACTGTAACTCTTTCAGATTTTCGCGCCAAAAGTTACTGTAACTTACCGTGGAAAATGATGACGATACGGTCTATCACGTCTGTCATATCTTGGTGAATATCTGCCATCTCTCATTTCTCTTGAATCCTCACTGAAAATTTTTAGAATTTCAGATTTTCAGCTAACATTATGACTGAAAAAATCAACTCACCGTGAATATCTCTGCTCGTTTCTGATACGGTAATTTGGTGGAGAACGGCGTCGGTCGTGATGATGATTATGTCTAAAAATGAGATTTAAAAGGCTTCAGAAGGTTTCAGAAGACTTCAGAAGGCTTGAAAAGGCCTCAGAAGCTTCAGAAGGCATCAGAAGATTCCAAAAATGCTCCGGGAGCTTCAACTCACCGTGTATCACGAGCATGAACTTCATAAGGCCTGCCATGTCTCACATCATTTCGCGCGATTCGCGATTCATCTCTGGAATGTCTATCTGAAACTGCACCACGTCTTCTGTAATCATCTCTGGAATTTCTGTGAGCTTCTCCAGAATGTCTTGAAGTTCCGCCTGAATGTCTTGATGTTCCACCGGAATGTCTTGAATTTCCACCGGAATGTCTTGATGTTTGTCCAGTATGTCTCGATGTTTGTCCAGAATGCCGTGAACTTTGTCCAGAATGTCTTGATGTTTGTCCAGAATGTCTAGAAGTCTCTCCAGAAGGTCTCGAAGTTTGTCCAGAATGTCTCGAAGTTTGTCCAGAAGGTCTCGAAGTTTGTCCAGAATGTCTAGAAGTTTGTCCAGAAGGTCTAGAAGTCTCTCCAGAATGTCTTGAAGGTTCAACTCTTCTCCGATGTTGTCCACCTCGAGAATCATCTCTACGAGTTCTAGAGTCATTTTTAGAAGTTCTTGGAACTTCTCCAGAATCTCTTCTGTGTCTCGAACTTTCATTTCTTCTCAAAGTTTCACGGCGTCTTGGACTTTCTCGTCTGCGTCGAATTTCAGCACTTCTTGAACGATGTCTTCTTGGGATCCTAGAAAAATCGATAACTTCTCACATCAATCTGAATTCCTCCTACCGTTTTTCATTCGATCTTTCTGATGATCTTCGATGTCCTTTAGATTTAGATTTCTTTGATCTGAAAAAATACACGAGATAGTTAGAGACGCAGAGAGTTAAAGAAGCTTACGAAGCTTTCTTGCGATATTGTTTCGGCAATTTGTAACTGGATCTTGTGGATTCTTCAGAAACATCTGATTGATCATCTCGATGTTGTCTGAAAATTTTAGATACGGTAGTTTCAGGCCACAATAATTGGGACCAAAAATTACCCGTATTGATCACCGAAAACATATGTTTCCTCGGTTAATTGCAACATTTTAAGATCAGCCAAGGTTCCTCTGAAAAATTGAAATTTTTTAGATGTTTTCAGAATTTTGCAACTTACTGCATCTGATAAGGAACACGGGAAGTTGAGTCTTGATGATGTTGACTGAAATTTGAAAATTTTAATTTCAGAAGGCTTTGGGGGCTTTAGAAGGCCTCAAGGAGCTTAAGAAGGTTTCAGGAAGTTTCAGAAAAGTTTTAGAAGCTTCAGAAAGCATCAGAACGCTTCAGGAAATTTCAGAAAGCTTCAGAAGAATTTTTAAGGCTTCAGAAGGCTTTAGGAAGCTCTAGAAAACTTCAGAAGGCTTTTGGAGGCTTCAAAAAAATTTGGAAGGCTTCAGAAAAATTCTGGAAGCTTCAGAAGGCTTTAGGAAGCTTCTGAAGAGTTTTAGAAGCTTCAGAAGGCTTCAGAAGGATTCAGGGAGCTTTAGAAGAATTCTGGAAGCTTCAAGACGCTTCAGAAGGCTTCAGAAGAGTTCATATAGTTTCAGAAGAATTCTGGAAGCTTCTGAAGTTTTCTGAAGCCTTTTGGGGACTTCTGAAGTTTTCTGAAGCCTTCTGAAGCTTCCAGAATTCTTCTGAAACTTCAGAAGGCTTCAGAAAACTTCAGAAGTCCCCAAAAGGCTTCAGAAAACTTCAGAGACTTACCTCCCACTTGAAGAAGATGGAATTTCACCGCTCTCAAGTTCCTCTGGATTTTGAGAGGAACTTTCTGGAATCGGACTTGGCGTATGTCTGAAAAATTTAAGATTTTTGAAAAATCCTGAAAATAAATTTTTGAAACTCACGGTCCTTTGTAGTTATTGCCAAAAACATAAACTCCCTCAGTATCATTTTGAACAGCAGTTGAAGTTTGTCTGAAAATTTTGCGATTTTCTTTTTTGCTTTCTGAAAAAAAAATCAATAAACTTACGGAAAACTTTCTGGTTGTTGATTGTACATTTGACGGAAATATTGGCTGCAAAAAAATCAATAAATCTCTCTAGCTCTCTAACTCTCTAACTCTCTAAACTCACAGATAATATTCCACGGTATACTGTTCACTGGTGGACTGTGGACACCATGTATTCATTTTCCAATTGTCATAGTAGCTGGAAAAAATCTGGATTTTTGAAGCCTAAATAAGCCTAGATTTTTTTGAATATCAGGTCTAGAAATTCAGGCTTGTTTAGGCTCAAAAAATCCAGATTTTCTGAGAAACTCACTGATTTCCATAGTAATGTTGCGGGGTCGGTGGTCTGGAAAAAATGATTTTCTTAAAATCCTAAAAAGCCTAAAAACTCTGCGCTCTCTGCACTCTCTGCACTCTCTAACAAACTCACTGATCATCATCAAAAGGATACGCTTCCGTAGGAGTATGTCTGAAAAAAGTGATTTTCAGATTTTGAAAAAATAATTTCTGAAACTCACGGTCCTTTGCGTTTTGGGCTAGCCGGAGTGTACTTGTGTTCTTCAGCCATTTGCTCTTCTCTGAAAAAAAAATATTTTTTGGGGATTTTCAGGCTGAAAAACTATGTAGAAGACTTGAAAAAATCTCTGAAACTCACTGTTTTTCTTCGATTTCGATTTTGACTTCATCATCCGGACTTCTAGGCTCAAATAAAGAATCATTCACTCCTCTAATCCAGGGAAGAGCTCTGAAAAATCATCATGACGTCATAGTATCCGCGGACGCGGAAACTTACCGCCGATATTGATCAAGTTCTTCTGCATTTAAAAATAGGGTATAAAGATACTTCTTCGGACCATTGCTGAAAAAATTGATTTTCAGATTTTGAAAATAAATTCGCGGAGTTTTTGAGCCTGATTCAAGCTCAAAAAATTTCTAAAGCTCACCTTTCTGTTTTAATTTCTGAATTTGGACTTCTAGGCGAATATAAATCATGATTCACTCCAAAAATCAATCGATCAACTCTAAAAAATCAATAATTTCAAAATTATCGATTTGTTGTAGAAAAACGTACTGCGTATATACCCAAAGGTGTTGTAAATTCAAAAAAAGGTCATAAGAATACCGCTTCGAACTACTTCTGCAAAAAATGATTTTCAGAATTTGAGAAAAAAAATTCTGAAACTCACGATTCCCTGAGAACTGCATTGGAAGAAGTCGGTCTGAAATTAAGATTTATGAAGGGCCTCAGAAGGCTCAAGAAGGCTTCAGAAGGCTTCAGAAGGCTTCAGAAGGCTTCAGAAGACATCAGGAAGAATTTTAAAGCTTTAGAAGGTTTCAGAAGGCTTAAGAAGGCTTCAGGAGGCTTCAGAAGAATTCAGAAAACTTCAGAAGGCTCTAGAAGGCTTCAGAAGGCTTCCAAAGACTTCAGAAGACACCCAATGTATTTTGAAAGCTTCAGAAGGCTCTAGAAATTTTCAGAAGGCTCTAGAAAGCTTCAGAGAAATTCTATCTGCAAAAAAACTTACTCATCATCATCTGGCTCTGGAGGAGTGCGTCTGAAAAAAAGTTTCTTGAAAGCCCGAAATACTATTTTCAAAACTTACGGTCCTCTTCGAACTGGACTTGGAGATCTACAGTCGCCCATGGGCTCAGGTGTCGGGCTTTGATATCTGAAAAAATTATTGATTTTTTTTAAAGCCTAAAAATAGTCAGTAACTCACAGATTGTTAGAATAATTTGGACTAGTAGGCCGGCTTGAATCGTCACTGAAAAAAATTGATTTTTTGAGTTTGAGTTAGCCTATATTTTCAGGCCCAAACTCACTGAATCGGTGGACTGAGAGGCGTTTTCTAATCGACTTGCTAGAGTTGGATCATACTTCATTCTGAAAAAAAAAAATTTTTGATTTTTTTTCAGCAAAAAAAAATTTCCAAAAAAAAAACACAGTACTGTTCATGTAACCAATATTCCTTGGGTTGACGATGTTGGTTGTACGGATTTGGTGGAAACATCTGAAAGCAATTAAAATTAATTAAAAAATTCTAATTAGAGAAAAATCGAAATCGAGAAAGAAACAAAAATGTTGTTACAATAAAAATCAATATGTGGAGAAATATAGAGATAAGAAGAAAATGAGACAAAAAATGACCACCCAGTTTTTTTTTAGAAAATATTTTTCTAAAAATTGATTTGGAAGAATGAGAAAGGGTAATTTTTCAAGACTAACAAAGAAATTTTCAATTTATGGTACAAAAAAGCTTCCTAAAGTATTCTGAAGCTTCGAAAAGCCTTCTGGAGGGTTCTAAAGCTTCCCGGAGCATTCAAAAGCCTTCCGAAGCTCCCTTAAACTTTCTGAAGCTTCTTTAAGCCTTCTGAATGCTTCTGAAGCTCCCTAAAACTTCCTAACGCCTTATGAATCCTTCTAAAGCTTCATGAAACTTTCTGAAGCCTTCTGTAGTTTTCTAAAGTTTTTTGAAGTTTTCTGAAGCTTTCTATAGTTTTCTAGAGCCTTCTGAAGCTTTCTAAAGTCTTCTGAAGCTTCCTGAGGTCTTCTGTAGCCTCCCAACTTTTCTGAAGATTCCTAAAGTATTCTGAATCCTTATGAAGCCCTCTGAAGCTCCCTAAAAGATTTCAAATCTAATTTTTAAATTCGAAGAACCAGTAAATATTCCCATATGAAATATGAGATACGGTAAGTTCCCAAAAAAATTCTACATAATTTTTCAGAAGCTCTCCTCTCTAAAATGGATTTTTCGGCTCATAAAATTTTAGAAATGACTTTCTTAAGTAAAAAAGAGGAGCGAGCTAATGGAAAATGTGAAAAAGAAGAAAAAAAGAGAAGATTTCGCCCATTTTTTGTAGTTCTAAACCCGGATTAGCAGGCAAAATGGGAAAAAAATCTGAAAAAAAATACTTTTTGAGATGTTTTTTGGTCTCCTAGGTAACAGGAAAAAAATGATGTGCTGGATTAGAGGAAAAAATGAAAGAGAAAACTGGAACTAGAGTCTAGTTTTAGAAAATTCAAGAACTTATGACAAGGAGCTGCGCCTTAAGAGCCTCCGTGAGAAGGAGCCGCGCCTAGAGAACATATATGACAAGGAGCTGCGGCTTGAAAACAAGACTGGCAAGGAGCAGAGCGTAGAGAACATATATGACAAGGAGCTGCGGCTTGAGAACATATACGAGAAGTGGCTGCACATAGAAAACAAAGCTGGCAAGGAGCAACGCCTTCAGAACATACATGACGAGGAGCTGCTTCTAGAGAGCGGTTGTTGAAAGGAGCAGCACTTTGAGAACATTTATGACAAGGAGCAGCGCCTTGAGAATATATATGACAAGGAGCTGCGGCTTGAAAAACAAGACTGGCAATGAGCAACGCCTACAGAACATATATGACAAGGAACTGCGCTTAGAGAGCCCTATGACGAAAAAAGTGCCTAAAGAACATGTATGACAAGGAGCCGTGTCTTAAGTGCTTTTTAATAACAAGGAACTCTTACTACAAAGCCCTAAGGCCATATTTTTTCCCTAAAAGACAAAAAAACCTGGGTGGTCCAAAAAAATGCCGAACGCGCCAGACGAGAAAAGAATAAATGAAAAAATGAGAGAGATAGGGGAAAAGCTGGCGCGAGCGAGAATTTTCGCGCCTTTTTTTCGAATTTGAAAAAAAAATGTTTTATTGGAGAGAAAAATGGATTAGAAAGAACACATTTTCTGTTACCTAGGAAACATGTCAGCAAAATTTTTTTCAGCAAAAAAAATAAGGTGAAAAAACTTTCAGATAAGGATACGGTAGCTCTTAAAATATCGATTTTTCGATTTTTTGAAAATTTGTGATTTTTGCGCGAAAATTCAATGGGTACTGTAGCTTATCGATTTTTAAAGATTTTTAGACTGCTGAAAATGCCTGTCTAGGCCTAATTAGACTCAAGGAATCAGGATTTTAGGCCAAAAACTCGGCTTTTTTAGGCTTAGATTTTCAAACCTAAAAACAAAAAATTTTCAGCCAAGAAAAAATTTCAGAAAAAAAAAAATGACTAAAATGAGAATGGCTGCACAGCCAGCAGCGGGCAGGGACAGAAGGAACTTTGTTTCTCTATGAGCAACAAAAATATTTTCGCCCTCTTCCACACACGATTTCTCTGCGTCTCTTCGCAAAAATCGAATCTCTCGGCTCGCAGACAAAAATTAGACATTGGAGAAAATGAAAATTAGAGAAAAAGAGGAACGGCAAAAAAAATGAGTGCCCTTTTTTTCGACACGAAAAACATGAAGGAATGAGTCAATGTTGGGAGGGGTACTGTAGCTGGGATTTTTGAGCATAACTTTAGGGGTTACTGTAGCTCAGAAATTCATTGGAAATTCGTGTCAATTGGGAGTACTGTAGCTTGAACTTTGGTGCTAGATTGTTGAATTACGGTAGCTCAAAACATATGGCTTTCTGTTGAATTACTGTAACTCAAAATTTATCTTGCTTTCGCCCTCATTAAAACTACTGTAGCTTTGACTTTCATGCTGTAAATATAATGGTTTACTGTAGCTCAAAATTCTTGAAATTTTCCATGGGTACTGTAGAAGAGATTTCTCACATTCAGGATTAAAGAAAAAATACTATACGAACTTCTAAAAAAAAAATAGTTACATCAAAGTAAAGAAAAAAATTGGCTTCGTTTGTTTTTTTTTTGTTGAGAAAAAAAAAAGTTCAGATGATGTCATATGTACAACTTTTTCATTATAAAATCACGGGATTTTGTTTTGTTTGTTCAAAAAAAAACATTCGGGGGTTTCAAGATTGAATTTGATTAATTAAAGTTTGAAATAGAATGAGAAGCCTTCAGAAGCTTCCGGGAACCTTGGGAAGCCTTGGGAAGCCCGGACAAGCCTTCAAAAGCTTGAGGAAGCCTTAGAAAGCCCAGAAAAGCCTTCGGGAGCCTTGGAAGCCTGAGAAAACCTAAAAAATTTTTCAAAAAAATCCATTATTTTTTTTGTTCCCAAAAAAAGATTCATAATACTATTTTTCCCAAATTTTTCCTCAAAAATTTCACCGAAACCGTTTAATTTCCCACTGAAACTTTTGCCTAATCTAAATTTAAAATCTCCCCAAAAAAAAAACCCGTTTTCCCATAAGTTTTCCCCATTTCTCTTCTTCTTCCCAAAAAAAAAAATAAAACAAACAAGTCTTGCCTTGTTCGCTAGAGCGCACTAGCCCGTCTCTCTCTCTCTCTTTCTTTTCCCATACACACACACTCTCTCTGCATCTCTCACCATTGTGTGTCCCTGTCAAAACAACACAAATATGAACGTGGCTTTTATATTTATTTCGATTTTATCTCATTTTTGACCGATTTTCACGGTGTTTTAGTGAAAATTTTTGGTTTTTCTTTGATTTCTTTGGTTTTTTAGTGGAAATTTACGCTTCCTTATTGATTTTCTTATAATTTTTCACACTGAAAATCAATTTTTACTGAAAAAATCGTTTTAATTAAAATCTAAAAGAAATCTTTAATTTCCAGATGCTAAATTGGCGTGAAGCAATCAAACAAGCTCAACAAAAAATCGATAAAGTTCTGGATATTCGAGCCGAAGAAGAAAATGAGGAAGAAGTTGGGACGAGCAGTGAGCAAAAAGTGGTGGACTATGAGAGCACCGAAAATTCGCCGAGCTCGATTTCACCAAAAAGTGATTGTGAAGTGGTTTTGAGGGAGCCTGTTTTGCCACGTGAGTTTTTTCTTCTGGTTTTGAAAATTTTTTAAATTCTGAAATTGCTTTAGTTCTAGAAGTGTCCTAATTTTGAGAAAAGGCCAGATCTGCACTAAATTCTAGGCTTATTTGGGCTCAAAAAATAGATAAATTTAGGCTTAAAATCTAGGCTCAATTAAGCTTGAAAATCCAGAATTTCAGGCCTAAGAATCTAGGCTCATTTGGGCTTGAAAAATCCTGAATTTCAGGCCTTAAATCTAGGGTCCTTTGGGCTCAGAAAATCAATAATTTAAACCTGAAAATTCCTTTATGATTATATTTTTTCTTGGCCTGAAATTCAGAATTCCAGAATCTTCAAAAATCTCACCCAATTTTTTTATCGACAAAAAAACCCCAGGTTTTTTGAGTTTTGATCATCTTGATAAGTTTTTGGTGTTGTTTTTTCTCTAAAAAAATGTTTTTGAAAAATATTTTGTAGATCAAAGGATAACTGTTTTAAAAATTCCACAGGTTACTGTAGATTCTGGGGCCAAAAAACCAAAAATGTGTCATGTTAGTCAAAATCTTTAAAAAAAATTAAATTTCTGTGAATTGCTCATGTTAATCTTATATAAACTAAAATGTTTCAAAACAAACCAAAAACTCAATTGATTGCTCATGTTAATCATATATTAGCCCAAATTTTACGAAAAAATATCTTAATTTTTGTAGATTGCTCATGTTAATCATATTTTTCAGCTTCTTCATACGGCCATCTAACTGGAGATGATATTCAAACAATAGTTTCATCCGACATCGAAATAATTGGTGAAAATGTGACTCCGGATATCTCACCAGAACCTCTGGAAGAAATTCAAATCACCACAACTTCAAGCTCAAATTCAAATTCACATCCCAATTTCAAAGCCAATAAAATGCTCAAGGAAAAATTGCTCGCCGAGCAACAAAAAGTGCAAGAGCTCAAAGACCAGATCAACAAACTCTCCCAAAAATCCAATACAATCGAGAAGAATTTCGACGCCTTCAAATCCGAAGCTTCACAATTCTCGCAAGAAGCATTTCGCGCGCGACAAGACGCGAAAAATTCGCGAGCAAAAATCGCCGAGCTCCAAAAAGAGCTCGAAACCATGGAGGAGAAATTGAATGCGAAAGAGACGAAAATTCGCGGCATGAAAAATGCGATGGAGGATAATTTGGCGATTGTGAAGAAGTATACGAGTTCGAATAACTCGCAAGCTACAAATATTTCGAAGTTGAATGAGGAGATTGTTGAGAAATCGAGGAGGATTCAGGAATTGGAAGCGAATGTGGCTAATTTTGAAAATCAACGGCATAAAGAGGTTAGTGAGAGAGTTAGAGAGCTAGAGGATTAGAGAGTTAGAGAAGCTATGTGATTTAGAGTACTGTAGATTTTTTCCTAACCTAGAAATTGTATTTTATTTGTATTTTTAGATACAAATTTGTGTTTTTTTTTGGGATTACGGTAGCTTTACGTTTTCTGACTCAAACCAAGAATACAAATTTTCAATAGTACGGTAGATTTTCGCAAAACAAAAATTGTACTCTAATAGTATCTCTAGATACAAATATTTCTTTCTGGAGTACGGTAGCTCTACGTTTTTTTGAAAGTACTGTAGGTAGAAAATCAAATTCGATCCCTTTTCTGAATTTTCAACTTATCAAAACTACTATTCTATGATCGAACTGCAAAATATCACTGAAAAATACAAGGTCATCTAGAAAAAAATCCGTTCCGAGACGACCTCCCATATTATTTTTTGCTTTTTTGCTGGGCGAAAATGATAAGATTTTTTCTAGACAAGAAAAAGTAGAAGTGAAACCGAGAAATTTTGCAGCAACAATCAAAAATCATTTGAGATTTGGAACCTTTTTGGAGAGTCTGGAAGAGAAAGAGTTAGAGAGCCTAGAGAGGCTAGTGAGCTTTCGGGAGCATTTTTGAGCCTTGGGAAGCCTTCAGAAGCCTTCAGAATCTTTCAGAAACCTTGGGAAGCCTTCAGAATCTTTCAGAAACCTTGGGAAGCCTTCAGAAGCCTTGGAAAGCCTCCACAAGCCTTAAAACCCCTCTGAAAGCTTTCCGAAGCCTCCAGAAGCCAAGGAAATTTTTTTTCGAAAAATATAGAGCTAACAGTAAAGAATTCTAGATATTATCGATTTTCTAAAAAAAAATAAGAGCGCCTAGATTTCAAATAAATTTTTTCCAGGAAACCGGTGCGATGTACCTTGATGACATGATCGAACAAACAATTCATGGACTCCGAGAAGAAATCGAAGAATATCGAAAAACCAATTCAGCCCTCCAGGAAGATTTGAGAAAAAAAGAGCGAGAAATTCAAGAAAAACAAGAAGAATATGAGGAAAAACTGAGCAATGCTGTTAGCTCAACACATCAGAATTTCGAAACCGATTTGGCTATGATGAAAAATGATTATGATGTTTTGCTGAATCAGAAACATCTATTAGATTTGAAAGATGAAAGAAACCAAAAAATGCTGGAAAAATCTAGAAGATCTATGGAAATTTCAAAAAAAGAACTGGAAAATGTGAAAAGATCGGTGGCTGAAATGATGGAACACCTGAAAAATGACAATTATCGATTGAATTCCGAGATTCGCCGGATTATTGAGATGGATTTTGAGAAGCAGCGAAATCTGAAACCCAAGTTCAAGGAAAGCGCAGTGCAAACTGAAGAAGATCAGGAGAAAAATGAGGAGAAAATTGAGGAGCCCGAGAAAATTGGCGAGCGAAAAATTAGTGTGCGATTTGAGGAACCGTGTTGCTGCAAAAATCAAAAGGTTGGGAATTTTGGGAAAAGTTTTTGTGGTGGGAAAATTGAGAATCGGATTTCGGGCATGAAAAAAATATTAAAAATGATTAACCTGAGCAATCATTGCTCATATTAGTATAAAATGTGAGCAATTTGAATCGTGAATTGCTCATACTAAACTTATTATTAAAACTTGGAAAAAATGTATAACCTGACATGAGCAATCTTAATTTTTCATTGCTCAGATTAAACTAGAAAAAAATCTGAATTTCAGATTTTAAATTTAATTTTTTTTTTAATTTTGTTAATTTTAAATTCAATTTTTTTTTACTTTAAATTATTTATTTTCTAAATCTGAATCTGATTCAAAATTCCCCACAAATTTCAAAAAAATCTCAAATATTTTTTTTAATTTCAATCTCTAATCAACAATTCTTTCAATTATCTCAAGTGATCCAGTTTTCCTCGCCCAAAAACAAAAATCGCAACATTTTTCAGAATCTCCAACAATTTTCAAGCATGGCTGATGTTCTAAAAATTCTAGATGAAGTCACATTTCAAAGGGATCAATTGGAAACCACAAAACGAAGAATCGATTTGGAATTAAAGGTATGTGGGTGGTCCTACTTGGGTGGTCCAAAAAAATCCCCCAATGTTTTTCCAGGAAACTCGACGACAATTAGACGAAGTTCTTTTAATGCATGGCGAAAAAATCGAAGAGTTAGACGAACTTCGAATCGATAATGATGATTTGAGAGCAATTTTAAAGGAACAGGCGCTTTCCCTAACGGCGAAATCTGAAAATTCTTAAAAATTTTGTTTATGCATTTTTTAGAGATTTTTTATTTACAAATTACCGTAACTTAAGGGTGATTTACGGGTTATTAAAAGTTGTGTTTTTTTTTTTTTCAGAAATTTTTGTGATGAATAAAAATATTGTGATACAATTTTTTTCCCAGTTCCCTGAACTCTTCTGTAATTTTCTGATCTTTGAAACGATTGCAACAAAAAAACTGGTTTTACTGTCTCGTTTTACAAAAATTGTATAGCAGTCAGTTTTGGTTTGATCGCCAAAAAAAATCAAGATAGTGGAATTTTTCTGGAATTTTTTCTAGAGAGCGCAGAGAAAAATTGAACTTTGTACCCCGTTTTTTTTATCAAAAAATACGGTTTTGAACAAAGTTTGGCGGATTTTTAAAAAGATGATAGAAGATATCGCAAATTTGATGACGTAGTTTTGATTTTTTGGAAAAAAAAGTCTACAGTAATCTAGATCCTACCGTATTTTCGGAATTTTAATACTACAGTAATTGAGAGAGCTTCTACAGTACCCTATCAACAATAGGGTAGATTAAGAGTTTCAGATTCCTCTACAAGAATCTGGAAAGTTTCTACAGTAACCCATCAAAAAATGTGCCAAAATTCCTGTAGATCAGTATTTTCAAGTTTTAGAATCCTCTACAGTAACCCATCAAAAATAGTACGGTTTTCAAGTCCCCCTACAGTACCCCCCCAAAAAAATGTTGCTTTGTATTTTTATGGTTTTTTAGTCATCACATGATCGATCAAATCTCGTGCAGCTATAAATCCATCAAAGCCCCGATATCTTGCACAAAATCATCCCACAGATAGGTCAAAATGATTAGCTGGCCACGCAATCTTTCCCCCCTTTTAGAGTGGTAAAAAAAGAGCGATATCCTTTTCACAAAAAGTTGGACACAAAAATGGCCTTGATGATAGATATCTTGATCGACCTTCTCTCGTTTTTCTCCTCAATTTTTGCGTGTGTGTGTGTGTGTCGTTTTTGTTTTTTATCTATGCACTTATTGAGGAGCTGATCTATCTACACCGCCTACTACTATCCGAACCTTTCATCTCACTGCGTTTTTACTCCTCCCGACCCCTTTCTTTTTTTTTGGCTGGCTGGTGACGACATCAGCAAATTTTCGAGAAAGAGATAAGAGAATTGAATTTGAAACATTTTTCGGGTTGGTTGGTTGTGAGACGGTTTTTTTTAATGTATTTACAAACTTTTGGAGATTGAGAATTGATAGGAAAACGTTTTGCAAATGGGAAAATTGGGAAATTGTGAAGTCTAGAAGGTTTATGAAAGCCTTGGGAAGCCTTGGGAAGCCTTGAAAAGCCTTTGAAGCCTCTAGAAACCTTGGGACCTTCTGGGAAGCCTTGAGAAGCCTTGGGAAGCCTTGGGAAGCCTTGGGAAGCCTTGGGAAGCCTTGGGAAGCCTAAAAACTTCAAGAACCCCAAGATTTTTTCTAGAAAATTGGGTTCTTCCAAAGGTTCTGGGTGCTTTTAATCCAAAAAATCTGAAAAATTCCCAGATTTCTCAATTTTTTCCTTCCAAAAATCTCAAAAAATTCAAGTTCCAATTAACATTTTAAAACTGATTTTTAAAAAATTATCCCAAAAATTCGATTTTTGCAATGCTGTTTTTTCTCAAAACCTTCCTCATTTCTGTTCCAATGATGCCGTATTCGCGGAGAAAAATTTGAAGTGATATTTGAAGTTTCAAAAAACCTGTTTTAATTTTATTTCGGGGCATGAAAGTGGACAGAATAGTCTAGTCTTTCAGAAAATTCTTGTCAGATGTCTCTTTGCGATTATTTTTCATAATTTATTTTTTCTGGGGAACCTTAGAAAGCCTTGGGAGACCTTGAGAAGCCTTGGGAAGCCTTCTGAAGCCTTGGGAAGCCTTGGGAAGCTTTGGGAAGCCTTGGGAAGCCTTGGGAAGCCTTGGGAAGCCTTGGGAAGCCTTGGGAAGCCTTGGGAAGCCTTGTGAAGCCTTCTGAAGCCTTCTGAAGCCTTGGGAAGCTTTCAGAAACCTCTAGAAGCCTTCGGAAGCCTATGTTTCTTCCCAAATCCCTCAAAAAATATTTTAAAAATCCAATTTTCCAGAAATTTTTCTTCTGATTGATAAAAACCGTATGAATCGGATTTCCGGATTTTTTCAATTCGAAAAAAAATTACACAAAAAGAAACTTGTTGCAAAAAAAATTAGCTCCACCCATTTTTTTCAGCAAAAAAAAATGTTTTTCTTTTTTTTTCACTCATTTTCCACCCACGTACTTCCCCCTAACTTCCCAAAATTCATGTTGTTTTCCACGAAAAAATCGATAATTGTTGAAATGACCCTCATCAAGAACAAGAAGAGGAATTTTACAGCAACAACACAAACAAGACACAAGTACCAGTTATTAATGCCAAGGTCATTTTTCTGGTTTAGGATTTTTTCGTTTTGACCTTTTTAGCCACGCCTCTATGGTGGACCACCCATATTTTTTTTATTTGTGGATTATATTAGCTGAGGACCTCCTAGCTAGCTAATTTTGGAGTTCTGAGAGTTTCTTGGGATCCTGGGGACCACCCATACTTTTTTTAAATTAATTATTAGAGGCCTTTAATTAGCAAGGACCTAAGACCTCCCAGTTTTTTATTCCAGAAATTTTCAAAATCACATTTTTCTAGTTAGCAAAACTTGAGACCACCCAGTTCAATTTCACCTGTTTTTTGGGGAGTAACGGGTCAGCACAAAAAAACAAAAAATAGGTTGACCTTGGATTTTTGTGTTGCATATAATCCCATCGATTTTCATATGTTCAAAAATTTTTTTTGTTCATTTTCCATCCCCCAAAAATTTTTTTTATCATGAAAAAAAAATATATCTATATATATATAATAAAATATCATAAGTTAGGTTAAGTTGGTTTAAGTCAGTACCAGTTACACACGCGGCGGCTTTTGCACTTTTTTTCGCGCACGCGCGCTATCATTCGCCGCCGGCGCCCCCTACTAAATGACCTCAACCTACTTTTGCGCACCTTTTTCCCGAGACTTTCTTCGTTCACACTGATTTTTGTTGCATTTTTCATTTTGTTACTTGTGTTTATTTATTTTTCGGAAGTCTTCTGAAGCCTCCAAAAGCCTCTAGAAGCCCAAAAAATCCCTCTGAAATTCATTTTAAAAGTTCAAATCTCCCCATATTTTTGTCTCCAATCTCAAATCCAATCAAAAAATGACCCAATTTTGTTCAGAGGACGCAAGTGCGCGAGACGAAAAACGATGGAAAAAGGAGGAAGAGCCGGGTCATCTGATATGTCAGCTGGTTGGGAACGCGTCTCCGACAATTCGCAGGTACTGTACTCTTTTTTTTGAATTCTTGAGTTTGATCTGCAGGTTATTTTCTACAGTACTTCTCACCCTTTAAAGCTGTTCATTTTCTAATTGATCTAGTAATTTTTGGAATTTTCCGGCACAATTTTTGTTGGGTACTGTAGAGGATTTTTGAACCTTCAAAATATTTATCTAACCATTATTGGCACAATTTTCATTAGGTTACTGTAGAGGATTTATAAATCTAGAAAATATCGATAATTTGGAACAGTACTTTAGAGAGGGGGTTACTGTACTTTAGGGAGCTCCAACTTTAAAGATCATTATTTTTTATCCAGTTTATTCTACAGTACTCATGTTCCTTTAATCTCCCTGATTTTGTACAAAAATGTTCCCTTACCTTAGCTTCCAAAAATTTGATCCATATTTTTCTGTGCAACCAAAAAATTTTTGTTTTATAAAAAAATTCCTTCTCACGGTGTAACAAAGGACGGTTTTGTGGCTGTGCATTTTTAATCAAAAAATTCTTTCTGTGGGCGATTTTTAAAATGAAAAATTTTTTGTGCAAAACGCCCACTGTTTTTTTCTGGTTTCTTGGCTGGAAATTTTTTTTTCTTTTTGAAACAAAAAAAAACTGGTCTGGTTGTGTAGATAAGTTTTTTTTGCCCCGCCAAGAATTCCTAACCAACTGGTTTGCTTTAGAAGAAATTAAAACACGGGTGGCTTTCCATTTCCAGAGATAAACATCTATCCGAAAACCGTTTTCCTCAGCAGCAACAGAAAAATCGAAGTTACGTTAAGTGTAAACGACCTTCTAAAAGGGCCTTATAAAAGAAGTCTTTAGATATCATAAAATACAATCTTTTGCCCTATTTTATTACTTTGAACCTTGGAATTGTCTTGAAAAATATATTAGTTTTCCGCGTTCCGCGTACTTCGGAAAACTAGGATTCTTTGAATGAATGCTCGCCGACATTTTCAAGCTTCCTGAGCATTGCTCAAAATATTTTCGAGCTTCACCACAAGCGGAATAATTTCTGGCTCCCCAAAAAATCCTAAATTCCGAGTCCACCGACCTTTTTTTGTCTTGTCTCCAAGACACGTCGTTTTATCTATCCGTCTTCATCGACCTTCTACTTTTCTCTTTTCCCCCAACCGTTTTTCGCTACCCCATCCATGTCCAGCCACCTTTTAATTCTTCACTCTCTCTAAGGCGGTCTTCTTCTCCCCCCATTCCCTTCCCATTTGGGAGGTAGAAAAGAAAGAAAAAGATCCGAGAGATTTTTCTCGACGATAGATAAGACGATTTGAGGAGACCGATCCCGAGGCCCCGCCCACCTCTCACATACGATTTTTTTTTGCCTTTCTTTTCCCCATCTTATTTTCTCGGCCGGCCTCCGGCCACCCCAAATTTTTTTGTGTTTGTTGCGCTATTCTCTCTCTGCCCCCGACCTCATATAAAGCGCTTTTTGGATTTCAGTTTCAGTTTCAGTTTCAGTTTCAGTCTTACATTTAGTTTCGATCTAAACCTTTTGATTTTTGTAAAAAAAAACCTTCAACTTATGATAACTCAATAATTTTTAATAATTTTCCAAAAATAAATCGAAAAATTTTTACAGTCTGGTGAGAGCATGAGCTCTGAAGCAACATCGTGGTGGAAGAATCAAGACGATATCGTCATTTCGGGAGTCTCGGGCCGATTCCCAAGGTGAGAGAGGGGAATTTGGGAAGTGGGGAGCTAAAAAATTTGAGCTCTAGATTTTTACAGATTATTAGGCTTAGATGTAGGCTTGGGAACATTTATTAGGCTTCTGAAAATTATAGAAGCAAAATTTTTAATTCTAGAATCTTGGCTCAGGCTTCAATGTCCTTCTCAGAAGTCTTCTGGATCTTTTTAAAGTCTTCGAGAACATTCTGAAGCCTCCTAAAGTCTTCGGAAACCTTCTAGAGCCTTCTGAAGCCTTTTTATGCCTTCTGACGCCTTCTGAATCCTTCAAAAGCCTTCTGAAGTCTTTTGGAGCTTTCTCAAGATTTCAGAAGCCTTATCAGTCTTTTTAAGGCCTTCTGGAGCCTTCTGAAGCCCCCTGAAATCTCCTGAAGCCCCCCAAAACTCTCCAAAACCCCAAAATCTCATTTCCAGATGCGAAAACGTCAAAGAATTCGGAGACATGTTGCTGGCCGGTGAAGATCTCGTCACAGAAGACGATCTCCGATGGCCGCCAGGCTTCTACGATCTTCCAAAACGTCACGGAAAACTGAAGGATTTGAAAAAGTTCGACGCACAATTCTTCTCAGTCACGCCAAAACAGGCGAATTTCATGGACCCACAAGTCCGCATTTTATTAGAAGCTTCGTGGGAGGCGATGGTTGACGCTGGTTAGTTTTTTTTTTTGCGGCTTGGATAGACTTAGGCTAAGTTAAAGCCGATCTAAAAAATGAAAAAAATAAAAAATGCTGATCTACAGATTTTTTGGAATTTTTTGGCACAATTTTTAGAGGGTTACTGTAGAGGATCATAAAATCTTGAGAATATTGATCTACACATTTTTAGAATATTTTGGCACAATTTTTGATGGGTTACTGTAAAAGCTCTCTAGGTTACTGTAGAGGATTCTTGATAATATTGATCTACACATTTTTGAACTTTTTGGCACAATTTTTGAAGGGTTACTGTAGAAGCTCTCTGGGTTACTGTAGAGAATTTTTATGCCTTGAGAATGTTGATCTACAGATAAAAAAAAGACAGGAATTTTGGGATTTTTTCCAGAATTTTCTAGATCTTCCAGAATTTTCTAGATGTCCTTGTCATTCATTCATTTTTTTCTGGCGGATACAGATCTCGAGGAGATATTAGAGAAACAAATAAATGTACCCTGTTGTACCTACCGCCGTGTAACCTTGAAATACTGTGTGACATGTCATCTTCTTGTTCTTCTCCCCCTTCTTTTTTTCTCACTAACTGCTGACCAATATCTCCATGTTTTACACAGTATTTCACAATGTTCATGACGAGAAAAAAGTGGGATGGTGGTTTTTTTTGGCCCGGATCAAGAAAAATGTGTGAATCATCGGGGATTTTTTGAGAAAAATTGAGAAAAATGACGTCATTTTTAGGGTTTGGTACTGTACTTGCACATCTTACTAGAAAAATTTGGCGAAATTGTTGATCTACAAAATTCTGAGAACTTGAAAATTGTGATCTACACTTTTTCTGGAACTTTTGGCACAATTTTTGATAGGTTACTGTAGAGCAATCTTAAACCTGAGCAATGTTGATCTACCAATATTCAAAAACCTTTTGGCACAATTTTTAAGGGTTACTGTGGCTGCAGAGCTACAGTAACAAAGCTTCTATGAATGATAAATCCAGAAAATTTCAAAATGTTCCTGGAAATCTACAAGCTACAGTAACCCTCTAAGCTTCTGGATAAAAAAAAGTGGAGAAAATTCTCTGTGAGTCATCCAGAATGTTTTTTTTTTTGAAAAAAAAACGATCAATAATTTTTTGGGGGTACGGTACAAAAATGTTTCTTTTTTCCAGGAATCAACCCAATCGATTTGCGAGGTTCACGAACCGGAGTGTTCGTCGGATGCTCGGCATCCGAAACATCTGGAGCATTGACACAAGATCCTGAAACAGTGACGGGCTACACTTTGACAGGATGCGTTCGCTCAATGTTCTCCAATCGTATTAGTTACACTTTTGATTTGCAAGGACCATCATTTTCGGTGGATACCGCTTGCTCTTCTTCACTTTTGGCACTTCAATTGGCTATTGATGCTATTAGACAGGTTTGTGCCGCTTTTTTTGATGAAAATTTGATAAAAAACACATTTTTCTGTCCAAAAACACAAGTTTAAAGGAACATTCTCTAAAAACATAGCCAATTTCATCGTGCTCCTTTAAACATATCCTATTTTTCTACAGTACTCCTTGAGCAGAGCAAAGTTCAAAAGCACAAAAACCAGAATTTTTTAAATCTTGAGAAAATCACAAGATCAAAGTTCAATTTCTCAAAAAAAAATCATACGATTTTTTTAAACGATTTTAACCTACAGTAAGAATTAATATGAGCAATGTCTAAATTTTTGTGTTTTTTGTAAATGTTTGAATCTAAGGGGGTGTGGGATACTGTAGATCTAGTTTTGGCTCCAAAATCTGAAGGCTTCTAGGTTACTGTAGATCAAATTTTGGCTCTAAACTCTGGGGGCTGTGGGTTACTGTGGATCATGTTCTGACGGAAAAATATAGTGGTATTCTGAGATACTGTAGATCAAATTTTAACTTCAAATTCTGAAGGTGTCCAGGTTACTGTAGATCTAAATTTAGCTTCAAAATCTGAAGGCTTCTAGGTTACTGTAGATCAAGTTTTGGATCCAAAATTTGGGGGTATTCTGAGATACTGTAGATCAGTTGAATCAAAATTTTCAGATGTGAAAAAAATCCAAATCTGAAAAAAAATCTCAAATAACATATTTGCAGAGACAATGTGACGCGGCAATCGTCGCCGGTGCTCACCTCACCCTCACCCCGACCGCAGCTCTCCAATTCTTGAGATTGGGCATGCTCACAGACAAAGGAAGTTGTCGGTCATTCGACGATTCCGGCGACGGCTACTGTCGTACCGAAGGTGTTGCCGCCATCTTCATCCAACGCAAAGAAAAAGCGCAACGCATCTACGCCACCGTTCTCCACGCCAAATCCAACACCGATGGTTATAAAGAGCAAGGTATCACATTCCCGTCTGGCGAGCGACAAGCTCAACTTCTCGAAGAAGTCTACTCCGAAGCTGGTGTCGATCCAAATTCCGTGTACTACGTGGAGACTCACGGAACTGGAACTAAAGTCGGTGATCCACAAGAAGCCAATGCGATTTGCCAAGTCTTCTGTTCCAACCGAACAAATCCACTGCTCATCGGATCAGTGAAATCGAACATGGGACATGCTGAACCAGCATCTGGAGTTTGTTCATTGGCCAAAATCTTGATGTCCATCGAACGACAAACTCTTCCACCAAATCTTCACTACAATACACCAAATCAATATATTCCGGGATTAGTTGATGGGCGTTTGAAGGTTGTCACTGAGCCAACTCCATTACCGGGTGGTATTATTGGTGTCAACTCTTTTGGTTTTGGTGGATCGAATACTCACGTCATTTTGAGAGCTGCTGATCATGTTGCACCTGCTTTGACTGCACCAAGCTTCCCCAAAATTGTTACGTGAGTTTTTTCTGAAAATTTTAAGCCTAAATATAGTTATGTTTGGGCTCAAAATGCTCCCTAGATTTTGAATTTTCCAAGTTTCCGCAAAGTTACTGAAAATTTAGAGCCTAAATATAGTGGTTTTTGGGCTCAAAATGCCTCCCTATTTCACGTAGATTTTAAAATTTCCAGTTTCAGCCAAGTTTTCTGAAAATTTTAAGCCTAAATATACTAGTGTTTGGGCTAAAAATGCTCCAAATATCAAGTAGATTTTGAAATTTCAAATTTCAGTCAAGTTTTCTGAAAATTTCGAGCCCGAATATAGTGATGTTTGAGCTCAAAATGCTCCAAATTTCACCTAGATTTTAAAATTTCCAATTTCAGCCAAGTTTTCTGAAAATTTCAAGCCTAAATATAGTAGTGTTTGGGCTCAAAACACTCCAAATATCAAGTAGATTTTGAAATTTCCAATTTCAGCCGAGTTTTCTGAAAATTTCAAGCCTAAATATACTAGTGTTTGGGCTAAAAATGCTCCAAATATCAAGTAGATTTTGAAATTTCCAATTTCAGCCAAATTTTCTGAAAATTTCGAGCCTAAATACAGGGGTGTTTGGGCTCAAAATACTCTGCCAAGTTTTCTGAAAGTTTTAAGCATAAATATAATACTGTTTGGGCTCAAAATGCTCCAAATCATAAGCCATTTCCAAAAAAAATTCCAAAAATCTTTCAGCTACCCTGGTCGTACCCAAGACGCCGTCGAAAGCATCTTCGAAAACATCGAAAACAACAAAGACGATCAATATCTCCAAGCTCTTCTCGCCAATCAATCCAACCTTCCAGCCAAAGATCTCCCCTTCCGTGGTTACATGTTGATCAATCGCGAAAACAATCAAGTCGCCTTGAAGAACATCACCAAAGTTCCAATCACCGAACCACGGCCGATTTATTTCGTCTACTCTGGAATGGGATCACAATGGCCAGGAATGGCGATGAAATTGATGAAGATTCCACTTTTCGATGAATCCATCAGAGCCTCCAGCAAAACTCTTGAAGAATATGGTTTGGATGTTCATGCGATGTTGAATAATCCAGATCCAGCTCAATATCAAGGCAACACTTTGAACTGTATGTTGGCAATCACTGCGATCCAAATCGCTCTCACCGACACTCTCTTCGCCCTCGGCGTCACTCCAGATGGTATCATCGGACATTCGACTGGTGAAATGGGATGTGGTTATGCGGACGGTGGAATCACCCGCGAACAAACCATGCGACTCGCTTATCATCGTGGTACAACTATCATGAAGCACACCGAGATCAAGGGAGCTATGGCTGCAGTTGGGCTAACTTGGGAGCAAGTCAAAGAGCAAGCTCCGGAAGGTGTTGTTGCTGCCTGTCACAATGGCGCGGATTCGGTGACCATTTCTGGAGATGCTGATGGTGTCGCAAAATTCTGCGCGGAACTTCAAGAAAAAGAGATTTTCGCCAAGGTCGTTGACTCCAGCGGCATCCCATTCCACTCGCCAGCCATGCTTGCTGTCAAGGATGAGATGTTGGAGTCGATGAAGCAAGCGGTTCCTGAACCGAAGCCAAGATCTTCTCGCTGGATCTCGACATCAGTGCCAGAAGAAGATTGGGAATCGGATCTCGCCGCAACTTGCTCTGCAGATTATCACGTGCACAACGCATGCTCACCGGTGCTCTTCTACGAAGCTCTTCAGAAAATTCCAGCCAACGCAGTGACCATTGAAATGGCTCCACATTCATTGATGCAAGCGATTCTTCGCAGATCTTTGCAGAAAACTGTGACAAATGTTGGACTCATGAACAGACCAAAATCGGAAAATGACGATGAACTTGAGAGCTTCTTGGGATCCCTCGGAAAGATCTACCAAGCTGGAGTGAATATTCAAATCAGCGAATTGTATCCAGGCGGTCAATACAAGGGTGTTGTTCCAAAAGGAACACCAATGATTGGTCCAATGTGGAAATGGGATCATAGTATTGATTGGCCAACCATCGATGGGCGACAAATGATTGCTGGAGGTGGTGGAGGTATTGGTGCATCAGCCACTTATAATATTGATCCATTTGCGGCTGACTCGAAAGAAGCATATTTGTTGGATCATTGTATCGATGGACGTGTTTTGTATCCGTTTACCGGGCATATGGTTTTGGCGTGGAAGACGTTGTGCAAATTGAAGGGTGTTGATTTCCAGAAAACACCGGTTGTTTTTGAGAATATTAATGTTTATTCGGCCACTATTGTTACCAAGCCAAGTGAGTTCTTTTTTTTCAAAAAAAATCATCAAAATTTTCTGAAAATTTATTTGAAAAATTTCACAAGTTTAGAATCTTTTCTAGATTTTTCGGAATTTCTAGAATTGTTTCCAGATTTTTAAAATATTTTTGAGATGAAAAGGAGCCGCGCCTTGAGGTCATCTGTGACAAGCAGTCGCGCCTTGAGAGATTTTATTAGAAGCAGTCGCGCCTAGAAATCACTCTCGAGTAGTAGCCGCGCCTTTAGAGCATCTACGACAAGGATCCGAGCCTTGAGAGATTTTATGAGAAGCATCCGCGCCTAGAGATCACTCTCGAGTAGTAGCCGCGCCTTTAGAGCTTTTCTGACACGAAACTGAGCCTTTAGAGCCTCAATGACAAGGAGATGCGCCTTGAGAGCTTTTTCGAGAAGCATCCAAGCCTTGAGATGCCGAAGGAGAAGCATCCGCGTCTAGAAAATTCCTCTGACAAGCAGCCGCGCCTGGAGATCACTCTCGAGTAGTAGCCGCGCCTTTAGAGCTTTTCTGACACGAAACTGAGCCTTGAGAGCCTCACTGACAAGGAGATGCGCCTTGAGAGCTTTTTCGAGAAGCATCCAAGCCTTGAGATGCCGAAGGAGAAGCATCCGCGTCTAGAAAATTCCTCTGACAAGCAGCCGCGCCTAGAGATCACTCTCAAGTAGTAGCCGCGCCTTTAAAGCCACTCTGACAAGTATCCGCGCTTAGAAAACCACTATGGCAAGCACTATGAAGCCTTTAAAATTTCAAAAACCTCCCCACCCTCATCTTCCCATTAAAAAATCAATAATTTCCAGTCAAACTCGATGTCATTCTCACCCCTGGAAACGGCTACTTCGAAATCATCTCAGACGAACAAGTCGCCGCGTCCGGAAAAATCTACATCCCCGACGAAAACCAACCATTCTACTACGGTAAACTCGAAGACATCCGCACCTCCGAAATCGCCGATCGCATCGAATTGGACACCGAAGACGCCTACAAAGAGTTCCTCCTCCGTGGCTACGAATACGGACAAGCGTTCCGCGGCATCTACAAAACTTGCAATTCCGGCGAGCGCGGTTATCTTTACTGGACTGGAAATTGGGTCACATTCTTGGATTCACTCCTGCAAACCGCCTTGTTGGCTGAAAGAGCTGATACTTTGAGATTGCCTACAAGAGTTCGACATTTGAGAATTGATCCAACCAAACATTTGGAACATGTTTTGGAAAAAGACGGAATTCAAGTCGTTGAACTTCGCAACGACCACGCGACCAATGGTTGCATCGCTGGAGGTGTTGAATGCTGCGATCTCACTGCTCACAGCGTTGCTCGACGCATCCATTGCTCAGGTCAACTTTATCAAGAGAAGATCTTCTTTGTTCCACATTTTGATGATAATTGTTTGAAAGAGCATCAAAATGTTGCTGACAAATTGATTCAATATTCGAAGGTTGTTCGAAGAGAATTGAAGAATGGATTCGAGAAATGGGAGAAATTGGGCTTGTTGAAGAAATTGAGAAATGGAAGTTTGTTGGAAACCGCGTTGGCCGCTTTGGAAGCGCATAATTATGATGAGATTACTGAGGAGATGATTCAACATTTCTTGAACGATGGAAAATGCACTGTTCTTCATCATTTTGTTGAGGTGAGTTGGTTTTTCTGCAGAATTTTAGCCTTGAGATGCGCCTATAAATCATTCATGAGTAGTAGATTCGCTTAGAGAGTCACCTCGACAAGCAGCCGCGTCTAGAGAATTTCTACGAGAAGCAGCCGCGCCTAGAAATCTCAAATTCCGCATCTCGAGACGACCCCGGGAAGCAGCTTAGCCTTAGCAATCTCTGTGACAAGTAGTCGCGCCTAGAGAATATCTATAACAAGCAGCTTCGCCTAGAGATCTCATATGATAAGTAGCCGCGCCTTGAGATCTCATATGATAAGTATCCGTGCCTTAAGAGTCACCTTGACAAGCAGCCACGCCTAGAGAACGGTCTATGAGAAGCAGTCGCGCCTAGAGAATGACTATGATAAGTAGCTAACCCTTGAGAACTTCTACAACAAGCAGCCAGGTCTTGAGAATCTTCACGACAAGCAGCCGCGCCTAGAAAATTTCTACGACAAGCAGCCACGTCTTGAGACCACATTGACAAGGAGCTGTGCCTAGAGAACCCAAAAAATCGAAATTAAAATTCTGAAATTCGAATCTAGAACTCCATATTTTCCAGCTTTTCAAACTCGACGGTGGCGAAGACTTCGAAGAACAAGTCATCAGCCGCATCAAGAGCGTTCGCGGAATCTTCGAACTCGACCGCCTTTGGGCAGCTTCCGCAACCTGCGACCGCATCTTGAAAGTTGTCCAAGACATCTGCATCGAAAATTCAGCTGGTCACAACGTCAAAATGGCTGCCATCGATTTGGTGTCCACTGATCAATTGCGTCATTGTATCGAAGCCAATGCTTCTCACCCACTTTTGGAAGTCGATTACACAGCTGCTGGTGCAAATATTGATCGTCTTGATGATAACACCATGGAAATTCTTGGTGCCAAAAAACAAAAATTGGCTTTGGATGAGAATTTCAGTGGAAATGGCGAACTCAAAAACCTCGATTACATTTATTTGGACAAAATTTTGAATCAAAAAGTCAACCCGGTTGCTTACCTTCAAGCTGCAAGAAACTTGATTCGCGACGATGGATTCATTATCATCACCGAAGTCACTTCTCAATTCGAAGTCGCTTTGGCAATCGAAGCATTGTTGGGAGTTGATGTTGCTGTTAGCCACGAAGAAGATCGACACTACAAACGATTCTTCAGCCATGAGCAACTTTTGAAGATCTTCAAGGAATCTGGCTACAAACTTTGCTCATATCAAAGTGATCCATCAACAATGACAACAACTTATGCGATTCGTGGTGAAGCGATTGCACCAAGAGATCCAACATTTGTTGATCTTGATGATATCAAGGATTTCACTTGGGTTGAACCACTTCAGAAAATTGTTGAAGATCGGCTCAATGAGCCAGATTCCAAGACAATTTGGCTCGTTTCCAACAAGGTTCGAAACAATGGATTGGTCGGTTTGTCATTGTGCTTCAATGAGGAGAATTTGAAAGCAAATCGTTTCCGAAGTGCTTTCGATATGTCGACAGTGAAGAAGATTCGTGAAGGACCACCAGTTTGGAGTGTGAATGATAAGGAGATTCAGGAGATTATCAAATTGGATCTTCATGCTAATAATTATAAGGATGGAGTTTGGGGATCGATGAGACATATTGTTGTCAAGGATGGTGAGTTGGCCTAAATTCAAAGGGCTCTGAAAGTTCTTTTGAAACTTTCTGAAACTTCCTAACGGTTTTGGGTGTATTTTGAAGCTTCGGAAAGCTTTCTGAAACTCTCTGAAATTTTGTTGGGCCTCCTTATGATGTCCGTAGCTCTTTAATGTCTTTTGAAGCTTTTTCAAATTCTCTGAAACCTTTTAAAGCCTTCTGAAGCATTCAAATGCCTTCTGAAAGTCTCTGAAGCTTCTTGAAGCCTCTTGAAAATCTCTGAAGCCTTTTAAAGCCCTCTGAAGCTTCCCAGAGCCTTCTCAAGCTTTCTAAAACTTCCGGAAGTTCCCTAAAGTCTTCCGAGGCCCCCCAAGCCCCCATAATTCCAAAATCATTTTGCAGAAGACTCGCACGTCTACAAAGATTGCGAACACGCCTTCATCAACACCCTGACCCGCGGAGACGTCTCCTCGCTCACCTGGTTCGAATCACCCAACCAATACTTCGACGCGATCGCCAACAAAAAATCCACGCACGAACTCTGCTACGTCTACTACGCTCCAATCAATTTCCGTGACATTATGCTCGCCTACGGTCGCCTCCCACCAGACGCCATTCCAGGCAACTTTGCCGATCGCGAATGTCTCCTCGGTATGGAATTCTCCGGAAGACTCAAGGATGGAACGAGATTGATGGGAATTCTACCAGCGCAAGCTTTGGCTACTTCAGTTATGGTCGATCGTGATTATGCTTGGGAAGTTCCAGCAACTTGGACTCTTGCTGAAGCCGCAACTGTTCCAGTTGTCTACACCACCGCTTACTACGCTTTGGTCAGACGTGGACAGATGAAGAAGGGTGACAAGGTTCTGATTCATGGTGGAGCTGGTGGTGTTGGACAAGCTGCGATTGCTATCGCTTTGGCTGCTGGATGTGAAGTGTTCACTACAGTTGGATCGAAGGATAAGAGAGAATATTTGAAGAAGAAGTTCCCACAACTTCAAGAGCATCATTTCGCGAATTCAAGATCTGCTGATTTCGAACTTCACATTCGACAACATACCAAGGGAAGAGGAGTGAATATTGTGCTCAATTCATTGGCTAATGAGATGCTCCAAGCTTCGTTGAGATGTTTGGCAAGACATGGAAGATTTTTGGAGATTGGAAAAGTTGATTTGTCGCAAAATTCGTCGTTGGGAATGTCGAAATTGTTGGATAATGTTTCGGTTCATGGAATTTTGTTGGATTCGATTATGGATCCTACTGTTGGAGATATTGTAAGTTTAGATTTATCGGGCTGGAATTCTGGGGTTTTTGAGCCTAAATAAGCCTAGATAAGGCTGAAATTCTGGGTTTTTGAGCCTAGAAAAGCCTAGATTTATAAGGCTGGAAATCTGGACTTTTTGAGCCTAAACAAGCCTAGATAAGGCTGAAATTCTCCACGTTTTGAGCCTAGAAAAGCCTAGATTTATAGGGCTGAAATTCTGGTTTTTTTTGAGCCTAAATAAGCCTAGCTTTTGAAGGCTGAAATTCTGCACGTTTTGAGCCCAAATAAGCCTAAATTTATCGGGCTGGAATTCTGGATTTTTTGAGCTTAAAAAAGCCTAGAATTTAAAAGCTGAAAATCCGGATTTTTTGAGCCCTAGGCTAGATTTCTGGATTTTTGAGCCTAAACAAGCCCAATTTTATAAGGCTGAAAATCCGGACTTTTTGAGCCTGAACATGCCTAGATTCTGAAGGCTGAAATTTTAATCTAGACCTGAAATCTAGGTTTTTTAAGCTGAAAAAATCCACATTTCAGGCTTTGAACTCAAAATTATTTTCTCCGGATTTTCAGCTTTAAATTCCAGATTTTTCTAGAAATGAAAATTTGTTTTAAAAATCTCAAAGCTCTTTAAATTTCGAGTTTTCTCCTAACCCAATCCCTCTTCAAAAATCAATAAACCAACCCCAAAAATCATTCCAGGAAGAATGGAAAGAAGTCGCGAAACTTCTCGAACAAGGAATCAAGAGCGGAATCGTTCAACCACTCCACTTCCACAGTTTCACATCCGAAAAAGCCGAAGAAGCATTCCGTTTCATGTCAGCCGGAAAACACATCGGAAAAGTTATCATGGAAATCCGTCAAGAAGAATCGAGCCGCACCTCACTCCCATCCAAAATCTCAGTTCGCGCAATTTGCCGTTCACTCTGCCATCCAAATCACACTTACTTAATTACCGGTGGACTCGGAGGTTTCGGTTTGGAATTGGCTCAATGGCTGATTAATCGTGGAGCTCGCAAACTTGTGCTCACTTCAAGAACTGGAATTCGTACCGGTTATCAAGCGAGATGTGTTCATTTCTGGAGACGAACTGGTGTTTCGGTTTTGGTTTCCACTTTGAACATCACCAAACCATCGGATTCGATTGAATTGATCAAACAATGTCAAAGTTTGGGACCAGTTGGAGGAGTTTTCCATTTGGCAATGGTTTTGAGAGATTGTTTGTTTGAGAATCAAAATGTGCAAAACTTCAAGGATGCTGCTGAAGCGAAATATTATGGAACTATTAATTTGGATAATGCTACTAGAGCTCATTGTGATCGTGATGCTTTGAAATGGTAAGGATTTTGAGAATTTCTAGGGCTTCAAAGCGCCTAGAAGCCTTCTGAAGCCTTCTAGAGCCTCTAGAAGCCTTCTGAAGCCTTTTGAAGCCTTTTGAAGCCTATTAGAGCCTTCTGAAGCCTTTTGAAGCCTTTTGAAGCCTACAGAACTTTTATGAATCGCTCTTAAGCCTTCTGAAGCCTACTAGAGCCTTCTAGAGCCCCTTAAAGCTTTCTGAAGCCCCATGAATCCTTCAGAAGCCCCCTAAAGCCCCTAGAAGCCTTTTGAATCCTTTTAATGCCCCTGGAAGCCTTCCGAAGCCCCTTAAAGCTTTCTGAAGCATTCTAAAAATATCTGGAGCCTTCTCAAGAAGCCCCCTGAAGCCCCCTAAAGCCCCTCAAACCCTCTCTAAAATTTCCAGAAGGATTTTTAAGCCCCCTAAAGCCCCCTAAAGCCTCCCAAGCCCCCTCAAACTCTTCAAATTTTCCAGGTTCGTCGTGTTCTCCTCAATCACATCCGGAAGAGGAAACGCCGGTCAAACCAACTACGGTTGGTCCAACTCGACCATGGAACGAATGATCGATCATCGTCGCGCCGACGGCTATCCAGGAATCGCCATCCAATGGGGAGCCATCGGAGATGTCGGAGTCATTCTGGAAAACATGGGAGACAATAATACAGTTGTCGGTGGAACCCTTCCCCAAAGAATGCCATCCTGTCTCTCATCCCTCGACGCCTTCCTCTCCTGGAATCATCCAATCGTCTCGTCCTACATCAAAGCTGATATGGGAGCCAAGAAAAGTGCCGGTGGTGGAAATCTGATGCAAACAATTGCTCATATTTTGGGAGTCAATGACATCACTCAACTCAATCCAGACGCCAATTTAGGAGATTTGGGACTCGATTCTTTGATGGGAGTTGAAATCAAACAAGCATTGGAAAGAGATTATGATATTGTTCTCTCAATGAAGGATATCCGAACCCTTACATTAAACAAACTTCAACAATTGGCTGAGAATGGTGGAACCGGTGGAACTGCCTTGCAATCCAATGAATTGGAAATGAAGAAGGAAGGTGAACGCGACGCTGAATTGAATACTGTTGAGATGTTGGAGAAACAAATGAACCAATTGTTCAAGATGCGTGTTGATGTCAACGATTTGGACCCTCAAGACATCGTCGTCAAGACAAACAAAGTTGAAGATGGTCCAACTGTCTTCTTCGTCCATTCAATTGAAGGAATCGCAACTCCATTGAAAAAGGTTATGTCAAAATGTAACTTCCCAACATATTGCTTCCAATCGACCAAAAATGTTCCACAAACTTCAATCGAAGATGTCGCAAAATGCTATATCCGTGAGATGAAGAAGGTGCAACCAACTGGACCATGGAGAATTGTTGGATATTCATATGGTGCTTGCATTGGATTCGAGATGGCAACAATGCTTCAAAAATCCGACGGTGAAAAGGCTATTGAGAAGCTGATTCTTCTTGATGGAAGTCATTTGTACATGCAAACCTACCGTAATGTTTATCGTATGGCATTCGGTGTTACTGGTGATACATTGGTCAACAATCCATTGTTCGAATCGGAAATTATGTGCGCTATGACACTTCGTTTTGCTAATGTTGATTATAAGAAGTTCCGTGTTGAACTTTTGCAACAACCTGGATTCAAGGCTCGTGTTCAAAAGGTCGTGGATACTGTTATGACGACTGGATTGTTCAAATCGCCGGATACTGTTGCTTTTGCTTGTGAAGCTATGCATGCCAAATTCTTGATGGCTGACAAGTGAGTTTGGGATCTTTTGAATCTTCATGAAGCTTTTAGAAGCCTTCTGAAGCTTTCTAAAGCCTTCTGAAGTCTTCTGAAGCTTTCTGAAGCTTTCTAAATACTTCTGAAGCCTTCTCGAAAAAATCAATATCCAAATTTTTTCCAGATACAAGCCAGGTCGCAAATTCGACGGACACATCACCCTGATCCGTGCCGAACAAGGAGCCGCTCGTGAAGAAGACGTCGGACAAGACTACGGTATCAGCCAAGTTTCGGAAGACTCGAAGGTTAGTTTTGACCCAGGTTTCTGTGCTCTAGGAGCCCAGGGCTCTGGACCCAAGAGCTCTAAGCCCCGTTAACCAAATATTTCTTCCAGGTATTCGTTGTTGAAGGAGACCATGACACATTTGTGCAAGGAAAGAGCTCAGCCAAGACAGTGAGCATCATCAATGAGCTGATTTTGAATTAGTCACCCCCCTGTCCCTTTAATAATTTTTTTTTTCATAATAACATCCCCCACTCCATAATAATTTTTTTTTCCAATTTTCCTAGTTCTAATCCCCCACCCGCCTTGTCTTTTAATGATCTTTCTTGTAAAAAAAATGCTCTTCTTCCCGGCTTCAACACAACATTGAGACTCACTTCCCCCGCAACTTCGCCCCACACACATTACTTACGAATTCAGAATCTCGGGCGCAAGCGCCGTCATTTTTTCTTCGACTTTAGCCATTTCTGTTTAGTTAGGTGTCTTTTTTCCTTTTTTCTCGTGCCCCAGGTCATCCAAATTTTCATTTTCATTTTTTTTTTTCAAATTTTTTTTCGTGCCAACAAGCCAAAAAATCACCTACCGTAGTTTTTTTCCATTAGACCGCCCATCTTTTTGAAAACTTTCTTTGGTTTGGTTGATTTTTTGAATTGCTCAAACTGGTTTTCATTTTTCTTTTTTTTTAATCGATTTCCCCCTCGTTTCCCTCTATTGTTATTCGAGAATTGATAAGATCTCATCCAAACAATTGTGCATTGCTCATTTTAGCCCAACCCCTCGATTTTTCCGCCCAAAAAATCGATAACAAATTTGCATTTGCTCCTCGGATAACAATAGTTTGAAATGTCCCCCCCAAAAACCTATTTTTTTGTGATATTTTATGATGCCTTTTCAAATTTCATTGTGATTCAAGATTTTTATATGATATGATTGTAAGTAATCGATAATCGAACCAGGCCCAGGTGAGATTTTTTGATTTTTTCGTCATGCTTTTTTATGAGACAGAGATTTTTATATATTTCTATTTTTTTCTTTATGTTTTACAATGAAAATTTTTATAATACTTTGGTTTTGTTTTACTTTTTTCAGGATTCTAAATTTTCAGGAAACGGGTTAGAGAGTCAGAGAGGCTAGACAGCTAGACAACTAGAGTTAGATGAAAGTCAGAGAGCTAGACTTTCAGAAATAATTTGAGGAATAAATTGCAGAAAAAAAAATCTCCAGATATTCTCCAAGTTTCTGAAAATATCACAAATTGTTTCCAAGCTTTCTGGATTTTTTCAGATTTTCAGAATCTTGAGTGATATTTTCTATATTTGCTCCAGGATTCCTGAAATTTCAGATAAGTTTCTTGCTTCACTAGATTTATCCTCGAGGCTTCTAGAAAATTTCAGATAAAATTCTTCATCCCCCGAAGTTTTTTGCTCATGAAAAATTCAAAAATTCCCTTTTAATGTAAGTAAAAAAGAGCTAGCTAATGGAAAAAAAAATGAAAAAAAACGAGATTTTGCCCATTATTTGTAGTTCTAAACCCGGATTAGCTGACAAAAAAGCTTTTCAGCCTCGAAAGAGCTTTCCAAATTTTAATTAGGCTCTCAAAAAAATTTTTTTTTCTTCAATCCATCACTCTTATTTTGGTCTCTTCTTGAATGATGAGAAAAAAAAACATATTCCCCTTTTCTCATTTTTTTTCTGTCCGCACTTTTCCCCTTTTCCAAAAAAAAAATTCCTTGTGTTCTCGAGAGAACATATATTTCTTTGAAGAGACGCAGAGAAATAGAGAAGAGTTCTTTTTTGTTGTTTGAATGATTTTTCAGATTTCGAAATTTTCAGATATTCCTCTAAATTAATTGATCTACCCCTGGCTGAAAATTCGAGTAATTTCACATTTTCAATCATTAATTACAGATTTTCCCATTTTTTTTAGACTCAGGCTTTTTAGGCTTATTAGGCTTCTCATATTCAGGCTTGTTCCTCAAAAAGTGTTTTAAAAAATTCCCAATTAAAATAATCAATAAAATAATTGTGCCCTCATATTATTTATGAAAAAGAACATTTTCCTAACACATTCCCCCTTTTTTTGCTTACTTTTTTTTGTTTGTGAAGAGACGCAGAGAAAATGGATTCATTTTTTGCGAATTAATTTATTTTTCTAAACTTTGAGAATCTTGAGCTACAAGTTCTCGAGGCTTTTCAGGGTTCCCAGGGGTTCCCAGGGGTTCCCAGGGGTTCCCAGGGGTTCCCAAGGCTTCCCAAGGCTTCCTAAGGCTTCCCAAGGCTTCCCAAGGCTTCCCAAGGCTTCCCAAGGCTTCCCAAGGCTTCCCAAGGCTTCCCAAGGCTTCTCAAGGCTTACCAAGGCTTCCCAAGGCTTTCCAGGGGTTCCAAAGGCCTCCCAAGGCCTCCCAAGGCTTTTCAGGCTTCTCAAGGTTCCCCAAGGCTTTCCAGGCTTCTTAGGCTTTTCCAGACTTGCTCTATAACTCTATCGAAATTTGCCACACATATCAATAAATTGTTTATCTTTTCGAAAATATCAGGTTACCTAGGTTACCCACAAAAAATAATAATCCCATTAATTTTTTTTCCCAAAATTGTCATTTCAACCAAAAAATTTTACTTTCTCTCTTTCCTTTTTATTCAAAAAAACCCGTGAAAAAAATATTGCTATATATTTTTTTTGAAAAAAAAAAAAGCCCGCGAACAATTTTTTGGCGCGCGCGGGAGCTTTTTCTTTTGTCTCTCTCTCGTCTTTTTCTCACATTGCGCAATTTTTTATGTATTTTTTTTTTGGTGGGAAACTTTTTAGGCCAGAATTTTATTTTTAACGTTTTTTTTTCAAGGCTTTCTCACATTCAGGTTTGTATTATTTTTAAGTTAGGATAACGTTACTTTATCAATATTTTAATTCAATTATAAACCAGTAAAAAACGAAAACGACGGTAAATTTGGATAATAGTTTTATTGTTCCAACGTTTCGATGTATTCACATCATCATCAGGGTGTTAAATACCTGGAAATATACAACTGAGAAATATACACAAACATTGAGAAATCACATAAATAGATAAGATTGGAATTTTTAAAAAATGTGAGAAGTTATAGTACAACTAGTTAGTAGAAATTGTAATGGTAAAGTTATTTACAAATATGGAAACTTTTAAGGTGTAAAGCTATGAAAAATTCGTTGAAAAATAAAGACAAAACAAAAAAACAGAAAATGATATTTATGCTAAACAACAGGCATGGCGGGGTGTCGTTGTAAGTTGTTTGTGATGTTGTTTTGTTTTGTTTTATTTTTGAAAATTATAAGGAATTTTATGGATTTTTTGAATGAAGTTAAACAGCCAATTCCAGAGTTCCAAGCTTTGCAATCATCTCACTAAGCTCCTCTTTTGTGTTTAAAGTAGGATTGGCATGTTTTATCGCAACTCCCTCCAGAATCTTACGCCTAGTCGTGTTTCTTTCAACCTCTAGTATTTTAAGATCTAAAGTCAGAGCTGTTCCACCATGTTTTTCCACAGCATGTTTTGACCACGTTGTATTGAGATATGACTTGGTCAAAGGATTTTTGGCTGCTCTCTGGTGTTCAGCAAACCTTTCAAATAAAGGTCTACCTGTTTCGCCGATGTAAATTTCACCACAGTCACAAGTAATTTTATATACAACGCCTTTCACGTTGCATTTACCAATACCCAATTTCCTACAAATGAAGCAATCACGGTGGTGGCAAACATTATCGAAACATCTGTTCTTCGTCAGAATATCACCCAGAGATCGACCTTTAAGTTCGATCACCTGGGCTTCCAAACTGAGCGAATTAAGAAGATTACGAATTTGTTTGGTGATCGCATCACCTAAGAATGGGATTGGCATTATGCAACGATCCATATTGGATGGAACAGTTATTCGTTTTTTGTGGAAAGATCTTTTTGTTTTTTCGTTTGAAAAATAATAACCATTCTTCTCCAACACTTTTTTCGCCATATTTGTTGAGTGGGATATATATTCCGGAGACGAACATAATTTCGCTGTACGAATGGTATTACAAACAATGTTTGATTTTTGTTTGATGGGATGGAATGAGTCCATTCGTACTAGCAAATTCATATTGCTCGGTTTTCGATACCAGCGGTTGACTTTTGGAAGCCCAGTTTGGAAGCCCAGGTGATCGAACTTAAAGGTCGATCTCTGGGTGATATTCTGACGAAGAACAGATGTTTCGATAATGTTTGCCACCACCGTGATTGCTTCATTTGTAGGAAATTGGGTATTGGTAAATGCAACGTGAAAGGCGTTGTATATAAAATTACTTGTGACTGTGGTGAAATTTACATCGGCGAAACAGGTAGACCTTTATTTGAAAGGTTTGCTGAACACCAGAGAGCAGCCAAAAATCCTTTGACCAAGTCATATCTCAATACAACGTGGTCAAAACATGCTGTGGAAAAACATGGTGGAACAGCTCTGACTTTAGATCTTAAAATACTAGAGGTTGAAAGAAACACGACTAGGCGTAAGATTCTGGAGGGAGTTGCGATAAAACATGCCAATCCTACTTTAAACACAAAAGAGGAGCTTAGTGAGATGATTGCAAAGCTTGGAACTCTGGAATTGGCTGTTTAACTTCATTCAAAAAATCCATAAAATTCCTTATAATTTTCAAAAATAAAACAAAACAAAACAACATCACAAACAACTTACAACGACACCCCGCCATGCCTGTTGTTTAGCATAAATATCATTTTCTGTTTTTTTGTTTTGTCTTTATTTTTCAACGAATTTTTCATAGCTTTACACCTTAAAAGTTTCCATATTTGTAAATAACTTTACCATTACAATTTCTACTAACTAGTTGTACTATAACTTCTCACATTTTTTAAAAATTCCAATCTTATCTATTTATGTGATTTCTCAATGTTTGTGTATATTTCTCAGTTGTATATTTCCAGGTATTTAACACCCTGATGATGATGTGAATACATCGAAACGTTGGAACAATAAAACTATTATCCAAATTTACCGTCGTTTTCGTTTTTTACTGGTTTATAATTGAATTAAAATATTGATAATACACCACGATGCGACTACTGAACCCAAAACCCATTAAATAACTTTACTTTAGAAAATAGAAAAAAATAATTTTTATTTCAAATGTTAATATAAATTTCGAAATTCATTGTTACCTTGGAAACATGAAATAATACATTTTGTCACTGAAAAAAAGGGAAAAATTGAAATTTGGTTTTTTTTCGAGACTTATGCTAACTTGCTAGAATTTCATACTTTTTGTTTTGGAGCTAAGTAAGCCTAAGACGCCTTAAAGGTCTTTAGAAGCCCAAAAAGCCTTAGCCTAAACCTGAGAAGCCTTCAGAAGCCTTTAGAAGCCTTCAGAAGCCTTCAGAAGCCCAAAAAGCCTTAGCCTAAGCCTAAAAAACCCAAAAACCCTGATAGCTTCTTAGGACCACCCACGAAGCTTTTAAAATATCTCTAGTTTTCCCTTTATGGCTCTCAAGACCACCCAAGAAGAAAAAAAGGGGTATTGCGAAATTCTTTATTTTTTCTCAAAAAAAAATCGATATTTAATTTTTCCAAAAAAAAGCTGGGTGTTCCAAAAATTGAACTTTTTTCTCCTCATTTTTTCTTATCACTATATTTTTTGATATTCATAATAAGATAATCCGATTATTTTTTTTCTACTATGAAAATTTTCTGTTCAAAAATATTTTTTTTGTGAATTTTTTTTAGGAAAATCCCTTCAGAGTTTTGAAATTTGTTGGGGACCATCCAGATATTTTTGTTGGTGACAAAAAAAAGAAGAAAGGGTCATATTTTTAGAATAAACCAACAAACAAAGAGACTTTTGATATATGAGCCTTGTAAAAATAGGGACCACCCAAATTTTTATGGTCCCGCTCTTTTTTCTAGAAGCTGTCTAGACTGGGCTACTGTAGATCAAAATTTAGATGACAAGCTTGGAATTCAAGCTTTTTGTAGCCAAGATTCTAGGTTACTGTATATACTGTATCTTAAGATAACCGTATTTTGTCTTCTACTGGATTTTATCTAGCTTCTCTGCGCTCTCTATGCTCTCTATGCTCTCTGGCTTCTCTGCGCTCTCTATACTCTCTAGCTTCTCTGTCCTCTCTATAATCTCTATAGTCTCAAACTAAATTATTTTTTCAGAAAAATGTCAAACGACGCTGAAAAAGCTGAAAATGAAAGCAAAAATGCTCCCGAACCCGAAAATCCAGAAGCAGTTCCAGAAAATCGTGAAGAAGAAAAAGAAGAAGCTGTAAATCCGACTGAAAATCAGTGAGTTTCAGAAGTTCTGGGCTCCAAAAAATCAAATTTTTCAGAAGTGCAAGTGCTGAAAAAGGAGAAGAACCAAAAGTTCCTCTAAATTCACCGGATGCGATTGCGAAAAGCAAAAATTTGCAAAATTTAGCTGTTGTGTGAGTTGAAGCTAACTACAGTACCCCAAACATTTTTTTTTAATTTTTAGAGCTCCATTTGTCACAGACAATGTTTCTGAAGTCCAAAATAATGAGTAAGTTTCAGCTGAACTTTTTTGAATTTCAGATTTCAAACTGAAAATTTCCAATTTCAGACCAGAAGCTCCAATGGAAGTCGAAGAAAATGTTGAAAATTCTCTTGACGGACCATTTAGCCCAACTAATTCGTAAGTTCCCGCGTTTTTTTTCGGCACAAAAATTCAAGTTTTTTTCAGCACTGACAATGAAGCTGAAATTCCAGTTCAACAGGAAGATGTTGAAGATGTTGCGTGAGTTTCAGATTTGTTTCAGAAAAAAAAATGATGCTAAAACTTCTATATTTTCAGAGAAGCTCCTGAAGTTGAAGTTGAACACGAGTTGCCACCAACGTATTCAGAATATTTGGAAAATGAGTAAGTTTGTTTTCTAGAAAAAAAATTTGAAAAAAAATTTTCAGGAACCGTCAAAGAGCTGAAAATCTTCTTCAAAACCCTCCAAATAATGATAACTCGTGAGTTTTTTTGAAATTTTAGAATCCTGAAATTTTTTTTCGAAAAAAAAATTCAGAAGTTTCGACAGACAATTTCGTCCAATGCCTCTTCCTGATGATCGGTAAATTTTTTTCTATTTTTTTTTCTTTTGACTTCCCCTAACTCATTTCAAATTTTTACAGACATAATCCTAGCTTGAATTTCAGGTTTCCAAAAAATATTTTAAAAAATTTTTTCAGACAAAATCATCAGTACTATGAAGGAATACATTTTGCTGATCCATTGTATGTTTCGAAATTTCATGATTAAAATTTTTATAATTTTTTTCAGCGTTATGTCAAATCCAAATCCAGGAATGCCATTTCCAAATCCTTCAGGGTAGGTTCTAAATTCTCTAGCTCAAGTTATCTTATCTCAAACTTCTTCAGAGAAGGTTCATCTGGAGCACACCGTGTTACACTCCAAGAAAATGGGACTACAGTAAACCAGTAGGTTTTTTTGAAAGTAATTTTTGATCTCCTGATTTTTCTGGATTTTTTGACACCCCACAAGCCTAGGTTACTGTAGGTTCTCTTCAAGACCTAATACCCACAGTAAACCTAGGCTTGTTTGGTGTCAAAAAAAACCGTAGCCGAGAGTATTACCTTAGGGATACTGTAGAGGGATTTGGCGTCACAAGTTCAATTGATTTTTTCCAGATCAAACTTGAATCCACCAAACCCGAACCCAATTCCAACTCCAAATCCCAACACACATCTTGAATACGAACAAAGACCAATAGCTTCTCCAAGAATGGAAAATTATATCGCTCAATTTTCACCAAATTCAAAGTGAGTTCTTATTTTTGATTTTCTAAAAAAAATTTTAAAATTCAAATTTTCTCCAGAAATGTTGCATATCAAGTTTTTGGTGTTCGGCCAAGGTAAAATTAAAAAAAAATATTTTTAAAAAATTTGAAATTTTCCAGAAATCCTCCAGTTCAAGTTGAAAGACCATTGTATCATTTGAGACATTCGGAAAAGTATTTTTTTAAAATTTTAGCTTAACTCTGAGATATTAACATTAATTTAATTAAATTTCAGCAGAGCTCAAGCGAATCAAGCAAATCAAGCGAATCAAAATCCATATGTTCAAAATAATTCTGCCCATAATCCACAAAGGTAAGTTTCAGAAAAAAATAAATTGTTTCTGTACAGTTTTTTGGGCTCTCAAAAGCACTAGTTTTCACAAATTCTGAACTTTTGGCTCATTTTTAGGCTCTTCAAAAACTGAAATTTTTTCAGACATGTTCCAACTCCAAATCCAATAACGGGAAGAATCACTGACCCATATAGGTTTGTTTTTTTGTTTGAAAAAAATTTTAGTTTGCCAAAAATTCTTGAATTTTTTTCAGAGACTTCCAACGTGCTCAACAAATGCATCAGTTGAATCATCCAGAACGGTGAATTTGAAAATTTGTGAAATTCTTCAGGCTTTCTAGGCTTTTCAAGCTCTACAGGCTTTCTGGGCTCCCTAAGCTCTCTGTGCTCTCTAACCTTTCTAACTCTCTAATCTGTGACTTCCCCTAACTCTATTTAATTTTTTCCAGATATGCTCCAATCGGATCCAACGCAAGACGTCAAAGGTTATCTTGAATTTCAGGCTTCCCAAAAAAAAAAAATTTTTTTTCAGACTTCCAGAAAATCCGTATGAAGGAATGCATTTTCCTGATCCACAGTATGTTTCGAAAATTTTTTTAATCAAAAATTTCAAAATTTTTTTCAGCGTTCATCCAAATCAATATCAACAAGCAAGGGCATTGCCTGGAATCATGTATGTTTTTTTATTTCAATTTCAGATTCAAAAATTCCAGATTAAATAAAAAAATTTCAGAGCTTCTCCAAATACACGAGCTCAATATCCAGAACTCTACAGAGAGGTTCCAGCAATTCCAAACATTCCATTGCACCAACGACCTATACATCCTGGAACGTTAGTTTTTCAAAAAAAAAGAAGTTGCTCTAACTCTCATTTTTTTGTTGCAGAATCTATCCAGCTCCAAATCAATTGGCTCACCAGCAGAATTCTGGCTTTCCACATCAGCAAGTAGTTTTGGGAAATCATTTTGAAAATCATCATGGATTCCAAATTTCTGATGTTCAAATGTGAGAAATCCAGAATTTCAGTTTGAGAATTCCAGAAAAAATCTATTTATAGACAAGCTTCGCAACATTTCCAACGAGTCCAAAATTTTGTCAATAGCATCCCTCCGCAAAGGTAAATTTTGAAACCTTTTTTTTGAAAACTCCAGAAATGATTCCTGAGCTTTTTCAGTCCATATCGATATGATCCGTTCAATATGGACAATCAAAATCGGCATTGCAGAACTTGTACTTGTTCGAAAAAAGTTAGCCGAACTAGAGGAAACAAGCAAAATTCCAAGAATGATAGGTATATTTTCAAGTGAAAAAATATTTCAAAAATGAATTTTTGTTTACAGAAATCCGTACGATTGGCCAGAAAATTAATCAAGCTCCTGAAGCCCTTTAAATCTCTCTTAAGCTTCTAAAGCCCCCTAAAGCCCTTTGTAGTCCCCTGAAGCCCGCTAGAGCTTCTTAAAGCCCGTTAGATCTTCCTAAAGCCCTTTAAACCCCCTCGAAGCCCCTAAAGCCCTTTGTAGTCCCCTTAAGCCCGCTAGAGCGTCCTAAAGCTTGCTAAAGCCCCTCGAAGCTCCCTAAAGCCCTTTGTAGTCCCCTGAAGCCCGTTAGAGCCCCCTAAAGCCCTCTGAAGATTCCTAAAGCCCGCTAGAGCTGCTGAAGCCCCTCGTAGTCTCCTAAAGCCCGTTAGAGCTTCCCAAAGATCCAAAAGTCCCTTGAAGTCCCCTAAAGCTCCCTGGAGCCCATTAGAGCTCTCCAGAAAAGATTTTCCCCCATTTTTTCAATGTTTTTTTTCATTTTTTCTATTTTTATTTTTTTCTTAATTTATATTTTTGATCAACTTTTTTTCGTTGATAGAATTGATTTTGTTTTTTTTTTTGTTTTACTTATGGCACCATTTTTCCCAGTTTTTTCTCGAATTTTTAATTATAATTCAAATTTTTAGTTTCCAAAATTTCCTGTTTGATCTTCCTATTTTTCCATACAATCTCTCTGTTTGCTTTATTATGTAGGCCATTTTCCAACTTATCAAAAATCCACATTTTTTTCTTTTTCTAATCAATAAATAATCCGGACACGAAAAAAAAAGTTTCAGAAAACATTTCTGGCCTTTCAGACTCTCCCGAGGCTTCTAGACAATTCAGGAATTTTTTCGAAAATCTAAAAAAAAAATCCTTTAAAGATTCTCTCATTTTCCAATTTTTCGACACCGTATCCAACAGATTTCCACTTAACCCATCAAGTTTATTTACTCTCCTTGCTAAAAATCACAATTAATAATTGATCTACCGGATTTATCGCATCAATGTTGAAGATGACATTAAGTATCCTCATCAATAACAATAATAATAATCTCAAATTGTTTATTTTGAAAATACCCCAGGCTCCTTAAAGCCCTTAGAGTTTTCTAAAGGATTCTGAAGCCTTCTGAAGCACTTTAGAGCGTTCTAAAGCCCCCTAAACTCCTCCAGAGCTCCCTAAGCACTTTAAAAACTTCTCTGCGCACCCCCTATCAATTTCTTCTAACAAGAAAAGAAATGTTTTGTGAAAAATGTGTAGGATGCTTTTGTGAAGTGAACAAATAATAAACCGACAGATTACAAGCAGCCGCCTCGAGACTCTTTTGTATGTGTGTGCGGCAAAATACCGTGTACACAAATACACATATCAAATACACTACTAATATATATAAATTGATGAGATGAGAGTGATAATCTCTTGAGTAAAAACAAGAAGTACTGTGGGTAGATCAAATTACACATACAGATCCCCCTTGTTGTTTTGCCGATACATATTATTAACAATACACTTAGCCTATCTCAAAACATAGGGAAAAAAAATAAGATAAGGTTAATCCTTTTATGAACATTTGTCTAATTTTCTACGTCAAAAATGTTTTGTTACGTAATAATTTTTCCGAAAATAGAAATGTTCCTGTCTAAAAACAGAATAGGCTTTTTTGAGGCTTTCTCAGGCTTTTTTAGGCTTTCGGGGCTTCTCAAGGCTTCCCAAGGCTTCCCAAGGCTTCCCAAGGCTTCCCAAGGCTTCATGTCCCTTTAAAAAGTTCATTCTTGGACAGCATTGTTTTGATTTCAAGAAAAACTCTTTTTTGAATTGTTTTTGTGGTGAATTAATCTTCTGACAAATAAATAGCAATGAAAAAATGAACGGGTGAAAAAAGTGGGTACAAAGTATCAGAGGAACAGCGGTGAGTACTGTAGATTGATCAATAAAACAAAGCAATTCGTGGGTTGTTTTGAAGGAAGCCTCGAGCCCAAAGAGTTACGGTAACTTTTCTAAAATTCAAAATTACTGTAGATCATTAAAAAAAATTCACAAAAAGCCAATACAGTGCTATTAAAAGTCAATAAACTATTATGCAATATTCACCCTGCTCAGATTACCACCCACGAAGTTTAATATGAGCAAACATGTGTATATTCCATTACATATTATGAATGATGATACCCTTGATTGACCTTTAATGACTTTTATTGAAAAGAAAGCGAGAAATTGGGCTTGGGAGCTAAAAAATCCCTAAAAATTGATCCCCTCGTATCAAAAAAAAACTGTGTTATAATACATTATTTTTTGAAGTGCAGCAGCTTGTTGAGAGTTTTGTCCCTTTCCCCCCAAAGATACATTTTCAAGATTTTCTAATCTCTGTTTAATCTCTCCCAAATCGAATCAAATTAATTTTCTTCTCAATTTTTGTTTGAGAGATAAACACCCTCGCTTAACATTTTCACACTAATCCTATTATGATTTAGTTTATCTCTCTGAAAAAAAACAATTTTTTTGGACTTATTAGAAGCCATAGGATAGTTGTAAACATTGAGGAAAACAGAAGGAGAAGAAACCAAGGATTACTGTAGAATATAATATGAGTCATGGGAATTTTGAAAGTGAAAAAAAATCAGGCATAATTTTTCAGGCATACTGTAGTTCGAAAGGTACTGTAGTCAACACTTTTCTACCTGGATCAAATGCTTCTGGGTTACTGTCAAAATCTCTGAAGTACGGTATTTTGCTGGCAGAATTACTGTAGTCCAATTTGCTCATCTGATTTTTTGATCTACAGTAACTCACTCCTCGATACTTTATTTTCAAAACCTCAAACACCAGATTACTGTAGCAGGCCAATATGTATTTCGCTTTTCGATTAAACACATGTTTTTATGTTTGTATAAAAAATTTAACCCCCTCATGATATTAAAAATGATCAAAACACAGTGTACCGTACTTCTGGAGCCTTCAGAAAGCTTCTGGAATGCGGCTGAAGGCTTCTGAAGCCCCCTGAAGACTTCTGAAGCTCCCAGAAGCTCCCAGAACCTAGCCAAAACTCTCAGTTGCAATCTGGTTCCAGTAATTGAGCATTTGAGCATCGAAATTTGTTGAAGAAATTCGATCATGGCGGAAGGAAACACGAAATGGAGCAGCAGCAGTAGCAGTAGCTCCACTCGGAGCATTTCTCTACACACACAAGCACCATTTTAATTGAAAAATAATATCTATCTATTTAATAGATAGATATATTTTGCCTCCTATTCGTTGTTGTATTTGCTCTCTCAATTCCTTGGCTCCTCACTCATTCATTTGTCGCGCTCTTTCTACAGTAATCCCCGCCCTTTTTCTTGTTGCTCTTCTTTTTTATTTGGCTCATTTTTAGTGTATCACTTACCATTATTATTTTGATTATTTTTGGATTTAGGGTGTCTGAAAATACAGCTTTCAGGGTTGCAAATTGGAATTTTCCCAAGCCTGGAGAAGCCTAAATTTGATCCTTGCCTGATTTTAGAGCCCTAGATTTTCAGCTTCACAAAGCCTAGTTCATGAGCCTGAAAATCCGGATTTTCAGGCTTCGACTGACTACGGTTGCTCAAATTTCATCGCATTTTCTTGCCAATAAGATTACTGTAGTTCGAAATTGATAAGATTTTCGCGCCTATTTTTCAGGATTACTGTAGCTTATTTTACAAGATTACTGTAGATTTTTAGAAGCCTGGAAAGCCTAGTTTTTAGCTGAAATCCCAGCCCAAATGAGCTTAGAATTTCAGTCTAAACAAGCCTATTTGAAGCCTGAAAAACCCAAAATTTTCTAGCCTAAAGAAGCCTAGTTTTCATCTTGAAAACCGATATTTTCTGATCCCAAATAAGTCTAGTATATAAGCCTGAAAAGCCTAGATTTTCTAGCCTAAAGAAGCCTAGTTTTCACTAGGTAAGCCTGAAAATTTACATTCTTGAGCCCCTGATTTCCAGCCTTTTCAAAGCCTCAAAATTTTCAGCAGCAACAAAAAAATGGACCTAAACCTAAAAACCCCAGCCAATCCATTTTCAATATCAAGTCTTCTCGAACAATCAACTTCGGAACCTGAAAAAGCATCGAGAGAAGAATCGCCGACAGGCAGTGAGATCTCAAGTTCGGAGGAGAAGTTCAAGAATTTATTGCAATCCGGTTCAAAATTTCAATGGCCTTATGTGGAGCTGACACATCAGATTGTGAATTTGAATCATAATAATAAGAATACGATGCCTCAGATTCCAATGTTGAATGGTGAGTAGTACTGTAGGGGTACTGTAGATTATTGATTTTGGAAGTTGAGGAGCCTCTAGAAGTATTATATTCATTAAATTTTTCGTCAAAGATACTGTAGATCAAAATAATTGATTTTTCCCGATTTTCGAAAATCTGAATTTCGAAATTCCCCAAAATTCCTATGACATTATTTCCAGAACTGAAAAAAACAGGATAAAAAATGATTCAGGCGAAAAATGTGTACACATTTGTATTTTCCAGAGAATTAATTTCGTGATTATCCGGGCTTTTTCTTATAGTAAGATTGCTTACGATAATATTTCTCGTATGATCAGATTAACCTAGGCATTTTCCTGATCTTCTTTTTTGTAGATCACTTTGAAGCTTTCTGAAGCCTTCTGGATTCTTCTGAAGCTTTCTGAAGCCCCCTTAAGCCTTTTGAAGCCTTCTGAAGCCCCCTGAATCCCTGAAATCCATTAATTTTTTCTCAAAAATAAAAATTAGTCTATGAATTCTCCCTTCTTACGTAAAAACGTTTCCGGAACATTTCTCAAAACAAATCGGATTAAAATTTTAAAAATGACCTTTTCAAGGTTTCATTTTTTCTCAAGAGAGCACATTGCTTTGATTTGATCTCAGATTAGGAATTTTGGAATTTATCGAAAATTTCAATTTGGCAAAGTGCTTTTTAAATCTCGAGAACGAAAAAAAAATTGAACTTCTTCGTCTAAATCCAAAGGCGGATCAACGTCATGAATCTAAATCTGTCAGAATGAATCCAGAAATAACATTTTTTGAGATTATATTTTTAATTCATATGATATTATTCATACATATGTATATAAAGTTTTTCTAGTCATGACTAACAAAGTCAGAAGTGTTCTGACATCAGATATTTTAAGAAAAAAATATATATATGAACTCTGAGATCCAGAAAATCATAAAAATCGATCTGAAAAAAATTCCAGCTTTAAAAAAATCAAGCTCAGGCTTGGGCTACCTTGAGATCTAGCTTCCGAAGGTTTCCGATGGCGTCTGAAGGCTTCTGAAGGCTTCTGAAGGCTTCTGAAGGCTTCCCAAAGATTCCGAACTTCAATTTTTTCAAAAAATTCAACTATTCATTAAATCCACTAATTTTCCCACACTAAAAAATTCTCTTCCTCAACGCAAAAAAATACATATTAATAATTTTCACGTAAATAAACACAAATTACTTATATCACACACACAGTTCTAACCCCTAATTAGGCTAAATCTAGTATTTGTATAGCTACTTGTTTTATGTAATGTACACAAATATTTAGTTTTCTCATCGTTTTTACCTCTAATTATACACAAAAGCGTATAATTAGATTAGATTAGTGACAAAAGACAACAAGAAGATTAGAGAGGTTAATCTTTTTTTGTGAAAATTTGAAATATATGGGAAGCCTGAGAGGCCCAAGCCTAGTTAGCCTAAGAAGCCTGGAGAACCTTTGGGAACCCATAGGAATTTTTAAGAATACTTCAGAAGCCTTCAGATGGTTTAAAAAGACTTTAGAAGGTTTCAGAAGCCTTCAAAAGCATCCAGATTTCGAAAAAAAATTCTGAAAATTCTAGAATTCTGGCCTAGAAATCCTTCTGAATCCCTGAAATTCAATGTTTTTTTTTCCAGTGAGTCCACAATACATGGATCCTCGAATATCGTGGCTCTACCCATACATGAGTAAATCACCGCAAAAACGAAAAGGCGGACAAATCAGGTACATTTGAACCCGCGCCGAGAGTTCAACAAATCAATTTTTAGATTCACCAATGAGCAAACCGACGCGTTGGAGCACAAATTCGATTCGCACAAATACCTGAGTCCACAGGAGCGCAAAAAACTCGCAAAATCGTTGAGCTTAACAGAGAGACAGGTAATTAATTGGGGAAGGGGGCGAAAAATAGCGGGAAAAAGAATTTCAAATTCTTCCGATTGGCTGGGCTTGAGTAAACAAAGCATTGTATAACAATGTGTTATGGGAAATTGGAGAAGCGATGAAAAATACCGTAGTTTTTTTTTATTCTTCCTCTGCGTCTCTAACATATTGAAACACTGTTTTCCATCATGAGAAAACTGACTTTGCTTCTCTAAATCTCTAGTTTCCTATGAGCATATTTTTAAAATCTAGTTTTTAGCATGGGAAACATTTTTCAGCTTCTTTGAATCCTCTGCGTCTCTAACACTATTTTTTCTACTTGCTCTAGTTTCTCTAATAAATAATTGCGAGGAAGAAGAAGACTCTGCGTCTCCAGGTTCTCTAGGCTCTCTAGCCTCTCTAGCCTCTCTAGCCTCTCTAGGCTCTCTAGGCTCTCTAGGCTCTCTAGGCTCTCTAGCCATGTTTTCTGATATTTGGCAGATGTTGTTTATGCTTCTCCGTTTTGTTAATTTCCTCTGCGTCTCTGACAATTCTAGCTTCTCTAACTTCTCTAGATCCTCGTAAATTTTCAGCCAAAAAAAACCTGGTCACCCAAATCTGAACAATTCAAAAAAAAATCCTATTTCTGTCCTCTTCGATCAACGATTAATTATAGTCCAAGAGAACTACACAAATTTCCCCTTTTTTTCTCCGATTTTCACACGTTTTTTGTGTTTTCTTCGCATTGTTTCAAACGAAAATGTCGAGTTTCTTTTCTTCGAATTTTGTCTACGTAGGTGGCTGTAATTAGAGCGCGCGACAAAATAGTTTTACGCCATTTTTCGAGAGAGAGAAATAATGTAACATCAGTTCAGAGAAGTCAAATTTTGGTCAAACTAGATATATTTTGAGAAAAAAAAGTCAGAGACGCAGAGGGAATTTTAAAGAGCCCAGAGAGCCCAGAGAGCCTAGAAAAAATTCAAAATTTTCCAGGTTAAAACATGGTTCCAAAATCGTCGCGCAAAATGGCGCCGCGTTCGAAAAGACGGTGAAGACGAAGATGAAATGCCAAACGGAGCATCGGCTCGAAATTTGTCGGTTGCTCAAATACCGTACCCTAGCTTTACCTGATCAATAAAGTTTTCCGCCCACAATTTTTTTGGTGTACTTTTGTCTAATTTTTTATTTATTTTTGGAATTTTTTTTTCAACATGTATATATCATAAGTGTCAAACTTGAATCATTTATTATGTTTTTTGTGAAAATGAAAAGGTTTTCTTCTTTTGAAAGAAAAAAAGGTTGACGTATTTTTTTGGACCCCAAGAAAAAAAGAAAAAGGCGGAAAAACAAAGAAAGAGTAAAATTCAAAAAATGTCACGAATTTTTTATTTTTTTTTGAAGGTTTTGAAACAAATTAATTTTCGTGGCATCATTTTTATTGTGTGTCACGCATTGTGAAAGGGGTACTGTACTTGATTTTTTGAGTTTTGTTGTTCATAGACTCTAGTTTGGCCTTGAGAAGCCTATAGAAGCCTAGAGAAGCCTCTAGAAGCCTCCAGAAGGCCCCAGAAGGCTCCAGAAGCCCTCGGATGCTTAATATCCCAAAGATCTCTGAGAAAAAGATCAGTATCAATGTCTAAATTCAAAAAAAAATCACATTTTCCCTATCATAATCAGGAATTATTTCCAAAAATCTCCGAAAATCTCATCACTTCCGATATTTGGTCGGAGAACAGTTGAGATTATTTTTTAAAAAAGATTTCGATGTTGTTTTTGACATCATGTTTTATTCTATATTCTATCAAATCCTGAAAATAATATAAATTTTTTTTTTCGAATCTAAAAATAACCATATCAAATCAACAAAGTATTATTTGAGAATATCAAAATTCAACAGAAAAAAACTTGTTTGGGCTCTTTTTTTTCTACGTTACGTAGTAAGGAAGAGTACATTGATTTTGTCACTGATACATATAATTTTCTATCTATTTTTTTCATGAAAACAACAAATGTGATTTCTGAAAGCATTTTTTCTCTCATTTTGGGAAAGGAACAAAGGAGGAACTGTTGTTTTTCGAAAATGGCACAATTTAATTTTTAGCTTTAATTCTTACAATGAAATTGTGAGGGAGAATGAGTGGGTTTTTATGACGTGAAGGAATTTTCGGAATCGGCTGAAATATTTTGCCTGGAATTCTAGAAGCGATTTAGAAAATGGTTTCAGTGGAATTTTATAAAAATCTGGACGATTTGCTCAACATTTTAAAAAATATATTTTTTGAAAAAAAACTAAAACTTCTCAAGGCTTCTCAAGGCTTCCCAAATCTTCCCAAGGCCTCTCAAGGCTTCTCAAGACTTCTCAAGGCTTCTGAAGGCTTCTGAAGGCTTCCCAAGGCTTTCCAAACCTTCCCAAAGCTTCTCTATAGGCCCGCTAGGCTTCTCTAGGCTCTCTAGGCTTCTCAAGGCCTCTCGAGGCTTCTCTATAGGCTCTATAGGCTTCTCTAGGCTTCTCTAGGCTTCTCTAGGATTCTCAAGGCCTCTCAAGGCTTCCCAAGGCTTCTCAAGGCTTCTCAAGGCTCTCTAGTCTCTCTGTGGTATGACGTTATTTAAATTTGAAATTCAAATTGGAAATTCCAACCTCAAACTCCATATTCTCATCATCGCATGTTTTGTTGTTTCTCCTCAAAAATTAATCATCGCCCATTTAGTTCATATGAAATTCTTTTCCCACAGCTCCGCCTCCATTTTTCTCAATTATTCATCGAGAATTCTTCTTCTTCTTTTTTTTTGGCTCGCTAAGCTCCGCCCTTTTCAAAGCATAGATAGCTTCACATTTTCATATTTCATTCAAAAATTTCGTGTGTAATGAGTATTCCATTAATTCTCTACCTTTTTCTGTTAACACTTATTTCAGAGGCTTTTGTCAGGGTGAGTTAGGCTAAGTCATATTATTCTATAATTTTTTAAGTAGAAATTTCTGAAGATATAAATTTTATCGCTCCATTTTCGATGAAAAACATCTATAAAATTTTAAATGTAGATCAAAATTTAGATGAAAATCTAGTAGATCAAAAAAATTTCCAGCTAAAATTCCAAGATAAACGTGAAGGTTTATACGAAATGCCAGAATGTCAGTTAAATCAAGCGTGCTTTTATGAAATGAACAATATTCAATTCGAATTTTGCTATTGTCCAGATTTTTCGCCATGTCCAAAATCGCCAGATTTTCGATTAAAGTTCCAGAAACTAGATTATCAGGTAGGATTTTTTGATTTTTCTGGTCTCGGAGAAAATCAATCAATAAAATCTTGCAGTTTTGTAATCGTCGAGACAAGCTGGAGATTTGTGAGCCTGGAAGTATTGTGGCAAAGTTGTCGCTGATTCAAACTTCAATATTTTGTGAATGTTCTGACGAGTTTATGTATACGGAGAAGCTCAGTGAAGATTTATATATTTGTCGCGAGAAATCAATATGTGGATTTGGGGAGAATTGTGGAGATGGGTAAGGGTTAGACAGCCAGAGAGCCTAGAGAGGCTAGAGAGCCTAGAAAACCCTACAGTAACCCAAAATTTACCACTCGTTTTTCAGCTCAACTTGTCGATGCCCGTTAGGAACAATGTGCCAAAACAATTCCACATGCCAATCATATTTCTAGCCAATTTTTTCGAGCCCCCAAAAATGTTTCTCCCAGATTACGGTTTTTGTCTTCCCGATTTGTTTTTTTGCTAGTCTCGGTGTTTTTTCTCTCTGTTTTTTTTCTAAATATTTATTGATGAATCAACAAAACATTTATTTATGAATTTTCATCATGAAAATCGTCATGAAAAAAAGTTCAAAATTCAGATTTTAAAATGACGAAAAAGTGATGAAAAAGTGACAAAATGATTTTTGATTTTTGATAAAAATAGCCGACATCAAGTTCAAAAAAAATTTTCTAGACTAATTACGTCATTTTTTTTTCGTAATTGTACATGTCAGAGTCAGATATTTTTTTTAGATATAATTTTTTTTGGACTAGAAAAAATATAGGGAGATTTAAAGACAAGCATAAGAAGCCTAAGAAGCCCAAGAAATTTTTTGAGAAAAAATAATTCGGAATTTTTGATTTCCAATTGATTTTCAGACAAATTTTCATATTTTTCAGCCTCTAAAAGGTTCCGAAAGGCTTGAAAGGCTCTAACAGGCTTTCCCAGGCTTCCAGAAGCTTCTGAGCCCTTCTCCTGGTCATCCCATCAAAAAAAATGTAAAATTTCTTGTTTACACATTTTTTTCTGCGGGTTCTTTTTGTTGTTGTTGTTCTTTTCGTAGTAATGTGTACAAATAATTAATTTAATCCAGATTCCAGCGACTTTTGACTTTATATTTTTCATTTTCATTAAAAAATATATCTGTTTTGATCTGGAATATGATTTGAAAACAAAAAAAAACAAATTCAGGATTCTTTTAAAATTTCAAATTTCAAAATATGGTTTCACATGTTTTTTCGAAAAATAAAATAAAACTGTGATCTGTGATGCTGATGAGAGAAAAAATGAAACATTTTCAGATTCCGGAAATTCGATTTGGCATGATCTGAATTAGATGTTTCCTGATTTTTGACCAGAGAAAAAAATATGTAGAGAGGGAAATTTTCAGAAAAATTTACAGAATTCTGAAATTCTTTGAAGCTTCTAAAATTCCAGATAAATGTCTGATTCTCTAGGCTCTCTAGGCTCTCTAGGCTCTCTAGGCTCTCTAGGCTCTCTAGGCGCTCTAGGCTCTCTAGCCTCCCTAGGCACTCTAGCCTTTTCAAAAATAAAAATAAAATTTTAATCTAAATTTCAGACAGCTTTATCTAAAACTTTTAAAGAAGTTCAAAATCCTGCCAGTCTTTTTGAAATTTTAAAAATCAAAAACCAAATTTTTCCATTTCGAAATCTTTTTATCCTTCCCCCTCCAAAGGTTAACTATGTGTGACCAAACAAAAATTGAAGATAAACAGAAGTTTTTTTTTTCTGAGTGGGAGGGAGTAGAAAAACTTGTGAGTTTGAGTTTGAGTTTGAGCTCTCAGGAGCCCGTGAGCCGAAATTTTTTTTGTAAAAAAAATAAAATCCCTATCTCTCTCTCTTGCTTGGTTGGTTCAATAAGAATCTGGAGAGCACATGTCTTTGCGGCGATTCACCTGCGAGATAGTATGGGATGGCGAAGAGACGCAGACATATCGCCTCCTCGGATTTTGTGCGCTTCTCTTTACACACAATACACTTTTTCTCGACTCTCAAAAACTTCACCGACAGTTTTTACTCTCCAAATTTTTTTCTTCGCTTTTTTTTCGTTAATTATATATAATTAATTTTTGATTTTAATTATATGTAGTCATGATATCATATCATATAATTTTTTCTTTGAATTTACTCAAAAAAATTTTTTTTTTCTATATTTCAAGGGTAAGAAAAACCAGCCATGGAATCTGAAATTGAGCCGGTGGCGGCGGCGGTGAAAAAAATGTCGGAACCGTCGAGTTTTTTGATTGAGGAGAGTTTGGATTTGCTCAATATGAAGTCATCGATTAGTCCGAATGTTCGGCCGGTTAGCCCGGATTTGTTGGATCGATCGGCTAGTCCGAATTATGGGCTTGATTCTCATGCGTGGGTTGTTTTTCTTCTGGATGATTTTGGAGCATTTTAGGCTTGGGGGCTTTCTTGGGCTTCTGGGGGCTTCTGGAGGCTTCTGCAGACTTCTGAATTCTCAGAAAGGCTTTCCTGGGCTTCTGGAGGCTTCTGAATGCTTTTCAAGGCTTCAGTGCGCTTCCAGAGGCTTTAGAAGGCTTGCGATGACTTTCGAAAAGCTTTTCAGGGTTCAGAAGACTTCAGGAAGCTTCAGGAGACTTCAGGAGGCTCCAGAAGACTTCAGGCTAAATCAGGCTTCATAAGGCTTCAAAGCTTTCCCAGACTTCCGAAGGCTTCTGGAGTCTTCTCAAGGCTTCCGAAGGCTTTTCAAAATTTTTGAGCTTCCAAATTTCGCTTTCTGACTTACGATAACCTGTCATTTTTTGCTCTCAAAGTAAACATTTCAAGATTTTTGATTTTCTGACTAAATTTTACTTTTTCTGTTCAAAAAGTAAACACTCCAATTAAAAAATTGACATTTCTAGTTTGATCTTTGATCTCTGATCTTTTTTTCAAATCTGAATTATTATGTATTTTCTAAAAATAAATTTCATGACGCGAAAAAAATTCCGCGAACTTTCGCAATTTTCATATTTTGTTGTTGATGTGTGAAAATGACAGCGGACCCACTCAATTTGTGTACTTTTGTCTCTCAAAACAATCTCTAATTTTTTTCATAATTCATAATTAATCAAAAAAAAGATTCCAAGGGGAGTTAGCTAAACTCTTGGAATACACACACACACACACACAAAAATGTCTTTCAAGTACTTCTTGTGTCGCAAAAAAAAATTGTGAGGGGGTAAATAAAACAGTGTGACAGCTAGGCAGGCAGGCAAAAATATGGAAAAAAACGAAAAAGATCACGATATAAACATACATCAAGTGTGCTCCGATAAAAGAGCAAGTTTCAAGAAGCGAGAGGCTAGAGAGGCTAGAGAAGCTAGAGAGGCTAGAGAGGCTAGAGAGAGTAGAGAGGTTAGAGAGGCTAGAGAGGCTAGAGAGGTTAGAGAGGTTAGAGAAGCTAGAGAGCCTAGAGAGCCTAGAAAGCCGAGAGAGCCTAGAGAGCCTAGAGAGCATAGAGAGTTGTGAAATTCCGAATTTCTTTCACCAAATCAAATTTTAAAAAAAATGAAAAAAGATAATTTTTGGACACATTTTTCAGTAAAAAATATTTATATGTATTCAGGTTCTTGGAATATTTGTGAAAATTTAAAACTATATTATTTTCGAGTTGAAAATCGAAGTGTTAGAGTTAGGCAAACTTATTTTGCTTTAGATGTTTTTCAAAAAAAATTAAGTTCCAATAAAAAATTTTTAGAAAAATCTTTAATCGAAAAATTTTAGGAACCAGAGAATATCAGATTCAAGAGCCATAAAAAATCAATAAATTGATTTGAACCAGAAGAATTTAGAAATTGAAAAATCTCAAAATCAGATTGAAAAATCCTCAGAACTTTTCCCCAGAAAAATCCCATTTTCCAGTGTCGCCAGAATCCAAACTCCACGCTTCAAGCGAATCGATTTCGATGATCGTCTCGAAGAATTGAATGACAAAAAACCAGCATGGAAATCATGGCAAGAAAATGTCAAAGACTCGTATTACAAAGCCAAGAAGAATGTGGAGACCAAAAAAGATGAAAATGAATTTTATGGGAATTTGGTGTCGGCTAGACATGGGTCTTTTTCTAATGATGAACCCGCTTACAAAAGATTGAGCTCTGAAACTGGATTTGTTCCCAGTGTTAGGTTGGTTGTTTTTCTCTAGACTCTCTTAATTTCACGTTGTCTCTAATCAAATTTTTTGAATTTTTGAGCATCTGCTCTTTTTGAAAATCTTCACTGGAAATCTGATCCCTAGAAAATTTTTTTTGAAAAATCAGAAATTTCGAACCAATTTTTCTGGACTACTGTAGCTCAAAATTTATTAGATTTTTTCTTGAATTATTACAAAATTACTGTAGAGGATTTTGAGAGTACTGTAGCTCGAAATTTATCCAATTTTTGTGCAAATTTTTCGGGACTACTGTAGCTCAAAATTCATTGGAGTTTTGCTTTTTTTCTCAGAATTACTGTAGAGGATTTTGGGACTACTGTAGCTCAAAATTCATTCAATTTTTGTGCAATTTTTTCAGCCCTACTGTAGCTCAAAAAATTATCTAATTTTATTTTTTTTAGAATTTGGCGAATTTCTTTTGATTCTGAAAAAATTTTTTCAATAAACCTTTAAAAATTCTGAAATTCCAGATTCAAAATCTAGAATTCTGGCGGCACACTCTTTTTCTCTAACTCTCTCTCTCTCTCTTTCCAATCTTGATCTCATCTCTACATATTTTCCAGATCAAGAAGCAGTCTTTTCTCTCCGTCTCTCGCTGATAGATCACATCTCGCCTCGTCGACATCAATCAATAATATGTTCAACTGTAAGACAGGAAGGGACCATGTTTTTTACAACTTTTATTTTGTTACATTTGACTAATCTGAGCAATGTTTTTACTTCTTAGGGTACTTAAGGCTTCCAGGGGAATCTTGGGCCCTTTGGAGGCTTCTCAAAATCCAATTTTCAGCCGGAAGTGGACCCTACGCAGCTCCAGCGGTCGGAATTTCTCAAGGAATCGAGTCACGTTATGAGCAAAGAGCCAGCAACGTTGAATCGATGCTCCTAAGAACTGCTCCACTCCCACAATCCTACAAAACTCGAAAAGAGTTTCGAAAAGCTCCAGAACCTGACAATTATTCGGAAAAAGATGACTATGATTTTTCGGTGAGTGGGGGTGGTTTTGAAAATGTCACGGTGATTCATGAGAAAAATATGATTTTCAAATTTCAAAATTCTAGTCAACATTTGGAGTTGGAGGCTATAAAATGATGTTATGCACTTTTAACTTTAAAAAAATATCAAAAAATTGAGTTATTTTTCTATGAAATCATGCTATAATTATAGTTTACATGGGTATCAGAGAAAAAATAAATAAAAATTCTGAAAACAGACTAGAAAAAAAATGTGTAGTCTGGAAAAAAAAGTCAGTGAATCTAGAAGCTTCAGAAAATGCGTCAGCAAATTTAGAAGCTAGAGAAAATGTGTCAGTGAATCTAGAAGCTACTCAAAATGCGCCAGCAAATCTAGAAGCTACAGAAAATGCGTCAGCAAATCTAGAAGCTACAGAAAATGGGTCAGCTAGTCTAGAAGCTACCTAAAATGCGTCAGCAAATCTAGAAGCTATGTATAAAATGTGTCAGCAAATCTGGAAGCTACAAAAAATGCGCTAGCAAATCTAGAAGCTATAAAACTTGCGTCAGTGAATCTAGAAGCTACAAAAAATGTGTCAGTGAATCTAGAAGCTACAAAAAATACGTCAGCAAATCTAGAAGCTACACAAAATGTGTCAGTGAATCTAGAAGCTACAAAAAATACGTCAGCAAATCTAGAAGCTACACAAAATGTGTCAGTGAATCTAGAAGCTACCAGAAATGCGTGAGTGAATCTAGAAGCTACAAAAAATGTGTCAGTGAATCTAGAAGCAACAAAAGAACTCAGAGCTGAAAATCAATCGATAATTCAATTGATTTGTTTCCAGCTCTACACCACAGCTCGTCCCTACTATTCTCGTCCAAATCGCGATGATCCAGACTATTTCGATTTCGATCTTCAACACTCTGTCGATCTTTTCAAACGTCCAGAAGGCAAGTATACACCACGGAGACCACAGGAGTGGGAGAATAAGCTGATCAGTGAGAGCTCGTCGAAAGGAGCCGCTCCACTTTCGGGACATATGTTTACTAGAGTGAGTTTGGGAGATTTTCAAAGTCTAGAAAATCTTCTCTGAAAATCCAGAAAAATTTTTGAACTTTTAGAATCTCTTGGATCTTTTTCTATATAATATAAAAATTTCCGATCAATATTTTTGAGCAAAAGTTTGCTCCGAGACACCTGTTAGCCCTCTCATGTTAATCTGAACACTGTTGTCAATCAAATAAACATTTTATTCTTTGCTCCGAGAGCACAAGGGATCATTGAAAGCCTAGGAAGCCTAGTAAGCCTTTGGAGGGTCCCAGAAGGCTTTTGAAGGCTCCGGAAGCCTCAAAAACCACCCAGAAAAATCCGATTTTTTCGCAGAACGAAGCTGATTGGCGTAACAACAATACATCATATTTGAGTGCCGCTTTGAGAACTCCAAAATTCTGGGAGCAAAGATTTGAGAGCATCGGAAAACACGTTCGCGACTCGAATCCCATTAGTTTGGAATCTATTAACAGGTTTGCAAAATTTTTTTTAAAGTTGAGAAATTTTTTTTCGGATTTTAGACGGATACATGATTTGGCCGAGATTAGAGCGTAAGAAAATTATTTAAAAAATCCACTTCTCAAAAATTCAAAATTAAAAACTGAAAGCATGTTTCTTGAAAACATACATATGGGATACTTCTAGAGCATGAGACCACCCACGAAGAAAAAATCTACTTCTTTATTAAACCTATGAAACTACATCAAACTAAGACCACCCACGAAGATAACAAAAAAGCATGAGACCACCCACGAATTTTTCAAACAAAATCGATATTTTCAGAAATCGTCCAGTTCCAACACGTTTTACTGAATACCGAGATCCAGATTTCGACTCGGATTTGGATGACTAAAAAAATCAATAATCTGCAGTTTTTGAGATGATATGATTCGCTAAATGTCTTACGCTGAAGTCACAAATTCAGCAAAATCTTTTCCTCTTTTTTTTTGAGCACAAATATTTTTGCTCCAAATATAATACTGCCAACTTTCACTTTTATTCTATACTATTTTATCCTATTCTATTCTATTATGAAAAAAAAAGTTCCGAAAAATTCCAAAAAAAAAATGTTCTCCCCCCAAACTATGCTGAATTCGTCTAGTCAATCCCCAAAATGTATAATTTTTTCAAACTATATTCTAGTATTGATTTTTTATTGATTTTTTTGTTCACATATCAATTCGTACATATTTTTCTTTATTGATTTGATTTATTGGAATAAATTTTGAAAAATACCAAAAAAAAAAAGCTACCAAAAATACGTCAGCAAATCTAGAAGCTACAGAAAATGCGTCAGTGAATCTAGAAGCTACAGAAAAGGCTCCAGTGAATATAGAAGCTACCAAAAATACGTCAAAAACTTCAGAAGCTACGAAAAATACGTCAATAACTTTAAAAGCTACAATAAATACGTCAGTGAATAGAAAAGCTACAACGAATGTGTCAGCAACTTCAGGAGCTTCAGAAAATACGTCAGCAACTTCAGAAGCTACAGAAAATGCGTCAGTGAATCAGAAGCTTCAGAACATGCGTCAGCAACTTCAGAAACTATAGAGAATGCGTCAGTGAATCTAGAATATACAGAAAATGAATCAGTGAATCCAGAAGCTACAAAATATACGTCAGCAACTTTAGAAAATGCGCCAATCAATACACCCTCACTACTTGAAAATGTTAGAAAAAACAATTTGAAAAAAATAAACTAACTTCACTGGATCACTGATAACATACTTCTTGAGGCAAATCTGCTCTGAGTTCTGCGAACTTTGATGACCTCGTTGTAAAATTCCAAGGTTTCAGTGAGCTGCGCAAGGGCTATCTGCAAAAAAAACAATAGATTCAATAAATTATTTATTGATTGAAAATTAAACTTACTCTATTCTCAATCAATATTGTGAGTTATTCAAAAATCGATAACCAAGAATGAGACACGAACAGCTGAAAAATGGAAATACTGTGTTAAAAAAGGAGAAAAATAAGATAAAGAAGAAAAGAAACTGGAAGACAACAAAAAAAGGGGGATGTGTATTTACGATAAACAACGGGCATGCGGAGTGTTGTTTATGTCAAATTGAAAATATTTCTTTCGACATTTTTCAAAGTGGAGTTGAGTTATAATAAATATATGGACTCATAGGTTATCGGGTATGGCGAATCACGTGAGCATATTCATTTTACGTGAAAACGTGTTTTTCACGTACGTGGATTTTTAAAAAATTAAAACTACTGCATATTTTTTTCTGAAAAATTGTTTTTCGGGTTTAAAAAATGCCCTGGAGGCTTCTGAAGCTTTCAAGAGTTCTCTGAAACATCTTGAAACCTCCTGTAGGCTTCTGAATATCCCTGAAGCCCGCTAAAGTTGGATTTTCAACAAAACGCTTATTTTTTCAGCTTTAAATTTACAAACATAATTTTCAAACCAAAATTAGATGCATTTTTTTGATCTTGACGTTACTGAACTTCAGATGTTCTAGATCTTCCTCTTTCGACTCTAAACCTTCCAGGATTCCAGACTTTCTCTAACTCTCCCAAAAAATATTCAGATATAATAAATCAGAAAAAAACTGATTTCAATATGAGAAAAAAGTACAAAAAATTAAAGAACAACAACAAATTCACTTTCCAAATTTAACACGATAAAGAGTCAAAAAATGACAGAAAAAAATGGGAGAAACTCCCGAAAACTTGAGATTCTACTAGAATCTAAGAATACAGTAAAACGCGAGAAAATATAATGAGAAAAATACAGGGGAGTGATCTCAACCCTTATAAAATGAAAATGCGAACAAAACTGGAGACCAAGGTGAAGAAGAAGAAAATCGCGGCGAGTGAAAACTGAATCACTTTTTCGTCTTCTTGATGGCGACATTGACTCCCGAAGTTCCAGCTCCATCCATTTTCACCGACAATCGCTTGAATTTTAACGGATGATCACCACCGAGTTGCGAAGCGACCCTCTTGCTCTGAAAAAAAAACCCAACTTTAAACAAAATTCTGATTTTTCTAGGGTGTCCACAAGCCTCATAAAGTTTCTGAAGTTTTCTAAGTCTTTTGAAACCTTTTAAAACTCTCTAAAGCCATCCGAATTCTCCTAATGCCACCAGAAGCCTCCCAAAGCTCCGTGATGCACTCTAAAGCCTAGGTAATCTTTCTGAAGCCCACTAAAGTTTCCTGAAGACTCCAGAAGCCACTAAAAATTTTTTAAAACTTTCAAAAGTTTCCTGAAGACTCCAGAAGCCTCTAAAAATTTTTTAAAGTTTTCAAAAGTTTCCTGAAGACTCCAGAAGCCTCTAAAATTTTTTTAAACTTTCAAAAGTTTCCTGAAGACTCCAGAAGCCACTAAAAATTTTTAAAAACTTTCAAAAGTTTCCTGAAGTCTCCAGAAGCCACTAAAATTTTTTAAAAACTTTCAAAAGTTTCCTGAAGTCTCCAGAAGCCACTAAAATTTTTAAAAACTTTCAAAAGTTTCCTGAAGTCTCCAGAAGCCACTAAAATTTTTTAAAAACTTTCAAAAGTTTCCTGAAGACTCCAGAAGCCACTGAAAAATGTTTAAAACTTTCAAAAGTTTTCTGAAGTCTCCAGAAGCCACTAAAAATTTTTTTTAAAGATTTCAAAAGTTTCCTGAAGACTCCAAAAGCCTCTAAAATTTTTTTAAAACTTTCAAAATTTTCCTGAAGACTCCAAAAGCCACTAAAATTTTTTTAAAGATTTCAAAAGTTTCCTGAAGACTCCAGAAGCCTTCAAAAATTTTTTAAAACTTTCAAAAGTTTTCTGAAGACTCCAGAAGCCACTAAAATTTTTTTAAAACTTTCAAAAGTTTCCTGAAGACTCCAGAAGCCTATAAAAATTTTTTAAAACTTTCAAAAAGTTTCCTGAAGACTCCAGAAGCCTATAAAAATTTTTTAAAACTTTCAAAAGTTTTCTGAAGCCTCCAGAAGCCACTAAAATTTTTTTAAAACTTTCAAAAGTTTTCTGAAGACTCCAGAAGCCTATAAAAATTTTTTAAAACTTTCAAAAGTTTCCTGAAGACTCCAGAAGCCTATAAAAATTTTTTAAAACTTTCAAAAGTTTTCTGAAGACTCCAGAAGCCACTAAAATTTTTTTAAAACTTTCAAAAGTTTCCTGAAGTCTCCAGAAGACTCTAAAATTTTTTTTTAAACTTTCAAAAGTTTCCTGAAGACTCCAGAAGCCTCTAAAAATTTTTTAAAACTTTCAAAAGTTTCCTGAAGCTTCCAGAAGCCACTAAAATTTTTTAAAACTTTCAAAAGTTTCCTGAAGACTCCAGAAGCCTCTAAAAATTTTTTAAAACTTTCAAAAGTTTCCTGAAGCTTCCAGAAGCCACTAAAAATTTTTTTTAAAACTTTCAAAAGTTTCCTGAAGACTCCAGAAGCCTCTAAAAAATTTATTAAAACATTCAAAAGTTTCCTGAAGACTCCAGAAGCCTCTAAAAATTTTTAAAAACTTTCAAAAGTTTTCTGAAGACTCCAGAAGCCACTAAAAATTTTTAAAAACTTTCAAAAAGTTTCCTGAAGTCTCCAGAAGCCACTAAAATTTTTTAAAAACTTTCAAAAGTTTCCTGAAGACTCCAGAAGCCTCTAAAAATTTTTTAAAACTTTCAAAAGTTTCCTGAAGCTTCCAGAAGCCACTAAAAATTTTTTAAAACTTTCAAAAGTTTCCTGAAGACTCCAGAAGCCTCTAAAAAATTTATTAAAACATTCAAAAGTTTCCTGAAGACTCCAGAAGCCTCTAAAAATTTTTAAAAACTTTCAAAAGTTTTCTGAAGACTCCAGAAGCCACTAAAAATTTTTAAAAACTTTCAAAAGTTTCCTGAAGTCTCCAGAAGCCACTAAAATTTTTTAAAAACTTTCAAAAGTTTCCTGAAGTCTCCAGAAGCCACTAAAATTTTTAAAAACTTTCAAAAGTTTCCTGAAGTCTCCAGAAGCCACTAAAATTTTTTAAAAACTTTCAAAAGTTTCCTGAAGACTCCAGAAGCCACTGAAAAATGTTTAAAACTTTCAAAAGTTTTCTGAAGTCTCCAGAAGCCACTAAAAATTTTTTTTAAAGATTTCAAAAGTTTCCTGAAGACTCCAGAAGCCTCTAAAATTTTTTTTAAAACTTTCAAAATTTTCCTGAAGACTCCAAAAGCCACTAAAATTTTTTTTAAAGATTTCAAAAGTTTCCTGAAGACTCCAGAAGCCTTCAAAAATTTTTTAAAACTTTCAAAAGTTTTCTGAAGACTCCAGAAGCCACTAAAATTTTTTTAAAACTTTCAAAAGTTTCCTGAAGACTCCAGAAGCCTATAAAAATTTTTTAAAACTTTCAAAAGTTTCCTGAAGACTCCAGAAGCCTATAAAAATTTTTTAAAACTTTCAAAAGTTTTCTGAAGCCTCCAGAAGCCACTAAAATTTTTTTAAAACTTTCAAAAGTTTTCTGAAGACTCCAGAAGCCTATAAAAATTTTTTAAAACTTTCAAAAGTTTCCTGAAGACTCCAGAAGCCTATAAAAATTTTTTAAAACTTTCAAAAGTTTCCTGAAGACTCCAGAAGCCTCTTAAAATTTTTTTAAAACTTTCAAAAGTTTCCTGGGAAGACTCCAGAAGCCTATAAAAATTTTTAAAACTTTCAAAAGTTTTCTGAAGCCTCCAGAAGCCACTAAGAATTTTTAAAACTTTCAAAAAGTTTTCTGAAGACTCCAAGCCTATAAGAATTTTTTAAAACTTTCAAAGTTTCCTGAAGACTCCAGAAGCCTATAAAATTTTTAAAACTTTCAAAAGTTTCCTGAAAGACTCCAGAAGCCTCTTAAAATTTTTTTTAAAACTTTCAATAGTTTCCTGAAGCCTCCAGAAGCCACTAAAAATTTTTTAAAACTTTCAAAAGTTTCCTGAAGACTCCAGAAGCCACTGAAAAATTTTTAAATCTTTCAAAAGTTTCCTGAAGACTCCAGAAGCCACTAAAAATTATTTAAAACTTTCAAAAGTTTCCTGAAGCCTTTTGAAGCCCCATAAATTAAAAAAAAATCTCTAAAGAACTTCAGGAGACTCCAAAATCTTCTGAAGCTTTTTAAAGCTTTCTATAGCCTCTATAAACTTTCTAAAGTCTCCTTAACTTTCCCTGATTCTCCCCATCCTTCCTAAGTTATTCTAAAAGCCCTCCCTATCAAAACCCAAAAAAACTTACGGATTTTTCCAGCTTCTCCAATTGTTGAATCAAATTTCCCGCAAATCGGACATCCATAGAAAAGACAACGGTTTCGACCATATCGAACAGTCTCATCGTCGCCACAAAAATTGGATGTGAATGATCGGGAAATCTCGAAAAGAATTGTGGTCGAAATGTGGCAAGAAATTTGTTGAGTTCAATCAAATATTCCTGGCGGCGAATCGAGCTTTGTGCATCCCAACTGCGGTTGTTTTCAAACAGATATACCAGTCTTTCAAGATGACCTCTTTCAATGAAATAATTTCCAACCGCCTTCTGTACCCCCTTCATTTGTCCAAGGCAAATCTCTCTGAATGTTTTTCCAGCCTTCAAGTGTTGTGTGAAAAATCGAGCGAAAGTTCGTTTGATTTGAGAAGTGGCTGAAGGAGCTTCCATTATGAGAACTGAGAGCAACCAAGTGAATTTCGGCTGGAAAATTAAGATGACTATTATAAAATTCAAAACGAAAATCAATTAAAAAAACGATTATTCGAAAATATATCAATATTACTTTGGGCTCAATTTTGAGCAAGTGAGATGAACTTAGGTTAACTCAAAGTCACAGTATCCTGAAGAGCTTCAAAAGAGCTACAAAATGGTATATTTGTGATAGAAAAACGGATGAATTTAAGATGAAAAGGAAAAAGTAAAAAAAAATTCAAAAATACATAATTTCACAATGTTTTTTGAGCTCTCAGAGTTACTGTAACTTCAAGTTACTCTAATTTCCTCTGAATTCCACCGGATTAGGCATAAACTAAAAGCCCAGAAGTTTTCCGAACTCGAACGATAATTTTATAACGAAAAAAACACGGTTTTAGGCCAAAAATAGGATTTTTTGAGGGTATGACTTTGAGCTCAATTTTGAGCAAATTAGAGGAACTTAGGTTAGCTGAAAGTTAGGATAGCTTAAAGATCTCGAGAAGAGCTACAAATTGATATATTTCTGAGTGAAAAAATGATAAATTTAAGATGAAAAGGAAAAAGTGAAAAAAAAACTCCCAAATTGCATAATTTTACAATTTTTTATGAGCTACCAGAGTTATTGTAACTTCAATTTACCCTAATTTCGTTCCAATTCCACAGGATTTAGCGTAAACTAAAAGCCCAGAAGTTTTCCGAACTCGAACGATAATTTTATAACGAAAAAAACACAGTTTTAGGCCAAAAATAGGATTTTTCGAGGGTATGACTTTGTGCTCATTTTTGAGCAACTTAGAGCAACTTAGGTTAGCTGAAAGTTAGGATAGCTTAAAGATCTCGAAGAGAGCTACAAAATGGTATATTTTTGAGTGAAAAAAGGTTAAGTTTAAGATGAAATAGAAAGGGTAAAAAAAAGAAAAAAAAAAGAAAAAATTTAGGAAAAAAAATTTTTGCGTGGAAATGCTGACAATTCGTTGCGCATAACGAGACCTGCTTGATAAATCGATGTCCCTTTAAAATTGAAAATATTTTTTTCGACATTTTTCAAAGTGGAGTTGAGTTATAATAAATATATGGACTCATAGGTTATCGGGTATGGCGAATCACGTGAGCATATTCATTTCACGTGAAAACGTGTTTTTCACGTACTTTTGCCACGTGGATTTTTGGAAAATTGAAACTACTGCATGTTTTTTGCTGAAAATTTGTTTTTGGGGTTTTCGAAGGTCCTGGACAACGTGGTGATAGTCATTTTTCTGAAAATCGAAAATTTTTATTTTGGAGATAAGGGGGGACCCTTATGATTTTTTTTTTGAAAATTTTTTTTTTGGAAAATTTTGTTCTTAAGCCTACCGAAGTCTTCTAAATTCTTCCTAACCTTGTTGAAGCTTTATTAAGCCTTCTAGAAACTCCTAAAGCTTTCTAAAGTCTCCTAAACTTTAAAATAACCTTCTAAAGTGTTCAAAACCCCTTGAAACCCCTGCAAAAAACCAACCTCCAGAAGTTTGCTGAATTCTTGATGATTTTGGAAAACTTGTAGTTGCACATGTAAAACTGAAAGAATCAGATTTAAAAAACCCCCAAAAAATAAATAAAGATGATATTCAAAAATTGTTCAAAAACAATATGAGGAAGAAAAATTCGAACGCAGTGTAAAGTATATAAATCTTCATGTATCACACAATATATGGATAAAATCAATCAATAAATGCTGTTCAAAATTCAGTCGGATCGCTCATCACAAATTTGCACAATAGTTTCCACAAACAACAAGAAAATTGTTGCGTTCTTGTATTTTTGAGGATTTTCATCCTTATTCGTCGCCACAATTCGAAACACATTTTCTATTATGTTGATAAGGATATAGAGACCCATGTCGTGCGATTCTACGTTTTTGTTTTTGTACAAATCCACAATAATATCATCGAATTTCTCAACCATCAGAGCATTAAAAATCGAGTCGTCAACAAATGATGAGAAATAAGTGATAACATCATTGATGGACCATCCGTGTGTTATAAAACATTTGATGATTTCTGTCATTTCTCTCTTCTTCTTATCAGACGACTGGAATTCCATGACAATCGATGAAAATGAGGAAAAACCTGAAAATCACATTGAAAAGCCTTCAAAAATAAATAAATAAAATATTCAAAACATGCCTGAAAACAACTGGGAAATATAATTGTTCAATTTTAAATTTAATTTTCATTTTGTAAATATTCACAAAAATACCCGACAAAAAATCAATAATTATAGTGAGATAAAAGAATATTCACAAAAAAAAAAATCAATAATCAAATATCCTTAAAGATTGGTGTTAAAGAAATTGAAGGTGGTCGTTTGAAGTCTTCTTGGAAAGGTGTTGAAGATCGAGGTGGATCACTCATTTCGCTCTGAAAAAATTTGGAAATTGGTTCTGGGCTTCAGGGGGCTTTAGAGGGCTTTCCAAGGCTTCAGAAAGCTTCTAGAGCCTTTAGAAGATTTCAAGAGGCTTCAGAGGGCTTCAAAAGGCTTCAGAAGGCTTCAGGAGGCTTCAGAAGGCTACAGAAGATTTTAGGAAGCATCAGAAGCCTTCAGAAAATTTCAGAAGGCTTCCGGAGGCTTCAGAAGGCTTCACGAGGCTTCAGTGGGCTTTGCAAGATTTCAAAAGACTTCAGAATATATCAGAAGACTTCGGAAGGCTTCAGAATATATCAGAAGACTTCGGAAGGCTTCAGAAAGCTCCCGGAGGCTTCATAAAATTTCAAAAGACTTCAGGAGGCTTCAGGAAGCTTCAGAAAGCTTCAGAAGGCTTTAGAGGGCTTCCGAAGGCTTTCCAAGGCTTCCCAAACTAACCATAGCAAAACTTTGTCGTCTCCGAATCCGATCACTTCTCGAAATTTGACAAGGCATCGGTTGTCGTTCAATTTTCGCATAATAAAACTCTTGCGGAAAAACCGTCGTCTGTTGTGTTGAAAATTCCGGAGCTCTAGCTTTAGAGCTTTGATTTTCTTTGACAGCGACGCAAATAAGCCAAAGCCAGGAGGATCAGGATAAATATGAGCAATGCGGCAAGAATCACATAGAGCCATTTGATTTCTGCGGGTTTCTTTTGATGTTCGCCGCAGCCAAATTCATCTTCATAGTTCCCGCAGTCATTTTTCGAGTCACAAATCTTCGATCGATGGATACATTTAAAATTTGGCGCCAAAAGTTGCGCATTCAAATTTCGATAACTTGCGGCGCAGTCGAAAAATTCATGAGGTCTTTCACATCTACAGTGTAGTTCATCTGATGAATCTGGACAATTCGAAATTCCATCGCAAAGATGTTTGCGGCTCACAAAACCAGATAAATCATCGCATGGCCAATTATCGATTGAATTTTCGATTTTTGGGCAGAGATCGAAGGATTCATCACTATGATCTGAGCAATCATTGATTTTGTCGCATTTTTTCGCCGAGTGGATACATTGTTTTCCATTGGTGCATGTGAATTGCCAGGGTTCACAGATTATTGTGGGAAGACATTGAGAGTCACTGAAAATATTGATTTTTTGGACTTCTGGAATTCTGGAAAGCTTGGGAAAACTTCAGATGGCTTCATAAGGCTTTGGAAGGTTTCAGCAGGTTTCAGAAAACTTCACAAGGATTATTAAGGATTCAGAATCCATTTGAAATATTCTGAAGCATCCTAGAGCTTTCTGGAGCCCTCTGAAGTCTCCAAAAGCTTTTTAAAGACTTCTGAAGCCCCCTAAAGCCCCCTAAAGCCCCATAGGCCCCTAACCAACCTAAACGAGCTCAATTCTTTTCCAATCGGACACAAACATTTTGCTTTTCCATTTGAAACTGTGCAAATATGACTGCATGGCAAATTGTGGCACGAATTCGGAATCTCATAGTTATCTGAAATCATGTTTTTTTTTGTTTTTCTGGAAATCCAACCAACCTTGTCTAAAAAGAAGAAAAGAAACAATGACAAGAAACAAAAACAAAAAAGGGGGATGTGTATTTACGATAAACAACGGGCATGCGGAGTGTTGTTTATGTCAAATTGAAAATATTTTTTCGACATTTTTCAAAGTGGAGTTGAGTTATAATAAATACATGGACTCATAGGTTTTCGAGTATCGCTAATCACGTGAGCATATTCATTTTACGTGAAAACGTGTTTTTCACGTACGTGGATTTTTAAAAAATTAAAACTACTGCATATTTTTTTCTGAAAAAATGTTTTTCGGGTTTAAAAAATGCCCTGGAGGCTTCTGAAGCTTTCAAGAGTTCTCTGAAACATCTTGAAACCTTCTGAAGGCTTCTGAATCTCCCCGAAGCCTCCTGAAGTTGGATTTTCAACAAAACGCTTATTTTTTCAGCTTTAAATTTACAAACATAATTTTCAAACCAGAATTAGATGCATTTTTTTGATCTTGACGTTACTGAACTTCAGATGTATGTCTAGATTTTCCTCTTTGACTCTAGACCTTCCAGGATTTTTCCAGACTTTCTCTAACTCTCCCGGAAAATATGTAGGTATAATAAATCAGAAAAAAAAACTGATTTCAATATGAGAAAAAATACAAAAAATCAAAGAACAACAACAAATTCACTTTCCAAATTTAACACGATAAACAAAATAAAAGTCAAAAAATGACAGAAAAAAATGGGAGAAACTCCCGAAAACTTCAGATTCTGCCAGAATCTAAAAAATACAGTAAAACGCGAGAAAAAATCATGGGAACAATACAGGGGAGTGATCTCAACCCTTATAAAATGAAAATGCGAACAAAACTGGAGACAAAGGTGAAGAAGAAGAAAATCGCGGCGAGTGAAAACTGAATCACTTTTTCGTCTTCTTGATGGCGACATTGACTCCCGAAGTTCCAGCTCCATCCATTTTCACCGACAATCGCTTGAATTTTAACGGATGATCACCACCGAGTTGCGAAGCGACCCTCTTGCTCTGAAAAAAAATCAACTTTAAACAAAATTCTGATTTTTCTAGGGTGTCCACAAGCCTCATAAAGTTTCTGAAGTTTTCTAAGTCTTTTGAAACCTTTTAAAACTCTCTAAAGCCATCCAAATTCTCCTAATGCCACTAGAAGCCTCCCAAATCTTCGTGAAGCATTCTAGAGCTTAAGTAATCTTTCTGAAGCTCACTAAAGTTTCCTGAAGACTCCAGAAGCCACTAAATTTTTTTTAAGATTTCAAAAGTTTCCTGAAGACTCCAGAAGCCACTAAAATTTTTTAAAACTTTCAAAAGTTTCCTGAAGACTCCAGAAGCCTCTAAAATTTTTTTTAAAACTTTAAAAAGTTTCCTGAAGACTCCAGAAGCCTCTAAAATTTTTTTAAAACTTTCAAAAGTTTCCTGAAGCCTCCAGAAGCCTCTAAAAATTTTTTAAAACTTTCAAAAGTTTCCTGAAGACTCCAGAAGCCACTAAAAATTTTTTAAAACTTTCAAAAGTTTCCTGAAGACTCCAGAAGCCTCTAAAATTTTTTTTTAACTTTCAAAAGTTTCCTGAAGACTCCAGAAGTCTCTAAAAATTTTTTAAAACTTTCAAAAGTTTCCTGAAGACTCCAGAAGCCTCTAAAATTTTTTTTTAACTTTCAAAAGTTTCCTGAAGACTCCAGAAGCCACTAAAATTTTTTTAAAACTTTCAAAAGTTTCCTGAAGACTCCAGAAGCCTCTAAAATTTTTTTTAAAACTTTAAAAAGTTTCCTGAAGACTCCAGAAGCCTCTAAAATTTTTTTAAAACTTTCAAAAGTTTCCTGAAGCCTCCAGAAGCCTCTAAAAATTTTTTAAAACTTTCAAAAGTTTCCTGAAGACTCCAGAAGCCACTAAAAATTTTTTAAAACTTTCAAAAGTTTCCTGAAGACTCCAGAAGCCTCTAAAATTTTTTTTAACTTTCAAAAGTTTCCTGAAGACTCCAGAAGTCTCTAAAAATTTTTAAAACTTTCAAAAGTTTCCTGAAGACTCCAGAAGCCTCTAAAATTTTTTTTTAACTTTCAAAAGTTTCCTGAAGACTCCAGAAGCCTCTAAAAATTTTTTAAAACTTTCAAAAGTTTCCTGAAGACTCCAGAAGCCACTAAAAATTTTTTAAAACTTTCAAAAGTTTCCTGAAGTCTCCAGAAGCCTCAAAAAATCTTCTGAAGTTTTCTAAAGCTTTCTATAGCCTCTGTAAATTTTCTAAAGTCTCCTTAACTTTCCCTGATTCTCCCCATCCTTCCTAAGTTATCCAAACCCTATCAAAACCCAAAAAAACTTACGGATTTTTCCAGCTTCTCTAACTGTTGAATCAAATTCCCCGCGAATCGGACATCCATAGAAAAGACAACGGTTTCGACCATATCGAACAGTCTCATCGTCGCCACAAAAATTGAATGGGAACGGTCGGGAAATCGCGAGTAGAATTGTGGTCGAAATCTTGCAAGAAATTTGTTGAGATCAATCAAATATTCCTGGCGGCGAATCGAGCTTTGTGCATCCCAACTGCGGTTGTTTTCAAACAGATATACCAGTCTTTCGAGATGTCCTCTTTCAATAAAATAATTTCCAACCGCCTTCTGTACCCCTTTCATTTGTCCAAGGCAAATCTCTCTGAATGTTTTTCCAGCTTTCAAGTTTTGTGTGAAAAATCGAGCGAAAGTTCGTTTGATTTGAGAAGTGGCTGAAGGAGCTTCCATTTTGAGAACTGAGAGCAACCAAGTGAATTTCGGCTGGAAAATTAAGATGACTTTTATAAAATTCAAGACGAAAATCAATTAAAAAAAACGGTTATTCGAAAATATATCAATATTACTTTGGGCTCAATTTTGAGCAAGTGAGATGAACTTAGGTTAACTCAAAGTCACAGTAGCTTGAAGAGCTTCAAAAAAGCTACAAAATGGTATATTTGTGATAGAAAAACGGATAAATTTTAGATGAAAAGGAAAAATTTAAAAAAAAACTTCAAAAATACATAATTTCACAATGTTTTTTGAGCTTCTAGAGTTATTGTAACTTCAAGTTACTCTAATTTCCTCTGAATTCCACCGGATTAGGCATAAACTAAAAGCCCTGAAGTTTTCCGAACTCGAAAGATAATTTTAGAACGAAAAAAACACGCCAAAAATAGGAATTTTTTGAGGGTATGGCTTTGTGCTCATTTTTGAGCAACTTAGAGGAACTTAGGTTAGCTGAAAGTTAGGATAGCTTAAAGATCTCGAAGAGAGCTACAAAATGGTATATTTTTGAGTGAAAAAATGATAAATTTAAGATGAAAAGGAAAAATTAAAAAAAAAAACTTAAAAAATACATAATTTCACAATGTTTTTTGAGCTTTCAGAGTTACTGTAACTTCAAGTTACTCTAATTTCCTCTGAATTCCACCGGATTAGGCATAAACTAAAAGCCCAGAAGTTTTCCGAACTCGAACGATAATTTTAGAACGAAAAAAACACGGTTTTAGGCCAAAAATAGGAATTTTTTGAGGGTATGGCTTTGTGCTCATTTTTGAGCAACTTAGAGGAACTTAGGTTAGCTGAAAGTTAGGATAGCTTAAAGATCTCGAAGAGAGCTACAAAATGGTATATTTTTGAGTGAAAAAAGGTTAAGTTTAAGCCGAAATAGAATGGGTAAAAAAAAGAAAAAAAAAGAAAAAATTTAGGAAAAAAAAATTTTTGCGTGGAAATGCTGACAATTCGTTGCGCATAACGAGACCTGCTTGATAAATCGATGCCCCTTTAAAATTGAAAATATTTTTTTCGACATTTTTAAAAGTGGAGTTGAGTTATAATAAATATATGGACTCATAGGTTATCGGGTATGGCGAATCACGTGAGCATATTCATTTCACGTGAAAACGTGTTTTTCACGTACTTTTGCCACGTGGATTTTTGGAAAATTGAAACTACTGCATAGTTTTTGCTGAAAATTTGTTTTTGGGGTTTTTGAGGGTGCTGAACAACGTGGTGATAGTCATTTTTCTGAAAATCGAAAATTTTTATTTCGAAGATAAGGGGGGACCCTTATGATTTTTTTTTGAAAAATTTTTTTTCGAAAAAAATTTTTTTTTTAAGCCTTCTGAAGCCTTCTGAAGTCTACCGAAGTCTTCTAAAATTCTTCCTAACCTTGTTGAAGCTTTATTAAAGAAAAAAAAAATGAAAAAAAAATGAAAAAAAAACTGAAAAAACCTGAAAAAAAAACTAACCTCCAGAAGTTTGCTGAATTCTTGATGATTTTGGAAAACTTGTAGTCGCACATGTAAAACTGAAAGAATCAGATTAAAAAAAACCCCAAAAAATAAATAAAGATGATATTCAAAAATTGTTCAAAAACAATATGAGGAAGAAAAAACTCGAACGCAGTATAAAATAAAAAAATCTTCATGTATCACACAATATATGGACAAAATGAATCAATAAATGCTGTTCAAAATTCAGTTACTCGGATCGCTCATCACAAATTTGCACAATTGTTTCCACAAACAATAGGAAAATTGTCGAGTTCTTGTATTTTTGTGGATTTTCATCCTTATTCGTCGCCACAATTCGATGAACATTTTCAATGATGTTGATGAGGATATAGAGACCCATGTCGTGCGATTCTACGTTTTTATTATCATATAAATCCACAATGATATCCGCGTATTTTTCAACCATCAGAGCATTAACAATCGATTCCTCAACAAATGAAGAGAAATAACTGATAACTTGATTGATGGACCATCCGTTTTCGATGAATATTTCGATTATTGTCTTCATCTCCCGCTTCTGTTTATCAGACGACTGGAATTCCATGACAATCGATGAAAATGATGAAAAACCCTGAAAATCACATTGAAAAGCCTTCAAAAATAAATGAACAAAATATTCAAAACCTGCTTGAAAACAACTGGAAAATAGAACTGTTCAATTTTAAATTTAATTTTCATTTTGTACATATTCACAAAAATACCCGACAAAAAATCAATAATTATAGTAAGATAAAAAAATATTCACAAAAAAAAATCAATAATTAAATATCCTTAAAGATTGGTGTTAATGAAATTGAAGGTGGTCGTTTGAAGTCTTCTTGAAAAGGTGTTGAAGATCGAGGTGGATCACTCATTTCGCTCTGGAAAAGTTTGGGAATTGGTTCTGGGCTTCAGGGGGCTTTAGAGGGTTTCCCAAGGCTTCAGAAAGCTTCAGAAGAATTCAGAAAGCTTCAGAAAACTTCAGAAAACCTCACAAGGTTTTCCAAGGCTTCAGGAGGCTACAGAAGATTTCAGGAAGCATCAGAAAATTTCAGAAGACTTCGCAAAGCTTCCGGAGGCTTCAGAAGGCTTTGGAAGACATTCCAAGGATTCAGAATATTTCAGAAGGCCACAAGAGGCTTACCAAGACTCAAGAAGAATTCAGAAAGCTTCAGGAACCTTCAGAAAATTTCACAAGGCTTCAGAATATATCAGAAGACTTCGGAAGGCTTCAGAAAGCTTCAGAAGGCTTCAGAAAGCTCCCGGAGGCTTCAGAAAATTTCAAAAGGCTTCAGGAGGATTCAGGAGGCTCCGGAAAGATTCAGGAGATCTCAAAAGGCTTTAGAGGGTTTCCCAAACTAACCATAGCAAAACTTTGTCGTCTCCGAATCCGATCACTTCTCGAAATTTGACAAGGCATCGGTTGTCGTTCAATTTTCGCATAATAAAACTCTTGCGGGAACACCGTAGTCTGCTGTGTCGAAAATTCTGGAGCTCTAGCTTTAGAGCTCTGGTTTTCTTTGACAGCGACGCAAATAGCCAAAGCCAGGAGGATCAGGATAAATATGAGCAATGCGGCAAGAATCACATAGAGCCATTTGATTTCGGCGGGTTTCTTTTGATGTTCGCCGCAGGCAAATTCATCTTCATAATTCCCACAATCATTTTTCGAGTCACAAATCTTCGATCGATGGATACATTTAAAATTTGGCGCCAAAAGTTGCGCATTCAAATTTCGATAACTCGCGGCGCAGTCGAAAAATTCATGAGGTCTTTCACATCTACAGTGTAGTTCATCAGATGAATCAGGACAATTCGAAATTCCATCGCAAAGATTTTTGCGGCTCACAAAACCCGATAAATCATCGCATGGCCAATTATCGATTGAATTGTCGATTTTTGGGCAGAGATCAAAGGATTCATCACTATGATCTGAGCAATCATTGATTTTGTCGCATTTTTTTGCCGAGTGAATGCATTGTTTTCCATTGGTGCATGTGAATTGCCAGGGTTCACAGATTATTGTGGGAAGACATTGGGAGTCACTGAAAATATTGATTTTTTGGAAATCTGAAATTCTGGAAAGCTTTGGAAAGCTTGGGGAGGCTTTATAGGGCTTCAGAAGGACTCCAGGAGGCTTCTGAAACCTTAAGAAGTGTTGAGAATCTTTGGGAAGCCTTCTGAAGACCTCAGAAGTCTTTAGAAGGCTTCGCAGAGCTTCTGAAGATTTCAGGAGCCTTCAGCAGGCTTCAGAAGGCTTCAGAAAACTCCAGAAGTCTTTAGAAGGCTTCAACAGGTTTCAGAATTTTCTTGAAATCTTCTGAAGCCTCCTAGAGCCTACAGAAGCTTCTCACAGTTGCTTCAAGTCTTCTCAAACCTTCTCCAGCCTTCTAAAGCCTTCTGAAGCCTTCTGGAGCCCTCTGAAGCTTCCAGAAGCTTTCTAAATACTTCTGAAACTTTTTAAAGATTTCTGAAGCCCCTTAAAGCCCTCAAAAGCCCTCTGAAGCCGGCTAAAGCCCTAAAAGCCCCCTAACCAACCTGAACGAGCTCAATTCTTTTCCAATCGGACACAAACATTTCGGTTTTCCATTTGAAACTGTGCAAATATGACTACATTGCAAATTGTGGCACAAATTTGGAATCTCATAGTTATCTGAAACAATTTTTTTTGTTTTTCTGGAATTTTAGGCTTAAAACCAACCTTGTCTAAAAAATCCTCCAACATTTTCAAGTTTCTCAACAGTCTCATTTCCAGGCAGGAAAAAAGTTCGATTTCCATCCGACGCCAAAATTATTTGCTCATTTATCGGAGCAATATCCGAAATTCCTTCGAAATTCCAAAAATTCTCAATTTTTCCAGTTTCAAAGTTTCTGGCCCAAGTTCCAGAAGAGTTCTGAAAAAGATTTTTTTCGAAATCTAATTTTTTTCAGATAAACTTACTGTAACAAAAATATTGTTCTGGTGAGCTTGAATTTTAGTTTCTGAATAAATATTGGACCAGATTGAGCATTTTTTACAGTCGTATGTGCATTTGATGATGTGTGAATTTCCGTCGACGTAGAAGAGGAGGCTGGAAAGATTTTCAGATTTTTTGGGATCATTTTTTTAGAAAATGTGAAATTCCTAATGAATTTTTCTAGAAATTCAGAAAAATACGGTTAGAATTAGCTTAACTTAAGTCAGAGTTAGCTTAACTTAAGTTAAAGTTAGCTCAACCTAAGTTAGAGTTAGCTAAATTTAAGTTGGAGTAAACTTAACTTATGTTAGATTTAACTTAACTCAAACCGATTTTTTAAACCTCTAGTATTGCTCAGATTAGATTTTAAAAAATCTAGTATTGCTCAGCTTAGATCAATTTTTATGGGATCTAAATATCCAGATTCTCCAGACTTCCGAAATTTTTATCATTGCTCAGGTTATGTTTCTAATTCGGGCTCTAATTCTAACAAACCCAGACTTAGCTTAACTCAAACCAAAATTAGTATTCCTCACATTAAAAGTAGGCTTAAAATTTGCCAGATTAAAGCTGAATTGCTCAGGTTAAGATCAAATTTAAAGATTTAGCATTGCTCAGATTAAGGTTCTTAATCTCCAGCTTCTCCAGAAATTTCTCAGTTTTCCCTTGACTTACCCAAACTTGGGCATCACAACAAGATCCATAGGTTGAAGTGGCATGCCAGTGACAGTTTCAAAAGCTCCGCCGCTCACCAAAATCGCCACAAATTTCAACTTGGCATAACTCGCCCAATTGATGCGATACAAAATCAAATATCCAATTTGATCTCGATAGCAAGTCACAAATAATTGATTTCCAATTGGATCCAGGGCCAAGGAGTGGAATTTATCGCAAAGGGAAGTGGATTTAGCGGAAGTCTCGTGGATTTGAGGAGCTCCGGGGTATTGTACGCTTTTGATGGTCCCCAGGTGGTTTTTTTCGATCCAAAATATTAATTTTTGATGTGGATAGAAGTTGACAGCAAAGTCTTGGATTTGAAAATCTGAAATTGAAGTTGGAGCTGGAGCTTGAGCTGGGCTTGATCTTAAGATCAAGCTCAAGCTCGAGATCAAGCTGACTTACCTGAACCTCTTGATTCTCCAGATTCGAAATCCAAAATTTTCAGAATCACATCCAGCTTCTGCTCTTGATCCTGATCCCTCTCCTGATCTTCCAGAATCCTTGTCTCATAGAATCCAGATGTTCCAGCGGCCACAATTCGATTCGGACCATCCAAACATCTCCCATTTCTCCTCTCCAAAATGTCGTGATTTTGGCAAGCGCAAATTATGGGAGTTAGGCGAAGTTGATCGCATCTACCGTATTTCGCAGCTGTCTTTTGGGATTTCTGGAGTTTGGCTAACTTGAGATCTTTTAGTCCAGTTGAAAATTCTTGAAAATATGAACCATCATATTTGCCAGCTCTTCCAGAAGTTTCAAAGATGAAAATTTCATCTTCACCAAAAATTTCAGCACCAAAAATGGCTGAAATTGGTCGCCAGTCGTTTCCGGAATACAAGATTTCCTGGCTAAAACCATCGATTGATCCTACTGTAATTACCGTATACTCTTGAGGGTTTCGAAGCCAAATTATCGATTTTTGAGACGTGGAAATTGAGATGTCAGTGAGATTTCGAATGTCATAGTGAGTTGGGATAACTTGCATTGTTTCAAGGGAGAGTGTCTGAAAAATTAGAGATTCTGAGAGTACTGTAGAGTACTGTAGCTTTTTACCAACCTGAATTATATCTCGCTCATAAAAAATCACATTCTCCTCATCGATCACAAAATTCCTTGGCTGAAATTCTTCCCAAATCAAAATTTTTCGAAATTTCCCCTCCAAATCCACAATTTCCATTTGATTCGTCAAAATATTTGTCCAAAAAACATTTCCGAAATGAATTTTCAGATCTGAAATTCCAAAAATCGACGAATCTTCCAGAATAATTTCGAGTTTTGGGATCGAATTCACAAAAAATCGATTTTTCTGGTGATTTTGTGAAATATCGATTTTCGCCAGGATTCCAATTCCAGGTTTCGCTCTCGATTTTCCCGCCAAAACCAGAAATTTGTCGGTGACATCAAAGGTTTCAATTTTTTCAAAAATTTTGAAATAATTCGAAATGTGCATTTGATGGCTCCCAACTTCGATAAAATCCAAACTTTTGTAGAAAATCCGATTTTTTGAGTCCAGAAAATACACCAAATCTGATTTTTCGATGCATTTTTGAGATTTTGGATCCATGAAAAATCCGTCAGTGCAGTCGCAGGTGACACGGCTGAAAATTGGGATTTTTTGGAAGCTGGAAGCCTTGGGAAGCCTACTGGAGCTTCTGGAAACTTCTGAAGCCTCCAGAAGTCTCCCGAAGCTTTCAGAAGCCCTCTGAATCCCCCTGAAGTTCCCCCAACTCACACTGAATTCACCGAAAGACAAACATGTTCGCATTTTTTGCAATTTTCATCGAATCTCAAATTCGACTCAGCTTCAGATTCCCAAATTTTGATTCCAATCGATCCGAAACTCGGCGCTTCAATATTCTGAATCTCCAAATTGTCCAGCGAAAATTTGACAATCGTTTTTACCACGAGAAAACTCATGAAAATCTCATTGTTGCTTGAAATATCGATTGATGAGGGTTGGGAGAAATTTGGAGGTAGGTTGATTTTGAATTTGGTGATTTTGTGAGTTCTCATGTCCATAACCTGGAATAATTTTGGATTACTGTAAGGAAAATTGAGGCTGGAAATTCTGAAGCCTTCCAAGGCTTTCTGAAGCTTTGAAGAGCCTTCTGAAGCCTTCAGAAATCTTTTGAAGGCTTCACGTGGATTCAGAGATATTCAGAAGACTTCAGAAAGGTTTTAGAAATATTCAGAAGGATTTGCAAAGCTTCAGAAGGATTTAGAAGGTTTCAGAAGGCTTTACAAAGCTGCAGATCACTTCAGAAGTTTTTCAAAAGGCTTTGAAAGGCTTCAGAAGGCTTCAGGAGACTTCAGAAGTCTTCAAAAGGCTTTGAAAGGCTTCAGGAGGCTTCAGAACGGTTTTGAAGGCTTCAGAAGAATTCTCAAGTGTTCAGAAAACTTCAGAAGGCTTCACGTAAATTCAAGGAGCTCCAGAAGGCTTTAGAAGTTTTAGAAAACATTACAAAGCTTCAGAATGCCCCCACAAAGCTTCAGAAGGCTTTACTTACCATAACTTGATCTTCCAGCCAAACAATCCGATCTCCTTTAATAACCAAATCCGAAATCTCAACATTTTCATCTTCAGATTTATAAACCCTGCGTTTCTCCTCTCCAAACATTGAAAATTTCCAAATCTCATTTTTCCGCATCAAAACCAAAATCGTCCGATCATTTTCATCAATCACAAAAGACTGTGCATTTTCGAGGGGAAAAATAATCGATTTTGAAAATCCTGTGATCAAACTAGACACACCGATTCGAGCCCCATCTTCTAGCCAAAAAACACTGTGTGTTTTGGAATCATATCTGAATTTTGAAACGGCATACGGTAGTGTGAAAAGTGTAGTATTGATTGATCTCAAGTTCTTCGCAATTGACATCGCATCGTTTTCCAGCCAGTAGAGATTTCCTGTCACTGGGTTGAGATCTATCACTTCAGTCTTATTTCCAGTGAACTTCAGGGGACTTAGGATAAGTTCAGAAGTGTCCAGGGAGGTCCAAAGAATCCCGTCAACGCTTGAGAGGTATAAAATTGTCTGGATGGTTTTGGCGCAAGATTTGTCGGAAATTTTTGAGTGACCAGTTTGACATCGACAGGAAATTGCAGATTTTCCAGATTTCAGCTGGAAATCTGAGCACTCTGGAGTTCCTCTAACTTCGCTGGCATCTTCTTGAATCACTGTGAAGTCTTCCAGATTTCTGAATCCAGTTCTCCAGGAAGTTTCAGCGCATCTCTCGATCTTACAAATCCACAAATCGTCTTGAAATCCAGATAAATATATCATAAATTCTCCGGAAATTTGAAATTTCGATATTTCAAATGAATTCAGGATTTCCTTGGGGGAATCTTCAGGATTTTCCAATTTCCAAACTTGTCTCGAAGTTTCCGATGTTTCCAGATAAAATATCGATTTTTCACCATCTAGAATCATACTGTGGATTATTGATTTTTCCTGGATCTTGATTGATCTTTGATCTTCTCCAGACATTGTTGAAAATATGAGATTTGAGGTGGAATTTTGCCAAATCATAGTTCTGGAAAAATCGAAAATGAGTTAGAGAACCGCGACGCAACCGCAACGCACCCAAAATTTGGATTCAAAAAAACATGCTCAACTCTGTCGATAATCACTGTTGTACAGTAGCTGATATTTTTGAGTTGGCAAGCATCCAAATGGCCGTGATTGTGAAGGCGAGAGGTTTTGGAGAGGTAGATCTGAAAAAAAAATTGATAAATTTTGAGATGAATGTGAGATTTATCATTGCTCAGATTAATTCAGGCTTTAAAAAATTCAAAAAAAAACACAGACTTAGCCTAACTTGAGTCAAAACCTTTCTGAAATCTTCAAAAATCAGGAATTTCTCACACTTCGATTAGAGCTGAATGTGAAGTTTAGCATTGCTCAGGTTAAAGTTCTAATTCAGGCTCAAATTCTAAACAATAAAACAGACTTAACTTAACTCAAGCCAAAACCTTTTGAAAATCTGGTATTACGTTAGATCAGAGCTAATTTGTTGCTCATGTTAGAACTTTTCGCTTATATGTATTGCTCAGGTTAAAGTTCTAATTCAAGCTGAGAATCCAGAAAGCCTAGAGTTAGCTTAATAGGATATTTATCATTGCTCAGGTTAAGGCTATCACATTCAGAATTTTTAGGTTTAGCATTTCTCAGGTTAAGAAGACTTGGGCTAACTCACCAAATCCATCTCAAAATCGAAATCCATACTGATCACATCATCCTCCTCAACTTTTCCAATCTCTCGAATCTCCACTTTTTCTTTTTTCAAATCCACCTCAAAAATCGTGGCATCTTTCAAAAAATATGTGATTGAATCGCGTGAATTTTTCGCCAGCAGCAAATTTGAATTCTCGCCAATCCAAAAATTGATATTTTCCGCTTTTTCGACCAATGTTTCCGGGTTTAAGGTGATTTTCAGCAAGCCGGTGGAGTTTTTGGCAAGGATTGTGAGGTTTGCAGTGGAGGCTGGAAAAAAACCATTGATTTTAGGCTTTAGGAAGCTTGCGGAAGCGTAAAAAGCTCACGGAAACTTCCGGAATCTTTCCGCAAGCTAGCGGAGCCCCAAGAAGCTCAAAAACCCTGTCCCAATTCAAAATCCCGACAAAAAACTCACCAAAAACATTAAAAATCAATAGAAACACCAGAAAAATATAACGCACCATCAAGAAATTTGCAAAAAAAAAACACAACACACAAATAAATAAGGTGTCCCCCTTTTTTGTCCCGCAGGATATCTCTGCATCTCTGCACACTCTCCTCAGAATACACACTCTCTCGCTAGTTGTTTTTTGTTGTGTGCGGGAAGAAAGGAGGAAGAAGGGAACTGTTGTTTTGGGAAGTTATTAGTGTTTTTTATTAGAAATCTATACTTTTTGTATTTTTTTTTGTGTTTTCTCTGTTTTTTATAGAAAAAGTTGGTTTTCTTCTGAGATTTAATAGGATTTTCTTGTTTTAGAAAAACTTAGCTTTTTTTTTGTGTACTTCTCTTTGAATCTAGATAAGTCTGTTAATATTTTTCATCCTGTTTGAGTATTTTGAGTAAAATCTGCCTTCTGAAGCTTCCCAAAGCCTTCTGAAGCTCCGCAAAGCCTTCTGAAGATTAACAATAACTCCTGAAGCTTCACAAAGCCTACTAAAGCTCCGAAAAGCCTTCTGAAGCTTCACAAAACCTTCTGAAACTCTATAAAACCTTCTAAAGCTCCGCAAACCTTCTTTAAAAAATATGAGCCGAAAATTCCAGAACCTCATTCATAAATTGATATTTTTAGAGCTCAATTTTTCTGAAATTTTATAAAAAAAATTCAATAACAAGTTTTTTCAATGTAATTTTTATTAATTAAAAAACGTGTGAAGTACAATATTTAGAAAAAAATCAGAAAACGATGTGAAACAGTTCCAAAAATCAATTTAAAATATTCTTTTGACGCGCACCGGTGTCCAAAACCACTTGCAAATACGAGACTTGCATTGCCGTTTCCAAAACCGATTCGTGCATTTTCAATTGATACATTTGGACTTTTGTCAAATCGGTCGCATTTAGAAGTCTTAGGCGAACTTGTAAATCGAGAGTAAGATAATAATCTGGCTCGGTTCGATAGAAATCCAAGAATAATTGAATTCGATTTTGTTTGTTAGGGATCAAGGTTTTGTTTCTGCAAAAAATATGATTTTTGGAGCTAGGGAAAGTTGAGGGAGCCTTCTGAAGTCTCTAAAAGCCTTCTATAGTCTTCTGAAACCCTCTAGAACCCCCTAGAATCCCTCTGAAAATTTCTGAAGCCTAACTAACCTAGCAATTTCATTTTCAATGACATATTCTGGCGAATCCAAAATGAAAGAAGCAGTTTTCTCGAGCAAGATTGGATAAGTCGAGCCGGTTCGATTTTCCAAACCACTCTTAATTTGGCTCATTTGCTCAGTCACCGCAATTGTAGCATTTCCATAATCGATCCTGAAAAATAGTTCGGGTAACTCTGAAGTCTGAAATCGTTTTAGAAAAACTCACATTGGATTCGCCATCAGAATACCAAAAAAGTGCGCAACAGCTTTCAACGAGAAGAACATTTTTTGTTTTGTAATATTTTCTGCTGGACCTGCTCACCTTTTATAGTACACATTGTTTTCCCAAAAACCGGGAACGCCCCACAAAAAAATGCTTTTTTCGCCGTTGGGAAACTAATGTGCACAAAAAAATCTGGGATTTTTTTGTTGAAAAAACGACGCTGAATTTTGGGAAGGTTAGAATGTTTGGAAGAATTTCAGACACAAAAACAAGGGCTCTGAAATTGAGCTCATAGCCTAGCAGCGAAGTGTTCCCTGTAAGAACGTAGGTCCTCGGAACTTCACTAGGCTTTGAATTCTAGGAAAGATTTAAAAATTTAATTTTTATTTTTGCTTGTGTTGAAAAAATCTTTTCCAAATTTTTAAAATTGAATTTGGTACATTTTTTAATTTTCTTATTTTTTCAGAGACACCCGTCACAAAATGCAAGGGTCCCATCAAATAATCCACGTGTCCACATTTTCGGAAGTGAGTTTTGGCCAAAATTTTAAGAAAAAAAAATAACGTAGAAGTTTCAGGCTTCCGAGATGTTTCGTTTAGGCAGGAGATCAACAACAACTTCTCACGGAACGGGAACGGGACAGTCAAGTTAGTTTATTTTGAGGTTTTTGGGGGGGGGGGGTGTGGGAGCTAACAGGTGAGATTGGAAAATATTGTGTTAAGTTTTTTATTCATAATTACGTTGCTTATAAATTACTATGTTTAAAGCATGAAGGTTTGAATTACACTTGATGGTATAGGATTTTCTAATTTAAAAGTATATTTTTCCTGTAGATCAGATACGCTTCCAGATTTTAATGAATTGTTTGAGAAACAAATGTTGTGAAATAAAAGGTGTGAAATATAGGCACGCATTTTCCAGATTTCCAGTTTTCTATTTATTTTTTTTTGTTTTATAATCTATGTCTCATTAAACTTCACTAATTCTATTACCAAGCGTAGCAGATTCTTTTTTTAAAGAAATTTTTTTTTTTGGCTGAAAACATCAGAAATCTTTCTGGTTTTTCCAATCATCGAATTCTGATTTTTCACTTGAATTTCGGCTTCTGAATTTTTGTGAAAAATTATTTCTACCTTTGAAAAATTTATTTCAAATTCTTCCTAGAGACCTCTGAATCCTTCTGAAGCCTTCTGGAGCCTCCTGGAACCTTCTAGAGATTTTTTTTTCTGGTTTCTGAATTTTTGAATTCTAGTGTTCAAATTCTTGATTGGTGAATTCATTCTAAACTTCCAATTTTTAATTTGAATTATTCAAATTCTGATTTTCAACTTTTATATTCTGAATATTTCTTCCGAAGCATCCTATAGCCTTCTATAGGCTTCTGATGCATTCAAAAATCTTCCGAAGATTCCTGAAGCCTCCAGATACCTTTCGAAGCCTTCTGAAGTCAAAATCCGATCCCTCATTCCACAAAAAATCGTCATTTTTTCCTGATCCACTTTTTTTGGTTGCCAAACTGTCTTTTGCTAATTTATGGACACGATTTCTTTGTTCACTTAATGTTTCTTTTTGCGTGTGTTAATTTTATTCCATTTTTTAAAAGGCGGTGCAAACAAAAAATGACAGCTGTTGTGAAAAAAGACCACCCACGAAGGAAAATGGTGAATTCGAATTTGTTTCATTTCGAAAGGAAAATGAGAAACAAAACACATTTGTCTGTCAGATGGTATTAATTTTCGAGATTTGGGGATTTTTGGGGATTGTTAGGTTTCTAAAGGCTTCTGAAGGCTTCTGAAGGTTTCTGGAAATAATTTTAATAAATTTTATGAGCCAAGTTCAAGAGCTCCAGAATGCCGAAAAAATGCTCCACATACAGCAACTGCAATTTTTTCTGGTTTCTGAAATTCTGAATTCTAGTGTTAAATTTCTTGATTTTTTCTGGAGCTTCCTGAAAATCAAAAAAAAAACCAATTTTCTTGTTAACAGATTTATTCGATAAAAAAATTAATTTCAACGAACAAAAAAATTCTTCTTTTGAAGCACAGTATTTCAGGGGAGGAAAAAATGAATTGGAGGAATATTTTGAAAAAAAAAACTTCAGGGTACATAATTTGGGCAGGTAATATGGTATGTTTTTTTGGAGGTTATTTGAGATTTTTCAATTTTTTTGGGGGATTTTTTGAATTTTTCGAATTTTTTTGGAATTTTTGTTGAATTTCGGAAGATTATTGAACTATCATAAGAAAAATGATTCGAAGAATATTTTGATAAACAAAACTTTTGAGGAAGTTTTGAGATTTTTTCGAATTTTTTTGGAATTTTTGGATTTTTGCTGAATTTCGGAAGGTTATTGAATTATAGTAAGAAGAATGATTCGAGGAAAATTTTTTTTTTGATTTTTTGAGATTTTTCGATTTTTTTTATTTTGATTTATGAAAGATTATTGAAGTCAGTAGGAAAAAAATAGTTGGAGGACGAAAAGAATTTAACATTTACTTCTTGCAAATCGCTCTTTTCTTCTCATTTGTCGATCCCAATCATAAGCCAAATGGCCCAAGTATAAGGTCCACTTTTGTGTTGTTTGAGAAGACGCTGTTCCCTCTTCCACTTCTTTGACTTCAGTTGCATTGGCGTACTGAAAAATCAATAATTTTCTTGACTTCCGGACGCTTTCAGGGGCTTTTAAGGCTTTGAAGGCTTCAGAAGAATTTTGAAAGGTTGACAAGGAGGCTCGGAGATTTCTGATGGTTTGCAGAGGCTCCGGAAGCTTCTAAAGGCTTCTGGAGGCTTCAGAAGCTTTCGCAATATTTTGCAAATTTCTGTCAATTTTGATTTGAAAATTCATTCAAAATAAGGATCAAAATCTTACAACTTTTGAGCTACTGTAGCTCTGGAAAAAATTCAACTCACTTGGAAGAAAAAAGGGAAACGCTCATATATATAAGATAGATATTGCGGGAAAAGTGGACCGAATTTTTTGTCGACAAGGTCGTCAATATCGATATCACATTTGACAAGACAAGCGACTTCGAAACAGCAGAAGGTTGGCTAAAAATCATATATTTATATTGAATTTTTAAATCAAAAATTACTCACAATAGTGTCATCAGATCGATGAAATTCCTGTTCCGGATTTTTAGCCAGCCATTTGCGAAACTCCTCGCTTCGCTCACAATCTGGTCTCCTGATTTTGGTTTTGTTGAGAACCGTCCTTAGTATCGTATCGTCCTTAAAGGGACATGGTGTTCGAATCTCCTCTACGGGACATCCTGGTCGATACTCATTAGGAAGACAGAATGTTGAAAGGAGCTCTGATTTGACCGCGTAGGCCAAAATAACAAGAAGGGTCAGCTTTCGCAACATTTTCGTTGTTAATTAGAGAACTAGAGCTAGAGCTAGAGCTGAAGGCGGTGCAAGCAAAAAATGACAGCTGTTGTTCTTGTGAAAAAAGACCACCCACGAAGGAAAATGGGGAATTCGAATTTGTTTCATTTCGAAAGGAAAATGAGAAACAAAACACATTTGTCTGTCAGATGGTATTAATTCTCGAGATTTGGGAATTTTGAAGGATTTTTAGGTTTCTAGAGGCTTCTGAAGGCTTCTAAAGGCAAGATTCTAGAAAATTTCAAAAATCTGGAATATGTTTTGAAAAGCTCCTTTCAGAGTTCCAAGAAATTCGAAAAAATTGCTCCTGAAATTTCAAAAATCTGGAGAATATCTCAAAATTTTTTTATGAGCTAATGTAAGTTCAAGAGCTCCAGAATGCCGAAAAAATGCTCCAAATACAGCAAATGCGATTTTTTCTGGTTTCTGAACTTCTGAATTCTAGTGTTCAATTTTTTGATTGTTAAATTCAAGTATTTGAATTCTGAATTCCCAAGTTTTCATTTGAAGTATTCAAATTCTGGTTCTCAACTTTTACATTCTGAATATTACTTCTGGAACTTCCCGAAGTCTTCTGAAAATTCTTGAAGTTTTCTGAATCATGTTTCAGAAATTCTACTCGAAATAATTGTGAGTCAAGTTCCAGAGCTTCCTGAAAATCTGAAAATTTCAATATAAATTTAAAAAAAAACAAATTTTCTTGTTAACAGATTTATTCGATAAAAAAATGAATTTCAACGAACAAAAAAATGGCTCAAAAGCACATGAGGGGAAAAATTGGAGGAAAATATTTCGAGGGGAAAATTAATTGGAGGAATATTTTGAAAAAATAACTTCAGGGTACATATTTTGGGCAGGTAATATAGTATTTTTTTGGAGGTTATTTGAGATTTTTCAATTTTTTTGGGGAGGATTTTTTGGGGGATTTTTCCAATTTTTTTTGGATTTTTTGAAATTTTTGTTGAATAAAAAAATAAAAAAATTAATTGGAGGAATATTTTGAAAAAATAACTTCAGGGTACATATCTTGGGCAGGTAATAGAGCATTTTTTTTGGAGGTTATTTGAGATTTTTCAATTTTTTTGGGGGGATTTTTTGGAGGATTTTTCAAATTTTTTTGGATTTTTTGAAATTTTATAGAAGATTATTGAATCAAGAGGAAAAATATTTAGAGGACGAAGAGAATTTAACATTTACTTCTTGCAAATCTCTGTTTTCTTCGAACTTGTCGATCCCAATCATAAGCAAGGTGACCCAAATATAGGGTCCATTTTTCTATTGTTTGAGAAGACGCTGTTCCCTCTTCCAGCTCCTTGACTTCAGTTGCATTGGCGTACTGAAAAATCAATAATTTTCTAGACTTCCGGACGCTTCCGGGGGTTTTTAGAGGCTTTGAAAGCTTCAGGAGGATATTGAAAGAAAATTTGAGCTACAGTAACTCTTAAAAAATTCGACTTACTCTGAAAAAATGAGGAAAACGCTCATATACATAAGAGACGTATCGCGGGAAAAGTGGGCCATATTTCTTTTTTACAATTTTGTGGACATTGATTCCGCATTGAGTCAAACATATCTGCTCGAAACAACAGTACTCGGCCTGAAAAATGAGATATCAACGATGTCAATTCAAAATCATTCAAAAATCGCTTACTCCTTCCAATGCATACCAATAGCTATCAGAATCATCTGGATCGACAATTTCATCGGATCGATGAAATTTCTCCTCGGGATTCTCGTCCAACCATTTGCGGAATTTATCAGTCCGCTCGCAATTTCCTTTGAAATGGTGCGGCCTGTGTGGATCAGTCTCATTCTTAAAAGGGCAAAGGAATCTTCGGCATTCCGCCTCAAAGCACAAGGCCAACAGAACAAGTGCAGTAAGGTTTTTGAGCATTTTTGATAGTTAGTTAGCTCGATTTCAAAAAATTGAAATAAATGAAGAACTACAGCTGAACTATCGCTTTTTATACTACGATTTTGCTCGGTTTCGGCTCCGCCTCTCTTGAATTTAGAGATATAATGGGATTTGTAGAGACGCAGAGTTCCAATGGGAAATGAGGGAAGAATTTTGGGAGAGTTCGGGAACTGTAGGACAATGTGGGTTACTGTGGAAGTGACGTTGATTTTTGGGAAAATCAGGTGATTTGGATCATTTTGATAGTAAATAAGGGGGGTATTGATTTTTCGGAAATTTATTGATTTTTTTCTATTTTCTAGAAAGTGGGGTTGATTTTGTGTTGGAATTTTGGCTGAAAAGCCTGAGAAGCCTGGGAAGCCTAGGAAGCCTAGGAAGCCTAGAAGAATTTTTTGAAGTCAGAAGCCTAAAAAGCTCAAGAAATTTGAATTGCCTCCAACTTAGGCTAACTTTGAGCTGAAATTCAGAATATCCGGATTTCACAATGAAAAATTTTGCATCTCTCAAAAATCTCAAATTTTTCGCCTTCAGAAACTCTTCTGAAAAATTTTTTTTTAATTTCTGAGGACATTTTTTAAAATCAAAAGCTTTTTGGATCTGAAAAAACATTTTCCATTTTTTTCAGAATTCTGAAAATTGTGAGATGAAGTTCTAAAGCTCTGAAACTCCATCTGAAATTTTTCATAAAAACTTCTGAAGAAACTTTTTTGTTAACAGATTTATTCGAAAAAAAACACAATTTCAACGAACAAAAAAATAGTTCCTAGGAACAATTGAAGTATATCAAAAAGAAAAAGGTACATATTTTTTGAGGGGACAATTCAGAAGAGGCTCATGTTGTATTTTTCTCAAAAAATTATGAATTAGAATCCTTGTTTACTGGTGTTTGTGGCGAGTTCCTTGTTCAAATGTGCAATATACACGGACCATTTTTCGAGCAGAACATCTGAGGCATTTCCACTTTCCAAAACTGCGATTTCAGAGGAATTGATGTACTGAAAATATACAATTTCTTTGGGTCTTTTTAGGAGCTCTCTAACTCACGACAAAAAATTTGGGATGATTTTCAACGATAATTCCAACATGGGCAGGGAAAAGTTCTGAGAATTTGCTCTTGTCAACTTCCTCTTGTAAATTTATACCGCATTCTTTAAGGCACATCATTTCGTAGCAACAACCCCAGCACTAAAAAATGATATTATTAGAGCTCTTAAGGCTTCCTGGGCTTTCTGAAAACTCACCAAACTGCCGTAAGACAATGCTCTGTCTATCTCCTCAGCTGTCGCGTTTTTATCATAATGAGGATCGGAATAATTATCAACATCGGGCCTACAGACGCGTTGTTCTGGATGTTCAGCAAAATATCTGAGGTCTTCCGACGATCTCTCACAGTTCCATCTGTTGAAGGCACTTTTGAAGGGGCACCAGATTTCAGCTCCGGCTCCGAAGAAGACCAAGACAAACACACAAATTCCCAATTTCGAAATCATTACCTAAAAGTTAGAGAGTTAAAGATGCTAGAGAGGCTAGAGATGCAGGAGAATTTTTTTTTTGAGAAAAAAAAATAAAAATTGTGAAGAGCTCGGGGTTTTTATATGACTCCGCCCACAAAAAATAACCCAAGCTCCGCCTAGAAAAATATGGATAATAGAGTGCAATTTTTGAGATATTCAAGAACTGTAGGAGAATTTGGGTTACTGTACATAGAATGTGAAATGAAGCTTTGATTTTCAGAAAAATCAGGGGATTTGGACCATTTTGATACCAAACAAAGGGGGTTTTTGAAGATTTATTGATTTTTCCTTGGTTTTGTGCTGAAATTCAGAATTTTTGATAGGAAGCCTAAAAATATAAAATTCTGGATCTCAGAAATTCAACAAAATTTTGAAAATCATATTTGAATCTTCCAATTTTTGCCAAAAAAAATTGCACCGTAAATTCCTGTGAGCCTAGATTTAAGGCTGGAAAAGATTCTGAAAATCGGCAAAAATTATTTTTAGTGAAATTTTAAAAATTCCTAGATTTTATCTAAAATTTAAAAAAAAAATGACGATTTTTCCCAGAAAATTTTTTAAAAAGCTGAAAAAAATTTTTCCAAATGTTTTTTAATCTTCTGAAATTTGTGAGATGAAGTTCTAAAGCTCTGAAAATCCAATCTGAAAATTTTTCTTTAAAACTTCTGAAGACATTTTTTTGTTAACAGATTTATTCGAAAAAAAACACATTTTCAACGAACAAAGAAAAGGGTTCCTAGGAACAATTGAAGTATATCAAAAAGAAGTTAGAGGAAATCAAGAAAAAAGGTACATATTTTTGAGGGGAAAATTCAGAAGAGGTTTTTCTCAGAAAAAATATGAATCAGAATCCTTGTTTTTGGAGCTCTTGGCGAGATTTTTGTTCAAATGAGTCAAGTACACAAGCCATTTTTCGATGAGTAAACTTGAAGCTTTTCCACTTTCCAAAACATCGATTTCAGAAGCATTGATGTGCTGAAAATATATAATTTCTTTAGGTTTTCTGGGCTCTCTTTTAACTCACCGCGAAGAACTTAGGATAACTTTCAACAATTTTTCCAACATATCCTGGAAACATGGCTCCAACTTTGCTCGTAAAAACTTCTGTGATATCTATACCGCATTGTTCAAGGCATAGTTGTTCGTAGCAGCAAAAATGATACTGAAAAATAATGCGGCTAGGCTTGAACTTTTTAGGCTTGACTCACTTTATCATATTCCGAAATCTCGAGTTGTCTTTCAAGTTCAACATCAGGGCGACTGAAGTGTTGTTCGGGATGATCATCGAGATATTTGATGTAGTCCATTTTTCTTTCACAGTATCCTTTGCCACTTCTGCTGAGCTCATTTCTGAATGGGCATTTGTATCTGCTGAGTTCAGCCGTGGTGAAGAGCATCACCAAAACAGCCAATTTCAAGAGCATTTCTGAAAGTTAGAGAGGCTAGAGAGGCAAGAGTTTCTGATTGTGAGCTCAAAGTTTTTGAGCGATAATTTTTTTCTAAATGAAAATTGTGAAGAGTTCTAGTGTTTTTACATGGCTCCGCCCCCAAAAACTTTAATTTGAGCCCGCCTGTTGCGAGAGATATCTAGAAACTGTATGAGAATGGGGGTTACTGTAGAATGCTTTGAAGCTTTGATTTTCAGGAAAATCTGGAGATTTAGAGCATTTTGATACCAAATGATAGTATTGAAATTTCAAACGCTGAGCTTAACATGAGCAACGCATTAATTTCTTTTGAAAAATCCAAAAATTTTCAGCGTAATATGAGCAATGATATAATATGGAGTGACAATTATTTTTGGGAACTTCAAGGTTTCCAGGAAAAAACGTCATTGCTCATGTTAGGCACTAATTTTTAAATTTTTTAAGAAAAATGAGTTATTTTCAAAGTTTCCAAGATTTTTTATACAGAAAATTATTGATTTTTCAGCTCCTCACATTCTGAAATAATTGAAAAAATTGCAATTTTGAAATTCGAGACTTATGAAAAAAAGTTTCTAAATTTAGAATTCCAGAAAAAATTTAGATTTTTCAGAACAACAAATATGAGAAGATTAGTTGAGACCTACTGTAATTCCAGATTAGATTAGAAAAGCACTTAGGCTAAATCGGATATTTTTAGACAAACAAAATACTAATCTTTTCATATTTTTTTGTTCAAAACATATTCTGATGACGAATTTTCTTCAGAATTCTAAATTTAGAACTCATTTTTCCTAGGTCCGAAATTTCGAAATCACAATTTTTTCAATTATTTCAGATTCTAAGGAGCTCAAAAATAAATAATTTTTCGCCCAAAAAATCGTGGAAACTATAGAAAAAACTTTTTGTTCTGAAAATTTCAAAACAGCTGAAATTTATTGATTTTTTGTTTGGTAGAGATGTTTGATGTCACAAATATTACTGTAGAAACGCTATAATTAATCAGGTTTTTTCAGGTTCAATTACAGTACTTTTTGATATTTGACAAAGTTTATATAATTATAGATAGAGCTGGAATAATTATAAGCAAACTACGGTAGATTTCAGAGAAGCTCAAATTTTTAGAGAGATGTTTTTGAAGCTGAAAATTCTTGAAAAAAGTTCTGCTCACTTCCTAAATCTTCTTCTGATAATTCGTATAGTTTACATGATTTTTTGAAAAAAAGTCATTCACTGGAAACAAAAATCTGAAAATTTTCAGATGAATGAATTTTTGAAATTTGGTTTTTTGAATCATCAAATGATTTTTTTACCCTGAAATCTACCGTAGTTTGCTCCAGCTCTATCTATAATTATATAAAAATTTGTCATATGTCAAAAATACTGTAATTAAAGTTATTTCTGTTTCTAGAACTCAGAACAAACCTGAAATTAAAAACAAAATTAATTATAGCTTTTCTACAGTAATATTTGTGACCTCAAACATCTTCACCAAACAAAAAATCGATAAATTTCAGCTGTTTTCAAATTTTCAATTTTTTTTTGAGAAAAAAAGTTTTTTCTATAGTTTCCAGGATTTTTTTAGCAAAAAATTATTGATTTTTGAGCTCCTCAGAATCTGAAATAATTGAAAAAATTGCAATTTCGAAATTTCGGACCTATAAAAAAAAGTTTCTAAATTTAGAGTTCTGAAGAAAATTCGTCATCAAAATATGTTTTGAACAAAAAATGTGAAAAGATTAGCATTGATTTCAGATTTGTCTAAAAATATCACACTTAGCCTAAGTGCTTTTCTAATCTAATCTGATATTACAGTAGTTCTCAACTAATCTTTTCATATTTGTTGTTAAGCTGATGACAAAGTTTTTCTGGAATTCTAAATTTAGAAACTTTTTTTCATAAGTTTGGAATTTTGAAATTGAAATTTTTTCAATTATTCCAGATTCTGAGGAGCTCAAAAATCGATAATTTTCTGTATGAAAAATCTTGGAAGCATTGAAAACAACTCAAAATTTGAAAAAATTTGTGCCTAACATGAGCAATGATGTTTTTTCCTGATGAAAATTCTTGTTACGACAAGGTTTATAAAAACAAACATTTTAGCATTGCTCATGTTATGCTGAAATTTTGGATTTTTAAAGAATTTTGATGCATTGCTCATGTTAAGCTCAGCCTTCGAAATTTCAATATTCCCCGTGTTGGGTATCAAAATGCTCCAAATCTCCAGATTTTCCTGAAAATCAAAGCTTTATTTCACATTCTACAGTAACCCACATTCTTATACAGTTCCTAGATATCTCGAAAACCTTGAGGTTTCCTAAAATAATAAAATTGAAAAAAAAGATTTATGAAAAAAAATCAAACAATATTTAGTTGAGGTTGTTTCAATTCCACAGCAGTTGATTTCGGCCAAGTTTTTTCATACCATTCCCAAACAACTTCATAAATGTGTAAAGAACAGATCTGCATGTAATATATGTACATTATGATGACAGTAGAAATCAGCGAATAACTTCCTTTGAGATCTTCGAGTTCCAATGGAGTATAGTATTCAAGAAAAGCGGGAAGCCCAAAACAAAGAAAATAAAATAATTTTGCAAAAAATACAATCATAATCGGCCAAAAATCGAGAAGCACTGCGACAAGGCTGACAATTTGGAAGAGTAGATTGAAAAGTTTATAGTTGTCGAGATCCTCCATGTTGATTATGTTAACCATAACGAGAGTGTGAAGAAGCATGCAGAGTATGAGGGAATTTTTTAGAAAGCTCTTGAACTGCAAAAAAAAATCGATAAATTAAAAGCTACAGTATATCAAAAAAAGCTACAGTAGTTTCCACAAAATCCAAAAAAAACTTACAAATCCAAATCGAGCTTGGAAAACTGTCTCGTCTGTCCTCTCGATTTTTTTGATTCCAGAAGAATTTCCAAGTTTGACAGTCATCTTGGAAAAAATATACAGATTTGTAGATTTTTTCGGTGAATGAATGAGAAAAAATGGCGTGGTCTAAGGTCAGGTCAACCGCCCCTTTTTAAAAATATTATCGATTTTTTTTGTGCACCACATCTGTTGCTTTTCTAGATGTTTATCTCACAGGGACCATTATACATATGAGAGAGTACAGTGTTATGAGAGACGGCAGACAGCTATTCAAATGTTTCTGCAAAAATTATTTTTTATAGAACTTTTATCCTAATATGAGCAATGTCAGACATTTTACAAAGTTTCCCATTTTGCATCTTAATATGAGCAATTACTGTATCTTGAATTTTGGCGCGAAAAATGTCATTTTTTGTTTTGTTGAAGGATTAACCTTATCAATTTTTCTTTAGAAAATTGTTTATTCAAAAAAGGATTAGAAAAACTTTGGATTACTGTAATCCAGTCTTGAAAAGCCTTGGACGCCTGAAAATCTTGAATTTTCGAGGGTTTTCAGGTATTCACGTTAAGCCGAAATTTTGAAAATCTTCAAAATTTCAGTTTTTTTTCAGATTTTTTAGCCATGATTCATTCGATCAAAATCCAAACATTCAAATTTCGAAATTTCATTCAACTGGAAATTTTCAGAAGTTTGTTTCCAGTGACTGAATTTTGCAATAACAAATTTGGATTTTTTTTTCAGAAAATCATGTAAACTATATATAAATTATCAGAAGAAGTTAGCAGAACTTTTTTCAAAAATTTTCAGCTTGGAAAATTTACGCTTATCTGAAATCTACCGTAGTTTGCTCATGATTATTCCAGCATTATCTATAATTATATAAAATTTGTCAAATGACAAAAAGTACTGTAATTAAGCCTGAAATAAATTAATTATAGCTTTTCTACAGTAGTATTTGGACCTCAAATCGAATAATTTCAGCTGTTTTGAAATTTTCAGGAGAAAACAAGTTTTTTTTAAAGTTTCCAGAATTTTTTAAGCAATGAATTATTGATTTTTGAATTCCTTAGCTTCTGAAATAATTTAAAAAATTGCAATTTTGTAATTTCGAAGCTATGAAAAAAAGTTTCTAAATTTAGAAATTTCAAGAAAATCATCTGGGATTTCAAAGTTCTATGCGTTGCTCATGTTAAAGTGTTTTTAATGATCTACAACTAATATGAGCAATCTAAACAATTGGATTACTGTAGAATTGACTTTTTTGAAATTAAAAATAGAACATTTTGAAACAAACATCGGATTACAGTAACCCAATAAGATTATCAGTTTTTCTAATCTTTTTTTAATAAACAATTTTCTGTTGATAAGGTTAATCCTCGTAACAAAACAATAATGACATTTTTCGCGCGAAAATCCAAGCTACAGTAATCTTGCAAAATTAAAAAGGGACCATTTATTCATGAAAAAAACATATCAAACAACACTCAAATCCTCTCCAGATTTTTTTCTCCAAATATTATTCTTATACCACATGTGATATACATAAATCGTTTGTTTGAGCAACGTGTCAAAGTACACTGCGAACAACACTTGAATAAGACATCTCAGCCAAAAATTTGTGCATATAATATGTTTGGGATCGATTGGAAGATGTGTTTTGAAGATTAAATGAAGTTCCAAGAAAATACAAACAGCTTGTTTGACGCAAAAAAGCATCATTATCCCCCAAAAATCGAAAATCACTGCGAGAAAGCTGACAATTTGGAAGATCAAACAATAAATGTTATAATCGCTGGCGCCATCTTTGTAGATTACTGTAGCTGAGAAGACGATGTGAAGAAGCATGAAGAAGATGAGGAATTTTTTTCTTAATTTTCGGATTCTGTTGATTTTTGGGTCCTGGAAAAATCGATAAATTTTTAGGTACGGTAACTCTGAAAATCGGGGTTTTTAGATTTAAAATCTGGGCTTATTTAGGCTCAAAAATATCAGATTTTCAAGCTGAAATGCTAGACCTATCACCCCAAAAATCTGGGCTTTCATAGGCTCAAAAAAATTCAGAAATTCAGGATTGAACCTAGGCTTATTTAGACTCTAAAAATCCAGATTTCAGCCTGGAAATCTAGGCTTTTTTAGGCTCAAAAAATCAATAAAACTCACAATTTCAGCAGCATTTTCAGCAGTTTCACCTTCGTTTTGCTCTGCATTTTTTCGAGCCGAATCTTCAATCATCATAATCTTCATTTCGCAAAAAAAATCGATAGCGCTCACCAAAAAAACAAACGCTGTGTACAATATTTTTGTGGTGAATGAAAAAAAATGTGTGGGTGGGTCGGGTCAACAACAGCTCGCCCGCCCGCCCAAAAATTATTATTGATTTTTCTGTGCACCCACACAACATCTGCTAGTTTTCCCCTTTGGGAAGCCAAGATTCGAGAGAGTACTGTATGATGAGAGACGGCAGACGGTTAGAGAGAATTGTGACAGGGGTTTTGATATTTTTGCTCTCAAGGCTCGTCTCCTTGTCAGAGCTGTGTTCAAGACGCCACCCATTGTCGAAGCTGTTTTCAAGGCGCCGCTACTTCTCATATAAGCTCTCAAGGCGCAGCTCCTTGTCAGAGCTGTTTTCAAGGCTCGTCTCCTTGTCAGAGATGTTTTTAAGGCGCAGCTCCTTGTCAGAGTTGTTTTCAAGGCGCAACTCTTTGTCAAAGATGTTTTCAAGACGACACCCCTTGTCGAAGCTGTTTTCAAAGAGCAGCTCCTTGTCAGAGCTGTTTTCAAGACGCCGCTCCTTGTCAAAGTGCATTCAAGGCTCTTTTCCTTGTCAAATGTGTTTTAAAGGGTTTTTAAATTTCTGGGTTACTGTAACCTACTGTAATCTGTGTTATCTGCTTAAAATTTTAAGACATCAATTTTGTCACAAGAAAAATAATAATCTGAAAATCCTAAGAAGATTTAAAAAACAATTTTCTGAAAGTGCTAGGACTGAAAATTCCTTTTCAAAAAGGGACCATAAAATTTGGATTACTGTGTGAAATTAAAACACAAATTCTCTAGCCTCTCTGCGTCTCTTCTCTCTCTTCTCTCTGCCAAGAGCAGCAGTTGTGTGCCCAGAAAAAAAATCGATAATAATCGCAACATTTTTTTGTGTGTGTGTGTGTGACCTAACCTAACAGAAGAAAAGACCACCCATATTTTTTTTTCTCTCATTTTTTCGTGAGATCTATCGATTTCTGTCAGAATGACTATCAAAGTTGGCAATTTTTCGGGAAACAAGAAAATCGATGAAAAACACGAGGATGTGGCTGAAACTGTGAGTTTTTTGATTTTTTTAAAGCTGAAAATTTATTGATTTTTTGCTTCAGAAGCCTCCACGTTTGAACATGTCTCTCAAAACAATCTTCATCATCTTCATGTTACCACAAGTCTTATATTGGATTGGTCAGATCTATAAATTTGGGTGGACTCAGGAGCGCGCATTGCCGCTGATTTGGAATTCTGTTACCACTCTTTCAGGTGAGTTTGGGTTACTGTAGGGGATTTTGGCACAATTTTTTTTCGATGGGATACTGTAGATCTAGATTATTCAAAACTTCTTAAATTCCAGTCATCTTCAACATTGGCGAAATCATGGCAATATTTGTGTTGTTACAATTACGGTATTACGTCCAATTAAATCCAAGTGTGTTTCAAACTATTTTCATTCCTTTTTTGACTCAACCTTTTGTTTTTTTCCTCGCCTTGCATGCTTTTTACATTTCCTATTTTTACATTTGTTTGGCACAAACTTTTCATGTTTTGAAAGTTTCCTACAAAAAGAGATTTGCGATGATTGTGAAGAAGAAGAAGATGCAACCATTGTATGATGTTTGATTTTTATTGATTTTTTTGGATTTTTGTTGAAATTTGTTGCAATAAATCAATTTTTAGGAGTTAAAGGTGCCAATTTTTATTGCTCATTTTAAAATCAAAAAATCTAAATCAGGCGTTGCTCATGTTAGAACTGATTTTCTTATGATCTACAAATAATATGAGCAATGCACTTTGATAACTGAATACAGTGGAATTGATCTTCAGAACTTCTAAATTTAGAGAATCAAATCTTGGATTACAGTAGTCCAATCAGATTACAGTAATCCAATAAGATTATTAGTTTTCTAAACAATTTTCAATCCTTTTTCAGATAAACAATTTTCTAAAGAAACAAAAAACTACAGTAATCCTAGCGAAATCTTCATGATTCATCAGATCAAACATTCAAATTTCAAAAATTCATTCATCTGAAAATTTTCAGTGGCTGCATTTTTCAATAACAAATTAATTATTCAAAAATCACGAATTTCCAAATTTAGCACAACTTCTTCTCGGAAATTTCGAAAAACGAATTTTTCAGCTGTTTTTTGCAGGTGGAAAATTTTAGAAAAAAATTTTCAAGTTTCAGATTATTTCCAGGAAAAACAGACCAAGATAACTCTCACAGGGAGCAAAGTATGAGAGAGTACAGTAAACTGAGAGAGTGCAGGCGGTTAGAGAAACTTGTGACAGGGACCATTAATTCATTTGGAAATAGTGGATCGAAAATAACATTTTCAGACAAATGAAGTAGAGGTTTAAAATGAGCAATCCCAGAAAAAATCAATAAATCTGAAGTTAGAAATTGCTCTCAAGGCGCAGCTCCTTTTCAGGGCTCTTTTCAAGGCGCAGCTCCTTGTCAAATATGTTTTCAAAGCGCAGCTCTTTGTCAGAGATGTTTTCAAGGCGCAGCTCTTTGTCAGAGATGTTTTCAAGGCGCAGCTCTTTGTCAGGGCTGTTTTCAAGGTGCAGCTCCTTGTCAAAGATGGTTTCAAGGCGCAGCTCCTTGTCAGGGCTGTTTTCAAGGCGCAGCTCCTTGTCAAATATGTTTTCAAAGCGCAGCTCCTTGTCAAATATGTTTTCAAAGCGCAGCTCTTTGTCAGAGATGTTTTCAAGGCGCAGCTCTTTGTCAGAGATGTTTTCAAGGCGCAGCTCTTTGTCAGGGCTGTTTTCAAGGAGCAGCTCCTTGTCAAAGATGGTTTCAAGGCGCAGCTCCTTGTCAGGGCTGTTTTCAAGGGTTTTTGAATATCTGGGTTACTGTAGCCTACTGTAATCTGTATTATCCTTTTGTTTACAGAAAATTTAAGACACCAATTTTTTTCACGCAAAAACTCATAATCTGAAAATCCTAAGAAGATTTAAAAAGCAATTTTCTCGAAGTGCACGGATTTGAAGGATTTTCAAAATCTTTTTGAATCGAAATAATTTGGATAATCGAAAAATAAAGCGGGTTACTGTAAGTCCGAGGATTTCACCTGAGCCAAAAATCGATAAGCTTAAGCCTACCGTATTCCATTTTAAATGCGATTTTTAATTAAAATAATGGCAGGTCTCACACATTTTGTTATTCGCCTACCTTTCACCAGAAACCCCGACCAGCACCTGGCTAATCTGAGCAATTATGAGCTTATGAGCATGTGGTGCTCGCGGCAAAGAGGAGATCAAATTAGAAACCACACCACCTGATGGGCGGAGCCTGCACCAAGAAGAAATTCACCTCCACCAATTTTTGGCCATATCATTTGTGCTCGTTTTCTGGTGCGGAGTTTGGTGAACTCAATTTTTTTCCGGGATTTCTGGGGTGACTAGGGTTCTGAAGCTTCAGAAGGCTTTTGAAGGCTTCTAGAGCTTCAGAAGGCTTTAGAGAGCTTCAGATGTCCACAGAAGGTTTTTGAAGGCTTCAGAAGTCCTAAAAAGGCTTTGGAAGACTTCAGAAGTCCTCAGAAGGCTTTTGATGGCTTCAGTAAACCTCAGAAGGCTTTTGAAGGCTTCAGAAGCCCTCAGAAGGCTTTTGAAAGCTTCAGAAGGCTTTTGAAGGCTTCAGAAGACTTCAGAACTCTTCAGAAGGCTTCTGAGCGCTTCTAAACACTCCCTAAAGCTTTTTACGCTTCTAAAAGCTTCCCAAAAACTCCCAAGGCTTCTAAACTTTATTTACTTTCAGAATGGTCGATTCTTGTTCACCTGAATCCATCCAAAACGCAATCGATGAAATCGAGAATGAAAATCTGGATATTGCAATCAACTCAATCAAATATCTCCAACAACAAATTTCCGAATTCCAATTTGACGATTATGAAACAATCTTTCATAAATTGTTCGAATCAATGTCTGAAAAATGTTGTGATTCGGCAAAACTCGAAGCTAGTTTGGAACTTATCCAGAAGCTTTGCATCGAAAAGCAATACGATTTTTTCGAATTCATAATTTCTCAAATTTTCGACCAAAAATATCGTTTCAAAGCTTATCTACGTCACAATATTCTGGGATATTTGAAACAAACATCAGGCGAACAATTGTTCGATCATCTTTTCACAACAATTCAGAGACGTTGGATTTATGATGCTTATAACAGGGAGGAAATCGAGTGTCAAATATTGGAGATGTTTTGTGTGACTTTCTCGAAATCCGATATTATCGAATATGAAAAAGAGTATGCTTTCGAAGTTTTGACAAAAATGTTCAAGACACACATGGATAAGCCAAAATTTCGCTTTTTCATGTTTAATTCGGATTTGGTGGATTTTTTCGATATTGCTTATTATGGTATTGTATATAATGAGATTAGTGTTGCTGACCTTAAGATGTTCGGAGATGAATTGATTCAGACAGCACATAAAATGCGGGGTGATGATAAGACATCGAAAATGATGGAGAAAGAACTTATTGATAAAGTATGTTTCGAAAAATTCTTTAAGAGGCTTCTCGGGGCTTCTCAGGGATTGTGGGGGCTTCTGGAAACTTCCGGGGGCTTCTGGGAGCTCCTAGAGCCTCCTAGAGGCTTCAATAAGCTTTCAGGGCTTTCGGAGGCTTCCCAAGCCTTCTTCTACAGTAATTACAGTAACCTTGGCGCCAAAAATCCAAATATTCATTTTTTACAGTACCTCAAAATGCTCTTGCCACATGGAACGATGTGTGCTGCCACAAATCTTCACAACTCCTACGTCTTGACCTCCGAAGAATTTGAAAACATCCAGAAGAAATTTGAAAACTGTGCTCTGGAAAAAAATTGGTTGGGATTGGAGAATATAGTTGAAAATCAGGATGACAGTTCGGACGAAGATGAAAGTTCGGTAGAAGACGAAGATGAAAGTTCGGATGATGATGAGGAGCTGGGAGAAGCTCAAAATCAAAAAATCCAGCATGACACTTGGGGCCAAGAACCTGTTCAATATGATCCGTCTGAACTTTTGAGCGATGAGGAAAATCAGACATTGAACAATGAACATTCTGACGATGATGACAGATCGGAGGACAATTGGGGCGTTGGAAAAAATGCGGTTCAATATGACATCGATGAGGAAGATCTAGACCAAACTGAAAATCAAGGGGGAATTGCTGAACGCCAGCCTGACACGTGGGGCCAAGAACCTGTTGAATATGACGGGCCTGAAGATTTGGAAACAGAGGAAAATCAGGATGAAGATATCGTGGAGGATGAAATTGTTGCTGAAAATGATGCTGCTGAAACTTCGCAAGAAAAAGAAGAGGATCAAACTTTCTTCTCATATTTGACTTCATTCTTCTATTAAACAATTATACCTAATTAATTAATCAACAAATATATTTATCCATGATTTTTCCTATATTTTGATTAATTATATAATCAACCAATTATTATATTAATCTCCTAATTTTAATTAACCAATCAATTATATTTATCCATAATTTTTCCCATATTTTAACTAATTATCTAATCAACTAATTATATTTATCCAATTATTTAATCGCAATAAATATTTTATCCAAAAAAATCTGCACTTAGAATTCTTAGGTTTCCTATGATCAAACAACATCTGAAATTTCTGCAAAAAGTTTGGAGTTTGCTCTTTTTCAATGTGCATTAATTAAGCATTCTCAGAAAATCGCATTTTTTGTAGTCAAACGCATAAAGCACATAATTCATGTGTATTTTTAGGAATAATAGTAGATTTTGAAATTTTTAGGGACCTGAAAGTTTCTCTAAGCGCGGCTGCTTCTCATAGGCGCTCTCAAGGCGCCGCTGCTTGTCACAATTGTTTTCTAGGCGCCGCTACTTTTCATAAGCGCTCTTAAGGATCGGCTACTTCTCATAGGCGCTCTCAAGAACCCGCTGCTTGTCACAATTGTTCTCTAGGCTCAGCTCCTTGTCGAAGCATTTTTGAGCATTTTCTTTCTTTCTAGAACTTCTTACTCACATCAAACCTATAATTTTATTCTGTTTGTAAAGTTTATTCTGAATTTGAGAAAAAATATGATAACAGGGTTAAACTGGGTTACTGTAATTAATTACAGATTCCAAAATAGGTGACAAATTTGTAAGGGGAAAACAAATTTTATACGAAAAAATTGAGGGATTTGAAATTTTTTCGAAAGTTTTCACGCAAATTTTCAGATTCCAGGAAACTTACAGGAAATTCTACAGTAGGAACCTGATATCTGCAGAAAATCAATACGACGATCTAGTGGTTAGTAGTTAAGCCTGCTGATCTAAAGGTCGGGGGATCGAACCCCGAAGGGGGCAAACTGTTTTTCAAAAATTCATAACTCAACTTCCAGTGTATGGTTTTCAATGATCAAAAAATCATTTTGAAGGTCTTGAGATGCTCTACAAGGCTAAATTCATTTGGAGAACCTAAAATTAAAATCAGGTTCATTTTTCAGCTTTTGAAGTTCATTTTCGCAATGTCAAGTCTTTCACGTTTTCTCCAGGCATTTAGACAATTCAGAAAATTTTTTCCAAGCTTCCAGAAACTTTTCGATATACATATATTAGATTTTTTCAGATCTTCTGAAACTTTCCAGATTCTTCCCAAACCTTCTGAATCTTTTCCAGACTTCTAATAACTCTAGATGAATTTTCCAGATCTTCCAGATTCTTTCCAGCGTCACAAATCTTGAAATCACTTTTTTGCGGTGATGTTTGACTCTGCAGCACTATTTTCAGCTGCTCAACGTTGATTTTGTGCTCAAAATGCTCTTCTGCGGCTCAAAAGGGATTGTGCATATGTATATTTCTCTATTCCACACTATTTTCAATATAATTTTGCTCTAATTTCAGCTGCTGCTGCTCAAAATCAGGGCCAGCAAGATCTCTTTATCTCTTCGTCTCTTCAGGTGCCAGGCACCGCTCATTTTCAGCATGATTTCATTGTGCTCTGAAAATGAGCGGTGCCTGGCACATGAGGATACGCAGAGACGAAGAGATCTTGCTGGCCCTGATTTTGAGCATTTTGAGTAGGATTTTAATGAAAATAGTGTGTGTGTGTGTGATAGAGAAATATACTTAGGCTAAGTCACTTTTTATCTGCGAGAAGAGCAGCTGAAAATTTAGAGCACTTGTTGGTCAGAAGCAAACATCAACATTTGAAAAATGCTTTCAAGATTTGTGGCTTGTGATAAGCTTGTCTATGATGATGTAATTGAGGAGCAAATAAAACTTGATAAAACCTTTTGAGGGGTTGACAAAAATACAAAATATTTTCAGCATGGGAAAAATATGACCTGAAAATTTTTCTGAAGAATCTAAAACGGATTCTAGAAGTTCTTGTGGATCTTCATGTCAAGTAGCCGAGCCTTGTCGATCAATATGTCAAGCAGCTGAGCCTTGTGAACTTATATGTCAAGCAGCCGAGTCTTCTGAACCTTGCTGTCAAGCAGCCGAGGCTTCTGAACGTTCCTGACAAGCAGCAATGCCTTCTGAACGTATCTGTCAAGCAGCCGAGCCTTCTGAACCTCAATTTTGAGTACCCATGCCTTATGAACGTTAATTTCAAGGAGCGATGTATTGTAAACTTCGCTGTCAAGCATTCATGCCTTTCAAACCTCTCTGTTAAGCAGCCGAGCCTTATGAATCACGCTGTCAAGCAGCCGAGTCTTGTCAATCAATATATCAAGCAGCCGAGCTTTGTAAACTCAAATGTCAAGCATTCGTGCCTTGTCGATCAAGATGTGAAGCATTCGTGGCTTGCCGACCAATGTGTCAAGCAGCCGAGCCTTCTGAACCTCACTGTCAAGCAGTTGCGCCTTGTGGAAACTCCAGCCAAGTAGCCGCGCCTTATAAACCTCGCTGTCAAGCAGCCGAGCCTTGTCAATCAATATGTCAAGCAGCCGAGCCTTGTGGCACCTCAAAAATCTGTCAGATACTTCAAAAGCTTATAGATTGCCTGGAAAATTTGCTGAAATTTCCAGAAACTCGCCAAAAATTTTTAGAATATTCAGAAAATTTATTCAACCACAAAATAACAAGAAAACTTATCCCGTAAGATTTTTCAATCTCAAATATCCCCCTTCAAACTGCAAATACATCAATTTTCTGCGATTAGTGCTGTTTCGAATGGCAAGAAGTTTTTCACTGAATGTGAGAAAATTGGATTTACATAAAAAAAAGTTTTGCTAACTCACAAATTCTTTTCCGAACTTCCAAGAAGTTTCCACAATTTTTCGCAATCAAAGTCTCGCTCTCCGACAAAAATCATGTAATAAATAATGCTGTGTTTCCATTCTCCATTTTGATATAATTTCAACCAATCTGCAATGTTTTTTTCCGTCAATCTTCCAAGTTCCATTTCCACGTTTTTAGCTGTCAGTTTGATGAGATTCTCATATTTCAATCGCAGTTTATTGAACACGATTCTATTGTGAGCATGGTAGATCTGAAAATAAGGGAGAGAGAGTTAGAGAGGCTAGAGAGGCTAGAGAGCCCAGAGAAAAATAATTTACCTGTTCATATTGCAAAACCCGATAATCAACTCTTGAATTATAACCCTGATTGATAATAAGAGTGTCCAAAGGTTTCGTGAGCTTCCAAAAAATCTTGCCATAACTAATACCATTATCAGTTGTGATTTGAAGTCTTTCCAATCTTGGCAATTTCTCAACATCAATGTCAAAAGTCTCTGCAGCATACGGACGAATATGAAGAGATCTGATCGAATTCTGATGCTCGTGGAGCAACTTTTCGAATTGCCTGCAACAATTCAAATTTGCTTCTTTCCTGGAGTTTCCAACTTTTTCTCTCCAGAGTTCTTTTCCCTCGTCGGATTTTGAGCTGCAAAAACACAAAAAACATGATTTTCTCTAACTTTCTATGCTCTATGCTCACCAAATCATCTCATTTTTCTCAAAATTCAATCGATAATCGGTGTGATTCATCGAATGTCCAACAAAAATTGCTGGAATACTAGTGGAACTTCGGAAATTCAGATATTGTAGGAAGTAAGGTGATGTTTTGCAGAGGGTTTCGGATAATCTTGAGACTTGCGACATATTTGATCTACCTTCCGAGCCAAGCATGTTGATGATTTCCATTTTTATCTCCATTGGAAGATTGTCGTAGGTCTGGAAGAGAAGAGTTCAAGGGCACTTTAGATATTCTGGAGTTCAGTGTGAACTTCTATAGAATCCTGTGAGCTTCTAGACCCCTGGGACTCCTCAAAACTCACTGGTGGCGGCGGCTTTTTGACCTTTTTAAACCCTTTGCCAATTTTGTTGAGCACTTTTCTGATTCTTCCCATTTTTGAGCTGAATTCTGGAAAAAAAAATTTAAATAATATTTGGAATTTGAAGAAAATAAATAATATGAGCAATGAAAATTAATTTTTAGATTTCAAAAATTAATATACAAAACATAGGCTAAATTATAAAAATAATGAGCTAAATCGATTTCTTCCCCAAAAAATGCTCTCTAATGACGCTTCCCAAACGCCAGGTTTTTGTTGTCTGCGTATCTCTAATTATAATGCTATTTTATCATGATGCGCATAAGGTGTGCATTATTTGAATGTGTGAATCATGAATACAATTCCAGAATTTCTAGAAGTCTAGGAGGTTTTAAGGATTCTTCAGAAACTTGAGTAGAATTCTAGAAAGTTTAGGAGGTTTTCAGAATTCTTTGGAAGCTTGGAAATAATTCTAGAAAGTCTAGAAAGGTCTCAGGATTCTTCAGAAGCACGGGAATGATTCTAGAAGGTCTAGAGGATCTCAGATTTCTTTAGAAGCTTGGACAGAATTCCAGAAGGTCTAGGAGTTTCTATGGATTTTTCAGAAACTTGGAAATAATTCTAGAAAGTCTAGAAGGCTCTGAGGATTTTTCAGAAGCTCTAAAATAATTCTAGAATGTCTAGAAAGCTCTCAGGATTCTTCAGAAGCCCGATCAAGGTTCCGAAGGTTAACTTTCATATTTTAAAATCTTGAAATTCACCTAGACTTCCTGAAATTTCATCCAGGCTTTTTGAGAATCCCGAGATCCACCAAAACCTTCTGAAGAATTTGAATCTAAAATTTCCCTGGAAAATGTATACCTCTGATCAAACTACATATACAAAAAAGCAACAGATTTATCGATTATTTCCGAAAAATTCGGCGGTAAGATTTCTCAACTGCAAAAATCCTTGCGAAAATTTCAAATGCAACATTTTCCTGCGATTTGCTCTGGTTCGAATTGCAAGGTATTTATTGCTGAAAAATTTTTGACTTAAAACAAACGGGATTTCAGAATTAACTCACAGATCCTTCTCTGACGATCCAAGAAGTCTCCACAATTTGTGACAATCAAACGCCCAAAAATTCACATCAATACAGTAGTTGAGTACTGTATGTTGCCATTCTCCATTTTGATACATTTTTAGCCAGTCGGCGATATTCTCTTCGGATAATAGTCCAATTCTGAATTCACAGTTAGTTGCTTTGATTTTTATGAGCTCCTCATAATTCAAGGCTAAATCTCGAACATCTAGTTTTTCATGAGCTTGATAGATCTGAAATAAAAATAGAATCAGAGCTCAGAGCTTATTCGAACCTGTTCAATTTCCATAAAACGATTCCGACTCTCCTCTGAACCATTTCCTTCACAAATCGTCAGATTTTTCAAAGGCTTCTCAAGAATCTCAAAAACTGGTCGATAATCAAAACCATCTTCAATCGTGATTTTTAGATTTTCCAATCTTTCGAGTTTTGTATCAGTTGGGAATGACAAGCTTCGCGAATTTTCCGGATGAATATGAAGTTCACGAATCGTTTTCTGATGTTGATGCACCATTTTTGCGAAATGCTCACAAGCATTTTCAATTGTTGTTTTTCCAGTGTCGCCCACTTTTTCCCGCCATAATTCATCGATGAATTTCTTGCTGAAAATCATTGAGTTAGCCAAAATCCATTTTTTTTCTCAAGCTCACCACGTCATAGTCTTATTCCTGAAAATCAGCTCATAATCTTTGCGGCCCATTTCATGTGCAACACAGATTTTCGGCTGTTTTTTGTGAATTCTGAAATGTAGACTTTGTAGAAAGTAAGGTGACATTTTGCAAAGGGCTTCGGATAATTTTGAGACTCGCGACATATTTGATCTACCATCAGCGCCAAGCATGTTGATGATTACCATTTTTATCTCGGTTGGAAGACTGCTGTAGGTCTGGAAGAGAAAATGGAAAATTTGAGATTCTTGAAAGAGTTCAGGAGCATTCTAGATGTTCTGGAGTTCTACAGAATCATCTTCTAGATAGATCCAAAAAGTTTTGGCTTTTCAGAACTTCCCCAGGAATTTGAGAATTTCTGGGAGGCTTCTGAGATTTCTAGAGCTCATTGAAAACTCTGGAACCCTTCTAGAACTTTTGTCTGGACTTCTACAGAATCTAATGTGCTTTTAGAACTTTGCCTGGGATTTCAGAACTTCTGGGAGGCACTTGGAATTTCTGAAAATCTTTCTGAATTTCTGGAAAATTTTCCAAGCTTTTAAAAAATTCAGAAAACTTTTTAGAATTTCAAAATTTCTGTCTGAAGTTCCATAAAGTCCAGGGAGATTTTCAGATCTTTCAGATGCTTCTGAAAACATCATAGGCTCTTCTAGACCTTCTAAAATGCTGTTCAAACTTCTAGAAAATCTTCAAGGCCTTCCAGGCTTTCTAGATTTCTTCCCGGCCCAAAAATCAACTCACTGCTTCCTCTGTCTCCTCATCTTCCACCAGCTCTTCCTTCTTCTTCTTTGCCACAACTTTTTTGCGCACAATTTTTCGTTTTCCCATTTTGTGGAAATTGATTCCTGAAAAAACAAATTGAATTTTGAAAAAAACCAATACGAAATTATATTTGGTTAATATGAGCAATGGTTTTGGGTTAATATAAATATTCAGAAAGTTGGTAGCGCATATTTTTACGACGCGCAGATGTTCATTAAACATAATAAATCACAAAAGGCGCGCAAAAAATTTACAATTAGTGCTCTGCAAGTTTGAAATTTGAAGACAAAAACATTGTAAAATATGAGAGCTAAAGCAGAAAAAAACCCAAATCAATAAAAGGCAAAAAAACAGTTGTAAATGAGAAAAAAAGATTTTGGCGAAAAAAGTGCGAAAAACATTGAGTCATATATGTTTTTCTGTTTTTAGGAGAGGTTTTTTGGTGAGGGCAAAAAAAATTTGGCCAATTTGGATTTTCAGAAGCGCTGGGTAACATTAGTTCCAGAACATCAATATGAATTCCAGAATTTTCAGAAACCTTCTCCGGATTCACCAGAACCTCAGAGATTCTAAAAAAAACTCAAGATTTTCCAGAAATTTTCAAGAAGCTCCCAAAATTTCAGAAAACCTAGAAATCTCTAAAAAGCCAAAGACAAAATTAATGCCCTGTTATTCTATTCAAATTTTTCTCTGATTCTCTTCCCCCTCTCTCTAATTTATATTCTATGCCTAAATTTGTGCGAAAGGGACAGAATACTCTCTGCTTATCTGCGTCTCTTCGCATGGCACACTCTTTTCTTCAGAAGACCTGTAGGAGAGAGTGTGTCTTGCGAAGAGACGCAGAGAAACAGAGAGTTTTTTGTCCCTTTCGAATAAATCTGGACATAGTAGGGAGAGAGAGGAGACGCAGAGAAACAGGTGGAGAAAAATTAGAATAACATTAAATGGGGTTTGGTTTTTTTCTTGAGTTTCTAAAGTTTGAGGAGCTTCTAGGTCTTCTGAAATTCGTCTCGGGCTTCTGAAAAATCATGGGAGCCTTCTTAGCTGTTTAGAATTCACCCCGGGCTTCTGGAAATCCTGAGAACCTAGGTCTTCTAGAATTCGAGTTTCTGAAAATTCTGGAATCCATATTGATCTTCTGACATCTTTGAGATCCACCTAAACCTTTTGAAACTTAGCTAGCAAAAAAATGGCCAGAATTTCTTTACTCCCACAAAAAATCTTTTCCCAAAAAAAAAACATAAAAACTGATGACTCATTGTTTTTTGCCCCTTTTTTCGCGCCACAATCTTTTTTTTTCCTCACATTCTTTTTCTCATTTACAACAGTTTTTTGCCTCTTGTTGGTTCATTTTTTCTTTAGCTCTCATATTTTACAATGTTTTTGTCTTTCAAATTTTTGGAGCACTACTTAAAAAAATTTTCGCGCCTTTGATGATTTATTTCATTTTCTGAAGCACAAATGAACATCTGCGGGACATAAAAACGTGGCATTGATTATTTATATTGACCCAGAAACATTGCTCATATTAACCAGGAAATCTCCTTTATATTCCCATAGAAACATTGCTCATATTAACTTTCAAAACATTTCTCATATCAACCAAATAGATTTTCGTATTTTATTGATTTTTTCTCTCTTTTTTTGTTCACGTATTTCAAAATTCAGTTTGTTTTTTCAGGAATCAATTTCCAAACTTGGAAAATGGGAAAAAGAAAAATTGTGAGCAACATAGTTGTGGCTAAAAAGAAGAAAGAAGAGCTGGTGGAAGATGAAGAGGAGAAGGAAGCAGTGAGTTAATTTTTGGGTCGAGAAGCCTGGACCGAAGCCTGGACCTTTTGGACCGAAGCCTGGACCTTTTGGACCGAAGCCTGGACCTTTTGGACCGAAGCCTGGACCTTTTGGACCGAAGCCTGGACCTTTTGGACCGAAGCCTGGACCTTTTGGACCGAAGCCTGGACCTTTTGGACCGAAGCCTGGACCTTTTGGACCGAAGCCTGGACCTTTTGGACCGAAGCCTGGACCTTTTGGACCGAAGCCTGGACCTTTTGGACCGAAGCCTGGACCTTTTGGACCGAAGCCTGGACCTTTTTGGGCCGAGAAGACTGGGAGGCCTCCCTGAGCTTTGTAGAACTTCATACACAAATTTTGAAATCCTAAAAACCTTTCTGAATTTTCTAAAAGCTTGGACCAAGTTTTTAGAAGTTCAGAAATATTTTTAAAGATCCCAAAAGCCACCAAGAAGTTCTGAAATTCCTTTTAATAGCTTATAAGATTCTATAGAAGTCCAGACGAATTTCTAGAAGGCCCAGACAGAGCTCTAGAAATCTCAAAAACCTCCCAGAAATTCTCCAATTCCTGGCATAGTCCTGAAAAGCCAAAACTATCTGGATCTATCTAGAAAATTCCCATGATTCAGTAGAAGTTTACGCTAAACTCCAGAAGATCTAGAATGTCCCTGAACTCTTTCACCAATCTCGAATTTTCCAATTTCTCTTCCAGACCTACGACGATCTTCCAACCGAGATAAAAATGGAAATCATCAACATGCTTGGCGCTGCAGGTAGATCAAATATGTCGCGAGTCTCAAAATTATCCGAAGCCCTTTGCAAAATGTCACCATACTTTCTACAAAGTCTGAAATTCATAATTATTGGTAAAAAACCGAGAATTATTGTTTCACATTCACGTGAAGGTAGAGATTATGTGCTGCTTTTTGGGGAAAATGAGATTATTTGGTGAGCACAACAAAAAATCGATAACTCTTTAAAAAAATGTAAAATTTTCAGCGAAAAACGTGGAATTGAATTATGGCGGGAAACACTGGCCACCACCAAATCAGAAATTCAACAAGCTTGCGAACATTTTGCAAAAATGCTTCAGCAATATCACAAAACCATTCGAGTTATTCATATTTATCCGGAAAATGCGCGAAATTTCGAATTTGCCAATAATTTGCAAAAGCTCGAAAAATTGGAATACCTTCAAATCACAATTCTAAAAGGTTTCGATTATCGAACTTTTTTTGGACAACTTCAAAAGCCTTTGAAAACTCTCTACATTTATAAGGGAACATCTGAAAAAGGCGGCTATTGAGGGTATCTTGGAAATTGATCAGGTTAGAATTTTCTCTGGGCTCTCTCTCTCTAACTAACTAATTTTATCTCAATTTCAGATCTATGAAACTCGAGGAAAACTTTATATCAAAGATTTTTATTTGAAATATGAGCAACTCATCAAACTCAAAGCAAGTTATTGTGAATTTAAAATCGGAAAAATGACCGAGGAAAATATCGCAAACTGGTTAGAATTGTATCGAAATGGAGAATGGCATCATACTGTACGCAACTATATTATGGAAGTCGATAACAAAACTTTTGATTGTCACAAATTGTGGAGACTTCTTGGATCCAGAGAGAGAGATCTGTAAGTTTCTTTTGAAATTCTGTTTTTTTTTCAAATTCAAATATTTTTTTCATTTTCAGCTACAAATACCTTGCAATTCGAACAAGAGCCGATCGCAAAAAGATGTTGCATTTGAAATTTTCTAGTAGATTTTTGGTGTTGAGAAATATTACCGCCGAATTCTTCGGAAATAATCGATAAATCTGTTGTTTTTTTGTATATAGTTTGATCAGATTACATTTTTCGGCGAAATTTCAGATCTCAGGGTGTGCTAGAAGCCAAGATTTGATTTCAGAAGGTCTAGATGAAATTTAAGAATTTTCAGAAGCCAAGATGTGATTTCAGAAGGTCCAGACAGATTTTACACCCCTTCAGAAGCCAGGGAAAAATTTCAGAAACTTCTGTGGAACTCAAAGTTCTTCAGAAGCTCAGAGCTCATCTCAGAAGGTCTAGGTGGACTCCAGGATTTTTCTAAAAACCCATTTCACATTCAAGAAAGCCTAGATGTATCTCAAGATTCCCAAAAAGCCCAGATCCATCTTTGGATTCGCAAAAAGCCCAGATTTAAAAATCAATAAATTTTTTTCAAATTTATTCTCCACCTGCTCTTCTTCCTCCTCTGTCATTTTTGTTCTATGCCTGGATTTGTGCGAAAGGGACAGAAGACTCTTTGTTTCTCTGCGTCTCTTCTTGAGCCACACTCTCTCGTCCATTTTGGTATATATTGGAGAATAGGAAATAAAAGGAAATTCTGAAAGCCTTCTAGGCTTTTCAGAATTTTCTCCGGGGTTTTTGAAAAATCCTGGGAATATTTTCAGGCTTCCAAGTTCAAGATCAAAATTCCTGAAAGCCTTCTAGGCTTTCTTGAATTTTCTCCGGGCTTTTTGAAAAAATTCTGGAAGATTTTTAGGCTTCCTAAAATCCCTGTTCAATATTCTGAAAAATTCCCGAAAGCCTTCTAGGTTTTCTAGAATTTTTCCGAGCTTCTGAAAATTCTTCTTCATTTTGGATATCAAAATATTTATTATTATTATAAAAAAAATCCCAAATAAATAAATAGAATAAATATTAAAAAACGAAAGATTATTATATGTATGTAAAATAAAAAAAATCAATTATTTGTAGAATCCTCTGATGCCCAAAAAATTGTCTCTGATATTGACAAGTACCATTCTTCCTTTCAAGGAGTTGTGACGGACCGGCAACATTTTGTCGCTGAAAAATCGATAATTAGGCTTCAGGGGGCTTTAGAAAGCTTCAAATGGCTTTAGAAAAATTCCTGGGGGTTACGAGGACTTCTAGAGGCTTCCAGATGCTTTTGGAGGCATCTGGGGGCTTCAGAAACATCTGGGGGTTTCTGGAAGGCTTCTGAAGGCTCAAGAAGGCTTTACCAGGCTTCAAGAGGCTTCAGCAGGCTTCAGAAGGCTTCAAAGGGCTTCAGGAGGCTTCAGGAGGCTTCAGAAAGCTTCAGAAGGCTTCAGAAAGCTACCCAAGGCTTCAGAAGGCTTTACCAGGCTTCAAGAGGCTTCAGAAGGCTTCAGAAGGCTTCAAAAGCTCTTGGTGGATTCCAAAAAGCTTCAGAAGGCTTCAGAAGGCTTCTAACTCACAAATCCTCAGTTTCATCGGATCCAAGAAGTTGCCAAAGTTTTTTCGGATCAAAATTATTGTGAGGTTCAATTTTAAAAGTCCAATGAATAATCGATTTTCCAAGAGTTCCATCTTGATACGACTTCAAAATGTCCGCAATATTTTCCTCTGTCATAAAACCCATCGGCATCGAAACATAATGAGCAGTGTAACTCAAAAATTGCTCCGCAGTGAGCCAATCTTCAGTGTGCATCGCCATTGAATCGTTATGCGAAAACTCGCGAACTTTGATATTTTTCGAAGGTTCGAACTTTGGATCGGGACTGATCTCGATTTTTAAAGATGGTTCTGCGATCTTTTCTGGAACTTCAATTTGAAGTTCATGAATTTCTGCAGCTTTTTCCAAATCCTGTGGTTTTTGCTGCTGCTTTTTGAAAATCTTCATGAGAAAATTTTTGAACTCGGCCCATTTTTTCGGTCAAACTCAAAAACAACGTTCTGCGGGAGAATTTGGGTTTTTGAGGCATTCTGAAAAAATTACTGTAGCTCCTTTAAATATTTTCAAATTAAAATGGAGCACACACATGAATATACAGTACTTTAAAGGAGTACTACAACAGCACAAAAACTCATACTCAGAAAAAAAAAAATAAATAAAAGTGTGAAAAAAATTTGTTTGATATGAGATTATCTTTTTGTTGAGCCGTTGCTATAGAAATATACTTTTATCAGAGCTTTGTTTATGAAAAAAAAACATGCAGGAGATTAAGAATATCGATTGGCAGTGCTCTACTTAAAGGAACATGGGGTACTGTAGTTTTAAAGAGCCAAAGACTCGCTTTTTTCGAATAAAAAATTTGATCTATTTGCGCTTCTGAACTATCAGTACAGTAATCCTATAGTGTTTGATATCAAAATAATCCTCTCTGGGTCCCAAAGCGATCTTCAGTACTTTAAAGGTGCATTGGGTACTGTAGAGGTAGCGAGATTTAAAGGGACAATAAACAAAAGAGCCTCTTAAATAATGGAAAATTGATATGAGATTAGCTTTTGTTGAGCCGTTGCTATAGAAATGAATGTACCTTTGTCAGAGATGTTTTATTTTTTTGAAAATTTTATCATTAGAGCGCAATTGCTCTAGTCCCTGTGATGCATTTTCTTTCTAATTGTAAGTATTTGGTATCATATTGATCCTCATCTACAGTACTTTAAAGGAACATGAAATAATATTCTTTATTAAATTACAAATCCCACCAAAATCTCACAAGAGTTATCAAAGCCTTATGCAAATTTCCGCTAACTTGTTTGCCAATCCAATATTCAAAAGCCATTTTCCCGCCAAATTTCTCTCCAATTTCACGTAAATGTTGCTCCTGGCTAACAAAAATGCGAATAAACCGGTTTTCCTCAAAAAATCCACTTGCACTTTGCTCAAGTTGCTGCCGGAAATATTTTGATCTACTTTTCACACATTGAATCAATTGTTGAAGGGTTGAATCGTGATTATTGAATGTTGAAGTTAGCGTATCTTCAAGCGGTTTGTTGGCGAGTTTTTGGAACTCTTCGAAAATTAGACGAAGTTGGGCGTGGCTTCGGCTGGATAGGATTTTGTCGTATTCTAGTCCTCCATAATTGTAGAGTCTTATAGCATCTTCTCGTGCTTGATTTGAATCTGAAAATAGATACCGTACTTTTTAAAGGGACATGGGATACTGTAGCAAGATATTTAAGACATCCTTAGCTTGTTTGATATCAAAATGCTCTTCTCCAGGTTTCAAAGAGATCTACAGTACTGGTATCACAATGATCCTCTTGAACCCCAAAACTCACTCACCGGTTACTGTAGATTCATCCCGATTCCCAGCAGCTAAGGACATAATAATAGTTCTAAAATCACCCGAAGTATCACCATTCAAAGAATATTCCAAACTATGCGGGTAAACTTCTTCAAAATAATTTCTGATCTCTTCCAATTCCTTATTCGATCTTGAAACCATGATTTCAATCAATAATTGATCATCCGTCCCTTTCCCAAACATCGCATCATACAGTAACTTTGCATCATATTTTGCTGGAATTTCCAGCAAACCGGTTAGAAGAGTTTCAAGACCTCCACTCAACTCATTTTTCAGTTTAGAAATCAAATCGATTCCGAAATGTTGACGGTAATAGTTGAAAATTTCACGGCGTTGTTGATGAGTTCTTCTGCACAGTATTTGAATTATTGTGTCTTCATCGTTTGAAAACCAGGGTTTCATTGCTTTGCGGAGATTTTCCGCGTCGGATTTGGCGGAGAATGCGGTGCATGTTGAGATGAGAATTAAAGGGAGTAATATGTTTTTGAAAAACATTTTTTTGGATTTTGAAATTCTGAATTTGGAAGGTGCGTTTTTTAAGACTGGGAATATTTTTCTCGAAGTTTATTGTGGCTAGACTTTTTGAACATATTTTAAATATTTTTTGAGCTACAGTACTCAATCTGAATTCAGATGGAATATAGATTTTGAATTTTTGAAAAATGTTTGAACTTGAAATTTCAAGCTACAGTACCAGAATTTTTGAGCTACAGTACCTGATCTGAATTCAGATGAAATGTAGGTTTTGAATTTTTGAAAAAATGTTTGAACTTGAAACTTCAAGCTACAGTACCAGAAATTTTAATTTTTGAGCTACAGTAGTCCTGAAAAATTTACAGTCATCTTTTTGATTCTAAACTACAGTAATCCTGAACACAATCTCAAAAATCTAATCGATTTTGACCCACAGTAACCCTGGAAAATCCATAGCTACAGTAATCCATAGCCCAAAAATCAAACTATTTTTCCCAAAAACATGTTCATTTGATTTTCCAAAAAATTCCCATAACACCACCTGTTGGCGTCTTTTTCTTTCCCAGAAAAAATCTGTGAAACTTGGCACCTAAATTTTCCCAAAGGCAAAAAAGGGGCGTGGCTTGTTTAAAAATTTTTTGGTATAAAAGAGCAGGTTCAAATCACAAAAATCATAACATTTTTTTGTTGCTCTCACAATAAAAATGCTCTTCAAAACTACTGTAATTCTGCTGGTCTCTTGTTTCTTTACTCAAATGTAAGTTGGGATTTTTATTGTAACCCAAAATCAATCAATAAATTTTCATTTTCAGATTCGCATTTCGAGATGAACTTGCTGAGAAAGAAATAACTTCAATAATTCAAGATTTGAAAAAGGGTTTGGAGCAGCGAACAAATTCACATTATGAAGTTTTGCTCGAAAATACTGCGATTTATATTTTGGAGAATCCAGATATCAAATTGATTTGTCAAGCTGAAGCAGCAAGGTGAGCTCTCTAGCCTCTCTAGCTTCTCTAACCCCTCTAAATTTCCAGAGAAACTCCTCCCCCACCATTGAGCCTCAGCAAACATGCCCGCGTTCAAATTCTCCTGGCATTCTACGAGCCCGATGCTCGTCTTCTTCGTGGACTCAAAGATCAAATTGATGTCAAACTTCAAAAAGCGATTGAGAATCAAGAATCCCTTCAGACAATCGCCAAGCTGATATTGCACAAAGATGTTCTGGAAACTGCTCAACATTTGGCGGATTTTAAGAGATTTCTGAAATTTTTGCAAGCTGGAATTCGTGATGTTTCTCCTCTCTCGAAATCTAGCGGTTTTTAAGAAATTTCTTTTTTTTTTCATAATTCGTTCGAAAAAATTGTTTTTGTTTTGTTGGTTTTTGAAAATAAATGAATTAATACTAAAAAATGTGTTTTTTTTAAATAATTTTTTTCTGGAATTTTTGTCTATGAAAATACTGATAAAAGCAATGACATGAAGCAAAAAAAAAACAAAAAAAAGAATGAAAGCAAAAAAGTTTCAAGTGATAATTTTTTTCACTGAAATATTTGGGGAATTCCGGAATTTTTTTAGCAAAATAATTTTTTTTTGAAAAATTTGATTGAAAATTTTCCTAGAGAGAATTTTTTTGAGAATCAGAAAATGCTTATTTTTAAAAAATAACCGCTCTAAAATTCATAAAATTTAGAAAGCTAAGCCTGATCTGATTCTGAAAAAAAAGAAAATCTGAAAAATTTTAGCTATATTTTTATTCTGAAGTTCAAAATTTGTAACATCTCATGTTTTTGAAGAAAATCTCTAGGCTCTCTAGCTTCTCTAGGCTCTCTAGGCTCTCTAGGCTCTCTAGGCTCTCTAGGCTCTCTAGCCTCTCTAGGCTCTCTAGTCTCTCTCCAACTCAATCACAAAATAGAATCGAACCAAAAAAAAATATCATTGATAAAAAGAGGCAACAACGCAAATGTGAGCAATGTCTCTGACAAAAACATTTTTCGCCCGTTGAAAAATTTTCTTATTTATATATTTCAGTTCTTCTTCTTTTTCTTATCTACCATTTTGAAGCACAAATATGATGCATTTGACTTGCTGCTCAAAAACAAAACTTTTTCATATTCTATTTCTATTATTCGGTTTTCTATATTCACAGCCTACTGAAAATCGGCCGCCACTTCAAGCGGTTTCGGTGAAAGGCACTTTTTTGTGTGGCAAGGAACCGGTGGTTGGGATTACTGTTAAACTTATTGATAGAGATCATGGTGGGTTTTTCTATGAATTCTGAGGTACAGTACTCATGAAAATTTTGGCGGGAAAATTCTATATTTTTTGATCTACAGTAGCCCTAAAAAATCAATTTTCATACATCAAACTTCACAAATAAAAATAATCACAAATATCAATTTTTCTTCTATTTTTGGCACAAAATTTTTTTATTTTTATTTTTGATATCAAAATGAACTTTGAATTTTAGAAAAATCCGCTTATAAAAATAAATTTTCAAAGTTTTTTTTCAAAATTTGAAAAAAAATTGTTAATTTTTGATGCCAATCAATTTTATCTATAAAAATTAATTTTTCAAAAAAATCAGTGACGTCAATGAAAAAAATTATTTAGTGCACTTTTCGCTGTAACTCAAAATTTATCGATTTTTTGGTTTTTGAAGCCTTTGGAAGCCTTGGGAAGCCTTTAGAAGCCTTTAGAAGCCTTGGGAAGCCTTTGAAAGCCTTTAGAAGCCTTTAAAGGGCTTCAAAAGCCCTCAGAAGCTTCCAAAAGCCCTAAGAAGCCTGTAGAAGCCTTCAGAAGCCTTCAAAAGCCTTCAGAAGCCTTCAGAATCCTAAAAAATCAATAATTTTTGCAGACGGTGATCCAGATGATTTAATGGACGAAGTTCGAACAGATGCAAATGGAACATTTTCCTTAACCGGTGGAGCTTATGAATATACAACTCTAGAACCAGCCCTAAAAATCTACCATGATTGTAATGACGGTGAAAGAGAGTGTCAGAAAAGATTGTATTGGATTTTGCCGACGGAATATGTGACAAGTGATATGGACGATATTCCGATTTTTGATTTGGGAACTGTCAATTTACAAATCACTTTTGGAAATGAGAAACGCGATTGTCGACATTAGAAAATTTTTCATTTTTTTTTCGAAAAATTGTACATTTTGAATATGAATAAATCAAATTCCATATTTTTTTTTTCTCGAAAAAAAGCTAGAAAAAATCCACAATTTTCTATGTATAACATAATTTATTTTTCAATTTCCTGCAAATATTTATTTCAAATTTGTTTTTTTTTCCAAAAAAAATAGATTGAAAATTTCTTCATTTGGTTCCCAGACATCTGTGAATAACGATAAAATTGCGAAAAATTTGTCTTATCAAATATCGACCAAAAAAATCTTCACTACATGATTTTTTTTTCAACAAAAAACGTCTGGTTTTTTGTACTTTTATCAAAAATTCCCAAATTTTCGGCCGCGCATGACCTCAGTCAAAGGTGAATAAATAATATATTCTTCTTTCTCTCATTCACCCTTGCATGATGTCAAACTAGACTCTATTTTGGCAATACACACACAAACTAGATTCTAGTTTATTTACATATTTGGTTTATCTCTTTGAATTCACCTAGATTCTAGTTTAACAAATCATAATTAGACTTTACATTAGTTTTCTAATTCCCTAGTTTGACAAGATCAAACTAGACTTTAGTTTGTAGTTTGACAATAGGAAACTAGACTCTAGTTCATTAAAATTCAAAAAAAAATCAAAATTCATATAGTTTGAAACACCTGTCTTGTTAGTTTTCTAGTTTGACAAGATCAAACTAGACTCAAGTTTACCAAGCAAAAGTTTTGAACATTTTTTTGTTTCTAAATTTTCCCTTTTTTTCTTTATTCAAACTATACTCTAGTTTCCTAGTTAATTTGCTCCAAAAGATCAAACTACACTCAATTTCTCGACGATCAAAAAAACGTATGTAGTTTGAATTGTTTGTTTTATCCCGTTTTTCTTCTTCCATTTTTCGTTTGTAAAAAAAAAAATTCGTTAATCCACTCCAAATTTTTTTTTGTTTCTATTCTACAAAATAAAATTAGAAAATCCAATTTTATTTTAAAAAGCATTTTTTCTTGCCACGTCATTTCCTTTTATGTCAAAAACGCGGAGAAAAACAGATACTTGTAGAAGGAGAAACGTATTTTCTCACACACACACACACTAAAAATGACATGAGACGAAATAGTGTGGGAGAGTGAAGAGAGCGCAGAGTGAAAAAGGATTTCTCTCCATCTTTCGCGTTTGTGTGTTTCTCCTTCTATTTTTTTGATCAATATTGTTTTTGAAAATTTAAAATTGGGTTAGTTGATAGGTTGGTTTTACGTCATCAAATTTGTTTTCTCCAGGGGGTTTCGCGTTTTTTTTTTGATGATTTTGAGATTTTTTGAACTTTTGACTTTTGACTTATTTGTAATGCTAAAATTGTTCTTCAATATTGTATTTAAAAGTTGAGAAAAAAAGTTTAGGTCATTTTTCTTTCTGGATTTTTTTTGAATTTCAAACTTTGTACTTCTTAATCTGAAAATCTATCTACTTAAAAGAGCTTAAAATTTATAGCGAAAATTTGATTTCTGAAATTTTTTTGAACAAATTTTGTTGTCTGCACTATTCATTTCACATTATCCCTAGGGGGAAAAATCTTTTGGATTTTCAAAAAATTTCAATTTTTGAACTTGCAAATCCTGATCTTCTTTTTCAAGCTGAAAATCTATGAAAAAAGCCTAAATTTAAAGACAATCTTCTGTCTGCGCTCTCTTCATTTAACATTATCTCTAATTTTATTTTTACGATAGTATCATGATCTTAAGGTCAAACTTAAAGCTTTAAGGAAAAGCCCAAGCCTAAAAAAAATCCCCAAAAATATTTATTTTTTCCAAAAAACCCTTATCAAATGGTCATTTGAGCACGAATTTTTTTTATCGAAACAAAATTGTTTCCCGAAATTTTGTCTACCATTTTTGTCTATCTATTTTTTGTTGAAAAATGTGTCATCAAATTGTACTTTTTGACATTTTAATTAATTTTTTTCCCATTTTCCAAACAATATTTTTTTTTTCGTAAAAAACATGGTTTCTTAGAAACCCCAAAACAATTTTTTTTGTTGTTTATGTGTAGAAAAAAAATGAAATAGGCCTAATTTTCGACATTCAAAAATGCCCTTTGCAAATTTTTTCGCTCCAAATTTTGTCTATTCTTTGAACATGCAATTATTTCTTGAAATTTTTTTCAATTTTCTCCAAATATTTTTGTCGTTTAAAGCCTTTTAAAGCCTTCAGAAGCCTTTATAAGCCTGAGAAGTCCAATATTTCTTGGATTTTCTGAAACAAAGAATTATTTTTGTCCAAAATTTCCCCCCTTTTTTTTGCAATTTTCTATGCTTTAGAATTTTCTATTGAAAAAAATAATGTAGAATTTTTTGAGATGAATAATTCTATATATTTTCTTTTTCATCAGTTTCATGTTTCAATTTTTTATGATTTTTTTCGATTTTTTCCAGATTTTCTTCTTTTCCCTGAAAAATTGTATATTTTCTTGTTTTTGAAAAATGATTTTCTTTTTCCAATTTTTCCCACAAAAATTATAAATAATTCGTTTTTCAATTTAAAATTTGAAAAACAAAGAATTTGAAATTCTTCTTTTCCAACTTAAATATTGATTTTCGTACTGTATTTCAATTTTTGTAGAAGATTCTAAAGCTTTTAAAAGGCTTCTAAGGGCTTCAGAATACTTTTAACGGCTTGTAAAAGCTTCTAAGGGCTTCCAAGGGCTTCAAAAGTATTCTGAAGGCTTCCAAACGCTGAAAAAATCTAATTCTCAAAAACTTGATTTCAAGAGTTCTTTTTTTTCTGTTAAAAAATCCAATTTTTCATATTTTCCAGATTTTTTTCTTGTCCCTGAAAAATTAAATGTACTCACTCTTCTCTTGTTTCCGTAAAATTATTTTCTTTTTTCAATTTTTCTCACAAAAATTATAAATAATTCGTTTTTCAATTTGAAATTTGAAAAACAAAGAATTTGAAAATCTGATTTTCTTCTTTTCCCTGTAAAATTGTATATTTTCTTTTTTTTTGAAAAATGATTTTCATTACTCAATTTTTCCCACAAAAATTATAAATAATTTGTTTTTCAATTTTATATTTGAAAAACAAAGAAAATTTGGAATTCAGTATTGATTTTCGTATTTTTTTCTCACGAAAATTATAAATAATTCGAATTTCAATTTGAAATTTCAAAAAAAAAAAACTTTTCCAACTTCAATTATGATTTTCCTACTGTATCTCAATTCTTTAAAGGCTTCTGAGAGCTTCTTAAGACTTCTAAAAGCTCTTATACTAATTTTTGAGCTTGCCAAATTTAAAATCTAATTTCAAAAAATCTTATTATAATTATTCTGATCTCCACATTTTTGTAAAATAATTTCATAAATCTTTTTCTCAAAACTCTATAAAAATTTATTTTTTTAACATTCTAGATCATTGTATATTTATTTCCCTAAAAATTTTCATATCTTGTTTTGAAAAATTATTTTCTTATTTCAATTTTTCTCACAAAAATTATAAAATAATTTGTTTTTCAATTTTATATTTGAAAAACAAAGAAATTGAAATTTTTCTTTTCCAACTTCATAATTGATTTTCGTATTTTTTTTCTCACGAAAATTATAAATAATTCGTTTTTCAATTTGAAATTTCAAAAAAAAAATTTTTCCAACTTCAATATTGATTTTCGTACTGTATCTCAATTCTTTGAAGGCTTCTAAGGCTTCATAAGGCTTTTGAAGGTTTCTGAAAACATCTAAAGGCTTCTAAAGGCTTCTGAGGGGTTTTAAACTAATTTTCGGGCTTGGCATAATTTAAAAATTAATTTTTAAGCTAATATTCAATTTTTTTGATCACCACATTTTTGTAAAAGAATTTCATTAACCTGTTTCTCAGATTTTCTTATAACTATATAAAAATTAAATTTTTTAACATTCTAGATAATTATATATTTATTTCCCTAAACATTTTCTTCACTTTTTTTTTTTGAAAAATTATTTTCTTTTCTCAATTTTTCTCACGAAAATTATAAAATAATTTGTTTTTCAATTTAAAATTTGAAAAACAAAGAATTTTAAATTTTACTTTTCCAACTTTAATATTGATTTTCGTATTTTTTTCTCACGAAAATTATAAATAATTCGAATTTCAATTTAAAATTTCAAAAAAAAAAAAAAATTTTTCCAACTTCAATTATGATTTTCCTACTGTATCTCAATTCTTTAAAGGCTTCTGAGAGCTTCTGAAGACTTCTAAAGGCTCTTATACTAATTTTCGGGCTTGCCAGATTCAAAAATTAATTTTCAAAAATCTTATTATGATTTTTCTGAACTTCACATTTTTGTAAAATAATTTCATACACTTTCTCCTCATAACTCTACAAAAATTTAATTTTTTAACATTCGATATCATTGTATATTTATTTCCCTAAACATTTTCTTCATTTTTTTTTGAAAAATTATTTTCTTTTCTCAATTTTTCTCACAAAAATTATAAAATAATTTGTTTTTCAATTTAAAATTTGAAAAACAAAGAAATTGAAATTCTTCTTTTCCAACTTAAATATTGATTTTTGTATTTTTTTTCTCACGAAAATTATAAATAATTCGTTTTTAAATTTGAAATTTGAAAAAAACTTATCCAACTTTAATATTGATTTTCCTACTGTATTTTAATTGGTTAAAGGCTTCTGAGAGCTTCAGAAGACTTCTAAGGGCTTCTCAAGGCTTTCTAAGGGCCTTCAAAAAGCTTCTAAAGGCTTTTAAACTAATTTCTGAGCTTGGTATAATTTCAAAATTAATTTTTAAAATATTATTCAAATTTTTCTGAACTCCACATTTTTGTATAATAATTTCATGAACCTTTTCTCATAACTCAATAAAAATCAAATTTTTTAACATTCTAGAAACTGTGATAAATCCCATAACATCTCGATCATCCCATAAAATCAAGAAATCTTTTTTTTAAGAAAAATTTTTTTGAACATCGCAACATTTTTCGCTTAATCTTATCTTCATCTCGTTTTCTTTGCCATGTTTTTCTTGCTGCTGCAACCGTTCCCCCAATTTTTCTAGCCCCCACTAAATCTATTAAAGATGATTTATCACACTTCCCCCATTTTTCCATGTTTCTTGTTCATTTAATCCTTTCTTATTGACACCTGCAAACAAATTACTCAATGTCAATTTCAATATTGTTTTCTTGAAAAATAATTACCACCTGCCTCTATTATATAATTTTTCAGCTATTCTTTCAGGACTCAAGAAGAAATCGAGAAGCAAAAACGTGCAGCAGGTAAAATTGATCTTTTGATTCCTCACTTAGGCAAAATAAGTTAATTGAGGGTGACTGTTACTTTGTTTTTGGGTATATTAAGTTACCTAACGGCAGATACTGTAGTGTAATTTTTTATAACACCTATTCTTCCCCTTTCTGCTTGATTTTTTGACTCTTAAGGTTACTGTAGGTTTTTAGAGTAGGAGTTTTGTATTCTAGCTCTAGGAAACTTTCAGAATCTCTGAAACTTGTTTGAAATCTTTATGAGATTTCCAAAATTTTTAAAAATCTTTCAGAAAACTTTTAGAATCTCTGAAAATCTTTTAAAGCCTTTAAGAGATTTCTAGAATTTTTAAAAAACCTTTCAGAAATTTGAGTAGGTTTTAAGAATCTCTGAAACTTGTTTGAAATCTTTAGGAGATTTCTAGAATTTTTTAAAACTTTTCAGAAAATTTTTGGAATCTCTGAAACTTGTTTAAAAGCCTTTAGGACATTTGTAGAACCTTTAAAACCCTTTCAGAAAACTTTTAGAATCTCTGAAAATCTTTTAAAGCTTTTAGGACATTTTTAGAACCTATAAAAATCTTTCAGAACTTTTAGAAAACTTTTAGAATCTTTGAAACTGGTTTAAAAACCTTCAGGAGATTTCCAGAATTTTTGAAAACCTTTCAGAATTTTCAGAAAACTTTGAAAAAGATTCTAAAGCCTTGAGAAGTTTTTTAAGAAGCTGAGAAAGCTTTGGGAGCATTGGAAAAATATTTGAAGCCTTTAGAACTCTCTAAATTGCTCCAGAGCCCTTTTGAAACCCTTCAAAACCCCCGTCAACTCTCCAAAACCATTCACGAGCCAAAAAGTGCAGCTTCTCCCATTTCCCCCATAAAAATTTACATTTTACACCTTTTAACACCTAAAAAACCATAATTTTCTCCACATTAATATGACTTTTTGGCTGGTATTTACATATTGTTCTTTCCTTCCCAATTATTGCCCAAAAGAAAAAGGGGAAGGAAAAGTGGGCGGAGCCAAATTTTGTGTTGGCAACGGGTGCAATATCATTCGTATTTTATTCGTACATCATTCTTGGGTGTGTTTTGGCGTGCTGTCTTATCTTCTTCCCATTTTCCCATTTTCCCCCTTCTTCAAAGACCATAAGAAAAATTATTATATAGTTATCTCTTTCGGTAGACAGTTCTATTTTAGTGCATAAAATGTTTTGTCGTCTGCGTCTCCTCTCTCTCTCGCTCTCTCTCGCTGTTGTTTTTTTTTCTGCTGGACAAAAACAACACTAGTGATTTATGTACATTTTTTCGCGCGCGCAAAGTGGTTTAGCACTTTTTTTTGAAACTTTCTGTTGGGTTTTGGGATTTCTTGTGTTCTAAAGTTTGGGCTCTTTGGGGTTAGGCCTTGATTTAGGCTTATTAGGCTCCTGAGGGGTTCTGAAGGCTTCTAGAGGTTTTTGAAGACTCCCAAAGACTTCTGAAGGCTTCCAGAGGCTTCTAAAGGCTTCTAAAGGCTTCTAGAGGCTTCCAGAGCATTCTGAAGGCTTATAAAGGCTTCCAGAGGCTTCTGAAGGCTTCCAGAGGCTTATAAAGGCTTCTCATGCGGATTTCTAGATTTAGGCTTCAATTTAGGCTTATTTTAGGCTTATTGGGCTTCTGAAGGCTTTTTGAGGCTTCTGAAGGCTTCTAGAGGCTTCTGAAGGCTATAAAAGGCTTAACTAGGCTCCATAGGCTTTCCTAGGCTTCTATAAACGTTTGAGGAATCAAAAGATCATTTTTCTGTGCGTTTTTATTTTGCTCTCTTCTCGTCTCAACATTTTCAAATTTCAACCAATTTGCAGATTTGATGGGTGATTATGGACAGGGACCAAAAGAATCCCCCACAGGCAAGAAAAGCATCCGGCAAACCGTGTGGTCCTAAAAAACCCGGCAAAAATGTTGCAGGATCCACCACCTCTCGCCATCAACAACAACATCAACATCTCCTCGATCAATACGGTGTTCGAGCAAGCACCAGTGCCAATTCGAATCAGCAAGAAGATCCGCTAGCCGATGTCTATGATCCGGAAACGTTTGAGGCGGAGCAGCGGCGACTGCAAGCGGCGCAAGCGCAACTTCGCGCAACTCCTCCTGAATACCATCCGGAATTGGTGAAGACTGAGGGCAATTTTGGAGCACCACATCATTATCAAGATTTTCATCAACAACATCCTCAACAATATCATCAGTATCCACCTCAACATAATCCGAACTATCCACCTCCATATCATCAGCAAGATCCGAACTATCTTGCTCAGCAACAACATCTGGAGCAGCAACGAGCTTTCGCTTTGGAGCAACAGAGAGTTCATGAGCGACATAGAGCTATGGAGCAGCAGAGGGCTATGGAGCATCAAAGAGCCGTGGAGCAGCAAAGAGCTATGGAGCATCAAAGAGCCGTGGAGCAGCAAAGAGCTATGGAGCAGCAGCAAAGGGCTATGGAGCAACAGCAAAATGAGCAACAACACAATGAGCAACGACTTCAGGATCTTGCTGTGAATTCGCATCAGAGTCCAAGTGAGTTTTTTCCCGGGGGATGAGGATTAGGCTTGAGATTTAGGCTTAGGATTTAGACTATGGATAAGGCTGAGGGTTTAGGCTTAGGATTTAGGCTTAGACATTTAGATTGAGGGTCTAGACTTAGGATTTGGGCTTGAGCTTTAGGCTTGAGCTTCAGGCTTAAGCTCTAGGCTTGAAATTTAGGCTTAAGCTTGAGGCTTGCGCCTTAGGCTAAAGATTTAGGCTTAGATTTTAGGATGAGTATTTGTAATTAAACTTAAGGCTTGAGGTTTAGGTTAAGGATTTGGATTTGAGCTTGAGGCTTAAGCTTGAGGCTTAAGCTTGAGGCTTAAGCTTGAGGCTTAAGCTTGAGGCTTGAGCTTTAGGATTAAGCGTTAGACAAAGGCTTTAGGCTAAGGCTTTAGGCTGAGGGTTTAGGCTTAAGCTTGAGCCTTAAGCTATAGGCTTAAGCTGAACCATAGGCTTAGAGTTTAGAATTAGGGTTTAGTCTTGAGCTTTAGGTTGATAATTTAAGCTTAGAATTTAAGCTCAAAATTTAGACTTAAGCTTCACTCTTAAGCTCTAGGCTAAAGATTTAGGCTTTAGACTTAAGCTGAACCATAGGCTTAGGTTTTTCAAGAAAAATTTTTTTTTCAAATTTCAAAAAAAAATCAAATCCCAATTTTTAATTAATTTTTTTTCCCGGAATTTTTTTTCTATCCTAAAATTTTCAAGTAATCATTCTCCAACAAATCCAAAAATGATTACAAAAACATTTTTCAAATTTTTTTAAAATTCAGATTTCGTGTAGTAGTTTTTATCGATTTTCATTTTCAGTTTAAAATGTACTTTTTTTCCAACCAACCAAAAAAATTAATCCCGCACAAATTTTTCATTTCTCTTCACATTCAAAAATTTTTTTTTTCATTTTCAGACACATCAGCTGAAACTTCTCGCCCAACACTTCCACCCTTCCGAACTCCACCCAACCAAAGTTTTGACGATAGTGTTGTTGTGATCAAAAACGAGGAGCATACACCTCTACAGTCACCGGCGGTGCCAATGAAGAATTCGCCAAGAAGACGGAACTACAAGCCGGTGGAGTTGAGTGTGGTCTATGATGCGGATCACCCTGGGGAAGATCCGGAACCTGGCAAGATTTATCCCGAGCCACAACTTCGTGAGTTACTTTGCAGAAAGAAATTTTTTTCTGAAAATTTCGGAATAATTTCGAACTTGCAAAAATTTTAAGAAATGCCTAGAAATCTTGAGCTACAAAAATCCAGCTAACATAAGATTTTGCTGAAATTTTGCGATCTTGAATTATCTTGTCTTGAAGTTCAGATTTCAAAAAACTTCTGAGATCTTCTGGAGGCTACTGGAAGCTTCAAAAAGCGTCAGAAGGCTTCTAAAGGCTTCAGAAGATTTCAGAAGGCTTCTGAGATCTTCTGGAGGTTGCTGGAAGCTTCAAGAGGCATCAGAAGTCTTCAGAAGATTTCGGAAGATTTCAGAAGGGTTCTGAGGTCTTCTGAAAGATCTTGGATGCTTCAGAAGGCTTCTGAGGTCTTCTAGAGGCTATTGGAAGCTTCAAGAGGCGTCAGAAGGCTTCAGAAGATTTTAAATAGCTGAAGGTTTCTGAAGGATTCTGGATGCTTCTGAACGCTTCTAAAGGCTTCTGGAGAATTCGGAAGATTTCAGAAGACTTCTGAGGTCTTCTGAAGGTTTCTGAAGGCTTCTGAAGTCTTCTGAGCTCTTCTGGAGGCTACTGGGAGCTTCAAGAAGCGTCAGAAAGCTTCAGAAGGCTTCAGAAGATTTCAGAAGGCTTCTGGAAGCTACTGGAAGCTTCAGAAGATTTCAGAAGGCTTCTGAGGTCTTCTGGCAGCTTCTGAACGCTTCTGAAGGCCCAAACTTTTTTCCGGGCTACATTTTTAATCTCGAAATTTGAATCAATATTTTCAGTCGACGCCAAAACGCTTCACCTCACTGAAAATGAGCTCGAAGTAATGAAAACCGGAAAAACACGATTTCCCGATGATGTGCCAGACGCCAATTCGACACCAAACAAAATCGTCGAATATCTAATGTCATTTCGAATTCTGAAAGAGAACGAAATCAATCAATTAAACTCGTATCGAACTCGACGAAATCAATTGTCATTGAATTTGATTCGACAAAATCCGGATCGTGAATTCGATCAGAAGGCTTGCGAATCGTTGGTCAAAAAGTTGAAGGACAAAAAATCGGATTTGCAAAATTTGATTGATGTTGTGGTCACAAAAGGACAGAAGTTTAGGGATTGTATTACGATTCCAAGAACTCTTGATGGACGTTTGCAGGTAATTTTTAGAGACATATTTTTAGGCTTCTAAGGCAACTGAAGGCTCCTGAAGGCTTCTGAAGGCCTCTAGGGGCTTCCAAGGTTTCTGAAGGCTTCTAAGGGCTTCTGAAGGCTTCTGAAGGCTTCTGAAGGCTTCTAAGGGCTTCTAGAAGCTTCTGAAGGCTTCTAAGGGCTTCTGAAGGCTTCTGAAGGCCTATGAAGGCTTCTGAAGGCTTCTTCAGGCTTCTGAAGGCTTCCTTAGGCCTCTAAGGCTTCTTAGGCTTTTTAAAAAAATTTCTCTGATTTTCCCATGAACTTTTCGTAGACAGACTGATGAATCATAGTTAGCTAGTCAGAAAAAAAAATGACCTTTCCAAAAAAAAAAAGTTTTTTTTTTGCTTGATAATTATGGGGTTAGAGAGTTGAGAGAGGCTAGAGAGGCTAGAGAGGCTTCAGGGGCCTTCAGAAGCCTTTAAGAGCCTTTAGAAGCCTTTAAAAGGCCTTTAAGAGCCTAAAAAAGTATTCAGAAGTCTTAAAAAGCCTTCAGAAGCCTTTAGAAGTCTTTAAAAGCCTTCGAAAATTTCAAAATTCCATCAAATAATTTTCCAGGTTCACGGAAAAAAGGGCTTTCCCCACGTGGTCTACGGCCGACTATGGCGTTTCGCGGACATGTCAAAAAACGAGACACGCAACATCGAATCGTGCAAACACCCATTCGAATCGAAAACCGATCAGGTGAAATCCCAACCCGAACCAGATCCTGATCCACTAATTCCAAATCCGGATCCCAAACCAGTAAGGGGGACGAATTTATCAAAAATAATGAAAAATTATCAATCCGTGATTCTTTCAGGTTTGTGTCAATCCATTTCATTATGAAATTGTGGCCGGTGCGATGATTATTGGACATCGAGAAAATGAGAGGGAGAGGGAGAAGTGAGTTTGGAACGGGCTAAAAATTCTATCACTAAATCTTGAGTACTGTAGGATTACTGTAGATCAATATTTTAATACTTTTAAAAATAGATAATCTAATTTTGAACAGCAAAAGAGCTACAGTACACTTATTAATTTTAAGGCCAAAATTTGATCTACTGATTCTTGAACTTGTATTCTGGAGCTAATACTGAAATTTTTACCAAGATTACTGTATCACCATAACCGTGTTCTAATTTCAGACTAGTTCAAGCCACTCAACAACAGCAAGCTCTCCCAGCTACCCAAATCCCGGCACCTCAAATTCCCCCACAACAACCACCGCCACCTCAACAAATCCATCCGATGGTCTCACCAAGACATGCGCCACCTCCAACCCAACAAATGCATCCGATGGTCTCACCGAGACACGCACCACCGCCACCTCAAACTCCACAATTCTCCCCTCAACATCAACAATATTCGCCGCATCATCAACAATATCCTCCCCATCCACCTGCACAATATCAGAATCAGAACCAGTATCCGAATCCGAATCACAATCATCATCAACACTATCCGAATCAACATCAGCCGAATCAGTATCATGCTAATCACATCAACAATAATCACCGTCAACATCAGCCACATCCACAACAACAACAACATCGACAAGAATATGAGATGCATCCTGGACCATATCAGGCACCACATCCACAACAACATCAACAAATGGATCAATATCATTATCAACATCAACACGATCCAAATAATCCGGGATCTAACCAAAGAGGTTGGAATTAGACAACTTTTTCCCCGATTTTTTTTGCTCATGATATCAACTTCTAGAATATCTAATTGTTTTTTTTTCGAATTTTTCTGATTTTTTGAATTTTGCGGCGTCCAAAAACATCTAGTTCATTGTTCAGAGACTCGTGAAGCCTTCTGGAGGCTTGTGGGGACTTCTTGAGGCTTCAGAACCCTTCAGGGGGCTTCTGGAGGCTTTATGAAGCTTCTAAAAGCTCCTGGTGGCTTCATAAGGCTTTTGAAGCATTCAGGAGGCTTCTGGAGACTTCTGAAGTCTTTTAGTAGGCTTCTAGAGATTTTTGGAACCTCCAGGAGCCTCTAGAAGCCTTCAGGAGCCTTCAGAAAGCTCTTGAAGTCTTCTGGCAGATTCAGAAGGCTTCTGGATGCTCTCGAAGATTTTAGGAGGCTTCTGGAGGCTTCAGAAGTCTTCTAAAGATTTCAGGAGACTTGTAGAATCTTCTGGAGGCTTCTGAAGGCTTCTGGAGGCTTCTGGAGGCTTCAGAAGGCTTTTGGAAGCTTATAAAAGATTCTGGAGATTTCTGAAAGCTTCTAGACGCTCCTGGAGGCTTCTTAAAGCTCCTGAAGGCTTCTGAAGGTTTCTGGAGACTTTGGAAACCTTCAGAAGGCTTCAAAAAGCTCCTGAAGGCTTTTGAAGTCTTCTTAAATTTCCTGAAGTCTTCTGAACGGCTTCTGAAACCTTCAGGAGCCTCTAGAAGCCTTCATAAGGCTTCTGGAAGCTTCTGAAAACTTCTAAGGGCTTCTGGAGGCTTCTAAATCGTCCTGAATGCTCCAACTCTCAAATTTATATATTTTTGGACGCCGCATCTAATTACAACCCGCCCCATTTTTTAACATTATCATATTTCACTTACATTTTTCACACAATTGAAAAATTTCAAAATTTTTTAAAGATCCTCGGCATCGAGTGGACGAATATGTTCCTTTGAATCATTTTCGGCATCTATGCAAAGAGGTAAGAAAAAACTCGTTGTTTTAGTGCCAAAAACCTTACTTACCTCTTACTTACTCGTTTTCTAGCACTGTTTTTCCAATTTTCTAATTCAATTTCATCCTTATTCACATCCCTTCCCACATTTATTCACATTTTAGTTGTTTTTTCTCTCTTTGAAAATTATTAATCTCGTGAATGTGTCGTCTTGTGTTTTGTCGTATGTACTTCTTGCTAAAAGTTAACCAATAAATTTGCTGGGCTCTGGTTTTTTTGCACACTGTTTTTTTGGGATGCTTGGGGTCTGGGATGTTCAGGAAATCGAAATTTCGGAACTTGAAATCTGAAAGTTCGGTCGAGAATTTTCGGATTTTCAAAAGTTGACAAATCGAATCTTGAAGTTCTATTTCGATAAAAATAAAAATTCAAATTTCAGAGCCGGTTTTCAGAAATTTCAGATTGTAAAATTGGATTCGGAAGTTTTAAAATTGATTTTCGAGACCGAAAATTTGAAATTTCTAATCAGGAAGTTTGAAGCTGGAAAATCCGAATACAAATTTTGAAATTCTGAAATTTTGGAACTTTTTTCTGAAGATGTACACCTGAAGTTCAAATCTATAAATCCAGTTCCGAGATTTTCACAAATGAAATTCGAATTCTGAACTTCCAGGTTTCGAATTTTAATTCTGAAATTTTTTTGCACAAAATCAGCTTAAAAACTTCTCTGCACATCCCTCTCTGGTTGCATCTAACATCCCTACCACCAGAATCTCCTACAGATACTTCAAGTTCCAGAGTTTCGGAAAACGCTTCTTCGGTCCAAACAGTCGTGCCGAAGTTCAAAAACCACCGTATCCCAAAGGAACTTATCAATATTCGCCATTTCTTGGTGTCACTCATGTTAGAAGGCGACTTACTTCAACTGATGATTTTGAAAAACGAGAGGAGATGCCAAAAAATGGACCATATTCGGATATGAATACGAATATGGCAAAACTTGGAGTCAAAAAAATTTATGTGAATAATGTGGAGCCGCCTTCAAAAAGAAGTGGGTTTTGAATTTTCTGAATCTCAAAAATCAATATTTCTGTAATTTTCAGATCCTGGAAATTGGGCAACAATTGTATATTACGAATATACGAAAAAATTGAATGACCGTGAAGTTACTTCAAATGATTTATTGATTGATGGTGGATTTGAAGCGACTGGTGCAAGATATTGTCTGGGACTTGAACCGAATCCTGAGAGGACCAAACAATCTTTTAAAGTTCGGTTAGTTTGAGAGAGAGAGAGAGTTTGGGCTTTAATTTTCAATAGTTTTTTCGAATCTTGAAACTTGGCTTTAATTTTTGGAGCTTGAACTTTCTGAGCTGAAATTTTTCAAGCTCTAAAAAATTCCAGGCAATTCTGAATCTCGGAAATTTGATCTTCTAAAATTCAAGATCTAGAAAATTTCAGTCAATTCTGAAAAAAACAGATCCGAGCCTAAAAAATCGATCAGATTTGAAACCTAAACAAATTGAGCTCCAGAAGTTCAGGTCTAGAAAATTTCAGTAAATTTTCAAGCCTAATTAATTCTAGATTCAAAATTTTAAGCTCGAGAATTCTCTGCAAAGTTTGGAGTCTGAAAATGTGAGCTTCTCAAATTTAAGCTTCAAAAAATTCCAGCCAATTTTGAATCTAAAAAATTTAAGAATCAAAATCTCCAGCTCTGAAAAATTCTAGTCAATTCTGAAACTAGAAAATTAATGCTCGAAAATTTCAAGCTCTGAAAAATTCCAGTTAATTCTAAATCTAGGAAATTAGGCTCAAAATTTTCAAGCTCGAGAATTCTCTGCAAAATTTGTAGTCTGAAAATCTGAGTTTCAAAAAATTCTACCCAATTTTCAAGCCATGAAAATGTGAGCTTTAAAAATTCAAGCTCTAAAAGTTCTAGTCAATTCTGAAACTAGGAAATCAAAGCATGAAATTTTCAACCTCGAGAATTCTTTGCAAAATTTGAATCCAGGAAATTTGAAATTCAAAATCTCAAGCTCTAAAAAATTCTAGTCAACTCTGAATCTAGGAAATCCAAGTCTAGAATAATTTCAGTAAATTCTGAATCTAGGAAATTTGAAATTCAGAATCTCAAGCTCTGAAAAATTCCAGTCAATTCTATAACCTAGAAAATGTGAGTTCTAGCTCTAAAAATGCATTTTTCCAGACGCCTAATCGGAAAAGGCGTTCGCTTCTCAATCAAAGAAAACGGCGATGTTTGGATTCAAAATCAAACCGATTTTCCAATCTTCACAACATCCGGATATTTGGATGATCAAAGTGGTGGAATGCGAACCGAAAAGGTGCACAAAATCTATCCAATGGCTAAAATGAAGGTTTTCGGATTCGCCAATTGTAAAGAGCTGATTCGCGATCAATTGTATTCGGCTCAGATGGCATCGATGTATTTGCTTGGACAAAATACACCGATGGATCGACAGTATAGGACGAGGACTGAGGAGGAGATTCAGGAAGTGAGTTTTGGAGTTTTGGGGAGCTTCAGAAACAATCTAGAAGGTTCAGGAAGCCTCTGGAATCTTCAGAAAACTTTAGGAAGTCTCTAGAGATTTTGGGACGCCTTTTGAATTTTCTAAAAGCTTTCAGAATCTTCAGAAATCCTTTAGAAATCTTGGGAAGCCTCTAGAAATCTCTAGAAACTTCTAGAAGCCTGGGAAAGCCCCAGGAAACCTCAGCGAGCTTCTAGAATCTTCTAGAAGTCTTGGGGAGTCTCAGGGAGCTTCAGGAAGCCTCTAGAAGCCTCTGGAAGCGTTTTGAATTTTCTAGAAGCCTCTATAAGCTTCAGGAAGTATTTAGAAACCTCTAGAAACTTCTAGAATCGTCTAGAAACCTCAGAAAGCCTCTAGAAGCTTCAAGAATCCTTCAGAAGCTTTGGAAATTCTCTAGAAGCCTAAGAAAGCCTACAGAAGCTTATAGAAGCCTCGGAAAGCTTCTAGACACCCAGAATCCCAAAAAAATAATCTAAAAACATTCCAGGAAGCAAAAAAGAACACGGACAGTCTTCAACGCTTCTGCCTAGTCCGCGTCGCATTCGCCAAAGGCTTCGGACTCTCATTCGCCGGAAAACCCGAAATCAAAAACACGCCATGTTGGCTCGAGCTCAAAATCAATTGTGCATTTGACTTTATGGATCGAGTTGTGACTGATCTCGCAAACACTTTCGAGCCATTAACTTTAGAAGATTTCGCCAAACTTGGCATTGATGTTTCTGAAAATTAATTTTGTATTTTATTTTAGTTTGGATTGGTCTCGAATACTGTAGGATCTACATTTTTTGTTGATTATTTATTTGTATTTTGGTTATTGTTTTTTTTCCCTACATCATCTATCTCGGTAGCTTTCATCTCTTCTTCCAAATGGTCTCATTTATCTCTTGTTCCACCCTATTTTTTTTGTTTTGTAGATAAAGACGTCTAGATCTTGAAAGTTCAGAATCTTCCAAAAAACAAATCTAACATCAACAATTTTTTATTAATCTTTCAAAGTAGTCAACATGATCGGAAGATTCAATTGTTTTTGGAAGTAAGATTTTTCCTGAGAAGTTGTCACATTCCGAACCACCGTGAGGATTGAAGAACTCGCCAGCTCACTGATCAACGCTCCATCAGCATCCGCAACATTGGTGATCAGGAAATCGGCACCAATAAATCCAGGCAAGATCAAACTACGAACACTCCAGTAGAGCGCAGAGTCAATTGTTTTGAAAATCCAGGAGGTATAGGCGTTTCCTTGAGTTACACCATTGATTATTGAGTTGGAAGTGCTGCCCCAGGAGAATCCTGAAAATGAGAGGGTCTAGAGAGGCTAGAGAGGCTAGAGAGTTACCTAAAATTAATTTCGAATCCTTGAGTCGAATCTGTAGAGCAGTTAGGACATTTGTGGTTGTCAAAGCAACTTTGCCATACATTTCATCTTGCATAATATTGTTTCGAATGTAGGTGAGCAGCTGAAAAAAATTTTTTGAGCTTCTGAAGCATAAACCACGATTTTGAGCACGAAAATATCAGGCTTCTGGAGCTTTTTAGCCCAAGAAAGAAGCCTGAGAAGTCTGGGAAGCCCCAAACTCACATCAGAAGAGCAAAACGGAATATTCATCAACATTTTAATATCATTCTTAATACACCAAGTGACAGCATCATCAAAATGAAGAAATTTGACATTTTTGAGTTTGAAAAGTTGTGTTGAATGAGTTTCCGCAATTTCATAGGTAACATTGTCCGAATCTGTGACGTCAGCAAATTTATAAATTATCAAAACTCCATCTTTAGTCATTCTGACATTCATTTGAATTGTGTCAACTCCAGCGGATTTTGCAGATTTGAAGGCGGCCAAGGTTTCGAAGTTGAGGGAGGTGTTGTAATTGATGCTTTCGGTGGCGATTTTGAAGTCGGAAAAAAATTCTTGACGCTGAAAATTGAAAAAATACAGTACCCCAGGCTTGTTGGGTGTCAAAATACCCCAAATCTCATAAGGAATCCAAAATTCCCTGTCCCAAGTTACCCTAACTCACATTACTTTCCGTGACGGGGCTTTGTTTGAGAGCAATATATCCAGCAGTGAGCAGAATCGGAAGAGCCAACAAAAACACCAGCAAAATTCTGAGAACCAGAAATTTGATGGCTAGAATTGCTAAAAGTAGCAAAACAAGAATTAGAATAAACCAACCCAACATTGGGATCATATGAATAATAATAAGAAAGACTGAGTGAGAAGCCGTGAGGGCAGCTGAAAATATTTTTTTTCTGAAAAAAAAATTTCAGCTGTTTCTGAAAAAAAATCGCATTGGTTTTCTGGGGGATTTTATTACACAAAAACTTTAAATTATCAAATCTAAATTTTTTTCTAACTATTTTCAGCTTCTTCTTGATAAAGTTAAAGCTATAAAAACATACAAATGTATTTCAAAAAACAATAAGAAACCCGACGAAAAAAAAACGAAAGAAAGAAAGCTGTTACGGGTTACGGTATAAGTTAATGCAAGTAAAGTGACGAAAAATCCCCGTTTCAAGTGAGGTACAAAAAAAACAAAAATGCGGTGTTCAAAAACATGATGAGTACGGTATTCAAAAAAAAAAAAGTACAAAATAGTTTCAAGCGGAATGTGTGAGATCATGAGAGAGAAACATGAAATTTTTGGCAATAACTTGTACAACTGAAGATGTCGACGTTGCCGAATCTTGCGATTTCTGATCCGCATCTTTTGGTGTACTCGATTGACTTGTCGCCCATTCGACACGTTCTGCTGAACCCCAAATTGTGAAGAATACGGTAGGTATAATTGCTACGATTGCGGATATTTCGAAGACTATTGTCCATTCTCGTTTTGAGCCAGTTCTGCAAAAAATATTGATTTTTTTAAAGCTTCTCAATGATTCATAAACTTATTATCAAATTCTAGTTTCCAAATTTTCCAGAAGTTTCTAGAATTTTCCAGAATCCAGAATTTCCAGAAATGAATCTTGAGAAATGCTAATCGTTTTCAAGTATGAACTAAACTCTAGTTAAAAGTATAAACTAGACTCTAGTTAACAGTAGGAACAAAACTGTGATTAAAATTATAGGCTAGACTCTAGTTCTAAAATTTTGGAAAATTATGCCACTTGAATTTTTGAATTTTGAAGCGAGGCTTTGTAGGGGGTTCAAACTAGATTCTAGTTCCTATAGAAGATTTTTGAAAAGTTCTGATTTTTCAAATATAAACTAAACTCTAGTTAAAGAAATATTCCCGACTCCAGTTATTTGTATAAAGTAGACTCTAGTTAAGCGTCTAATGTAGGTTTTAGTCAAACGTATAAACTAGACTATAGTTACTAGCATGCACTAGATTCTAGGGGAAAGTATAAGCTAAACTCTAGTTAAAAAAATGAACTAAACTTCAGTTGAAATTGTGAACTAGACTGTAGGTAAAGCTAGAAACTATACTCTAGTTTGAAGTACCAACAAGATTAAAACTTATAAACTAGACCCTAGTTAAACTAGACTCTAGTTTAAAAATTTTGAAAAATTATGCCACGTGGATTTTTGAATTTGAGCACTAAAAATTCTGAAACTCTATTATATCAATATTAAAAATCAGAGAAAAATTCTGAAAAATTCAATTCTTTTTCGCGCCCAACTCCCAAACTCACACCAAAATCTGTCCAATCAACAACTTGTTCAAAATCGAAAAACAAGCCGCCACAGTAAACGCGATTCCCGTAATCACACCCGAATAAGCTGGCGCCAATTGCACCAACGCCGTTAGAACTCCAGGTGTATGCAAACCAGCAAACAAGTTCGCCAAACACAATAAAAATATCACCAATGCCGGGTGTTGTAGTTGTGACATTAAAGGAGTCGCTCCGATACATAGGCCAAGTCCAAGTGATGCGATGAAATTGAAGATTTTACATGATTGGGTCTTCCCTAAAATCCCATGTGCTGTGAGATATGAAGCTAAGGAAGAGCTCAATGTTTTTGAGAGGAATAAAATGCCCATCGGAAGTGCGGATACCAATCCATTGATTGTGCTAGATAAGCCCAAAACATCGGAGAAAAATTTGGGGAGAAATTGGAGCATTATAACCAGGGGGAATTCATGGCAAACGAGAGCAGCTACAGAAACCCAGATCGATTTTGATTTCAAGATTTTCTTCCACGGTGTGTTTGCACGATTCTTCCGTTTTCCGACGTGTTCCTCTTCGACTTTTCGATGAATATAAGCTTCTTCGTTTTGTGAAATGCACAAATGTTTGGATGGTTTGTCAGCTGAGAAGATGAGCCAGATTACGAGCACAATTGCGGCGACGATTGAGGAAACATAGAAGATTGCTGGCCATCCTCCAAAAGCTGATGTGTTTTCAGTGCTGCATAGATATCCACCAACTGGTAGGATTATTAGGGTTCCTGGAAAGTAGATTTAGGCTTGGGGAGCTTCTAAGGGCTCTTAGGGGCTTTTTAAGGCTATTGAGAGCTTTCTGGATTTTTTGTATGGTTTTAGAATGCTCTTGAGGTTTTCTAGAGCTTTCTACCGCTTCTAGGGTCTTTCTGAAGCATTTTAGAGCATTATAAGGCTTTCTGAGACTTTGAGAGGTTTTATAATGGAATTTCCGAGTTTCAGGAGTTTTCTAAGGCCCTTAGGGGCTTTCTAAGGCTTCATAAGGCTTTAAAATTGTTTCTGAGGCCTCTAGAGGATTTCTAAAGCATTTTAGAGCTTGAGAAAGGTTTAAGGGCTTTCTAGAGCTTTCTGGGTAACTTTAAGACTTTGTAGGGCTTTCTAAGGCTTCTAGGGGCTTTCTGAGATTTCATAAAGGTTTTTAGAACTTTCCGGAAATTCTTAAAGCTAATTAGAGCTTTCTAGAGAATTTTTAGGGCTTCCTTAAAGTTATAATAGGCTTTTGAAGGCTTTCTAGGCTTTCTGAGGCTTTTAAAACCTTTCCAGCTCAAATTTTTACGAAAATTCTGAATTTTCCAGTCAAAAAAAACTTCTAGACTTACCTATCTGCCGGCCTCCTGTAACAATTCCAAGTGCACTTGGTCTCTCTTTCGGTGGAAACCATCTCGTAATCATTGATGATGAGGAAGGAGATAATAATGCGTCACCAACGCCTGTTAGAAACCTGCAAAAAAAATAGTTTGGGATGTTCTAAAGATCTCCCGAGGTTTCTAAGAATTACAGTACCCCTAGAAAAACTACAGTACCTCAAACAAAAAACAAGAGCGATCGATATATCAGCAGCGGTTGGAAGTAGAGCATTCGCGATAATAATCAAAATCAACGCCACCAAAATCGTCCATTTCCCATTGAGACGATCCGCTTGCCAACCACAAACAAACATGAAAAGTGAACCGAAATTTTGACCAGAGTACAGTAAGCCTGTTTTTGGGAAAAAAACGAGAATTAGGTTAGTCTTTTGGAAAAGTTTAAAGGGGGGAAGGACTTTAACATGAGCAATCGTATTTTTTAATATGAGCAATTTTTTTTTGGATTTTTTTAGCTCAAGCTCGAGGTCAAGAAAAATAAATCAGAGAGATTATATTTTCTTTAACAGGGTTACTTTAACTATAACATGAGCAATGATATTTTTTAATATGAGCAATGATATTTTTTTTTGAATTTCAGAGCTCAAGAGAAAAATGTTCTACTTTCTTTTTCACATTTTCAACTTTAATATGAGCAATTGTATTTTTTGCTCAGTTCCGGATTTTTCAGAAATTGTTTTAACATGAGCAATGGCTTCTTAAAATTTTTTCAAGTCTAAAAAAATTCTCACTTTGTTGAAAAGAAGTCCATTTGTATTTTTTGGCTTGATGACAAGGCACAGCTTCCACATCATCTTGATTTCCAGATTCCGAATTCAGCTCCAAAAGAGCCGCTCCATCTCCAGAAGAAGCCGAATTCGAATTCTCCTTTTTGGCAAACGGACAACTCGTATTCGTGTCGGGTTTTTGAACCATACAAACCATACTTTGTGAAATATTCGAAGTTCCTACAGCTAGTGCGACAAAACAAAGACACAGCAAAAATGCGATGAATATTCGTAGAGAGGGGAAGATTTTCGATTTTTTCCGAAACGAACACACATTCTTTTTGTGTGTCCATTTTTCGATCTGGAAAAAATATACATAAGAATTTTTGTTTAAAAATTTGCTAACCTTGAGAAAAACAAAAGAGAATGGACCTTGGGACCTTTGAAATAAAAAGCTTTTGAAATTTTTTGAATCAAATGACCTTCAAAATTTGAAAAATATACCAAAGAGACTAGACGCTTTCTTGAGGCCCAAATCTAGATTTAAAAAATATATAAAAATATTTAGGTTAAGGCTAAGGTCAGGCTTGATTTTAGGGGATAACTTGAGGCTTAGGGTAAGGGTAAGCCTGAATCTATTGCTCAGGTTAGGATTAAGCTTAAATCTAGTGTTTCGGTTAAGCCTAAATTTAAGCCTAAACCAAAATGAAAATCTTAAGGGCTTAGCTCCTTCTCAAAGGGCTTCTCTAGGCGCGACTTCTTCTCAGAGATGTTCTCAAGGCTTGACTGCTTGTCAGAGGGCTTCTCTAGGCGCGGCTACTTCTCAGAGATGTTCTCAAGGCTTGCCTGCTTGTCACAAGGCTTCTCTATGCGCGGCTACTTGAGCTTTTTTAATAAGGTTAAATCTACAGCTAGGGTAAAATTTTTGAGAATCGATTCTTGGCGCGAAATTTTAGAATGTCAAAAGTTTTCCAGAAAACCGAATACTGTAGAAGCTCAATTTTCTGAAGAAAAAAATCATGGACCAAGTTATAATCAAATTTTCAAGCCAAATAGATCAAAACTGTAGGTTCTCGGAATTATTGATTTTTAATTTTAAAAAAAGGTTTTAAAATTTCTTTCTGAAAACCGATCAAAAATAAAATAACTAGAAAAAGTTATAAAAAATCAAAAATGTGATAAAATATGTGACTAAAAATGGGGGGATACCATAAAAAAAAGACAACAAAAATTAGAAGAAGGCAAAAAAAAACAAACAAGTGTTCACATGACGCGAAAAAAGATTGATGATGATAATATTATAAATTATATAATAAAACAAGGAAGGAGGAGAAACTATTTTTGAGAAGAAGAAATGTGTGTGTTTTCAAGTAAATATATGAAACAAAGTTTCTAAACCGAAATCCTTGAAAATCTCTGTTTGTTTTTTCACAAAACTTCCGGTTTCCTTCCTGGAAACTTTTTGAAGAACAGAGAGAAAAAAGTACAAGTAACCAACCGGTTATTCGTCCCCCGTAAAAATAATATAATTTCATTCCAAAAATGACCTCCTTATATGCGCTATCCTCCTACGATTTTTCATCTGATCATTTTTTTTTCTTACAATTAGAATGTGGGCGAATGTTCTAAAGTAGCCGCGCCTAGAGAAGCTCTCTGATAAGCAGTCAAGCCTTGAGAACATCTCTGAGAAGTAGCCACGCCTAGAGAAGCCCTCTATCAAGCAGTCAAGCCTTGAGAGCATCTCTGAGACGTAGCCGCGACTAGAGAAGCCCTCTGACAAGCAGCCAAGCCTTGAGAACATCTCTGAGAAGTAGCCGCGCCTAGAGAAGCGCTCTATCAAGCAGTCAAGCCTTGAGAACATCTCTGATTGTCAGGATTATTTACTCGGTGAAAAATTGGAGCTAATAGAGACTACTAAAAATACAGTTTGCAAGTACCGTAACCACAAAATACAGTACTCTCAAAACCAAAAAATGACCGCCTTATAAGTAGTACCCCTCCCATTTTTTCCTCATCTCATCATTTTTCTCTAACAAAACACCCCCTCAGCCATTAAAAAAAATTGAATGACAAGGTTTAAAAAGTTCTGTTCTGTCGGGCAGTACACGTGGGACAAGTAAATAAATAAAAAAAATCAAAATCAAATTTAGCACATGTTTGGGAAGAAGAAATAGAGAAGGAGTGGTTTTATTTGCTTATTTATTTGATTTTCAGATTATTTTGTACACTTGTAGACTCTAGGAGTTCAAAGAGTCAAAAAAAGTGTGTGTTATGTACTGTAACATTTTGATCTTGATGTGTTTTTGATGGAAAATTACTAGAATTAACCCTGGATTTTTTGGAATTTTCATCGAATTTCAGAAATTCCAGAAAAAAATACAGTAATCTGGAAGCAGCTAGAAATGTTTTCTATAAGCTCTCAAGGCTTGATTGCTTGTCAGAGAGGCTCTCAAGGCTCGACACCCTGCCAGAAGGCTTCTTTAGACGCGGATACTTCTCAGAGATGCTCTCAAGGCTTAGCTCCCTGTGAGAGGGCTTCTCTAGGCGCGGCTAAGTCTCACATTCAGAGAAGCTCTCAACAGGCCTGATCGGAATGGACCTTGTCGGAAGGTTCGGAATGAGCACACTCATTCCGAGTGGTCAGATCGTAATTCCGAATTCCGAACCTCCATTCCGACATTTTTACCTCGGAATTTCGGAATTTTTCGGAATGTTTCGGAATGATATAAAACTTCAAAAATTTGTCTTCAAAAGTTAAATTTTTCGAGAATCACAAGAGAAAAAGAGATTTTTTGAAAATGACAGGTAAAATTCATCAATTTTTCCATTTTTTTGTTGAATTTTTCACTAATTTCAGCTCAAACATTCCGAAAAATTCCGAAATTCGGTAGAAAAATTCCGAAATTCGGAAGAGAAACACATTCCGAAATTCCAAAAAGTTTCGGAAGTAACATCGGAATGATTCCGATTCCGAGAAAATAGATTCCGATTCCGAGACACGTTTGTCTCATTCCGAAAAACCTGTCGGTTTCGGAATTTCGGAAAAAAGATGTCAGAGGGCTTGTCTAGGCGCGGCTACTTCTCAGAGATGCTCTCAAGGCTTGACTGCTTGTCAGAGGGTTTCTCTTGGCGCGGCTACTTCTCAGAGATTTTCTCACGGCTCGAAACCGGTGCTGAACTTTGATAATTTGATTTTTCCAATTTTCATCATAAATTTTCAAAAAAAATGATGAGAATTCCGAATTTTTATTCGAATTTTCTTGATGATGTGAGCAAGGTAAACGCCCTGTGATAAAATGATCAGCAGCAGCAGGAAAAACATTTTCGTGGAAAACTGATAAGAAAAACGTGTTAGAAATTGATAAACATTGGTGTAGGTTGAGGGAGGTACTGTAGTTCAGAATTCAAAAATAAGAAGAGTACTGTAGAAAAATTCGTTACTAAATGTGATTTGCAAAAGGTCAAAACATATTGTTTTGTTAAGAGGCATTATTTATAAAAATGCGAATTCGTATAGTATGCGTGGTACAAAAAAATTTCAAATTTGCTAATTTTTGCCTGGTTGGTAGCCCACCACCTATAGAACACATTCCAGGAGTAAAATAAGAAAAAAATGTTTTTGGTGGCTGGTGCACACCCATTTATGTCAAAACTTCAATCGATCATAACTTCACTCCCCCTTCATATTTTTTCAAAGTATAAACGTCATTCTGATCGGAATTTGAAGGACTTTAATTGTGATTTAAGAGAGAAAAAAATATTCGACTTTCGTTAACTTCCAAACGTCGACTAAATTTTGAAAGTCAAAATTCGATATAAGGGGGACTTTGTTGCTCGCTAAATTTGCTTCCAAAAGATTCCTCGTCCCTTTTTACGTACCCTCCAATCTTAAAATAAAAAATAACCCTCCCGCCTCATGGTTTCCCGGACCATTTTTTACCCCTCCCCCCCCCCTCCCACTTCACCCCCGCACACACACACATTTCCTCTTACACGGTGTGTTGCCTTACGGTGTTACTTATTTTTTTTTCCTTTTTTTTCTTTATATTATTTTTTTTTGTGTTTTATGATAAGAAATTTAATTATTAATTGAATCCATACAGCTGTCAGTATAGCTGTCAATCTGAAAAGTTGTCAGAACACTTATCAGTTATTATTTTCTTTAGATTCCTCACTATAAAAGCAACACCAGTTTTTCTGTTTCACATAACATTTTTTTTTGTTTCACATAACAATTAAATATCAAATTATTCTTGTTCAGATGATTTTGCTCTTCGGGATATTATGGTTTCTACCGTCTTTTTATTTCGCTCCAATAAAAAGAAATGAACATTCCGATTGCTTTTTTGATACAGCTAGGTTTTCAAATTTTGAAACAATTGAACGAAAACCTCAATTCAAAGTGAAAGCTCTTCATTCTGGTGAAATGAAACAGTGAGTCATTAATTCCGCTCATTATATTTGACATGAACGTTAAGGATGGAAGATATTTTCAAATTGAAAGTGAATGATCTGTTTGGTGCTCGAAATCCAGTTGAATTGATGTCAAGTGTTGGGATGGTATAGTGTGAATAAAAATCAATTACCACCCAAATATCACCATTTTAAGACAGTCCCAAGTGAAATTTCTCAAAAGTTGAAAATCTGGAAAAATCGGATTTTTGATTTTGGACCAATACAACCTTCAGAAGTGATGCCAAATACATCTGAATGATTGAAATAGTGTGAATCAGCGTAAAAAATAACCCTAGAAAGGTTTCCAACATTTTCGGGCTGTTTTAGTGACGTTATCCATCAAAAACAGTTAGTGCATTTCTTTTTTGCCGCTACTGTATATTATGTTTTCAGATAGAAGAATCCGAAAAAGGTCAATTAATTAAAGATGTTATGAAAGAAATTGAGAAATCAGTAGAAGTTGACGATGTTCAACTTCCTGAAGGATGGTCTTTGAAAACTCGTAAAGCTAGTGGAAGGTTTGTTGAAACACTTTCAGCGGTAAAAATGTTTTTTTTAGATTCCCGCAAAGTGTAGTAGAACTCCTCAACAAATTGTTTGACGATGGTATAACTAGAGGAAATAAATATTCTCCAGAAGAAACACAACAAATTATGCGTCAAGCTCGGCATCCAGACCGAACACTGATGTATTCATCTGATGAATTGCTAACCACAAGACAAATAGCTAGTTTCTATGCTAGGTTGGCATCTCAAAGAGAGAAGGAAGCATCAGGGAAAAAACGATCAAAACGAAGCTTGGAGCAATCATCATGTGAAACAAATGATGAAGATATTGATATGTACTCACCAGAATTTGAAAACTCTTATAGATATGAAGATTATTATGGAGGTTTGGATGATCAACTGAGAAAACTGATAATAGAAGAATTGGAAGAATATTTTGAAGATTTCGACAAATTAAAACAAAACACGAAAAAAGCAAAACATTCAAATGTTTAATATAAAGATTTTTGTTATAAATATTTCTATTTTTGCTGTTTTTTAAATTTTAACTCAAGATAATAATGTAAAGAAAAAAAAGGAAAAAAAAATAAGTAACACCGTAAGGCAACACACCGTGTAAGAGGAAATGTGTGTGTGTGCGGGGGTGAAGTGGGAGGGGGGAGGGGTAAAAAATGGTCCGGGAAACCATGAGGCGGGAGGGTTATTTTTTATTTTAAGATTGGAGGGTACGTAAAAAGGGACGAGGAATCTTTTGGAAGCAAATTTAGCGAGCAACAAAGTCCCCCTTATATCGAATTTTGACTTTCAAAATTTAGTCGACGTTTGGAAGTTAACGAAAGTCGAATATTTTTTCTCTCTTAAATCACAATTAAAGTCCTTCAAATTCCGATCAGAATGACGTTTATACTTTGAAAAAATATGAAGGGGGAGTGAAGTTATGATCGATTGAAGTTTTGACATAAATGGGTGTGCACCAGCCACCAAAAACATTTTTTTCTTATTTTACTCCTGGAATGTGTTCTATAGGTGGTGGGCTACCAACCAGGCAAAAATTAGCAAATTTGAAATTTTTTTGTACCACGGGATTTTTCGCCTTACAAAAAACGTCTCTTAAGTAAGTAATCTTCCCGATTCGTGTTTTTGAAGTTAAAAAGTTTGAAAATCGAAAGACCAAATAGTTTTTGTTGTATTTGCACAAAAGTACAAAGCAAAATAACAATTAGCAAAAAAGCACTACGGTATTTATAGGTTCATTGAAAAATGTCAGAAATGTATAAAATTGTTCCGGTTTTTCTAGTGATAAGGGAATTTTTTGAGTGAAATGGCATGAAAAATGTTCCAATTGAAGTTGGAAATAAAATTTAAAAATAAGATCTGAACCACTGTAGCTGATTTTGTAGAGAATTTCAAAACTAAAGTTTTTTTTTCCAGAATCAAAAGAACATTTTTCAAAAGTACGTGACAAACTAAATGTGTTCAAGATCAAAAATTTGTTTCAAATATTGAATTTAAGCAAATAAACTTAACAGAAACAGTATTTTTTCGGGAAATTTTGAGAAGTTTTTTTTTCAAAAAAAAATTTTACCAATTTTCTTTGAGTCAATATCAAAAAAAAATTCCAAAACTTGAATAAAATTTACACAAATTTTTCAATTCATAACACTTTTTCCGAAAGAAAAATTTGAAACTTTTAAAATGAGCAATCTTTCAGAAAAAGACTAGAGTGTAAATAAAATTTCTAAAATTAGAAGAAACTTTTTGCTCTTTGAGAAAAAAAAGAGTTAGGGTAAATGTATTTACAGTAGTTCCAAAGTTTGCTTTACAAAACCAATAGATTTAGAATGTTATTTTTACAAAACCCACGCGAAAATTGAAAAAAAAAACTTAAGAAGCCTTGGGAAGCTTTGGGAGCCTTGGGAAGCCTTGGGAAGCCTTGGGAAGCCTTGGGAAGCCTTGGGATCCCTTGGGAAGCCTTGGGAAGCCTTGGGAAGCTTTGGGAAGCCTTGGGAACCCTCGGGATCCCTTGAGAAGCCTCTAGAAGCCTGAGAAGCCCAATAAATCTCAAAAAAAAGTTCCATTTTATATATAAGCCATATATGTAATTGTACAATAGGGAAATAAAAATGTGCAAATTAAAAACGGACACATGTTTATGAAAGCGCTTAAGTGCGACAAGTCGTCAAATAAATACAATACAAAACAGCAGCAAAAAAATGAATACTCACGTTTATTTAAAAAGTCAAATAAACAGGCTTCCGTGTTTTTTTTTGGGCTGGTAGACAATACATACATGAAAGGAGAAAACTTTAAGAAAAAAAAATAGGAGAAAAAATGATATAATTTTTTTCGTAATGATTTGTTTTCTATGAATCATTTTGTATAGTTTTTTGGAAATTTTTTTATTTTTGAAAATTTTTAAACAGAAAATATAAATGAACGTAGGAAAGGAAGGAGATTTGAATTTCGGATTTTCAGAAACTTGGAAAATTATAGAAAAAAAAAATTGGAAAGTTTTCTGAATCTCACATTCAGAATCCAGTTTTGAAGATTCAAAGAAGACTGGGAAAATTTTTCGAAAGTTCAGAAGAACTTCAGAAGCTCTAGATTATTTTTAGAACTTCAAAAAAGCCTGGAAAATAGAATTATGAAAAAATAATTTGGGAAAATTTCTAGAAGCCTGGAAAAATATAAAGAAGATCAGACAATTTAGAAATATTCTAAATGTTCAAGGAATATTTTTAAAAGCTTTAAAAAAGGTGAAATCTAAAAAATTCAAGAGATTTCCAGAAGCCCAGAAGCTTTTCCAGAAGCTCAGAAGATTGAAAATGAGTTTCAGAAGCTCTATGGTATTTTTAGAACTTCAAAAAAGCCTGGAAAATTTTTGGAGTTTCAGAAGATTTTTGGGTCTTTGAAAATCATGGGAAAATTTCTAGAAGCTTGAAAAATCTGAAAAGTTCAGAAAATTTCCAGAAATATTCAAGAAATTCCAAAAAAAAGGAGTCAAAAATTAAGGAACAGAAAAAAAACAACCACAAAAAATTAGAGAGTCAGTCAGTACATTATCGTATCATTCGATCTTTCTCCACTTTTTTTGGTTATAATCCCTTCAGTCACCTGTGTGTGTGTGAGTGTGGTTATTATTAATATTTGTTTTGTTTCTTCTTATTCATTCATAATTTGTGTTTTCATATCAAAAACTCGACGCTGTCTGAACTGAACTGAATAAATTAATTATTATTGGTAATTGAGGGTGGGAAACAATATAAACAAAAAATAATAATATTGCGTTTTTGTGTCGCGAACAAATATGTCAATGACTGTGCGTGGGAACTGGAAGAAAAGGGTTGGGAAGCCTTGGGAAGCCTTGGGAAGCCTTGGGAAGCCTTGGGAAGCCTTGAGAAGCCTCGGGAAGCCTTGGAAAGCCTTGGGAAGCCTTGGGAAGCCTTGGGAAGCCTTGTGAAGCCTTGGGAAGCCTTGGAAGGCTTTCAGATGCCTTGGAAAGCTTCGGGAAGCCATGGGAAGCCTTGGGAAGCCTTGAGAAGCCTTGGGAAGCCTTGAGAAGCCTTGGGAAGCTTTGGGAAGCCTTGGGAAGCCTTGGGAAGCCTTGTGAAGCCTTGGGAAGCCTTGGAAGGCTTTCAGATGCCTTGGAAAGCTTCGGGAAGCCATGGGAAGCCTTGGGAAGCCTTGAGAAGCCTTGGGAAGCCTTGAGAAGCCTTGGGAAGCTTTGGGAAGCCTTCGGAAGTCTTCAGAAGCCTTGGGAAGCCTTGGGAAGCCTTTAGAAGCCTTGGGAAGCCTTGGGAATCAAAAGTTTGCTCTACAAAACTTGAAAAATTTATTTATTGAAGTAAGATCAAAAAATGAAAAATTGAAATTAAAATCAGAAGAAGAAAATGTTCATGTTCACTTTTTGCCATACACCACGAATCCTGAAAGATTTTTCTAATTTTAATTTGAAAAAATTTGATTTGAAAAATGTTCAACTAACCTCCCCGAGTCATTTCATTCATAAAAATGGCAGTTTCCCTGCTATCAAACAGGTTGTCTTCACTAAGAGTCGGAAAATCTCCACAAACAAAAACATCTGGTTGGCTCAAAAAATGTTTGTACCAGGTGCACAATTTTTCGTAGACCTCCTTTGTAGTCACTTTTTGGGAGCCCTGAAATTATTTTTATTGAGAAAAATTGTGTCTGGTTGTCTAATATTTCACACATGCAGATACGACATAGAAAGAGAGGAAAAAATAATTTTCAAAAAAAATTATTGCGAAATCGGAGAAGGAAAATTTCAAAAGTATAAAATTTTTTCCAGAAACCCTCTTTTGTTACCTGTGTGATTTGCTCAACGTGATGTGCAGTCATAAAATTCAATAACCATTGATTTGATTTTGGCATGTCCTTTCTAATTCGTCTCAAATATATATCCATTATTTGAAACATCATTTTCGCGTTACACTGAAAATTTGGAGAATTTTGATTCAAAAATTTTGAAGAAAAACTTACCATCATTTGCATTGTTAAAGGTTCATTTGGCTCCATTTTTGAGTTTGGAATTTAGTTGACCTGGAAAAAAATATACAATAGTGATTTAGGGGAAAATGAGGGGAAAAGCTTCAAATCTTGATGAAATTTGGATTATGGACAGGTTTTGGGGTCATAAAAACACCTTACCCAATGGACCTCTGAGCCAAGTTCTGGGCTTTCAAAAGTTCAAAAATTGTTGAAATTGTCTCCCCAAAAAGCACCAATAAATCAAATTTTCAGAAAAATTTTTGATACTGGAAAAAAGAATATGAATTTTCAACCGAAAAATAAAAAACTTCAAAATTTTTCGAAAAAATATTTTTTATTGGCTTTAGTAAATTTTTTTTTAATTTTTTTCTATGCGGATCAAAAAATACCTGAAATTTTATTTCTTCCAAAAATTATTTTATGAGCCAATTTCGGCAATTTTTGAATTTTTGAGAGCCCAGAACTTGGCTCAGAGGTCCATTGGGTAAATAATATTTTCAGGGCGTTTTTATGACCCCAAAAGCTGTCTATGGACAAAATTTCATCAAGGTTTGAAGTGTTGAGTAAAAGAAAAATCTAAAAAAAGAAAACCATACGCACAAAAAAAATAATGCTCACAAAAAATATAATTTTTTGCGAGAGTGGGAAGAAGGATTAGGGTCACCCGGCCTTTTTTGTGCATCCCAAATAGACAAAATTACCAATTACGAGAACAATTATCGATTTTTTGAAGGAAAAGATATTTTCAGTTAATTTCATCCAGAAGAGGATGCACCTGTCACGTTTCCCAGTCACAAAACTACAATAAATTCTCGATTCCCCCTGTACAAATCAATCAATCATCCCGTCTTACATAAGTAAGTTCCACCAAAAAAATGATATATTTCCACCCTCCCTTTAAAATTTCACACACATATAATTTTGTGTTGTTCACTGAAAAAAAGATTTTGCCTTTTGTTTTATGTCCTTATCTATCATTTTCTGAACAAAAGTAGTAGTATTATATTAGTGGTTTCACTTTATCAAGTACTTAAACATACACACACTATTTTCTCCCTATAAATATATATCTCTTACATATTTTTCTACTAATACTTGTCTGATTTTCCTGTTTTTTTTCTAGATTTTTTCAGACTTTTAAGGCTTCTTAGGGCTTCCCAAGGCTTTTTCTCTCATTTTTGACTTGTTTTCCTCAATTTCCTATATCTATCAATTGAAAAAAGAAGAAAAAAAGCTAGTTTGATTATCTTTAGCCAAAACCGCACCCATTTTTTGTCGCATCATTTTCACCTCATTTTTTTCAGTGTGAAAAATTTTTCAAAAATTTTTATTTTTTTGTTTTTTCTGAAGCCTAAGAAGCTTAAAAATCGAATCCTAATTTAAAATTCCAAAAAAAAAATGGTATTTTCAATTTTCCACCAAGGTCAGATGAGGATTCGAAAACTTTCACTTGAAAAAAAAACTTTTTTCTACATTTTTACATCCGTTTTCTTATTAAGTTCAGTTTGGAGGGGAGAAAAACTCAATTTATTTACATAATCGAAAGTATTTTTGCAGTTTATTTATCGCTTTTTACAGATTTTTATGGGATTTTTTTCGGGGGAAGATTTTACGGAAATGTTTCAAGCTTTCTTTGTTTTGTATGTGTTTTTCTGGAAAAGTTTCCGGTTTTTTTTTTAAATATTTTGCTGAAAATTTTTTTTTAATTTTTTGAAAGCCCGAAAATTTATCTGAAATTTGTTCCCATAATTTTCCATAGGCTTCCCAAGGTTTCTCAAGGCTTCCCAAGGCTTCCCAAGGCCCCCAAGGCTTCCCAAGGCTTCCCAAGGCTTCTCAAGGCTTCCTGATCTCCATTTCTATCCAATTTTTTCCAGGTATGATTATCCTACTATTCCTCTTCAATCTGATAACATCAATCCTGAGTCAAAATCTCTACGGACCATCCCAGCTAGATTTATACTGGCGACTTTTGCGATCTCAAAATCTTGGAGGTGTAGGTCTCCTCCCAAACATTGATAACCAAATCAAAGTGATCGAAAAACAACAATTCCTATCTGGTTTACCACCATTGCCGATGACTCATGAAGAAATGATTCATGTTTTGACAACTGAAGCGCCAACAACTACACCAAGACCGACTGCTAGACCAACTTCACCGCCTCCGGCACATGATCCGTTTGTTTTGAATAATGAACCGGAGAATCCACCGATTCCTGAGGAAAGGTTAGTTGTTTTGGGCTTCAAGGAAAGTTATCTTAACTCTTCAAAACCCTGGGATAAACCTAGAACGCCTATGTGACTTTCTGAATCATTCAGAAAGCTCAGAACATTTCTGAACCCTTCGAGGATTCATTGATTTTCCAGAATCGGTGGAACCTTTGACGTCGATGGAAATTTCGTGTCCAACGTTCCAGTTGTTAAAAAATCATTGGCTCGCGGAGCCCGGAATTATCGATTGAGTGACACTGCAAATGAGCAGAAATATGGTTATCAGGCACAATTTCATAATCCAATTCATGTGAGTTTTTTCTATTATATTTTTTCTGGGTTACTGTAGCTGAATATTTTCTAAAAATCACAGGTTCCATCAAAATTTCACAATATTTTTGAATTTTTGCAGTTTCAATACCAGAAGATTTCGGAATTTTGTTTAAAATCGCTTAGCTTCTCAAAATTCTTGAAAATTTGAAAAATTGTTCTGGTCCCTAATTTTTCATTTGCATTGCTCATATTAGTCTTTGAAAAGTTCCAGAGTTCAAAAAAACTCCAAAATATTTTCCAAAACCAAATTTTCAATTATCATTGCTCATATTAACACAAAAATTTTCAGAAAACCGCTCAAAATCGATTCATCCCAACAGCAACACGTTCACCACTTCCACAGCGATCCACCTATCCACCAATGATTTTCCGCGCCAAACCACAACCCACAAATCGTGACGCATATTTGAATAATCTACTTCTGGAAATCGAAGAATACGATGATTTTTTGGACCAAGTCAATCAATTTAAGGGGCGTTATCCTGGTGCAAATGTTCCGAATCCTTATCGAAATCTTCCGGATGGCAAATTGCCCGCTTTGAGTCAACAATACAAAAAATGAGCACCATTTTTGGATTTTCTGTATAATTTATTGTATTTTCATGTGATAAAATGAATTTTTCTGATTTTTTGAAGCTTGGAATGGTTCTAGAAATCCTGGAAACATTCTAGAATATCTGAAATGCTTGCTTAAATTTCAGAAAAGCCTGGAAATTTCTAGAAGACTGTTGGAGAAGACTGAAAAATTTTTTAATTTTCAGAAAGCCTGGAGAAGCTTCGGAAACTGTTCTGAATAGTCTAGACACCCTGAAAATCAGAAAAATTTCAGAAAAGGTTTTTTTGAATTTCCAGAAACCTAAAAAATGTTGTCAGAACTTTGTCAGAACTTTTGAAAACTCTAAAAATTTGTGGAGGATTCAGAAAATCTGGAAGAATTCTAGAACCCCTGGATTTTTTTGAGAAGTTTTTATTCAGTTTTCTCACATTCAGAATCTTGAAAAAATTCGAAAATCCTCAAGAATAAGCGGATTTATTTAAAAATACTCACAAAAATATATCACATTTAGAAAAAATTTTGGGATGTGAAAAAAAAGTGCACAAAATATACATAAAGCAATGCATTGTGATAGAAAATTTTCAAAAACAAAAAAAAATTTGAAATTGACCATAATAAACCTGAGATACGCAAAGAAGAAATGAATGCAAATAATCGATAAAATTATTAGTTTTTTTGATATTATATTTGATATTACAAATTCAAAATTTTTTAAAATAAAATAAAATTTAAAAAAGCTATTTGATAGCTTTTGGTTGTACACTTGGTGTTGGTGGATTTATACTTGCTGCAATTTGCATCAAAATTTCAGAGGGAGATTGCATTTGGTTCATCATGATTTCATCAATCTGGAAAATTCAAAAATTAGATTTAGGCTAACTCTCTAGCTCTCTTACCTTCGCTTTTTTGCTCTCCAATTCCTGAAGTTGCTCATCCAAAGCTCTTTTTCGGGAAACTGGCTCTTCTGGACTGATTTCAGGAGGCTCAATTTTGACAATTTGATCAATTTGTTGTTGTTGCTCTTGTTGTTGTTTGGCTCGTTTTGCCAACATGTCCAATTGATTGGCTATCGATTTTTTGCGAGGGTTGGCCTGGAAAAAATTTGGTTTGAGAAGCCTGAGAAGCCTGGGAAGCCTGGGAAGCCTGGGAAGCCTAAAAACCCTCCAGGAGCCTTCAGAAGCCTCCATGATCCTCCAAGAGGCTCCAGGAGCCTTCAGAATCCACTAGGAGGCTTCAGAAGCCTTCAAAATCTTCCAGGAGCCTTCAGAAGCCTCGAGAAGTCCAGGAGGGCCCAGAAGCTTTTGGAAGCCTTTCAAAAATCTTCAGAAACTTTCAGACGCCTTCAGAATCCTCCAGGAGCCCTCAGAAGCCGCTAGAATTCCTCCAGAAGCCTCCAGAATCCTCCAGAAGACTTCAGAAGCCCGAAAAACTCACCGTAACAGCTTTCTTAGTCAACGCCTCTAATTGTTCAGTAATAGATTGTGGTTTAATATCCTCCGAAGTCGAATAATCAGTCGAAAGTCGATGAAAAACATTAGTCCCAGAAATCGAATTCCTCCTCCGAATCGTCGCAACAACCCGATCACAAACTCCAAGCGAAGCGATCGATCTTGACAAAAGCGGCGCAATATTTCCAATATGTCCATGTTTCAATTTAATCCTCATCAAATTCAACGTCTCAACCATTTGATCAATAATTTGTTCAGAGATTCCAAGATTCTGCATTTCGCCCCAAAAAACAATCGGCTCTGTTGTCATTTTTGTCATCAGCGCATTTGTTTCAACTCCGATTCGAAATTGCTCATCTTTTGTGAATTGTTGAATACTCGATAGAAGTTGTGATGTTTTTTCAGATTGTGGTTGAGCTTGAGAAGGAGATTCAGTAGATGTTCCAGCTGATGTTCCGGCTGATGTTCCGACATTGTTATTGTTTCGAAGTGCTTGGCTGAGTTGGATGAATTGCGAGAATTGTGGATTTTTGAATAGCGCTCCAAGTGTTGGTTTGACTTCGGTTCTTGGGATTATTGTTGGTAAGCTTGCACGGCGTCTGGAAAAATTTTTATTGGGAATTCTGAAGTTTTCCTCAGAAAAACCTACAATAGCATTTCATCCCTTTCCAACTCCAACAGCGAAGGTTCACGATCTTTTGGTGTGATATAATTTCTAGATTGGCATTTTGCAGAGCAAAAAGTTTGATGATTGTGAAAATCGAAAGTTCTCATCTCCATTAATGTTCTTAGATTCGATTTTCCGATTCGAATACTTCCTTTCCAATCTTTTTGTCGATCTTTGTTGGCTCGAATTGTGAAGGCTTTTGGGGTGATGAGATCAGGTTCGCCTGGAAAAATATTTATTTTTTTTTTTGAAAATTGGTTGGGATGTTTAGAAGTTCTAGAAAAATCAATAAATTACTCTGAATTAAATTTTGTTAATATGAGCAACGCTAATTTGATTCTAATATGTGGAATTTTCATATAATTTTTTTAAATATGAGCAATGAAAAGTTCCCCCTAATTTTTTTTGCAGACAAAAATCAATAATTTCGGCCATTTGAGGCTTTCAATTTCGGATTTTGAAAACTTGAAAATTATTGATTTTTGTCTGAAATTTTCAGGTATTTTTAGCCTAAATAAGCCTGGATTTTCAGGTTGAAAATATTGAATTTCTGCTCCAAATAAGCCTAGATTTTCAAAATGAATTTATCGGTTTTTGGCCTAAATAAGCCTGTATTTTCAGGCTAAAAATGTGAGCTTTTCGAGCCTAGAAATTATTGATTTTTTAGTGAAATTTTCAGATATTTTTAGCCCAAATAAGCCTGGATTTTCAGACTAGAAATGTGGAATTTTCTGCTTTGAATAAGCCTGGATTTTCAGGCTGAAATTATTGATTTCTTGGCCTAAATAAGCCTGGATTTTCAGGCTGAAATTATTGAATTTCTGCTCTAAATAAGTCTAGATTTTCAGATTGAAATTTCGGTTTTTTTAGCCTAAATAAGCCTAAATTTTCAGGCAAACATTTTGAATGATGAAGTTTCTAATTAAACCTAGATTTTTAGAGTGAAATTATCGATTTTTGGCTTGAAAAAGCCTGGATTTTCAGACTGAAAAGTTGGATTTTGGAGCCTAAAACTTATCGATTTTTTGTACTGAAATTTTCAGATATTTTTAGCCTAAATAAGCCTAGATTTTCATGCTGAAATTTCAGATTTTTCGGCCTGAAAAAATCAGTTTCCAATATTTTCCCAAAACCCCATTCCCACTTCCCGCAACTCACAATCCAACTCAATACAATGTTGATGAATTCCAGGGCAAACAAAAAGATTGGTGTGCAATTTGGCCGTAAGAGTTCCGCATCGAATCTACAAGAAAAAATGAGTTGCGTGAACTTGTATTTGTTCACATTTTTATTTGTTTTTCACGTAAAGTCACGCGCGCGCAGTTTTTTCCGCGCCGCCGCCATGAACTGTGTGTGAGAAAAAGATGGAATTATTTGTATACTACATATTTGTATGCGTCGAATTCGCCGACTAAAAATAGGCTGGGTAAACAAAACATGGCAATTTTGACCCCGCAACCGGTTTGTTCAAATTATTTTGCAAAATTTGTAGCTAGTTTTTCAAAAGGTATGGAATTTGTAGGGTTCAAAAATTGTTTTTGGTTTAAAGGATCCCTAGAATAAGCTTAGACTTAGGCTAAGTGAGATTTTTGGGACCATTTTATTCATTAAAAACTCTAAATTTGGAATATTGGAAAACTATTTTAAAGGTTTTTTTAAAAAACTGTCCAGAAAAAGCAATTTTTAAAGATAAACCTAAACTTTTACTTCAAAACATATATTCAGGCTTTAACTAGACTTCAGCTATGTTAACGTCTAGAAAATAGAGATTTATAGTTTTAGAGAGATTTCTGAAGTCCTATGAAGTCTTCTGAATTTTTCTAAAGCTTTCTGAATTTTTCTGAAGCTTTTCAAAGACTTCTGAAGCTCTCTGGAGCCTTCCGAAATTTTCTAACAGTTTTCTAGCTTTCTGAATTTTTCTGCAGATTTCTGAAGCCTCCTAGAGCTATCTATAGACTTCTGAAGCCTTCCGAAGCCTTCTAAAGCGCCCCAAATCTTCCCAAATGCAAAAAAAAGCTCACCGGAATAATTTCAGGCACATTATTCTTCAAATCCAACTCAATTTCCTCATCCGTCAGCTCGGTTTTGATTTGTTTTTGAGTCGCATCATCCGCCGAAGCGCCTTCAATGCCAAGCATTTTCGACTGACTGCAAAACGAAAAATAATTTTGGAATGCGAAAGGTCGTTTCACGCAGCTGGTGAACAAGAAGAAGACGCGAAAAAAAAAAAATTTCGCGTGCGCCCGCACGCGAAACAAATAGTGTATGTGTGTGAGAGAGAGCAGAGAGAATATGTGAGAGAGAGAGTAGGAGAGGGTAGAGATGCAGAGAACATGAGATTTAATGAAAATTGGGTTGGATATATTATACTAATGGAGGTGTCAGAAGGATTTGGAGATTTAATGAGATTTTTTTGAGCTAGAAAAGTTGGCTGGGGAAAAAAGTTTTGAAACTTAAAATTCTGAAACTTTCAGAGTGCATTAAGAATTCATTGGATTTTTTTCGGAGTTACAGCAGGTGAAAAGGAGTTTGCTTAGAAGCCTAAGAAGTGTGAGAAATTTGAGAAGCCTAAGGCTTCTAGATCAAGTAAACTGGAAGATAGGGTAACTCTAAAAATTCACAAATATTTTCAAGAGTTAACTGTTTCTTTAGAAAAATTTTCAAATTCAAGAAAAAACAACCTCGAAGATAGGGTAACTCTGAATATTTTCTTAAAATTTTGCAAAATGCATATTCTCCTGAATCTTAAAAGTTAGCTGAAGTCTCTCGAAAAATTTGAAAAAAAAAGCTTCTCAAAAAGTTCACAGTCTTTCTCTCAAAGCAAAAAAAGAGAAAAACGTGAAACGTAAAACACATTTTGGAATAAAAATAAACGCGCGCGCACAAAAATAAATAAAAAAGCGTGCGCTGCGCGAGGCAGCAGCGGGGGGAGAAATCGACCCCCCTTCTGACACACACACACAACACAACACAAAAACGACGCCAGGCCGACGTTGGCCGGCCAAAAGTGAACGTGTACACGACGTGCAAAATACTAGTGGGGCGGACACGAAGGGGAGAGGAGGGGACGTTGTGTTTGTGTGTGTGTGTGTGTGCATGTCCTTTGTTCTTTCTCTGCGTCTCCATCACGCATCTCTCATCTCACAACACTCTCTCGCTTATGGTTTTTCGCGGTGATTTTTAGCGGGGAGGCGGCGACTGCGGCGGTGTTACACGTCCTTGTGATGGCTGGCCGTGATGTGATGTGATGAAAATAGAAATGAGAATAGAATAAAAGTGGAAACGTGTTTTTGAGGGCGAGAAGGGCGGAGAGGACGGGCCGAGAGACAACAAATACATAATTAACTTGACTAAAAAAATTGGTGAACACGAAATGTTGGTTTCGGAAAGAATGGGGAGCTTTGGACCTTTTTTTCTAAGAGTTCAGAGAACTTCTAGAGAGCTCAGGGGACTTTTGGAAACTTCTAAAAAGCCTGGAGAAAATTTTAGAAGTTCTAGAAGGTCTAGAAAGTTTTCTAAATTTTTCAGAAGTCGGGATGAAATTCCAGAAAATTTCAAAGATTTTTAGAATCCTGGTAAGGTTCTAGAAAGTTTTCTAAATTTTTCAGAAGCTCGGGAAAAATTCCAGAAAATTTCAAAGATTTTTAGAACCCTGGTAAGGTTCTAGAAGATCCAGAAAGTTTCCTGAATTTTCTTGATGTCTGCTAGTTCAGAGAAAAATCTAGAAGGTGAAAAAACAATTTCTAAAAAACCTAGGAATATTCTGGAATTTTGAAAAAAGTTTCAGAAAGCCCACAAGATTTTTTTTTAGAAACGTTTGGTAAGGTTCTTAAAGGCGGGAGAAAATTCTTTGGAGTCTGAAGAAAATTTAGAAAGCCTATGAGGTTTTTAGAACTTTTTCAAGATCAGCGATGAGATCTGAAGAGGTTTCTGATTTTTAGAAGATCGGAAGCGAGTTCCAGATTTTTTAAAAATCTGTAAGGTTTTCAGAAAGCTTTGAAATAGTTTTCCAGAATTTTTTGAAGTCTGGAAGAATTCTGAAAAGCTCTGGAACTTTTCAGAAACTCGGAGAAAATTCAGGAGAGTTTAGAAATTTTCTGAAATTTTCTAAGAGCCCGGGTGGATTTCCAAAATGTAGAGGATTTTTTAGAAATCTAGAAAATCTAATTTTTCTGAAAATCTGAGATTTCTGACTGAAACAATTTCAAAAATTCCTCTCAAGAAGAGATGCAAAATAATTCTCTTAGCACGGTGTTCCAAATTGGATGAAACACACAGGCTTTCCCTAATTTCATTGTGCTTAAAAGGAATTTTTGTAATCCTTTTAATTATGAGGTCAGATCTATTTTTAGGCATGAAAATTTCAGCCAATTTCTTTAGAGAACAAAAAAAAAGAAATCGATTTAGAAAAAATGTCATAAACTTTTCCCCCAACAACAAAAAAAAATTGCTATGAGAATATTTCTCGAAAATTTGCATTATGAAATATTCACAAGTTTCGGAAATTCTTTGTGAGAAATTTGTCATTAATTAATAATTTTTTTCAAAAAAAAAATTTTTTCACAGGAAAATCACGTGAAATTGAAATTGCAAAAAAAACGAGGTCGACTCACTCAAAAAAAAAATAGAAAATAGACGCACGCCAAAAAAACGTCGCATTTTCTCTTCTTCTCTGCACTCTCTCACTTTCCCACACTCTCTAGCTATGTGTGTTTTGAGGGAGGTAAAACAGCGTGTAGTTTTTTTTTGTTGGTTGAAATTGATGGGAAATGGAGATAAAAACGTGACTGGTGCGAATGAATGAATGACTTGAACAAATTGTTTTATTGGAATTTTTTATTGAATCAAAAAACTTGTGAGAATTTTGAAAAAGTGAAATTAATTTGAGAATTTTTAAAGTTTCCAACTATTCAGCAAAAAATTCTAAAAATCAGGATTTTTTTTTACAAAATTAAACATTTAAACGTGTTCTCGAAAATGGTCAAATAAATTAAGAAAAAAACGTGTCGGTCACAATAACATTTAATGTTAAAAGTTTTACCGGATACTTATAAAATTCAATCAGGATTCAACTAAAAATAATATCATTGTTTTTTTTTTCAAAATTCCCTCGAAATTTTTATGAATGGGTACATTTTCTGTATAAATATTTTTGATCGAAATTGTTTTCCGAAAAAAATTATTTATCAAAATAAAGTTTTTTTTTTTTTGATATGTAGACTTGAAAAGCGCATTTTTTGAGTTTTGGAATTGAATTTGAAATTAGGCTTCAGGAGTTTTGTTTACATTTATCTTACGCTAGTTCAGGCTCAAAAATCTAAATTTTCAGCCCAAAACAAAGGCTCATCGATCGGTTCTTCTTTAATCTCTTTTTTTCACTTCACCATTTGGATGAGCTGAATATTGAGTTGCGGCAAGACGAGGTGTCGAATTCTGAAAAACCAGAAATTTTATATTATGGATGAATCTTATGACCAAAAATCTAGGCTCAAAAACGTCATTTTGTTGTAAAATTCTTCAAATGAAATATATAAAACTCACGACTTTTTGTTGAGATTCAGATTCTTCTTTTTGAGCAGTATTTGAACCATTGGTGCCAGAAGAACTTGGTCCAGGTTGTCCATTAACCTGAAATTCAAATTTGTTCAATACTGTGTTTGAAAAAATGGAGAAATTATCATAATTTGACTACACATGAATAAAAAGTCTAGAAAATTTAATTTTATTTTTTTCAAAAATCTAGACATGGCCTAGAAATATCGTTATCTCGGCCAAGGCAACAAAGACTCTTCACATCCTCAAAATCATCCTCAAAACAATAGAGCGTGTTTGTTGTCTTGGCCGAGTTTTCCCAACATTTCTAGGCCATTTCAATAATTCGGCCAAATATCGATTTTTTGGGCAGCTATTCAGTTGGTATCTTGCAACTCACTTGACGATTTTGTTCATATCCGTCATCCACTACTTCTGGTTTTGGTTGTTTCAAACCATCCTGGTTCGAAGTGCTGGCTCCATTGTTGTTGTTGGATTGATTTGGCATAATTATAGCTGTTGGAGATCTGCAAATTGAAGAAATTAATTGAAAATCGGATAAAAAATCAACGTAAAAATCGAATTCTCACATAAAAATGAGTTCTTTCAATGGTTAAATTTAAATTTTTTTTGAAAATACCTGGAAACCCACTTCTAAATAAACCTAAAACACAAATCTAGGAACCCTTAAATTACCCTAACTCAAAGAAAAACCCTTAAAAAACAAAAAATAAATAAAATACCCCGACATACTTGTCAATAAAATAATCACCCTCCCGCCAAAAAAAGAAAAAACACCCACAAGACAAAAAAAGCAAAACAAGTGACAAGTGAGTCCAAAAAAAGGAACGGGAAGAAAAAAGGGGGAAAGAAAAAATGACCCCTCGAGCAGGAAGAGAGGCGAGAGATAGTGGAATAATGAGAGAGTGCAAGACAGACATTTACCGCGTCTTTTGGGATGTATTGTTTTTTTCCTTGTTGAGACTAGTTGATAATTGATTTTTTTAAACCCCTTGGCGTTTTTTTTGTTGTTTTTTTTTTTGCGTTTTTTTTAAATCTTAATTTTCTTGTAGGCGAAATTAGTCATTTTTCTAGTTATCGTACGTTTTTGGCACAAAATTTCAGATTTTTGAAAATGTATTTTGTGCAAGATTTTCCAGTCTGTTTTTTCATAGATTTTCGGCGCTAAAAATTACAGAAAACTTACTTCAACTAGAAAAAAAGCGCTGAAACTATATTTTTTCAAGTTTCGCTCTAAATATTTCTCTAAAACATGTCACGTGAAAAAACGTGTAAAAAAGTCTAAATTTGTATACATTTTGTTGTTGTTTCTATTTTCCTTATATTTTTTGCCGTCATTTTTTCTAGCTACCTTATGTTTTCGGAAAACAAAAGTATCCAAAAACATACGATAACTAGAAAAATGACGAAAAAATACATCTCACTATAAAATACACAACTATTTTTCAGTTAAACCCTGACTGAAAATGTCATCATTCTTGTCAGACCGAGGAAAGGGTCGATTCATGCGAAGAGTTTTGGCTAACGAACTTTGTGAGGAATTGTCAAAATGTCCGATTTCGGATATCATCGGATGCTCGATTAGCCGACATTTGGTTGAGGAATTGATTTGGGTGGGAGCCGGACTTTTGCATCAAGGAATATCATTGGCAGATATTTTGAATGGATTTGAAGCAGCGCGAGAATTGGCGAAAAACACAAGAGGGTGAGTTAACTTTTCTAACAAGGGTTCGCAAAGGTTTCCAGAGATTTTCAAGCTTTTCAAATTTTTTATTTTCAGCTGTCAACGCAACTCATATTCCTATAACCTTACGAAAATTGTGGAACATTTGGCTATGGAAGTATCCGGCTTTGAAGAGCCGGAAAAAATTGTAATTGGTGCATACTCGAAAGCGCTTCAAAGATTAGCCCCCGATATTCGCGAAAAAGCTCGATTAGCTGAAGAAAATTCTGATTGTGAGATTGAATTGTCTGAAATAATAGATGAAATTAAATTGGGTGAGTTTTGGGTTATGAAACTTTTGAATGAGAAAATAAAGGGGGTTTTGTGTAAGCATGATTTTAATGGTCCGAGAAATAACTCCCAAGTCCAAAAAATTCTACCAATTTGGATCAAGCTTGTTGAAATTCCAAAAGAATTACGCTGAAAATCTTTCTGTTTTTCAAAAAATCCCTTCAAACAGGTCCAAAAATAATTTATACTGATATTTTTTCAGGCAAGCAAAAACCCGCGAATGATTTCGAGCTCACAGTCGAAACCAAATCAAAACGGCTCAATATGATTTTATCATTTCTGAGTGAAAAATTGACGATTGAAATTGTGACTGCACGCCATCTTGCTGCTGTTTCACCTGAAATAAAAAATATTGTTTTGTGGAATCGTATGCACGATCAGATGAACATGTTGTTTTGGAGCGATTGGAAAACCTGTGAATATCGGAAAAATCACCAATATTTGAAACGCCTCGAATCATTTTTTCGAGAAACTGGAGCCGTTTTAGGCGCTGATATTGATCCGGATTCTCAACATACAAAAGGACTAAAATCACTTCACAAATACATACAAGTGATAATCTACCGTGCAGACTGTAATTACAGTAATTCAATAATCAAGAAGTTGAGATGCCACAAAACTCCAAAAGATGATGCGCCTGCCAATTTGTGTGATAGATATCAGGTGAGTCTGAAACATTTTTAAGAACAAAATTAGCTTTGAGGGGAAGTTAAGGGCTTTAGGGTGGCTTAAGGGAGCGCTAGAGAGCGTGGTAGTGCTTTAGGGAGCGTTTAAGGGCTTCAATCATTCCTAGAATTCCTTTCTGATGTGAGTACTGTATCCAAAATTTACAGTTGTTCAAAAACTACAGAATTCCACAGTATTTCTGGATTTTAATACTGTTCTTGGACATTTTGGGATAGAATAATTATCATAGAAATCTCAAGCTAACATGAGCAATGCATGTAGTTTCATCAGAAAAGAATGGAGCATTAGAAACCATGGAAGGTTCAGAAGCTTTCAAAAGCATCCTGAACTCTTCAACAGCCTACTAAAGCCTATTAAGCCTAAATGTGAGCAAAGAACATTTTTCAGACTGAAGACAATGCCAAATGCGACGCTCAATCAATTTTCAAACCACCCTCACCACCAAAACATTAATAATTGTAACTCGGCATTAATTCTTTCAATATTTATTCAACTCCAATTTTTCCATAACCTTTTTGTGCTTAAAATTACACCTAGGAAACATTATGAATTTTTGACCCGAAATTTCTCATTATCCCGAAATTGCTCATTTTCCAGTTCAATTTGATTCCAAAACTCTCTTTTTTTGCATACACAGTTTTATAATTACCATAATATTTTCATTTTTTTATAGTGACATAAATATTATTTATTGGATGTATTATGTTTTTGAAAATGTTTACAGGTTCATTTTAAATGGTTCAGGAAAGCTAGAGAGACTCATGTGACCTCAAAAACAAGTTAACAAAATTCAGAAAAATATGTCACGTGAAAAAAACGTGTAAAAATTTGACACGTTTTTTTTTCACGTGAAAAAACGTGTTCAGAACACAAAAAAAATTGCATCAACATTTATTTGAATTTTTCGAAAAATAGAATACTCAACTCAGAGATTCGCTGGCCAGCTCGCCACTAGATCAGGACCAGGTGGCCGGAAAGTTCAAAACGAGCCGAATTTGATTCGGCCAACAGGTCGCCTTGAGTTTTCGGCGACGTCGCCTGTGTGTTTGAAATCCTGGAAAGCTAGCAAGACGGTGGTTTGTACTCAAAATAGTGCATTTTTTACTGTTTCTTCCCTTCCTAAGGTTTCTAGTACTCCGAAAAAACAGAAAATGAGCCAATTTCTTCTAGAATGCTCGGATTCACAAGTTTTTTGGACTTTTTTCTCTTAAGCGAGACGATCTGGACGCGAGGTGGGGTCGAGCTGGACAACCTGGGCGAGGTGGTCTGCATGAACTGAACCACCTCGCGACCAGGTCGTCTCGCAAAAAATACGGGCGATGTGGTTGTCCGTGTCAATTTCAGATGGGCAGTCGGTCTCACCTAGTGACCAGCTGGCCAGCGAATCTCTGAGTATCTCGGGTCGATTTTTTTTCGAAAAATAGAAAATCTCGGGTCGATTTTTTTTCGAAAAAAAGAAAATCTCGGGGCCGATTTTTTTTTTCGAAAAATAGAAAATCTCGGGCCGATTTTTTTTTCGAAAAATAGTAAATCTCGGGCCGATTTTTTTTCGAAAAAAAGAAAATCTCGGGGCCGATTTTTTTTTCGAAAAATAGAAAATCTCGGGCCGATTTTTTTTCGAAAAATAGTAAATCTCGGGCCGATTTTTTTTTTTTCGAAAAATAGAAAATCTCGGGCCGATTTGTTTTTTCGAAAAATAGAAAATCTCGGGCCGATTTTTTTTTTCGAAAAATAGAAAATCTCGGGCCGATTTTTTTTTTCGAAAAATAGTAAATCTCGGGCCGATTTTTTTTTTCGAAAAATAGAAAATCTCGGGCCGATTTTTTTTCGAAAAATAGAAAATCTCGGGCCGATTTTTTTTTTCGAAAAATAGTAAATCTCGGGCCGATTTTTTTTTTCGAAAAATAGAAAATCTCGGGCCGATTTTTTTCGAAAAATAGAAAATCTCGGGCCGATTTTTTTTCGAAAAATAGTAAATCTCGGGCCGATTTTTTTTTCGAAAAATAGTAAATCTCGGGCCGATTTTTTTTTTCGATAAATAGAAAATCTCGGGCCGATTTTTTTTTTCGAAAAATAGAAAATCTCGGGCCGATTTTTTTTTTCGAAAAAATAGTAAATCTCGGGCCGATTTTTTTTCGAAAAATAGAAAATCTCGGGCCGATTTTTTTTTTCGAAAAATAGTAAATCTCGGGCCGATTTTTTTTTCGAAAAATAGTAAATCTCGGGCCGATTTTTTTTCGAAAAATAGAAAATCTCGGGCCGATTTTTTTTCGAAAAATAGAAAATCTCGGGAAAAAATTTTTCTCATTGAGAAATGCTGCTTCCATCGAGACACCACCCAATCGGGATTTTATTAAAAAGGTAGATTTTTTAATTTCCAGTTGCTAAGAACTTTATTTTTTCCGAGTTATTAGTTTCTTTTAAAATATTTATATATTCTGATAACTTCTCTAAAAAATCAATAATGACTCACATTCTATTCCTCATACATAGCAAAAAACGACAGAGTCAAATTCCTTATTCACGTGACCTTTTTCTGAATTCACTAGGCCCATTATCGACTTCAAATTTCAATATTTTTGACACTTTGTTCACGTGACTTTCTGAATTTATTTGACCTCAAAACTTCTCCAATTTTTTTTGTGCACCTTCCAGATCCCAACTAAATTTTAACGCATTTTTTTTGTTTTACCATTTTTTTTCTGTGGTTTTTTCTCTCTAAAACTAATAAAGTTTTTGAAAAAAAATAATAGTTCAAAGAAAATAGTTCAAAAAAACACTTTTTATGGATGTGAACTTGAATTGAAAAAAAAATTAAAAATTTGTTGGGCGGGGGAAAATTAGAAATCTTTTAAAAAAACCTTTGGGTACATTAAAATAAGAGAAAATGACAGAAAAACCAGTAAATTAGACAAAAAATTTAATCCTTGTTGACGAAATCGATCTTCAATTTCTTGATTTCGCGCGACATTTTGGCTCGTTTTGGAGACGGTAATTCTTCCAAATCCAATTCATTCTTCTGCGCATCTTCATTCGCTATGCGTCTTGATCGTCTAACTGGACCGCTAGCTCTTGGAGCATTTCGACGTCTTTGCGGAGCGACCTGAAAAATTTGATTTGAATACACAAGATCAGAACTTTCGGAGTATTTTTGTAAATCTAGAAGTGAACCCAACTATTTAGTCTAGTAAGCTAGTTTTTCAGACAAAATAAATCAAGATCTAAGCTTATCTAGGTGTAAAAAATCAAATTTTTGATCTATAAAATCAATAAACTCACTGCGCGATCACGAACATTTCCATCAACTCTTCCGGCGTTCATATCATCATTACGATTTCGCACAAGATCGTCACCTTGATCATTATCTAGGCCTGCATCTCCACCGGCTACAACATGACCAACTCCAGATTCACGCACATCTTCATTTGCCGCTTCATTTTCAGCAACTTCCTCTGCAGCTTTGTCTTGAACAACATTTAATTGTGCTTGTTGTTGTTGTGGTTGAGCTTGTTCAGCAACATTCTTTTGACTATTTCGATCAGCTTGTTGATCTTCACTTGACTCCACTTTTACATGTTGTTCGAATCCGGGATCTTGATTGACTGGTTTTTGAATTGGAGCATCTTCTTGTGAATGTTGAGTTCCAGTCTGAAAATCCAGAAAAATATATTATTTGAATTATGAAGTGTGTAGGAAATTTGGCTAGAACTAGGAAAAACATTCACGAGAACTTATTTTATAAATGTTCCAGCATTAATTTTTTGTGTTTAACGCATTTTTTTAGTTCAGAGAAATTTTAGAAATTTTCAAGGCTTATAAAAAATATGTGATTTCGGAGTGAATGAATTTTTTTAAAGAGAATTTTGGTTTGATATGTGAAACTCACTGAATTACTGGCTGCTGAATTACTGGCTGCATCATAACCCGAATCGACATTTTTTTCCTTTACCGGATTTGCTTGCACTTGGTGGTTTTGTGGTTGTTCAGCGGCTTCAGCATCAACTGGGACATTTGGCCCTTGATCATCTACTGGATCTTCTGGTTCTTGCTTTACTTCCGGAATCACAGCATTTCCAGTCTGGTTAACAGGTGCGGCTGGAGTTGGACGAGTTGGACCAGTTGGGCGAGTTGGACGAGTTGGTGCTGCGGAAACTGGACGATTTCCAACCTGAAAATCATTGAAATATATTATTTGAATATTTTAATTATGAAATTTATTATTTAGATTTTTTACTTGAAACATATGTAATTTTGTTTCAGAAATTAATTTTTAGGTCTGATGAAAATTCATATGAAACTCACTGCTCTGTTTGTGGATGCATCATATGCTGGATCTATAATTTCCTCCTTCACATGATTCTCTTGCACTTGAAGGTTTTGTGGTTGTTCAGCGGCTTCAGCAGTAGCATGGATATTTGGCGCTTGATCATTTCTTGGATCCTCTGGTTCTTCCTTGACTTCTGGATTCACAACATTTGCAGTCTGGTTGACTGGAGCGGTTGGTCTTTGACGAATTGGAGCAGCGGCGGCAAGGACTTGTCCAGTTGTAGCCTGAAAATCGTAGAAATATTTTATTTGAATATTTAACTTTGAAACTCACTTCTTTTGGTTCTTCTGGCTTTTCTGGCTCTTCCTTTTTGACCTCACGAAGTACAGCGGTTGGTTTTTGACCTGATTTTTCACCAAATTTAGAAGCAGCAACAGTTGTTCCACGATTCTCTTGTCCTTGGTGAATTTGTTGTGGTGGATGTACGGAAGCATTAGCTGGAATTTGACCATTCGATGTTGTAGGATAATCTTGATCCTGTGGTTCTTCCTTAACTTCCGGCATCAAAACATTTGCAGTCTGGTTGACTGGAGCGGCTTGTGTTTGAGGAATCGAAGCAGCGGCGACTACTTGTCCAGTTGCAGCCTGAAAAACATAGAATATATTATTTGAATATTCAATTTTGAAACTCACTTCTTGTGTTTCATCATCTGGATCTTCCTTTTTGACCTCACGAAGTGGTTCGATCGGTTTTGGAGCTGGTTTCTGACCAGATTTCGCAGCAGCGGTTGTTCCAGGCTGGGAATGATTAGAGGAGCTTGGCTGATTTTGATCATGTGTCTGAAAATCAATTTTTTATATTTTTGTGTTGCAAAAAATGGGTTGAATTATCCTAAATTAGATAATTTTCATACCAAAATTTTTTTCAGAATAAAAAAATTTTCAATTTTCTGAAACTCACAACTTCTTCCATCACCTCTTGTTTGACCTCGGTCAGTTTTGGAACTTTGACATTTGGGTTAGATGTGGTGGCGGCGGTTGTGTTAGAAGATGAGCAAGATGGTCCAGAAGTCTGAAAATCAATTTTCTATTGTGTTTTTCTGGTAAATATTCAAACTCACCGATTCTTCAACAAATTCTTCTTTGACTTTGGTCAAAACTTGGACTTGAGAAGAAGTAGTGGAATTGTTGGCAGAAGATGATGGTCCAGTTGTCTGAAAATCAATTTTCTATTATATTTTGTTTTCAAAAATCTAGATATGGCCTAGAAATAACGCCAACTCGGCCAAGACTCTTCACATCCTCAAAACAATAGAGCGTGTTTGTTGTCTTGGCCGAGTTTTTTCGACATTTCTAGGCCATCTCAATGATTCGGCCAAGAATCGATTTTTCGGGCAGCTATTCAGATTTGTATCCTGCAACTCACATCAACTTTTGAATCAGCATATTCTTCATCAGCAACTTCTTCTTTCGGTGTTTTCATATTAGCATTTGATGCTGTGGATTTTTGCGCGTTTCTTGGCATATTTGACATCTTTTGTTGAAGTGCTGCAAATTGAAGACATTAATTGAAAATTAGATGAAAAATTAAGATAAAACGCAATCATTACGTGAAAATGTGTCCTTTCAATGGCTAATTTTCAAGTTATGCTAAATACCTCAGGAAACTTACGCTAACTCAAAGAAAAACCCTTAAGTTACCCAAACTCAAAGAAAAAAAAACAAAAAAATATGATACCCCGATACGTGTCAATAAAATAATCATCATTTCCCCTCTTCCCGCCAAAAAAAGAAAAAAACACCTACAAGACAAAAAAAGCAACACAAGTGACAAGTGAGTCCAAAAAAAGGAACGGGAAGAAAAAAGGGGGAAGAGAGGCGAGAGATAATAGGATATGGAGAGAGTGCAGACAGACATTTACCGCATCCTTTGGGAAGTCATCGTTTTTTGAGGAAAATTGATATGAATAGGGTGTTTTTTGGAATGGGAAAGCTTTTTAACTTGAGAAAATTTTAGAATATTGTGAATCACATGAACTTTTCGATACAAAACCATTTTTTGTTAATTTGAAAAGGAAAATTTTATAGTTTTGCTTTTTAATTAGAAATTTTGAAATTATATGCACAAATAGCTAGTTTTGATTGAATAAATTGAAATTCTGAGTAAGTAAAAAATATAGCGATTTTCAGCAAATAAACTACTTTATTGAACACACTAGAAAATAAAAAGGACTAAAAAAATAAATATGACACCATTTACACGTAAAATATCCAATGAATAACATGGACCAAATCGAAAATATTTTGATGAATCTTGTTAATTGAAACATAAAATAAATAAAAAACTATTCACACACACAAGTTATATAAAAAGAAAAAGGTGGATATAAAAAAATGAGTTAAATTATCTAGTTCACTTTGTAGAATCTTGAGTTGTTTGTGATGCGCCAGAATCGGAGAGGCCATATTTTTGAGTTGCAGATGATCGAAGAGAATATCTGCGTGAAGAACTTGGAGATGGATGATCGCCAGATTCCGAAACCTGATCTCTGGAAAAAACAAAATGAAAATGAGATTCAGATTATTTGAAGAACAACTCACACTCTCCGTTTTTTCGAAACTACTTCATCATTTGCTGGTTTTGCATGCACAATCTTTTGTTCCGCTGGTTTCATGAGTTTCGACGGTCTATCATCTTTTTTCAAATTATCCGGATCAGCTTGCCAAACATTATTCGAATCCATTGGCTTCAATTTCGATCGATCGCAATGAGTGGAATCCAAATCGAGAAATTCGATTATTTTATCAAAAATCATGCGGAATACTGCATTTTGAGTCATTCCGAAACGGGAAAGAATTCTTGACGATACGATGAGATCATCACTAGCATGATTCAAAATGACAAGTCCAGTGAAATCTGAAATTAAAAATATTTAGATTTAGAAAGAAAACATAATTCTGCTTGAAAATACAGGGTTTCAGAAAGAATACAGGGTTTCATAGAAAGTTAACTTACGTTGCATCCCCGATCTCAATTTGTCCATCGCAGATTTCTCGAAATGCTTGCCTTCCGATCCAACAACAAAAAGCGTTGGGCAATATGTTCTCAACATGCAATCATCAATTCCACCACGCACACCAAATTTCCCAACAACTGGAAACCCAAGTGAAATGATCGCTGAGATTCCTTGGACAAGATTGGCTGCAAAATGTGCTGCAAAAGTGGTCCATCCATGTCCAACCAGCACAATTCTCGTATCAACATGTTCTCGATTTTTTTGCTCGATCTAAAAAAAATTCAAATAATGTTTTGCTTCTTTTCTTTCTCAAAAATTACCTTCCCACAAATTTTGTCGATGAACTTATTCCCAATCACCATTGCTGATTCATGACTATCTCCGATTTCAGGTTGAATAAATTCTGACTTCGGGTGTCCAAATTTTTCGAGCCATTGGAAAAGTGTTTTGTTGGACTTTGAATTTGGCAATAAAAGTAGAAATATAACATCCTTTTTCCAGTTTTTCTTGACTTCAGGATCAATAGGATCTTCATCCAAATCTTCACTATTTTTGGAAACAAAATTCATAATAATATTCGAAACTTTTCCCCAAGTCAGTGAATCCATCTGATGCTTTACAATATATTCGATTAAAGATGGATTCTGTAAAAAAATCATCATATCCAAATTCTTCCCAGATAACTAACCAGCGATTTTGCGAATCTCAACAACGTCAAATATGGGGCCAAGAAGTGAATAGGTAGATTTTCAACCAAAGATCTGTGAACCCATAAACACGCATCTCTATGTGGAGCAGAATAAAATGTTGAATAATGTAACAACCTTTGGGCATTTTCTTGCGTCACATTCATCATTGCAACTTTTCTGAAAATTTCATATATTGAAGTTTAAAAAACACTAAATTCTTACATATCAACATATTTAGCAGATGGTGAACTCTCAAAAAGGTATTGAGATTTGATCAAATCAAATATAACTTCGAGCAACTTCAAGTGTTGTTGTGATTGCTGGCTTGCCATTCTGAAAATGACATTTTTGTGGAACTATTTTTCAAAATATTTCAAAATCTATCCTCACGAGGGGAATTTTAATGAGGCACAGTTTTTCATGCTGAAAAAGAACATGTTTTCCGTTTTTGCTGAGCCCGAAAATGAGCCAAAAGTTGAGAATTTTCTGAAAATTTCGCCCCTGAAGCGATGTTCAGGAGACAAATTTTTCTAGCATCAGTTACGGGCTCTCAAAAACGGGATTTTTCAGAAAATTCTCAACTTCTGGCTCATTTTGGGCTCTTCAGAGAGTCGCTTTGCAAAAACTAAAAACATGATCTTTTTCAGTGTGAAAAACTGTACAGAAACAAACTTTGTTCCATAGAAATTCTCCTGGGATTCATAAGATTCTCACAGAAGTGGTCAGAAATCAATAGATGTTTACAAACCTCTTCAAACTCGTCCAAAAATCATTTTCCTCATCAGTTGCATCTGTAGATCGTGTCATAATTGATACAATATCTGTTGCAGCCACCATTGAATCAACTTCTGTTCGATGTGGAACATCCGAATCAACATTTTCAATATCAATGGTTTCATCATCATCAGTTCGATCATTATCCGATTCGGTCAATCTAAAACACACTGCTTCATAATCAAATCTGTTTGTTTTTCTTCACTCACTTAAGATCAGCCTCACTAAGCAACTCAAAATAGAAATGTTCAGTGGAATCGGGAGCTATATCTTGTTTCGGATTATGCAAATAATCCACCTCTGGCAACACATCTTTTACCAGTTTTTTGACGCTTACTTGTCTCAATTGCTTAGGCATAACCTGAAAAAGTACATTATTTCAACAAAAAAATCACAGCGTAACTTGAGAGAAAAATCTAGAAAAAATCTTCAAAAAAAAAAATCAAAAGGTGAAAAATTGATATTTGCCAAAAGAGTCGTAAGACCTTTTAAAAATACTTAAAATCCTAAAGTTAAGAAAAAAAAAACAGAAAAAAATGATACCAAAACAGTCTTTGCCAATAAAACCCACCAAAAAAAGAAAAAACCACACACACACACAAACAAGAAAAAAATGACCCCTTGAGCAGAAAGGGAAGCGAGAGATAATAGGATAATGAGAGAGTGCGAGACAGACATTTACCGCGTCTTTTGGGATGTATTGTTTTTTTTCCTTGTTGTGACTAGTTGATAATTGATTTTTTTTACCCTTTGGCGTTTTTTGTGGTTTTTTTGCTTTTTTTTATCTCATTTTTCTTGTAGTTTCAGATTTTGAAAAATGTGTTTTGTGCAAGTTTTTCTAGTATGTTTTTTCATAGATTTTCGGCACAAAATACATATGTTTTTTCAGAAAAGGTTTCTGAAAACTTAGAATAAAATGCGCTAAAACTATATTTTTCAAGTTTCGCTCTCTAAATATTTCCCTAACATAAAACATATATTTTTCAGCCAAAACCATTTCGGCATGTTTTATGCGATGTCATCAATTTCCGCGAACAATGCTCAAAAATCCCTTTATAATGGACATCTGTTGGATCAATTTAGTAGTTTGGTCCGAAACTATTGTAATCGTCAGGAAGCCATTGATTTTCCTGTTGAGTGCCCGGAAATCTTCATCACCAAAACTGCCAAGTCAACTTATGAAATCTCGAGTTCTCTCGAATCCAAAAAGATCCTCATTCGATCTCCCAATGATGATCCGGTTTCTCAAAAGTTGGTCGAAGAGATGTCGAATGAAGTACGAATTCTTCTTATCAAGAAAATGCCGATGGCTTTGATCCTTTCTAGTCTTAAGAAAGGTCAAAACTTGGCAAAAGAGGCGATTGGCATGTTGATAAAAAGAAAGTGAGTTATTTTCTGTTTCTATTCTGCTTTGAATTAAAATATATCATGTTTTCAGAGATCCATTGAACTCGTATTTCTTGCTCGACATCACTGAGCACATTCTTGATGAATCGGAGCAATTTGGGAGCCAGGAATATGATGCATGTCGAGGATTTGCAAAGTGTATTCAACGTATAATCCCTTTCGTACCTCAAATCACTGAGACGCCAAAATATGGGTCGACTTTTGAAACTGAATGCGTTCTGAAAAATTGGATGTTGAAATTCGCTGAAGCGTTGGAAGCGATTAAATTTGGTGAGTTTTTGATCAGGATTAGGATCAGGATGCTCCGAATTCGACGGTTTTTGAGAGCCTTGAATCTCAAAAATTTGAATTTCTATGAAAAAATTAATTTTATAATTCTTTATTAAAATATTTTTCAGATGTTGGCAAGATTGAAGTTCCGAAACTCGAATTGACAATCAATGAAAAACAAGAAAAATTGCAGTTGATCGAATTGACTTTATCGAAGAAACTGAACCTTCAAACAATGACTAGACGGCTGATCTCGAAGGTTTCACCTGCCATAAAAGCCAAATGCATCTCACAAGATCTCTCATCACAAATCACATCTGTCTTCTATTCATCAATCAATCAATATGAACAAAATTGTCGTATGGTGAAGAAGCTTCAACACTTTCTGATATTTGCCGAAAAAGTACTGAAAGCAGAAGGTGAATTTGGACCAACTTCCGAATGGCACGCTCTTCTCGCCTTATACAAATATGTTCAAGTTGTAATTTATAAATCGGATATCAATTTCCATCAAGCATTCATTGAGAGCATTAAAATGGCAGTCGAAAAATCGAGGAATGAAGCAGTTCAACAGTTCTTTGCGTTATGTGATAGATACAAGGTAAGTGTGGGGTATTTTGTTCATAGAAAATATATTAAGAGAGCTTTAGAAAAATTAGAGAGCTTAAGAGCTTTTTTGAATTAGAGATATTCATTTGATATACAAATGAAGCCTAGAAAACCACAGGGGCTTCCAGAAGCTTTCAAAAGCCTCCTGAAGTCTTCAGAAGCCTCCTGAAGCCTCCTGAAGTCTTCAAAGGCCTTGAGAAGCCTTCAAAAGCCTTCAAAAGCCTAAATATAAGCAAAGAACACTTTTTTCAGGCGGAGGATGAGGCAAAACGCATGGAAGCCGCGTCACCAAAAGATCATCAAAACAACATCAACAGTGGTTCGAACTTGGAATCGCTCATCCAACATTGATCTTCTCATTCATGTGTGTTTCGCTCGACCTTTCTCATCATTTTCGCAATTATTTTGGTCAGATATTTTGACATCCCTCCCATCATCAGCTGTTGTTCATATTTTTCATCTTCTCCTAAAATTTCTTGATCTTCTATTTGGCCGAATTCATCAACATATTTTACTTGCTCCCGATCTCTAATATATTTTTGTCTCAAATATATTGTTGCCCCGTTTCTCCCAGTATTTTTATTTTTCACCAGCTTTAATTAGATTCCCCCAATCCAACATTTAAAAATCATCTCGACTAATGTAATATGTATGTTTATTTCACAGTTCAATTTGATTCCACACCTTTTTTTCGCGCATATTTTTTCGCACCCCGTTTTATAATTACCTAGTTTTCATAATTTTTAAATATTTTTTTTTATAGTGACATAAATGTTATTTATTAAATGTGTTATGTTTTTGGAAATGTTTACAGGTTCATTTTGAAGAGTTGTGACCTTAAGAACAGGTTAACAAAATTCAGAAAAATGTCACGTGAAAAAAAACGTGTAAAAATTTGACACGTTATATTTTTTCACGTGAAAAAACGTGTTCCAAAAACATACAAAAAGTTGCATCAACATTTATTCAAATCATCATTCAAGAAAAAAGTACAAACCAGAATTGGATAACTACCACGAGACACCATATTCCACCTTGTTACTCGATTCACAATCAGGTTTAGGAGTTGTTGTTCTCAGACCTTGTGCAAACTTGAAGCGCTCGAAGAAGTCTTCTTTGATAGTCGTGATATCCGGGAATTTTTTGGCATATTCTGGATTTTCTCTCCACTCTTTATCCAATTTTAGTTTGAATTCAAGACCCAAATCTTTGACGGCTTCTTGTCTGAAAATTTTTAAAATTAGTTCAAATTTTCAGTTTTCAGTTTTCAAAAAAGATACCGTACTTTTTGGGCTCTTCCGAAGCCACACCATAAAAAACCAAAAGGATTGTTAGCAAAAACATTGGCCAAATCATTTGTGAAACTGGAAACTGAAAAACTGTAATTGCAAAATGTTTGGCTGAAATTTGAGAGCACATGGAAAATTGTGAGCAAAAAATATAGTGCGTCAGAAATTGTGAAAGCATGTGGGAGCTCCAGAAAAATCAAAAAAATTCAAAAAAATAAATAAAATTCGTATTTTTTCAATTTTGGTCTCTTTTCGTCTTGTCAAAAAGAAGATTTGATTTTTTTGGAAAATGTCACCGAAAATTAATGGACCTTTTGATTTGAAATTGAAAAAATACATAAATTTTCAGCCCACGTGTCTGGCTCACAAATTCGTCATGCTGATTTTTTTCAAAAAAAAAAAAAGGAGGGGGTCTGACAAGCCCAAGAAGCCTTAGAAGCCTGAGAGATAGGGCTGCACGCGGGGCACCCCGCGATGAAACACCGTGCAAAAAATCGCTTGCCCCCTCGCCCCTTCGCCCCCTCGCCCCTTTGCCCCCTCGCCCCGTTGCCCCCTCGCCCCGTCGCCCCTTCGCCCCCTCGCCCCCTCGCCCCGCTTGTAACTGTGTGTGGTGAAGAAAAAAAAGAAGATAGAAGCGCGCACACAGTTACAAGCGGGGGCGAGGGGGCGACGGGGCGAAGGGGCGAGGGGGCGAGGGGGCAACGGGGCGAGGGGGCAAAGGGGCGAGGGGGCAAAGGGGCGAGGGGGCAAAAACGTGGCGGGGCGAGGGGGCCGCCCCCACGCCCCATCGTGCAGCCCTACTGAGAGATTTTCCAGAGTCTTCTGAAGCCTATTGAAGCTTTCTGAAGCTTTCTGAAGCCTTCTGAAGCTTTCTGAAATTTTATGAAGCCTTCTGAAGCTTTCTAGAGCTTTCTAAAATTTTCTGAAACTTTCTGAAGAATTTTTAAACTTTCTAGAATCTTCTGAAGCTTTCTGAAATTTTGTGAAGCCTTCTGAAGCTTTCTAGAATCTTCTGAAGCTTTATGACGTTTTCTGAAATCTTCTGAAATTTTCTGAAGCCTTCTGAAGCTTTCTGAAATTTTCTGAAGCCTTCTGAAGCTTCCCACTATTTTTAGAATTGTTCCAGATCCAAAAACTTCCACTGATTCTTAAAATTCTTAAAAATTTTCAGTCCCGAATCCCTTTCAAGATATGTAGATTGAAAACAAAGAGCGTGACGAATTCCAAAAATCCGTGGGCTGAAAATTTATGTGTATTGTTTTTTTTTTCAATTTTCAATTTTTCAAATCAAAAAGGACCATCAATTTTGCTGGGCAAGAGAAGAGACAAAAGGGTCCGAAATTAAAAAATGCAAATTTTGAGCCCACCTTTTTTTCAGCCAACCAATTTTATTGTTTTTTTTTTTGAAATTCATTTTCACAAATTTTCACTTATTTTCTGACGCACAATTTTTTCTCTTAAATTTTTTCAGTGCTCTCAAATTTCAATTACAGTTCTCCATTTCTCCAGCTTCTCAAAATGACTTGGTCAACATTTTTGCTAGCATTCCTTCTGGTTTCAACTGTGCTCTCACGAAGCCTCAAAAGGTACGGTATTTATTTTCAGATTGAAATTCAAAAAAAAAATTTCAGAGATCCAGAATCGTGGGTTCAAGAGTGGAGAGCAGAAGAATCTGCTGAACAACAACTTCCAGAAGTTCAGAATCTGGAGGGCGATTTGTTCAAGCGCTTCAAATTGGGAGGAGCACAAAATGTGGAGCCGCCAACACGTGGAAGTTCCACAGAAAAGGAGAAATATGGTCCCATTTGGTGAAAAAAAAGGATTTTCTTTTTTTTTTGAAATTATTATTCATTTTTGTATTTTTGTGTTTCTTTTTGGATAATAATTTCAATAAATGTTGAGCAATATTTCGGTGTAATTTTTTTTGAATTTCAGGAATTCAGAATTATTTATGAGAGTTACAGTAACTTGAAAACACAGAAAAAAATCAGAAAAATTTTAAATTTTCAAAAATCAACACCAAAGATCCATCAAAAAGGTATCGGAAATATTGCAGTCCAAAGAAAGACGGAGATTTTGAAAATCTTCAGTTTTGATAATCACAAAATATCCAGATTGAGAAAATGAAAAGTATTTCGATAAATATCCCATTTTTGTTTGGCACAACTCGATTCTGAAATTAAATTAGGCTTTTAGGGCTTAGGTTTAGGCTTCAGAAGGCTTTAGGAAGCTTCTTAGGCTTCTTGGGCTTCAACTCACTTTTTCTCATTTGGAATATAATTTGGTTTGGTAATGATGTCATCAAAATATACGGAGATTTCTAGGTTTTTCAAACTTTCCGGATTTTTCTGAAATAGAAATTATTAGGGAGGTTTTTGAGAAAATAAAGGATTTCAACTTACATTTGGAATAATATAACGCTGCTCGAGAAAACGAAAATGTAAGCTAAACTTCAATCGTTCAAGTGTTGAACATCTGAGCATATTTTGAACTTTGAAAGTAAATCTCTTCACTCGAAGCTCTAAACTTGTCGCATTTGTTAAATGAAGACTTGATGTCAATTCTCCGGTAATTATATCACATGGAATACCTGGCGCCCATAAGTAGAAAAAACTGAATGTTTCTGTTATAACGTTTGTTTCTAACAAAATTCGTGTCAATTTCTTTTTCCGTGTCATACTTAGCAATGTGTCAAAAACTCGATTCATTTCCACGCAATAGATATTTGGATATTCAGCGAGTTGCGATGTTCCGTTGCGCACCAAAAATTGCATTATATTCAGAACAGGGTATCCCTTATATGATCGCATAACTTTGGCTCTTGGATATAATTTCGATTTTGGAAATAGGATTTTCTGAGTGCTGAGCAAGTGTCTGCTATATTCCAGCTGAAAAAAATTTATAAAAAATTTGCGGGTTTTATGAGCTTAGGCTTCTAAAGGCTTCTTATGTTAAGTTTATTAAGCTTCCCAAATCTTTCAAACCAAATTTTAATTTTTCGTTGAATTCTTTACACGAAAATCAAAAATCCAATTTTTGTGTAATTTTGAATTCACGCCCGAATCAAAATTTTGATTTGGGCGGGAAAGGATTTTGATAAAAAACTTTTTACAGAAAAAAATTAACAGTGCATTTTTAACACTGTTAAAAAACAAAAAATTTCATGTCTCCAAACAAAAATTTCATTTTTTGTTGAAACAGAAAAAAATAGATTACTTACTTTTTCCCAAATAAAAGGCATTTCATCAACTGGAAAATCTTCAAAGAAACTTTTTTCTGAATCCATTTTTACTTTCGAATAAATATATGTAGATGTAGTAATTAGTAAAAATTGATTATGGCGTGTGTATTACCGCACAGGGACGCGACGAGAGAGAGAGAGAGAGACGCAGGCATGAGATACAGTTTTCTGGGAAGAAAATGTGCAAAAACACCTGTGCATTTTCTTTCTGTAATTTCTGAATCTAACACTTTTCCTTGTGTTCCTTCGAGAATAAAAAAATAATATAAATTTTTGTTTATAAATATTGAAGTTCGATAATTAGATAACTTTTTTGCAAAAAAAAATTTTATCAAAAAAAAAATACAAGCGTGAATAATAATGTTTTCAAATTGTTGCGGAAGAAAAAATCGCGTCCCAGAGAGAAGGCAGACAAAAAAAAGCAGTTTTTTAGTTCAAAAAACATCAGAAAATTTCGAATTTTCAAAAATCCATCAAAAACTAATCGGAAATATTGCAGTCCAAAGAACGATAGAGGTTTTGAAAATCTTCAGTTTTGATAATCACAAAATATCCAGATTGAGAAAAATGAAAAGTATTTCGATAAATATCCCATTTTTGTTTGGCACAACTCGATTCTGAAATCAAATTAGGCTTTGAAGGCTTCTTGGGCTTCAACTCACTTTTTCTCATTTGGAACATAATTTGGTTTGGTAATGATGTCATCAAAATATACCGAGATTTCTAGTTTTTTCAAACTTTCCGGGTTGTTCTGAAATAGAGAAGTTTTTAGTGGAAATAAAGGGCTTTTCAGAAATTCAACTTACATTTGGAATAATATAACGCTGCTCGAGAAACCGAAAATGTAAGCTAAACTTCAATCGTTCAAGTGTTGAGTATCTGAGCATATTTTGAACTTTAAAAGTGAATCTCTTCACTCGAAGCTCTAAACTTGTCGCATTTGTCAAATGAAGACTTGATGTCAATTCTCCGGTAATAATATCACATGGAATACCTGGAGCCCATAAATAGAAAAAACTGAATGTATCATGTAAATTGTTTGATTCCAACAAAATTCGTGTCAAAATGTTTCCCCGTGTCATATTTCGCAATTTGTAAAAAATTTGATTCATATTCTTGCAATGAATATCTGAATAATCAGCATGTCGTGTAGTTCCGTTTCGCACCAAAAATTGCATTATATTCACAGTATCAGGTCCCTCATACGATCGATGTATGATTCGCATAACAAACTTTTGTGGCTCTTGGATATAAATTTGGTTTTGGAAATAGGATTTTCTGAGTGCTGAGCAAGTGTCTGCTAGATTTCGAGCATCGTCATATTCAAGCTGAAAAAAATTTATAAAAAATTTGCGGGTTTTATGAGCTTAGGCTTCTAAAGGCTTCTTATGTTAAGTTTATTAAGCTTCCCAAATCTTCTTAAGCTTCTCTAAAATTTCAACACTTACATTTTGAGCGGGAAAGAAGTTTTGATAAAAATTTTTTGACAGAAAAAAATTGACAGAAAATTTTTAACACTGTTAATAAACAAAAAATTTCATGTCTCCAAACCAAAATTTCTGTTTGGAGACGGTCATGTTTTCAAACCAAATTTTAATTTTTCGTTGAATTCTTTACACGAAAATCAAAATTTCAATTTTTGTTGAAACAGAAAAAAATAGATTATTTACTTTTTCTCAAATAAAACGCATTTCATCAACTGGAAAATCTTCAAAGAAACTTTTTTCTGAATCCATTTTTTACTTTCGAAAAAATATATGTAGATGTAGTAATTAGTAAAAATTGATTATGGCGTGTGTATTACCGCACAGGGACGCGACGAGAGAGAGAGAGAGACGCAGGCATGAGATACAGTTTTCTGGGAAGAAAATGTGCAAAAACACCTGTGCATTTTCTCTCTGTAATTTCTAAATCTAACACTCTTCCCTGTGTTCTTTCGAGAATAAAAAAATCATATAAATTTTTGTTTATAAATATTGAAGTTCGATAATTAGATAACTTTTTTGCAAAAAAAAATTTTATCAAAAAAAAATACAAGCGTGAATAATAATGTTTTCAAATTGTTGCGGAAGAAAAAATCGCGTCCCAGAGAGAAGGCAGACAAAAAAAGCAGTTTTTTAGTTCAAAAAACATCAGAAATCTTCGAATTTTCAAAAATCCATCAAAAACTAATCGGAAATATTGCAGTCCAAAGAACGATGGACATTTTGAAAATCTTCAGTTTTGATAATCACAAAATATCCAGATTGAGCAAATGAAAAGTATTTCGATAAATATCCCATTTTTGTTTGGCACAACTCGATTCTGAAATCAAATTAGGCTTTTAAGGCTTCTTGGGCTTCTTAGGCTTCAACTCACTTTTTCTCATTTGGAACATAATTTGGTTTGGTAATGATGTCATCAAAATATACGGAGATTTCTAGGTTTTTCAAACTTTCCGGATTCTTCTGAAATAGAAATTATTAGGGAGGTTTTGTGAAAGAAAATAAAACATTTCAACTTACATTTGGAATAATATAACGCTGTTCAAGAAACCGAAAATGTAAGCTAAACTTCAATCGTTCAAGTGTTGAGTATCTGAGCATATTTTGAACTTTAAAAGTGAATCTCTTCACTCGAAGCTCTAAACTTGTCGCATTTGTCAAATGAAGACTTGATGTCAATTCTCCGGTAATTATATCACATGGAATACCTGGAGCCCATAAATAGAAAAAACTGAATGAATGATGTAAATTGTTTGATTCCAACAAAATTCGTGTCAAATTTTTTTCCCGTGTCATATTTCGCAATTTGTAAAAAATTTGATTCATATTCTTGCAATGAATATCTGGATAATCAGCATGTCGTGTAGTTCCGTTTCGCACCAAAAATTGCATTATATTCACAGTATCACGTCCCTTATATGATCGATGGATGATTCGCATAACAATTTTTTGTGGCTCTTGGATATAAATTTGGTTTTTGAAATATGATTTTCTGAGTGCTGAGCAAGTGTCTGCTAGATTTCGAGCATCGTCATATTCAAGCTGAGAAAAAAAGTGATTTCTTGAAAATTCGATACTTAAAACAACTTACTTTTTCCCAAATGAAACGCATATCATCAACTGGAAAATCTTTGAAGAAACCATTTTCTGAATCCATTTTTTACTTTGAGAAAAAATATATGTAGATTAGTAAAAATGATTATAGCGTGTGTATTACCGCACAGGGACGCGATGAGAAAATGCACAGGTGTTTTTGCACATTTTCTTCCCAAAAAACTGTATCTCATACCTGCGTCTCTCATTCCTCAACACTCTCTCTCTCTCTCTCTTATCGCGTCCCTGTGCGGGCATCATTTTCACTTGTAATTACTAAATCTACATATTTTTTTCTAAAGTAAAAAATGGAATCAGAAAAAGATTTCTTCGAAGATTTTCCAGTTGATGATATGCGTTTTATTTGGGAAAAAGTAAGTTGTTTTAAGTATTGAATTTTTAAGAAATCAATTTTTTTCAGCTTGAATATGACGATGCTCGAAATCTTGCAGACACTTGCTCAGCACTCAGAGAATCCTATTTCCAAAACCGAATTTATATCCAAAAACCACAAAAGTTTGTTATGCGAATTGTACATCGATTATATAAGGGACGTGATTATGTGAGTATAATGCAATTTTTGGTGCGAAACGGAACTACACGGCATGCTGATTATCCAGATATTCATTGCAAGAATATGAATCGAATTTTTGACACATTGCTAAGTATGACACGGAAAAAGGAATTGACACGAATTTTGTTGGAAACAAACAATTTAGAACATACATTCAGCGCTTTCTATTTATGGGCTCCTGGTATTCCATGTGATATTATATCTGGAACATTGAAACACCGTCTTTTTTTTACAAATGCGACAAGTTTGGAGCTTCGAGTGAAGATATTCACTTTTAAAGTTAAAAATATGCTCAGATGCTCAACACTTGAACGATTGAAGTTTAGCTTACATTTTCGGTTTCTTGAACAGCGTTATATTATTCCAAATGTAAGTTGATATCCTTTATGTTCTCAAAAAACCTCTCTAATAATTTTTATTTCAGAAGGATCCGGAAATTTTGAAAAACCTAGAAATCTCCGTATATTTTGATGACGTCATCAACAAACCAGGTTTTGTTCCAAATGAGAAAAAGTGAGTTGAAGCCTAAGAAGCCCAAGAAGCCCAAGAAGCCTTAAAAGCCTTATTTGATTTCAGAATCGAGTTGTGCCAAACAAAAATGGGATATTTATCGAAATACTTTTCATTTTCTCAATCTGGATATTTTGTGATTATCAAAACTGACGATTTTCAAAACGTCCGTCTTTCTTTGGACTGCAATATTTCCGATTCGTTTTTGATGGATCTTTGGTGTTGATTTTTGAAAATTCAAAATTTTCTGGTTTTTTTGAACCTAAAAATTTTTTTTGTCTGATCTCACTCTCCCTCTCTCAATTTTCCATTGTCTCTAATCGAAAAATTCTCCGTATTTTTTTGTATTTTAAATTTATTTTCAAGTTACTGAAACTCTCATAAATAGTCTTGGATACTGTACTTTTAAATTTACAGTATCTTATGATCTATAAACATTGAAAATTTGAAAAAAAAAACATAAAATTTATTCCAGGATTACTGTAGCTTGTGATATTTTCCAGAACAAAACAAAATTTTTAGGTGTACTGTAGTTTGTATCTTTTTCCACGAATATTGAGTACTGTATCTTGTGAAATTCAATTTTGAGAAAATATGTATAATTTTTCCAGGGCTACTCCAAAAATAACATAAACTGCAAGGTGTACTGTACCTATTGATCTACAATTTGAAGAAAAAACAATTTATTCCAGAGCTACTGTAGCTTGTGAATATCAAGGATTACTGTAGAAAATGAATTTTTTTCAAAAATCTTTTCGCCACCGAAAAGTTTATCAACAAAAAAAATGGAACATTGCAACTTTTCCCAATGTTTTCCTTCCTACAGTACCCTTTTTGAACTGTTTATCTTTTTTTTTCTGAAGTGGACAAACAAAAAAGGGTTTTAAAAATATATGAAAAAAGTTCGGCAAACAATACGATTTTTTTTGGATTGGGAGAAAGTAGAGTGAAAAAAAGTGATATCTGAACTGAAATCTGAACTGAAATTTCTAAAATTATATTTAAAATATAGGGCTTTTGAGGCTTTTTGGGCTTCTCAGGCTTCTATATGACGTTAAAAATTTTTATCACAAAAATATTATGTTTTGGTTTTTTCAAACCAAAATTGATAAGAAATTGCAACTTTGCAAAAAAAATGTTGCTTTTGGTGATCACAAAAAATATGAAAATGGGAATTAGATGACAGAATGAATCAGAAAGCTTCAGAAGGCTTCAGAAGGCTTTAGAAGGCTCCAGAAGGCCTAACCAGGCTTCAGAAAGGTTCAGAAGGTCTAGACAGGCGTCAGATAATTCCAGAAGGCTTTAGAGGATTTCAGAAGGCCTAGCCAGGCTTCAGAAGGCTTCAGAAAACTTCAGAGGGCTACAGAAAGCTCAATAAAGCTTCAGGAGGCTTCAGAAGGCCTAGCCAGGCTTCAGATAGATTCAGAAGACTATAAAAAGCTTCAGAAGGCTTCAGAAGGCCCAAATCAATTTTCACAAAAAAGTGACCAAAATGTTTCGTTGAAAAAAATATCGTATGATTTTTTTTCGGCCAAATGACCACCACCAAAAAAATGCGATTAGAATGTTGCAAATGAAAAAAGAATCACCGAAGTTCAGGAAAAATTCAGGATTCAGGGGGTACTGTAACACATCTAAAAACCATCAGAATTCGACAGGAGTATCGTAAAATTTTCCAGGAAAAATCATTTGACAAATTTAAAAATCTGAAGATTCAAAATTTGAATTAACTTTTTTTCCCCGAACAGAAATGATTTGCGAAAATATGTAATCAAACCTTCTGAACAAACCTGTGCTATCAGATTCTCATGAAAATCACTTTTAATTTCAGTTATAGCCTCCTAAAGTCCCGATTTTCAGCATTTTTCCACGTTTCCACGTCATAACTCTTATTAAGAGTTGATTTTTGTAATTTCAGACAACAAAATCGTGTTCAGCAGGTCAAAAACTACCAGAAAATATACATTTCATGGAAAAATTTCAAAATTTGTATGAAAAATCAGTTTTTCTCAGAAGCATTTATTTTGAGCCTCTAGTGAATGCTCGGAAATCCGGGTTTTCAGTATTCGAGGTTTCAAGAAGCGTTCTTAATTTTCCTAATTGAATTTTTCCAATTAACACTTAAAAAGCTTCAGTTAGGCGAATTCGCCCTTAACAATAGGAAAAAAAGGCGTTTCGTTTATTGATTTTTTTGATAACAAACAAAAAACAAACACAAACAAAACGATGTTGCATTTTTTTGTGATAAAAAAGTTCATTTTGAGTTTTGTGTGAGCTCTTGAGCTGCTCAATTAGGATTCTCAAGATTCTTAGGCTTCGGAAGGCTTCAAAAGGCTTTTATTGAAAAAAAAACTATTTTTCAGATGAATCACTTGGGTTTTCTGATTTTGACTTTTGTGGCCTTGGTTGGTGGGCACCTCAACAATACTGAACAGTTTATTGAAGATTTGAAAAAATTCGGAATTCCGGGAGCATTACTGCTCAATTCAAGTTCGCCCAACTATGAACAAAATTTGATGGAAGTTGTCGATAGGAATGTGAGTTATTAGAATAATTATTTTGAAAAAAAACAATCATTTTCAGAATGGTCACTTGATAAAAATAATTGAAGCCTGTTCCGATTTTCTAACCCGAAATTTGTCCGCGTCTGATGCTTTAAACATCAGAGAATATATTGACCGGCAATCAAAAAAATATATAATTCTCATGCCAGAGTTTGATGACTTTAATGAAACTTATAAAAAAACGATTGAAAAGCTTCTGGAAAACACCAAAGATCCGATGACAATTTCAGTAAGTTAGAGAGGCCAGAGACCCTGGAGAATTTGAAAATTTTCAGACAATCCAAATTTGTAAAAACGCCCCAGCTTTTCATCGCATTGCTTCATTTCGACATTTTTTCCGGTGGTTCGAGTCAAAATCGGTAATTGTTAGTTTGTTTTCGTGAAAAAAAATGTTTTTTTTTCAGTTGAATATAATGACCAGATGTTATAAAAAACAAGATTTTGATGAAATGGTAGATATCATATCGCAACAATTGGATCATTTATATTATTTTGATAGAGATAATCTCGAAAAGCATTCAGGTAGTTTGCGAAAAATGTGCACGTCATCATCTTTGAATTTGCTGGAAGATGAACACAAGAAAAACGTTGTAGGTTTTCCCAAGAATTTCGACGCCATAAGTAGTATTATTTTTCAGTTCTGGAAACTTTATGAAAACCATTACTATCGCGGAGCTTATGAATATGCGATTTACAATACAAATGTTTCAGAATACAATTTCTTTATTGTAAGTTGATTTTGTTATAAAAAATCTGGAGAAACAAGACTTTTTGCAGATTCAAAAAGCATCTATTGTTTGTTGGCAAATTGAACAATTCGCACCAAGAGAGATGTCTCAAATCGAAATGGTAGGTTAGAATTTTGTATGGGGAACCTTTTTTACTCAACACTTCAAACCTGAAATTTATTTTGTCCATAGACAGCTTTTGGGGTCATAAGAACACCCTAAAGATTTTGTGGACCTCTGAGCCAAGTTCTGGGCTCTCAAAAGTTCAAAAATTGCCAAACTTGGCACATAAAACACGTCACTGAATGAATTTTCATCCGAAAAATAAAAAATTCAAAAATGTTTTTTATCGAAGTACTTTTAGTTAATCGCTAAAAATATTTGAAACTTCATTTTTCCCAAAAATTATTTTGAAATAGAGCTTTGATGAGCAAATTTTGGCAATTTTTGAACTTTTGAGAGCCCAGAACTTGGCTCAGAGGTCCATTGGGAGACTAAAAATTTCAGGGCCCCAAAACCTGTCTATGGACAAAATTTCATCATGATTAGAAGGGTTGAGTAAAAAAGGTTCCCTTGTGAGAAACCCTGTCCAAATTAATAAATGTAATACTATATAATTACAGTAATCCTTTAAATTTCAGCAAAATAATTGGATAAATGTTCAACAAATTATTCGAGAAACAATCGAAGAAACAGCAGAACTCGAAAACAAGTTAGACTTGCAACATTTATTGGATTCAACGGTTAAATATGTTCAGTGGGATGGCGAAAAATATACACCATTTCTTGAAGCTTTCACCCATTTTTGTGAGAAAACCGCCAAAGAAAAAGTGAAAATCACAATGTTCAGTGTAGTTGAAGAACGTTCCAAAATATTCAAAATTTTGACCAAGACAAATGTGAGTTTCGAAGCCCTGAGAAGCCTTCAGAAGCCCTAAAATCTTTCAGTGTTGGAATGAAAGTGCTCATTTGAAACTCAATGACCAAATAATCAGAAGTGCGAGCGGTTTGATGCAAACATTGGCACCATATTGCCATTATACTTTGGAAAAAGCTTGTTATCAAAAATTTGGCACAGAAACTGCGGCATATGATTATTTTAACAGGCCATTCCGAAGTCTACCATATCGTCGTTATGATTACCCTCAACATGCACAACAAAATCCATTGGAAAAACTGGAAAACTTGGCGAAACATTTGACACTCAAAAATTGATAAATGTTTGTATTATTAATTTTCCAATTTCATTACCTCATATCAAAAATGTTATTTCTGATTTTCCAACAGTTTTTCGATAAATTTTCAATTTTTGCACTGATTTTGTTCATTAAGGTTCAGAAATTTTTCAAAAAAATGCTGAAATTTTTTTAGAAAAACACTTTCAGCTTTAAAAAAATATAAAAGTTAGATTTTTGAAAAATACCGAGCTAAAATTCCAAAAAAAAATATTTTTCAAAAATTTTTCCCAACCTCCAAAACATTTTTCAAATTTTCAAAAAAATCGCTAAAATCCCTCAAACTCCATCAAATTCAAAAATCTTTTCTGGAAAAAATTCGAATCCTCTAGAATAATAATTCCATTGAGAAAATTCTCAAAAACCCTTTTCCAATCACCAAAAAACTATAATTATAGGTTTTTTCCTTGATTTCCCTTTCCCCGTAAATCGACAAGGAGACGAAAAAAAACACTATGTATTTTTGAGAGAGTGCGAGACAGCGTGAGAGAATTTAGGGCGAGTTTGGCTGTTTGGCTTGGTTTCGTCCCTGCGATGATTATTTCTAATCTCACTGTCTGCGCTCTCTCAAAGAGACACTCTATTTCTCTCGTCTTTTATTGTCGATTTACGGGGAAAGAGAAAATCAAGGGAAAAACCAATAATTATAGTTTTTTGGTGCTTGGCGAAGGGTTTTCAATATTTTTCTTTTTTGAAATCTCTATTCTAGAAGATTCGGAATTTTTTCCAAAAAAGATTTTTGAATTTAGTGGAGTTTGAGGGATTTTAGCATTTTTTTTTTGGTTAAATGTGGAAAATGTCTTGAAGGTTGGGGAAAATTTTTGAAAAAAAAATTTTTTTGGGTGTTTTCTCACAATGTTTCTATGTTAAAATGATTAAAAAATGTACAAAACGTTCACGAAACAAAAAAATTTCGGAAAATGTGAATAATAAATACATATGACTAAAACAACAAATATATATATGTGTATTATAAAATAAAAAATGCCTCATATTCTTCCTCATAATTTTTGTGATGATATTGATTTGTTAAAAAAATATGTACTACCTATAGATTTATTCTTCAAACAAACTTTTCCTGGATCATTTCCTCGTGGCCGTATGTCCAAATCGAGATCGAGATTGCCGATCTCCGAGGTAATTATTTTGACAATACTATGTAGTTTGATCAATGAAAAATGTTTTATTATTAGTTATGTAAGTAATGCTGTCTGCTAACATTTTTCAATAAATGTGATATGAATTCGTGTTTTTGTTTTTATTTTCAGAAGTTTTATCTCCCGAAATTTCACAAGCGGATTTTTTAAGATACAGTTTGTGTCACTTTATTTTCAATATTTCAAAACTTTTTTTCAATATTTCAAAACTTTTTTTTCAATATTTCAAAACTTTTTTTCAATATTTCATTTCCGATTGAATTCTTGGAATTCCGAAATTCCGATTTTTTATTCCAAATAAATTTTCAATAGTTCGGAATTTTTTTTTCGGAATTTTGGAAAAAAATTCTTTTTTTATAAGAGGGAAACGTGAAATTTTTTAATTAAAAAAAATAAAACATGTATATTCAGAAAAACAAAAAAAAAATTATCAAAGTGTAAGCGAAAGATAATCTTATTTAAAAAATATAATTAAAAAATCATAATTAGTTTTATGAATATATTAGTTTAAAAAAAGTTTCTGATGAGAGTAATTTTCAATTTATCGATTTATTCGCAATTGAAGTTTGATTACATAAAACGACCAATGGATAATCGCATCGTCCATACAAAGGCATGTAGACAAGACTTTCTGGACATGTCATTTTGGTGAGTTGATCATTCCAGCAATTCAAATATTCGGTTGAACAAAGTGCAATTGCATGATTGCCAGTTGAAAGGGAACCGCAGGTCTTTCTGCAAAAATTTAAAAATTTTTTTGAATTTTTGAAATTTTTTGGAAAAAACTCACTGTTTTTTAGCTAGTGTTACTGGATCTGGCGTTGTTTTAACATCGGATCCAACCAATAAAACATCTCTGGTTTTGTCATGGCAGCTTCTAGCTGGGAAATCACAGAATCTTTTCTCAATGTTGTAGACAAATCCCTGAAATAAAAAAAGTTTCAGGCTGAAATCTAGAAATCTTAAGAACTCACACTTGGACATTGTTTTTTGAACAATTTCCCGTCAGAACATTGAAAAAAGGTTGACAAACATGTATATTTGATGATTGTAGCATTCGGGCGAAGCTTGCAATCAATTCCATGTTCAATCTGATCGACTTCTTCACTTGGTGGAATCAAAGCAGCAGAAAAAGAACTGCACGATGATATTTTGTATCTGCGATCACAACGAGATGAAGCCTGATCAAAGTACAATCCAGATGGACAATTGTGCTCAAATTCAACTCCCTGAAAATCATTATATTTTACATTACAATTTCAAAAAATTTCACAAAAGACTCACATCAAGACATTGAATATATGTCGAATTGCAACCGATGACGTGGAATCCATCACCTTGTGAACATGGCCCGCTGATCACACCACGAACAATAGTCAAGACCAAAAAAAATAAAGAAAATTTTTTCGCCATAATTGAATGAACAATAAAATAGGAATGAGCTATTCAATGGTGAATGGGACGCCTTCAAGAAAACTCCGCCCAAATTTTGGCACATTTACTGTTTTAGTGGTTCACAAACAAACGGTGTAGTGATTTTGGGAAGTGCAATAGATGGCGTGCTATAAGAAAATTCCATTTTGACTAGACATCACTTGACCTCGAAAATAAATGAAATAAATTCAGAAAAATTATAAGAGAAAAAACGTGTTGACCTAGTTTCGAAATATCCTCAAGTGACCTCAAAAAAAATTAGAAACAATTTCAAAAAGTTTCGAAAAAGTTTTGAAAAAGTTTGAAAAAGTTTAGAAAATGTTTAAAAAAGTTTAGAAAATGTTCACGTGAAAAAACGTGAAGTGATATATGTTGTTAGATGACCTAGAAACAATTTCAAAAAGTTTCGAAAAAATTTCGAAAAAGTTTTGAAAATGTTTAAAAAAGTTTAGAAAATGTTCACGTGAAAAAACGTTGAGTGATATATGTTGTCAGATGACCTAGAAACAATTTCAAAAAGTTTCGAAAAAGTTTCGAAAAAAGTTTAAAAAAGTTTAGAAAATGTTTAAAAAAGTTTAGAAAATGTTTAAAAAAGTTTAGAAAATGTTTAAAAAAGTTTAGATAATGTTTAAAAAAGTTTAGAAAATGTTTAAAAAAGTTTAGAAAATGTTCACGTGAAAAAACGTTAAGTGATATATGTTGTTAGATGACCTAGAAACAATTTCTAAAAGTTTCGAAAAAGTTTTGGAAAAGTTTAAAAAAAGTTTAGAAAATGGCCCAATGGGCCAAAATAAATAGATGGCCCAATGGGCCAAAATAAAAAGATGGCCCAATGGGCCAAAATAAATAGTTGGCCCAATGGGCCAAAATAAAGAGATGGCCCAATGGGCCAAAATAAATAGATGGCCCAATGGGCCAAAATAAATAGATGGCCCAATGGGCCAAACAAAGTAAATAAAAACGTGTTGACCTAATTTCGAAATATGCTCAGATGTTGTTAGATGACCTAGAAACAATTTCAAAAAGTTTCGAAAAAGTTTAAAAAAAGAAAAAATTGGGCCAAAATATTGGGCCAAAATAAATAGATGGCCCAATGGGCCAAAATAAAAAGATGGCCCAATGGGCCAAAATAAAGAGATGGCCCAATGGGCCAAAATAAATAGATGGCCCAATGGGCCAAACAAAGTAAATAAAAACGTGTTGACCTAATTTCGAAATATGCTCAGATGTTGTTAGATGACCTAGAAACAATTTCAAAAAGTTTCGAAAAAGTTTAAAAAAGTTTAGAAAAGGATCACGTGAAAAAACGTGAAGTGATATATGTTGTCAGATGACCTAGAAACATTTTCAAAAAGTTTCGAAAAAGTTTAGAAAAAGTTTTGAAAAAAGTTTAGAAAAAGTTTAGAAAAGGATCACGTGAAAAAACGTGAAGTGATATATGTTGTTAGATGACCTAGAAACAATTTCAAAAAGTTTCGAAAAAGTTTAAAAAAAGTTTAGAAAATGTTTAAAAAAGTTTAGAAAATGTTCACGTGAAAAAACGTGAAGTGATATATGTTGTTAGATGACCTAGAAACAATTTCTAAAAGTTTCGAAAAAGTTTTGGAAAAGTTTAAAAAAGTTTAGAAAATGGCCCAATGGGCCAAAATAAATAGATGGCCCAATGGGCCAAAATAAAAAGATGGCCCAATGGGCCAAAATAAATAGTTGGCCCAATGGGCCAAAATAAAGAGATGGCCCAATGGGCCAAAATAAATAGATGGCCCAATGGGCCAAACAAAGTAAATAAAAACGTGTTGACCTAATTTCGAAATATGCTCAGATGTTGTTAGATGACCTAGAAACAATTTCAAAAAGTTTCGAAAAAGTTTAAAAAAGTTTAGAAAAGGATCACGTGAAAAAACGTGAAGTGATATATGTTGTTAGATGACCTAGAAACAATTTCAAAAAGTTTCGAAAAAGTTTAAAAAAGTTTAGAAAATGTTTAAAAAAGTTTAGAAAATGTTCACGTGAAAAAACGTGAAGTGATATATGTTGTCAGATGACCTAGAAACAATTTCAAAAAGTTTCGAAAAATTTTTGAAAAAGTTTAGAAAAAGTTTAGAAAAGATTCACGTGAAAAAACGTGAAGTGATATATGTTGTTAGATGACCTAGAAACATTTTCAAAAAGTTTCGAAAAAGTTTAAAAAAGTTTAGAAAATGTTTAAAAAAGTTTAGAAAATGTTCACGTGAAAAAACGTGAAGTGATATATGTTGTTAGATGACCTAGAAACAATTTCAAAAAGTTTCGAAAAAGTTTTGAAAAAGTTTAAAAAAGTTTAGAAAAATGTTCACGTGAAAAAACGTGAAGTGATATATGTTGTTAGATGACCTAGAAACAATTTCAAAAAGTTTCGAAAAAGTTTAAAAAAGTTTAGAAAATGTTCACGTGAAAAAACGTGAAGTGATATATGTTGTTAGATGACCTAGAAACAATTTCAAAAAGTTTCGAAAAAGTTTAAAAAAGTTTAGAAAATGTTCACGTGAAAAAACGTGAAGTGATATATGTTGTTAGATGACCTAGAAACAATTTCAAAAAGTTTCGAAAAAGTTTAGAAAAAGTTTAAAAAAGTTTAGAAAATGTTCACGTGAAAAAACGTGAAGTGATATATGTTGTTAGATGACCTAGAAACAATTTCAAAAAGTTTCGAAAAAGTTTTGAAAAAGTTTAAAAAAGTTTAGAAAATGTTCACGTGAAAAAACGTGAAGTGATATATGTTGTTAGATGACCTAGAAACAATTTCAAAAAGTTTCGAAAAAGTTTAAAAAAGTTTAGAAAATGTTCACGTGAAAAAACGTGAAGTGATATATGTTGTTAGATGACCTAGAAACAATTTCAAAAAGTTTCGAAAAAGTTTAAAAAAAGTTTAGAAAATGTTCACGTGAAAAAACGTGAAGTGATATATGTTGTTAGATGACCTAGAAACAATTTCAAAAAGTTTCGAAAAAGTTTAAAAAAGTTTAGAAAATGTTCACGTGAAAAAACGTGAAGTGATATATGTTGTTAGATGACCTAGAAACAATTTCAAAAAGTTTCGAAAAAGTTTAAAAAAGTTTAGAAAATGTTCACGTGAAAAAACGTGAAGTGATATATGTTGTTAGATGACCTAGAAACAATTTCAAAAAGTTTCGAAAAAGTTTAAAAAGTTTAGAAAATGTTCACGTGAAAAAACGTGAAGTGATATATGTTGTTAGATGACCTAGAAACAATTTCAAAAAGTTTCGAAAAAGTTTAAAAAAGTTTAGAAAATGTTCACGTGAAAAAACGTGAAGTGATATATGTTGTTAGATGACCTAGAAACAATTTCAAAAAGTTTCGAAAAAGTTTAAAAAAGTTTAGAAAATGTTCACGTGAAAAAACGTGAAGTGATATATGTTGTTAGATGACCTAGAAACAATTTCAAAAAGTTTCGAAAAAGTTTAAAAAAGTTTAGAAAATGTTCACGTGAAAAAACGTGAAGTGATATATGTTGTTAGATGACCTAGAAACAATTTCAAAAAGTTTCGAAAAAGTTTAAAAAAGTTTAGAAAATGTTCACGTGAAAAAACGTGAAGTGATATATGTTGTTAGATGACCTAGAAACAATTTCAAAAAGTTTCGAAAAAGTTTAAAAAGTTTAGAAAATGTTCACGTGAAAAAACGTGAAGTGATATATGTTGTTAGATGACCTAGAAACAATTTCAAAAAAGTTTCGAAAAAGTTTAAAAAAGTTTAGAAAATGTTCACGTGAAAAAACGTGAAGTGATATATGTTGTTAGATGACCTAGAAACAATTTCAAAAAGTTTCGAAAAAGTTTAAAAAAGTTTAGAAAATGTTCACGTGAAAAAACGTGAAGTGATATATGTTGTTAGATGACCTAGAAACAATTTCAAAAAGTTTCGAAAAAGTTTAAAAAAGTTTAGAAAATGTTCACGTGAAAAAACGTGAAGTGATATATGTTGTTAGATGACCTAGAAACAATTTCAAAAAGTTTCGAAAAAGTTTAAAAAAGTTTAGAAAATGTTCACGTGAAAAAACGTGAAGTGATATATGTTGTTAGATGACCTAGAAACAATTTCAAAAAGTTTCGAAAAAGTTTAAAAAAGTTTAGAAAATGTTCACGTGAAAAAACGTGAAGTGATATATGTTGTTAGATGACCTAGAAACAATTTCAAAAAGTTTCGAAAAAGTTTAAAAAAGTTTAGAAAATGTTCACGTGAAAAAACGTGAAGTGATATATGTTGTTAGATGACCTAGAAACAATTTCAAAAAGTTTCGAAAAAGTTTAAAAAAGTTTAGAAAATGTTCACGTGAAAAAACGTGAAGTGATATATGTTGTTAGATGACCTAGAAACAATTTCAAAAAGTTTAGAAAATGTTTAAAAAAGTTTAGAAAATGTTCACGTGAAAAAACGTGAAGTGATATATGTTGTCAGATGACCTAGAAACAATTTCAAAATGTTTCGAAAAAGTTTAGAAAATGTTTAAAAAAGTTTAGAAAATGTTCACGTGAAAAAACGTGAAGTGATATATGTTGTTAGATGACCTAGAAACAATTTCAAAAAGTTTCGAAAAAGTTTAAAAAGTTTAGAAAATGTTCACGTGAAAAAACGTGAAGTGATATATGTTGTTAGATGACCTAGAAACAATTTCAAAAAGTTTCGAAAAAGTTTAAAAAAGTTTAGAAAATGTTCACGTGAAAAAACGTGAAGTGATATATGTTGTTAGATGACCTAGAAACAATTTCAAAATGTTTCGAAAAAGTTTAGAAAAATGTTTAAAAAAGTTTAGAAAATGTTCACGTGAAAAAACGTGAAGTGATATATGTTGTTAGATGACCTAGAAACAATTTCAAAAAGTTTCGAAAAAGTTTAAAAAAGTTTAGAAAATGTTCACGTGAAAAAACGTGAAGTGATATATGTTGTTAGATGACCTAGAAACAATTTCAAAAAGTTTCGAAAAAGTTTAAAAAAGTTTAGAAAATGTTCACGTGAAAAAACGTGAAGTGATATATGTTGTTAGATGACCTAGAAACAATTTCAAAAAGTTTCGAAAAAAGTTTAAAAAAGTTTAGAAAAATGTTCACGTGAAAAAACGTGAAGTGATATATGTTGTTAGATGACCTAGAAACAATTTCAAAAAGTTTCGAAAAAGTTTAAAAAAGTTTAGAAAATGTTCACGTGAAAAAACGTGAAGTGATATATGTTGTTAGATGACCTAGAAACAATTTCAAAAAGTTTCGAAAAAGTTTAAAAAAGTTTAGAAAATGTTCACGTGAAAAAACGTGAAGTGATATATGTTGTTAGATGACCTAGAAACAATTTCAAAAAGTTTAGAAAATGTTTAAAAAAGTTTAGAAAATGTTCACGTGAAAAAACGTGAAGTGATATATGTTGTCAGATGACCTAGAAACAATTTCAAAATGTTTCGAAAAAGTTTAGAAAATGTTTAAAAAAGTTTAGAAAATGTTCACGTGAAAAAACGTGAAGTGATATATGTTGTTAGATGACCTAGAAACAATTTCAAAAGTTTCGAAAAAGTTTTGAAAAAGTTTAAAAAAGTTTAGAAAATGTTCACGTGAAAAAACGTGAAGTGATATATGTTGTTAGATGACCTAGAAACAATTTCAAAAAGTTTCGAAAAAGTTTAAAAAAGTTTAGAAAATGTTCACGTGAAAAAACGTGAAGTGATATATGTTGTTAGATGACCTAGAAACAATTTCAAAAAGTTTCGAAAAAGTTTAAAAAAGTTTAGAAAATGTTCACGTGAAAAAACGTGAAGTGATATATGTTGTTAGATGACCTAGAAACAATTTCAAAAAGTTTCGAAAAAGTTTAAAAAAGTTTAGAAAATGTTCACGTGAAAAAACGTGAAGTGATATATGTTGTTAGATGACCTAGAAACAATTTCAAAAAGTTTCGAAAAAGTTTAAAAAAAGTTTAGAAAATGTTCACGTGAAAAAACGTGAAGTGATATATGTTGTTAGATGACCTAGAAACAATTTCAAAAAGTTTCGAAAAAGTTTAAAAAAGTTTAGAAAATGTTCACGTGAAAAAACGTGAAGTGATATATGTTGTTAGATGACCTAGAAACAATTTCAAAAAGTTTCGAAAAAGTTTAAAAAAGTTTAGAAAATGTTCACGTGAAAAAACGTGAAGTGATATATGTTGTTAGATGACCTAGAAACAATTTCAAAAAGTTTAGAAAATGTTTAAAAAAGTTTAGAAAATGTTCACGTGAAAAAACGTGAAGTGATATATGTTGTCAGATGACCTAGAAACAATTTCAAAATGTTTCGAAAAAAGTTTAGAAAATGTTTAAAAAAGTTTAGAAAATGTTCACGTGAAAAAACGTGAAGTGATATATGTTGTTAGATGACCTAGAAACAATTTCAAAAAGTTTCGAAAAAAGTTTTGAAAAGTTATGCTCAGATGAACTCAAAAATAATTGAAATAAATTTAGAACAATTATAAAAATGAAAACGTGTTGACCTAGTTTCAAAATATGCTCAGATGATCTCGAAAATAAATGAAATAAATTCAGAAAAATTATAAAAATAAAAACGTGTTGACCTAATTTCGAAATATGCTCAGATGACTTCAAAAATAATTGAAATAAATTCAGAAAAAACCCTGAAAACCCAAAAAAACTCACATTTCCTCCAGTTTTTTTCGAAATTCAAAATCATTCAACCAAAATCCGCTTCATAAATTGCTTCGATATTTCCATCATTTCGCTGATGTTTTCCTGTAAATTAGAAATGAATCGAATTTAAATAAGTACTTTTAACGGAAGAAAAATTCCAGAATGTACATTTTTTCATGAAATTACTTTTTGAGCACCATAAAACTAAAAGAAAATCAACTAAACTTGTGTTTCTTGTAGTAGGAAAATTGATAAAAATTAATTTCATTGAAAATTTTCATGAAAAAACAACAAAAAGTATGTCAATGACAAAAAAAATGAAAAACAATGACAAGAAAATAAAAGTAAACATGGAAGTACGCCCTATTGTTAAAAGGGACGCGGCATTGCGGAGTATCGTTGTATTATTTTTGTTTGCAAATAAGCGTGTCTGCACTCTCTTCATGTTATTCTCTCTCGCCAATATCCTTCTTCCTGTGTCTTGTTTGTGTTTTTCATTTTTTTTGGCGGGAGGGTGATAACTTTATTGATTTTTCTTCAGCAGACTTTTTCTTTCTTCTGGAAGTTTTGACAAATACTGACATTGAATATTGATTTTTTTCAGCCAAAAACATCTCAAAATGTCAACTTTTGTGCAAGACCGAAGAAAAAATCGATTCATGCGAAGAAAGATCGATTCGCTGGAAATGTGGAATATCCTGATATTTATTTGTCTGAAATTCTGGAAGAAGTTAAATTAGGTGAGTTCTGGGTTATGAAACTTCTGAATGAGAAAATAAACGGAGTTATTTTCTCTAACAAGGAAACCTTTTTTACTCAACACTTCAAATCATGATGAAATTTGGTCCATGGGTAGCTTTTGGGGTCATAAGAACACCCTAAAAATTTTAGTCTCCCAATGGACCTCTGAGCCAAGTTCTGGGCTCTCAAAAATTCGAAAAAGGCTTTTTCGGCTGAAAATTCATGAAAATTCATATGTGCCCCTGCTCATTCTTTTTTCCAAAAATCAAAATATTTTTCCGAAAATTTGATTTATTCATGCTTTTTTGGGTGTTAATAGTCTTTTTCTTTAATAAAAAAACATCTTTAAACGACAATAACTTTTTACTTCTGCAATTAGGACAAAATCTGACCACAAAATCGTGTTCAGCGTGTCAAAATCTATCGGAAATGATATATTTCATTTTAAAAATAAACAATGCGATGCTCTTCTTGAATAAATCTCGAAAAACATCAAACATTTATTAGCCATTCACTCTCGCATTCTCGCCGCCTTGGATGGCGCAGTCGGTAGAGCAGTCGATTAAAGATCCTGCGAAAGCAAGCAAAATTATCAAGTTCGAACCCCGCTGGGGAAAAAATATTTTTTTTTTTGCAAATTTTGTTTTTGACTAATTTCGACCTGCTGATCAACGTAGAACACTTTATTTTTGACCTAGACGTTCCTGTTACGAGTTATGTCTCACCCAGAAGTTCGAACCCCGGTGAATGTAAATTTTTCAAAGTTTTTTAAAATCTTGTTCCTGACTAATGTCGACATGCTGATCAACGTAGAATACTTTATTTTTGACCTAGACGTTCCTGTTACGAGTTATGTCTCACCCAGAAGTTCGAACCCCGGTGAATGTAAATTTTTCAAAGTTTTTCAAAATTTTGTTTTTGACTAATGTCGACCTGCTGATCAACGTAGAATACTTTTTTTTTGACCTAGACGTTCCTGTTACGAGTTATGTCTCACCCAGAAGTTCGAACCCCGGTGAATGTAAATTTTTTAAAATTTTAGCCTTTTTTTGAGTTTTTGAGAGCCCAGATTTTGGCTCAGAGGTCCATTGGGAGACAAAAATTTTTAGGGTGTTCTTATGACCCCAAAAGCTGCCTATGGACAAAATTCACCATGATTTGAGGTGTTGAGTAAAAAAGGTTCCCTTGTAAACCAATTTTTCTTCCAAGAATTGAAAAACATAATGAATTTTTTCAGAACAACAAAAATCCGCGAATGATTTTGAGCTGATTTTCGAAACCAAAGAGGAACGCCTCCAGGTGATATCATCATTTTTGAATGAAAATTTGACGATTTGAAGAAGAAAACGATGCGCGTGCTAGGTTTTGCGATTCTTGTGGAACATATCAGGTGAGTTTTTTTTCTTAAGAAATTTCTTGAAATGAAAATTAGCTTCGAGGGGAAGTTAGGGGCTTTAGGGAACTCTAGAGTGCTACGAAAAGCTTTAGAGTACTTCAGGGAGCTTTTTTCATTTCTAAAATTCCTAATTAGATTCGATTACTGATGTTATGTAGTACTGTATCCAACATCTACAGTAGTTTGAAAACTACAGAATCTCATATTCTTTCTCGATTTTTGATATGATCTTGAACATAGTAAAAAACTAACATGAGCAATGAATTAATTCTTGATAACTTTATGAAAAAATTAAAATGAATCCTGAGAATCCTCGTAAGAAGCCTAAACAAAAAACATTTTTTCAGGATGAAGGCAATGCCAAACGCGAGGAAGACACACAATCAATTTTCCAACCACCCTCGCCACCAAAACATTAGAAGTTCTCTCTGTCGTCATGCAATAATTTTTAGTTAAATTTTATTATTTTCCAGATCTCATAACTTTCTTTCCGCATACCAGTTTTATATTTGATTCTCCAAATATTTTCATATTTTTATTGCGCCATAAATATTATTTATTTTATTTTCCCAGATCAATCGATATTTTTTCGCCTTCCCGAGAAGGCAACTCACAGGAACAAGTTAGTTCTCTGGTTGCCTGGTGTCTCCTCAAAAGTGTAGTCTCTCGTATGCTAATTGACAATTTGAGACACTTGTGAGAATGAGCAGATGTATTTTTTTGAGTAGTAATTGTGATGCGTGAATTTTTTGGTTTATATGAAGATGACTAATGAGAATGTGCATACTGTTAAAGAAACAAAAAACCTTCAAAATTTTTTTTTTGAAAAAAATTTTGAGCAAGGTCATCTATTATCATTGTGACCATGGGAAAATTGGAAGAAAATCTTGCTGAATTTGCTAATTTGAAAAATGTTCTTTTTTTAAATGAAACTAACAAAGAGGAGGAAAATCTGAAAAATTTGAGCCTGAAAATCTTGAAAGCCTTAGAAGATTGAGAAGTTTAAGGCCTCTGAGAAGCCCGAGAAGCCTTAAAAGTTTTAGAAGCCCTGAAAGCCTAAGAGGCCTAAGAAAACCAGAAAGCCTAGAAAGCCTTAGAAGTCTTAGAAGCCTTAAAATCCTAATGTAAGAAGTTTCAGAATCCACAGAAGCCCTGAAAGCCTGAGAAGCCTAAAAAGATTCATAAAAATTTATAAAAATTTTTCCAGAAAATGTGAAACACTCTAGATTCCTAAAAAAAATAAAAATTTTCAGTCAAAAATTCTACCTCAACCCCATTTTGAAATTTCAGACTTTTTCAGAAATCTGAAAGTTCAAGATTCAAGAATTTCTAGTTAACTTAACACTAATTATGATGAGTTAGTCTAACTATTAAAAAAATATTTTCAAAAATTTCCCAACAATTCCCAAACCAAACCAAGCCACAAACAAATGCAACCAAAAAAAAGACGGGAAAAAAATGTTTTCTGGGTCATGACGCTCAAACTTCACAGCCTTTCAGTATCTCGAAATCTTCACCAAAATATCTGAAACTAACATCCTCTTATAGAGAAAAACACAGGCTTTCAGATGATCTAAAAATATTGCGAGGTCACAGCTGAAAATCCGGAGAAAATCGACTTCAAAGGTGCCGAACGGTGTTCAGCATTCTGAAAAAACCTGCTGAAACTCTTCGGGTGTCGAATGGATTCTGGAAAAAATTATATCTTCTGAAAGCCCAGATATTGCTCTTCCAGAAAACCCAAATTTCACTGAAAATCTTCAATTTTCAGCCAAGTTATAGTCGAATTCCCGGGCCACACTCAAAAATCCTCCCCATCTTTCCTCTTCACCCCCCTCATGTTCCTTTAAAAATCACTAAATTCCAGAAAATTTAAGATATTCTTGTAGAGATTTTCACGCTGAATCCAACGCTGTAATTTTCAGCGCATAAAATCTGGAGCCCATGAAGAAAATCCAGGAAAACCGAGGAGCCTTTAACTAGAAAATGAAATTTATTGGGTGTTGTGGTGGAAAGGAAAATCGGTGTCCCCGCACGGTGGTAGAGAATTGGTATAAATACACAGTCTTTCGCCATTCTTTTTCATTGCATACCACTTTTTGCAACTTACCACAACTCTCTCTCTTCAACAATGTCTGACGCCGTTGCCGCTCCAGCTCCAGTCGCCGCTGCTCCAGCCGCTTCAAAGAAGGCCGCCGCCGCTGCCAAAACCAAGATCCCAAAGGTCAAAAAAGCCGCCGGAGTTGCGCCAACTCATCCAACCTATATTGCTATGGTTGTTGCTGCTATTAAGGCTATTAAGGATCGTAAGGGAGCTTCGAAACAAGCGATTCTTAAGCATATTGCTCAAAATTACAAACTTGGAGATAATGTTAAAGCGGTTAGTTACCTTAAACCTTAATTTTAAAGGCCTTAAGAAGCCTAAAAAATCAATCAATAATTTTTTTCCAGATCAACGCTCATCTCAAACTTGCCTTGAACCGCGGAGTCAAGTCAAAAGCCCTCGTTCAGGCCGCCGGAACCGGAGCCAACGGACGTTTCAAGGTTGCTGAGAAGGCCGCCGCTGCTCCAAAGAAGGCTGCTGCTCCTAAACCAAAGGCTGCTGCCAAGCCAAAGGCCGCTGCCAAGCCAAAGGCCGCTGCTGCTGCCAAGCCAAAGGCCGCCGCCAAGCCAAAGGCCGCTGCCAAGCCAAAGGCCGCCGCCAAGCCAAAGAAGGCCGCTGTCCCAAAGGTTAAGAAGGCCGCTGCCAAGCCGAAAAAGGCTGCACCAAAGAAGGCGGCTGCACCAAAAAAGACCAAAGCTTAAATATTGATTGATTGATATTTTTGTATATATTTCTCTGAATCTCAAATCTCTCCCCTCCACCCCCGTTTGATACTGGTAATCTCCTGAATTCTTATTTTTTTATTTTTTTTTGAAAACATGAAATGAAACTACAATAAATTGATGAAATATGAAGAAAATGTGTTATGTGTTGTTTTTTGGCGGGAAATTTTCAGATGAAAAAAAAATGCTCAAAATCTGAAATTTCGATTTTCAGCCCTAAATTGGCAGTAACACGTAATTTTAGCTATAATTCTTCTATTCACTGGTAATTTAGTAACTATTTGAGAAATTTTACGTTAAAAAATCGTTAAATTTAAAAAATTGAAAAAAAAATTCCAAAAATTTTATTTTTTTATAATAAACTGTGAAAATTTTCTCAAAGTGCTCACAAAATTTTTTTTTCTGAAAACAGAGCTTCAGATTTTTTTGAGCACAATTTTTCTCCTGAAAATTTTACCGTGCTCTTTTAGATTTTTTTAGGAGCACAAAAATCTTAATTTTTTCAGTTTTTGGCTGGAAATTTTAAAGTGCTCCAGGAGCACAAAAAAGAGCTTCAAGTTATTTGAGCACAATTTTTTTCAGCTAGAAAATTACTGTATTTTGAGCTCAGGAAATTTTTTAATGATTTTATGGCTAGAAATTTGTAGGCAAAATGAAGAGCTTCAGATTTTTTTGAGCACAATTTTTCACCTGAAACGTAAACTGTTTGAGCTCAAAAATTAATTATGTTAGGGTTTTTAGGCTGGAAATTTGATGATTATAAAGTGCTCCAGGAGCACAAAAACTTATTTCTGAAAACAGAGCTTCAGATTTTTTTGAGCACAATTTTTTTCAGCAAAAAAATTACTGTATTTTGAGCTCAGAAAAATTTTTCAATGATTTTTGGGCTGGAAATTTGCTGGTTACAAATTGCTCCAGGTTTTTTGAGCACAAAATTGTGTACAGAAAAAAATCTGTGCTCTTTTTCTGCACCTCCATATTTTCGAGCACAATTTAGCCTAACTATATTTTTTCCGAGGAATTTTATAGCTCAAAAAAAGGTGCTCCAAATTTTCCTCACTGTGCTCCACCAGCTGTTATTCCAGAGCTGAGCTTTGGCTGCGCCAAAGCTCTGTTGCGTCAAAAAAATTGCGCGATATTTTAGTGCTCCGCCAGCTGTTCTCAAGCTCTGCTCACACAGGTGTATTGCGTCAGAAAATTGCTGCGCGTGGTCTGATTTGTCTATGTCTATGACTCAATAGGTCAAACAAATTACAACACACACACCCTTTTTTTATGGCTTGATGGGAAAATGAGAAAAAGATAACATCTTGGGGATCAGGGAAGGTTCAGAAGACTTCAGAAGGCTTCAGAAGGCTTCAGGGGGCTTCAGGAAACTTCAGAGGGCTTCAAAGGGCTTCAGGAGGTCTTAGGAGGCTTCAGAAAGCTTCAGAAAGCTTCAAATGGCTTCAGGAGGCTTCAAAAGGCTTCAGAGGTTTCATCTGAATTCTAAACATGAATTTCACAATTTTTCAGATAATTTAAGATTTTTGGGTGAATTTTTTAGAATTCAGATTGAGAATACAGTAGTTCAAGTATAAGTTTGTAGAGAATCTTCAAAATTTGAAAAATGAAAATTCTAGAAAATTTTTCTATCCTCAAATTTTGCTTTTTCAATTTTTATTTTTATTTCTAATTAAAATTTGTTTTTCCTTCCTCTTTCACACCCAAAAATACGCAACATTTTCCTCCCAACATTGTCTATACAGAAAAATAGCACAGAAAATGAAGAGAGTGCAGAAAAAGACGCCCGCTTGCCTTTTTTTGGTTTGGGTGTGGTATAATAAAAAAAAATAATAGTGTGAGAGGGGTGCAAAAAAAATACAAAAAAATTTTGGAAGCCTTGGAAGCCTTGGATAGCCTTGGGAAGCCTTAGAAGCCTTGGGAAGCCTTAAGAAGCCTTTAGAAGCCTTTAGAAGCCTTTAGAAGCCTTTAGAAGTCTTAGAAGCCTTGGAAAGCTTTTAGAAGCCTTTAGAAGCCTCTAGAAGCCTCTAGAAGCCTTTAGAAGCCTTTAGAAGCCTGAAAAATTCAAAATTAATAATCTTCCAGATGTCGCCTTTTGTAAGCGGTTATTTTCTTATTTTGGTTAGGTCACAAAGGGATTTAGAAATTTTATTATTATGATGTGCCATCTTTCAACAGGTGGGCCTTTTTCCAAAAGGCTCACCCGATAATCTTCGGATAAAAATAAAAATTCATAATATATAATTAATTTGGTTTTGTTTTGGTGTGATGTATCACACCTGTTTCAAATTTCGAGGGGAAAAATCGAGAATTCGTGGATCAGAATTGTACACATTTTTGGAATATTCTAGGCCTGAGAAGCCTAAGAAGCCTTAAAATCCTGAAAAAAATGTCAAAAAACAGTACATTTTTCAAATATTTTCGGGAGAACTGATAACAAAACTATACAATTTAGACATTTGTTTTATCAGAAAAGTAAACTATGCTATTTCATTACAAAACAATAATTCAAATTTTGGAATTAAAAATTTTTTTTTGAAAAACAATACTAGTGTCCTTCCTCTGCGCCTTGAGGAAGTTTTGAGAATTTATCAGAAGCCTAAAATTTTCACTGATAAAAACTGTATATAAATGACCGTGTTCTATACTTTTTCAATTTCAAATTCAATTTTCAAACACAAAAATGTCTTATCCATATTCTTCTTATTTCAATGAGCAAACTCCACCTTCATATTATCATTTTTCTCCTCACACAATCTCGAAAGGTTTGGGAAGCCTTGGGAAGCCTTGGGAAGCCTTGGAAAGCCTTGGGAATCCTTGGGAAGCCTTGGGAAGCCTTCAAAAGCTTCTTGAAGCCTTCAGAAGCCTCTGGAGAAGCCTAAGAAGCCCTAATTTTTCCAGAATCTACAAAAGCAAGCGCACCTCCAGCTCCTTCTTCACTCACAAATCAAGAAAATTCAACACCACCAATTTGTCCACCAAATTCTTGTGTTTCAAATAATGAAAACAGTTATCCGGAATACGAAATTGGAAAAAAGGAGAAAAAAGAGAAACGGGGATTTTTCAAGAAACTATTTGGGAAAAATAAATCGGATAAGAATTGACAATAATAAAAATTTTTTTTGAAACATTTGCGATTTTTAGAGCCTAAATATGCCTAGACTTAGATTAGAAGGCCTCAAAACCCTTAAGGGCTTTTAGGCTCAAAATCTAGGCAAATGCTTAGGCTAAGATCTAAGGTTAGGCTTACCCATTTAAGTCCTAAAAATTTGCGATTCTTAGAGCCTAAAAACATAAGTTTAAAATTTTCCAGTGAAACACCGTGTAAAATGTCTTGCTCTTTTCATTCTCAACTTTTTTTTAGTTACAAAAATTCCATTCCCATAATTTTTCAGCAAAAAAACACAAGCGCAAGAGAAAAAAAGATGAGAGAGTATGATTTGCTGAAGAGACCGAAGAGAGATAGAGAGAAAACGAGGTGTGCACACCAAATGCGCCAACTGCTTGGCTGACGCTTTCTGTGTGTTCTCCTTCCTCCTTTTCTTTCTTCTCGCATATTTTGAATATATTTTTCTGTTTGCGGTGTTTTTCTTGCATTCGAAGCTGTTTTTTGCCATTTTTTTTGGAAATTTTGTGAATTTTTTAAAGTTTTCTGGAAATTTCTAAGTTCGTTTGAGAATGTCATTTTTCTTGTTTCTATAGGGTATTTTTAGGTTTTTGATGATTTTTTCACTTGTTTTACAAAACAATTCTTTTATCAATTTGTAACTTCAAAACTGTTTTTCAGCCCCGTCTTCGACCATTTTTTGCTCCGATTGTGATTTTTGATGGTCCCGAAGATGAAGAACAACACCAACAGCGAAGGAAGCCAAGGTTAGTTTATTTTCTTTGAAAATCTAGTGAAAATTCATGAAATGTCTGTGAAATTTTGTCAAAAATGAAAGAAAAATCAGATTTTTTTGTGAAAAAGTCAGGAAAATTCAAAAGTTTTTGCGCAAAAACCAGCGAAAAAATGTTTGAATTCGAAAGATTTCATTGACATGTTTAGAAAAAAGGCGGGAAATTTAGAAATTTTGAATTCTCTGAACAATGCTGATTTTCGAAATATTTCGAAATGTTTCGAAAATCACCAATTTCATTTTTGGAGAGATGTGAATCTTGATTTGTCTTTAAAACGTATTTTAGTGTTTAGAAATGTCATCTCAAGCTTTTTCAATAAGTTCAAAATACAAATCAAGACTTCAAATTCAAATTGTTGATTTTCGAAATGTTTCGAAAATATTCGAAAATCACCAATTTCATTTTTGGGGAGATGTGATTCTTGATTTGTCTTGAAAACACATTTTAGTGTTTAAAAATGACATTCCTTCTAATTTCTAAACCATAGCGAACGATTTTTGGGCATTTCTCGATCATATTCACTTACTTAATCTTTCAGAATCCTCAGATTCGGATTCTGGCAGCGCCATCACCCAATCAGAATTAATTTTCGATAAATTGTCGCCGGATCAAATGCGACTTTATCTCAAAATTCAAGCAACTCAGAGAGGGATTCAAATTGATGTGGAAAAGGTTGGTTGTTTGAAATCTTTTTCAATTGAAATATCAAAATGAAAACCATTTTTCAGGCGTTCCATCAGATTGACAGATTGCATCGGATTTTGAAACAGGGTACCACTCTTGGAACAAGTTAAAAAGGAGGAGATTATCGAAGGAAACCACCTGGATTCAATTTTCGATAAAATGTCGCCGGATCAAATGCGGCTTTATCGAAAAATTCAAGCAACTCAAAGAGGAGTTCAAATAGATGTGGAGAAGGTTAGTAATTTTGAAACTTTTTATAAGGTTATTCATTCTCAGTCCAAAAAAACATGTTATTTTTTTCATTCTTTCGATTCTGAATAACCTTATTAACAGAGATTTTAAGCTGGAAGTTGTGTAATAATAACAAATTTTCCAGGCATTCCACACGAAGTACCTGTGGCTTTGAGCCCGGGACTCCATCTTGGAGACATTTTGCACATAAAAAAGGCAGATGTTGTCGAAGGAAACCACCGCGATAAATTGTCGCCGGATCAAATGCGCCTTCAAAATGGATTTGTTAATAGTTCAAAGTGATTGCCCCGCTGTTGTTGAAGGAAACCATCGTAAGTTTAGATTTTCATACTTTAACTTTGATCAATTTGTAATTTTTCAGGAATTATTGGTATACCAACAACAAATAAAGCGTGATTATCTACATGTAGATAATCAATTTATAACCCAACGGATGTGGAGAAGGTTAGTTTTTTTTTGTTTTTAATTCTTTTGCAACTTTTTTCAAGATCTTGGGATTAGAAAAGTGTTTTTTTCAGGCCTTTCACTGGTCATAACAACCAACAGTTCGAGCTCAACACACTCCACAACCAGCAACAAATCAATGGAAGATCCACGAACCACGGCGTATCAATCTCAAAATCAGCGAAGAAGATGTAGAAAAGGTTAGTTAATTTGAAACTTTTTATGAGGTTATTCATTCTCAGTCCAAAAAAAACATGATAAAAATGTTATTTTTTTTCATTCTTTCGATTCTGAATAACCTTACTAAAGATTTTGAACTGGAAGTTGTGTAATTAGAAAACATTTTCCAGGCCTTTCACGCGAAGTACTTGTGGCTTTGAGCCCGGGACTCCGTCTTGGAGACATTTTGCACATAAAAAAGGAGCTGTTCTCGAAGGAAACCACCGCGAATCCCAATCGGATTCAATTTTCGATGAAATGTCGCCGGATCAAATGCGACTTTATCTCAAAATTCAAGCAACTCAAAGAGGAATTCAAAAAGATGTGGAGAAGGTTGGTTGTTTGAAATATTTTTCAATTGATTTTTCACAATCCATTCTCCAGGCGTTCCATCAGATGGACAAAGAGGAATTCAAAATGGATTTGTAAATAGTTCTTCAAAAAGATGTAGAAAAGGTTAGTTATTTTCACAATTTTTATAAGGTTATTCATTCTCAGTCCAAAAAATCATGTTAATAAGGTTTTTTTTCATTCTTTTAATTCTGAATAACCTTATTAACAGAGATTTTGAACTGGAAGTTGTGTAATTAGAAAACATTTTCCAGGCCTTTCACACGAATCACCTGTGGCTTTTAGGCCGGGACTCCATCTTGGAGACATATTGCACATGAAAAAAATTTCGACGGCAACCACCTCAATCACAATCCCAATCGGATTCAATTTTCGATGAAGTGACGCCGGATCAAATGCGACTTTATCTCAAAATTCAAGCAACTCAAAGAGGGATTCAAAAAGATGTAGAAAAGGTTGGTTGTTTGAAATCTTTTTCAATTGAAATATCGAAGTAAAACCATTTTCCAGGCGTTTCATCGGATATGCAGATTGCATCAGATTTGAAAGTTGGGTACCACTCGTGGAGCACATGAAAAAGGAAGAGATTATCGAAGGAAACCACCGCGATTCGGTGTTCGATAAAATGTCGCCGGATCAAATGCGCCTTTATTGAAAAAATCAAGAAACTCAAAGAGGAATTCAAAATGATGTGGAGAAGGTTAATTATTTTGAAACTTTTCATAAGGGAATTCATTCTCAGTCCAAAAAACATGTTAAAAAGGTTATTTTTCATTCTTTCGATTCTGAATAACCTTATTAAAGACTTTAAACTGGAAGTTGTGTATTAAAAAAATATTTTCCAGGCCTTTCACACTAAGTACCTGTGGCTTTGAGCCCGGGACTCCGTCTTGGAGACATTTTGCACATGAAAAAGGCAGCTGTTGTTGAAGGAAACCATCGTAAGTTTAGATTTTCAAAAATTTAACTTTACTTTATTAATTCAAAATTTGTTTCAGGAAATGTTGGTTATACCAACAACAAAGGAAGTGTCCCGGACGTCAGTATCTACATGTATTGGATCAACAATACATGTAGATAATCAATTTATAACCCAACAACGGAATTTTGCCATTTCTTCTGGGTGCACAGGTAAGATTGATAGGTGTAAGGGGAGGGGAAACCCTCTCCTCCTATTGATCTTATATTTCCCAATTTTTATATTTTGTAACCCCCCCCCCTTATACCTCCAAAACTTCATAGGTTCAACTAGAAGATCACTAGAAGTAAGGGAATTCTTTCCTTACTCCTATTGATCTTACACTTTTTGGTGATTTAATGTGTTTTTTTTATGTTAACTTGTAGTAGATGACCCCCCCCCTCCTTACTTTTTTAAAAAAAATTTTAAATTTTATATACACAGGCAATTACAGATCAGCTTATTATTAGTCTATTATTGACTTATTTTGGAATTTGGCTCATTATAGGCTAATACGGTACATATTATAAGTCAAAAATCGATGAAATTTTCTAAATCTAGCCCAAAATTAGCAAAAGCTGCTTTATGATCAATTTGAAAGTGAGAAATAGGAAATTACATTCATCTAACAATTCTAGACATCCAGAGATCCCTAAACTTCAGACTCATTTTTGACTAATAAGTTACTAATAATTACTAATAAGCTTGTTATTAGTCAAAAAATGAGTCTGAAGTTTAGGGATCTCTGGATGTCTAGAATTGTTAGATGAATGTAATTTCCTATTTCTCACTTTCAAATTGATCATAAAACATCTTTTGCTAATTTTGGGCTAGATTTAGAAAATTGCATCGATTTTGACTAATAATATGTACCTTATTAGCCTATATTCGACCTATTTTCAAAATAAGTCAATAATAGACTAATAATAAGCTGATCTGTAATTGCCTGTGTATTTTTTTAAATGTTTTTTTAATGATTTTTTTTTTCGTATTTATATTAATAAAAATTTTGAAAAGCAATATGTGCCTTATAGGGTGCGCCTTTGATGAGGGGTACGGTAGAAGAAAAGCATTAAAATTATTCCGAAATATTGGTTAATGTCTTCATGTCAGGCTGTGCAACATTCCAATCGATTTGTATTTTACACCAATTCATATCACATTATTTTGGATGGAATTTTAAAATGATCAAAATAAATGCTCGGAAGAAAATACAATTGTACTTACTATTATCAATTTATTAAGGCCCTAATTGCTTTATTAAGGCCCTAATTGCTTTATTGCTTTATGCTTTAGGGCCTTAATTTTCTTCAAGGCCCTAATTTGCTTTAAGGCCTTATGATTTAAGGCCCTAATTGCTCAATTTGTAAAAAAAAATATTTAAAAAATCTGCTAAAATTCTCCTCATCTCCTCTACCTCTCTAACTCTCTCATCTACTCTACCTCTCTAACCTCCCCTCGAGGGGGACGCGGTATTTTATTTTTTGTTTCTTCCTGTATCATTTTTTTTTGCTATTTTTATTGTATTCATTTTTTTCTATAATAATTTTTCTTTTGGCAAGACAATTTTTTTAACGATCTGATCTGAAAAACTTCCTGAACTCTCCAGAAAAATGTAATTTTGCCTCAAACTTTCCTCTTTCCCGCAAAACCACAAAAAAAACGAACAGGAAGCGAGAGAGTGTGTGTTTATTGGAGAGAGCGCAGACAGACAGATAGACATTGCATAGCCCTTTACTCTCACTGTTTTTTCTGTTGTATTGTGTTGTCTTTGGTTTTTTTTTGTCCACGATTTTTTTGCAAATACTTTTTTACAGGTAAAATCAATCGATAATGAGTAGATCTGAAAGATATGCAGAATTTTTGCAACATAATGTAAACAATCGTTTCTCCTTCACCGATCGTGAAAAAATTATGTACTTGGAGAGTTACATGGATGTGATTATGATTGACACAAATGACACAAAAACAAAACATCACGCCGGATATCAAGTGAGAAGAAGACTTGTGAATGGTAGATTGGAATATTTGGATTTACTGAAATGCCTCAAGAAGATTTTGCAGCTGAGCCTGTCGCTGGTGGAAGGAGATTCGGATACAAAAATCGATATAACGTGAGTTAAGATTTCACTTTTTTTTAATTTAATTTCGAAAATTGTTGTACAAATTTGTTGGAAAACTTCTCAATTTCACAAAAAAAAACCTTCAAATCATTCTCATTTCCAGATTCAACCATCCCAATCTGCCGAATGGCGAAATGTCGTATTTCGAAGTGCTTTATTCAGCTGAACGAGTCGAGGAAATTGCATTGCAATTGCAGTTTGCTGAAATGCGAAATCCAGAATTCGAAATCGATAGAAGTTTGCGGATTTGTGTGACAATTGAGAAAGATCCAGTTTAAGTGAGTTTTGTTTTTTTGATTTTTGAAAAAAAATATAAAAATAAAATAATTTCAGATCGTCTCTCATTGTCAGCTCTAAATCGTCTGCTTCTTGATTATGTTTTCTTCTATCAATGCCAATTTTCAATTTTCTCACCATCCACCAAAATCGATTTGCTCAAATTCTCCATCAATTTGAAGATCTCAACTCGAAAATTTTGCCACAATTTTTGTAGTTGCTCCTCATATTCTTCTGGTCGTTTTTGTCCCATTTTCCCATCCAATTCCCCCGCAAATTTAATTCTTCACGTGATTTTTTTGATGGTTTAGTGGTTGACCTAAAATTTTGGGTTAATGTTCATGCTTGAAGTCCCCATCAACCTGAAAATTATCACACGGCCTTCTATTCATCGTATTTTTCTCCTCAAATTTTAAGTGTAGTCTCTCTCATTTTTTGTGATTTTTCTAGGCAAATCATAGGATTATTCCCCTCAAATTTTCCCGCATTTTTTTCTACGTGTCCAAATTTTTGTAGTCTCCTCTAGTGATTCCAAGTTCCGAATTTGAACCATCAATTTTGGCCCACACACATTTTGATGTCCCTTTGAAATACGGTTATTTTTATTATTCAAATCCCAGGTGTCCTTCTTTTTATTCTTCTCATTATTTTCAAGTGAATCTCAAAAATAAAGATTTTCCAATAAAGTTTTCCGATTTTTCAAAACCTTATTTTGGAGCCTTTTTTGGGCTCATTTCCTGCATGAAAATTCAAAATTTTCTTCAATTTATTTGAATATTCTTCGGAATTATCGAAAACTTATTGAATTTTTCAGAAATATGTAATTTTGTCGTCGGAAAGCTTCTCGGATTTTTTAAAAATACTAGAAAATCCGGAAAATTTTTCGAAATCGTCAAATTTTAAATTTCAGCACCAAATTGGTTGTAAAACTTATTTTTACATGAAATTTGTCCATTTACAGTCTTTGAGACAATTTCAGTTCCGAAAATCGAAAATTTTGAAAAAAAATTCAGAAAACTTTTTTGAAAATTTAGATTTTTTGTAAAATTCTCTGAGAAATTTATGTGATTTTGAACAAATTTCGAAAATTTTTTAAAAATCTTTCGTTTTCAGTTACGAAAGTCAAAAAATTAAAAAAAAATCGGAAAAATTTCAAAAAAAAATCGGCCCGAGTTTTTTTTTTCAAAAAAAAAATCGACCCGAGTTTTTTCAAAAAAAAAAAAATCGGCCCGAGTTTTTTTCAAAAAAAATTGGCCCGAGTTTTTTTCAAAAAAAAAAATCGACCCGAGTCGGCCCAGAGTAGTTTTTTCAAAAAATAATCGGCCCGAATTTTTTCAAAAAAAAATCGGCCCGAGTTTTTTCAAAAAATAATCGGCCCGAGTTTTTTCAAAAAATAATCGGCCCGAGTTTTTTTGTTGGGTGAAAAAATCGGCCCGAATTTTTTCAAAAAAATAATCGGCCCGAGTTTTTTCAAAAAATCGGGCCGAGTTTTTTTTGTTTGACAAAAATACCCGCCCAAATGAAAATTTCGATTTGAGCGGGTAGCTGACAAAAATTGAAATTTTTATTTTCGTGTATACAGTCAACAAAAAAAGTAACAGATTTGGAATAATCCAAAAATGTAAAAATGAAGTCGATAAGTTGGGACCTAAATGACACTTCCTCTCAGGCTTAGGCTTAGTAAGCCACCCAGAGCCAACTTTGAAGCTAAAAAAATTGAAAGAAAAGAAAATTTTTTTTGAAAATCAAGATTTTTTGTCGCTTTAAGAGAAACGTTTTTAAAATTTGGTGATTTTGAAAATATTTAAAAATCATTTTTTCCGAGCACATTTTCCGGAAAATCTGAATTTTTAAATTTTTTTCTCTTGTTTTTATTGGACTTGTGATTTTTTCAAAAAAAATCCAATAATTTTCTTGATTTCAATTCTGGTTCAGTTCCCTCACAAGAAAAACTTCCAGCAAAAGTACATTTTTTCCTTCCCGCACAACCAAAAAAGAGAACAAAGAACAGCGAGAGAGTGTGTGTTCGTCAGAGAGTGCAGACAGACATACAGCTTTTTCCCCTTCTGTTTTTGTTTTTTTAGACTTAATCGGCCTTCTGAACCCTCATCAGGCCTTCTGAATCCACAACAGGCCTTCTGAATCCTGCGTAGGCCTTCTGAATCCCCAACAGGCCTTCTGAATCCTCAACAGGCCTTCCGAATCCTCAACAGGCCTTCTGAATCCTCAACAGGCCTTCTAAATCCTCAACAGGCCTTCTGAATCCTCTACAGGCCTTCTGAATCCTCAACAGGCCTTCTGAATCCCCAACAAGCCTTCTGAATCCCCAACAAGCCTTCTGAATCCCCAACAAGCCTTCTGAATCCCCATCAGGCCTTCTGAATCCCCAAAAGGCCTTCTGAATCCTAAACAGGCCTTCTGAATCCCCAATAGGCCTTCTGAATCCTCAACAGGCCTTCTGAATCCTCAACAGGCCTTTTGAATCCCCAAACGGCCTTCCAAAAGTACAGTAGTCTTAAGAAAAGTAGCATTTCAAAAAAAAAAAAAGAATTTATTGTTTGAAACTATCATAAATCTATATACAAACAACTGAAAAAAATCAAATAACCGCATCAAATTTTCCATTAATTTCAACAAGATTAATTTTTTTAGCTTGTCCTTTATTAAAATAAACTCTCGAATTGTTCGTCATAACAGTAAACTCATAATCCGCCATTTTTTGAGCAATAATCGGCAAACTTTGAAGTGTGAACTCGACGTGCATCAAATCATATGTTTTCAACAAAAACAATGCAGCCCATTCTTGATGCTTCTCGTCTCGAAGTAAATGCACAAAATTCATCGAAAACACTTTGTCGTTTTTTTGAAGATCATTGTAAAGGATAACCGCAATCGCCTTCAGTAATGTGTTGGTTTCTCCCAAAACGTATTTCTGCAAAATTACTTTTTTTATTATTATTATTTTTTTTTTGAATTTTGAAAAATGAAAAATGAAACTTACCACAAAACGTTTTTTAGCAATAATAATATGAACTTGAAGATTTTCATCAAAATGAAATTTCGGATTTTGTTTTTCAGCAACGACCAATTCATTAACCATTGCTTTAACATTTTCTTTGGAGAATGTTTTGTTGAAAAATAATTTTTGACCATTTGGAAGTTGTGGGTGGATGAATCTAGAATTGAGAATTTTTTATTGGAAATGCATTTGAAAATGAGTGTTTGATCTCAAGCCGCGTTGCAACCGCACGCGCTCAAAGATTCTCGTTTTGTGAATGTTTTTTCCCTCTGAAAGTAATCCAAATTCTACAAAAACTAGAAAAAACCAGAATCTTCGAGTGCGTGCGGTTGCAACGCGTCTGAGAGAAAATATTCTCTAAACCGCGTTGCAACCGGACGCGCTCAAAGATTTTGATACTGAAATCTAGCTTATTTTCAGAAATTTCAAATGTTAGCTTAAATTGAGTTAGCCTAATTCAATTTTTGGAAACATTTTTTTGGAGAAGCTTAGGATACCTTAGAAGACTTTAAGGGGCTTTGTAGGGCTTTAGGATTTTTATAATTGTTTTTTGGCTTTCTGAAAATTTCTGAAGTTTTCTGAAACCTTTTTAAGCTATCTGAAAATTTTTGAAGGCTCCTGAAGCCTTCTGAAGCCTCCTGAAGCCTCCTGAAGTCTATTAAAGCCTTCGGAAGCCTCCTAAAGCTATCTGAGATCTTCTGAAGCCTCCTGAAGCCCCCCAAAGCATTCTGAAGCCTTCAAGAGCCCGATGAAGCCTTCTGAAGTTTCCCGAAGTCTAGTTCTCAAAACGTCAACTCACCGAACATCAAACGCGCTCAAATTCAAATCCCCCTTCACAATCGACAAACTTCTGCGTAAAAGCACATCAAGACAACTCGAAAAAATTGACGGTTGCAATCTCATAAAAACAAGCGATCGTTGAATTCGAAAACAAACTTGATGTGCAGATTGTTTCTCAACATTCGGAATCTTGACTTCTTCCATATATTCTTCCATGAACAGAATGTCATCGTGATTCGCATATTTCATTTTGTTATTTTCCGCCGCTCGTTTTGCCATATTTATCCAATATGGTGTTGTTGTTGGCATCTTTGCAGGAGGTTCACATTCAAGAAACCACAAATCACCGAATCGAGTCCAAGTTGTTTGACTAGGCTTCTGGCCTTCGTTGGGCCTTTTTCGTGGATTCTGCATTAGGGCTTGAGAAATCGCTTGGGTGGAAGTGTGGGCCGGAGAAGGTTGTGAAGTTGATGGAAGTTGCGGAGGAGCTTGTTTTTGAGCTTGTGAAGTTGGAATTTGAGCGAGGAAATATCCTGGTAGGGCAAAAGGGCCAAGTGTGTGCATTTTTGGTTTTTGAAACCTGGAAAATATTAACATAGGATTTTTATACAGGTTGGAGAGAGCAAAATAGAGAGAATTTTTTTTTGGAATAAAAATTGTAGTTAATTATTATACAGGAGGACACCATAATTAACTAATATAAGAGAAAAAGAGCCTCGTTTTCTTCTAATTAAATTTTCCTGAGCTCCACGAGTTACCCTAATTCTATTTGGAAAGAAAGTTAGGGTAACTGGCGGTCTACACTACTAATTTGGAGGAAGTTATCCTAACTTCTAAAATTTTTTTGGAAAGTTTAGAAGTTAGGATAACTTTGCCTGTCAATTTCAAAAACAATTCGATTATCAAAAAACAATTTTTCATTTTTTCCGGAAATTTGAAAAAAAAAATTTTTTGAAAAAAATTTTTTTTTTGGAAGTTAGGATAACTTTGCCTGTCAATTTTAAAAACAATTCGATTATCAAAAAACAATTTTGTTTTTTTTTTCCGGAAATTTGAAAAAAAAGCAATATAATTCCAAAAAAAAATTTTTTTGATATTAAAAAATGTCGTCTCCCAATCAAAAATAATCTTTTTCTCAAAAAAATTTGCTCTAAACGTCAATCATTTTTTCAATAAAAATTTTTTTTCGATGCACTTTTGGTCGAGAAAATTAAAGGGACATATTGAAATCGCTACGAGACCCAGAGAGCATTTTATAAAAATTCTCCCAAAATTTATCAACCCACAAACAAAACAAAAACAAAAAATAAATCAAAAAAACCGCATTAATTATATCACCATAATTATGTATATTATCTTCTCTTCTTTCGTAACGCAAAGGCAAAGAAATATACAAAAAAGGTCAAATTCTTACTCAAATGTCTACTCTTTTCTTCTTGTTCACAAAATTTCTTGTTAAAAATACGTATAAACAAAAAAAGTGTCGACTTCTTTAGAAAAAGGACACAAAATTTTTTGGGTGGAAAGAAAAGCTTTGAAAAGTGCAAGTCTAGGGACCAAAAAGAGAGAGAGAGAGAGATTTAGAGAAACGAGAATCTTAACGAAGCTAAGAAGAATTTTCGCGCCAAAAATTTAAAATTTGAGAACCAATGTCGTTCAACGCGTCGCGGTCATGCGCTGCGTGTCTGATTTAAAATAAAAATAGAACACGCAGCGCATGACCGCGACGCGTTCAACAGGGTGAAGGAAAAGGGAAAAGCAAAATCTTATCAAAAGAATAGCGATGCTAAGGAAATTGGAGAAGAAAAAGAAGATGAAATTCGAAATTGAAAAGAAAATGGTAGCAGAGAGAAATTTCCGCTCTTTTCGAAAAACTGCGAAACGAAAACTGCCTGCTTGGTAGGACGCTGCTGTTTCTCTGCGCTCTCCACTTCTCTCACACTCTCTCGCTTTCAGCGGGTGACAAGTGAACAAACAAACCCTGCGCTCTCTTCCAAATGCATACTCTCTGCTGTCTCTCGCATCTCTAACTATTGATTGGTTGTCCCTTCAGTGAAAGTGATGCAATTTGAAAGCAATGTAAAGAAACTAGACAGAAACAAGTGAATTCAATTAAAGGAACATCAGAATACTAGCAAATTGAATTCTCCCAAAGCTCAAAATCTCAAATGACGTCACAAAATCAAACCTCAAGAAGAATGACGTCACTGCATAAAACACTCATAAATCATATTTTCGAGTTTCGCTAAATCTCATCAAAAGAATAACGATGCTAAGGAAATTGGAGAAAAAGAAGATGAAATGTGAAATTGAAAAGAAAATGGTGGCCGAGAGAGAATTGCCTGCTTGGTTAGACGCTGCTGTTTCTCTGCACTCTCCAACTCTCTCACACTCTCTCATTTGCAGCGAGTGGCAACTGAACAAACAAACCCTGCGCTCTCTTCAAAATGCATACTCTCTGATGTCTCTCTCTCGCTCTCTAACTATTGATTGGTATGACAAAACAAACCGGGCGGAAACAAGCGAATTCAATTAAAGGAACATCAGAATACTAGAAAATTGAATTCTCCCAAAGCTCAAAATCTCATCAGGAAATGACGTCACAAAACCAAAGCCCAAGAAGAATGACGTCATGGAGTCAAATACACCATCAACCCAATATCACAGGGTTAAAACCCAAGTCAAGGAACACTAGAATCTCAGCTAAATGACCCTTCCCAGGCTTTCCAGGCAAACCAAAGATCAAAATCTCATGACGTCACAAAACCAAAGACTGTGCAAACACATAACAAGTTTCCGCTTCAGTGAAAGTGAAGAGATGAAAACAAACCAGGCGTACGTCAGCAAGGGAATTTTATTAAAGGAACATCAGAATCTTAGCTTACTGATCATTCGAAGAATCGCCAAAAAGAACCCAGTAAATTAATGACGTCATCAAATAACTCAATTCATTTAAAGGAACATCAGAAACCAAAATAATCAATAGGTAGAATGACGTCATAGTATCAAATACACAAAGGAATCATCACACACATCGCATACAACCCAGTTGAAGGAACATCAGAACCTAAGTTACCCAAACTTCCCGAATAAAACCAGCTAGAAACCATCAAGAAATGACGTCACAGTATCAAATCACATAGCATACAACCCGAAGGTATTAGAAAAAGCATCAGTATCTGAGTTACCCAGACTCCCGTAATAAAAAAAATCATGAGAAATGACGTCACAAAACCAGGGTTCCCCAGCCACAAACACATCCACAATCATAAAAGCGAAATCTCAAATATCAATCAATAAAAAGGGCGTTTGAAGAACACTTGTTGATAAGATAAGATACGAAACCTTTTTCTTTGTCAGATTTTTCATCTATGAGAATTCGTATGAATTTTTTCTGTCGGCAACATCAAAGGGAACCGCGTTGCGTGTGCGTCGCGGTTTTGTCAAAAAAAGAGAGAACAAAGGGAATCGCTACAGTATATATCAAAATCTTTGAGCGCGTGCGGTTGCAACGCGGCTTAGAATTAGACTTGTTTCTCATTTCAAACAGAAAATAATGGTTATGTTTTTGCACAAAATTTTTTTGCGAACATCTGCCATATGCAAAAATGATGGATTGTTTACAAAACAGGTGCCATCATTTCTCTAATCTCTCTATGTTTTCACACACTCTCTCTCATCCTGCAAGGGAAACCCTACATGATTTATTTCCCTAAACCAATGTGATTTGATTTATGGCTTTGCCAAAATTTAAAACAAAAAAGTGAAAGGGAAAAGCGGCGAGATCAAAGGAAACTTAGAAAGACAGAATTTTTATAAATTAAAAAAAAATCAGATTCAAAATGGAAATTTTAGGGATCCACAGAAAAAAAAAGATAAAAATGTCACCAGCACCAGGACCACAAAATAAAAATGATTTATTTTGTTTGCACAAAAAATAACAGCCGGCACAGATAAAGAAACTATATTTTTAGTCCATCCTTTTTTGACGCGTAATAAAAATATGGTTTTTAGTACACTAAAACAGTTCGTAAAGGTGTTTGTTTACTTTACAACATTGTTAGAGAGAAACAGACGATTGGGAATTTTTTTTAATATAAAGGATATTGCTCATGTTAAACAAAAATGAAGAGAAAATAGAAAATATTGATTTTCTGAATGGGGAACTCATATGAAAAAAAAAAATTAAATTAACCATTTGGTGCAAAATTTTTTTGAAAAGAAAAAAAGAGAGAAGATGACGTCATCAGTTGCTCATTGATAAAAATAGAGAGAAATAGACGGGAAATTTTTGAGAATTAAAGGATATTGCTCATGTTAAACAAAAATGAAAATTTATTTTCTGAAGAGAGAACTCTTATGAAAAATTAACCAAAATCGAATCCCGGAAAACAGAAAGTCGGAAAATTTCCGTATTTTTGTGAACCGGAAAATCCGGGGGTCTTAAATTTCAATTTTCAGCCTTAAGTTGGCACTGAACCTTATTTTCATCTAGTAACTATTTGTGACATTTCACGTTCAAAAATCTTAAAATTCCAAAAATATTTTTTCAAATCATAAATTAAAGGGGGTACGGGATAATCAAAATTTTATGAAAAAAATATTTTAAAAAATATTTCAGATTTTTTTTCATAAAATTTTAATTAGCCCGTACCCCTTTCAAGATTTTCTAAAAAATTTTTTTGTTTTTTCAATTTGTCGGCTCTCTTTGATCTTTCCGACCAAAGTACAAAGAGAAGATGACGTCATCAGTTGCTCATTGATAAAAAAATCTTACTTATTCTGAGCAAGACTGATTTATTTGCTCTCAATATCTTATCATATCATATCTACAAGAGTTCTTCTGATGTCAGGAAGAAAATAGATAAGGTAATTTATTTTTTGTGCAATATTTTATTTTTTCCTAATTTTTATTCCATAAAAATAAAAATATTTTGCAGATTTGAAATGAACCCGTTCAGATTTCTGGCTTCAAGTCAAGATGCTTCAGCTTTTCCCCGAGATTTTTCTGAATCTCATTTCCAAAATCCTCCACAAGATCCTTCTCTTCTACAAGCTCCAAAACAGAATCCACTAAAAAGAGCCCATGATTTTTCTGATTTATTTTTCATTCAAGCTGAACCTCCTGCAAAACTTGCAAAAAAATTAGAAGAAATCGATAAATCACAATTCATAAATCATCAAGACATTCTATTCATGGAAGATTTTATGGAAGAAGTGAATATTTCACCAATCGATATAAGTTTCGGATATCAAGGATGTTTCAAGATCAAAAGATCGATTATTTTCAAGACTTTACAACCGGAGCTTTATATGCATTGTGTAGATGTGATTTTACGAAGAAGTTTGTCGATTGTGAAGGGGGATTTGAATTTGAGGTTGATTGATGTTCGGTGAGTTGAGATTCAAGGTTTCAAATGACTTCAGGAGGCTTCAGAAGGCTCTGGAGAACTTTTGAGTGCTCATGAATCTTCAGAAGATCTCAGATAGCTTCAAAAGGTTTCAGAAGGCTTTAGTAGACTTCAGGAAGCTTCAGAAGGTTTCAAAAAGCTTCAGAAGATCTTAGAAGGGTTCAGAAGGTTTCAGGACGCCAAAAAACAAGAACAAAAATCCGAAAAAAATTTCCGAAATTTTCCAAAAATTGAATTAGACTAACTCAATTTAAGCTAACACACACTGATTTGAATCTTTTGGAAAAGGAGCTGGATATTCAGTATCAAAATCTTCGAGTGCGTCGCGGTTGCAACGCGGTTTCTTCCCGATGAAAAACATTTTTTTTTTAAATTAAAATTCCAGATTCATCCACCCACAACTTCCACAAGGTCAAAAATGTTTTTTCAACAAAACATTCTCAAGAAAAAATGTTCAGGAAATGGTTAATGAACTGATCCTTGCTGAAAAGCAGAACCCAAAATTCGGATTTGATGAAAATCTACAAATTCATATTGCTATCATTAACAGAACTGTGAGTTTTGTTTTTTTTTTTGAGTGAAAAAAAATAAAAATAAATGTAAATTTTTTTTTCAGAAATACGTTTTGGGAGAAAATAACACATTACTAAAGGCAATTGCGATTTGCCTTTCTTATGAACTTCAAAAAACCGACAAATCATTTTATATCAATTTTGCATATTTATTGCAAGAAGAGCAACAGCAAGATCAGGCTGTGGAGTTTTTGTTGAAAAAATATATTTTGATTCCGATTGATTTCACAATTCAAACGATGCCGCTAATTGCTGAAAAAATGGTGGATTATGAGATTATTGTGATAACCAAAGATTCGAGATTAATTTTCAATGAAGGACAAGCTAAATGTATTACTCTTGCTGAAATTAATGGAAAATTTGATGCTGTAATTTAATTTTTTTTTTGAATAAACTTTTTTTCTGTTTTTGATTGAATTGTTGTGAAATTTTCCGCTTTTCCGGAAAATGTGCCCGAAAAATCTCAAAAAAAAATCTGAAATTTCGAAAAAAATATTTTGAACTTTTTTCAAAAATTTTGATTTTTTGGAACAGAATTTTCAGAAAAAATTGGAAAATTCAAATTTCAGGTTAACAAAAAACATTCTTTGTTTTTTCTTGTTGTTTCAAATTCTCAGATTTCTTTGATCTTGCCGACGAAAGTCGAAAGTCGGCAAGATCAGAGAGAGCTGAGAATTTCGGCAAGATCAAAGAGAGCTGAGAATTTCGGCAAGATGAAAGAGAGACGAAAGTCGGCAAGATCAAAGAGAGCTGAGATTTTCTTTCTGAAATTTTGAAAGAAACATTCTTGATAGAAAAAAATCGTTTTCTTTGTTTTTTCAAATTGTCGGCTCTCTTTGATCTAAAGTACAACTAACGAGGGAAAATGACGTCATATTTTTTTCAAAGAAAAATTTTTGAAAGAGACAAAACCTTTATTTTTCAAAAAAACAAAAAAAAATATAAACACACATTTTTTTTACAAAAAAAAAAAAAAAAAAAAAAACAACTGCCCATCTCAATTAATCAAATAACAGCATCAAATCTACCATTAATTTCAACAAGAATAAAAAATTCTCTTTGTCCATAGTTATTAAAATTCAATCCATCATGTTTGGTCAGCACATAAATATCATAATTCCTCAGTTTCTCAGCAATCATTGGCAGATCTACCAGTGTCAAATCGATATTTTCCAATTCAAAAATGTTTGCCAGAAATAATGCACCTTTATCTTGTTCTTGTTCATTTTGCAGAAGATTTTCAAGGATTGGCGTAAAATTGCTGTTTGTTTTTTCCATACAATTTACGATGGATAATAAAATTGCTTTTAGTAACCTGCCTGTTTCGCCCAATACGCGTGGCTGAAATTTTTTGAAGTCGGAACAAAAAAGTTAGACGAAGTTGGGGGTTTTTTTGCAGTTTGGGATACTGTAGATAAGATAACTCTAGATTTAATGCATGAAGATCAAAAATGGTCTAGGTTACTGTAGAAGATCTGGCTGAATTTTTTAAAAAAGAAAAATCTTGGATAGAAAATAATTCAAACAAAAAATTTAATTCAAATTTGCAGTTTGGATTACTGTGGCTCTAGAGTTACAGTAACTTCATTAATTACGGGTTACTGTAATTAAAAATAGGCGAAAAGGCCTTCTGAAGCCTTCTGAAGCCTTCAGAAGCCTTTGGAAGCCTTCTGAGATTTTATGAATTTTCCTGAAGCTTTCTGAAGCTTTCTGAATTTTTCTGAAGCCTTCTGAAGCCTTCTGAATTTTCTTGAAGCCTTCTCAATTTTTCTAAAGCTTTCTGAAGCCTTCTGAAGCCTTCAGAAGGCTTCAGAAAGCTTTAGAAAAATTCAGAAGGCTTCTGAAGCCTTCCAAAGCTCCAAAAATTGACCCAAAACTCACTTGAAAACAAGTCCCATCAACAATTTCAATATGAACTTGCAAATGTTCATCAAATCGAAATTTCGCATTCTGTTTTTCAGCAACTATCAATTCATTAACCATCTCCACAATATTCTTCGATGAGATAAATGTTTTGTTGGAAAAAGATAATTGACCTTCAGGAAGTTGTGGGTGGATGAATCTAGAAACTTGAACATAGCTGAAGCTTTTTTGATGAATCTTTAAAAGTCTCACCGGAAATTGATACAAGTCATTTTCATATTTTCAGCCTTGGCTAGCGATAAACATTTTCTTGTAACCACATCAAGACAATTCCTATAAAGCTCCGGTTGTAAAGTCATAAAAATAATTGATCTTTTGATCTTGAAACATGCGTGATATCCGAAACTTATATCGATTGGTGGAATCTTGACTTCTTCCATAAAATCTTCCATGAATAGAATGTCTTGATGATTTACAAATTCTAATTTATCGATTTCTGCTAATCTTTTTGCTTCATTTATCCAAGGTTCAGATGGTAAAAAAAATAAATCATCGTGTGGAATTGGAATTTCCTGGGCTCTTTTAAGTGGATTGTTTTTTGGAGCTGATGGAGCAGAAGCTTGAGCAGGAGCTCGAGGAGAAGCTTGAGCAGAAGCTTGAGCAGAAGCTCGAGCAGAAGCTTGAGCAGAAGCTTTTGAGGGCACTTGTGAAATGGATTGAGCAGGAGCTGGAGCTCGCGCTTGTGAAGTTTTCTGAGCAGAAGAAGCCCGCTTCGAAGCTTGAGCACAACTTTGCTGTAGAGCTCGCTGAGCAGGAGTCAAACCAAGATGTTGTCTAGCTCGTAAGGTAGATTCCAAAAGAGCTTCTAGTCGGGATAGTGGAGAAGCTGGAGCAGGAGTTTCCAGAAGAGCTTCTAGAGGAGCTTGTGGAGGGCTCAGTGAAGGCATTTGTAAAAAATCTTGCAGCTGAGCTCGCGATGGAGTTTGTGAAGTTCCCTGAGCACAAGGTGGAGCAGGAGCCTGTTTTGAAGCTTCTGAAATTGGAGCTCGTGATGAGCAATTTGAAATGTTACTCATGTATTTGAAATCTGCAAAAAAATGAAATTGGTGACGTCACAAAAAAATCCTTCTTGAAGAAAAAAAATACTTTTTGAGAATCAGATTTTAGAAAAATTGAAAAATTTTGTGAGTTCTTGAAAAAATTGCGCTCTTTCTGACAATATTCTTAGGAGTAGAAACATTTTTTAAAAATTCCAAAAAAAAAATCATAAAATCAATATTTTTCAAATGCAGAACAACGTCACAAAAACAAAATATTTTTTTAAATTTTTTTTTCTAAACGTTCCGCAATGGAAAAACATTTATTTTTTGTTAAAATTGACCTCTCTAGCCTCAATGTTTCTGTCTGCACCCTCTCAATTTCACATTGTCTCTACTCAAAAATAATGAACTGGTCACCCTGTATATTTAATTAAATAAATAAATAAATATTTTGTTTTTTCGACGTTTTTCTGCACAATATTTTAACATGAGCAATAAATTCAACAAAAAACCCTTGATTGCGTCGCGTATGCGTTGCGGTCAAGCCAATTATTATTTTGTTGATTTTGCGCTCCACTGAAATTTGGTTGCGTCGCGTGTGCGTTGCGGTTTCATTGTATTTTTCAACTTTTAAGTTTGTTGTACTAAAAACACCAAAATATTTTTTTGCACCTAACTAGGGCTGTAAAAAAGTGGTGTTCGTGTGCCGAAAAACACATTTGTGTGTTCACACGAATACACCACACAGGCAGAACACACTGCACCCGAATACACTGCACACGAATACACTGGTTCACACGAACACACTACACCCGAATACACTACTTTTTTTGCATGCGTTTTCAACCAAACACACACAGAAAAAACAGTGTGTTCGTGTGCAGTGTATTCGGGTGCATAGTGTCTTCGGGTGTCTAGTGTATTCGTGTGTTTGGTGTGAAAGTGTGTTCGCTGCTGCCTCGCCGCGTGTGTGGTGTGTTCGTGTGAACTATTTACAGCCCTACACCTAACAAATGTTCTCTGCCAAAGAAAAGCTCTTTACAGGAACAATTTCTCTAATCTCTCATTTTTTCCACACTCTCTAATCTCTCATCCTAAGAATCTGTCAAGATGAAAATAACCTACTATTTTTCATACCAGTATTATTAATGACTTTAAAGGAACATAATTTAGAATTTTAGAAAAATCTGAAATTTTAGAGATCTGAAAATTCAGAAAAATTCTAGATTCTAGAATTTTGGACAGTATCAAATCCAAAAATTATCCTAATTATTCTAACATAAATCAAACAAAAGAAAAATTATGTGAGAAATTATCAATTTCGAGAGAAAGTAAAAGTGCGAAAAAGGCGGTGATAGACAGTGATTTGGGATTTTTTCGAGGTCATTGCTCATGTTAAAAATATATCCCGCAGCGGAAATATATATTTTTGTGACAGGTTTTTTCATGAAATGAAAATCATTGCTCATGTTAAAAAACTATTCTGTAGAATAAACCAAATGGTTTTTTCACAGAAAAACCTTTATTTTTCAAAATATTATATACAAACACACATTTTTTTACAAAAAAAAAACAAAAAATTCAAATAACAGCATCAAATTTACCATTAATTTCAACAAGAGTAATACATTTAGCTTGTCCATTGTTAAAATGCAATCCACCATTATATTTGGTGTGCACAAAAATCTCATAGTTGCTCATTTTCTGAGCAATCATTGGCAGATCTTGAAGTGTCAAATTGGTAATCATCAAATCAAAGGTTTCCAATAAAAACAATACAGCTTTATCTTGTTGTTTTTCATCTCGCAATAAAATTTCCAATTTTTTTGGATCTGCGTTGATTTTGCATTGAGAAATTGCTATTGCTTTGAGTAATGTGTCGTTTTCGCCCAATACATTTTTCTGAAAATTTCTCAGAATTTTTTTTTTGCCGGAAATTTTCAGAATTTCCGGATTTCCCGGTTTTTTCTAGGAAAAATCAATTTTTTGGAATTTCGGAAAATAATTTTTGAAATTTTGAGAAATTTCCCAAGTTTATAATTTTGAAAATTTGTTTTGATTTTTTTTTAATTTTCCAATTTTTGTTTTTGAAGGAAACGTCCCAAATAGTTAGCCTTCTAAATTTTTCTGAAGCCTTCTGAAGCATTCTGAAGCATTCTGAAGCATTCTGAAGCCTTCTGAAGCCTTCTGAAGCCTTCTGAAGCATTCTGAAGCATTCTGAATTTTGCCGAAGCCTTGTGAAGCCTTTGGAAGCCTTCTGAGACTTTCTGAATTTTCCTGAAGCCTCCTGAAGCCTTCTGATGTCTTCTGAAGCCTCCTGAAGCCTCCTGAAGCCTTCTCAAGCCTTCTCAAGCCTTCCAAAGCCTTAAAAATTGACCCAAAACTCACCTTAAAACAATTCCCATCAACAATTTCAATATGAACTTGCAATTGTTCATCAAATTGAAATTTCGGATTCTCATTTTCAGCAACTATCAATTCATTAACCATCTCCATTGATTTTTTGTTCACAAAACATTTTTGAAGTTCTGGGTGGATAAATCTAGAACATAGCTGAAGCTTTTTTAGAAAATCCTTAAAAAAATCTCACCGGAAGTTAATACAAGTCGAAGTAATATTTTCCGCCCTGGCTAGCGATAAACATTTTCTTGTAACCACATCAATGCAATTCATATAAAGCTCCGGTTGTAAAGTCCTATAAATATTTGATCTTTTGATCTTGAAACATGCATGATATCCGAAATATTTATTGATTTGTGGAATCTTCACTTCTTCCATAAAACTTTCCATAAATTGAATGTCATACTGACTCACAATATCGATTTCTGTTGTGGTTGGAAGCTTTGCAGGAGGTTCAGAAGGTTCCTGATTTCCGCGCCGTCTTTTTCGTGGAGCTCGAAAAGAAGCTTGAGCAGAAGCTTGTGACGAGATTGGTAAAATACATTGAGCATGAGCAAAAGTTGGGAATGGAGCTAGGACAATTTCGTAGATTGGAGATGGTTGAGAAGCTTCTGGAGGAGCCTGTGGAGAAACTGGAGCTCGTAAAATAGCTTCTAGTTGAGCTTCTAGAGGGGATAGTGGAGAAGTTTGTGCGCGAGCTCGAGGAGCTCGCTGTGAAGTTTTCCGAGCTGGAGCCTGATACATTTGTGCTAGCAAGAAATTTTGCACGCAAGCTAGCTGTTGGGCATTGAAAAGAGCTTCAAATGCTGCTGGTTTTGAAGCTCGAGATGAGCAATTTGGAATGTTACTCATGTCAGATAACAATCGATTTTCTGAGCCAGAAGGACGCATCTAAAAAAATTTTAATTGATGACGTCACAAAAATAAAAGAACAACAAATCAATCAATATTTTTTGAAAACCAGGATTGTTTAAGAAAAATATCAAGCTTCTATTGAAATTTCAGAATTTTTCAGCGGGCTCCAAAAATGTCCAAAAGTTTTTTTTCAAAACTGGAAAATTCAAAAACCACCTCATAGAAAATAAAAAAAGAAAATGTCCAATTTTTCTCCAAAATGAAAATATCCCTCCTATTTTTAGCCACGCCCCTTTTTTTTCAGCGCGTGTCTCTTCAAAGTGCACACTCTCACATAGAGACTCTAGCTTCTCTAATTATCGATTGATTTTTTGTCAGCTGTCTGGATTAGCATGTGATGTTTTTTAACAAAACTTGTAAACAAACCAGGAATCGAAGATCGTAATTAAAGGAACAGCAGAATTCTAATTTTTTCAGATTAAAGGTACATCAAAATCTAAAACTCTATCAGATCTACAAAAGCGCAATAAAAATAAATTTTTCTAGTTCAAAATTCTCAAGCATTTAACATGAGCAATGAAATTTTGTCAAAAAAAATGAAACAAAATCACTATTTTTCCCTTGCAGCACAGATATTTTAACATGAGCAATGAATTCAAAAAACCCTTGATTGCGTCGCGTGTGCGTTGCGGTTTTATTTATTTTTCACATTTTTTTTTTTTATTTTTCACATTTTTACTTTGTTGTACTAAAAACACCAAAATATTTTTTTGCACTTAACAAATGTTGCTTGCATCTGCCAAAGAAAATCTGTTTACAGGAACCGTTTCTCTAATCTCTCTCATTTTTCCACACTCTCTCATCTCAAAGAAAAAAAATACAAAACGTTTCTGGTCAGATGTTTTTGAGGTCATTGCTCATGCTGAAAAATGCTGCAGGGGAAATATATTGATTTTTTGAAAGGTATTTTTTTTATGAAAAAAAAATCATTGCTCATGTTAAAAACATGTAATTTTTCCTAGGCAAAAAAACGTCGAGGAACAAAATATATAGTAGAGACAACGTGAAAATGAGAGAGTGCAGACAAAATTCAAAAAAAAAACTTTTTCAATTCCAAAAATCCGCCACACGGTCAAAATAAAGAAAAAATAGAAGAACACCTCTTTTTTTTCCCGCAGGACAAGAAAAAAAAAAGCAAAAGTGAGAGAGTGTGTTTTTGAGGAGAGAGTGCAGAGAAGCAGAGAGATATTTGGAGGGACATAGAAACCTTACTTTTTTGTGTGTTTTTTCTTTTATATATTTTTTCTAATAAAAAAATTGGGGGGATTTTGGACTGGGCAGGATTTAGAAGGTTTCAGAAGGCTTTAGGAAAATTCAGAAGGCTTCAGAAGGCTTCAGAAGGCTTCAGAAGGCTTTAAAGGGCTTCAGAAGGCTTTGGAAGACTTCAGAAGGCTTAAGAAGGCTTCAGAAGGCTTCAGAAGGCTTCAGAAGGCTTCAGAAGGCTTCAAAGGGCTAAAATCAAACAACAGCATCCTAAAAATATTTATTCTAACATGAGCAATGTTAAAATTTCTCCCAACCATTCCTCAAATTCTCAAAATATTCAGCAGTAGTTCGAAAATTTCGTCGAATCTCTTTTCCCTCCAAAGTTTTCACAGTCTTTGGCGAAACTTTTCGTTTGGCGCCACAAAATTTGGCGCGAAATTTTCGGCAAAGTTGCGAATTTGTTGAGAGAATTATGAAGGGCAGTGAAATGGCGTAGGCTGCTTGAAGCTGGAAAATTTTTTGATGCTGAAAATATTCAAAAATAAAAAATAAAAAAACAAACTCACATTTTTGAACACAAATACAAAGTATAAACTACGGTAGCCATTTTCGAGGTCATATTTTTCTTGTGTTATATAAATCCAAATCATTCCAATTGAAAATGTCTGAAAAATTTACTTCAGAAGGCTTCAGGCGGCTTCAGGAAAATTCAGAAGGCTTCAGAAACTTCCAGAAGCCTTCTGAAGCCTTCTGGAGCCTTCTGGAGCCTTCTGGAGCCTTCAAAAGCTTCCAGAAGCCTTCTGAAGCTTTCTGAAGCCTTCTGAAGCCTTCTGGAGTCTTCAAAAGACTCCAGTAGGCTTCAGAAGGCTTCAGAAGACTTCAGAAAACTTTTTCTCCAAACTTATGTCAAAAAAAATTCCTTCCCTCAAAAAAAGTGCACTTTTATTTGCACACGCCTATCTCTCTCTCGCTCCTTCTCTTCATGACATTTTTGAGCGAGTGGAAATGTGTGGTGAGATGGCCGAGCGGTCTAAGGCGCTGGTTTAAGGCACCAGTCCCTTCGGGGGCGTGGGTTCGAATCCCACTCTCATCAGCAAATTTTTTTTATTTTTTTTTTTTAGATTCAAAAAAAATCGCGAATTTTTGCCACGTGGCAATGAAAATTTACCTTAACAATAACCGCAAAAATTGACGAGGGAAATAGCGTGAGCGTCCATTTATAAACATTTGCCATACGAAATCGTTGCTCCAGAGGGGCGGAGCCAACGGTTTTTGAGTACTGGACTTTGGCATGATGCCACGTGACAATTTGGAGGGATAATCCGAGAATATCGATTGATGAGATGATTATTGTTGGCTCGGCGGTGTGATGTACTGGAAAATGAAAAATGAAAATTTAAATTTTTGAATTTTCGCGCTTAAATTTTTGACCGCAACGCACACGCACCGCAAGCCTATTTTAATCAAATTTTGGCGCTAAATTTGAAAATTTTGAATGACTTATGAGAATTCAAATTTATTATCACATTTTCAAACATTTATCATGATCTTTCCCAGCTTTTTGCATACAATTAATTGTTTTAACAGGAAAACCGTTTTGAGCTTGACATTGTAATTTGGCAAGTTCATAAACATCTTCACAATTTTCAGCCATCACAAAATTTTGGATCGATAAAATTTGGAAGAGAATTAGGAGAAGTTTCATTTTTTTCTTGGAAATAAATTGAAATGAAATGAAAAAAAATTTGAGGATTTTTAGAAATTTTATGATTGAAATTTGGGAAATTTGTCTGGGACTAATCAAAATTTTGAAAAAATAAAATAAAATTCCACTTTGATTTTTTGGCGCGAAAATTTAAAAATTCAAAATTCCCCCAACTCACAAAAAATGAATAGTGTATGAAAAAACCAAAGATGCTCCGGCAGTCAAAACAAAAACCAGCACAAAAATAATGAAGAGCAAATTTTGGCGTTGTGCCAAAATTCCATAAATCGCCAAAACGCGCTCTATTGAGAATATGAAAAAAGTGAGCGTTTGGAAGCAAAAAGCGGCTTCGTGGATGGAAAAATAGAGCATGAGACGGGCTGAAAAATATTTTTGATTTTTTTCAGGCTTCAGAGGGATTCAGTAGGCTTCAGCAAAAATCAGAAGGCTTAAGGATGCTCCAGAAGGCTTCAGAAGATTTCAGAAGGCTTCAGGAAAATTCAGAAAGCCTCAGAAGGCTTCAGAAGGCTTCAGAAGGCTTCAGGAAAATTTAGAAATCTTCAGAAGGCTTCAGAACGCTTCAGAAAGCTTCAGAAAACTTCATGAGGTTTCAAAAGGCTTCGAAAGGTTTCAGAAGGCTTCAGGAATAATTCAAAAGGCTTCAGAAGGCTCCAGAACAGACCTGGGAATTTTTACGTTTACGTTTTTTTCGTTTTACGGTTTTTACGGGATTTCACCGTAAAATCCATTTTACGGTTTTACCGCTCAAAAAATCGTAAAATAATTCGTTTAAAATAATCACTAAATATAGTTTAATTATAGTGAATTTTGACAGAATCAAATAGAAACTTTTAAAAAAAACACGAAATTTTCAAAGAAAATTTTGATTTAATCCTAACTGATTAATTTTTTGACGAATATGAAGAATAATATTGGTAAAAATGTGTTGGAGTTACGATAAGTTACCAACTCGCTATTTCTGAAGGAATTTTTTCTGTTTTTCAGTGAAAAGATTGAGTAACAAAATTTTACGTTTTTCTCGTAATTTTACGGTTTTTCAAAACCGTAAAAAGTATGTTTTACGTTTTACGGTGCCTCGTAAAAAATTCCCAGGTCTGCTCCAGAAGGCTTCAGAAGCCTTCCAAAGGCTTCAAAGGGCTTTCTAGGCTTCTTAGGCTTCCTACACTTACAGGTATAAAATTCAGGATCATCATAAATCCGATTTGCGTAGAAGTTCTCATAAGCTGTCAAACCTTGTGACGTGGCAAGTAGAAACATTGAAAAAGCTGATAGGAATAGGCATAATCTGGAAAATTTTGGCGCCAAATTTAAAATAATTCAAAATTTTCATTTATTTTACCAACCTACAAACCGGCCTCAAACTTTTTGCCTCAAAAATAATCCAAGTGTAGAAAAATACACAGAAAAGTGTCAAAATTGAAATAAAAATATCGAAATAATTCAGCTCGGCTGTGAGCAGCATTTTTTTAGAAAAAAAAAGTTTTCGAAAAAAATAATTTTTTGATTTTTTTTCTGTCTACTCTATGACGAATAACAAAAATAAACTAATTAGCCCTGAGAATTTTGAGAAAATCACCAAACAACAATGTGAAAAGGGCAGATTCTGGGTAATTTATAGCTTGTGAGCACGGCACAAAAAAATGAGATAATTATCAGTCGACTGGAAAATACATGATGTTTTGAGCTCTTTTTTTTTGAGTTTGAAAAAAAAAAAATTTTGGGCTCTTTTTTTGAGCTTGAAAAGGAAGTTTGAAAAGGAAGTTGAAAAAATAGTTAATTAAACAATTCCTATTTTTAAAATAAAATTTTGAGCAGACATCAGAAAATGATACTGTTTTCAGTTTTTGCTGAGCCTAAAAATGAGCCAATTTTCGATTTTTCGTGGTTTTGAGAGCCCATTACTCATGTTAAAGATGATTTTTATGAAAAACTAAAAGCATCACATTGTTCAGAAGGGTCGATTTACCAAAGTCACAAATTTTCTGTTCCATATTTTTCAGAAGAAAATTTTGTGGCTCAGAATTGCACATTTGAAAATTTTTAGAAAATTTTGTCAAAACTCTTGACTGTGGTAGATCAACCCTCCTGAACATCGCCCTGTACTGTATTTTTTTTTAAATAAAATATTCTCTAACATGAGTAATGAGCTCTAAAATCCCCAAAATTTCAGAAAATTCTCAATTTTCGGCTCATTTTTGTGCTCTTCAGAAGGTCTCTCAGCAAAAACTGAAAACAGGATCTTTTTCAGCGTGAAAAAATGTACTGAAACTGAAAATCTCCCAAAGATTCTGGAATTTCTGAAATTCAGATTTCTGAAAATCCCCAAAAAAAATTTCATCTTCAGTTTTTTCATCTTCCAGTTGTACTAAACATTAATTTTGTTGTTTTTTTCTCTCTGAAAAAGAACAAAAAAATATCCGTTCATCTTTTTGTTGTAATTTATATGAACTCATTCCCATTTTTCTGAAAAATGTTGACTCCAATATTTTTAGCTCTGATATTTTGTAGTTCTTGTTTATCCAGTCGGAATAAATTGGAAAAATTACCTGGACTATATTTTCATCTTTATTCTGATCATTATACTGGATTTTTGAATGTTACTGATGATGAGAGATTGTTTTATTGGTTAGTCTAAATTGGGGAAATGTTTGAGATGCCTTGAAAAAGCCCAAGAAGCCTAATAATCCAGAGAGCCCTGAAAGCCTATTTTCCAGGTTCATGGAATCTCAAAACACCCCATCAGTAGACCCTCTAATTTTCTGGTTCAACGGTGGACCCGGTTGCTCTTCTCTAACTAGTTTGATCACTGAACTTGGCCCGATGCTCCTGGATAAAACTGGAGAAAACCTCAAGCGAAATGAATATTCGTGGAATCGTATGGCTTCGGTGGTTTTTCTCGAATCACCGACAGGAGTCGGGTTTTCGTACACCGAGACTGGAGAGTATCCGATTCCGACTGATGATTTTTTGACAGCCAAATTGAATTATGATGCGGTGAAGTTGTTCTTCAAGGTACAGATTTTCTCATCAAACATTTCAAGCAGAATTTTTGTTTCAGGAATTTCCCGAGTATCGAAATCACGATGTTTTCATTAGCGGTGAATCTTATGGTGGAATTTATGTTCCGATGTTGGTTGATGAGATTTTGAATGGGCAGAAGGATTTTCCAATTAACTTGAAGGTAATGGATCAGGCTTCTAGGGGCTTCTGAAGGCTTTTTAGGCTTCAGAAGGCTTTTAGAGGCTTCAGAAGGCTTTAGAAGGCTACAGAAGGCTTCAGAAGTCTTCAGAAATCTTCAGGAGGCTTCAGAAGGCCTCCGCAAGCCTCTGAAGACTTTCAAAAGCTTCCTGAGGCTTCCTGAGGCTTCCCCAATCTTCTCGAGACCAAAACTAGACTCTAGTTTTTAGAACTGAAAATTTCAAATATTCAAATTAAATTGTTTCTGGTTCAAACTAGACTATAGTTTACAAAAATCTGCTTCGGAAGGCTCCAGAAGGCTAAATTTGAATTCTGAGCCCCAAAGATATTTTTCATACACTATTTTTCTCAAACTAGACTCTATCTTTCTAACTTCAAACTAGACTCTAGTCTTCTAAATTTCAAAATTTCAGCATGTTCTAGATTCGAACTAGATTATAGTTTCCAAAAATCTAAAAATATTGAAAAAATAGATTTTTGGATTTTTCTGAAAAAAAGCCACGTGAAAATTTTTGACGACAAATTTGTTAAATTTGATTTTTTCTTTTTTTTCTCAAACTGGACTCTAGCTTTCCAACTTCAAACTAGACTCTAGTCTTCTAAATTTCAAAATTTCAACATGTTCTAGATTTGAAAAATCTGAAAATCTCGAACAAATAAATTTTTGGATTTTTTTTTTCTGAAATCAAAGCCACGTGGAAACTTTTTACGCCAAAATTTTTGAATTTGATTTTTTTCCTAGCTTCAGGAAGCTTTAGAAAGCTTCGGAGGGCTTTAGAAAGCTTCAAAAGGCTTCAGAAGGCTCCAGAAGGCTTCAGAGGGCTTCTTCAAAATCAGTTTTTCCAGGGAATGCTAATTGGAAACGGCCTGCTTGATAAAAAACTTGCCCAACAAACCAGAACAATAATGAGTTACGGTAGAGGATTCATAACAGAATCAATCTTCGAAAATCATCTCGTAAAATGTTGTAATGGCTCAATCACCTGTAAAGACACAAAAATCGATATTCTTGATTGTAGTGATTTGCCATTACCGGAAGAATGGGATGACACTTTTTACGATCGATACAATTTATATCGGAAATGTGTAGATTTGGATTGTGGAGTTTACCCTCATACAATTCCGGAATCTTTCTTTAATTCGAAAAGAGTTAGACGAACTCTTCAGATTCCGCATGATAAAAGATGGCGTGATTGTGATGATTTAGCATATGATCGAAATTTAGAATCAGTCAAGGATCAGATTTTGCGAGCTGCGAAAAATGGGGTTAGAAGTTTGATCTATTTTGGAGATGCTGATTTGATGTGCAATTTTATTATGGGTCAGAAATTTGTGGCGAAATTGGGATTGAAGGTGAGATTTTTGGAGGCTTCTGAAGCCTTCTGAAGCCTTTTGAAGCTTTCTGAAGCCTTCTGAAGCCTTTTGGAGCCGTCTGAAGACTTCTGAGGCCTTCTGAAGCCTTCTGAAGCCTTCTAAAGCCTTCTGAAGCCTTCTAAAGCCTTCTGAAGCCCCCAAAAGCCCCCAAAAGCCTTTTTCCAGAAACTCTCCCCCAAAAAGCCGTGGTTCTTCAAACAACATCATTTCTCGGGAACCCAAACAATTTATGAGAATCTGAAATTTGTGACAATTCATGGAGCAAGTCATTCGGCTCCAGAAACTCATCCCGCCGAATGCTATCATATTTTGCAGCAATTTTTGAAGGATCAGGATATTTGATTGGGAATTTTTTCATGAAAAATAAATTTTTGAAGCATTCTGGAGCTGTTTTTAACTTTCAGAAGCTCTGGGAAGCCTTGGGAAGCCTTGGGAAGCCTTTTTGAAGCCTTGTGAAGCCTTGGGAAGCCTTCTAGAGCTTCCTGAAGCCTTCTGAAGCCTTGGGAAGCCTTGGGAAGCCTTGGGAAGCCTTCTGAAGCCCTCTGAAGATTCGAGATGCCTTCTGAAGCCTTTTGAAGATTCCTGAAGCCTTAGGAAGCCTTAGGAAGCCTTCTAAAGCCTTCTGGAGATTCCTGAAGCCTTCTGAAGCCAATATTTACTCAACACAAGAAAAATTCTACATTTTATAAAGTGCAAAATGTGTATGTGTATATAGAAAAGGTCAAATATCACATCACTTTTTTTTCGCGCCTGGCCGGAAGTTTAATTAATTCCTCTGAGTGCCTCAAGCAAAACGAAACTTTTTTCGAGATGAAGTTGCTCTATATTTTATTGATTTTTTATCTTATTTTTATTGCTCATGTTAATTGCTTTGATGCTAAAGATTATCGAGATGAAGAGGAGTTGAGGTAAGTTGGAAAATTTTGAGAGAAATTTGGGATAAATTATTTTTTTCTAGAAAAATGTTGAGACAATTGCACACGCTTCAACGATCAAATCAAACTTTTATGGAAAAATGAGCTCTGGATTTTTTTTTGGAAAATTCGTGAAGTTTGAAATAAATAATTCATAAGGTAGAATTTTTTTTGAAGAATTTATTTAAAAAATTGTTCCACGTGGAGTTTATGACTCTAAAATCTACATTTTTTGAATCCAAACAAGCCTAGAAAATTTTTGTTATGAGATCTCGTCAAACGATGCTCCGCAATTACGAGGCCTACAAAACAGAAACAGAATGAGAAGCTTAAGAGAAGCCTGAGAAGCCCGAGAAGCCTGAGAAGCCTAAGAAGCCTGAGAAGCCTGAGAAGCCTAAGAAGCCTGAGAAGCCTGAGAAGCCTGAGAAGCCTAAAAATCTTCTAGAAAAACATAATTTCAATTAAAAAACAAAAAAAAATTCATTTATTACACAAAAAACAAAAGTTTGATCATTATTTACACACAAACTGATTGAAATATTCGATAATTAATTGATTAATTAATTAATTATTTTCTTCTACAACATTGTCCATTTCCACATGGTGAATAATTAGTTTGACATGAGCATTGATTTGTATTTGTTGTTGGATTACAAGGCATTGAAGATGCAGAACACGAGTTAGAACAAGTCGATTGACAAGCTGATTGACATTGTTGAATTGGTTGCTGTTGTTGTTGAACACATTGTTGTTGGCAAGAAGATTCACATTCTGGTTGACATTTTTGAGATTGACTAATTGATGTTTGAAGAATTATTTGAATTGGTGTAGATGTTGTTGTAGTTGGAATTGGTGATTGCTGACATTGATTTGAGCATTGTTGATTACAAGATTGATTACAATTTGGTTGTGAAACACAAGTTGATTGGCATTTTTGCTGGCATTGTGGTTGACATTGAGTTGCTTGAACTTCTAATTGAATTTGAACAATTTGTGGAGCTTGTGTTGTAGTTGAAATTGGAGCTGGAGCTGGAGCACATTGAATTTGACAATCTTGCTGGCATCTTGGCTGGCATTGTGAAACTGTAGAAGTTTGACATTGTTGAGCACAACTTTGTTGACAAGCTGGAACACATTGAGTTGCTTGAACTTGGATTGGTTGAGTTTGAGCAGCACATGAGCAAGATGGAGATGGAGCTGGAGCAGCTTGACATGAGCAAGTGGAAGTTTGCTGAACTTGTTGGCAGGAACATTGAGGTTGTTGAGAAGATCCGCAACCACATTGTCTTTTTTCACGTAAAACACTTCCCTGGAGGTTTTTTTTTGTTGCAAAATTTTAAAAATTTTTATGTGAATTTAGACTTACTGAAACTACAAATGCAGCGCAGGCAAAAAAGAAAGCAATAGTTGAAAAACGCATAGTTAACCGAAATATGATAAATGATCAGTTTTGCCTCATTTTTATACTATATACTCAAATATAAAACCGGTATCATTATATCAAAAAAATTATGAACATTTGATATTTGCTCATTGAAACTTGTGTGAAAAAAATGTTTGTAGTTTGATGTTAAAACAAGATGGCTTAGAGTAAATAATTAGTTTTGATAAGTCAATGATCATATGTACATATGTTTTACGGAGAATTTAATTTTTCGGAAATCATAGATCAAAAAAATTTTGAAGTTCAGAAAAATGTAGAAGCGGAAATGTATTTTTTCAAAGGTCACTTCAAATATGAGCAATGCTTTTTTCATTGCTGATAAAACACATGTATTCATCTCAAAATTATCAAGCACAATGCAAATATTCTATATTTACTCAAGACTTTTGCAACATTAAACTACAAAAACTTTTTCGTGTTTTTTTTTTCAGTGAGCAAATATCAAACGTTCGTTTATATGTTTTTTGATCGAAAAATGATACCGGTTTTATATTTGAGTATATAGTATAAAAGTGAGGCAAAACTGATCATTTATCATATTTCGGTTAACTATGCGTTTTTCAACTATTGCTTTCTTCTTTGCCTGCGCTGCATTTGTAGTTTCAGTAAGTTTCAGACAAAAATTGGATTCAGAAAAATCAATAAACGTTCTAGGGAAGTGTATTACGTGAAAAAAGACAATGTGGTTGCGCATCTTCTCAACAACCTCAATGTTCCTGCCAGCAAGTTCAACAAACTTCCACTTGCTCATGTCAACCTGCTCCAGCTCCAACTCCAACTTGCTCATGTGCTGCTCAAACTCAACCAATCCAAGTTCAAGCAACTCAATGTGTTCCAGCTTGTCAACAAAGTTGTGCTCAACAATGTCAAACTTCAACAGTTTCACAATGCCAGCCAAGATGCCAGCAAGATTGTCAGAATCAATGTGCTTCAACAACACAAGCTCCACAAATTGTTCAAATTCAATTAGAAGTTCAAGCAACTCAATGTCAACCCCAATGCCAGCAAAAATGCCAATCAACTTGTGTTTCACAACCAAATTGTAATCAATCTTGTATTCAACAATGCTCAAATCAATGTCAGCAATCACCAATTCCAACTACAACATCTACACCAATTCAAATAATTCTTCAAACATCAATTAGTCAATCTCAAAAATGTCAACCAGAATGTGAATCTTCTTGCCAACAACAATGTGTTCAACAACAACAACCAATTCAACAATGTCAATCAGCTTGTCAATCGACTTGTTCTAACTCGTGTTCTGCATCAATGCCTTGTAATCCAACAACAAATACAAATCAATGCTCATGTCAAACTAATTATTCACCATGTGGAAATGGACAATGTTGTAGAAGAAAATAATTAATTAATTAATTAATTAATTATCGAAAATTTCAATCAGTTTGTATGTAAATAATGATCAAACTATTCTTTTTCATGTAATAAATAAATTTTTTAATTGATCTAAAAAAACAGAGTTCATAAAAATTACAACACAAAAGAATTCTTCGATTGAAAAAAAAATTGAAGAAATTTTTTCCAGATATTATTTTTATTGGCCTAGAAATGCTGCTATTACTAATTTTTGCCCCGATTTTTGTTTTTTCACAAAGTTTTCATGAGATTCACAAGTTTCCTGGACAAAATTTTTATTTTAAGTCGAAACAATTTGCGGGTTTTTTGGATATCTCAATTTCTAGGAGAATGTTTTATATGTGAGTTTTTTTCAGAAGCCTTCTGAAGCCCTCTGAAGCCCTTAAGGCCTTCTGAAGCTTTCTGAAGCCTTCTGAAGCCTTCTGAAGCCTACAAAGCCTTCTGAAGCCTAAGCCATCAGAGAAATTCAAATTCAAAATTTTTTGGCGCCAAAATTTCCACGTCTCATACGATTTCAGAAAACTTGGAGTGGGCTTGGAAAATTTTGCTATGAAAATGTTTTTAGGTTTTCTAAAACTATAGTCTAGTTGAATCAGAAACAATAGTCTAGTTTGATACAGTAACAATACTCTAGTTTGAACCAGAAACTATAATGTAGTTTGAACCAGAAACAACTTGAATCTCGGCAATTTTCAGTTTTATATATAAACTAGAGTCTAGTTTGAACCTGGAACAGTTTCAACTCTAGAAACTAGAGTCTAGTTTTTTTCTAGCAGGAAAACTAGAGTCTAGTTAAAGCTAATTTGAAAATACTGAAGTTTAGGAATAAAAGATTTTGACCTGAAAAAAATCAATAATTTTGCAAGTCTGAAAAAGCTAAAAATCCAAACAAGAAAAATTTTCAGATTATCTGAATCTGAAAATTCCATGTCAACAGACCCTCTGGTTTTTTGGTTCAACGGTGGACCTGGTTGCTCATCTCTAACCGGATTTTTATATTTAAATGGACCAGTTTTATTGAAAGATGGCAAATTTATGGAAGAAAATCCATATTCTTGGACAAAATTTTCGAATGTGGTATGGCTTGAATCACCAGTTTCAGTTGGATTTTCCTATTCTAAAATCAACACTCATCCTGATGATAATATTTCTGCAGCAAGGGATAATTATCTGGCTGTGATGAGGTTTTTGGAGGTAAGCTTAGAAGATCTGGAAATTTTTCTGAAATTTTCTAGAAGCTTAGAAGATCTGGAAGTTTTTCTGAAATTTTCTAGAAGCTTAGAAGATCTGGAAGTTTTTCTGAAATTTTCTGAATTTCTCAAATCCTGGAAAAATTTCCAGATATTTCCAAAATTCAAGAATCACGATATTTTCCTAGCTGGTGGATCTTATGCTGGAATTTTTATACCAATGTTATCTTCAAGGATTCTAGAAGGTTCGAATGACATCAAATTGAAGGTGAGCTTCAGAAGGCTTCAGAAGGTTCTAGAAAGCATCAGGAGAATTTCGAAAGCTTCAAAAAGGTTTCCAGAATCTTGCCGAGGCTACAGAATACTTCAGAAATATTCAAAAGGCTTCTGAAGCATTACAGTTCCCTCTGGAAGATTCCGGAGACAATATTCTATACATGACTCACTTGTTGTTGGGAAAGTGCGAATTTAGAATAACATATTTTCACAATCCAGATAATCTGTCATACTGTAAGTGCTAGGATATTAAAATAATCGTGATTGCTTTCATAAGAAGCTTGTCAGGACAATCCGTTTCGAAAAGCACTTACAGATAATCAAAACGAAAAGCGGATTTGGAAGGGTTACGGTAGCTTCTTGAAATAGAAATGAATTTGATGATCAATAAAAAGATTAAGGCTACCGTAGTACATGAATTGGAGGATTAATTAATTCATGAGATTAAATGTCACAGATTAATGTTTCTACTTTTAGAAACTACAGTATGACTTCAGAAGACTTCGAATCAAAACTGTTCCAGGTTCAAACTAGACTTTAGTTTATACATACAACAGAAAATTGCCAAATTTAAAATTACATAGTGTCCATGTAAAACTGAAAATTGCCAAAAAATGAAAAAAATTTAACTCAAACTAAATTATAGTTTCTAGTCAAAACTAGAGTATAGTTTCTGGCTCAAACTGGACTATAGGGCTTTTTAGGCTTTAGAAGGCTTTAAAAGGCCTTGGAAGGCTTTAAAATGCTCCCCGAGGGCTTTGAGAGACTTCATAGGGCTTTTGAAGGCTTTTGAAGGCTTTAGCACGGTCCAGAAGGCCTCAAAAGGCTTTAGAATGCTCCCAGTGGGCTTTGAGGCTTCTGGAGGTTTCAGAAGGATTCGGAAGGCTTCAGAAGGCTTTAGAAGGCTTTGGGAGGGTTCTGGAGGTATCAGAAAGTTTCAGAAGGCTTTAGAAGACATTTTGAGCCCAAAACTAAATTTAGAAAGAAATAGTTCATATAAAAAATAGTATTTTTGATCTAGAAGACTATTTCAGCCAAAATTTTTCAGAAAATCACTGAATTTTCAGATCAGATCTCTTCAACGGTTTTACGGCTCAAAAAATCGTAAAATAATTTTTGATGAATATGGAGAGAATTATGTTTTAGTTACGAAAAGTTACGAAATTCCAATTTTCAAAGAAATTTTTGCTGAAAATCACTGAAGTTTGAGATTTCCGAGAGTATAATCACCCAAAAATCAATAATGATATTCAAGTATTCCCATCCATCCCAAGACCCACCTTTTTGCAGGGTCTCGCAATTGCGTCGGTCTCGCAATTGGCTCTTTCAGTTTATCACTCAACATCAAAACATCCTTCATATTTTCCTACACTCACGGAATAATTGACGAAGAAACATATCGAAAAATCATCAAAAATTGTTGTTATGAAAAAACCATTGAAGAATGCGATATTTTGGATGATTGGGCAAACACGGCATGTCATCAGATGTATAATATCATAGCTGAAATTAAAGCACTTGATATTTATGATATAAATCGAGAATGTGAAAATCTGAATTGCAATAAAACATTCGAATTAACAAATAATTATATGAATCGGGAAGATGTTCGAGAAATTTTGAAAATTCCAAAAGGTGTCAAAAAATGGACGACTTGTCAGACGGATTTCAAATTTTCTCGTGGATTTTTGGAGATGGATCAGGATTTTAGAAAGGCTTCTAGGGAAAATGTGAAAAGTTTATTGTTTTATGGCGATGCGGATATGGTTTGTCCTTTTACGATGGGACAACTAATGTTGGACAGACTTGGGTTGAAGGTGAGCTTGGATTTTTTGGCTCTCTGGGCTCTCTGGGAGATCTAGGCTCTCTAGGCTCTATAGGCTCTCTAGGCTCTCTAGGCTCTCTGGGCTCTCTAGGCTCCCTAGGCTCTCTAAATCCTTAATAATTGGGTCTTGCTGACGCATTTCTAGTAGTTTAAAGTTTAGCTGACGCATTCCTAGTAGCTTGGAATTTCACTGACGCATTTACGGTAGCTTTGAATTACACTGGCGCACTTCTAGTATCTTGAAAATTAGCTGACGCTTTTCTAGTAGCTCGAAATTTTGCTGACCCATTTCTAGTAGCTTGAAATTCAGCTGACGCATTTTTGGTAGCTTGACACTTTGCTGACGCATTTCTGGTAGCTCGAATTTTTGCTGACGCATTTCTGGTAGCTTGTAGCTCTGCTGACGCATTTCTAGTAGCTTTAAATTTCACTGACGCATTTCTGGTAGCTTTTAATTTTGCTGACGCTTTTTTAGTAGCTCTAAATTTCACTGACGCATTTTCTGTAGTTTGAACCTTTGCTAAAGCTTTTACAATAGCTTGAAACTTTGCTGACGTATTTCTAGGAGCTCGAAACTTTGCTGACGCATTTCCAGTAGCTTGAAGTTTAGCTGAGGCTTTTCTGGAATATCGCAACTTTACTGACGCGTTTCTAGTAGCTCAAAACTTTACTGACGCTTTTCTAGCAGCTTTATATTTCACTGACGCATTTCTGGTAGCTTTAAATTTAACTGACACATTCCTACTAGCTCGAAATTTGGCTGACGTATTTCTAGGAGCTCGAAACTTTGCTGACGCATTTTTGGTAGCTTGACACTTTGCTGGCGCATTTCTAGTAGCTTGAAACTTTGCTGACACATTTCTGGTAGCTCGAAATTTGGCTAACACAATCCCAGTAGCTTTGAATTTCACTGACGCATTTCTAGTAGCTTTGAATTTTGCTGGCGCTTTTCTAGTAGTTCGAAACATTGCTGACGCATTTTTGGTAGAATGGAACTTTGCTGACGCTTTTCTAGTAGCTCTAAATTTCACTGGCGCTTTAACGGTATCTTCAAACTTTACTGGCGCATTTACGGTAGCTTGAAGGTTAGCTGACGCTTTTCTATTAGCTCAAAATTTTGCTGATGCTTTTCTAGTAGCTTTAAATTTCACTGACGCATTTCTAGTTGCTCGAAACCTAGCTGACGCATTTCTAGTAGTTCTAAATTTTAATGACGCGTTTTTGGTAGCTTTAAACTTTACTGACGCATTTCTGGTACCTTGAAACTTTGCTGGCGCTTTCCTAGTAGCTTGGAATTTCACTGACGCATTTCTTGTAGCTCGAACCTTTGCTGACGCTTTTCAAGTAGCTCGATACTTTGCTGACATATTTTCGGTAGCTCAAAACTCAGCTGGCGCATACCTAGTAGCTCAGAAAATTCTAGAATCTTTGCGCTTAAAAAATTATTGATCCAATTTTTTTCAGCTTCTTCAAGATTCATCAGTTTACGCAATAAATGAAACAATTATTGGTCAGAAAACAGTTTATGAAAATATCGAATTTTTAGTTTTCAAAAATGCCGGACACATTTTGCCAAGCACACATCCAGAAGCATTTTTCGAAATTCATCGCAGATTTTTTAATTTTGAAAATGTTTGAATGAAGGTTACTTACATTTTTTGGAATTTGATAGGCTTCAGGGGGCTTCAGAAAGCTTCCATAGGCTTGCCGAGGCATCAGAATACTTCAGAAATATTCAAAAGGCTTCTGAAGCATTACAGTTGGCTCAGGAAGATTCCGGAGACCATATTCTATAAATGACTCACTTGTTGTTCCAAACGTGCTCCCAGAGTCTGGCCGAGGATTCAGGAATCTTCAGAAAGATTTTACAAGACTTCTGAAGGATTCGAGTATCCTCTGAAAGATTCCGGAGACCATATTCTATAAATGACTCACTTGTTGTTCAAAACGTGCTCCCAGAGTCTTCCCGAGGATGCAGATTACTTCAGAAATATTCAAAAGGCTTCTGAAGCATTACAGTATCCTCGAGAAGATTCTGGAGACAATATTCTATAAATGACTCACTTGTTGTTAGGAAAGTGCGAATTTAGAATAACATCTTCACAATCCAGATAATCTGTCATACTGTAAGTGCTAGGATATTAAAATAATCGTGATTGCTTTCATAAGAAGCTTGTCAGGACAATCCGTTGAGTGCTTTTCAGAAAATAAAAGCGGATTTGAAAGGGTTACGGTAGCTTCTTGAAATACGTAGGAATGAAATTAATTTTGATGATTAATAAAAAGATTAAGGCTACCGTAGTACGTGAATTGGAGGATTAATTAATTCATGAGATTAAATGTCACAGATTAATGTTTCTACTTTTGGAAACTACAGAAAAATCTGAAATCTACAGTAAACCTGTGAGTTTAGTTATGAAGCTCTAAACTACTGGAAATCGAGGAGAAACGGTTGAAGCTTAAAAATCTGTGATGATTTTCCAGAGTTCAAAAATTGAACATTTTCAAAAAAAAGTAGATCTCAAAATTTTTGAGATTCTGAAAATTTGTTTTTTTTTTTGAGATTTCAGAAAATTTTTAAGATTTCAAAAAAAAATTCTACTTTTTTCCTACTTTTTTTTGAAATTTTGAAATTTCTGAACTCTGAAAATTTTCAATTAAGATCACAGATGTTTTTTTCAAATTTTGAAAGTTCATATGAAGTTCTCTAGGCTCTCTAGCCTCTAGCCTCTCTAGACTCTCTAGCCTCTCTAGGCTCTCTAGCCTCTCTAGGCTCTCTAGCCTCTCTAGCCTCTCTAGCCTCTCTAGCCTCTCTAGCCTCTCTAGCCTCTCTAGCCTCTCTAGCCTCTCTAGCCTCTCTAGCCTCTCTAGGCTCTCTAGCCTCTCTAGCCTCTCTAGCCTCTCTAGGCTCTCTAGCCTCTCTAGCCTCTCTAGCCTCTCTAGCCTCTCTAGCCTCTCTAGCCTCTCTAGCCTCTCCAGGCTTTCTAGGCTTCCCAAGGCTTCCCAAGGCTTCCCAAGGCTTCTCAGCAAAAATTGTGATCTCCAAAAATGTGCAAATCTAGAACATCACTGTAATCTTGGGTCTTAGACAAATCCCACTGATGTCAAACGCTTTCATCCAAGCAGCACGGACTGGAACGGGGGGCGGAGCCCAAGTTCAGACTATAAATACAGCAAAAAAAGTGTTCCAGTGTTCCGTCAAGAAATAATGATACTCAAACTGATTTTCTTGACAATTTTGCCGCTGGCTGTTCTGATTGTTGCTGCTGAAGATGTTGCTGAAGATCTGATCTGTCCATTCTACAAAAAAGATGACACACCGTGCTTGAGAAGTGATGAATTCAAAAAGTTCTTGGAGAACAATACCGAAGAGATCAATGCCAGACCGGACTTGCCAGAAATCAATGAGACTAAGATGGAAATTCGAGAGGTAGGTGCGGGAATTGAACCTGGGACCTTGATCTTCAAAACAGCCCTAACTCCCCCTCAAAAAAATTATCGATTTTTTTTCAGCGCGAGGAATGTTGTTACGAAGTTCAATGCCTTACTGAATGTCAAATCAACCTTGATAAATTGGCCAAAAAAAGTATTTTCGGAAAAAAAAACTTCAGAGAGCATCTCGACAACAGTTTTGATAGATATCCCGGATTTTTCAGAGTGAGTTTGATCTTCTGATCTTTTCAGATCAAAAAAAATCGAAAAATATTTCAGAGCATCGACTGGGATGAAATGGATGCCTTCAGATTCAATGAGACTGAAAAATTGGCCAAAATCAATATGGAGCACTGGAAAATCCGTGTAATTCACTTGTACTTGATTCAACGTGAAATTTCAGAGTTCAAAAATGACTTGGGTTTCTACCACAAAAAATTGTATGGAGCTGAGAAACCGGAAGATTTTTAATTAATTAATTTTGCTAATTAGGCACAGTACTTTTTTCACATCTCGCCCATTTTCTCTCAAGTTGTGCTAAATTCCCTCATTTTTCTACCATAATGTTTTTTCCTCATTTTTTTCCTACCCCATTCCATTCCAGTTCACAACTCTGGTTTTTTTTCGATTTTGAGATGAAATGAAGTTAGTTAACAAAAAAATGCACATTTTCAGCTTGAGGAGCACAAAAAATGACGAATTTTGATACCAAATATGAAAAAATACTGGCCAGAAGGTCCTGGATCGATTCCTCATACCTCCTAACCATTTTTTCTTGCCGGAAGGTTTCTAGATCTGCTGAAAATGATAGGATTGCTCATTTTAAGCATTTTCAAAGTTATCACCTTGAATTTTAGCTCAAAAATCGATACTTCAATGGAAAAATTCTCTGGATTACCATAATCCTAAGCTTCTACTATGCTCAAATTTTGATTGGCTGAATATTTCAAGCTCCGCCCACTTTTTGAGCAAATATGTACATATTTCGAGCTTAAAGTTACCCTAACTTAAAATCGAATTTCCGGAAAATAAAAAATAAAAAAAAAGTTCGCATCGAGCAGGACTCGAACCCTCTACCCTCCAATTGTGAAGTTATCCACATACCACCTGCGCTACACTGGTAGTTTTCAGAAGTGCAAAATCTCGTGCTCAAATTCTTCTGGAGCTGGAAAATTTTCAGCAGAGAATCTTAAATTTCAGGAAAAATTAAAATTAGAGTTACAGGTTACAGCTCTTCTATAAAATGGCATCTTTTTCAGCCCAGAAAATTTCAGACTTAAAAAATCTCTGAAAATTTTTCAGAGTTATCATAAGTATACACCTACACAAAAAATATAAATAAAATCTTTCTCAAAAATAAAAGTGCGTCGATAATGCCCTTTTCTACTTCATCCCCGCTCATTTTTCCTCTGCTTCTCTAACCTCTCTCATTCTCCCACACTCTCTCTCTTTATCCGCGCAAAAATGACGAAAAGATTCAGATGGAAATTCAGATTCTGTAAGAATTCAACATGTTCCTAGGTGCCTATTTTTTTCAAATTTGTATATTTTGAAGATCACAATTTGAAGAAGAGCTTTGTGAAAACCGGAAAGTTTGAGGATTTTTTTGAGATGGGTTAGAGATTTTTGAAAATTAAGATTTCTCTGCGTCACCTATGTAGATACACATGGGATTATCTTGAAGATTGCTAGCTTCAAGGGTTATATTTTTGTGTACCTTTAAATCTCACTAATTTAGTCTTAGTTAAGGGAGAAAGTTTAAAGGTTCATAAGCTGAAAATCCAGAAAAATTAAGGTACTTTGAATTTCAGCAGATTGCTAGAAACTAGAAAACTATTGAAATAAAAATGGAATTCCAAAATCTTAAATTGCACAATATCTACCTAATAAACATTGGTAAAACCCCCCTAAAAAATACCTGAGCTTCAGAATATCAGTCGAACTTCTTGATATCCCAATCGAAGTCCATCCATCAAAATCTGATCTTTGATTTTGTCCGAGGCTTTTCTTGATCTTCTTCTCTTGAAATCGAATTTATTTATCATATCTCCAACACCAGTTTCCTGCAAAAATTCTCTATTAAAAATTATTTTTCCAAATGAAAAATCACCTGAAGACTTCGCCTAACTTTTCTTCATAACCATATTTTCTTGAAACAAAACTTCTTGGCGATTTTCACCTGAAAACTCATTTATTTATTGATTGAAAAGGGCGTGATTAGAAAAAAAACAAAAACCAAAACAAACAAAAACAAAAAACAAAGCAGGCATGAGAATGAGAGAGAGAGAGAAAAGAGACGCAGACAGATAGACAGACAAACAGTTTGTGTGTTGGATGGTGCACGGTCTTTTAACAAAACATGTTTTTTTTCCATTATCAAAGTTAAAATATTCTGGTTTTCACAAATATTTTTCTTCACATTGTGATAAAAATTTTTGAAAACGTTTAGAATTTGGGACCTTAAAAATTTTTTTGAAAATTCTGATTTTCGCAGGACTAAAAAGAGAGAGAGAGAGAGAGTATGGGAAGATGAGAGAGTTTAGAGAGGCAGAGAAAATTGAGTGGGAATTCATTAGATAAGGGCATTATTACATAGATAAGGGCATTCATAGATTTTTGATACTTTGAAAATTTATTTTATTTTTGTTGCGTGTGTATATTTATGATAACTTTAATAATGTTTTAATGTCAGACATTTTCAGGTTTTTCTCTATTAATCAAATTTTCAATTAGAATCAGACGAGCTTTAATTTTTTGATAAAAAGTTCTCCTGACTTCAAAAAATTGAACCTTTTTTGAAAATGTTCAGATTTAGACATCTAAAATAATGATTTTTAGCTTTTTTTTAATGCAATTCAGAAATTAGTCATGAATTTTTTGAAAAATCAAATTTTGATTTTCAGTTTGCTCTAAATTTTCAAATGTTCCCTTCATCTTTGCACAATTTTCTATAAAAATCCAAAAAAATTCAAATCATGTTGATTTTCTGAATTTTCAAAATAATCTCTGATTCTTTGTGTTCCAGTGAATTTCCAAGTTTTACATGTCCTGTTTTCGAATTTTAGCCTAACTTCTCAAATCTCCTTATCACCTTGACAACAAATCCAAGTGCCCTCCATTTTTTCACATTCCAAAAATGTATAACATCTATCGAAGAGACGCAGATTGTTAGATAATCAGCTTCCCTGCTAACTATTTTTGAAAATGAAAATATAGTGAGAATAAAAGAGACGCAGACGGTTATATATTTGAGCTTCCCTGTGGTTATTTTATGAGCTGGTGTTAACAGGCAGTGAAGATTATGAGCCTCTCTTTATCACCTTGACAACAAATCCAAATCCCCTCAATTTTTTCAGCTGCTTTTTTCATTTCTTCATACATACATATGTAGATTCAACCAACTTCAATTCGACATCTAAACTGTCGAAATATTTCTACAAACCTTTAATTTTTTCAATGGTGAGTACAGAAAAAATCAATAATTTTTTCTTATAATATTTTTTTGCAGAACACAGAATCAGAGATATTTGGCTCGAAAAATATTTGCTCGTAAGTGAATTAAAATTATTGATTTTTGAATTTTGCAAAATTCTCTTTTTTTCAGAGCCAGTGCATTTGAAATGTTCAAGAACAGATGTTTCCAATCAAATCCGAAGATACCATGTAAGTTAATAAATGAAATATTATTGATTCAATTTTAAGAAAATTTAATTTTTTCAGCATGCCCGCAACAATCCTTTGTCCGAACACCGAAATTATGAAATTGTTTTGAAATAAATCATTATTATATGTATTTAATATTGCGTTTGATTTCCAGAAGCAGAAAAATTTTAGGAAAAAAATTAGTCGCAAGGTGGATTCGAACCTGCGAGCTTCAGACTGAGGATGCATTTTCAGTATAGTTGGTCAACGACTCGACTCGAGTCGAGTCGAGTCGATTTTTAGTCGAGTCGATAAGAGAAAATGAAACGACTCGACTAACGACTTGAGTCGTTTAGTCGATAAGGCGAGTCGATAAGCAAACGACTCGAGTCGAGTCGATTGATTTTTTTCGACTCGACTCGACTTCATTGCTTGACTTTTTCAAAAATTTTTGTGGGGATCTGGAATATTTCAGATATGATTTTGGTGTTGATATCAGATGTCGCGGTGGTGTGGTGGGTGAATATAATGTGAAAAGTCAAATTGGTGCAATTGGTGAAATAGTATGCATAGCATATTTTTTGAAGATGGAGCTGTTGCACCAACTGCACCATCTTCACTATATTTTGTTCTTGGTGGAAATTCACCAATTGCACCAATTGATGTTTTTGGTGAATATATTGTGGCTGTTTTGATTGGTGTGAAAAGTCAAATTGGTGCAATTGGTGAAGATGCTGAAATTGCACCAACGGCATAAGTTTCGTCTTTAGCACCATGTGCACCAATCAAAAAAGTTGCACCAATTGGAATTTTGGGAGCAATAGCACCATCTTCAAAAAATACATTATGCATACTATTTCACCAATTGCACCAATTTGACTTTTCACATTTTTTTTCATTCACCACATCACCACGCCATCTGATATCAACACCAAAATCATATCTGAAATATTCCAGATCCCCACAAAAATTTTTGAAAAAGTCAAGCAATGAAGTCGAGTCGAGTCGAAAAAAATCAATCGACTCGACTCGAGTCGTTTGCTTATCGACTCGCCTTATCGACTAAACGACTCGAGTCGTTAGTCGAGTCGTTTCGTTTTCTCTTATCGACTCGACTCGACTTTTAGTCGAGTCGAGTCGTTGACCAACTATAATTTTCAGAGCTCGTTTTCTTGGCTCAGATGTGTGTTGAAAAATTACAGGAGAAAAAGTTTCAGATGATTCAAGATATTCAGCTTGACCTTCAGAAGATTCTGAACTTCTTGGATTCATATATGGGGTTTGATCTTCTAGCTTAACCATCGGAAGCTTCTGATGATTCTGGATACACTTGAGATCCAGATCTGGGCTCTGAACTTCCAGCTGAACCTAGATGATTTTTAGCTTGATCTTCTAAAAATTCCGAATTTCTCGGATGAACTTGAAATCCACATTTGGGGTCTGATCTTCCATCTGAAGGTGTAGAAGTTCCTGAATATCCAGCTTGACCATCGAATTATTTTTGTTGCGTTGTTAATTTTCTAAATTTTAATAAAAAATCTTTTTTCAGCCTGTTTATGTTATTTTTCCAGTCTAATTTCCAAAATAATCGGAAAATATTGTTATCTACCAAAGAGACGCAGATTGTTAGATAATCAACTTCCCTGCTAACTACTTTTGAAAATAAAAATATAGTCAGAATAAAAGAGACGCAGACGGTTATATATTTGTGCTTCCCTGTGGTTAGTTTCTGAGCAGGTGTTAACAGGGAGTGAAGATGTTACCTTGACAACAAATCCAAATCCCCTCATTTTTCAGCTGCTGCCATTTTCATTCCTTCACATTCTAAA